CCATTAAGAATTGTAGTTATTATAATAGATATAAAACTAGGTGTAATTTTGAGGTTCTCGCTTAAGTGGGCCGTGTGTCGTGGCCTCAGCTCTTACATTGAAGTAACTAGTACTTGTTTTGACAAGAAACGTAGCAGGAACTTGACCAAACATATCATTCACCTAAAGGAGCATCGAGGAACGTGAAATAATTGACATTGTACCTAGTGAGCCATCATGAGTGGCAAGTTACTTTTGTCTTTGTTTGTCGAAAGGTGTGAAGGCATTTGTTGTTATAAAAAAGAGTGAGAAGAAGAGAAAGAAAATAGTTATACATGTTCTAGTCCATACACAAACACTGGCTCTTCATGAACTGACCCCGTGCCATTCATGAATGTCAGGATGTTTATAAATAACACCCATAGTTTATGAACGAATTAGCCAGTCGAAACAGCACTCCAGGCACCTCCGCTCAGCAGCTCAGCACTATAACAACTTAACATTTCATCAACTAAGCCTACTGCATTACTATACCTGGAAACTTTAAGCACTATAGCACTATAGCACTATAGAACTCTAGGAATTTAGTAGATTAGTAGAATGCAAGTGTAGGGTTGTTAAGAGGCGCAAGTGCTGTGGTGCTTTTGTTTCCGGGCTAATTATCAGTGGCGTTATTTGGCTATGACTAGTTGGATATGCTTCAAACATTTATGAATGGCCGGGCAGTTCATAAACTAGAGGTGCCATACATCGACACCTTGCCATTTATGAATGGCAAAGGTAAGGTTCATGAATAGTAAGTGTTTGCGTATGGACTAGAACATATGTTTTGCACCTTCTCACTTGTAATTTCACTTCAAATAAGTATGTGACTTTTGTGAATTCCATGCATGCAAAACCATGGTTCAAGTTTTCCGAATGTCAATTACATCCCCATGTCCAATCGCATATGCCCCCATCATCAAATACGAATCACCCCATACCAAAGCATTTGAAGTTCGTCCATCAACCCGCAGAGGAACACCATCTCCAACTCATCTTCCATGTCCTCAAATTCCTCCACAAGGAACTCTGCCTCCTCGACTAGCCATTTCAATGCCAAAATGACCATCCATCTTTGTTGTCCGTCACCAAGGGCGATCAAGGAGATGAGTTCGTTGGCGATGACAAGAACATGAGCAGAGTAATTGCTCATGTCAAGACCACTAGTCCAGAAGTCGATGGTGTTTCTGATCGCATTGCCTACGATGTCGTTCTGTCTGACATCGGGTGATCTTCGATCTGGAAGCTGTAGAACATAGGGGTTAGCCGAAGTCTTGATTGAAAGCTGCCCCCTATAAAATACGCGAAAGTGTGAATTACGTGAAAGTGTTAATGAACATCACTTCACCTCTCTTCACGAGGCCTCGCTTCGCCTCGCGAAGCTTCGATCATATGGTGGTGTAAAGGAGGGTGCTTACAATTTGATCGAGGAACGTGAGAAAGTTGACATTGTGGTGAGCCATCGTAAGTTTCAGGCGGCCTTTGTTTTTGTTTGTTGAAAGGTGTGAAGGTTATTTTGTTGTTGTAGAAGAGAAGGAGAGGAAGAAGAAAAAACGGTCATATATATAGCTTGCAAGAACACTTCTTGCCCGCAAAACTTTGCGGGTGAATAATGTACAACGAGGCCGTTCCGTGTACAGTGAAGTAGCCAGTATTGCTTTTGATAAGAAAAACAGAAGGAACTTGATCGAAAATGTGATTCACCTACCCTACGGGAGCAACGGCTCGTTATAGAACGACTTGGTACGCTAAATAACGAGTAGTTATAATTAATTAACGAGTGATATTGTTAATTAATGCTTGGAAACACTGCAAAAATACTAGACTACTTCATTATACTCCATATTTATCAATATATGCTTATTAATTTGGAACTTTTATTATCACTACGCCTATTGCTCTCACTGCTCTCACTGCTCTCACTGCTCTCACTGCTCTCACTGCTTTCACTGCTTTCATTGCTTTCATTGCTTTCATTGCTTTCATTGCTTTCATTGCTTTTATTGTTGTTATAATTTTACTGTTGTTATGATTCCACTGTTGTTATGATTCCACTGTTGTCATGATTTCACTGTTGTTATAATTTTAGAGTATATTTTTATTTTGAGTAGTAGTGAGTAATGCACTTACACTTTTGGTACTGTATTGTATTATATTTTATGATAGTTTCTTATTTAAAGTAAAGGAATGAGAATCATGAAAGGGTGCAACTTTTGCAGTAGAGTGGAGACTTCAAGAGCTCGGATAGTGGGTCAGACGCGTTTTTTATTGGCTGAATCGAGGTTGTTTACATGCTCTATGCTTACCTTAAGCTTTTTTTGGCGTGTTCACCTTTCACTTTTGTAACGTGGCCTTTTACTTTAGAAGTTTTTTATTATTTCTATCTTTACGTACTGCATTATTAGTTATACTGTATTATTAGTTGCATTATATTATCAGTTGCACTGCATTATCAGCTGCACTGCATCATCAACTACACTATATTATTATGATAACTTGTATTTATTAGTATAATTAGTTGCATTCCTTTAGATCTTGGACTTAGATTTTTTCTTGGCACTGGACTCTCTCCTAGCACTTGACTTTTTCTTGGTATTGGATTCTTTCTCTTGGCACTAGATTCCTAGACTCCTGGACTCTTTGCAAGTACGTATATCGACTCCTTTTAATACCTTATCTAACTCGGTTTTTAGGGCTAGAGCATAGCGAGTACGAACGGTTCATATAAAAGGATAGAAAAATAGGTGGATATGCTAGAGTACTAAAAGTTGGGAATAGTGGTATATTTGAGAGGAGGGCAAGTAAATGAGATTTGGGCGTAGTGGCATATTTAGGAAGTGAAATAAGGGGGTACTTTAGAGTAGCTAAACTCGATGTTTAACTACATATTGTCGTTCTCTAAAGTGCTAGATTTTTAGATGGCATTAACGACTTCGAATCGTTAATAATTTCATTAAAAAATAACGAGTAGTACTCGTTATTCATCGATAAAAACAACGAGTTTTACTTATTAAATATAGGTTAAAATAACGAGTGTTTTATCGACTTTATGTCGTTCTATAACGAGGCGTTGCTCCCGTAGGGCTAAATGAACACTTTTTTTCTGCAAAGCGTTGCGGATAATTAAGGTATCCACGAGGTCACTTTATGTTAGTGAAGCGGTACCCCTTCTTTGGGAAGGTACCGAGAAATATCCAAGGAGTCTTGAGGGAGTTGAGCAACATTACCTACTGCATCAAATTCATGTAACCTCAATTAGACTCCGTCCACTCTTTTCATAGCGTATTTTCCCATCAAGCTTCCAGTACCAATTTGGGCAGAGCAAACTTAGATGAAGGAGCCACAACATATATGCATGGCCCTGCGTCTCACAGCTGAAGGGGTGAGCTAGTTCAATCCGCTATCAGGAACCTCAGAGTAAACAGGGAACAAGCTCATCCTTCCTTTCTAGAAGCAATTACCGCGCCCAGACTAAGCAAGACACCAAGATTATCGGCTCTGGCAATCCAAGCATCCAGCCTTAGTTGGTTTGCCCCTACGTCCCTTTCTTTGTAGGCATCGATAAGATCTCCAAAGCTTTCCAGTTCCGTTCGCTGCATGTTCTTGTACACTTCATACTCTGACTGCCAAGCCAAACGCGTTCTTGCTTCCCAAAGTGACTTGGAAGAACAGAGGGGAAGATTTCGGAAATCCTCAAATGCATCGCATGGTACACCAATCTTGATGCGAACCGTTTGAGCGATCAAGAACCACACCAAAACTGTTCTATCAGGCCACTGTTAGTAGGGTGTCAAATAGACATTGGACAGTGGATATCATAGATCACCTTCTTCTTGATTCGGCAAACACCCAATCTTCCCAGCTAAAGCTTGGATACATTCTTTCGTCCTGGCAAAATGGTTCATTGCACAGCTCTCTGAAGCTCTCACAAAGTGCCTGTCTCAATTAGACATTGTACCAGCACGGGTAAGAGATGGGTTACCTGGAAAGTGATTATCATTTCGAGATTCAAGTCTTGTTCGAATTTTGAGTTGTCAGTTACTTTCATAATGATGTAAATGATCTGAGCTTGCACAGCTGCAAGCAAGCCATCCCTTGAGAACTGGCGCTTATCTTGCTGTTCAGAGAATTAGCCGTGGTCTCGTCTAGTTTGATACTGTCAGAAAGTGCTCATATGTGCTGGAGTTGGACTGGAAACCTCAGATTGATAGGCTGTCAGACATCTAAGCATATGGACTTGGAATCGAACCTTTTCAATGAAGGAGCGTTGCTCCGTCTTGACTGTTCGCCACAGAAATGGCTTGCTCTCGGGATTGTGAGCAGCAAAAACCTGTGCTAGCCCCATACAGTTGACCAATGGCTCAGGCAAAGCGAGGCCTGTGGTACCTGAGGGACGATACCAGTGCCCATGTATGAAAGCAGGGAGAGTCTCCCTGCGAAGCATCATCTGTGGGAAAGCACGAAGCATCTGTATGAGCATGTTTGCTGTGAATTGCAAGACCGGGTCCGATGTCGGGACTGGAGACAAATATTCCGAATATGGTCGCTCAGAGGGATCTGAGTGTCCGGAAAGGATGAGTGCATATTCGTCTCGGTGGGTCCATGTAGACCATGGAAGTTCGGGTAGACTATCCTTAGGAAGTTCCAAGTCAGCAGCAGTGAGCCCAAGTGTATTCCAGTCCATGTCAACTCGCAATTGCGATTCATCCGTGTCGATTGCTCCGCCAGGTGTGAACATATGATTCAAGTTGAAGTCACATCCCGGCAAAGACGTCGGAGGGAAGTCTGAAGTATCGATCTGGGCTTGGTCTTCCCCGTCCACTTGGGCTGTACTTGTGGAAGCAGACACTTTTGTGTCGTACACACAATCAAGGTCTCTTTTCGTACATCGCAAACATGGAGAGTGGAAGTTGCATTTCGTCTTGGCTAGACTACACGCTCGGCATGATCTTACACGAGTGCGAGGACGAGTTTGGGTACGGCGACAGTATGAGATGTGTCGGTTATACGATGTCTCTAGCACTCGATTGTTAACCTTTCATCCTAATAGGGAAGTATGAAATCAACCTTTCAAGAATGGTTTATGACAGATTCCGCAGAGTCGCATCGTTCCAGACGATGAACCTTCAAGGGACGTCCACGACTCGGACGGTTGCCCAGAGTTCATGGCTTCAACTTTACATGGACGACAATTTTATTCTAGTTAATGAAGCATATAATCTCTGTTTGATTTCAGACGAGTTCTTCTCTGTGCATTCCTCCTGAATAGCGGAGTTCCACTTCTCGCTAACAAAGTGGAGCCGGCGAAATTGGCCGTGATTATGTGATTATATATCACGGACTAACCTTCTTTCAACGCATACCATGTTGAGACGAACCTAAGAGACAGTGGGTCGTGATATGGCTGAAAGAGATTGCGTTGCGGGTATTGATTGTCCTTTTGTGCTGCTTTTGCTACCGAAAAATGATTTTACCCGCGAAAAGCTGTTTGCTGTGCCCGATCTTTCAAAGTCCGAAAGGTTTTATCATCCATAGGGGGGATTATCACCAAAAATGCATGTATATCAGCGAAAGTTCTTTGCCCTCACTATGCTCTGTCTCTTGATTCCCGAAGTTTCATCACGGCAGGTGGGAGCTACAGTTGGCCAAATTGGCCGTGGATTTGCTTGTCAATGCAACATCACAGATAGTAATTCTGATAGATCGAAGTCAACTTAGGTCTGTCTTTAAATCCCATGTCATGGCGCGCTGTGATTCAATTCCAGCACACTAAGGAACATTCATGCACTCCTTCAACAGCTGCCTTTAGCAAGATCACCAGTCCTATTTTCTCCTCATTCCATTTTCCTTCCGTGCCGGCCCACCCAATCTGCCATGAATCCCACCAAGGATGTCGAAGATGGTGTCTTTCCAAACTCAAGGAATCACTCTGGCGAAAGCGTCAAAGAATCCAAACACAGCCCCGAAGAGTCTTTACAACAGAACGAAGACAACAGCCCGAGGACCGTAAATGGATTCAAATGGGTCCTAGTCTGCATCTCTCTCTATACCGGGGCCCTCATCTATGGTCTCGATTCTACAATCGCTGCAGACATCCAATCGGCTATCGTCGAACGATTCGACAATGTTGAACGTCTCACTTGGGTTGGTACCGGATTCCCTCTGGGCTCTGTATGTGCGATATTGCCTGCGTAAGATCCTGTTTCCTCTGGTGTGAATCCAAAGCTGATTTTTCTCTCTTGCAGGGCTGCCCTTTATGATAATTTTGACCTCAAGATTCTCTTCATCTCGAGTATCCTTCTCTTCGAAGTCGGGTCTGTGGTATGTGGTGCAGCTCCTAGCATGGATAGCCTTATTGTCGGCAGAATGATTGCTGGCGTTGGTGGGACTGGCATCTTCCTCGGGTATGTTGGTCAAAAATCTCGTCCGAGTGCTTCTAACATAGTTCCAGTACTCTCAACTATTTCTCCCTCTGCACTTCCGAAAAAGAACGTGGCCGCTACATCTCGGGAATTGGTGTGGTCTGGGGAACAGGTGCCGTTCTTGGTCCTGTAGTTGGAGGGGCTTTCTCTACATCTTCTGCGACTTGGAGGTGGGCATTCTATATTAATCTGTGAGTTACTGACAAATTAGACACTTACCCTATTGCTTACTGATGCTGTCAGTATCATTGCAGCCTTATGTGCACCGGTATACGTCTTCTACCTCCCTCCAGTCAAACCACCAGGCGCTCCAGATCTCTCCGCCCTCAAGAAATTCAAATCTCTGGACTGGGCAGGATTCCTTTGTGCCACTGGAGCTTTGGTATCCTTCACCATGGCCTTGACGTTCGCAGGTTCAATCTGGTCTTGGCACGATGGTCGTACAATCACAACATTCGTCGTTTCAGGAGTGTTATTCATCCTGATGCTTCTCCAGCAGTACTTTGTCCTGTTCACTACCCTTGAAGAGCAGATGTTTCCCCCAAAACACATTCTGAAGGATAGGACGCTGGTGCTACTAAACCTCACCATGGCTGCTGCTGTGGCTAACATATATGTTCCGGTATATTACATTCCCCTCTGGTTCGCCTTTGTGCATGGTGACTCGGCACTCATGGCTGCCGTCCGCTTACTACCCTACATCACCTTCCTAGCTGCCATGAACATGGCCTCCGGGGCTCTCTTCCCAAGAATAAACTACTAGTAATGCCTCCCCCTCCCCTCACTTCCACCTCCACACACTAATTGCTTCCTTAGCTGGGCAGTATACCTCGTCGGCGGAATCCTCATGACAACGGGCAGCGCCACAATGTTCACCGTCACCACCTCAACCCCCATCCCGAACATCTACGGCTACAGCATCATCCTCGGCGCCGGTACGGGACTAGTCTTCAACGCCGGCTACACCGTCGGCGGCGTCACGACCATGACGCGCACGGGTTCGGGGCTCGACGTCCAACGCGCTATCTCGATGCTCAATCTTTCGCAGCTGGGGTTCCAGCTGGGGAGTCTATTGATAGGCGGGCAGATCTTCCAGAGTGTTGCGATGAGGAACCTAGGTCGTGTGTTGCGAGGCTTGGGGTTCTCTCAGGATGATATCAGGAGTGCAGTTGCGGGGACGCAGAGTAGTTTGTTTAGGTCTTTGAGTCCGGGCTTGCAGAGAGAGGCGACGAGGGCGATTACGGATGCTATGAGTCGGGTTTATATCATTAGTATTTCTGCCGCTGCAATTACGGTGATTTGTGCATTGTTGATGAAGAAGGAGAGGCTCTTCGCTGTGGGAGGACCGGCTGTTGTTATTGCTGGTGGGGCTTGAATTTGGTTCTAAAATGTGGCTCTGGATCGGAGGCACTAGTCTGAGACCTCGAGTCGATATCGTCGCAGATATCCAAGCCGCTGTCGACGAACGTTCCTAAGTCCTGGTATGCGATCAATTGCACCGAAATCTCTGAAATGGAAGTGACGTTTGGGTCATGACGGAAGCCATTTGATCCTGGTCCTTTACTTAAACCTTTGTGCTGTGCACCCCCCTGATCATATGTTAGCTTGCTAGGAATATGGAGGCATGCTGCTTCAGTTTGAAGAGAGTGTATAGATAGAATCTGTCTCAAGATCAGAAGTCTGTCTGCAGTTGAGTACTTTGAAGCAGCATAAGTTCTTCTCTTCTTTAAGACAATGTGGGATAAACGAGTAGCAAGAAACAGACATATGATCAAGAGAGTCCACTGAAGCGGTGTACTTAAACCTTTGTACCATCCACTTGGCTTTTGACTTATTTAAACTCTCACAAATCCTAGGACAGAATTACTTAACTTTCAGCCTGAACGGGAATGAAATCTTTCCTGGTTGCGACGAGTGCAGCTCTTTGTATCTTTGTAAAGAGTATCCGTGTCGTGGCTTCGCGTGCAACACACTCGATCAAAAAGCATTTGCATTAGAGTCTCACGGCTTAAGAACTCAACAGGCAGCCGTCATCCCCGCTACACTTGCTAAAGTTTTGAGAAGATCCAGTCACTGGAATCATTCGGCCTCAGGACAGTATCGGTTGAAAAGAGGAACCTTTTCGTCCGTGGAGCGCTGATCTACGACAGCATCTCTCAAGACGAAGCTTTCCAGACTTCCGGACTGGACTTGCCATCAAGCACGCGACCCTCCAAGAGCTGATCGAAAAGCTGACACCAGACTCGTATTGTTGTGTTGATTCATGTCGTGAAAGCAAAGTTTGGATGGGCTTGTAGTCCCGAACCTTGATGCAACCTTAAGCAAAGGTAATCTTACATGGCTAGGACTTAGGACCAACGATTTTGCAAGAAGTTTGATTCGAACTCGAATCTGATTAAACCTCCATCGCAGCCCTGCCTAGGAATACTACCTGCTGCCGAAATCGTGGCTCTAATTCCCGACGCCTGGAGTTCTGTCCAATGGATCTATGAATAGCACCATGTGATTGCCAGAGCACGGTGAGTATGCTCCGGCACGGACCATTCTGACCGTCGTTGTACATCGAAAGAGAAACATCGCAGTAACTAAGCATCACCTGAACGTGAGTTGGGCATCAGAACAGTGGGAATGCGCCGAGAAGCATGAGACGTGGAGAATGCAACACTTGACCTCCCCAATTTTTCTCCGGTATGCGATTGATCCATTCCTTGCTTTCGACTCGCCTTGCAGACTGGCGGAGCTCCTGCTCCTGGTCCTTCGGTGAGAGAAAGTGACGATCCCCTCACCAGAAGATGGAAGGAAGCCCGAGCATTCTGCCAAGGTAGCGTAGCCTTATGCGAAGTCAGCAAGATGACTTGCCCATCTTTGAACTACCAAAAAAAGGAGCTCGAGCCTTGCGAACTTGAGAATACCCGAATTACTTTTGTTCGGAGGACTTTCCATGTCCAGTAATTCTGATGCCCGAAAGATCATCATCATGAGAGAAGATTTCTTTTTTGTCACGACTCGCACGGGCGTTGAGGGGTAGACCGTAAGAAAAGGAAAAGATCCAACGGGGATTCGAGCATAAAACTCAAAAAGAAGAAAAGGGGTCTCCACACCAAGCACGGTTTCTTGTTGCTTGAAACGAAGCGTGGCCGCGGGATGGCGCTGCCGAGGAGTGGGAACTCTTGTCGGAAGCCATGCACCAAAGATGCCGAACTGAAGGATTGAAACAGTCAGTAGAGATAGAGGAGAATTATGACGATCGTTTCACCGTCTATAATGCAGCCCCGCCTCTTTCATCTGAAGAAACTTTTTCTGGCAGTATTTAGGGTCTCTTTTCGGTGATGAAGAACGCCCCTTGATATATTATTTGAACTCAAGCTTTACAGCCAAGAGAAGTTATTGCAAGATCATGACATTTGCAACTCTGAAGAAAGATGTCGAAATTTGCACCTGCAGTAGATTTTTCCCAATCTCTTACGGCGGTCGCCAGCATACCGAGGGAAGTCGGTAACCGTGACCAAGGAGCTGCCAACAAGCAAGGCTGATCAAACCGATGATCCTCATCATCACGCAGGTCCTACATCATTTTCTTACTCATGTTCACGACGACTCGTTAACTCTTGACAGGTCGACAACCCATCTGCCTTGTTCCTGACGATGATAATATATGTAAATGGCAAGGATGGAAAGGCTGAAATTGAGGCAAAGGAAATCCTCCACCGCCAGTTGTCAGAGAAGATAATAATGGAGGCAGTAATTTATGAAGAATCCCATGATTGACCCTCGGGCCAAAACTTGGAAATGTAGATTTCTGCCTCCGGCATGGTACTCCTGCCATCCTCATAGGCCGCTGGGTCTCCAGCACGGACAAACAGCCAGTCCCAGATGTAGAAATAATCAAACAGATCAACGGTAGAAGATGGAAGGTGGGGAACGCATGATGAGGGGCCCAACGCTGCTTCACGCTCCTCATTCGTCTTCAAAGAGGCTGGCGACTGACGAGTGATGGAAGATTTAGAGACACTTGTCAGGATGAGGAATGAGTTCATGAAGCTACTGTAACCAGAGCCTTTTTCCTTTCTTTCTGCTGCCCTCAGGCATCTGGTGCAGCGGGTGGCACGGTGTGGTGCATATCATCTCTCTCTCGTTTCAGAGATTGGCTCCCGAGTTTCTGGTGTGAGGCAAAGTGGTAATTGTGTGCGTTGATCGTGCAACGGGCTTCCTCGCTGAGATGGGGTGGGTTGTGTGGGTTGGGGGGAACGGGTATGGCGTTGGCAGATCTTCACGAGGTGAGGCAAAGTGATGTCAGTGACGTGGGTCCCTGTCTCGGTGGCATTGCCGGGTAGGCGCTGGAAGAAATGGGTCCTCGCAGCAGCAACGAAAATAATAATCTTCAAGAATGGACATGAACGCAGCCAAGGGTGGGATGAAAGGAGAAGAAAAGAGAGAAAGAAAAGGCGAGAATTGAAGCTTATTGAGGGCAGATTCAATAGATGTTTGCTAGACAGATACAGTAGTCTATTATGCAACTACAAGCCCAAGTACAAGGAAAGAGGTCACATGTGGCTTCAGCTGCAGTGTCGATGCCCCTGAAAGTCTAATTGAAGGCACGAACTAGGAGTCTCCCCAATCGCTGGGACTTCACCAGCTCGCCAGCATCATACTGGGAGACAGCCAGCCTCACGATGACCGGTAGCAAGGAGAGCAAGGTGTGCGTTGAGACTCTCCGCCGCACGAGAGACCAATCGTATCGGCTGGGGAAGAGGAAGAGGAGTGAAAGTATATGTCAATCCAATTATGACCATAAAACCGTAACCTCAGACAGAGATCACCATCGGCATGGGGCCAGGGCATCCTTAAGAGGGAATCCTATCCATACCAAAGGACAGCGTTGGTCCGTAGAAGAGGCGCCGGGGAGCATCATCAGCGTCACCGTGACCATGTTTCTCTCAAATCCAACTGTCACACAAACCCACTGCCCCCAAGCAAAGCCAACCCCCCCACCAACCGTCACCGTCGCCCGCCGGCAACATTTTCGGACGTCCCAGGGTTGTGTGTGGAGCAAAAGGAGATCGACGCCTTCTCAATCCCATCCCTGCACGCACGACTGCGAGTCTGCAATCCACTGCAACTTGTGCCACCGCGCGCAATATCAGGGTCCACACCCCCAACCACACATCCACTCACTGCTCTAAACCGCTTCCCAAGAAAGAGAAGACGAGGAATAGAACCAGGAGTCAAGCGCAAATACGGTTAAAGGCATACCACCACACATTACACTACACAGGATATTCGATAATTTACCTGGGTTCCACTACTACTCCCAACTCCTCATCCTCGAAGCAAGCCACCATCTGCCTCTTCTCCATCCGCATGCAGGTAGGCGATGCAATTGTTCCCGTAGCTCGAGTCCCTTCTTTCTGAGCCTCCCACCACACACCCTCGAAAATTCCTCAAGTCTCTCACCGAAGAGAACGGCACAGCACGAGTTGTATCAACCTCTGGTATCTCGACTTGAGAGACAGACACTACCTACATACACTCACTGCCCAGAAAGCAGTCGAGTCTCCTTCATACACACATCCAACTCTCCATAATGTCGACACCACAACCACCTACGACGCTCCCCTCCTCCACATCCGACATATCCATAACCAACTCATCATCATCCTCAGTCCACGAAGACAACCCCAACAGCCTCCAACCCAAACGCCCACGCCTCCACTCGCGGAAATCAAGTGGCACGATAATAGTACCGCGAGAGCACCCAAAGGTGGAACTAAACGAAGACGACGAGGAGTTCGACGAGGATGATGCCCGAGCCATGAGTCCGAGACGGAGCAGTCAAGACCTGGAGAAGATGAGCGAAGAAGCCCGAGAACAACTGAACGAGTACGTTACCTGCTCATCAAATCCCAATTATATATGCTAACAAGCCTTTCTTTCCCAACAGACACGCAAAAACCCTCCAAATCTCCCTCCTAGAAATCTTCAACCGCATCGAAGCCGTAAAAGAAGAACACGACAAGCTAGACAACAACAACAAGTTCCTGCAAAAATACATCGGCGACCTGATGTCCACGTCGAAGATAACATCCACCGGCGCCTCGGGCCGGAAGAAGTAATCCTTCTCTTTTCTCCTCCAACACCCACCTTGTACACACAAACACACATACACATATATACGGGCGGCGGCACGATTTTGATTTTTGAAAGTTGCGACACGAAAGACTGACTGAACGGCATTGCGGAGGCGTAAAACGATTTTGATTGATGAAAGAGAAAAAAACCTTTGACGTTCTTTTCATCATCTTTTTCTGGGTTAATGATTAGGGAGGTTACTATACGGCCATGGGTTTTTTTCTGGTTTGGATTTGCTACCAATGGATCGCATGGCATAGAGCGTCGGCGTCTATTTCTTCAATCTTTTATTGTTCTGTCGACCCACGCAGTTCGAATCATACCCGCTCGATGCAACCATCTCAAGACACAACACGGACACAATCACAGTAGAAAACCGGAGCATTCAGAAAAAGGAGTGGTTCTGATACTAGGTTAAGGAAGTTACAGGTGTCAATTGAGAGGGATGTACAATAGTTTTCTAATGATAAAGGTTTTATGACCAAGTTCTGCTTTCGAGGTAGAATGAGTGACTTCGACGACATATCGTCCAACAATAACCCGACAGACCATTACTTGATACCGTATCATGTATGTATCCCTCCTCTTGACCCATAGACAGTATAGGAAAGAATGATGTACTCAACGCAAATCATATCGAGGAAGGAAGACGAATGAATCGCAGCCCATCATTCATAGAAAATCACGTCGAGATGGTCTCGACTCCGCTGTAGACTCTCCTCTCGTTCTCCTTATCATCCTGTTTGACGCTACCACGAGATGCCTTTCTGAGAGAAGGAGAGGTACGTGGCTCATCCTCATCGTCAATAACCTTAGCGGATGCGGGAGTGACAACACGGGATCGCTTGGTTCCAGCACTGTTAGTTGTGACGAAAGTCTGAGAGACCACTCTGACTCCATTCTCGTTGGCCGTAGCATTAGGCTCAGGTCCAAGAGGGGAGTCCTGCATATTCTCTTTCCTGCCCTTGATACCGCTTATAGCGATTGGCTTTAGCGTCAGGGTAGGAGTTTGGCCTTCTGAGTCAGGCGCAGACTTAGCTGCCATAAGAGCAGTTCCAAGTGCAGCTCTAAGATTTCTCTCGATGGAGTCGCTGTCAACTCGGTCACCAGCTCCAGACGTTGACGATTTGCGTGATACTGCAGCATTTGCTGTAGTTGGTGCGGTTACCGGGGTTCCTGCTCCTGTCTTTGGGGTGTTGGAAGGTGCCTTAGGGCCCATGGCTTCAATCAGGGACTCGTATATTCCAGGATTCTGTTCGGTCTCAAATACTGGATTGGTAGCCTCTGTGCCTTGCATTGGATCGGAAACTTGACGGCTGCTACTTCCACGGGTTGTTGCATAGTCAGGCATTGAGACATCTGCAGATGATCGTTGGCGCCAGTGAGTGAAAGAGGGCGGCATCGATTCGGACCGGTCAGTAAAGGGGTCGAAAGCAGGTTGTCTCTGGAACAATGGAGGGTTGGGAGGTTGCATCGATCCGAAGCCTGGTGGTGGGAATGGAACACCTGGAGGTGGGAATGGAGCTCTTGTTGCTGTATTTTGTCGGGGAGAATGGCTGTGAGCTTCGACACCATCGACTTCACGTCTTGGTGAAAGCTGTTGTGCTAGATACGGTCCCATAATAGACACTTGACGCCACATGCTCGAATTTGGCCAAGCGATTGAGGATGCCTCGAGAACATCTGCATAAGCTAACGTTAGCATAGGAATCTAGACGTATGATAGATGTTTAATTGCTGGCTCATCAACGTACCTAGAGGGGCATGCTGGAAAGAGAATGAGATAATGTTCTTGATGCGTTCGAAAGGATATGTTAATCCCTCTCGCGAGAAGCCCTCCGAGATCACAATTTTAAGACGACCGAGGTCGTCCGCAGGATTCCAGTAACTTTGTGAAAGCAGCTCACGATGAAATGCTGGAAATTTTAGTCTTTCAAAATCACCATGTTTGTCCAAATCTAAAATGTATCAGTGTTATGTTGACCCAGCTGAAGTATTGTGGCAATACCAATGCTTAAATCAATAACCGTGGGCCAAGGTCCATTTTGACCAAACCATTTCGAGCTGTAGGGTGTCAATTGTGTCGCAGTTACAGCGGTAGTCTCAAAGCACTCACGCTGCCATCTTTCCATCAATGAATAAGCGAGCTTCAAAGAGAACAATGTCCGAGGGCTTTCTCAAGTCCTTCAAGACTCGACTAATCTCCGGATTCTGCCAGCAATGAATAGAGACACGAAATGGGGTTCCAGCAGGAAGACCCGGAATGAATGATGTGATGGTAGGAAGCAATTGTGGGTTGAATTGCAAGTTATTAGATTCTGATCTGAAGTCAGTGAGGTGTCCCAAATGACTCTTCCAGAGTTCTTGGTAACTCACCTGGATCTTGAATGACTTGGCAGGATGTTTTGAACTCCTGGAGAGGGATCTTGCTTGGATCTGGGAACACAAGAACATCCCAGTTCTGGTACCGCATCTTGGGTAGTCGATTGAAGTAACTCGACTTAAGAGAGCCCAAATGTTTGATAGGACGTAAAGTTGCGAGCGCCCCTTTACGGAAAACCAAAGCGTCACGTACAGAGGAACGAAGAGGGTTCCAATTGTGAGAAGAATAGAACTGGAGATGTGGAGATGTGAGGCAGGTGTGAGGCTGGTTGTCTTTGAGGGAAGGAGCAAGGTAGTATTGCCGAAAGGGGAAAGCGAAACCTGCTACCCAAGGAACACCAACAACTAGTTTGTACGAAGAAAATCAACATTTCTATGAATTTTGGGGCATTCCTTCTGCAATCAGTTCAGAAGCAATACAAAATCTGATGATCTGAGCTCATATCTACTACCATTTGCAAATAGTCCAATCTGAACGACGCTTGGAATTCATCACCTATACATAGCCATTCAGAAACTCGATATTCAGCGTAGCTTTGCTTTACTCTGATATTGAACGCCGCTCCCACGTCATAAACAGCACTTGGTGTTTGGTTCGCGTGCTTGACAAATTAAAATGCCAAAAGCTCCTAGACTTGTGTGCTCCTATGTACAGCTTCGCTATCCTTCATCTATTCATCACCAGGAGCTCTCGCCTAGGAACAATTAGTGATAAGTTGGACAGAACGCTTCACAAACTCACCCTGACAGCGTTTGGTCCACCCAACTCCCTCTCTAATCCGCCTTCGAATTCCCTCGGTGCAGACTGCTTGTCTGGATAGTTCAATGCAACCACGCTGCAAAGTCCAAATACAGCTACAACGAAACAACCCATTTGGAAGAGACCTTTGCCCGGCGTGGTGTGAGTGTATTCCTCGGGTGAGAACATGCCCAGAATATCATTGTCCTCGTGTACTGGCTCCCCATAATTCCGTCGTTCTTGCTTGTCCCACCAGTCTGCATGAGGATCACGGAATTGGCGTTTGACTGGAGGAGGATTGATATAGCCTCCGTTCTACATGCAATCGGTCAGATCGTGCTCGAGAGAAGATGTACATATACGAACCATTCCAGGATCCTCGGCATCAGTCTGCAGATGCTACGTCAGTGAACGATCTATACCTCTAGAGGGATCTGCTACTAACCAGTGAAGGGTAATCAGGTCCAGAAGATGTAGCTTGTGCAGCCCCTCGTTGCTGAATGAGAGCTGTTCGTCGAGCAATCGGCAAGACAGCTCGGAGCGGGCGTGCTGTCGCAATTCGTCGGGAAAGCATCTGCGAGGAGTGTTAGACTAATAAAGAATGTTGGTTCAGGGTTACGCGGGAGTTGCACCTTTGCTGTCGCCGAGAATGGTCAATTGAATTGAAGTCACTCTCTCGTTCAAGCTCGTATGCAGTCGGGAGTCGAGATACAGAAGCACATTAGCGAGTGCCTCATTGATGCCTTACAATTCAGACAGCAACGTGTGTTTAGAATGAAGCGAGCTGTGATTATCACTCTTTGGTGCTCAGCCCCTGTACTTTCCCAGCTAATGATGATAAATCTCTCCCCTAGCTCTTAACTCTCACACCACTCTAGAACTAGACTACTCCAACCCTGCCGGAAAGAAAATCACTATTGACAACATCAGAATCCCACGTTTTTGTCAACAGGCGGCGACACAGAACCTCTGGACATGCGCGGATCACTTTTTAGAGATCCTGAGACCATTACGCATCTTCCGAAGTAATTTTTGTCGACCCAAATGTTATGAATATCAAATACACGATAGTGCCTTGCCCCCTCTCACGAAATTATGACACAGACCGCGTCGAATACGCCAGAAGACCAAAAAATATATGGTATGCTTCGTTCTGTGAAGCTGTTCGCAACAACATAACTGATCCAATATTGCAACTAGATATACCTTTAGACGAGGACGACGTGCCAAAATCGAATGGACATCACGACGAGAATACGGCGGAAGGGGAGCCTCCCAGCAAGAGGCGTCGAGTCAGCGAGAGCGTGCCGCCTTCGAAACGGAAACCCGAATCGCCACCTTGGAAGAAAGCCGTTGCAGAGGGGCCTTCTTCATTCACACAAAATGGCAGAAGGAAATCGGGGCGCGTGAACGATATACCCCTCGAGCTACAACCGCCGTCGAACAAGAGACAAACAAGAGGCGCGGTTCAGAAAACCTACTCGGCCAAAAGCAAAAATGTTAACGTGAACGGACACACCACACCGTTTCAGGGACGGAAAATACCTGCTACGTTAGTCACTGGATCCAAGAAACCTGCCGCTGCTACGAATTCTTCCCAGCAATCTCTGAGATCCCCAGCCAAACCAACATCTCCCAAGCGGCCCTATCGAAAGTCTATGCCTAGCGAACAACCAGCGACTCCTGTGCGCTCGAATGCCAAGTCATCTACGCCGAAGAATCCCCAATCAGCCCCTCCAGTACCAGCTCGTCAACCTAAAGCTCGACGTTCAGGCAGGGTTACCGAGATAGTTGACGATGAGGAGCAACCACGTCCACAGCTACCCAAACTTGACAGCCCACATGCTCCAAGTCCCAAGTCGGCGCTTGCTAGAATCAAATTTCGTGTCAAACCTCCATCTTTACCACTGATTCATCCGGGGTTAGTTTTGCCCCGACCGCGACAATACGCCACTTTAGAAGAGTTCTTCGAAAAGGGTGCAGACTTACACGTCGACCAGGGTGGTCTTTTCCACCCAGATGAGCCGCCGGAGTATACTCCTGAGCAATTAGCGATCGATGTCAATGTTATTCTGCGTGCAGAGAAGGCTGCAGAGCCTGGTGGAGTTCTGAGTCCCGGTATAAGCACTGCCTACCAACCCGAGGAGTCGGAGCCGATTCCACCACAATATGCCCATCAGGACCACATGGTTAGAGCGACTTTAGAATTCCGGAGGTTGATGCAGATAGAACAAAGAAAGCATCGAGCAGCAGCCAAGCGACTAGCAGAAGCATGCCGGGATGAATATCGACGAAGGCAGCCAAAGACGGCCGAGCAACTGGTGGCTGAAGAAAGGGAGGCTAATAAAGCCCGCTACATGGTCGTAGCGAAAACACTGAAAGCTACCTGGGACAATGTGAGAGCCGAAGTGAATCGGCGACGTCTTTTGGAATGGGAAGTGCAAGAGCAAGCGCGGGTGCGGAAGGCTTTGAGCGAGGCTGTTGATATTTCAACGCAGAAGTTACAGGCCCGGAGAGCCCACACGGAAACAGATGACGACTCAGAGGTGTCTGACGAGGATGAGAACTCCGCATCCGGCGAAGATGCGGACTCCGATGGTGAAGATAGGGAAAGCAATATATCTTCTACAGACTCCGAGGTTGATGAAGATCAACCGAAAGCTGATGTGGCAGACGATGAGCACCTTACCGTTGAACAGCTCCGAGAGAAATATGCCGCATTGGAAAACGTTGCCAAGGAATCTCAGGATGAAGCTATGGCCGAAGAGGACGATGAACCAAACACCGATGTCGACCAGTACAGCAACGATGGAGTGCAGGAGACTTTTGACGATAGTGACGAATCTATCGACATGGACGATGACATGGGCTCAAGCGATGAAGATCGAGACAGTGATGAGGACGAGGATATGGACAGCGAGGCAGACGAAGACGACAGCACAGCGCGAGGCATGCTTGGATTCCTAGCACCTTCTGAATTGAAAGATATTGAGCTTGGTCAAGTAGTGCCAGAATCTAACGGCAATGGCGAAGACGAAAACATGGACGAAGAAGATGAAGTCTCTCTGGTACCAGATGGCCTTGGCCCGACCACGCCGATGCCAACTGTTAATGAGGAAGTTGCTCAACACGAAGGCGAGACCGGTGACGCCGAATCTACGGATAAATTACTCTCAGCTAGCTCAGAACATCCTGACATCGAGGAGATTGAAATGAACGAGGATATCGAGACTGCCCCGCCTGAGAATGCTCCATCACCGTCAAAACAGAATGCCCTGGAAGTGTTTAGTCCTGATCACAGCAGTCAGCCCACACCCAGGACGACGGAGACCAAACCCTCTGAAGCGGACTCTGCTTCATCTGTAGATGCTCAGCAAGTCAGTCGACAAGTTACTCAAAGTGCTACACCGCAGCCAGCCAATCAATTGAAAACGCCCGTGCCTTTTCTTCTTCGAGGTACTCTTCGAGAGTATCAGCACTATGGGCTGGACTGGCTTGCTGGCCTCTATGCCAACAATACCAATGGAATTTTAGCAGATGAAATGGGTCTGGGAAAGACGATCCAGACGATAGCTCTTCTAGCTCATCTTGCTTGTGAGCATGAGGCATGGGGTCCGCATTTGGTCATAGTCCCAACAAGTGTCATTCTGAACTGGGAGATGGAGTTCAAGAAGTGGTGTCCGGGTTTCAAGATCTTGACTTATTATGGAACCCAAGAAGAACGGAAGAGAAAGCGACTTGGATGGAAAACCGAAGATGCATGGAACGTATGCATCACATCATATCAGATCATTATTCATGATCAGCAGGTGTTCAAGCGTAGACGATGGCACTATATGATCCTGGACGAAGCACACAACATCAAGAACTTCAATTCTCAACGGTGGCAAGTTATGCTTACATTCAATACCCGAGCACGTCTCCTTTTAACAGGAACACCTCTTCAAAACAACTTGAACGAACTTTGGTCTTTACTTTATTTCCTGATGCCTCCAGACGGAACCACACAAGGAGTTGGAGGTTTTGCGGATCTGAAAGAGTTTCAAGATTGGTTCAAGAAGCCATCAGAGCAAATCCTTGAGCACGGTCGAGAGCATATGGATGATGAAGCACGAGAAATCATCAGCAAGCTCCACAGACTTCTTCGACCCTACCTGCTCAGGCGGTTGAAAGCAGATGTCGAAAAGCAAATGCCAGCTAAATATGAGCACGTCGAGTTTTGTCGCCTTTCCAAGAGGCAGAGAGAGCTCTACGATGGCTTCCTTAGCCGTGGAGACACGAGAGAAACCCTTGCCGGAGGCAACTACCTTTCCATCATCAATTGTTTGATGCAACTAAGGAAGGTTTGCAATCATCCAGATTTGTTTGTTGACCGTCCTATCATGACCTCCTTTCCAATGGAGAAATCGGCCATTGCAGATTTCGAAATCAAAGAATTGCTAGTACGGAGGCGCCTTCTTCGAGAGGACCCCATGACAAAGGCTAGCCTCGAGTTTCTCAATCTAGTTCCAACGAAGCATGAGCGCTTTTCGGCTTCCATGACGGTGAAGAGTGCACAATATTCTGCTCAGCGTCAACTCATGGACATGCGTGAGGCGCAGCGTATTCGAGCTCAAAATGCACTTACACATCTCGATCCGACGACTGCCAAGTCTAATCTAGTCTACTTAGAAAGCGCTTCCAGGTGGGGACGATTCGAAGAGCTTCAGCACACCGTTTATTTGAACGCGCTCCGACGACAACAGAAACCTATGTACGGTACTCAGCTGATTGAACGACTCACACTCGGGGTCAACGACCGTCCTTTACGACCACAGCCAAAGCGGAGAGATCAGATGTTGACTTGGTTGGAAACTAGATCTCCAACCCTAATGGCAATGGTCCCAACAATTTCTTCCAGATCGGAAGCTCTGAACAGTACAATCCGAAAATTCGCCTGTGTCACCCCTCCGGTCATCGCGAGGGACATGAGTACACTGATACTTGGACCGAAAGGAGTTCAGACGGTACAACAGTCTGTTGATAAGTCCGTAATCGATCCATTTCACGAGGCTCGTATGAGATTGTCCATCCAATTCCCTGACAAGCGATTACTTCAGTACGACTGTGGTAAGCTCCAGACTTTAGACAAGCTTCTTCGCAAGCTCCAAGCTGGCGGCCACCGGGCACTTATCTTTACTCAAATGACAAAAGTCTTGGACATCCTCGAGCAGTTCCTCAATATCCACGGCCACAAGTACCTTCGCCTTGACGGAAATACCAAAGTCGAACAGAGGCAGATTCTGACAGATCGTTTCAATAATGATACTCGCATCCTTGCCTTCATTCTGTCTAGCAGATCTGGAGGTTTAGGTATCAATCTGACTGGAGCTGACACTGTAATTTTCTATGATCTCGATTGGAATCCGGCTATGGATAAGCAATGTCAAGATCGTTGTCATCGTATCGGGCAAACTCGAGATGTACATATATATCGATTGGTCTCAGAACACACTATTGAAGCCAATATTTTGCGGAAGGCAAACCAGAAGCGAATGTTGGACGATGTCGTTATTCAAGAAGGAGAATTCACGACGGACTACTTCAACAAAGTTGCTGTTCGTGATGTCCTTGCAGCGGAAAGCGATCCCATGGACGGTGACGCGGTTGCCAATGCTGCTATGGATCGAGTCCTTGGTGGCCCTTCCAACGATACTGAAATGTCACGAGTTCTTGCGCAAGCTGAAGACCGTGAGGACGTTGCAGCTGCAAAGGTGGCTGAGCGTGAGATTGTGCAGACTGATGCAGCAGATTTTGACGAAAACGCTGCGACGGCCACTGCAACTCCTGCCGGCATTGAGACACCACAAGAAGCAGATGCCCAAGGGCCAACCGAGGAGGCCATTGATGTTAACGACGTGCTTGAAATTAAGGAGGAGGATGAGCTAAACGCATGGGGTCAACCTGTTCACTCTACCGACGACTTCATGTTGAACTTCATGACTGCTCAGCTCAAGGACACTCCAATCGAGTTACCCAGGGACAAGAGCAAGAGTAAAAAAGGAAGAGACCACCGATCTCATAGAGCAAGATGATTACTGTCCGAAGCTTTGTAAACTATTATTTTACTTTCAGCGAGCATGTTTGATTAGACGGTTTATGTGTAAATAAGCATGGGACGAAAAGGCGTGAGGACCGGCATCGCATCACGGGAGTTTTGCTGCATGGTTTTGCTGATCGGTTTCTTGGACACTCTGGTAAGAAAAATGAGACGGTGTAGAATACTAATTGCCAGATTACATATGGCTTGTCAAAACAATGTCGGGCCTCATCTCGTCAGATGTGCTGTCCAAAATCTATATCCTCAAAACGTACATTGAACGCAATATTTGAGTGGCGGCTAGCGGACCTAACCCGGACTTTCCGAGCACATCAGAGGAGTTTTTCTCCGCTTTCACAGACCAATTGATAAGCAGCCAATCATTAGCCATCCGCAGTACGCCCGACCATTAATCGTGCATATTTTAGGGCATGGACTTCAACTTTCGCTGACAACGCAGACAAGGCTACCATCACGCCAACCTTGCCATTTATAGGATAACCGGCACGATCATTTTGTTGATATCGCTCTCCGTATGTATTTCACATCTATAAGTATCACACATGTCCCGGATCGTTGCTTTTCGTCTTCCTACATATCTCGTAGTCCCAAAATTGAGACGAAAACCATTCATCGTTCTCGCGGAGCTATCTCCGAATCGTCGAGGCTGACAAAGAGCCTTCCGAGGTTCCCGAAAGAGCTTCAGGTCGTCATAAGCTGACGATCTCGATAACTACGATTGCGATCTTTGTGGTACAGCCTCGCTGTGCGACAGAATACCATTCCGATTTGGCTGACGACGACAAAGTTGGATTGAAGGCAAGAACTACTGTGATATCTATTAGAGTACGAACTTAGTCCGCCAACCGCTCTGGACCGAATAATAAGCTTATATCGCCCAGTTTACAGGTCCATCTCGTACAATGAACATCTCTTATCCTCCGATGCCAGTCGCCAGCTTGCCACCCGTGGTCGAGCAGCTAGGCCATGACTTTGTGAAAGCTGCTGCTTTCCTCCTTATTCCCACGGAACTCTTATACTTCTCTGTATACTTCCACACGAAGGGCTACTACAAAGTCTACCGAAACTTGACTTTCCTCTCAATCGCAGCTTTTTGGATTGCTCCGTATGCAGCCCCAATATCCTGCGGGCCTGCAAGATGTTTGCAGAATTTCGCAAGTAGGTCTCTCGACAAGCGCACTTCCCGGACAGCTTCCACTGACGCTTTCCAGTTGCAATTGGTACAATGAAGCTCTTGGACATTTGGGCGCGCAGACAAAATCTTCCTACTTACACAGCTGGGAGGAGACCGCCGGATTGGAAATTCGCCCTCATAGTTCTTACAGAACTCCGATACGAATCCTTCACTCCCAATCATATCAGGGTGCCAAAGAGCCAAGAAAATTTCAATGAGCCTCTGCAACTTGGAATTCACACACTTGCCTTTGCTTTCCTGCAAGCGTTTCCTCAGAACATTCCGACGATTCTCGCATGGGAAGTCATGCTAGCGATATATATTATCTGGACAAGCATTCAATTGACCGTCCGATACAAGAGTAGTCCAGCGTTGTTTGGGCCGCTGTACTTGGCAGATAGTCTGACTGGGTTTTGGTAATTGACCTGACTTTACTGCACTAGATTGTCTTTGCTAACGCTGGACACTTCAGGTCCGAGACATGGCACAATGCGTTCGCCTCGCCCTGTACTTCTTTAGCATATGCGCCTTTGAGATATGGACTTCCGAAATACGGAATGCCTGTTGTGATAGCACGCTCTTTGGGTGTTCTTGGCGCGTTCACACTTATGGCTCTGTTCCACATGTATGCCTTATACCCAATTCTGGATAGAGAAGGGCTGTATCGCATTGGGGCCTTCTTCCTTATCAATGGTTTGGCCACCGTCGCTGAAGCTGCTGTATGGGGACACAAGAAACATTGGACGAAAGCCGCGTTGGCTTGGGGTTTTCAGACGACTCTGGCGACTTGGACGGCGTCTGGCTTGGACATTCCAAACGGCTTGTCGAGAATTCGATGGAATGAGTTGTGTGATGCCTCGTATTGATGACGGAAAAGGAGATAGTGGTAGTGCTTGAAGGATTTTGAGATACCCTCCTGTTCGCAGGCACGTTTTAACGAATAAAATTATTTCTGACCTCAGATATGCTCAAAATGTGCCTCGGAGAAGTGTGAATGAGTGCTCGAGTGAATAAATTGTGTGAAGATATCTCATTGTCCTAGAGTAGTGATGCCAGGATTTAGATATTAGACTGTCAAAAATGTACTGGGCTATCGAAGCAGGGTGGAGGGGAGGCTGAAAGTAGCAGAATTGAGGGCAGTTTTGCAGCGGAAGAAGAAAAAACGGAGGGTCAAAAAGGGAACAGAGGTCCAGAGTATACAACATGAAATCACTTTAACTAGTGCTGATTTTATGTAAAGGTCGGCTCCCTGACGATAGCTCAAGTCCCCCTTTCCCAAACAGTCATTTAACAAGGCGGTGAAGAGTGGCAGGTATCAACAATAGAGAACGAAATCCGAGAAACACATTAAATATGGCTCTTTCGATCGACAGTTGAGCGACTTCTAACAGCAAGATGATCTTTTCGAAACCTATATGAATCATGGAGGAGACGTCATCCAGCTCTAAAGTCACTGGTATCTGTTCCAAGCATCCTCGCACCCCTCCTCTTGCTAATGCTTGCTTGCAGTCGAGTACTTCGACCCATATGGAGTCTACCAGCTGCTGTCCCCAGGACTCCTTCCGCGATTACCTTTGCGAAATCTACATTGGAATTCCCATTCCGGGCCTTTGCGATCCATATCCACGCTACATATAGACCTCCAACCTTCCGCGCAAGATATCCGCCCGCTGTCGACATTAAACCCAGCTTCAGCCAGCACATCGAGTCTTTCCCGAGTGAAGAGCGAGGACTCGGCAGCAAGTGGTGACGATGGCTTTCGAACGCAAGCATTGAGCCAGCCGGCGGGAGACAGGCCAGCATCTGTATCTGGACCTGTCAAACCAGTGAAAGAACGAAGACACCAGATACCAGGGCTTCGGCAGACCCCATATTTGAAAGTCTTCTTCTTACGATGCGATGATAATGACACGTATAAGAACCAAGCCAGGCGGCAGGTTAGGGAATGGATAAAGGACCATACACCACCAGCTCAAAGCACCTCGAAGAATACTCCGCAGGAAAATCACGACGCCTATGAGTGGTTGATCATACATGTTATTGTCCCAAATACGGCTGCGGCGACACAACCTCGAACAGGTGGGAAAAGCTCCGAGGGCGGCTCAAGTTCTATCTCTGAAAAATCTGGGCCAAGATGGCGTGGTGGAGGATCCTCCACTATTCTGGAGAAATTACGAGCAGATTTCAATGGCACGTCTAAGTCTGCTGTAGACCGAGTAGCTCAGATACGTATCGGGATCAATGATGTGCCATACGATATGCTACCTCGTGTTGTACCAGCAATTCCAGGTTCATACTCCGAGACACCACAAGAGAATGAGAATGCATGGCTGGACTTAGTTTCGAAACTCAAATCACTTATTCTCGCTTCTTTTGATGGGCGTGTAAGCCAGTATGAAGAGGACATCCGGGAGAAAGATGCACAAAGGTCATTACCAGGCTGGAACTTTTGCACATTTTTCGTGCTCAAGGAAGGTCTTGCACGAGGATTCGAAAACGTTGGACTGGTAGAAGACGCTCTTGTAGGATATGATGAGCTGGCGGTCGGGCTTGATGCCATCATCAGAGAACAGTCTTCGACCGGCTCGAGTGTTGCACGTGGTGGTTCTTTCTTGCCGTACACAGAAGATCTCAAGCGGAGGGCAGAAAAGGCTAGAGCTGCCATATTGCGAGACATGGGTGCTGGCGATGCTGCAGAAAGTGACGAACCAATCGACTTACAGTCCACGACCAAGCTTTCGGGCAACGAGGATGATGAGATTCCTCTTAACGCATCAAAGAAACGCTACCGAGAACTGATTCTCGCGAATGATATCTCAATCTTTGATTTCCGCTGCTATCTTTTCGCACGTCAGCTCTCGCTATTATTGCGGCTTGCAAATGCATGGTCATCTCAAGAAGAGTTACTTGCAAAGCTAAAAGAGCAGCGAGAATCAAGTTTGCAAGGCGTTGCTGCTCGTCTCCCTGCTTCTCAGCCGGCTGACGATGCAGAAGTCCTCAATGTTCTTGGAGAGATTTGCAGAAGATCCATGACTTTTGTCTCGTCCATTTCTCGCATCATGAGAGAGGACATCTCGGCATCATTCCAAGCGTCGAATGCAACAGGAGACACACAAGTTGAAATCATTGACCCAATAATGACACAAGTTGTGGACAATATTGTATCTTCGTTTACGTTCGGCATTTCCCAACAGATCCTTGCACAAACTTCCACAAAATCATTGCCCATTCCTCCATCAACGTTAGCGCCTCCGAGCAGCAGAATAGGGCTCGATGGTCAAGAGCCTAAAGCTGCTATACCAGAACCCAAAACAATGATGCATCCCGCCAGGAGTAGCTCCCTTGCTCTTCGATCAAGCTCTCGAGAGCCGCCTAGCCCAGGTCGGTTCCCTGGCGGAAGGAGATCTTCTGTCCCAGAGCAAGGTGCAGCTTCGTCTCCATTTTTGAAAGCAGGGTTAGAACAGCTTGCTGGCCATAGAGCTGAACTCTATGTCCTGTCCAGGAGTATTCTTGAGCAAGTGGGTAAGGAGCGAGGTTGGAGCTCTGGCTGGGCTGAAATGGAAGATCTCCATTCAAGTGGTGGAGGCGAGATGGAAGACATCGATCTCAACCAGGAGCCTGCCACTGTTGAAGCTTCGACACTTTCCAAAATCCCACCTTCATCCTATGGCATCGAGAATAAGCTTCTTCAGACTGCTGTTGATAACAAGGACGATTTTTATCGTCTCTACGAGACTCTGACAGACAAAGCACTACGCCACTTTACGGTTGCAAACCACATACAATCTGTCCAGTCAAATATGGCCGATCTTGCTATCCTGAAGTACCACCTCGGCGACTATGCTGCAGCAGCGTCATACTTTTATCGTATGACACCCTTCTATGGTGAAGGTGGATGGGCACAAGTCGAGCTTTCTATGCTAATCATGTACGCGAAATGTCTACGGGAGCTACAGCGAAAAGAAGAGTATGTCAAAGTAGTCCTGAAGCTGTTATCAAAATCTGCCATGGTGGAGAAGGAGAGATTGCAACGCAAATCCTCCTTCCAGATAGGTTCCAAAAACACATTCAGCCCTGAGGTGTTGCCAACCGAATCCTACTTGTCAGACTTACTGGAGATAACAAAAACTTTGCCTCATGAAGTGCACGTCCCTCTACAGAATTTTTTCGCTCATATTGAGGTTGACAACACAGTTCGATATCATCCTGAGATGGACAGCTTCGGCTTACAGCTACGCCTGCACTATTTGCTTTCAGAGAGTATCACTATCGATAAAGCCAAAGTCAAAATTGTGTCCTTGCTCGGAGAAACCAGTCGAGAGATATGGTTGGAGATGGAAGGTGATACTGTTTTCGGGAAAGGGATGGTCAAATTGGCCGTGAAAAGCAATGTAAGATATCTCCATGTTCACGCGTCCTTATTGTTAATTCATGAATTAAGACTCTCGTTCCCGGGACGTATATCGCCACCCAAATCATCCTTCAATCTAGCAACATCACTCTCCAATACGATCATAACAGCGCCAGCGTCCCATGTACAAAGGCTGGCTCATTCTTCAGAAGTCCAAAGCTTCTGATCTACCACAGGACTAAAGCATTTGACGTGCGGCTGTTCGCATCCAGATACATGCATTTAGATCGTAATCGCTCACTCGAGATCGAGTTATTACCTGGGTGGAATACTGTGGCAAGTGGCGAGATTCATGTCCGAGCAGCAACTGCAGGACTGAGGGTTCAGACGAGCGAAACCAAATTACTTGTCGGATCTTTGGAAATTTTTAAGAAGTCTGAGCCTGGTATTGTTCGCTTCGGTGCGATGGAGCAGCAGTCGAGATCCAGACTAGTCATGCCTTTCAATCTTGAGCATGAGGTCGGCGAGATATCTCTCAAGATAGAGATCACTTACACCACAGAGAAAGGAGTCTTTTTCTTTGCAACTACTCCATCGGTCTCAATCTCGCTCCCACTCGGGGTCAACGTTCAGGACGTCTTCAAGCATAAAGCTCTCTTCTCCAAATTCACCATTTCATCATCTACATCCAGCCCTATCCGTCTGTTGAGCTCCCGCTTGGAGGGCTCAGAGGTGTTTGGTGCCGAAGGCGGAGTTCCAATTTCCAAGCCTTTGGTCGTATTTCCTCGCCAACCTGCGACAATGCTATATAAGATTACAAAGTTGAGATCCCTCTCAAAACCAGAGATTGGTTCACGAAAAGGCCCGAAATCGTCGTTGTCGTTAGTTTTAAATTATACTTGTATAGAGGAGGAGATTGAGAACGCAGTGACCGAAGACCTTTCTCAGTTTCTTGAGAAGAAATCTCTCGACTCTTATGCCCGGCTCATGGTTCCGGTCGTGCTTGCTGAATTACGATCACATCTCTCTTCGTACGATTTTGAGAAAACGGCTATATTGAACGAAATATCAACCTCTATCCTGTCGTCTATCAATTGGCGAGATCACTTTTCAGGTCTCGGTCGCGAACCGGAGTCAAGTAAAGACACAGCATTGGTGATGGAAGAGTGTCTCCACAGCTGGGTTCAGCAGAAGTCCAGTATATCTTTGGCTCAAGTATCTATCGAGGACGAGTCAATGCGGAACAGTCGATCAATTGTCATTCCTGTCGACATACCATCTGTCACGGTTGTTCACACAGCAGACTTCAAGCTGCTCGATCCTCCGCCAGCTGCAACCAACATGGTCATAGCTGCCTCAAACCAGCCTATCTCAGCATCTTTGGACATCAAGTGGACCAGGATTTGGGACACTGAAATCCCTTCAGAAACTGGTGCTGGATCTCAAAACGAGTATATCGAGTTCTTCTACGAAGTCTCAGGGGCGTCAGATACTTGGCTCATCGGCGGAAGAAGGAAAGGTCATTTCAGAATACCGAGGATTCATCAAGAACACGATACCAAGGCGAAGCTATCTTTCCCGGTCGTCCTGATCCCTTTAAGAGAAGGATTTCTTCCATTTCCGAACGTCGATATTAAACCAGCTCATTCTCTCAAGCATGTCGGTTATGCTGAGGACGAGACACCACGTCTGAAGCGACCTGTTGTAACTTGTGAGACGGACTACAAAAATGCTGGAGAGACTTTGAGAGTGATTAGTGATGCACGGAAGACGACTGTTAGCCTTGATGCAAGCGGACCGCAAGGTGGAGCATGGCTGCTTGAGAGTGAACGAAGGAGTCCGGGCAATGGAGGAATTGTCCTAGGTTAATCGTCGCTAAACAGTAGATTGAAAGCCTATCCAGGAGGAAGGGGATGTTAGACTAGGTCCATGCCGGAACTATACCACGCGACTTACGAGGGTCACTTGGGACACGCGTCGTGGCAGCGACTAATTCTCGCAGAGACTTGCCATAAACAATTTCGAGCTCGCCTCGTCTTGATCCTGCAAGATGCACCCAAGATTTGAGAGCAATAGCCAATCATTGTGTTAGCTACAACGATACTTGTGCCAATGTCCAATCTTGGTAACGATTCTGAACTGTGCTTCATACCATCCAACATCCCGCATTTCAGCCCTTAATTCTTGAAAGGACCCTGCTTCTGTTAAAGCAGATCCCCCACATCGAACCCACAGTTGCAATTGAGCTGATAAGCGTTGCGAGACTTGCTCAAAAATTTGGTCTGGATCAGGCATCAAATTTTGGTGGCGTCCAAGGCGACTGCTGATGCTACTGCACCAACATCCAGATCTATCTTCACAACCATAGATATCTTCTTCGCATGCTCTTTCAGAACTTAAATTTTCTCGATAACTTTATTTACGATGATGAAACGTAACAATTAAGAACCAGGATAGCTTTATCGCCCCTTCGGTTCTCTTATCTACGGGGGATTCTTCTCAATGTAGACAATATTTACATTCCCTGAAGCTGACGGGCGAGGCTAGCGCCTTCCGTACCCGCAGACCACGAATGACACCCTTGCGCTACAGTGTACTACTGCAATATGTGCACGCTTGGTCCTGCAAACTTCCCTTCCAGATCTCCAGATTTTTCATTATGGGTTCTCGGCCTCTCCGCTGGATTGGGTACCCAATGATAAGGGATTCATCGATGTTGTTGGTATCGAGTGATCCTGACTGGCGACTTCCGGGATTTGGGTCCTGTTTATAAAGTCTGTACGACCCCGGGAGAGCAAAGAGAGGTCAGATTTCTATACATCATCACGTGTGGGAAAGATGGATATCAAGCACGTTACGGAGGATTATCCGTCGGATGAGAAGGCGGTCCCAAGATACGATGTTTCAACGAGTGAAGATGGGATCATTGTCGAGAATGTCGACGATCTGCAGCGGAAGCTTAGTGGGAGACAAATTCAAATGATCACAATTGGAGGATCGATTGGTACTGCGTTGTTCGTCAGCATCGGATCGGGTCTGATTCAAGGTGGTCCGGGAAGCTTGCTCATTGCTTTTGTTATGTATTGTGTCTGGCTTGCTGCTGTGAATAACTGGTACATCCTTTTCCTCTTTCATTTTCATCCCAACAGAACTAATTCTGTATAGTATGGCTGAGATGGCTGTCTTCATGCCAGTGAGTGGATCCTTCATTCGAATGGGAAGTAAATGGATCGATGAATCTTTTGGGTTCATGCTTGGATGGAACTTTTTCTTGTATGGTCAGTATTCTTTTCGCTCCAGACAAAGTATGGAGCTAATCAAAGAACAGAGGCCGTCTTGATTCCTTGGGAGATCAGTGCTCTCAATCTCGTCTTGACATTCTGGAGAGACGATATCCCACTCGCCGCTGTGTGCGCTGGATGCATCGTTCTCTATGGAATCATCAATCTCTTCGCTGTGAAGTGGTATGGAGAGTCCGAATTCTGGCTTTCGTCTGGAAAACTGGCTCTCATCATCATGCTTTTTTGCTTCACGTTCATCACAATGGTCGGTGGTAACCCCAAGCACGACGCCTACGGTTTCCGATATTGGCGAGAACCGGGAGCATTCGCAGAGTATGTTACGACAGGTACTCTAGGTCGATTTGAAGGTTTCCTCGCTGCCTTGTGGAAAGCTGCCTTCACTATTGTTGGTCCTGAATATATTGCCATGATGGCAGGCGAAGCTTCTCACCCCAGAAAGAACCTAAAGAGAGCTTTCAAGACCATCTACCTTCGATTCGGCCTCTTCTTCATTGGTGGTGCTTTGGCATGCGGCATCGTTATTCCCTATACCGACCCAACGTTGAACAGCATTCTCTCGGGCGACAGCTCTGCGAGTGGAACCGCGGCTTCTAGTCCATACGTGATTGCAATGCAGAATTTGGGTATCGGTGTCCTTCCACATATCACGAATGCCCTACTTGTTACCTCTATCTTCTCTGCTGGAAACTCCTACGTGTAAGTCTCTCTCGGTGTTCCAAGCATGGACCAACCCTGATCACATTGCCACAGATACTGCGCGTCTCGAACCCTCTACAGTCTCTCGCTCGACGGTCACGCTCCACGCTTCCTGCAAAAATGTACTAAGAAAGGTGTCCCAATTTGGTGTTTCTGTGTAACGATGATCTTTCCATTTCTCAGCTTCTTAGCTGTAGGGACTAGTTCAGCACAGGTCATTACTTGGTAAGTTCCTTCTTCCTCCATCCCCTGTCAGAGATTAATCTTTCACTAGGCTAGCAAACTTGACAGAGGCATCTCAGATCATAGACTACATTTGCATGTGTTGGATCTATCTGTATTTCTACCGTGCTCTGAAAGTACAAGGATTTGATCGCAAGGATCTTCCTTATGTAGGATTGGCCCAGCCTTACTGTGCGTGGTTTGGACTTGCGACCATGACTTTCACGGTTATCATGTATGGATATGCGACTTTCTTGCCAGGATGTAAGTTCTGTTCCTCATACTTCTTTCTATCCGAAAAATAGCTGCTGACACTTAGATAGGGTGGGATGTCGGAACCTTTTTCTCATACTATACTATGTGTTTTGTTTGTCCAATCCTCTACGTGGGGTGGAAAGTAGTGAAGAAGACGAAGATGATTCCGCCCGAAGAAGCAGATCTAGTATGTTTCTCAGCCATTCGGAATATTTCGGACGAAAAGCTAATTCTCGACAGGTATGGGAAAGACCTGTCATTGACGCCTATGAAGCCAATACGTTGGAGCCGCATATGACTTTCTGGGAAGAATGCAAGATGATGATGGGTTGGAAGAAGAAGGAAGAGCACATCCATTCAGCTTAGGACGTTCTATACTTGGTAGACACGATTGACGAATCCAAATTTTCGCCTTTTAATTGAAAGAATGATTCGACTAGGAGGTATTGCGATGTGAAAACGAATATCTTACGCAGTTTGATACATCAAAGTCCCCGAGGATTTCTTCTTATGCTGCGCTGTCTAATGCTTAACCAAGAAAAACAGGTCTAACTCTGGTTGCGAGACCTCCAAAACCAATGACCCCAAAACCGTCTATCCAACAAGCAAGCTCAAAACACTTTCTCCATAATCAAACCAGCCCTCAGATGATACTTCCCAGGATCACTTGCCCCTCCATCCGGTGGCAACAAGTCCGTATCCCCATTCGAAAAATACGCCTCAGCCAGCGTCGTACTCCCAGCATCCACAAATCCCAAATCATAATACAGCTTCTTAACCACCACATTGTTCGGATGAATCATAATCCTAATCCTCGTTGAACGTCCCTGTCCACTTTGCAACGCAGCATACTCTGATGCACCGCTAATTAACATCTTCGCAATCCCCTTTCCGCGATGAGCTGGGCTGTTATACACAGCCGTCATCTGCCATCTAGTTTCCACCTCATCATTTCCAATTACTGGTCCTCCGCTTTCTTTTAGCTCGTACATCTCTTTAGGAAAGGGGCCGAGAAGAGTAGCGCTTCCGATCCAATCTCCAGCATCAATTGTTTGTTGCTCGGGAGGCGTTCCTGCTCCATAAGCTACGGCGACAAAGGTATGGACTAGGGGTCTTTTTAGTCGGTTGATCCATTGAGATGAAGTGAAAGCGGACTCGATCTCGAATGTTGAGCTGAAAGCTGTTGCCGAAACGGTGAGGGCTGATAAGCGAAGGGAGGCGAATTTGCCGGCGAGAAAAGGGAGGAGAGTTGCATCTGAAGTTGGTAAATGGTGGATTTTGTAAGTGTAGGAAGACATTTTGATGCCCGAGAAGTGAATGGAACTGAATTATCACTAGAAGTAAAAGTGAGATGCTCGAATTTATTAAGTGGAACCTGCTCAGCCGAGATGCGATTACAGATCCTGGCTTATGGGTTGATTATGAGCAGAATTATGAAGAACTTGAAAGAAATCATAATAACAATTAAAGGAAGACATTCTTTATAGGATTGAATCGCAATGTATTCTGATAGACTACATGATTGACAGAACAGTTGTACGTAAAGAAGTTTTCGCAAAGCTTTTATCCGAGAGCAGCAGATTTGGACCATTTCACCGAGGCGACTGAACGAACCAGCCAATGGCAGCAACCGACGCTGAACCACTTGATCTTGTGTTTTCCCATTAAAATTGCGACCCTCACACGATCTGAACGAAGACAATTAAAACGAGTATGCTTGTTGATGGTTACGAAGCATCGGCACAATGAATGCCCGTCAGTTATGGGTTATGAGACAGGCGAATTGAAATTGATATCCGACCTCCTCTACGATCATCCCGAGGTCAGGAGAACCGGAGATTTCGGGCGTCCCTCTCTTGGATATTCTCTAGAGAGCGAAAGAAGACCATTGTCCGTACAACATCTTATATCGTGTTCGCAAAGAAAGTTTCATCAATCATCAACCATCAATAGCAACAGGCAAGCATTCTTCAAAAAGTCCTCGCCTCCCGCAACTCCTGGCTTGAGGCAGGCCTCATGTCAGACTGGTCTTCCATGTTATGTTCATGCCGCGGCTGTATCGACATATAAGCTCCCATTGGACTTTCGAGCCCCGCGTCTTTGAATGTAAGATGCTTGAGTGGGGTGTCAAACTATGAATCTGTTAGCACGTTCACATTGTATATGCTTGGTGTTGTGTCATACTTCAGATTCTTCTTTTTGCTCATTGTCCGTCCGTTTTTCTTCTACGTGGCTCTTATATATGCTCCAGAAAGTTGTTGGAAGAGAAAATATGCCAATAATCAAAGGAATCAATTGTCCTGCAATGATATCAGACTATGGATTGAAGTTTGGCGATGATCATGTAAATATACCTGTAGTAGAAACATCATTTACACCCTGGATGTCGTTCTTCGCAATAGTCCATTCCAGTGCTACGATGGACCAGAGAATAGAAGTGAGCATGAGAAGAGCACCCAGTATAGTCCAAGATCTGAAACTGTCAGTAAATTCTAATGATCAGTCTATTGGAGCTCTACTCACAGTTGCCTTTCTGAGCTTCGAAGCCAGTCGTTTATTCTATGATACTTGCTTCTGGGCATCCAAGATTGAAATCTTGTCCTTGATGACCCGTCTTTCAGGTCGCTGTACCTCTGCACGGCGACGTACAAGACCAGAATATAGAGAATGAGGATCAGAGGCATGAGTATAATTCCAATGATAGGACTGTCGGTAAAGCTAACAGGATCCGAGAGAGGGAAGAGGAGAGGGCCAACCGGTGGATCCTTGCAAGGAGCGACGAGATCAAAATTCCGATATCCCGAAACGAAGAAGTATATCCCATAGCCCATCATGGCAAGAAACGTGGAATGCACAAATATCTGTCTTACTGCTGTGCTGAACTTTTTCGCTTTGCTGCCCTTCAACCAGTCCTCCGGAAATGAGGCAGTTGTAGTTGCGCTAACGATTGCACCGCCGAAGAACATATAAAGGAGGATAATGGGGACGAAGACAGGTTTTCGATCCGTGGACGTCGTATCGCTAAGTGGACGTTGTTGATTATTCAAAACGATGATTGCGATCACATTGGCGAAGTCGAAGATAGTTTGAGCGTCGCCGACTGCCACACTGCTTGAAGGGTTGAATGTAAAGTCCAAGAAACCAGCGATCCATATCAAGTAGAATCCAATCCGGACGCCAATCCCGTAGAAGTCGGCGTTTCCCACAAACTTACAATCGATTACGGTGTCGTCACGAGCTTCAAGTCTGGCTGCTTGAACCCATTCGTTCCCTTGATTGGTGCCAAGAAGACTTATCTCTGCCTGGCAGAAGACAAATACAGAGAAGATAAAGACAAGCAACAATCGTGAGCGCATTATGGCAAATCGAGGCACTAGTTGTCGAACTTTCACCAGTCTAACAAAGAAACAGAAGAAAGTCTAGGCACTTTTGGAATGTTCGAAGTTGTCCCCACAAATATGGGGACATTCTCATCGTTCAGCTTATATGGCAACAGCCATGATAAGGCTGAGTCTGAGGAGCAAGCAAAGCAAAGTGGCTTTCCAATCGACTTCCTAACCGCCCCCACAAGTTCTTGTGGTGATCACGCACCATGAGCCCCCCGTACTCGCTACCAATTAAATGTGACATCGATGACTCGAAAGAGCTGTAAATCGTCCCGGATCCAGGCAATGTAGCAGAATTGGCCTTCCCGTCCCGCAGCCACATTTATTGTTTGTCTGCTACAGCTGAGCGAATTGCAGACGCACTCAACGCAAGCTGACTTGTCACCAAATGAGAAACAATGCCAAGATATGCAAATCGCTCAATTGATTTGCTGGCGTAAGCCTCACAGGACGACTCGTCAAATCTGATGATGGATACCTGCTGAGTGTTCGAGAACATGGTGTCTTGTTGCGCACGCCTTCTTCACTTGAAAAGTCTAGAACATTGAAGCAAAATCAATGATATTGAAATAGACCAGTGCGCAAGTCGTGACTCAATATCTGGACGCTTTTGTTTTCGCAACATAATATTTGCTAACGTTTCATGTCGTTCAAGAGTTGATGGTGGTGAGAACCCCGCGGCCGCCAAAAGAAGCTTATTTCTTAGTACCGACGCACTATCTCCCCCCTTTTCCAAACTTTGCCTAACGTCAAGTGCCCACTCCTTGCGCCTCAACTGAGAGCGTGTAATATCATTACAAATATACGAAAAAGTGCCCGGTCAGAATTTTTGAAGAGGCTCACCGAGTTTGAATCTTCGTTCCCAATGAGGCTACTCAACACCGCAACAATTGTGGTGCAGGAGTTCAACGATAATAATCTCCCTCCGTATGCCATATTGTCGCAGTACGTTGATTACATCAGATTCTGCTCTTTCCTGAAAGGCATATCAAGTGCCGAGCCCTTCGCATCCTCTTTCGTGTTGCGGCCCCAGGCGCCGGCTCTTTGAGACTCCGATGGAGACATACTGATTTGTCAACAGTAGATGGGAAGATGAGGAAGTTGCGTACCAGGACTTGGCAGGAGATCGAGGTCATACTATGAAAGGATACGCTAAGTTGAAAAACTTTTGTCGCCAAGCCTTGTCAGACAGTTGGCAATGGGTATGGATGGACACTTGTTGCATCGACAAGTCCAGTAGTGCCGAGTTGTCAGAAGCAATCAATTCCATGTACAATTGGTATCGAGACTCTCGTGTTTGCTATGTTTACTTATCCGACGTCCCTCCTGAGGTTGATATGTCGTTCCATATCCAAGAGGACTCACCTTTCCGCAAAAGCCAATGGTTCACTCGGGGCTGGACTTTGCAAGAGCTCCTGGCTCCGAGATATTTGGTGTTCTATGACCGAGAATGGGGTGAGATCGGAACCAAGTCTTGTCTGGAAAGTGTAATAACGTCGATTACTGGCATCGAATTCAAAAACACGAATCTGCATGTATAGCACGGAAAATGTCTTGGGCATCAAATCGTCAAACAACTCGGACTGAAGACATGGCTTGCTCGCTCATGGGAATGTTCGGAGTCAACATGCCGCTACTGTACGGTGAAGGGTCGAGAGCCTTTTGCGACTTCAATTGGAGATCATCAAGAACTCGGATGATGTATCAATTTTTGCCTGGTTCGACGAGAATGATGATTCTACAGGGATGTTGGCACCATTTCCTTCCTGCTTTCGAACCTCTGGGAATGTCAGACTGCTGTACAGTCAGCGCCTCAAGCGGCCATACACAATGACAAATAAAGGCCTCCACATGGTAGCGTTTCTTATCCCGTCATGGATGTTGCAAGTCTCAACCGTCTTCGGATCGGGGAATATTATCGACGAGGGTTTCTACTTGCCCTTGGATTGTGTATGGGCTTCTAATGGCAATCAAGCCATTGTTCTTAGCCTTCAAAAGAAATCTGATGGCCAATTTCTTGTCAGCCATCGAGGAATTACCGCGCTACGAAATGACATAAAGCACTCGATGGAAGCCGAGAATGAACATGAAAAGGTCGATCGATATATATATCCCTCAAGATCTCGGACCCAGATATCACAAAATGGAGTGTAGCTTCGTCATGATCAAACATGATACGGAATTCTTGAAGCAATGGCGTATATCCAAATTTTGGATTGGAAATGGCTGTCGAGAGATGATACCAAAAGGAACGAATACTGTAGTGGAGATTTTGCAGCCTCGCTTTCCTTGTTCGTTGATTGCCACTTTGTACGAAGAACTACCAGGCGACATACCTCCAGATCAGGAGACTACCTTTGTAGTGACCTTGGCATATAGGAATAACAATCTTGGCGTGCGCATTTTTGCGCCTGGAACGAAGGAAGACGGCGAAACTCTATGGCGAAGAGTTAGGCGAGGTATTCTATACAGGGAACCATCATATGATAGACTATCTGAGAGGTTGGAGTCTGGAGAATCAGTATCTGTATCATTGAAACCAAGTGTTGAACCAGGAGGTGGTGCTTCCCTGGGACACTGGTATGTCATGGAAATATCAGTCGACGAACAGGGCCGACTTCGTTGGCCAGTGGAGCCAAAATCAACTTAGTGCACGAGACGAACGAGTCGGAATAGATGGTTCATGGCCATTGTAGAATTGTTTGCCCAGCCACTAGGCACAAGTCGTTTCATTTGATGGCACGGCGGACCAGAAGGATGGTGGAATGAGATGAGAACTTGAAAGATGGCCAATTTGTTTTTGAAGGGGAGGGTTACGATGATCATCAAAGAGGAAAGAGAGATTGACCTGGATGTCAAGGCTTCGATCGGCACGAATGGGTGATGTCAGGAACTACCAGGACTGTCATCAAAGAATTGGTCAACCCCCGAGTACACTCGAAAATTCCCCAGTCTTTTGACTTTCCGAAATTGACTTTCGACAGGAAATTGACAATTCATTGACCATTAGACTTTCAATTATGTGCAGCAAAATATGCTCCAAATCAATGCTCGGGGGGTGGAACAGAAGCATTATTGAGATATTCTATTTCTATTATTTGACATCTTTCAAAACCAAGGCAGACTATACCGCCAAGAGCCAGTCGCTTCTGCGTGTCTATCTGCTCGCAGACTTTCCAATTGCGTTGACGGAAGATATCTTCGCCTGTACCTGGCAAATGAATACGACGTGCCAGCACAGAGTCCTCGCTCAAGGAAAGTGCAGCTCGGGAGTTTCCTTCACGAATCGGGGATAATGCTTTCGCTCGGCTGGTGGACTGGATGGTGTGGATATATGACCAAGTCAGATATCCTGTCATCATCTCTCATGAGGTATGATGGAACTCGTGTCATCAATCCACTATCCCAATTAGCATTTGCAAACTTCTAATGATTTCCAATGTCCCTATCACGGAAGAACACAGTATTAGTCCAAAGAACGAGGACTCACATCAAAAGCCATCTTCAACCCTTGATCACGACAGAACTCCTTCAACTTATTATCGCCAAAGTACACCAAATTCTGTATCAACGCAGCCCGCTGTCTCTCCTTCATCCTCCTCTTGACATTTTCCTCTGCACGTTTTCGTAGCTCGATGCGTCGTTTTGATGGATTGAGCATGTCTGGTCTTCGCAGCGTCTCCGCTAAATCAACGGCGTCGAGAAGTGCGCAATTTGCTCCCTTGCCCAACATTGTAGAAATACTAGTAATATTAGCACAAATATCTCGGCAAAGTTGAAGTATACAATCATACTTAAAAACAGCATCACCCATCAAAGTCACTGAACCTGTATCCCACTTTTTAACAGCCTGACAATCCCTCACAGCGTGGACATACGACGTATTGAGAACACAATGCTCGGCCAGAGCAACGAACTTGGGATCGATTTTCGGATCGGCTTTCACTCTAGCTATGATTTCTGTTTTCAATTCTGCGGAAGAGAGACTGGTGGGCGGTTTGGATTTGTTAATGAATTCGCGGACTGGACCGCCGTGTCCGAACATTATGAAAGATTCTTCGTTGCTGATGTCGAAATCTGAGAAATTAGCTAGTCTCCGGACAAGCATGTGTGTGAGTACATACCATCGAATTTCGTTGCCCACATCTTGCGCGGATTAATCCAAGAGTGAACCATAATATTCTGGTTCTTCTGAGTAAATACCTACTCCTGTTAGTCTCTAGCCTCCTTCGAATAGACCGCAGACATACCATAGAAGCCGAGTTCGTCGGCAACAAATCCTTTGTATCAGGCGTCAATGGAATTTTGAAATAAATAACCGCAAGATCCGTCTCCGTCACCCTCGCCTCAGGTATAAGTTGCCTCCTAACCCTCGACCCCGCACCATCTGCCCCAATAAGTAAATCACACTCATCCGTACTTCTATCCTCGAAATGGATCTTGATTGCGTTACTTCGTAGCCGTTCATAGCGCTGGAAGACTTTTCCAAATTTGACGAAGTCTTCGTACCCATATAGAAGGGCTTTTCTCAATGGCCAGCGGGAGACGGAGAAGGAGTCTCGCATCTCTTCGTTGTCGAAAGTAAACATTTGAGTTCCGGAACTTTTGGTTCTGTCAGCCATTTGTAAAGATTTGCAAGAGGTAGTACATACCTCTTCATGAACTGTAGTTCCTGTCCCCCTTGTGGCTGTATCCCAATGCTGGCGGCAACTCTTGTCCAAACCTCTCTCCTGAGAGTAGCTTGCAGATTCTGCAAGACGAAATAGGAAAGCATAACACGATATCCACACAACCGATCCACAGCTTCGAAACTCCTTTCGTATACCGTCACTTGGACATTCGGCGTGCCATGAAGTAATTGTGCTAAGGTAAGCCCAGCAATACCTCCACCGACGACGCCTATCCGGAGCAGCGGTTCATGATTCTTGACACTGGACGCTGACCACGACGACCAACTCGTAGACGAAGACGACGATTGCGGAGGAGTTGCCATGGTTTCTCTAGATCAAAAAGTCCGACTTTCTGGTAGGAATGCCGAACCAGCAAAACCTCGTATATATCAACACCAACCATCTTTCCAAAAGGAAAATGTCGGCACACTCGCAACATGACACAGAAAAGAAAAAAAGGAATGGACATGGAACATTTATTGGCATTGTACTGCGTACCTTTACCCACCAAATGCATCGCGTGGTAATGAGCTGATGGAACGAACACCTCGAAGCTTTCAATAGGCTATGAGGCACTAGATCGACCCACCTCGACCCCTCCAAGGGAAGGGGCTCCATGGAGCCCTAGCTGTGTTCCTGCAGTCAGCCGTTGAAAGCTGGACCAGGGGCCGACAAAATAACAAAGAAAGCAATACACCCCATGCTCATGACAGGAGATGTGGTTCCTGAACGTCCCGTCATCCATGTACCAGCAATCCCACCGAAAATCGAGTCAATGCGCTCGAGGACTTCTGTTGAACGGAAGGACTTCCCCATTTCGGAATGCTTGTACTTGTTTCAAGAACTGACACAGCCTAGAAAGAAGAAACTCCCGTTTCTGCCACAATGGCAAGTTTACCCCATCTCATGATCTCGAATTTCTGCCAAGCTTGAGAGATGAATCTCGTTTGCATGATGGCTTGTCTATGTGAGACCTCGTGGTCTACTAGGATTAGTAACATGCATCAGCGAGATTGGGTCGGGAGAAGGAGGATTCTGGAACCTCTTCTCTTGCCTGACCCAAGCAGCAATCATCAAACGGCGTGTCACTACTTGCCGACTTGGGGTCGTGCTCAAGATCTCGGCTTGCCTATACGAGAGTGATCAAACGGAACGGTCTCCGTAGCGGTGAGTATAATTCAAGCGGAGTTTAAAAACCCGTCGTGATTAAAAGGTGATAGGATTTCAAGGTTGGTGGTTCGATTATTTTGTGGCTTGACGTTGAGAGCGGAACCAGCCGATGCCAAGCACTTTCGGCTATGTGATCCGAAGGGACATGATTGGAACAATTAATGAACAGAGTATACAGCACCTTGATCCTTTGTCTAGCTCTGTGATTCTCCTGGAATTTGAGGGAAAATCAGATTCTCTAAAAAGTACGTATCAATAATCTCGCTGGGTGCTATATGAGTGGCAAAGTTATAAAGGATCAGAGGCGTCCACTATAGCACGCATCGAATGAATCCAGGAGACAAGTAGTTACAAACATGAACAGGTATCATTAGAAGCTCGCCATAAGCTAGCTGAATCGATGTGAGGCAACCTCTCCACCCCCAAGCCTAATTCCGTGCCAAGCCAAAGCCATACAGCGAGGTTGTGTAATACATACTTCTACCCTATTTTGTGTGTTGAAGAAAACACCTCCCGAGTGACAGCAAAGCAGAAAAGACGCCACTTAGTATACAAAGCCAGATAACAACGCACTGTACCACACGCCGAACATGATCGAGAGGCGAAGAATCACCCCCAAACCCGAAATCCAGATCTCACTGATTCACTGCCGCTTAAAGCGATAAATCCATGTCCTCAAGAGAGGGCGACGAAGCATATCCTTTCGAAAGGGGGTTTCCCTCATCTTCTGCATCGGAGAAATCCTTTGAGGTTGGAATAGTACCGCTCCCGACTGCTGCCGGTTGTTCGTCTTCTTTCTTAGCAACTTTAGCCTCTTCGGAGAGAGCTTGATCTTGATTCTCCAGGATGCTCACGACATCGCTTCGCATCTTGCGCTCCCATTTTGGCATTGTTTGACCTTCTGGCAACGCAGTACCTGCGATTACTTGCATATAATCTCTTTGCATGCTGAGATACACCTCGTCGGCTTGAGTGGCCATCTTGTCCTCGACCTGTTTGGACATGGCGAGAAGAAGCTTCTTCACCTCATTGCAACTCTCGCTAAACATCTCATTTCGCGAGTCATTCACGAAATTGCTCATGAAGCTCTTCATTCGTGCATAACAACCACTACCTGGAAACTATTGTTAGTGAGAGGACGTTGAAAAGGATGAGAGGGTTACCTCTTTCGTTTGTGCAAAACTCATATGCCTCAGCCAAGCTACGGGCAATCACGGGCGTAAACTCGCGGTTCGCATCACGCTGTATCGTAGTAACAAGTTCGGTCATTTGTGTCGCTAAAGCCACAAATAAAGCATCATAATTCTTCAACTGTTGTGATAGAAGCATCAAGCCAGCGGCCCCGGTCCCAGATTTCATGCTTCGCAGCTCGATCTCACGGTGGAAAGCAGCTAACAAGCTCTTTGCTTGTCTCGTGAATGAGGCTAAAAGCCGTGGCATACGCTGCTGGAAGCATCGTTCCCAATGAGAAGCCAATTGTTTGATGATGGGCTCGATTAGGTCTGCGTTGAAGTCATGGGGCCCCTGATCATTGGAGTATACGCCGTTGCGTCTCACGATGGCCTTGTAGCTGGACCAATAATAGCCGCCCATTTTTTGATTTTCACGGTTCACAGGGAGGTGCCATCTGCTAACAGTTTGAGGTGCTTCTTCGACGGCGGAATTGACAAATGAGTCGAAATTCTCAAAAATCTGATCTGACAGAGTCTCGTTCATCTCTTTGAGACAATCCTTCACAGCACCTTCAAGACCTTGCTCGAGACTCTTCAATTTGCTCTTCAGAAAGCGTGTCTCAGCGGCCAGTTGGGCATCTGTCATGTTCATTCCCGTACCATCGTTGGAAGCCCAGAGCCCTAGAGACGTCAACAGCTGACAGAGATTAGTCAAATAAGCGCGACAATTCGATGCTCGGCCAGCTTCTGTCAACTTCTTGCAATGAGCTTGAAGCTGTGGGACTTCAGTCTCTTCTGGGGACCGAAAGCCTGGAACCGCATTGTCGCGCTGAAGACGACCTTGCATCTTCTGGTATGCTCTAGAACTAACGCAGAAGACAGGCAGCGTGCGGGCGACTTCGTCGTAATCTCTCAACTCGTCCTCGGGGTTGAATTGATCCGGATCTTCTTCTTGTGCTGCCTCTTGGTCCAATTCACGAATGCCGTCAGCGAAGTCTCGTTGAATAGCTCCCTTGGAATATTTGTTTCGACCATCGATACAAATAGCGGTCATTGCAGTCTCAATCTCGGTCTGGCTTTTCAGGAGTTCCTTGATCTCTTGATTCTTCTCCTTCAACGTTTTGTCGATGTTACCGCGTTCTCGGCGAGCTTTCTTTTTGTCCTCTTTGAGCATTGTGATCTTAGTATCGATTTCCTCGACTGTAAGAGGGTCACCGCCTTCAGAGGTTGACTCGGAATCGCTCTCATCATCTGATTGTTCGTCCTCCTCCGAATCATCATCGACATGACCGTCGTCTTCATCACTAAGTCAGGTCAGCATCAATGTGAAGCAGGACATATTCAAATCTCGCAGCCGAAAGCGAAAGTCCTGGGCACGCATGGAGATCCACTTACTCAGAATCGGTCTTCTTGGACTTCTTGCGAGATGTCTTCGATTTCTTTGAAGAGCGCTTCCGCTTTTTCGAAACTGTGCCTGGGGCATATACAGTCTCTCCGGCCTCTAAGTCGTCTTTCAACTTCTCCCACTCCTCGATCTTGTCATCGGCATCACCCATGATCTCAGTGTAGACTTCTTTGGACTCTTTCAGATCCTTCACTTCCTGCTTTAAGGATTTTTGCTTTGATTCCAACTCATCAATCTTCTCCCAGTCAGCAGCCATCTCGTCTTCGAGTCCAAGACTATCAGTAGCCTCTATGAGAGAGATATCATCGGTCTTGGAACAGATAAAGGTGATTCGTGAGTATTGTCCATCAAATTTGAGTTGTCTCTTGAATGACTCTCCCAACAGTGACTTTGCAGCTTTGTCGTCAACAGCACGGTTGATCGGAGCCACAATAAACAGACCTGTGTGATCAGTATTAATTTTCGACTTAAAAGAATCGACTCACCTGTGCATTGCTTCATGTAACCAGCTGCAACGGCAGCTCTAGCAGCGTTCGAGTCATGCACACCAGGCAAATCAACGATGACTGCGCCAGTGCTCAAGCAATCGGCCTTGGTGTATATGCGGACAACTTTGATGAGAGGCCAGAACTCCATAGTCTTCTTCACCTTCTCCTTCTTGTCCTTCTTGTCACTGTCCTTGCTCTCACTTGTGACCTACAAGTCGTCAGTCCGAATACCTCCAATAAAAAAATAAAATAAAAAATACTGATGGATCGTTGAAACGAAAGAATATAGGCATGTGAATGACGGTGCATGTGCTTAAAATAACTCACTTTCTCCTTACTATCCACAAAGTGCTGCAATGACTTGTAGAAGAGGCTGGGATCTCCCCTAGCAATCTTCTTGGTGGTACCAAGGACATCCTTCACGGTAGGTTCTCGCATCAATTGTTCAATAGTACACTTGGCAAGTTCATCCTTGGATTTGTTCGGATAGACTAGAGACATTTTAGCTTATGATCATCTTTAAATGGTCTCCAAAGCACATGCGTTACTGACCTGCTTTAATCTTGGCATATGCCACACCAGCTTCAGTTTCTGCATTCGTGCAGTCTCGTGAGACTTGGCCATTAGAGTCCAGTAACTCGTGTAGGGATAGTTCCAAGTCTTTCTTCCAGTCGTCTGCCTTGATGAATTCGATATCGGCACGATATCTAGAGTTCTCTTCGTCCGATGTGTTCCAGGACATTTCTGTTACGCAAGCAGTGCATGCTCTCATGCAGTTAGTTGGGAGTAAGCGTTCCTCCTCGAGCATAGCATTAATTACACTGCTCTTCCCGGCGCCAGTATTGCCAACAACTCCAATGATTGTAGGAGTGTTGATGTTATGGTTTTGAAGATTTTCTAGAGAAAGTCAGAATGTAAACTAGTTGGAGCTCAGTCAGTTCTACCAATTTGCTTCACCCAATGTTGGGCATCTTGGTGCTGGAAAGAATTCTCGGCCATTGGTCTTCTCAGTCCCTCGAGGAATACCTGACTTTGTCTAACCTCAGCTTCCAAGACTTCGGGAGTTCCTTCAAGTATAAGCTTCTGAATACGTTCGTTAAAAGACGACTGGTTCGGCGGAGCCGTTGTTGAAGATGATGCTTCTGTAGACGAAGATCCATTGGAGGCATGTTCAAATGCCGCTGGTGTATTAGCAGGACCCGCCTGAGCAGCAGCGGAGTTATCTGCGTTGAGCAAAGTGGTCAGTTCATAATACGTGCTTGGGAAGAGTTTCGGATAGATAGAATGCACCAAGACTATGATACAATCTACCTCTTAGGTACTTTGTTACTTTTCAATAAGTAGTAGCCGATTAGATATCAATGGTATACTCAGAGGACATCTTATTCGTCCTCAGAGGTGACACAGGGGCGAGGTGAGAAAGGAGTAATTCATACCTTGTGGATCCGACAGATGCGCACCTGGATGGAAAGGGCCATAAGGCGTCTGGGTTCTCGAGAGATTCGGCTTGATATCTGCTGTCATATTCTTGTTCACGAGACGAGGAGATAGGAATGTCTCTTCTGTCTTGATCTTGGTCTTACTACCATCTGAGACGAGAGGGTTTGCACTACCATTGGCTGGTAGTTGAGCGTTGATAGGTTGGAGAGGGTTTCTGATAGGCGTGGATACCGATGCACTCGATGATGGCGCAGAGTTGTTCATGTCTGCTATTTCTGACGTGAAAACAATTGTGTTCTTGGTCAGATGGACAACGTTGCTCATTTGTGTTTCATCCGAGAGTGTTGTACTCGCGTGCTTCAACGTAACCTACGGTAATAGTTCCCATTAGCATACTACGCTTTTGTTGTATAGAGGAAGCTTCTCAATGTCACGAGCCGAGGCTCGGGGAGGCTGCAGGTTTCGCGAGCAAGACGAGAAAGACGGGTGAACATATCGTTGAGACTTAGACTTACTTGGACTTTATTCTTGCGGAAGTAGGCTTTCTTTAATTTCCCCACCGAGTGGTTCTATAGGGAATGAGTCTCGGAGTTTTAGAGCCGTGCTATTTTGTGAACTTACCGGCTTGAGCTTGAACCAATGGAAGATATCCTTGATACAAGGATCCGGGTTGGCGTTATGATCAAGGATAGCAACTGCAAGAGTACCTTCTTCAAAGGTCTGCTGGAGATCTTGCTTACTAAGAAGGGCGAGTTGGTGCAACTTCTTCAGCGTGTCGCCTAAGTTGAAGATGTTGGTTTCGACGGGAGCGCCCTGCGGGCTGGCGCCTGCCATCTGGTGGAAGCTGAGTTTGCAGAAACGGTGCAAAGCAGGAACAGCAAAGAGTGATTTCGTTAGTGGAACCCTAGTTGCGGCTTCCCTTCATGAATGAGGCTGAAGTTGACCGTAAGACAAAATTATGGGGTGCTCGAAACCAGTTATCAATCGAGACGCGCTCGAAATCAAACGACGCGATCGGCGCTAAAGAACGCGAAGGTCAACACGTGATGCGTTTCATATGCTGCAAGCTGCTTTTATTTCGGCGCTTGAGGCTGGAAAAGCAGCATGGTGGTTTGGACAAGTAAATTGATCTGCTTCATTCCGGACATTCTTGCTAGATTCAATCACAATACCAAACCTGGGGTTGTAAAGATCTTTGAATTTGTAGAAGTGGAACAGTATCTATCCCCGACTCTTTTCGAAATCGATTCTTGGTATCAATATGAAGCTTGCTTCACGGAGCAGCCACAGAGCTATGAACAAACATGATGCAGAAAATTGAGCTCCGCTCAAACGAGTCAGAATTCTGCTCGAAGAAATCACTCAAACGTGAGTTTCAATATACCCGTCCCATCAAGAACGACCCCATACCCAGCCCAAGTATGCAAATGGCATCCACCGGATATCTCTCAATCATTACACGAAGTATGAACGCCTATCGAAACGCCATGTACAAATAATTAGTAGTCGTGAAGGCCGTTAACCTCTGCCCCATTATGAGGTGTTCTTCCTTCCGAAGAAAGTCCTATTACGGGACTTGTCTCTTTTCTTCCCTCTATCCTTTTCGGCTGATAAGCGTCCAGCTCGTGACTCGGAAGACTTCTTGGAGTTGTCTGCATCATCATTGTATTTTGATTTGTAGATCCTGATACATATGTTAGATCAGAGTACAATAGAAGGATGAGTGAAGAAGACATACCAACTATTACCAATCATGCTAATTCCTTTTGCTTCGGCTTGCCTGTAGAACTTTGCGCTTTTCATAAGATCCTTCTTGCACCCAACTCCTTGGGCATAGCAAAATCCAGCTTCAGCCAAAGCATCGGCATCTCCCCAAGAACCTGCAATCTCGAAGCATCTCAATGCAAGCACTTTATCCTGCTCAATGCCCCATCCATTCATGTGACTAACACCCAGCTCGTAAATACTAAGAGCAAACTGGGCTTTTCGTGTCTTTTGCTCTAGATAGTCGACAGCCTTTCCTTCCTTGACCAAATCTGCATCACCAGCCACTTCCAGGCTAGCACAATCGGCGGCTTTACGAAGCCAAGCCACACCTTCCCTTTGATTTGGTCGCATGCCCCATCCATGTCGGCAAGCTAAGGCATACAGCAACATTCCAGTTGGATGGTTTTGTCGCGCTGCAAGACGAAGATGATAAGTGGATTTGGTGAGAGCACCAGCTTCGTGGTACTCGATAGCTTTCTCAACGTTCTCTTCAGCTGACCAGTCTGCCGGTGCTACGGAATGCTGAGACCTTGCCTTCAATGTAGCTGATGATGCATCCGAAGCAGACACCGGCCGTTCTCGGGATGTCGGAATCGAGGTCGTGGAATGCGCAAGTCTCTCGTATATCGGTCTGCTAGGATCGAGTGAAGGTCGACCTGGATCTAATGATGGTCTGCTTGGATCATATGATGGCCTCCCAGGGTCTAAGGATGGTCGTATTTGCGTAAAATCAGGTCTGATCGAAGAGGTTGAGGGTCTAGAAGGCGGCGAAGGGGGCGCAGCGCCGTTGATAGCTTGGACATTGCTGAAAGAGATTGGCTGCTCCCATGAGAATTGCGCTTGAGGCAACCCCTCCTGAAAGATGAGAGAATTTCGTTGCAACATTTTCCCTCTTGGCAATGAAAACTTCGAGTAGACATAAGAAGGTGCTGGTGTGTTTTCGCTATTGTCTGGAAATCCCTCCGAGTGCATACTGACTGGTGTATTTGCTGTGTCATCAGCAAGAATGAATGAAGGTTGACTGTCAGAGGATGCCTGCCGTGACGGAGCCTCTACGGGTAGTCCATTCATGCTTGCGCGACTTATCGGCCGTGAGAAGTTGAACGCTGGTCGAGGAAGTCTTGTACCACCAACGGAAATTTCCGAGCTTATGGATGGCGATCTCGTGGAGTACAAGGTCGGCGAGATTGGAGAATTTGAGAAACCACTTCCTGTAGATAATTTTCGATGCGGGGAAATGGCAGGTGGATTCAAAGAATTGAAGTCATCGTCTGAGCTTTCCATAGACATGGATCTGGGACTGGATGTCCGTTGACTGAATGGTGACCGTGGAGGAGCTAGAGCTCTTGAATCATAGCCACTGATCCCTAACGAGCCATCGTAATCTCTTCTAAGCGGTGGCCCTCTTTGTCGCATGGAGTCATTGCTTGGGCGGGGTTGAACGTGCGATGGCGAATTTCCTGTCCGTAGTGATCTGTTGTCCAAAGATGGTGGTGATTGTTCCCTTCTTGCGCCAAAGCTTCCCCTATCGTCATCAGGACTCGGTGGTCTCCTACCTCGGAAATCTTCTTCGTCCAATGCATCTAGACGAGGTGTAGGTATGGGAGGTGCCATATCCTTCACACCGCTCACCGTGGGATATACGGATATTGGCCGGTTTCCTGGTGTTTCTACCTCAGTCTTTATGCCAGATGGCGGGGACGTTGGAGACAGTGGAGACTTCCCATCAGCAGATATCGACCGAAAGTATCCAGGTCTGCTTTGGTTCAAAGAACTCGCTATGGTCAAGGGCGGCAGTCGACTGACTCGTCGTCCTCCATTATTACACTCCTCCAGTTGCTTCGCAAGTAGTCTGCTCTGAGCAGCAAAGGCATCGAGGGGCGATAATTCGGGTGGTATCTCTCCTGCCACATGTAATCGAGGTGATGGCAGCCCCCTCGGAGAGGGCATACCGGTCCCAAAGGGTCCATGGGATTGTGATCGTAGATCAATAAAGTTCGGTCGAGCGGTCATTGTATCGAAGGCCGCCAGCGACGGAATCAACCCAAAACAATCCCACCAACAGTCCTTATGATTTCCTCTACAAAGTAAAGGTGTCGGCAATCGGATGATATGTTTATGATCTGAAGTTGAGAAGAAACTTGGTGAAAAGGAAAAGTTGCGGGTCCCAATGCTTGGACGTTGTGGCTGCAGGAAGAATTGAGAGTGTTGATGCGCCGACGTTTGAGGTCAAATCGATGGGTCGGCTGTGTACGAACAGAAGGAATGGAAAAGGATCGTAGCAAGTTATTCGTGGATTGCTGTTCAAAGAGTGGCGAAGTTTGAGTGGCGACGGCCGTGAGGTCGCAATGCGACGTCTTCGAATGAGGTCAAAAGGAGTGAATGGGGTGGGTTTGGGAGAAAGTGAAATGTGGTTGACATATGAGGGACGGAAGCTGGGGATGCCATGCAACAACGAGGTTCTCGTTTCGCCGACCTTCACGGCTGTGTTTGAGAATTCCGGTTTCTCACCCTCGCAGCAACAGCAACGGCAAGCGATGCAGATTGGACGTGGATGGCAGCAGGTTCTGTTTTTGTTTCGCCGGCAGTGAGATGAGGAGAGGAAGAAGAATTGTGATTACGGAAGGGCAGGGCACGATGGGGAAATTTGGCCTTGGCCAAGAAATCGAATAATGAACCATCACGAGAGTCGCAGCGGTCGACCAACGGGGCAACTGAAACGAAACTCTTTTGCTAAGATCTTAAAAGACTCCTAAAATAATCTGCTGCGCTGCCGTGCGGTGAGACGATTGGCTGCATCTCCTGAAGAAAGATGGGGTTGAGGATGCTTCTTCCGCCAGGGGCAACGCAAGGGTGCCATCGACCGAGCACTACCTCCAAAAGCATTCTAGTGTTCTCCGCCTTTCAGGGGGGCAACAGACAGGAGAACAGGAGATTGGAAAACATTATTATTACAGGAAATCATGCAACAACCACTGTTCGTGCAACCGGCTCATGTTGTTATGATCAAGGAAGAAGCAGTCGCACAGCGGCATATTGCTCTCGAAGCATAGGGAGTCGGGACCACGGCCAACCTGTTTTGGGAAGAGATTTGGCCACTCTTCATCCGTTCGCCTTTCCTCCAGACGATCATCATCACGCATTTCTTGGCGGTGCCTATCGAAAGCTATCGTCGATGCCGCCGTCGTTGGACCCTTCAATTTTTAGTGCCTCGGAATACGAGCCTATATGCCCTAATTCATCGACCGTTACCGAACTTGCAGTTCCTCTAGAGTTCCAGAACTGCATCCAATATCTTGAGCTGCACCTGAGCCTCATCGTCCTCGTATTCTTCTCCTATTCCACTTTTGCGAATGGTGGCTTGAAATGTCCTGTACGGACGAGTGTCGTAACTCGGCAACTATGCACTGTGATGGCAAATCTGGGGTTTTCGTTGCCAGCTAATTTGACAAGCCTAGCCAATCAAGTCGTTGTTGAGACCGAGACATGTTCAGCTCCGAGTACAAGCGTCCGGATTCTCACAAGCCTCTTTTGCGCTTCACCAGAGGCGCACGACTTTCCTCAATTGATCAAGCGATTTGGTAATCTTTCCACTCAAAGCGTCGATTGGGAAGTTTCCTAAAATCGATTTTGGTATGTCAGCTATCGGGACGCATGCAGAGCGATTCCTCATCACTAATGCAGTATCTGGTCAGACTCGAAGTCTGATGTCAGTCGTACACCCTCAAATTTTTGAGATGCACAAAGAAAGAATGATGCTAAGCTCTCTTCCGATGCTGTGCAGAGGGCCTGCGCAAAAGATAGATTCATAAGCAATAAACAAATGCATATCTATCCTTCCACTTCGAGCTGCGACTCAGCCTACAGGCAGTGCGAATGTCTCAGCTTGCCATCATGCTCCAACGTACGTATCATCTTTCCTTTAGCATTTACTGAATTAAGGCACTCGTGGAAGAAGGATCTATTGCATTCATAGTATTCCTGATGCTTTTCATAATATAGGCACAGCATGCAATTCCATATCCCCTCTCTGACCAGGGCCAATGATATATCTTCTAAGTCCCAACCCAGCCAAATTGAACACCAGTAACGCCAACCCCTGTAACGGATCCGTGATGACCCCTCGCAGCACAATGAAAGCGCTGCAAACACAGAAGATTACTGGATTTATGGTCCACGTCCTCGGAATTGGTTCTCCGTTTTCTGGCTGTCGACGAAGGATAAACAGTCCAAGAACAGCGAACAAGAGGAAGACGTATTCAGCGATACCTTGTGGTTCATGCTGTTAGCGAGGTTATGGAGATACGAGGTACAAAGGGAGTCATACCTATGAACGTCAAGAGGAAGCTGAAGGTGCCAAATATGATATAGACTGAAGAGAGTAGAGCATTGAAAAACAGCGCATATCTACCAATTATTAGATGTCTCACTCCAAGTTGGGACTAGAAACTCACACTGGCACCTTATGATCCCATCTCAGCGTCTCTGTCTTTTGAACCAACATCATCACGCTAGAGATAACCGGCTTCGGCCACCCTCGAAAGTAATTCCGGTAATGGAATGACTCTTCTTCCTTAGTTTCGTGCTCTGGGTCTCCGAAGAAACTCGGGACGTACTGTCGTTCACTTGCCGAGACGATGAGCTTTCCCAAAGCAAAGATGCTCGAGTTAAGAGCTCCTAGACAGGATATGGCAACTAGGAGGGAATATCCTATGCCACCAAGAGTTCCAAATACTTGGATACCAAAAGTCTAAGCCCTCTTAGTCCACGCATATTTGAAAGGGAAGAACAGCTTACCACAGCGACAGCCTTTCTTTCTCGAAGTGCGTCCATAGGAACAACAATGTAAAGTCCAACATTGGCAAGAATGAAGCCAACCATCACAATAACCATAGCTGAGTTGATCACTCGAGGCAAGTCCCTCATCGGGTTCTTCATATCGCCAGCCACATAATTCGCAGTTTCCCATCCACCATAGGTAAACAGAGCTCCAAACATAGCCGTCGTATATTCTCCCACCAAAACCCAAAGCGACGGGTGGTCATTCTCTTCGGCCACCTTGTCCGGAACCCACTCAAGCAAATCATTCCCCTTCCCCGAAACTCCAATAGCCAACCCAATCACCACAATAGAGAAAAGTCCCACGACCTTCAACAAGAAGAACCCATTCGCAGCACTAGCCCCAGTATTGGTTCCCCAGCAATTGACCGCAGTAATAGCCAAAGCCCCCAAAAGCGCAACCAACTTATTCAACCACTCATTCCTCCACGATTCCGGCAAGATAATGCTGTTTAGATGCTCAGCAAAGATCCCCGAGATGATGGCCACCGAGCAAGGTTTCCCAATAACGATATAGCCAAAACTAAACATAAACCCATAAGCATCGCCATAGCATCTCCTCAGATATTCCTGTACGCCTCCATTATGCGGTATCCGTCTGCCCAGCTCAATGAACGAAGCTGCGCCCGTCCAGACCAGTATCCCGGCTACGATCCAGACGGATATGCCGAGGAGGGGCGAGGAGACATGTTTGCTGATCTCTGAAGGGGTGGAGAATATGCCGGAGCCGATTTGGAGGGAGACGACTATCGCGACGCAGTTTAGGTATGTGAGACTTCCTTTTCTAGGGTCTTTGACTTCTTCGATATCGATTTCATGTTCAGAGATCGAGGATGAGCGTCGAGATTGTGTAGAAGGAGAGCGTTGGAGAAGTCGATCGTGAGATTCGTCCAGGTCGAGTTGTATGGTTGTAGTGCTCGCTGAAGCGGCCGCTTTCAGGGTGCTGGACGCCATTACGTTTAGTTACTGAATCCCCGGAGTTTCGCTTTTTGGAGGAGGGTTCTTTAGGTGTTAGATAGCTTGAGTGAAATAGACTAACCTGTTTAAGGGCGCATCTTCAGACATTTGGATCCAGATCTTTGGGAGGGAGGAATGAGGACACCATTGTCGTGGGCTTATCGTGAGACTCCCGGTTTGTATTTCTGGACGCGTATCACAACATCCTGGTCAATTGAGCTCTTTGTCAGTATGGCTTCGGGGGATCTTCCCGCTGTGGCTGAGACCTTTATTTCTCGCAACGGTTTGATGTTATCAGTCAACAATTCTAGAGGTTCTTCCAATTAAGTGTCCAATCTCACTCTGAATTACAGTACTCTGTTCTCATTTTTATACCTAGTCTTACCCAAACTTATGACTTCTTGTCTCAAATCAAACCAGCTCACCATAAAAGCGTTGCACTTCTCTAACCAAGCATGTTCATTTACTCAAAGGTCTTATATCTCGCAACTGGCGTAACGTACAAGCACTACTCAGCATCTCTCGCAATAATCTCGAATAGTCCCATCCAATAGCCTCAGCAGCCATACCAGTCAAACTCGCCTGGTTTTCTCTTCCAGGTCGTCCTGGTCCTGTCATATTCTAGCAACAAAATCAGCACTTTGACATTTCCATTTCTTACAGAACATTGATACTTACCGGTTTCATATTAGCATCAAACAAAGCAAATTTTTCTCCTTTCCCCTTCCCAAACCTCCTAACATCAACCCTAATCGGTGCCGTGACTCTCAACAGCCTCGCTACATCCACACATTCCTTTACTACCTCCCCATACCTCTCATCTTTCCCCATCTCTTCTTGACTCACAACCCTTGAATTCGCAGTCACAGCTACAACGCCATTATACGGCGCAATCCCCTTGTCGTGGTTGAATCTTGTGACAATCGGTAATGCCCAGTAATCCTCATGTAAAGACGAAGGCGGCATAACCGTAACGGTACATTCCTCGCCTGAGAGATACTGCTCTAGCATTATGGTTGAGGAATCTTTGAATAAGGAGGTGATGTGAGTTGTCAGTTCAGAAAGGGTATAGCAAAGCTTAACACCCGAGCTTCCGCGCCCACGGATCGGTTTTCCTACGATTGGATATGGCAAATCTAGTTCTTGAAGCTTTTTGTTGAGATTCAGAGATGGAGAAGAGGTCAGTGTCCATGATTGCGGCAGAGTGAAACCTTTGGAACGAAGCAGATTGTTAACGTATTCTTTATCATCGTAAAGCTGGACTAGGTTCGGTGGCTGGCCTATGACTCGGACATGGTCTTGATACTCGTCGAATTCTGACATGGTTTGGAGGGGATGAGAGGAGAACAGGATCGTGTTTGCCCAGATGTGGGTTGCTCCTGATTGCAAAGCTGACAGGATTCCGGATGGAGTGTCTGGAAATGTCCATCCTGATGAAGAGCTAGGATCTGGTGATGGGCCAGGGGTCAGGATCTTGATATTGGGGAGTGTTTGGAGAGCGTAAGCTATGTCTGCTCCTGAATCCTGATAACCTGTGAGAGCTGAGAAGATTTGTTACTATGATTGTTGGATGAAAATACCTCCAGGTTTCATAGGCTTGAGGACACCGTTGATGATGGGAGGTTCAATAGCCTGATGAAGTACGGAGATTCGAATATTCGAAGACATTGGTCGAGAGTTGCATCTGAACGTTGAACGGCAAGTCTGATTGTTATTACTGCAAGTGATTGGTAAACTTGCTCGCCTAGAGAAGCTAGTGAGAGCGAAGCGACTAGAAAAGGGGCTGATCAAGAACATGAAGTACTGTTGTATGTATGTGATTGAGAGAATCCAAAGTGTGTCCAGTAGGAGAGCCACTATTCACTATGCGATGCTAATACAATGTTGATAGTGAATGTCTCCAACTAAGAATTAACATTCGAGGAGAGTTAGTCTTAGATGTAGAAGATACCTAGGTACTCCTGATATCCGGTTTTGGAAGATGCGGATGCATCCGATTGCTGGAAGAAAGCATCACATGATTCAAAGTCAAATTGACCACTCACTCAGTCACATTTGCAAGCAATCCATCATGTGCAGGGAAATTTTATATTCAAAGCCAACCTCTGAACTCCGTTCCATGCCAAAATCCTGATAAAAAATTCGACCCCTCACATATTCTTCGATTGCAATTTTTTGAGACGCGTGGTTCCTTCATATAATCCGCGATCCAATGCTGCCGCAACTGTCAAAGTACCTCCAATGATGGCACAAAGTCCAGTCAAGAAACCGGTGAAGCTCTTTGATCGTTCCTCCCTGTTAATAACCTTCATTGGTGAGATGTCCTGAGAATGATTAGCTTGAGCTCATCCTCACAGGTATATATACTTACATATGAGAAGAACACTCCTGGAATACCACCACGAGCATGGAGCTTCTCCTTGTGACCTTCAGCAGCATCGTCGCCACCGCTGAGACTTCTACGATGACTTGTAACTGAGTATTGATGCGTCTCAACGCTTCCGTCGTCTTGATGACCATATGATCCAATGCCAACTTCAGGTCCTGAGTTTGTGCCATATGCGTTCTTCTCCCATCCCAATGGAAGATAGGAAGTGGATACAACCTTGACGAAGTACATGAAGTTGTAAGCTGGGTCTGCTGTGATTTGCTCGGTATTGTCCAAAGGATTAATGTGGTGGTTCGTCCATGGTAGCTGCTTGCTACCAAGCTTCTTCACAACGTCGTCGGGGAGCTGTGGACCGAAACGAAGAGAATGGATTTCGTGTGTGAATACATGGCCACCTGGTACTGGGGTGTCGAAGTAGTTGTTCAGGTCGTGGACGTGCATATTGCCATTGCTGAAACTCCTTCCAGGAGCAATGTGGAAGTTACCCACTACCTTGTTGACTCGAAGGCCGCCCTCTATTCGGCATCCTTCCTTTCTCTGGGAATCCAGTCTTTCTCCGTAATGTTCACGCTCACACTGTTCTACACCCTCTCCTCTGCCAAACGCCCAGGATACACTGGCATATGCTTCTCTAACTTCATCGCACGTATTACAACAGCCAGCCTTTTGTGCGTTCGGGGGAGGGTTTGCGCCATAACAGCCGCCGCAGTAATCGGGGTCTAAATGAGTGGCTTCGTCAGAAGCAGAGTGCCTTGAAGCAGTTAGTATCTAGTTATACTGCAATTGTCGAATACCTACAAGTCCAAAGACCTCACATCAATGACAGTACCACCCTCCTCTTGTGGCGAAAGTCTGACCTTATTGACACCGTGCATGACACCGGTCTGCTGCTCTCCAGACACATCCATAACATCGAGGGTCAATAGTTCGCAAGGGATTTTTGGAAAGGTAATGTTCAGATGTATTTCCATCTTTTCGCCTGTAACAGGGTTCAGCAGATGTTCTACCGCAATAGAGAGTATTCCTACTTCTTCCTTTATCCACAATCAACTCTGGGTGCACCACTATCCGTCGGTACTCTGCCCATTCTCCCCAAGCAAGCCATAGAACAATAAGCAATGAAGCTATCGTAACAACTCCACCAGAGGTCGTGCGGACCCGGGCTTCGTCGACAGTCTTCGTGAAGGCATCGAGCCTCGTAAATCTCGATTTCGCAGGCATTTTGCTGAGCAATCGTAGTATGCACGGTGCCGTAGATTATTGTTAAGTCGCGGGACCTGAGCCTTGCGGCAGTGATTGAAATAGCTTTTTAAAGATGCATAAATCAGGAGGAATTCAGGTCAATTGGCTCGAACATGAAGAGAATGAATGAAAATTGCGAAAAGGTCAGAGAAACTCTTTGCGACGAGGAAGAGTTCTGCTATCTGGTGTGTGAGGATAATTAATTCTCTTGAGGACAGCTTTCAATGATGCTGCTAGGGCCCCTGCCGGTCGAGACGCGAATCAGAATCACGCTGCAGGCACACCCGAGCGAGTCCCTCAAATGGGGCTCCTGCTCCAGCCTTGAGTTTCAAGAATTAAGTACCTAGGTATTTCGTGATGTCCACAAAAGGAGATTGATGATAGTAATAACACACAGCCAATGCAGCCAATTCTGTGTCATTCATTGCATATTGTTTGGCACATTCGTAAGGCACCAGCAATTGCACTCACACAATTGGATGCGAGCTAGAGTCACGTGGCAAAAAAAATAGCCCGAAACGCCCCACATTGAGTCATAGGCGAATGAAGTTTTAGCATTGTCAGTCAGCCTCGCCGGTTCTTGCAAGAACCTACGTCTTTGTTCGTCCTCTTCTTCCTGCCTCTACCTCCGCCATCTTTGCGCTTCCTTTCCACAACAACCACCACGACGCAAAATCTACACTCCCTTGTTCTCTTCGATTCCGAATCTTCTTTGTTCATTCAAGACAACTCGCGACCACACTTTTCTTCAACATCGCCCGCATATCTCCGATACATGCACCATCATCTTTGAATGATCTGATCGCAACCACCTACCCCGCCGAGCCCGGATCTCGACACACAAATTCCACCGACACATCTCATCCAAAGATCGCAAGCACTACGAAATGCTTCAAGGCGCGCCGCCGCGAGGCCCCCGGGGCGCATCCACCACCACCCGAGGCAGAGGCCGTGGAGGCATTCAAAAGCGTCGCGCAGATGGTCCAGTTCGTGTCGATAGGGATGGCGACTTGGTCATGGACGCAGAAGCAGCTGGCGCCAAGCGTAAGCCTGGAAAGGGCAGGATGGAGCGGTCGCCCGTCCCAACTGGAAGTGGACGAACAAGCGGTGGTCGTCCTCGTGGAGGCGCTGGTATGCACAAGGCTCAAGCTGCGATCTTGCGTGGCATGGGAGCTCAACAGGCCAATGTTCTGGAGTCACGAATCGGGACCACTGGAAACACCCTAGAAATCTCGGGACTTGGTTCGAGCAAGGCTGCTGCCAATCCCGATGGCGGAGTAGAGGCCCTCTTAGCATTTCTGGAACGCAAGGCCAGCGGATTGGACGACACGTTAAACAGGACTGTGAAGATCAAGAAGGTATGTCATGTGCTTTGATCGTGGGATCATGGAGTTTCGCACCGTCGCCGTCTCATCATACTCGTGTTCTTACACCACCAACACCGAGTCGAGGATCGTCAGACATTCCCCGCTTATACCGTGATCCGCGATCGATTTCAAGGTAATATACCTTGCTAACGTCAAAATAGTCCCTAAAGAAAGGTGACAAGGTCATAATCACAGCCAGTCCCCAGGATATCATGGAAATTCAGAAGCTTGATGGATTTCAATTCGCCGGAACAATTCTATCTATCAAAGCCAGTACACCAATCCCCTCAAGAAGTGCCTCAGAAGAGAAGAAGCAGGAGGAATCGCCCCAAACGACCGACGTCAAGGCAAAGTTTAGGGCAGTGCTTGAAGGAAGATACAATCCTCAACTCAAGCTCTGGAATCTATCAGCCCTTGCGATAGATCCTGGCTTGGTCTCAATGGGTCTGTTCGATGGAAGTACAAACACATCAAAAGTATTTCCGGCTTTGATGGCAGTTTGCAACTCGATCTTCCCCACCAGAGCTGCGAAGAAGGAAGCTGTTGTTAGCGTTACCCTTGCCGACAACAACCTTAGCAACGTCGGAGACGTCAATGCTTTGGCCCAGACCTTCCCAGACCTCAAGAACCTCGACCTCTCCAGAAACAATCTCGTCGACATAAAGTCGCTCGACGGTTGGCGCTACAAATTCAAGCATCTCGAGAACCTCGTCCTAACCGGTAATCCGATCGAGGCTCAGCTTTCTGAATTGAAGGACGAATTTCTTAAGCGATACCCAGACTTGTCCATGCTGAACAACGTTCTGGTCAGATCTCCCGCTGAAATTGCTGCTATGAAAGCAGCTGCGGAAGCCGCGCAATCGCCAATTCCAATTGCTCCTCCCGAATTCAGAGATGTTGGTCAAGTTGGAGAGAACTTCATCAGACAATTCTTGGCATTGTACGACACAGATCGAATGGCCCTCCTTACACAGTTCTACGATTCTCGAACATCCTATTCTTTGGCCATCAACATGAGCGCACCTCGAAGCCACACTAACAGCAAGCCCATCCCACCGTGGGCCGAGTATATCAAACACTCCCGAAATATGATCAAGATCACCCACGCACCGGCCCGCATGAATCGACAATACAAGGGAGTCGACGCAATCAAGAACGTTTGGGCTTCCTTACCTGCGACTCGCCACCCAGACCTTCAAACTCAGACCGACAAATATATCATTGAATGCCGTCCTACACAAGGTCTTCCTGATCCATCTGGTCAGAGTGCTCGTGGAGTTGATGGTCTCATCATCACCATTCACGGCGAGTTCGAAGAGCCAAACACAGCAGAAAAGGGTTCTCGCAGCTTCTCCCGCAGCTTCGTCCTTGGCCCTGGCGCTCCTGGCATTCAACCCATCCGAGTCATCAGCGATATGCTCCTTCTCCGAGCCTGGGCCCCCCTCGCTCAGCCTAAACCCCATGCCATGATGCCAACCCCACCTCAAGAACCAGCCCAAATGGCCACGCCAGAACAACAGCAACAAGAGGCAATGGCTATGCAATTGATGGAGAAGACAGGCATGACTCTTCAATATGCGGGCTTGTGCTTGGTTGAGACAGGATGGAATTTGGAGAATGCTTACGTTGCATTTATGACGAACAAGGTAGGTTCTACCCATCACTTAAATTCGGATTTTCATTAACGCAAAACAGGACAAGCTACCACCTGATGCATTCCTTGCCAACGTGGCACTTTGAGCTTGGACACGAGTACGTCAGAATAGATGAAGGGCAATGGAAGACTATCAGACTGGAGGATTGCACAATTTTCATATCTCATTTCCTTGCTTTTCCGCAATGCTCTGGTCTTCTTCACGGCCGTGCGAGCGAGAATTGAAAATCGAATACACATCAAAATGCGACACAATCGGAGGAGCATTGAACAACACTCAAGAGCAGACACATAAAACACATACATAGCTTGTGCTTTGCTCTCGAGCATCTGGAATTTTACAGCATGCAAGCGTGGAGTTTGGGATGGGTTTTTTTCATTGAGTCGAAGCAATGCATATCGAGGGGCGGCATACAAATCAAATGGAATGGAATGGATGGGGAGGGAGTATTGGCGGATAGACTGGGGAAATGAAGGATGGTGGATAGAGAGGTGCAGTCGATCCGTTGGTTTACATAGTGTTTGAGAAGACTGAGATATGCCATCTGGGAGGAAGGAATCAAAGAATGAATCTTTCCGCCCACACACTAAATTTTAATTTCGTGGATAATGATGATTGTGACTGTGACATCGCTGCTACAAATGCACCTACGAATTATGGTTTGTCATGCAGTCAACACTCCAAATAAAGCTTCACTGGATTCACTCATCAAACCACGTCTGGGCAGCCATAAGAGCACATTTTGTACATTCAAGTTAGCTTTCATTGACTCCTCACGTCAAATCACAGCTGTAGAAAGAACACATGACCTAGAAGAAGCAGGTATCAATTCCCTATTTTCTGCCTTGGTATATCCCCACAACAAAAACAAATAGACCTAAATTGGTACAGTGTTCTTCCATCCATTCCATGCAATGCATGCATCCATCCATCCAAATGCCCTCTGGGCCAAAGTATATACAACTCGAAAATTAAAAAGAAAGAGAGTATATTAAAAAAAAAAGAGAGAGATTTCACAACAGGTCTCTCCAATGTCAAAAACCAAGGAAAATTCCCAAACAAAATGTGGTATCGTGTCGTGCTTGTCTCATCCCCTCTCTTTATTTTTCACAACTCGATCATCCGGAATCTCTAATATGGATATACAAATTCACTGCTTAGACGGTAGCAGTAGGAGCCGGTAGCCCCGTCTCGAAATCGGCTCGCGCCTCGACGTTAGCGATAGCGCTCTGTAGCGCACTCGTTAGGTCGATGTGGAAAAGGGGTCTGTTGAGTCCGTTCACGACCGCTGCTCGGGACGAAGTCTTGATCGCCGAGCTCTTCAGATCAGAGGAGCTGAGTTCGCTGTCTTTACCGGCGCTGATGGTATCGGCGTCGCGTTCGTTGGTACGTGATTTGCGGAAATCTTTCTCGTTGGCGTTGATCTCGGCGGCTTGGGCGGCGGAGTCGGAGCCTCCGATCTCAGCGACGCTGAAGATGGGTTTCCAGCGGTGGACGGAGTTGTCTCCGGGAAGGATGGTTGGGTAGCCGAAGCCGGCTGCGACGAGGGCGCGTTTGGTCCAGCGGTTGTTGATGGATGCGAAGTGGAAGTCTACGACGGAGGGAGAGGTGTAACGATCAAGCTGGTTGCGGACATCGATCAGGGTTTGGACAGAGGTGATGTCGACATTGTTGACGGAACTGAAGTCGAGGATAACGGCTTTCAGTGTGGGACGTTCGGGGTGGTCGTCTGCTGCTTTGCCACGGCGTGGTCCAGGATCATTCCAGGGACGGTCTCCTGGTCGACCGTAGTGATCGAGGTTGGTTCGACGGGTGTTGGCGAAGATGTGAGCTGTGAGCTGATCTAGGTAGTGGTTTGCGTTCGGGTAGTTGAAGCCCTCGGAGAATCGATAGATGAAAACTCCTGGGTAAGGTGTAGCAACTTCGACATCTGGGTTGGAACCATCACCATGATCGATAGGTAGGAAAATATTGCGGACAGCAACATCTTCGTGTGAGCCGCCAGATTTGGCTGGGTTGTTCGAGTTGATAAAAGGTGTGCTTTCGCTTCCAATCAGAGAGTCGCCTACCACCGAGTGAACCTTCACTTTGCCCAAGAATCGACCCTTGGCCTTGATGATGCGGAAAACAAGAAGTGCGAATGAAACGCAGATAGTGGTGTATATGCCATTCTCAATGGATGAAAAAACTGTGACCAGAACTCCTGCAAAGAAGATGGGGACCTCAAGAGGAGACACACGCCAGAATTGGTAGACCGTATTTGGGGCCGTGATGAGATCTCCAACTGCGTGAATGATGACTGCTGATAGAGCAGCACTTGGAATATAAAAGAAGACCGCAGTGAGAGCATAAATTGCCAAGAGCACGACCACAGCAGTAATAACACCTGCAAAAGGAGTTCGTACACCTGCCTTCGCCTTGATGGCTGTTCGAGAGAACGATCCGGTTGCCGGGTATGCACCGAGGAAGGGACCTAAGATATTGGTTATGCCAATAGCAACCAGTTCCTGGGATGGATTGATAACATAATTGTTTACTCGTCCGAATGATTTGGAAATAGCGATATGCTCGATTAGGAGAACAATGACTAGAACTGGAAGATCGCTGGTGAATATCTTAATGATGGAGATGTCGATAGTTGGCACCTTAGCGGCAGTGAAACCTGCAAAGCATTAGCTTACATATAAACAGTAGTATCACAGTGAAAAAATACCTCGAGGAACGGTTGACAGAATCTTAAACAACGGCTTCTTGCGGTGGTGTCTATTGACGAGCCAGCTGACCAGCGTGTATAACAGAATGACAAAGGCAGTTCGAAGGGTCGAGATAAAGAAGATCAACTTTCTCTGGGTCGGATACTTCTTGGCTGCAAACTTGCAGGCGGATCGGATGGCGTAAAGGAGAAACAGAGCTGTCAGGCCAATAGCAGCATCCAGCTTCGTACGTGGAAGTCCTTTCAACCAGTTGATGAACACCAGATAGGTTGCAGCTCGCGTATCGAATCCAGTAATACCCATCAGAGTCGGCAACTGCCCAACGGCAATATTGAGAGCCGAACCAGTCATGAATGCAGAGATGGATACTAGCGGAATAAGGTCGACAATCCATCCCATTCGGATCAAACCAATGAAGAAAATGATACAGCCAGCAATCACTGCCATTGCAGAGGCAATGACGGGACCAGGAACAGTCGGATGGGTTTTTGCTGCTTTTACGAGAATCTTACCCACCAGGGTAGAAACTACAGCGACGGGCTGTGGTCAAGTCAACTGCCGTCTCGATGTCAGAAATAAGATAACTTACACCAATAGTAATATCCTTTGAGGTTGCGAAGAACCAGTAGATCAAAACGCCCATGAATGAAGTGTAGAGTCCATATTGTACCGGGAGATCAGCAAGAGTGGCATAAGCCATGCCCTGAGGTACGACGACAGCACCGATGGTGATACCTAAAGACGTGAGCTGCTTGCAGGAAGAAAGAGAGTTTGCAGCATACCAGCCACAAGATCACCCGCCAACCATTGCAAATTGTATCGCCCAATCCAGTGGGTGAAGGGGAAAAGAGAGCGTGCATAGACGGCAAGGTCGTGACCTGATGGAAGTGTCTCCCTGATCCATTCCGCGCTGGTTGGCTCTTCTTCGACATAAGTATCAGCTGTGTTGGTAGAGAAGACGGATTCGCCACGACGAATCTCATCGTCTAGCTCATTCCTGTACTCAAGCTTGATGCCGAGGACTTTGGCAAGTCCGTGACCGATTTTAGTAGCCGACATCTTGAGTGGTGATGTTGAGGTCCCTTTACGGTTACACCAAGATGCAGTACCGAACGGAGCTCCCACCGATACTCGAAGGTCTGAAGTGGCTGCTTAATACCCTGGAGGTGTTTGAGGAGCACAAAGTCAAGGATGAAAGAGGCTGATTGGAAGTAAGTGGAGAATGGGAGCGTCGAGGGTCATATACTCCTGGGCTGGGGAACCGCAGCCGTGGGCCTGGGTGGCTACAGGGTAGGGGGGGCAGCGTGCCACAGTAGCTCGAGGTGCGGTCGCCGAAAGGGGCGTCAAAAAGAAAATCTTGGGTCTCGAATTTTGCCAGGAAAAGTCTTGCCAGGCAGGAAAGCTTCTCGAAAATAAGAAGCGTTGGCCTTTGTGGTGTGGGGTGAGCGATTGCTGTACGCCACCAATAAATTGCGTGCTTTGGGACTGGAACTGGATGCTTTGCTCGTGACGGGTTCTGGGCTGCTGTGTCACGACGATCCAATCCAATCCAATAAATAGCACAACTCGCTGTTGCCGTGCAGATTGAGCTGATTGGGGATGCAGAAAGAAGCAAGCAATACCGTCCAAGATATTTCACGTCCCCGATATGAGTGAAAAAGTGCAGATTGGAGTCTTTGTTAGGTCTTCGCTAGTGCTTGCGGAGTTTGATCGGATCTGAAAAGACTTGGATTCGTCAGGGCCAGTGCCGATTATAAGATTACCATAATGGCGGGATTCTCGAATGTCGTTATTGAAGACCTAGAACGAGATGTAGTCGTCTTTGTGTGGAGTGTGGTCAATGTTCGGGGCGGGTAGGATGTTTGGTTTGGTTTGGTGAGTATAGGTAGTGCTGGGCAAACAAAGTGATGATGATGCTCAAGGTCGAAGTCAGACGGGATGACGGGATGGGATGGGATGGCCAGGATCAGCGCCGAAGATGCGGGTAACAAAGAAACGATGCAGCGGGGGACATGGGACAAGATGCAGGCGAATGCTCAATTCTGCAGGAAGAGAAGAGAGGAGAGTTGATATGCGGCGGCGTCTATCTATCTATCTCGGGAAGGCACCTCGTGGGCAGGGCTAGCGAGGGGAGCATCTGAGATTATTCCCAGCACCAATGCCATCAGCATCGTCCTCCAAACTGGATAGTGGGCCACTCGTCAGGCTCACCATCCGCAATTGTTCCCCATTATGGAGATTGTTGGAGGTCGCAAGCAAGCACGCCATCCGCTATAAGAGAGCTAAAAGGGGCTAGAAGAAAGAAATGGTGAAATGGTGCAGCTAGAAAAGGATGAATGGTTATTCCGGGGGCGACGCAAAGGACGACGACGACAACGTCGTCAAAGACAGTTGGCCCCTGCTTTCCCCACCCAAAAAACGAAGCAGACCCACGGCTGTCGTCGCCCAAGAGGACCATTCTATCATCTGATGACCCTTTCTGAGACTTACATGCGCCTGGATTTGTCGAAGAGGTCTTGGTATTTGAATTGCATCTTTGGGTTCCAGACAGCATTCGTGGTGGTGAAGAGGTGTCCAGCCTCAGCCAGCCTTGCATGTGGGCCGAGCTCCATCCCGGCCAGCATGCTCCGCCAGACGCCTCTCCCTTTGTCTCAGACCAATCACGGCAGAACCTTATTGCAACATTGCAAGGCAAAATGCCACAAAATCACATCATTTTGTCTTAGCCGCTTCGGGAGTAGCTCCGGCTGACGACAACCAAGCAGAGAACTTACGAAGAAGAAGACGCAGAAGAATGAAAAATAAAACGTGCGCTCTCCGCGACAGAGAATCTATTTGATGAGAGTTGGGCTGGCTCACCGAAGATCAAATCCCCGACTAAAGGATTCCCCCAAATTGTTTTCAATCTATTACCTCACCAACCGTGCGAATCCGTAGAGAGACTTGCATCCAGGTGAAGAAGCACAAAAGTAAACGGGATGAGTCGTCAATTTAGTCTGGGGAAGACGGGAGAGGACGTGGAGGGTTCAAGACTCAAATCTATCGAGATATGGTACTGGAACGTATCGACTCCCGATCTCGATGGACTCTCGCCCTGCCTTCTGAAAGAGCTGAGGATCTAAAGATAGAGGAAGCTTCTCAATCCTGCCACTGCAACCTCCACAAAATCGTCTGATAAGATGTCTTGCAATCAGCTGAGAACCTTCGAAATCTCGCCTCAGTCTCACGCCCTAATACATAAGCTTTTATCTGTCGAGGAGATCCTGTCCGTGAGACATGGAGGACACTACCTAAGTATCCTCCCATGAGCACAAACAATTTGATATCACGTGCCTGTGCTTCCTCCTCCAGAATTATTTCGATGCCTTCATGAAAGACAAAATAGAGAAGGCAAAAGTGATCTTGAAAGTCTCTTTGATGGCCTCAAATCACTTGAAACGTCCAACTGTGATGTTGAAAATCATCCAATTACAGCTCTCTCCACAGACGCGTCGCGTGAAAGAAGAAAAAGCTGCGATGAGCCTCACGAGAGGTCCGTGGACAACAACTATAGCAACGGTCATCCCAGTAGCGGTGCACTTGTTGACCTCAGCTACAACAATTGCATATGTAACAAAGCTCATTCTTCGGTGAAGTATGTCTAACCATTCGCCCTCGCCAACAAAAGAGAGCGTTCCTAAGCCAGCACCGCATTTATTATCGTCACCAACAATCAACAACCCGCCTAGTCCACGAACCCATCGCGCCCTTCGACGCCTCCAATCCGCGCATACCTTAGGACAAGCAAACCAACCTTCCTTAATATCTCAACAGCATAAACAAGTATTACAACGGAATCAATCGCCCGCGAGCAATCCGTCGTTCTCTAGCCATAGTCGAGGAAGATCCAATAGTGATGCTACGATGACCGCTACTCCGGGCTCTGCAGCAGGCAGACGACCGATATCTGGAAAGAGACCTATTGCTGCCGACGCGCTCTCTTTGGATCGATTGATTCGAGAGGGTCCTCCAGATGGGGACGTAGCTGGCGCATTGGAGAGCACGCGACTCAAAATATTAGATCAAGGCATAAAGAGTGATAGTGATGGCATGGTACTTTCTCCCCAAACCTCTCTTCCAAATACACATACTAATAGCAAGCACCTAGTCATCTCTGCGCATCTACGTCTGGCTCATCCTCCTCAACGCCCCAATCCTAGAAACAGATTCCTACCTCGCCCTCATCCACCGCGGTGCCTCCCCCGCCTACTCCAAGATCCGCAACGATACCTTCCGAACCCTAGCCACCGATCCCCTCTTCCGTCGACGCGTCAGTGAAGCAAGTCTCATCCGCCTCTTGAACGCCGTTGCATGGAAACTACACGATGCGAAAGAAACCCGAAGCGACTCTCTGTCTTCTTCGGCCGCAGCAGCAGGAAAGGTCACACATACAGCCAACGCACATGGAAGTCCGGAACTGCAATCTTCGACGCCGGCTATGAAGTCCAGAGCAAGAGCGTTGACTCTCACGACCGAAGGGTCAGAAGCCGGAGCCAGCGAGCCAGGAACCTACGTCCAAGGCATGAACGTCCTCGCCGCGCCGTTCCTGTATGCAGCGCGCAGCGAAGCTGAAGCGTTTATTGCCTTTCACCGCTTCATCACCGTCGAGTGTCCGGGCTATGTTCGCGGCGCTATGGATGGTGTACACAAAGGTCTCGCTCTCGTGGACAAGGTTCTCGCTATTGTGGACCCGAAATTATCTCTGTATCTGATCGGAAAGGGTATGAATGCCGAACTATACGCTTTTGCCTCTGTCTTGACAATGTGTGCCTGTACGCCTCCGCTGCCGGAGGTGTTGCGGTTGTGGGATTTTCTGTTTGCGTACGGAGCACACTTGAATATCTTGTGTATTGTGGCTCAATTGGTTATTCTTAGGAATTCGATTCTGAGTTCTCCAAGGTTAGTACTGTTTTGTCGTGGTTTTGGAAGGGGAAGAACGAATGCTGATGAGATCGGTTTAGTCCGACGAAGATTTTGAGATCGTTTCCTCCGCTTCAGGCGGAGATGATTAAAGAGGTTACGTTGACGCTTATCAAGAAGATTCCGGATGATGTTTATGCGGAGATCGTGGCTCATGCGAAGTGAGGGCTGCTCTCATTGATTTTCCTCTTGTTGTCTTACTGTGAGCATTGCGTGGCGTTTGGGTTGCTTGGCTAGTCATGTGTCTAAGGGATTCAAAAGCTTTTTAGAATGGATTACTCTTTGCATGGGATGGCATGAATTGAGATAAGGATGGGATGGGACGACTTGAAGACTCGATATGAGATGAACGTGTATAAAAAGTGTATTATGAATCAATAAGCGACTGACAACGATATGAATCTTTCGATCCCAATTTTATTTGTTAAGCTCCCATTTTTCAATTCTTCATCTGCTCCAAAGTCCAAAATCCGAAACAAGCTTTCCAGTCTGACCCTAACTATATGTTTATTTGCCACAAATACAGAGACATGCTGCTTCAATTTGAAAGAACGTACACAAGCAACTTATGTATAAAGTTTCAAAGTCCCTCGGCAACAAGATACTTTAAAACAATAATAAATCTCTCCTTCTCAACTTACTATGAATGTACGAGTAACAAAAGACGAACATATAATTAGGGCTTACACGATAGATGCATATCAAAAATCATCCCCCCCATGCCAAAGCTTCATAGTGGAGTAGGTATTGCTCAAGCTGCCCCGCACCGAAACCCACGTGCCACTCATTCATTCATCTTATCACCAACATAACATCAGCATCCACATCCACATCTCAATCCCTCCTTCTATCCACCCACCCTTCCTCCCACCTTCCATCAAAGACACGTGCTCGAACCAATGGCCACAACAAAAGCCCAGGTACGTTACATGCAGGTACTGCTCTGCGCTCAACGTCACTCTACGTCTTGGCATGCACCAGGAACCCTGGATCCGAGCCGCAAGGTCCGATATCTATCAACAATACAAGTAATTCAGTCTATCTACGAATCACCCGCTGCTTTCCAGCACGGGGGATCGAGGTTTGTTCATCTCATCTCATCTCTCTCTCTCTCTCTCGTGATATATAAACTCTCCTTCCCTTCTTCTCTTTCATCTTTTCCTTGATGCTCCCTCCCTTTTTTAAAACGCATTTTCTTAGCAAATAATGTCTCTCTCAACTCTCTTATATCTAACAACAGCTCTGCTGGGACTCAGTAGAGCAGAGATACCGGGGACACCGGATCTGAGTCTGGGGTTGCAGCAGATTTTGAGAGAGGCGCATCAGGGGCCGTTGTATGATTATCCGACGAGTTTGACGCAGGGGATTGTGCCGGTGAGTTTCTTCTTTGGAGGGTGGGAGAGGGAAAGGGCTGATTGCGTGTGGTGTGTAGAAGGGGATTCATTCTCATAATGATTGTGAGTTTGGATTGATTTGTTTTTGTTGATTGGTTGTTGGTGCTGGGTTGGGTTTCTGGGGTTTCCTGGTTTTTTGACATTTATGAAGTTTTTGGATTATTGTGTTCATTGATCTGTTCAAATGGAGAAGATGTAACGAGATTGGCGTAATCGACTGACTCGGAAACAGACTGGAGAGACGTCCCATTCTACTCCGCTTTATCAGTGGGTGTCATCTCCACTGAAGCAGACGTCTGGCTCTACAATGGAACTCTGCACATTGGGCACGAGGAAAGTGCTCTAACAAACGCACGAACTTTCGAGTCCCTGTACATCAACCCCATCCTCTCCGTATTACAAAGACAGAATCCCGCGAATTCGTCATTTGTGACTTCAAAAACTTATAATGGAGTTTTTGATACGTCGGGTGGACAGACGCTTTATCTGTTTGTGGATGTAAAGACGGATGGCGAGGAGACTTGGCCGTATGTTGTTAAGGCTTTGGAACCTTTGTGAGTGAATTTCCTGTTTTCTGACTTGAGTTATACTTGTGATCTGACATTTTCACAGACGTTCAGCTGGATACCTCTCCTCCACCAACGGCAGCACCTTCACCTCCAAACCCGTAACAGTAATAGGGACAGGCAACACGCCCCTAAATCTCGTCCAACCCATCGCCTCCCGAGACTACTTCTGGGACGGTCCAATCCCCACCCTCAACAGCACATTCTCCAACATTACGTCCCTCGTCTCTCCCATCGCATCAGCGGACTTCGCAGCTGTGTTCGGAAACGTCATTGGCACGAGTTTGAACGACACTCAATTGGCGCTGCTGAGAGCTCAAGTGAAGACGGCGCATGATAAGGGGATTATGCTCAGGTATTGGGATCAACCTGGTTGGCCGCTTTCGACTAGGAATGGACTTTGGCGGCAGTTGAGGAGTGAAGGGGTGGATTTGATTAATGCTGATGATATAGAGGCTGCGGCTGGATTTGGTGATGAGTGGTAGGTGGTTGAGAGGATTGAGATTTGGGAGGTAATGGTTGTTGAGAAGTGCCAGACGTTACTTGGCGGAGATAATCATTTTTTCCACAAGGCCGTTGTGCTTTTAGAGCATCAGATGTGGAAAGTGCCACCCAGGGACACGAGTAGGCTTGAGCAAGTAGCAAACCGCTCCTTCCTCTCTCATCACTCAAGTTGATGGAAAACAGTCTTCCACGTTCTCTCTCCCTTCTCTCCTTTTCACAACATCTTATCAATTTACATTCGCTCGGCATACAACCAACATCAATACATTCGCTATCAATTAGCTACAAAGTCATTCGTTCCACCACTATCTCATCATCTCCTTGCACCATTCATACTTCATATCCTTTACTTTCCATCGCTCGTTACACCTGCTCTCGGCTCTGACCTACATTGTTGTCTCTGTCTTCCTCACCATCAGGACACTGGTACGATATTCGGCCGAAATAAAAGCCCATGCACAGGTTGCTCACGGAGTGCGCTGGAGTCGTACTTGAACACATACACTGCATCGAACTCATTCTGGCAATCGTTAACTGGTTGTTGGACTGAGTAAGGTCTTTCGCTCTAAATGGTCTTCCATCTTGCCCGAACCCGCAAGAGGACTTCACGCAAAGAAAAGTCTTTACGTGAAAGGGCTCTACGATCTATTCCGCCTATTCAAACACAAAAGGAGGTTCCAAAGCCCAAGCCCGATTGGCTGTTGCCCTTTCGCAGCTTTCCCCGTCGACTCAAAATCTTCTTGGACGCTTTGCCTCTAATCCTCTTCTTCGGTTTCGCCCTGTTTCGACTCTTTGTAGAATGTATGACAATAATCACTTGGATCAAACACAACGAGAACGCGAAAGACGTATTCTGAAGGCAAGTAATTTAGTTATTTACTAGTTCTAGGCGTATACTTCAGCTGCTAACTCAATTGTATACAGAGGCTTACCAAGAGGAAGTTGAGAACTTGTAGGACACTCCGAAAACAGCTTCTTATGCTACGCCTGAAGGAAAAACTCTACGCCCAGGACACACATTGCATAGTTGAATTGCTCTCGGACTCTGCAGATATCAAGATGCCTCAAAATAATGAAACCTCGGGAATTGTTCCATCGGACATACACCAAACGGCAGACCTCTGTGTACTCAAACAAACTTTGGAAAATCCATCGAAAAGTTCTAGCGACTCTCTGTGGACGCTGGTGGATATTGATGACGCCTCAGAATCCAAAATAGTTGAGGACAACTCTCCTACATGTATTGACCATTTTCAACTCAAGATCGGCCATACTAAAATCAAACGTGAAGACTGCGAACCACACATTGTCTGCAAACGACAAGCTGGAATGATGTCTGTTGATTCAGAACCGGAAGTTTTATGTCGCAATACCTGGTTGGCCAAGGATGAAGACGACAATTATATGCTCACCGTTTCATTTTCGATTGCATCGCTCTTCTCTCCATTGGATGTCGAATTTGATACACGAATTGCGGTTAGCAAATCTTACAAAGATATTTTCACCAGTGCGAGAAGACCTGCACGCATTGAAGGACTCCAACCATCCTCAACAGCCCAATGTGTGCATGCAATCGGCATTAAGGTAAGCTTCTTCGCCATTGCTTTTAAGGTATGCACTGACCATGTCATAGATCGATAGTAAGGCATGGCTTGGAACATCGCCGCGCAATAATTGGATGCCTCTTCATATGCATGTGCGAGTACTTGAGACGGCAAATTCTGCAGGAAAGATTCGTTTGTGTGTCAACGTGACACTTGGAAGTCCACGTAAATGGAACTGCGAACAACTCGTGTGGTTACCATTCGATTATTCCTTCCAACACCTACCCGATTGGCGCAGACGGTTGAATCGGTTGTCTGCCGAAAGAGAACCTGCTCCTCAAGTTACGCCTCGCGCTGCTATTTCAAATCTAATGCAGATCGTTGAGAGATACCAAGCTTTAGACTGGAGTCATAATGCAAGGCAGAATCTCAACAAGAGGAACAAGGACAATGCTTCAATGGAAAAAGGCAAGATCAACACGCAACCAAAGTATTGTGCAGACGAACAGATACTGATGAGTGCGAAAGGTCAAATCCGTCCGTCTTTGATCGAATACCAAGTTTGGTATAATCTCGATCCACAGCCTAGACCACAGGAGTCCGACTCAGAAGAAGTACTAGAGGAGGAAATGCAAATGTGATATAACATGGCGAGGGAGCATGGGGTGATATCTGTTACTATCAGCGTTGTATCATCAAATTCATGGCTCTTTGGGGGCATTAGCGTAGCGTATCAATTTTCAGATATGCAATTGTTCGAAGGCTAGATGCCTGTTCTACTTGATAATAGGGACTAGATGTCAATGAATCCTCATTGGCTGAAAAAGTGAATAGTTGGGCGAATAGGGGCTTAAGCGAGCCCGAGCATTGCTTGGAGCAAAGAAAGCTCTAATCATCCAGTCTTTGACAGTACAGCACTCGAATGATACCCACATTACTCTGAATTGATTCTTTGGTTGGTTTCGCACCCGGAGCTGAAATTTTTTTGGTGTGGTTTCGAATCTCGAAAATCTTGCTCTCATTGTCTGACAGCTAGGTTTGGCTTGGTCTACCAACCTTCCGTTCCCATTATCTAGCAATACAACAACGCTTCATCTCTGATTATTTCGTCTTAGATCTTGGGGCTATGAGTTAGTGGTCAGAGAATCATGTTGTATTGTAAATTGTGCAGTTTGCTGAAAGTGAATTGCCTCGCTTAGTATTGTCCTTTCATTTTTTGATGCCTCGAGGTGGGAAGTAACAATACCTAGGATCTAATGTCTGTCCTTGCCTTACTCTTAGATCCGCTTTCCCTTGTTCCAGTTGTCTTAACGCTTCCGAAGCTCCCACAATGTTTAGGTATTCTCGACCAAATTCACTGTTCACTTCCAGCCAAGCGAGTTCGAGTTACTATTGTCCCAACCCTGCCCGAGTTTCACCACTTTCTCATTGTCAACCTTCGCAATACCATCTCAACCGAGTGCACCCCGAGCCTTTGGGATGTAAAACATCTATATAGCCTCCCCTCTCCTCCCATCTTTCTGTTCTTTTTTCCCCTTCTTCTTCAGCAACAACAAAAACTTCTTCTCTTCCAAACATCCTCTGCTGCTGGTTCAGCAATACCAAGTTAAACATCACATATCACATCACCACCACAATGGTCACCACAAGATCACAATCTCGCTTCGGCGTCGCCTGTCCCTCCCCTGCCGCTTCCGCTTCCTCCTCATACCAAGTCCGCACGAGAGCCCAAGCTCCGAGCGCCGCCGCTGCCACCGCCGACAAGAAGAAGCCGACGATGAAGAAGAAGAAGAAGAAGAAGGAAGTGAGCTTTGCTCCGCTGCCGGAGATGGAGGAGAACCTATTTGCGAGGGAGATAATTGCTGAGGAGAAGAGGGCGTTGAAGGAGAGGTTTCGGGCGAAGAAGGAGAGGTTTCGGGCGAAGAAGGAGAGGAGGGCGGCGAGGGCGGAGGGGAGGGAGATTCCGGAGTGGGCGAGGAAGGAGGAGAGGAGTAGGAGATAGGGGGGGAGTGGGGAGGGGAGGGAGGGGTTTTTTTGGAGTGCGGTAATTTCGGGGAATGAAAGTTTGTTTTGTGGTCTGAGATTATGTTATTTTGCTTGATTGTGATTGTGATTGTGATGCTACTTGAGGAATTATGGCTGATGAAAGTACTGAAGAGGTGGCGTTTCAAATACGGAGGAAGAAAGGCAACACTTAAAACCTCAAAATGCTTGGGATACTGCCCAGCTTCTGAAATCTTGAAACAAATACAGGCTCAGCAGCATTTAAAATTACCATCACTGGATGGTACTCTCATGAGTCGAGATGGTTTACAACAGCTGAACAGGTAACATTCTCTCTCGATAGCTTATTGTCTTAAATTATAACCAAAAGTATGTCAAACATATTCTCCGACTCAATTTAGAAAATTGACCCGTAAAGTGCTTTTTTCGCTGAGGCTTGCGAGGTGATGAAGTGTTGCAAAGAATTTCTGCTAAAGTGTTTGAGAAAGTAACGTAGAGCTTGGCCACTACTCGGCGGCTAGTCCAAAGTTGCGCCGACTTGTTTAAAAACAAGTCGGTAGGTATCACGGACATGAAATATCAGCAACCTGGGATGCCAGCCAAAATTTTGATGAGAATAAAGTACCTTCGGGCGTTAAAAACTTGCTGGCATCTCAGGTTGGTGGTATTCCATGTTGGTGATACCGACTCGCGATAGCCACAAGCTTAAAGCTTTGAATAGCCGTTGAGTATATAAATTTAGTTTAGCGAACGAGGATTTTTGTAAACACTAAAAAAAAAAAAAATTCCACACCCACAAAAAAAGGTTTCAAAGACAAAACTCGGAGTCGTCGATAAATCGACGACTCTTCCAAACCAGCAGCCTGTGCAAGTTTTAGAGAAGCTATAAGTCCATCTGGAAATCTGTCAACTGAGCTAACAGTATATTAGATAACCTTGGGTTTTCCGGACTTAATATGGAAAGGTTTTGCTTATTTAACTCTATACAAGGCTGTGGGTGTTCCTACCTGAAGTGGGTTTAGCGTGATAAAGACGCGAGGAGAGTTGAAGGTGCGGTTTAAGGCTACGTCATTTGGATATAATCTCATAGGCATTCACACTGAAGATTGGTATACAAATGCTATCTGGATTTGCATTTGAGATCATGATGTGCTTGTCAAGGTTCCGGGCCGAGCTGTCAACATCTGCATCATAAGGCTGAAATAGACGTAGGAAGAAGTTAACCAAACGAGAGAGAATCTAGGAGAGCCAAGAACTCAGTCAGTATCTTTCTAGGAATCTGCACTTCTAGAAAAAATGCCATGTGCTGCCTTATGGACCATCTCCAGGAAGCTGCCACCTAAGTACCTCCTTCAAGATCTAGACAATCGTTTCGAAAGTGAATTTTTGAGAATTTGGGAAAGCCACGCTAAGAGACGCGACTTCGCGCCTCGAATCTCCAACCAAAAACACCAACATTCTCACAAGCTCTTCAAGATCGTCTTCACACTAACAAGTCCTGGAAAGAGGCTGTCCTTCTGTACGTTGAATACACCTTATTGGAAAGGTAGATTCCTTGATCCGTACAAAAGCTGATCGATCGTAACTTCCAGGCACCAGAAGAAGAGAAGCAACACATTCACATCATGTCTGACGGCGCAGAGTCATCTGCAAAGAAGAAGCAGAAGGTTGAAGACAAGAAGGTGCTCTTGAGGGATGTCCCTGCTACGAAGTTCCTAGAGTAGGTGCCTAATGGCAATGACTTCAACAAGATTTGTTGTATATGGTAATACTCTTTACTAGCATGATTCACCTCTTCGATGGACCGAAGGTCGTTATCACCGTCGAGGGACAGAACTTCAGTCTGCCAAAAGCCCTCTTGTGCTACCATTCGCCATTCTTCGAACGAGCTTTCAATGGTGGTTTTAAGGAAGCAACGGAACAGAAGATGTCGATGACGAGCTGCTCCCTCGAAACGTTCAAGCTCTTGATACAGTGGTTGTACACGTCGCACGTCGAGCTAGGTGACATGGGATCCAAAGAGGATGAAGGTGTCACGATTTCCACTGAGCCTGGCGAGGTTTCTAATGAACACCCAAGCAGCCGACAGATCACCATCTTGCTATCATTCATCAAGCTGGCTGACGAAATCCAGCTACTGGGCTCCGTTGATGAGATTGTCGAGATGATGAAGAAAAAAATCATCGACACTCGAAGCTGCTTAACGACCCAGCATATTCGAATGGCAGCCGATCTTCCCAAAGGCCACGGAGTCAGGACTCTATTCGCGCAGGCATGTGTCAAAGATTATGCTCCATACTTCTTCAGTAGCCGATGGCACCGTGGGGGCTTATGGTTTCGGGCCGAGTTGAACGAACTAGATGGATTTGCAGCAGACCTAATGAGGGAGCTTGATGTGGTTATGGAAATTCATGGGATAGGTTACTCTGGACGGAGTGCTAACCACACATTCACAGACCCCCTCACGAAACAAACAGTGCCTTTGAAGTCCTTTAAATGATAGGGTCTCGATATATGGTACCAGTGTTGTATTCGGCGGGGTCAACATCTAGTCATGCTGAACAAAGAACACTAAAAGCGTTGGCCAGGCTAGCAGGCAGTGTGTAGCAGAGCTCATGCGAATGGAACGTTTATGATGAAGAATATTCATATGTGCCCAGAGTGAGACAGTGAAAGAAATGCACATGCCAACCCCTGAAGTCAGCCTCGCGTTGAAATAAGTTATCCGCAATAAACGGAGATCATCGCTTGAAAGCCGATTGATGAATTGGGAAGCTGCGTTCACATTCGTGGAGATCAAAGATTGCTTGCTGCCTCGATTTCCCTTGTTGCCTTCCATCTTTGGTGATAACCCTGAAGGCCGATTACCCGACCTTCTCCAACCTTCGGAAACCAACCCTCACATGCCTCATCTCTTCACACTCCAACCACAAGATTCATCATCAAGTAAGAGCTTCGTGTAAGCCGTCAGAGGCAGCTCGAGCGATGTCTTCCACTTCCACAATGGGCAATTCTCCATCTGTCATTCAGGAAATTGGTACTAGTTCTCCCAAGCAATATTGTTGCCATTTGAGCGAAGCTGACTTGCAATAACAGACTCATCTTCTGATAATCCTTTCGTAGTACACGAGGACACTCTAGGAGAGCGAATCGCCGCCGATACTCTCCCTGGTACTTCGAGCAAGCGTCTGTCAGAAAACGACCAGGCTGCGAATGAACCTCGGCCAAAGCGTCGAAAGACAGAGCAACCTGAAGTCCTGCTCAAGAACCTCCGTGCAGATGAATTCATTGAGTAGGTGCAAACGTTTGTCGCGCATATCCGAAATTGACAAGGCAATACAGCAAGATTGCACTGTACAATACTCCAATGATCACGGTAGTTCTCGACCAAGGAGAATTTTTGTTGCCGAGAGGACTTCTCAATTACAACTCCGAGTTCTTTGACCGAGCCTTGAACGGATACTACAAAGAGGCAACACAAGATTTCATTCTATTGCCTGGTTGCTCAATTGAGTCCTTTATGCTAGTAACTCGATGGATCTATCACGCGCAGATCGTGCTTCCCCGCTTCGAAATCACTTCCAAGAGTAGCCAAACTTCCAATAACGCTAGAGAGCCGCAGATCCGAGACATCAACGATGAGGAATTCGTCGACAGTGACGAAGACCCTGCTTGGTTGGAAAGCCATGCTCGTGACAGCGTCGAGACCAGACCACGTCCACCTGATACCAATGCACAAAAGATCTCCCGACTCTTGGCTTTCCTGAAGCTCGCCGATAGGATTATGCTGTTGGGTCCCTTTGACAGTGTCTTAATGGCAATCAAGGAATTAATCTTGAGCGATCGAAATTGTTTGGAAGCTGAGCATGTACGTTCCGCCGCTGAACTACCAGCGGGACATGGAGCTCGCAAACTATTCGCGCAAGCTTGCCTTAGAGACTACATCACGAGCATCTTTCCGAAGTCAGATAAGGACACTTTCAGATTCGCCAAAGAATTGGAGGAACTGGAAAGCTTTTCAAGCGATTTGTTCCAGGAATTCAATCGTGTTCTTCTCGAGAAGAAGACCGAGGTGTTTTCGAGGTACCCAACACGCCACCAGTCAGTCCTAACTGATCCGATGGATGGTTCGTGGATCATGTGCAGGATAGAGAACAATGAAGTGTGGCCAAAGGCCTACTGATGTAGTCTAATTGGGGTAAAACTTTGCTGCAATTACGGGGCAAGATTTGATATGTTGATGACAGTAGGCTTTGCTTGAAGGACATAATCATTATATTGCAGAGCATATACTAGTTGTAAGACAGCTGAGAAGATGGGGCAAGCTTGTCTCCTGAAATAAACTTTTGTCAGCTCGGGTAAACCGTCAAATGGCGTGGCATCTATCGTATCTTATATTGCCTTTCTGAGCTTGGTTTCTTCGCATTGTTAAGCAGAGTAAGACGAAAGTCGCCGGATCGGCTTTACATAAGCCGAAGCATGTGCTGAAAGATATATACAACTGCTGGATCTTCGAAGATCGGACCCAAGATTCGATTCTGTTAAGTGTGACTCAAAATGACAATAATTACACAGATCGAGATTGAGGCTCCTCCCGAAGAAGTCTGGAAAGTGGCAAGTATTTTCATCACTGGACAGAAACGAAAGCTAATCACGTGAACCAGTTCCTCGACTTCGAAAACTGGCCGAAGATCAAGAGCGACACGATAAAAGCAGTAGCAAGACAGCCAGGACATCCCGAAGGACCGATCAAAGAAGGAGAAGTGCTGAATGTAAATTTTGGCATCAATAGCACGGTCACTGTACTAGTGAGTACTTGCCATCTTCCAGCCGACCCGGCCCTAGTTCTGCATGCAAGACAAGCTCATGACCATTTTCTTACCAGGAAAACTCTCCTAGCCAGTTTAGGTGGCGGGGTGATATGCTCTATGTGATGTGAGTTCTTGCTTGCTTGTTTAATGCAACTTGCGATTTTTGTCTTGTCGACACATTTAGGGCTTATGGCTGTTCTCAGCTGCACAGCTGCACATCTGCAAAGTTGAGGCGGTGTCTTTTTCTGGCAAGTCGCCGAGAGTAAGAACTCACTGAGTACGTAGTGTCTTGAGGCACATCACACCTATTTGTCTATTCTCGTCATGAAACAAAATTCCCCTGCAGAAACAGAAACAAACGCACAAGCTTTCTCCTTTCGAAGTTTGTTTCAACTCCGCATGCAAGCTTAAAATAATAACAGGCAATTTTGCTAATACTAGAATAATCTTTCAGATCTGGTGAACACACCTTCCGGTTCGAGCCAAGCAAGATCACTCCCGGCGGAACGACGTTCATCAACTCCGAAATCCCGTTTCGTTTAAATGTGCTGTTGATGAGGCTTTTGCCGGCGGAAAGCATGTTCCAGCAGTTCTGTAAGGACTTTAAGGCTAGAGTTGAGAGTGCTGTGAAGAAGGAAGCAGGAGGAGGCACGACGACGACGCTTTGAATGCGGGTTTGAAACAAAGTGGCTGGCTTGATTGGCAAGAATAGGGGAGATATAGACAAGGAAGGAGAAGGGACGGAATGTTCTTGGAAGGTTGCAAGGTACCCTCTCGGAAATTTGTCGTGAGATAGGTACTGTACCTAGGAACGGAGATGTGACCAAGATGTGATGTTCCTTGCATCAAATCCTGATATGTGCCGGCGCCGCGTGATTGCCGTTACTCGTTAGTGTATTCCCCGTCCGAGATTGAGTTCTTGGGACGGGGCATGGCATGGGGAGGGACTCGTCTCGTGCTTGCTGAGCAGTAACGGCATTCTCATTACACATCCCGGATCTCAACAACATGAACTGGGATTGGAACATCGACTTGAGATCTCATCTCTATCCAAGAGGGATAACCCACGTACTTACAACCCCTCCCAACCATCCAAGCAACCTCGCGCGAAAAGGCCAAAACAAAAAGCAACGAACAACAATTGCCGCCCACGGAAACCCCTCAAGTCCCATCCAAGTCCAAGCAGCAGCGCACACTACATGCGTGCGTCGTTCTGCACACACTCTCCCATCCCATCATCCAGCGCTTAACAGCCCCTCCGCCCACCCAATCACGCCGCGCCCCCGGCCCCGGTCGTCACATCCACGCAGGAGATCAGCTGGTAGGTTCGGGCGGCGCTTAAAGGCACGAGACTAGGCTTGGCTAGGCTAGGATCCATGTAGGTTACCAGATGCCTGGAGTGCGAGACCCCGTGCCGCTTTAGGGGTGTTTCCAAGAATAGGACGCTTAAGGTTAGGTACAACCTGGGTAGGGATTTTGATTTGGGGGGTTAGGCGGGGTGATGGGATCTTTTTTTTCGTAGGCTGTTGGAGCTTGTTGTATGGAGCGAGGGGATACAGAGCTGAGTTATGCTTACCTACAGGATACCTAGGTAGGACAGGACAGACAGGCGAAATCGTGGGCGCGCATGTGGCAGCAGTGGGGATCGCGATTGTCGATCTCGGAATGGATGGATGGATTGATGGTTGGTTGTTTTTGTTGGTTGGGGCATTTTATTGATCGATTGTACGTATGTAAGGTACGAGGACGTGAATAGATGGCCGCAACCCAAGCAAGCCTTCGTTGGAGAGATGCATGGCCGCCGAATGGGCTTTGTTGATGGCGTAAACAATTGCGAATTCATTTTTTTTCGACAGGTCTCATATTTGGTTCTGTTTACTACCACAACAAATATTAAGGCGTCGCCGACAAACATGATCCAGAAATCAGTCAAGATTGATAAGATTTATTGGTATTTGTTTGAATTTCATTGCTTATTGTGGTATCACCTCCCACGCCCCTCTTTCTCCAAAAAAATGTGCGAAGTCAAGATCCAATCCATTCCTTTCCCTGTCCCAATAGAACTCCGAGTGAACGCCATAATTCGCCCCATAAACTAGCCACACGTTCGCCATGTCAAATAGGCCCTCCAATGACAATGGCTTGACTTTTCGAAAGTCAAGAAACCTCCCGGTTTGCTCTCTTCGAGAACCCGATGTGGTTTTTACCTTACTCCAACGATGCTCCAGGCCAAGCGCCGAGCAAGATAGTGTAACGAGAAGGGTGACGTTTTCCTCCCTTCCCAACGTTTCCAAATCCCCTCTTTATTTTCATGAATGAACAAGAAATGAAGGCGTGAACTCGTAAATGGCGGATATAGTGTGTGTGTGGTTGCGAAATATATGAGATGTTGTTGTTGATGAACGTAAATATGAGATGAATATCCCCACAAAGCAAACGTGAATCCGACATTGCGTTAACCATTAATGACTGCAATCAGTCGATCTTCCTCCTCTTCCCCTTTGGTGCGGGTGACATTCGTGGTGTATATGTGACAGTCCTCGTTACAATCTCCCTCACTTGTCTGATACTTGATCGTGCCGATTTGGGAGACTTGATGTCGAAGTATCTTCCTTTGGCCTTCAGGTCCCAGTCATACGGAGACCGAGCACTCCGCGCACTGAAAGGGGAACGAATTGCAGATGTTGCGCTTGCGCTCAAGGGTGACTCGGCGGTCGAGAAGGCAGGTGAAGGTGGTATCCGCAGACGTCCTAATCTGCCAGTTGATGGAGCTGAAGATGGGAATACAAAGGTGGCAGAAGACGGAACCGCTGAGGTAGGTGATTTATGTGTATCGCAATTGCATGAGCAGTCGCTATGCTCGCTGGATCCGGTGGAGGGAGCGGAAGTAGGTGTGGTTCGTCCAGAAGACTTGTCCCCAGTGATGGGGCTCATGGTCTTGAGAAAGTCCGTATATGCAGTAGGAGGAGTGATGGGTGTCTTTAGAGAGTCCTCCTGTTTGATGAAGTCGGCGAATCCAGGATACGGACTCTTTGCGGATAGCGCAGACAACTCCGATGGGAAGGTCGAAGTCATTGGCGTCTTGAGCTGTGCAAGCTTGGGTTTGGTCGAAGGAGGCATCTTGTCTCTTCGTCCAAGGTAACGAGTGTCCGTGGATTCAAAGAACGTCGACTTGGAGACAAGAGACCTCAAGCTGCAAAGTGATGACGGGGGATCCGTAAGGGAGGAAGGAGATGTTGTTGGGTGGTGTGGGAGTATTATAACGTGCCGACAGAAAGGCAGCGTCAGAGTAAGTGAGGGATGTTTTTTCCCCGTAACCTTACAGCTGTGGCAAGTGAGCGCGTCCGTGTGGCAGGCCTGCACTTGACCGATATAGCAGCCAGTGCTATGTGGGCCGGGAGATAGATGAAGGCGGCGCTTGGGGGGCCGGCAATGTTGGCTGCACGAAGCTGCAGTGTGCAGCAACTTTGTTGTGCTTGGAGTAGTAGTGGTGAGAATGGGAGCGTGGATGCGATGGGGATGGTGGCTGATGGTTGGCTGGGATGAGAGGGGTGTGGTTGTGGTGGTGGTTCTGGTCGCAGCCGTGGTCGTTAATAATTAAGCGACGGGAAAAGCAGCGAGGGAGTGATGCAAGAGCTGCAAGAGGCCGTTGTTTTTCGGGAACGAAAGGGCCCTGGCCGGCGCGGGAGAGATGTCAACCCTAGTCGCGATTGCTGGTCGCTGGCTGCCAGCGAGAGACAAACAAACAAACACACCTCAGAATTGTGCTGTACTGTGCTGTGCTGTGCTGTGCTGTGCGGTCTGGAGTGGAGGGACAAGGACCAGGACCAGGAACCAGACGCTTGAGGGGCCTGTCGGAAACACTGCTGATACGACGCGCTGTGATTCGAGAGGGTCCTCACCGAGTATCAGAACAGACAGAGCAGAACACCGCCAGCGATGCACACAACGAGGGTATCGTATACGGGGACGGGTACAGCAGCGACTGAAGGTCTGCAATTCCGACGCTTGATTGGCGACGAGCAGCTGAGAGGGCACGAGCGGGCTTCGACTTCGGATTGGACGTGATTCGCGCCTCCCCAGTGCAGATGAATAGCGTTTGGGAGAGAGCCGTCCGTGATTGGCCGAGGGGGGCTGGCAGGCCTCGTGTGTGTGAACAGGCTATACTTAGAACGTCCTCCTCTGCTGGCACTCTGCGGCGCGAAGACTGTGAAAGCTGTCCGATGGCAAGAGCTGTCTCCTGTCAGTTATTGGTTACAGGGAGGTAGCAGTTGCAAGTCACTGACCGCGCCGAATGTCTTCGCCACTTCGTTCGGGTTGTTAGCTCCTGTGAGATTCGATAAGATGCAAGGATGGTATTCTTGTTTGCTCCGAGAGGATGGTTGCTGGAAACTAATTGCGTGGTGGTTGAGCGTGAAACCCGTCAGATTTGTTGTGACTTGTTGGTTTGCAATGTTTCTATGACTGTTGGAAACAAGCGTTGGGGGACGGACGGACGAAGGATTCGAGAAGGTCTACTCGGAGAAATGTTGTCTTAGGATTTTGCTTTCATTATGTAGACATTTCACTGCCTCTTCTCTGCCTCTGCCTTTGCTTCTGATACATGGCCCGCGCGGCACCATTTTGTTTAATCTTCAAGTCCATTTCTAGTTGTCGAATCATCAATTATCTGCAATTCCATTTTGCTGCCTTTCAACGGTCGTCTTGGTCTGGTCGAAGACTCCCGCGCGCTTTGTGGAGGACAGGGATGCAGCCGCCAGCCACCACGACGAAGACGGTCTTGCGACGTTGGGAAGAGGCTCAAGATAGTCATCTGAGTGGCTGGCATCTGTCCTTAGTCCAATGACAACCGCCATTCAAACTCGATGGACCTGAGAGAGGTTAGCAGGAGCGCGCGTAGATGACCCTACGAGGACCGCCAGCGTTGTCGAATAAGAGGGCTTCGAGCGAAGTCCTTCCTGACAACCATATGTGGCTGCTCCCTTCCCCTCTTTGCGGCCAACTGAAGGAAGCTTTGCACTTAACGCCACGGATGTGTTCAAGCGCAGAGGATCCATTCGAAAGGGTTGACTGGATTGCGGCGGGAAGGCCATTTTTGATGGCCTCAAGATCGTGGGCCTCTTGGATGCGGCCGGATTAAAGTATCATCCAATGTCGCTCAACGTCCAAACGAGCGTCTCTAAGTGGGCTATTCTTGATCGATACCAACCGTCTGGTACCCGCCGAGTTATCTTTATCTCCAACTTGATGTATCAACCTCAAAACATCGTGCAAAGGTCTGGAGACTTGCTCCTCATGTCCAACTTTGTTGTTGAAACTAGAGTTTGAAAAAGAGTCGCTGTACTGTTTGCATTGATTGAGATTGAACCTTCAGACTCGCAGTTTGCATGCTCATGTTCAGACGGTTAAGGCTGCAGCCGTCCTCGACTGTGACCCTGTAGACGCCGGGAGTCTTGCATAGCCATGCAAAGAATACAAGACCCAAGGTCTCAAGCCACGACGAGATCCATATTGCCGATGAAGAACATCACGGATCCTTCGACGAGGGTCAAGTGTGCCTTTCCAGCCGACGGTGTGCAACCATCACGGGGAAGCCGTGACGTTGCATGTGCTTGCTTTCAATTTAGCGCCTGCAATTGACCTATATCAGTCCAGTGACCAGGTCTGTGATTCTGGGAATCAGGAAGATCTTTCAGCCACCTTCTGGGATATTAGAGAAAGATTCAAGCGGCGAGGACTGGCACGTGATTGGGATATCTTGGGGACCACCTTCAACCGTGTGACGGGCCTGGGCGCTTGAACAAGTATCTTCAATCCAATGATCAAGAGATAGATTGTGATTCCAGCTCGGATTCGGCACGGGTACCATCACTGGATCAAGATCATGAGAGTTTTGCTTCGTGGCTGAATGGATGGTGGACGACGTGGGCTCGACATGCTCCTCTGAGGAGTGAAAGTGGGAAATAGCAAGGCATACACAGCACATGGCATGTGATCTTTCAGCATCCCTTGCTACGTCGAAAACTATTGTGTCGAATGACAGACCTTGCGTGATGTATTCGACTGGGAAGCAGCAGTTATCTATGACGGCGAGCATCACACGGGTGTCAAATATACATCGGGAACGTGCTGTGTTAGAGTGCTAGGGTGACAGCGCATCGCCGGCCTTCTTTCTGGCTGGGGACTTGTGAGAACAGGACTGCAGGTATGTCACGAAGAATCAATATGATCCGATATTGGAAGCCAGGCTATGAAGCCATACCGCTGGGACCAAGAGTGGTAAATTAAGCCTCGAGGCCGCAGTCTACTCGGGGACATGTAATTATCTCTTCATAGTCTGTGTAATTGGGGCTCATTCGATGAATTAATTACCCATCTAGGTGAATCTCATGTTGTGTCTCGTTGGTTATCTTTGCCCTTCCATCAACGGCTAAGGTAAAGTCGACTGCAGAACTAATATTACATAGCGAATGTTCTCTGAAGCTATCATGTCAAGCCTTCCAGAGTAGAGGCACAGAATTGTCACGTTCGTTCAATAAATCATTCAATCTCTTCAACTTTCGAGGCTTGGCCCTTTCAAAGTCCTGGCCATCGTCAATCCGCAAGATGAACATTTACGATATTGACGAACATAATCCTACTCTCATTAAAGAAATTTTATTTGACTTTGCTTCCCAGTCTGGTGTAGTTACCAAAGGTTTCCAACTGTAGACTGACATCCATCAACAATTCACTGCAGTTTGGTACCTTGAAATGCCTGTCGTGTGTCCAATATGATATCTGCAATCTGGGATCTTTTGATTAGCTCATCGGCATTTTTGACAGCTTAGACACTCTTTGTTTAGCTCAGACTGAGGATACATGACCTAAGAGCCGATTGAGTTGACCACATCTAGCCCGCTGAACGCGCTGGTTGCGCTGGTTGCGCTGGCTGCACTGATTGCGCGTTCAGCGTATATAAGTCAACATAGACTTACTTTATAGTTGTAGCTGTAAGTTATCTTAAGCTAAATTGTGACAGAAAGAAGTTTTGGAAAATACGAGATTTGAACCAAGTATTGGCAAGATTTCTAAAGTGTGCAAGACCTCTGTTGTACTTCGTCTCATACGGCACTCGCAGCATTACCGAATGAAGTGAAGACCCCTATTTTCGGCTCGGTAGCGAGGTGGGTCCGGGCTAAGAAAATCATGAACCCCACTACGATCTTCTCATCCGTTTTTTCCTATTCTTTACCCCGCCATCGACAACATCGACTCGAACACAACTTCAGATTTTCTGTCTCAACACATTGCACATTTTCTAAATCTCACCTCTATACCCACCAATCGCAAATCGTCGAGCAATACAAGCCAAAATGCACGACCCACCAACCACCAAAGCAACAGTCCTCATCAGCGGCGAAGGTACCAACCTCCAAGCCCTCATCGATGCCTCCAAAACCACAATGCCCTACCTAAACATCATCCGCGTAATATCCAACAAAGCCAAAGCCAACGGACTGAACCGGGCCAAAGCAGCCTCCATTCCAACCACCTACCACAACCTGATCAGCGGCAAGTACTACGAGTCCGGCGAGCAGGACCCGGGGAAGAAGAAAGCTGGGCGCGAAAAGTACGACGCGAAGCTGGCGGAGATCGTGCTGGCTGATTCGCCGGATATCGTGGTTTGTGCGGGCTGGATGCATGTTCTGAGTCCTGAGTTCTTGGATCCATTGGCGGAGAGGAAGGTTCCCATTATCAATTTGCATCCCGCGTTACCTGGGAAGTATGATGGGAAGGATGCTATCAAGAGGGCGTATGATGACTATCATAAGGGGAAGTTGGAGAATAACAGGACGGGGATCATGATTCATTATGTAAGGAGTTGGGTTTTTTCTAGACTCATGCTTCTGAGCTATTGATACTTGGGGATGTTTGTGGTGCTAACTACTTATAGGTAATCAGCGAGGTGGATCGAGGGACCCCGATTGTGGTTAGGGAGATTGAGTGTAGGACACCAGAGACGTTGGAGGAGCTGACGGATCGGATACACGGGCAGGAACATGAGCTTATTGTTGAAGGGACTGCAATGGCGATACACAGTCTGTGGGAACAGAGGTCGAAGGAGAGCTGAAATGCAAAAGAAAGACACGGAAAATGTTCGCATCGACCTATTTTTGGAGACCTCGAAGATGATACTAGATGAGGAAGAAAAGGCGTTTGGCGTGGAAAGCACGAATCAAGTTCGTTTGTCGTGTCATAAGGAACATGGCTAAGTGGAGGGATGTGCTACAAATGCTCCTTTGGAAGACTTGAAGACTTGGAGACGTAGATCTGGATAGCCATTACTTCCCTTGAGAGCTTGCTTCGATCTCAAGATTTCAAGAAAACCATCACGGTCCGTGCCAAATGCATTGTTGGCTTTTGCGAGCTTCGTTAGCAAGTGGGCCTAAGCTCCACAGCTATGCAGATTGAGGCTTTGGAGTGAAAGGCTGTCCTTCGTACCTAGGTAGACATCGTAGATTCAAAGGACAAAGAGTGGAAAAGCAAATTGCATAATGAAAACCCAAGTAACGATGAGGCTACCGTGTACCATGGATCTTTTTGCATGGGCCAAAGCAATGCTTTTAAAACTATATCCTGGGCCTTCTAAAATGGATTTACTCACAAAAGGATTCCAACCTATGTGATTCCTATAGCTAGAAGGGCGAGCAAACGTATACCATTTGTTTTGATGACAGAAAGAAAATTCACGAAATCTTCCCAGCCGCCCACTCTCTCCTCTTTACCCCCAACTCCACAGCCGCGTGTCCCCAGTCCTCTCCGTGATTATGGCCCCCACTGGTAATACCTGCCCTCGCTTTTGCCTGCTCCTCATTCAAAACCGTCAGCAGCCCGAAAATCAATGGGACGCCCGTATCGAGCTGTACTCTCATGAGGCCTTGCGATACTGCTTCGGCTATGTACTCGAAATGCATTGTCTCGCCCTTGATCAGGACGCCGATCGCGATGATGGCGTCGAATGGACCGGAGGAGGTGGTGCTATTGCCTTTGTTGTCAAGGGATAGTGCTGTGAGGTCCGTGGTGCTGCTTCCGAGGAGGTCGCCGGCTCCAAGGGAAGAGGAGGTTGTGGATTGGATTTGGGATGCGGAATAGAGTCTGAGCAAGAGATGACCCTTAGTTTTTGTGCTGCATGGTCAGGATGTAAGACGTACTTTGAGCAGGCGATGGGCAGTTCCCAGGAGCCTGGGACAGATTGGATGACTATGTTCGATTCCTTAACTCCCGATGCGAGGAGCTTGGCTTTCGTGCCGGCGATGAGGGGTTCAATTATAGCTGTTTGAGCTGGTTAGAATTCTCTTTTCTCTTCTGTGGTGGGGTGAGATTGAACATACTTGTGTTCCAGCGAGCGTGCACGATGCCAATACGCAAGGCGCTACCATCATGCTGTTGAGCTTCTCCTGGTCCTTTGAGTGATGCCATTTTGTTTCGTTCTGCGGGGTTGCTGTATGTGATGTTTCTGTTTGCTTTTTGGTGTAGTGGGCTGAAGTCCGTACCTGGATGAGGGGCACAGGAGTGGAGCTGATTCCCGAGAGCTTGGACCACTGTGTTTTAAGAACGTCACAAAGTTGTGAAGCTTGCGACCGTACACTTTATATCTGACAGCAATGCACCCTTGACCTTGTTGTTCGTCTTGTCTTCTCGATGCTTACTTTCGCGGGCTGAAAATCGAGTCATAAAGCAACCACAATGGCAGATTCGAAGCAGGCTCTTGGGCCGTGGGTTAGGTTGGAGGGAATTAGTATCTCACAGTTGCCACCGGGTGGGAAAGGGGTGGAGCCTGTCAATGCACCTTCTTCGACGGAGAAGTACAGTGATAGATCAGGATCTATAGCTGCGCCAAGTCTTACGGGGCTGATTACGAGCGTTTTGACCGAGTCGATTCCGTTCATTAATGGTGTTGCGCCGAAAGATGGAAGTACACCAACATGGAAAGTCAAAGGTTCGCCGAAGAAATATGCATCGTCAGAAGCTCCGGTTCATCTATCAGAGCGAGTCGTATCAGGGAAGGAGTTGGATAAGGTAGATGGGATGAGTCAATTCAGTGCGGATAGGAAAGACGAGACTTGGTTCTGCAGGAGGAGTTGTCATAGGAATGCTGCAGAGAAGGGAACTGCTAGCTGGCAGGAATTCGTACACAGCTTCAAGGAACATCATGCCGAAACCGAGGATGCGTTTACACCAACAGTCATTGGGGCAAGACAAGCTATGAGTTGGAATACAAACGGGATCGAAGTCAATGTTCACGGGGGACAATGGACCAATATCACACTGGTTTTGGAGGAGATGAAGCATAAGATCGACCCCAAGCCGCTCAAGAACCGAACATTTCCTGTTCTTCAGTTATCGGCAACACTGGCTGGAGCCGAAGAGTTTCTTGTCGTATCGATACCCATCAATGATTTCAACAAGTCACCCTACGCCGAATATGCAAAGGATAAGAGCTTGGTCATGGCTGCATATACTTCAGTAGAGCGAATTCGAGTTCTTCCAAGCAATGGCGACATCGAATGGATTATGGCTACGGCCTCAGATGCTGGAGGTGTTCTGCCTCAATGGATGCAGAACTTGGCTGTTCCAGGTGCGGTTGCTAAGGATGTTGAAATGTTCTTGTCATGGATTCCGAGTCAGAGAAGTGGTCAAGGCCAGTTGGAGAAGAAGCTCCCGGATGCACCTGGTAATAACGGTGCTCCACCACCTATATCGAAGACAGAACCTCAACCAGGTATATCTCGGAAGGATTCCTCAAACAAAGAATTGCCAGCTGCCCCGATGCAGTGAGATGGAGTGTAGGAATAGGACATGTATGCTTTGAACACAGCGACTTAATGAATATCTCGGGCTTAAATGAGCTTTGATTCCATTCCTATCAGAGGACGTAATAGACATTAAGTATGTCAATGTCAATTGAAATTCCAGAAACATGAATGTCTATAACCATGATGAGCATTGGTACAGTGACAGACATTGAAATTCACCATTTTGTTCAGCCTTACGCTAGTCCGCTCTAGCTTCATAGCCTTGCCTCAATACATCGACCCTGGAACGCTCTCCTTGATCATCTTTCCGACAACATCTTCAGCATCGCAAAAATGGCAATCCAAGAAATTGTTTCTGATCCAGAGCTCAGGATCGCTCTGGAGACCTCAGCCCAGACTCGAGAGCAGGCGCTTGATCTTCTCGATCAGATCTCGAAACATCCGTCTACCTCTCGCAGCGCCGAATTGCAACGACAAATCTCGAGACAGCAGAAAACTCTCCAGACCCACCTGGGACAACTTCGAGGCCTTCATCGAGATGCGCACGTTGGTGCTCGGCAGACAAAGGCATTGACGACAGAGGCGCGTCAACAGGTGGACAAGCTACATTTGCAATTGCAGAATCTATACTACGAGCAACGACATCTACAAGGAGAGATCACAGCATGCGAGTCCTACGAGTAAGCCCCAGCACAGTCAAGCGCATACGTTCACGGCACTGACAATGATTCGCAGTCACAAGTATCTACAATTACCTCTGATCCCGGTCGAACAATTCCTAGCAGAACATCCTGAGCATGCTGATGCAGACGAAGTTGCTTTGACCATTGCGCGCATCGAACACGAACATGCAGAACGCCTGGCTCTTGAAGAACAAAGGCAGGGTCTCCTGAAGAAGAAGCAAGGTCTTATCGCGGACAACAAAAAGAGAAAGGAGGATCTTGCAAACCTCGACAAAGATCTCGAGAAGTTCATCGATGTATGTCTACCAAATCCGTGTTCAAGATGAGGCTAACATATTATTTCAGGCTGCCAAACCGATACAGAAGACCTTTGAGAAGGTAGTGTGAGACGAACGTCGGTGTAGGAGTATAGCCAGAGCGATTACGGTTGGAGTTTCACCAGCACGTCCAATTGCAGTGCTATGCATATTTCTCAGCAGCAGTTCACGACTGAGTGCATAGCAGCTCAGGCCTCAGATCAGCTTCATTCGCTATATCTGGCGAACGTTGTCCACGAGATCTTACAGGACGGCCGATCCTGCGATGATGGCGTCCTTAGTGCAGAAGAAGACCAGCGCTGTTGCGAAGGGTAAAGCCATCTTTGCGGTCCACTTTGGTACGATAAATGAAGAAGACATCTGATCCAACTTTATATGCCTAATCTTCTAGTTTCTTGTCGACTGTCAACATCAAGTTAAGCCCATATTTTAAATTGTTACTACCGCGTTCGCAGATTTAATGGAGAAGTTTCTCTGGAGCTTTGGTCTTCACACTGCCGGTACTTTGCCGCATCATCTCAGCTTACAAGCTGCATTCCACTCCAGAGCACCACTGATTGGCAGCAAAATGTTGCACGGCTGCCCAAAGCAATGAGATTTTACGAGCAGCTACGAAGGAAAGAAAGCCATGCACGCCCTCGGGATCAAGAAAGCAAGGCTGTGTTGTCGTGGCCAATTAGTTGGATGCTTCAACCAACCCCAGTTGGACATCCTTTTAGACTCTTCAGGGGGCTGAACCTTACCCGCAGACGCGGGCGGCGAGGGGGTGGATTGAGTGGCTCGCTTAAAGGTAGGAATGTTGAAAGACTGCAAATAGAGTCGAATATAGCACCGCCTTTTTCTTTGTTCTTGCTGGCTGGCACGCCATGCCTTACTTTGTTGGAATTCATCGCAGCCACAAGTGCCAGCTCCTCGGTATGCTTTTGACTCCGCCTCGACACCTTGTCGCAATATCTTGCAGAAAACTCTCTGAACCTCATCGGTTTCTGAAAACATTCATGTAACACAACCTCATGCTTCTATATCGTCAGTAATCTACTGAAGCAGTCATCTTTTCTAAACGTACCTCACTTCGATCTATATTCATCATGCATTTCCCCACAGAATTTCTCTTTCTAATTGCGCCTTTGTTCGTTGAAGCTCAAGGCACCCCATCATCGACTTCAACAGCCCCTGTTGCTACCCAGTCAATACAAGTGGGAGCAGTAAGATTTCAAAGTATGTCCGATCTGATCAATACTGATCAGCTTATATAGGAAGGATTAAGCTTCACCCCTCCCACAGTGACAGCGAACGTCGGCGATATCGTTGGTACGCATCCAGGCAACATTGGTATACAGACAATGAGGCTAATGGATATCAGAATTCCGATTTTACCCTCAAAACCACTCTGTTGCCCGAGCAGACTTCGAGACGCCGTGTATACCATATGAGGATACTGGACCCGGTCGAGTGGGATTCTGGTCTGGGTTCCAGCCTATTGCAGTTGTACTGTCGAACGTGCGTATGCCCATAACAGTGTATATCTAGCTCTGACTGACATAAATAGCCACCAACTTTCCAGGTGGTTATCAATGATACGGAACCAATTTTGTTTTATTGTTCAGCGCCTGGGGCTTGCATTAATGATGGTAAGATTCCTAAGTTTTCGAGTTCCTCTTCCGTCTTACAGTTGCTTTGTCCTTGGAAGTCTGGTGGACTTCTAGGCTTGCGACTTCTAAGTACGCTTGCTCTCTTCCCAGTGGTTTGGGTTTTGGGTCGTTCATTTTGCAACTCGGGCTGTGGAAGGATCTGACAGATAGCCACTTGACTGACAACACGAAATTCTTGTTCTTGCTCGAATTGAAAGACCCTTGCTAACAAGCATGCTTCTAGGCATGGTCGGAGTCATCAATCCCAACAGCACAGAGACTTTTGCAATCCAACAAGCTTATGCAAAAAACTCAACCCTAATGTTTAGTCCTGGTCAATACTTCCCTGCCGAAACATTATCAACAACAGCTACAACAGCCACTGCTACTTCTTCATCCACAGCATCATCTACCGCTAAGCCAACTTCGACTTCGCTCCCCGTTGCTTCATCGAGTCCTTCGCTCTCTGGCGGTGCTATTGCCGGCATAGCCATTGGAGCATTCTCAGTGCTAGTAATAGGAGCCGCCCTCATATACCTCTGCGGCCGTCAACGAACAATGGGCGAAATAATCCGAAACAGTCACTACCCACCACCCCCACCGCCAACCTATCAAGGCCACATGTCCATGACTTCCACAATATACCAACCCAAAGGACCAAATATGGAAGTCGACGCCCTCGGTTTCCGCACCTTTTCAGGCTCTCAGAATCCGTATGACCGCTCACCTGTAGATGAAGAGAGCTATCAACCGAGAAGTCCGCATGAGGATACGGGTCTCGGCGGTGCTGCGAGTCCTGATCTCGATAGTCCTTTGATTGGTAGACCGATACCATTGAGTCCTGGACGAGATGCTATGAGTCCGATGACGCCGATTGGGGATCGATATCAGTCGATAGTGTCGGATATCCCGCCGCCGCTAAGGTGAGTCTTTATAGCGAGTCGTTGAGCTTAAGACTGACATGCTGATTCAGGGTGAGTAGATTAACCGTGCCGGAACCTGAAGGCCCTCATGAGCTTTCTGTGGAGTCGGATAGGCATTATTTGCCGTATAAGAGTCCTGAGTTTACGGATCAGCGTCCGATATGAAGGACTGGTTCAAAAGTTGGGTCTTTAGCGTTAGGGAGCGATATGCCTATATGATATAAAGCGGAATGGTGTTGAAGGCGTTGAAGGTTTTCGATACCACAATGAGATTCTGATGTTTGAGCATATTTCTGCGCGTGTAGCTTAGTATAAATTAATTTGAGGCTCATTGCTAGGACAATTTATGGCTCTCCTGTAATACTATTTTCACCTTGTCGTCTTTTGTTATTGTCCATCGTCTTCTGTCTTTTGTGGAGAGAAATTGCTCTATGATTATTGAGGTGTTAAATATTGTAGACCATGTGCAATCAGCTGCCGCTTGAGCTGTGCAGTCGCGTAGCGCTTGACCTTTGACTTTCGAAGGACTTGTCATGATTGGCGGGCAGCGTGTCTTCGGATTCAAGCAGCAAAGTCAAGGATACTAGAAGTCACAGGCAAAGTCAAACCCGAGTCTGATCGGTCAAGTGAATTATATTACTACAAAGCCTTCGTAACATGAGCTTCAAAGCCAGAATCCAAAGCTCTTTAAACGCCTCTATGCAAATGCTACCATATAATCTTTTTCATCATCTATGAACCACGCGCTATGCGAAGTGCAACATCTCCCTCAATCCGCCATTATTATCTTTATCTTTCTTGATTCGCCACACGGATTTCTTCTTCTCTCTCTTCTTTGCCATTTCCTCCCAACCTTCTTCGTCGTCTTCATCAGAAACATTGCCTGACTTGTTGATTGCTCTGATGGTCGTGGAAGCGTTCTTGGTGTCCCAGTTTTGAAGAGCACCGGACATCATGGACGATGTCCTGCCCTTATTTTCGTTGGTTACTGGAGCTTGTGAGACTGGTCTGTACCTGCCAGGAAGGCCAACATTGCTTCGCTCAGAGGGTGCTATAGACGGAGCATAGCCGTTGCCTTGCGCATGAATGGATGGAGCATACAAGCTTCCTGGTTTATTCTGCATCCATGGCGCTGTGTTGGGCTCCAACATTGTCATTGCTCGTTGATGCTGAGGAGGAGCCGGGCGAAGTTGATGAGCACTACCTGGTCGTGGCATGTCACCCATGGACGCATGTGGCATATGTCCATTCTGTTGAGCTCCGCCGCCTGTCATCATCTGCATGAATTGCATCTGCATTTGCATGAACTGCTGCATCTGTTGCGTCATTTGAATCTGAGCTTGGTCTCCTGGGGTCAACATCATTGGAATAATCGGACCCATAGGACCCATAGGGCCCATGGGCATACCTCCACCCATGCCATTGTACATGCTACCACCCATCTGAGGTGGTTGCATACCCATGCCGTTCATGCATGGAGGCTGTGATGGTCCATATTCGCCTTGCATATTTGGACTGCCTCTTCTCATCGCTCTAGATCTCTCTTCAGATGCTATAACACCGACCAAGCCACCAGGAGGTAGACCTCTGGACGGCGCTCCACTGACGGAGCCCGATCCACCACCGAAAGACAAAGACTCCCGATGCATGGGATTGACGACACTGGCCCCAAAATAAGGGTCTTGTGGCAGATTCCTGGCAAACACAGGGAGATTGTTACCGCTACCTACAACACCACCAGCAGTCGATCCAGCTGAAGAGCGCAGGTTCGGATTGGAGCCCATACTTCGCATTGGTGGTTTGTTCTTGCTCGGGAAACCGTGTGCTTGCAAGATCGCTAACGGGACCTCCTCGTCCTCCTCTTCGGCCTCTTCGGATGACTTTCCTGACATTGCGAGGTTTGGACTGCTTTGTGTCGCAAACATACTGGGTCGAGAAGCTGCAGAAGGTGCCTCGCCTGTTACTTTCATCATCTGCTGTCGATAAACAGCCATGTGTGCTTCTTGTTTTCTTCGCTGCTTTGCCGCCTGCTTCGCCTTTTCGGCATCATCTTCGTCATCATCATATGTCTCATCTTCGTTATCCTCTTCTTTGTCTTTCGATTGCCCTCCTACACTCTTAAGTCGTTCTTGATCCTGCTTGTATCGCTCGAATTGTGCAGGCGTCATGACCTTGTTCTGCGGTGGAGTATTTGTTGCTGGTGTAGTCCAAGACTTCTTCATCTGGTAACGATTGGCAACATTGGCGGCGGCAGCAATTTGCGTATCGAACAAGTTGTCCTCGTCAGGTTTCTGCTCTGCTTTCTTTGCCCGTGGGGTTGTTTCTGTGGAAGGAGTTCTCCAGCTTGAATACGTGGTCGGCTCGTCCATTTTAGAATATGGAGAAGTCGAGGGGACTAGCCAACTATCGCGAGCCCTGTGTCCGGGATCATTAAGTTGTCGAGCCGCATTTATAGACTCTCGCAGAAGCCTGGCATCCTCATCTACAGATTCGTTGTATTCCAACGTAGATTGACGCTTAGGTTCCATAACCGCACTGCTCCGTCTTAAACCATTGTTAGCCAAACCGCCTGGTCGTGGCCTCGCGAAACTATTCGGAGATTCTATGTAAGCTCGGCCGTGTTGAGGCACTGGGGGAGGAGGCGTTTCGTTTCGGGGAGCGAATGGGGGCGGACTAGAGCTTGAGATTAGGCCATCCCGAGAATGCTGACTGCTCCAGGAATAGGGCGAAGCCTCAACTTCTCTATTTCTGTCGATGCTTAGAGCCGATGGCGGATTCAGTCGGTTGGCGGTATACGATCGATTCGCAGGTCCTGTAGGTAAAGTGTCCTGCTAAAATGTCAGAACAGAACTCAAAATCTCGGGTTCTCCGGCTTACTGGACTTTGCGACATGGCTCTATTGTTCTCGGCATCCATGACCACACTCTTTCTTTTCCCAAATCCAGAAAACATGTCTGAGAAATCTCCACCCAAGCTCAACCCGAGATCTCTATCCACAAGCTTTGGTGGGGTAGCTGTACTTGCGTAGCTGGACGCTGTGACGGCCCTTGATCTGCCACTCTGCTGTTCTTCTTCAATGGTTGGAGAAGAAGACTCCTTGGGTGGAGATGGCGGAGTCGGCTTATTTCGTCCCCAAGACAAAGTTCGGCCTGCATTTTTAAGGCTAAAGGCAGCAGTCGATTTGGGCACTGGAGGCATAGGAATATCGTTGAAGGGCTTGTCATGTGGAGATCTCCACTCCTCACGTCCATGCATATCTGCTGATGAAGGTGCCGTCGAAGCCGCACTCAACCGGGAAGAATTGTCTGTCGTAGAAGCAGTATTCGTATTGGAAGCACCACTGCCACTTTCACAAAATCAGCAATTTCTTCGTACAGTTCGCAACGAAGACGATGTATCCTTTTCTTGTCCAGTGTCATCCTCGCACCAGTTTGTGCTTACCGATTACTGCCAATGTTTTCGAACATGTTGTCGTCATCCAAATGCGACAACGGTCTCCTCCCTGGAGCTGCAATTGCCGTCTTTCCTAACTTTGCTCCTCCGTCGAAAGACTTGCTGCCGCTGTCTGGACGCTCGAAAACCTTGAATGAATGCTCTACCGGAGCCTCTGTGCCGTCCTCAAATGCATTTGCGGTCGATTTTCGCCGCCCGAAACCTTTTGGAAATTTAGGCATATAGTATATATAGGTGAAATGAGAACCAATTTCTTTCGTAGTCATACAAAAAGCTTGTTCAATTAGGAATCCAAAAATGGCAATCAAATTCGAATGCGTATAGATCTGCGAAACAGAAGGGTTGAAGAGGAAACAAAATGCCCGTATGCTGTGTTCGTAATAAAGTCGCACGAAAATGGAGAATGGTTCGTGATGGATCTCTTCTGTTGCAGAACGAAAGAAAGAGTCAGCGAACGTCAAACATTCATGCATGTATCCGACACTTGGATCTGGCGGGGGCTGTCCGAGTGGAAGTGAGCCGTGGCTGCTTGCATGCAGAGCACGATAACACTTCCTCGGGAATCTTCGTCTCAACCCAGAGTCTGGTGGTTGGGATGATTGTTGAAGACTCGCTAGCTGCAGATTGAGTGCTCCAGGTAGCAGGACAGTAGGCCGTCCATCACGCAGAAGTCATGGCGATGTCTTCCCTGATTGTTTTGTTGACAAGGCGGGTTGGGAGGCTGAAGGACGCTGATTTCGTGATCTATAAATATAGGTGGTCGAGACGCCTGCCAGCCCCCAGCCAGACCCTTCCTTGAGGAACGCGTTGGACAAAAGAGAGTCAGCACTCACCAGCCAAGACCGTAATCTGCAGTGCAGATGATTAGAGAGGATATCGACGTCGAGAGGTTCAATGTGTCGACGACGACAACGACGACGAGGGTGGAATGAAGAAAGAATTGAGACCTCGTGTTTTCCAGGCGGGCTGGAGCGTGTGCTCGATGTGACTTAGCGTCGATGTTAGTGAAAGGGGAGGCGGCTTTAATCAGCGGGCACAAAACGGACCTGACCGAATCCAGAAATATCAATCGAATTATATAAAAATTGATCAGGGTTGTCGATATTACATTACCCCGGGAAGCGAGTATTGTCTTGACGACGTTGAACTTTTCAGAGTTCGTGAAGATTTCAGTGCGATCGTTGGACAGAGTAGAAAGAAGCATATCCCCTCTTCCCGCCACTTGACAGACACCGTTTTCTAAAAAGACAGCTAAAAGTTGCAACGTCGAGCCCGTCAAAACTCTATGTTCCAAGTCTATTTTCCAAGGCAGCAATACTAAGGTTGTCGATGGCGCGAACACCGAGGCTATTGCATGATTTTCAGTCAAAGCCAAGGTTTGTACAACTTCAGATGGAGACTTTCAGGGCCCAGATAAATGGGGCATCGCCATGAATAAGTTTATTCTTGTACAAACTCTATCTGGGATGTTCTTAACGGTTTCTCAAGCTACACAGCCTTCTGAATTTATCTCTTACAGTCACCAAACATGTGGATCAAGAGAGTTAAGTATCAATTTGTTACTCGTATGGCAAATTTTTCAGCCTGCAATAAATCGAGGGTCTTTGCTCAGGGGCAGCTGCATATGACGTCCGTCTGCATTCCTGACAGGCTTTGCTCCATCAAATGTCCAGGATACGAAGCATCTTGTACGAGTTTTTGGTGGCTCTTATTGCTCCTGAAATTGCTTCATGAATCTGTCCCGCCCGCAGACATTTCAATTGTAACTCTTTGACAAATCTTGGTTCTCTATTACCAATTCTGCAAGTTCAATAGCCAAAGATGCAGCCCCCAGAGGTCACAGCATCAAGGTGCAGAATGGATGTTCCCCTCAAAAAGCAATAACCATGAATCGGCCCACGTGCATGGTAACCCCAGGCGCCTTCATGCCGGCCCCTGAAGAGCTGGCAATTCAGCAGCCGGCGTTCCTTGACCGCTGATCTCAGCCACCCAAGCCTTGACGAACCGCTGGACACTCTCCTGAACGGGACGAGTCTCTCAAGACAACAGAACACGGTCTAAACCATTCCTTTCACCAGAGACCACATTTCACATCACACATCATCATCATATCATCACGTCAAAGTAATAATCTCCCACAAGCCACACTGGCAGATCAAGATCTTAAAAAATCTAAGCTTACACCATTGACAAAAAACTTCCCGAGGCCCGGCCTCCCGAAATGAGCTCTCATCTCTCTTCCAACTTCCCAACCCTAAAGCATCCATTTCTTGCGAACCTGCCTTCCCAAAACAGCTCATACGCCATACCAGAAAAGTTTAACCAACACATCAAAAATAGTCTCGCAAGCAGGCGTACGTGCATGCATACTTTTTTCTCATTCGCCAATGCGGCAACAATTCAGAGACACAGATCGACCACTGAGAAAATGTTGTTTGGCAGATTACCGATGCAGGATATTGCTTCTGGGGAAGGATTTCGTGTCCCTGCGTGCGCCGAGATGGCGTTGAGAAACATAATTGTTTCATAAGTTCGCTTTTCCGTCCTATTTTTGTTGTTGGCTTGAATGTGAGTAGAGTTTTGTTGGTGTGAGTATGAGACCAATGATCCAGGTCGAGGACAAGGGGATCTCTTCCAAGTCATATGGGTCACCGAGAGGACGTCAACTCAGTTTGGACTGTGAATTAGGCCAACACATGCTCGAAACCATGCCAATGCATGTTATGCAACCGAGTCAAAGGCCTCCCGGAAGTTTAAGTGACGATCGAGGACATGTTGTTCACGAATTCTAAGACATTCTGGTGGCTTGTGAAGAAAAGTAGCGACGCGTAATGATTGGTATCTCTAATTCAACATGAGACATAACAAGAACACTTTTCGTATCTACTGGCAATGAACAGCACAGCACCATGGCCCAACTCCAAACCCCATGATCGATACAGAGTGACCCATGCTGGTCGTTGTTATCAAAATCTACTCTGATTGTTGTTGCATATGCGTGGGCAAGTTCCAAGAAGCGTAGTCCAAATGAACAAAAGCACGGTCTACAGTCGGGACAGATTCCAAGACATACTGTAACGACTCGCCCAGGTCGTGGCTGTCCCTCAGGCTCATATTCTCGTCCAACACAACATCTACTTCGACATTGAGTTTGTCACCTGCATGGTAGGCTTGCAAGCCCTGGATCTGCTTGACTGTTTTCGCGAAACGCATGGTGAGATAAAGGAGGACGTTCCGTTGATCCGCGGTGGCGGCAGCTCCGGTCAAGTTGCGGATATGTTCACTGGACACCCCAGCCCAATTAAAGATGACAAACAATGAGAGGAGAAGACCACCGAGGGCATCAAGCCACCACAGCTTTGCGTAGAAGCCGACTAAACTCAAATCAACAAAAGCCTTTGCATCCACATGCTCAATTTTGACGTACCTAATGGAAATATGATACTGAATATGTTAAAGATAACGTCTGGTAGTGTCAGTAAAGACGCTCAAGGCTACATGAATATCACTAACCTGTAAATGCATCGGCAGCTAAAGCCTGAACACTGGAATTCTTAACAAGTCGACACCAGAACCAACACAAGCCTTTGATGACGACCGTGCTTGACATGATGATAATGGCTGGTAGAGTGAGTTCAATGATTGAATGGTCCCCTGAGTTCAGCCTGCTCAAGCATTCCAAGGCGACTTGGAAAAATGATGTGACCATAATGACAGCAAAGACTAAAACACCAATTGGTTCTAGGCGTCTCCGGCCAACAGGATACAAATACTGGTCTTGCCTCTCTATCATTCGTGTTGTTGTCCAAACAATAGCCGTGGATAGAAAGTCCAGCGCTGCGTCGACTAAGCTTGCAAGCACTGATAGAGAGCTCGTAAGGACAATGACGGCAATCTTGCCAGCCAAAAGAATAGCATTAGCTGCCAGATTGATATATATTGCCACTTGCACAATGGCATCACCACTTTCGACACTGTCGTCCTCGAAACCAGGGATTTCAGGTTTTGGTCCATCCTCGCCGTCCTCTTCTACACCGAGAAGAGGGGACAACTCATTGGAAATCTTATATATGTCTCGTGGGGTTCGTTTGACCTTCTTGGTCACTGTCCCATCGCCATTTGCTGGTTTGAGAGTCAGGTCTGACTCCGAACCAGGGGTCCTTGGCTCTTCGGTGATGGTAGGCGGCACTTCAACACTGTCCCGCAGCCCGGCTGTACTTGGTCCACTACTTGGAAGATCATTGTACTCGTTCAAGAGATCGTGAGGAAGAGACGAGTCTAGCAGACGGTCGATGTAGATATATTGTTGGACAAGGCTATTCGTTCGTTCGTAGTACTCGCGTCTGTACAATTAGCCAAATGCAGTAGAGCAGCAAGGGGGTTTGTCCTACAATGGCTTTTTCATCTGCTTCAAATCGTCCTCCGCCTTCCAATATCTTTCTATAAGAGATCAGCCTGCACTATGCTCATCTCACCATCGACTGGATCGTGAGCATCCCAACGTTGGGAGCTTCGTGCTTACCCCATTTATATCTTGGGTTGCTGTTTCCAATGAGCCGCTGGCTGCGCATCTGAGGTCCATTGAGTATAACGCTCATCCGCCTCTCTTCGCTACGGCGGAATTCGTCGCCATCCTCGAAATCTCTCGACTCTCTTCGGGTTCGCTCAAACGGATTGGGATCTTCTTCCTCTGGAGTGTCTCTGCCACCACGAAAGGACGATGCTCGGCGATGAAGATTGCTCAGAGAGGCATGAGAACGACTTTTGATTAGGTTTGTCAAAGTGCCTGAACCGTGAAGTGCCATTAGATTGGGCTCATCGCTGCTTAGTGATATCCAGCCCCGTGGTCGAGGTATCCTCCCGAATTGAGGCGGGGATTTCGAGAGATTCTCTGCCATTGTGAAAGAATAGATCTCAATTCGAATCGGATAATCTCCTTGAATAGGTCAGGTGAGGGTGCTAACTCATAATGGGCATTTCATTATGCGAAGTTTGTTTGCCATGCCAAGCATCCCACGCAGTTTTACTTTCAAAGACGCGCTTTCCTGTTTGCAAGGTCAAGCTCTTATCAACCGAGGTGCGCCTCATCGTCACTGAATTTCTCCAGACGATAATCCCTGCAGAAGGATCAGAGCAAATCATCTGAAGTAGACGAAATTAAAATACTCATACATGTGTAAAGGACCCCACGCTGTATATAATTCCATCAATGTTGCAGGATTGCGGGGAAAAGTATGCATTAGAAATGTAACTAACAAGAGTATTATGTACAATCATCGTCTGAAGGTATCAATTTCATCAGTATTGAATTCATGTATCTTCTACAATAGGACCCGGAAGTCCATGTGTTCCAATAATTATATTTACTAGTTTTTTATTCCATTCCTGGATCAGAACAAATAGCCACGCCATTCTCCAATTTTATAACATCCATTCCGGATCCGAGGTATTTTTCTATAAAAAAACCGATGCACTCCAGGAACGCCAACTCAGCCAGATACTAAGGATCACCGTACATGAACTTCAACAGTATCCATGTCACCCAAGTCGGTATCCCCAACCGTGTCAGAAGGCTCCAATTTATCCCCGTCGAAATATAAAGTGACTGTCTTCTCGTCAGGTATATTGTATGCTCCTCTGAAAGCTTCCACCATTCTCTCGATCGGGGTGGATGATTTGACCATAAGTTTGTAATCCGGTAAATCCTTGGACTTGAAGATGAGCTTAGTCTTGTTTGCTTTTGCTTGTGCCTGCTCTTCAATCTCGTCGACATCAGTCAAACCTAGCTCCTTCTGTTTCTTAGCTGCTTGTCTCTTTTGATAGACATCGAATGCATCGGGTGTCCAGGCTTCCAGATGGATTCGGCCATCCGAGTCCATTCCATTACCACTTGAAACGAGATTTCCAAGGGCGTCAACCTTCAGTCCAAGGCCGGTACATGTTGTGTAGTCGAAAACACGAATGGACTTCCAGGTGAGGAACACAATATCTCTGAAGCCGGGCCCCATAGGTTCACCATCTATGGTTTGTCGATCACACCATGCAAATCGGACATCTTCTAGCTTCTGCGATATTTTCCTCTTAACTCTGAGTGGAGTTGTACCTTCCATCATGGAAGTAATAAAAATTTCGACCGAAGGGTCTAAATTGGCTGGGCCAGATCCTATTTCGAAAATGTCATCCAGTTCATCTACCCTACTTTGTGTGGGAGCATGGTTTCGCTCTCCGAATACCTTCAAGGATTTCGATGCCTCTTCTGCTTTCAGTCTTGCTCGCTCCTTGGCTGCTGCCACCAACTCGGGATATTCTTCATCGGAAAGTGGATCATCATCTACAACAATTGGTTTTGTAGTCCTCGGAGGTTGGGGAAGATCGTCATCGTCGCTGTCGTCCAGATTAACGGGCTGTCTTCGAACAGGTAATACAGCTCTCTTTGGGCTCTCATCTTCGCTATCACTGAGTGTAATGCAACCCGTGGATACTGCAGACTTCGGCGACTGTAGTTTGCGTGCATTGATCTCCTTGTTATATCTAGCAGATAGTGAAGTCGGAGAGCCTTGAACGTGGTGGGTATCCGAGCCTTGCCGTGAACGTCGACTTCCAGGTGATGAATGTGAGGATTGTCTGTTCTGCAGTTTAGCCCTTGAATCTCTAGAGATTGTAAAGTGAGCAGTCTTACCTGCGAGTCCGGGAACTACTCTCGGCGTCGTGGTTTGGAGACTCGTCTGAGGAGTAAATGTTGTGACCCTTTCCTTGTGCAGACAGCCGTCTTCTCTTGTCTTCAGGTGGTGTGATTTCACTAATCTCTGCACTCGTCGAGGATCTCTTGCGTTCCAACTTCATAAGTCTTCTCTGCCTTTTGCGCTCCTCGTCGGCCAAAATTTGCGGATGTAACTCTTTTGCACGGCTGAAGAGATCCATAGGTTCTGCAGGAGCAGCAACTTTCGCTATTGCTGCTGAACTAAAGAATGATCTTTTCTTTGGAGGCGGGGGAGCCGCCTGAGGCATCTCATCTTCAAATGGATCGTCCATGGCGAAAGATCAGGAGTAATGTGCAAGACGGATGCGACGCGGTTGAATTTGTGGGGTAGAACGCAATCGTGAATTTAAGTGCAAGGCTGTGAGATGTGCCGCTAGTGATTTCCTGGATCTAGGTTTATATTGTACCGACAGAACCTACAACATTGAACCATTCACCTTGGGAATAAATCCTAATCCGCTCCGATATTCAACGGCACTTCTGATTTACTTGTGAAGGACGAGCATTCTCCTGACTGCTACCCAAAAGAAGTTGCCCAGCCACCCCGCAGTCTTCCTTGGCGACAGAACACCTCACCACCATGGAGAACGGCAACACCACACAAGCTGAGGGTAAGGACCCGTCAGCATTCCTGAGTCAAATCATCGGAAACTCAGTGACTGTAAAACTGAACAGCGGAGTGATCTACAAAGGTTGGTTTAAAGGAGCTCTTGGTGGACGTTTATTAACCATTGCTTAGGAGAATTGCAAAGTGTTGATGGCTACATGAATCTGGCGCTCGAGAAATGCGAGGAACATATCGATGGGGCGAAGAAGAGGTGCTACGGGGATGCTTTCCTGCGAGGCAATAATGTCATGTACATCTCGGCGGACTGATTGTGGACGCCCAGATCTGGAAACACACCATACCTTGGTGGGAATCTAGGACTCGTTTGTGCATCATTCCAGGCGTTGGGGTATACCAACAGTTTATGCTGAAGAAGAGGAAGAGCGGTGCTTAGAGTAGGGGGACGATGCCAGTACTGTTCTATTGCGTCGCAAATTACGAAAACTACCAATGAAAGGAGACTCAGATTCGAGACGTCCAACAAAGATACGTAACGCCATGCAAAGCTATCTCTCCATTCTCGTTTCGTTCTGTGTCTCCTTCTTTCAGCACAGTGAAGACCTGCTTCCGAATCTCTTCTCTTTTCTCTTCAGATAGATTTGCAACTTGTGACAGGGTTGTGTATCTTCCCCATATAGCTTCTTCAGACATATAGACAGTCCACTGGACAGTCTCCTCTCCCAGTGGAAGTGAGAATGTCGGGAAGTTGTGTGTAAAAGTATCTTTGAGGGTTTGAAGTGGAGTCGTATCTTGCTGGTTGTCAAATACTTCCTTCCATTTCATATTTCTGAATCGAGGGTGACCATCCTCGAGGTTAAAAACAATCTCTTTCAGCTTCTGCTCCCAAGTTGTTGCAGATGGCCACTCTCTCGGGGAATTATCTGTGATATCAGCTACAGCATAGGCAAACGAGGAAGGGCGGCCGAACAAGCTTCGAGGTTCCAAATCATCCCAAATTTAGCTCCTGGTCTCAGAACTCTGTGAATCTCCTTCAATGAATCTTCCGTAGCAAACCTTCCAGTATGAGCCTAATTCTGCGTGTGATTGGTAATAACTGACCAGTGGAATGCCTGTGATTGACGCACGTGATTAGTATACTTTCCTATCGTTCAAGTCACAGATAATAGGTACCTGTGCAGCAACGAGAGCATCTCCCCAGCCTTCTTCAACCGGCATAGAAGCGGCATGCCCATCTAACACCTTCACCCTCGAACCTAGATTCTTCTTGACAAGCTCCTCCCTCATCTCAGCATGTGGCTCGACAGCCAGAATATCGAAATTCTCTGGCCTAGCAGCCAAGAGCTGTGTAAACTTCCCAGTTCCACAAGCAAGGTCGATAACTTGTGCATTGGTGTCATCTGCAACTCCGAGATGTGTAAGAAGCTTCTCCACAGCTTCCGCTGGGTAAGTGGGTCTATGAGCATCGTAATTGGCAGCGTTCTTGAAGCCGCTGGCTGCTTTGCTGTTTAGATTGAAAGAAGTAGCCATTCCTCTCTGAAGTTGACTGGACACTTGTTTTGTCTTGACTTCCGCAATGTCACTCCTCCGAGCTCTACCTAGGTATGCAAAGCATTTCTAGCCATACGTCAACCGTGGCGAAATCGGCAGGAACTATTCATCCGGACGTTTAGCGACAACCACTCACATTTATCTAGCTCTTTCAATATATTAGGTTCGCAGAGCCAACGAGACCTCGTTAGAGGTACGCACTCAAGATTCGATCGAGTGTTAATGAACGTCACGATATATCACGTCAATTGAATTCTGACATCGTAAGATCTTCCGTTGCACGCGAGCTTGTAATATCATGGTAGTCAATTAATTAGAATTAGTTCATTGTCTGAGAGCTTAGATCAGGTCTATACCGAGTTCGTCCTATTCTCGACTTTACTTATCTAGTATGGAATACCATTTGTCAATGCTTGAAAGCCGTCATAAACACCGGTAGAGTAGCTAGAATAGCTCCTCTTGATCAGGCCTTTGACAAACTCGGCTGCCTCCCTTTCACTCTTCTCGAGAACGAATCGCTCTTTGAAGTGCTGAAGAGTCTCGGGCTTGAAGCATGGCAAGCCCGAATCTAACATAAGTAAGACAAGTTGTGAGAGCTTCTCTGTATATGGTCGAGATGCCAAGAACGCCTTGACGCAAAGCTCTTCAAACCATTTGAAAGCTTGGTGATCCGTGCTACCTCCCATGACGGCCATCATTTCTTGTGTAAGCTTGAACGGAGCTCTTTCAAATTTCACTCCACCAGGAGCAATGTCAAAGCAGAATCCAAAGTCGATGTGGAGAATATGCCCAGCACCATCGATCATGATATTGCCATTGTGTCGATCCTTGAACTGCAAGAGGAACGAGATGATAGAGTAGGCTGCCATGCTCTTAACGAAGTTACTTCGAGCTTCTTGAAATCTTAATGAGTCTTCGTTGCCGTACTTGGAAATGAAGTAATCATAAAGCCCGTTAACCGCCTCTCTTCCAAGCATGTCGCGGGAGATTGAGTTAGGCAAGACATCAATAACACCACAGCCAGGAGCAGTTGCTGTGACACGATATGGAAAGACATAGACATCAAGGCCCACGTCGTTGAATATGCCTCGGAATGCAGCGATCATCTGGAGGGCAAGAACATCTTGTCTGCAGTCATCGCCCACTTTGAAAATTGCCGACTGCCATATTTCAATAGTGTTCTCCTGGGGTACTGCCGCGTTCTGGTTCGTTTCTTCAAGCATTTCGTCTGTCCCCTCCATCTCACCCTTGTTCTTCTTGATTCGGAAGGTGGCCATGTAAGGTGCTTTGGCATGACTTTGAAGCGGCTTTCCGGACTTACGATCAATTCCAATGACGACTCCATCCGGATTACTTGGCAAGTAAACACCAACTTCAACTTTGATCTTTCGCAATTCTTCTTCGATCTTTTGCTTCTTTTCGGGTTTGGGTCGTTTGATGTAAGGCTTCAACTTTCCAGAAATGCTTGTGACCTCCTCGAAAAAGGAGAACTCTCGCTCGTAAAAAGCTTTGTCCACTCCGGAGAATGACTCGATCATTCTGTCTGTGACATGATCAAGTGTTGGTTTGATTGCATCAGGCTAAGGTTGTTAGTCACAGTTTGAAGTTCACTGCGTTCTCACTTACAATCGCAGAGGCATCATCCTTGTAAGCATTGGCTTTCATATTCCATATAATCTGGTGGGCAAAGAGTTGTGAGAATTTAGCTGTCTCCACAATATATCTTTCCACATAGCCTAGGGCGTCATAACGTAAGGTCTGCACGATCTGCGGGACGTAAAAGAACGTAACGTCTACTGCATGGCTTTCCAAAGCCCGCATAGCATATTGTAACATGAAGGGATGGTTTCGATAGGCGGGTAAGAAGTAAGTGACGGCAGTGATTGGATTGACCGGAGCCCAATAAAGAAGATACTGTGGAAATTAACGCTAGCACCACATCTTGAAAGTTGAACTAACCTTCAATTGAAAGGACACATCATTTGGCAGCGCTTCTCCAAGTAATACCGGTAATGCTTCAGATTCAGCAAGGGCTTTGTCGGGAAAGTTGAGCAAAAGCCATCGGATTTCCTTGTGAAGTCTCGGGGACGAAAATCTCGAGATCAATTGTATGGCTAATGAGGGACTTTCAGTCCAGGCAGTCCTTACGAGACCGAGTATGGTAGCCTGGGCCGATCAGATAAAAGCAAAAACAATAGTGGGGGCTACATACCTCAGCAGGACCTTTTGAGCCTGTAGCTGGACTGTACATATCCCTGGGCTCACTCAACGGATAAAGCCATACTGACAATCTCACTTGCTCGCTCTCTATCAGCGCCTGGAGGAGTGCTTCTTTTGCCTGCAGTGATTTTATGAGGCTAGTCTGCTTTTCTCCTATCATTTGAACGTTCTTCAAGGCACCGGCCACGTCTGTTAGTAAACGTGTTTCAGCTTTCAGTTGCAGTCGATTTCCTCCAAAGGACCAGCATGGTGCAAAAGAGAACCAGCTGAGGGCTGCTGATAGAATTCGATCCTTCAGAAAGCATCTTGCACTGAAGCTTAGCCCGATGCTGTGCCTGAGCACTTTCAAGGCAAACAAGATGATCTGAAATCTGATCTCTCGAGCGAGAGGGTGACCAGTAGCGTGTTTGAGCCCATTAAGAGTGACGTTTAGTAATCTTAGAAACACTTTCTCTGTGTTTGGGCTGCCAAGTCGAGTAGCGTTGAAATGGCTGCTCAGGAATTGCAAGAGACGTGAGTGTGGTGCAAGTAAATTATGTGCTACCTGTTGTCGTTTTGACAACACAGCTCTGTCACTTGGTGCGAACTCCTCCTTGATATAGAAAGGATCAGGGTGCCTAGGTACGTCAGCATTTGCGGGCAAGACAACTAAAATAGAACTCACAAGAATTTGTTGTTGAAGATGCCGAGTCTCCTATGAACTGTGGATTCCCATTGCTGTGCCACCTCGACTAGGATACGAGGCTCCATTCTTGGATTCTCGTTGATGACGCCAAGCCAGAGAGAGATACCTAGCTTGATAGACTGCTTTGTGAAGATGGAGAATGGAATCGCAACAAGATAATGGACTATTGCACACTCGTCGTTCTTGGTTCGACAGAGAAGAGCCGCTGCTCGTCTTAGAATATCTCGGAGCTCACCAATAGGTATATACTTATGCTGAGAAGTACGGGCTTGAAGGTGTGTTAAGACTGTGATCGCGTCTTCGAAGTCTTTTTCCCCCTTAGAGGCAACAGATTGGCGTCCATTATCAAGGTGCATGAATTGCAGCCATTCTGCATCGTGGTCAGGGAGGGCCTCAGCGTATCGATACTCTTGCCGAGTTGTATACTGAGCCACGAAGTCCGATGCTGTGTTGATATTGCAGTCTCCGTGGCGATCAATAGCTCCAAGTCTCTGATCAGTGCTTGGGATGAAGGCTCCCATTTCCGACGCAAACGATCGACCAAGAGAGATATGTCCATAAGCACCATCGTCATCATAATCCGAAAGATATGTCTGGAGAAGACCTTTGACGTCTAGTGGAGCTATGTTGATGACAGAAGTCACCCAGGCTTTAGCTCGTCTATACAAGCTATTAAGCGTACGACGGCGAAGCTCGAAATCGTCAGATAACTCGATGGCGACCCCACCTCTGCTAGACACAAAGGATGATTTCCATTCATACTCATCAGTCTCCGCTTCAAGACAACTACTCCACATCAGTGTGAGGAGTTCAAGTAATGCAAAGAGCGACGACTTTTGACATAGTGCAGACGGGATATCACGAATTATCCTTTCAGCGCAAGTAACAGCTGCTTGCTGAACCCTCTCGATACGGTAGCAGCATCCACTAAAAATCACCGCGAGTTGCTTCGCAACATAAGGGGCTGTAAATGTGCGGTTCGCTCCTACCAAAGTCTTTCGTAGATAGGTATCCATAACGGCGTTCATAACAGACTCCATGCAGCTGCTCATGTCTCCTCTCCGCATACTAGGTTCCAAGAAATACGTCAGAGCTTTGGTGCAGTCCCCTGAATCCGCTCGTAAGGTTTCGACCAGGTATGCTGCATGCAAGAATATGACTTTTCGATAGCTCAAGCCTCTGATTTCTGACGCTCTTGAGGGCAATAGGGCAGTAAGTCGCTTCTTCTGGGTAGCTTCGTGGTCAGAACTCATGCCACGACGAAGGACGGTGTTCAGTTCGATGTCGCTCTCTACTTGTTCTCCACGTTGTTCCGCTACCAATGGGGTCGAATGTATAGCGATAAGGCGCATCTCGTTCAGGAATTGCTTTCCACGGTCGGTATTAGTGCAAAAACCATGGACAACCATGTTAAACCAGGCATCACGGATGAGGGATTGTGTGTCTTCACTAATTTCTGGCTCGGAAGCAAGATCATTACTCGACATCAGGACTGCAAGTGGTTGCAGTAGTTGTCCAATTTCCTTGGCTGCAACTTCGACATCAGCTTCTCGTGTATTTTGTGCTTGATGTACATCTCCTAGGCTGATAATTGACTCGAGAAGATGTTCGAAATAGATCTCATACAGTGGTGATTCTTTACCGAGGCTTGAGGAAAGGAAATCGCGGCCTCTCAGAACCTGAATTTGTTAATCCGTGAGACCTCGTACTAAGTCAAGACTGCACTCACTGCAAGTAACAATGCCTCGTTGTTATGCACCACGCCCTCATGGCAGATCCTGGAATAAAGCTTCAACAGAGAGCGGAATTCGACAGCACCTCCACTTAGAGCAAGCCTTGTTGCTTCAGCGACGATGCGAGCATCTATCGTTCGACTAACTTTGTCGATCTTTTGAAGTAGCATCGACTGCGCTAAAGCTGTGATCTTTGGGTCATTACAAGCAGTTGCAATGCCACAGATGGCCAGAACCACGTTTCCATATACCACGGATGTCTCTTCTTCGCCACTGATGGTCAGTGATATTGAGCTACCAGTGGACTGCTTGCCGTCGTAAAACTTAGAGTTAGTGCTGCCATCAAGAGCTAATTCATTATTTACTCCAAGAGCTCGTTCCGATCCAGAGCTAAGAACATTTCCAAGGGTATACAAGGTAGTGATAATTGCATCCTGCGATAGTATTTGCAACACAAATGCTAAGGAATTTGAGGCCACTGAAATGGTCTGCCCTCGAGAGCCACCTTGCACGATGAAGCGTGGTAATAGCCGGCTGACGTTCGGAGCAAAACTTGGTGATAGTTTGCATATCACAGCCATGGACCTGAGCACAACACTAGCAAGTGTCTCATCAGCCATTTGCACGGAGTCTGCGAGAGCGTCCTCTAGCCAGGACATCAAAGTATCAGAATCAGCTGCATCCTCGTTGAGCATAGCACAATTCAGATAACTTGTAAGTGCGCCAGCTTTGACGGAAAAGGCCAGCCGTTGTTGCCAAGCGGATCCAAGGCGAAGATAGTCCGCCCCGTCTTCAAGAAGACTCATTTCGTCAGCCGCAATATCAGCCATGGTCTCAAGAGTGGCAAAGTCTACTTCTCCAGTTCGAGGTGATCCAGGCCTTGACAAACCGGCCCCAGACATATGCAAGTCCAAGATATCACTACCCCTCAGCACCTCAATATCAGCAACTAAGAGCGACGAGCCTGCAACCAACAGCCACATGAAGCTTCTCTGGAGTAACATAGCCCCAAGAGGACGGCCAATGGCTGAGTAAAGGCGTACATATCGCTTCCATTCTTTCAGGTGGTTGTTTTGAAGATGCGAGTTCCGAATGGTTGAGAAAGCAGTTTCAACTGCCACTAAGTATCCCTCGGATAAGATTGCCTGGATTCGTTCGATCAAACCTAGTCTTTCCGGCGCACTCCAAAAGTTGGCATATGTTGCAGCCGCATCGAGGAAGCCTAATATTGATATAGTGATTGTTGCAAGACGAAGAGCTTCCTCCAATTCGCTTGCGGTGCCTTCAAAGTTCACTCCTTGGGACGAGGATGCTGCCTCTGCCGCATCCAAACAATTATCAAGATATGCCCAGAGTTTTTCTGAGACCGATTCTCTAAGAAACTCATGGCTTATACCCAGCGACAGCAGAGCCGTAGTGAGGTTATAAGCCAGAGCTTCGATTGGGCGGGGTTCGATTTCGCGGAAGAATGGAGATGGTACGAAAGGCTGTTCATGAGCTTCCAGCATGTATGGAGAAAGCTGCTCAGCCAATTTACTCGCACTGCTGGCTTCCTGGAGCAGCGGTGCAGCTTTGCAAAGGGCTAAGAGCACCTCAAACTCCTTAATGTTCTAAACTCCTAATCAGCCTCTCTCTCTTAACAGGAGTATATCATGTCCCATACCATGGGCGATCGCCGCGCCGACGCCGTGCTTGCAGAGGTATATCCGTTCGATTTGCCATATGTATTGCCATAATTCGGGCAGCCTCTCGAAAGTCGGTCCAGGTCTGAGCCATCAAAGGTTGTTGCTGATGACGTCGCAGAGAGCGCTGCGATCTTTTGAAGTGCCTTCCGGCGGATGTTTCTAGATAAACTTGAGCAATATCAGCAGCGATCAATCGAAGGATTCGAACATAATCTTACTTATCCATAGCTGTCTCCGAGAATTTGAGATTCGCGTTCTCCCAGTATCCTTCACCAGGGTTTCGGAGAAGCAAGCTACCCCTGTCGCGCTAAGATCCGAGTTGAGGCTGCAGCGAGACGCGTGAACTTCTAACTTCGTGAGTGGAAACGACAACCCAACTCCGAAATTCTGCAAGCTACCTTTCCACCTCTACTCGCACACCATCAGTTCTTCCTAGACCTGAAGAAAATATGGCTGCAATGTTCAGTCAAAATCCGCTGATGAACGGCCCAAATTACTCCTTCAACCAAGCTCCAACGACGGCTTCTGGTAACAAGCAGCACGGCTTCTACCCGTACGTAGAACTCCTAGAGCTTTAAAGAAACGTTCACTGACTCATTTCAAGATACACTGATAACGGCGGCTCAACTCTCGCGATCTCGGGCAACGACTTCACCATCATTGCAGGCGATACTCGATCAACGTCCGGCTACAACATCAACACCCGCTATGCTCCTAAAGTCTTCAAGATCGGCGGAACTACAGATTCACAAGATGACGCTACACTAGTATTATCTGTCGTAGGGTTTGCTGCAGATGGACACGCATTGAAGGAGCGCCTGGATGCTATCGTCAAGATGTACAGATACCAACACGGCAAGCCCATGAGTGTCAAGGCATGTGCGCAGCGATTATCAACCATCCTGTACGGCAAGCGTTTCTTCCCATACTACGTCACGGCAATTCTAGGCGGTCTGGATGAAGATGGCAAGGGTGCGGTGTACTCGTATGATCCAGTTGGCAGCTACGAGCGTGAGCAGTGCAGAGCGGCTGGTGCGGCGGCGAGCTTGATTATGCCGTTCTTGGATAACCAAGTCAACTTCAAGAACCAATATATGCCAGGCATTGGAGAGGGTCATGCGTTGGCAGAGAGAGAGAAGATCCCACTGCCAAGAAACGAGGTCGAGGACTTGGTCAAGGATGCTTTCGACAGCGCAGTTGAGAGACATATTGAGGTTGGTGACGGCCTGCTGATGATGATTATCACGAAGGATGGTATTGAGGAGATATTCAAGCCGCTCAAGAAGGATTAGAGGAGGAGTGCTTGAGTTCGATGGATGACTGTACCAATAGAGACGAATGCGAGCGAACTGCTTGACCCGGATTTCCACACCTAGTTCATTGGAACCTTCAAGATGAATTATCTCCCAATGGTCCATCATTTGTACTAGAAATTTGAAAAGCACAGATGGCTCCTGAGATATGACTTGCCTCGCATTTCACCAAGTGGTTTCCACCAGCAAATGCAACCATTGTACTTGTCTCAGTTCGAGATCAGAATTTCTTACGGTTGCACAGTGATATTTTCTTATACCTGGGTTTCGGTCCAAGAAGTCGTTGCTTGTTCGTATCAACTCCTGGCCTGAACCCATGCACTTGTGAAGGAAGCAGCCGGCTTGAGCGAAATCTTTGGCATTAAGCCCTCTCACTATTCGAATCCAAGAAAGCCAGCTTGCAAGCTCCACAGCATCTTGTGGCTGTCAATCTGGATAATCTCCAGGAAGCTCAACCGTCAACGAGAAGCCAAAGTTTCGCCAAGGAAGCCTACTGCGCCAACTTGGTCGTAAACAGTGACTGGTCTGAGACCCTTACAGCAGGAATCAATAAGCCATGGATGGATCATTGACTTGAGTGTTCCTGATTGTGGGGTGGGTGTTTTCTATTATTAACATGCTTTTAGACGAGGTCTTTTATTTGTGGAATATCAATGTGATTAGGTCCCTTCTTGATGACCCATACGTATTGCAGAAGAAGCAGCTCGAGGTACCTACGCCTTTCGGATTTGTAATACCGCAGTCGTCAGGAGCCAAGAGGCAGAGGAATGAATTGAGGACTATGATTGGCCTTCGATTGCACGCTCATACAGTTCGAAAAAATACCAATTGAAATAAGACATGCATCTCTCGTTGACCTCTGCAAGGACAGGGATATGTATTCAAACTCTTCTTCTCCTTTTTCGAAGCAAGCGAGACTAGCGATCCGGGACATATTGAGAGGTATAGCAACTCGATAAACGTGTCCGCACCGACTACCTTGTCACTCGAGACTGTACATTTGTGGCAGCGGCGTCATTCGTCAAGAAAAAAAGGGGTATCTTCACTAATCGTCTCATTGTACCCTGCTACTCTTGCATACATGACGCCTCGGGGATTTATCAAGACAATTTTACCCCTTGCAAGTGTCTGGAGGAATCTGGATATATGCCAGAGTCCACAGCCATGCCCAATGGTCAAAGTACCTGCCTTCACCATGTGTATCTATAATATCCATGGTCACCATCAGAATCCTTTTACAACAAGCTTAAAGAGATGTCTGCAATTCAAAAGGGTCAAATAGGCCTTGGTCTGGGAGTATCCTTTCACAGGCAAATGCAACTTAAAATTGATCTCTTCAGGTCTTGCTCATGGGATAACTTTTCTAGAGCTTCAAGATGTCGCAACATCGGCTACCAAAGCTCAGCCAATCCCAGCTCATTCATCCGGCTACCCCTTTCGCTTCACAATCTGGCACGTGACGTCCCGCTCGGACGAAATAAATCTAAATTGGTACATTAGCATCGATAATCATCGTCAAATGAGAATAGGACGCGTCGTGGAGACGGAGTAATACGTACATGGATCTCGATCTCGATCTCGATTTCGTCTGAATACTCGCTTAACGTCATGGCTGTTGAACACCCTTGTAGCTTGACTCCCTGCGGTCTGGAGCACAGCGCGGCGGTGGCGAGTTTTTTTCTCCTCGGGGATTTTGGAGGGAAAATCAATCTTCGATTCTTTGTTTTTCGGGAGCTTCGCGATCTCGAGTATGTTGAATGATCGATGGTATATGCATCGGAGGAGGAACATTCAAGTAAAGGGACGTGGTATGAGTTGTTGGTACTTTCTGGGGCCAGGCTAGAGCACAATGAGGTCGAAGCGCAGCAACAGTCGGCCCTGGGGACGGGGAAATGGGTGGATGCATACTTGGGTGACTTGGGTTAAATCCGTGATTAGGGGACCATTTCCGTGGCACGAGCGGCTCGTAGTGATGCTTAAGGATGGAAGCAGTCTGTGGCTGTCGGTGCTGGTCAAGATTATGTGTATGCTCTCCTTGGCATTAGATTTTGTATCGTAGTTTGAGGAAAAGGACTCCTTCGATAGAATAATTAGGAGATCGTACCATGTTGATGGTTAGGGGCTAGTTGGCGATGTTGCGATCAAGTGATGGTCAGGTATGAGTTGCGCCGCGAAGAGCATCGCATCAAACTCAATGGGCCATCACTCGCCACAAAGATATGCCTGGGAGGACACATTAAGATGTGCCCATACACTCGTGTTCGTAAATCGTATTGGTCCCTTGGCTTCCGCTTACGAAGTGTCAATTATGGGTGGCGCCAGAATGGCATTTTCGAAACGGCATGTTCAGGGCAATCTTATCCAATAGCCAGGGATGGACCTCCGCAAGCTTTGGAATCCTGTGTTCAGGGCATTGGACAGTAAGTGTGAAATTATTAATGGCCACAGAGCGAATCAGGAAGGCTACCGAGAGAAAGACAGCTGAGTCTTGCGTTCAGGGTCAATGTTCTAGGCTCGCGGGTCTGTTCACAGCGCCAGCATTTCGGCTGCACCCGCCACGAAGCCTCGTCTTCCTGCCAAAGCTTGTCCTCGTCCTCTCAGATCAGAGAGCATATGCATTACAGCTGGGACATTCCGGTAGCGGGACCGATGTCTGACTTCTAATCCTCATTGGGGTGGCGGCCTCCAGAACTGTAGCAGATCAACATCGAGCGGATAGGTACTTCGACGAGTCACCACTTTAGTGGATCATTCCAGTCCACAACAGCTGAGAGCAACATATTGGGGCAGCTTCGACCTTGAATATTGACTGAGGAAAGACGTAAATGTAAATTCGTGGAAGGAAATGTGAGAAAGAAAGAATACTGCTTCTTTACACGAGTGATACAATGCAGGTGTTATGAGCGTTGCTGGACGTGCCTGGAGATGCGAACCGGAATTTCTGGGATCGCAGTACAGAGTGCGAGCATGGCATCGGAAGCAGTTCTTCGTGTAAAGAGACCCTTCGAGTATCGTATATCTGCGAAGCCTGGTACATCGAAGGCCTGGCATTGGAGTGTTTTTATCATATCTAATCAAGAACCTGCTGATCAGATCATGTGGAGCCAGCACAATGTGTAGCTGTCATTGCATTGAATGCATAACGTGAAGGATTGGATGTCGCTTTCGCAAGCGTCGATATTGGGCTCAATTGAGATACCCGGGTTCGTGCTTCTTTCAAAGAGTCCTCAGCCTGAGACCACCCACGCGGATCTCTCAATGTAGAGATCAGGCAGAGAGTGCGTGATGTTTGCATTGCAGCAGGAATCTAGACCTTTGTTCTCAAAGGACATATATATGTGCATTAGTGAGCTGGAGCTATCAGTACTCCGTTACCTGACATCCAAACCGATCCTTCGTTTTTCCGGGCTGGATGCTTCATTTTCCCAAGTCTGCATGAGCACTATCAAAAGTAAGAAAGAGAGCATTTTCATGCACAGGCAGGTGAGGCAGGCTTCAAGTTTCTTCAAGGAGAATTTTCAAGCGCATAGACAGGAAAACTCATTAAGACTATAATTCTATCTCCGGTAAGATCATGCAAATTGAGATATTATATAAGTTGAATTTCATACAATTTACACCGAAAGGCACATAATGAGAGCCATGACAAAGTGCTCTTCATTCTGGCTACAGTTGGCCATAACTTGTTGCCAAAGAAGAACTTCTGCACCCTGACAGATATTTTCGATGAGATGGAGAAAGATATAGAATGCAGAAGAACTCCATGCGTACCAAATGAACTGGTGATATGCAGGGACCTTAGTTGGATCGATATGCAGGTGCATCTAGGCTCAGAATGGTGGAGGCTTTTCTCACGCTTAGATACTTTGGCATGACAACGAACTTAATGAGAACAAGAAGTCTGAACATTAGCAATCGTACTTAACAAAATATTTATAACAAAATGCCTTCAGTGTCATTCTCTCTTAGAGTCTAAAGAACTCGCTACCAGACGTAGCCACAGCTGAATGTCCACGGGCCTGGCTTGGTTTTCCTGGACACTACTGGAAGCGAAAAACATGGCAGTGCCGTTGACCAATCGTACAAGTTGCGATTCTTCGCAGCGAACGAAAAGCACATGAACATGTGAATGTTAGGGTGGCAGATTATGTCCTCTATGATACGAAGTGCAGTTGTAAAAGCGGCGCCCGGTGGCGAACATTTTCGTTGTCTGCTCCCCATTGTAAAGGGAAGGACTGCATCGGATCAGACATGGCCGGGTCCCCAATAAACTCACAGGTGACACGGAACACGCAATAATAGCTGCCTGCAGAAAAAGGCTTTGCTCGGAGTACGCGTTGGTCACGTTTGACCCAGTGAAGCTCTTGATGATCTATCCTCGATAGGGCTGAACGAGTGGTGATCCTCAACAGCACAGCCATTGTGGCGTTAAACTTTTCCCTCCCAAGGTGACTGTGGACGCTCATGCTGATGCTGTCCTTCGCAAGATACCTCATCCTGTTGAGTACCTAGGTAAGTAGTAGGGGCAGGAGAGGGTGGACGCTGCGATCTTCGCTTCTCGTCGCAAACCTCTTAGTGGAATCATCGTCTGACATGCTGTCTGATGCTCGAGCTCGAGTAGCATTATCTCCTAAGCTTGAGGGAAAAGGCCCACCGGTCAATCTATCTAGTTTTAATCGTACAATCGTGAGAAAGTGCGCTACCGTTGTGGATTTAGAATTCGCCACATGAGGCTGGTGACTGAGCCGAGACTGGATATAGATATCCCTGCGCGGACGACTGTTTCCGGAACGCCTTGGACCCTGATTTCTTGGACAACTGTCCAGTTGTCCTTTCTGGAAGATTGGCATCCAGGATGTGCAAAATCTCCGGTGCATAATATCTCGAGCGATGACTGAGGAATTTGTCTTGCGAATGTTAATCGTACCGATTCGCCACACTGTTTAAGCCTCGAAGTTCAAACTGTTCAACGTCAATGTGGCTAAACTAACGTCCTCCGTTTTGTTGCACCAAAACAATCGAGAAGATACTGATCAAGCCACATGAAGTCACAAGCTTTCGAGAGAAGCGAACATGTTCGTCATTTAGAACAAGGTAAGCTATCTGACGGTTTACAGCTTTGAGGCAATCATATGAACCCAGGAAACGGATCGATGCGCACAATGGGGACGCCACATGAACCGGAGGCTGATTATTAAGCGGAACAGCGGATATCATTTCAGCGGTGATGTCATACGCGAGAAGCAAAGTGAAGCAGATGTCGATAAGATCAACAGATGATGAATGTTTTTGCTGAAACAAGTTCGTCCATATCATCATTCAGCAAGAGTTTGATGTGGCAGAGTGATATGAGGTATTCCAGTTTTCCGGAGATGTATTGCAACTCATTCTTCGGTCTACGAAATGAACCATACTGTTAATCAGTGCAAATTCTGCCACCATCACCATTTACAGGCAAGCTTCACTATACTAATCGTTGCAAGGGCTCCAAAAATGTCTTGATATGGGAACACTTGCGGCTTCGGCCCAGGTACAGGTACGAAGTTCGTCCAATCTGCAGAGACATATGTAACATCAGCCCTGATGTTAATCTCAAAGTAATTTTCATTCTCCAAAGTATGCTTGTCTGATTAGATGCAAGCAAGGAAATTAGTAGAATGGACAAGCATTGAACAAAAACCAAGCAAAGTCCAACGCAAACGTAGTAGCGCAGCTTCGTGACACATGATGGGGAAAAGCCATATTACGTCTGAGTCAGAAGACCAGACCGAGTGCGAAAGATGTTTATGTTCTATCATCTTTAGGCGGTACTAGTATCAAATTTGCGTGCTCGATTAGGTCCGCAGCCGCACTGGGAAAGACAGAATGTCCAAAAGCAGAGGGGATTGGGTGGCAGAACTGTGATGTACGGACGTTGCCATCTCGAAGTTGAAGGCAACGCCACAGTTGCTGGGGTAGACGACAGCCGAATAACAACCACGGCCACATCCAGAACGTTCGCACGCTTGCATGGGGCCCTCCTGTGATGGGGAATAGGGGGTCCAGCTGTGGAACCTACGGGAGTCCTGTCGAGTGAGTAAGTGGGTTGGGGAACTGATTGATGTTTTGCCACCACCGCTTGCTCACACCCTGTCCGAACTGCTCGTTGCCCTCAATGTTCGACGACAGTAATAATAATTGTATGAGGGAAAATTGGAGCCTGGAATCAAGGACCCAGAACCCACGACCAACCGAAGCGCACTGCCACCCGACCGACTTGCACCCCTGAATGCTGTGGTGCCACTAGCCTTAGAGCCCCCGCGATAGTAGCGAACGAAGGCCTGATCAGAGCGCAACGTCCCTGGGCTTTCCCTGTCTAGCCGTCCCAGCCAAATCGAATTTCTGAAATTCCCATCCTGATCCCCCCCCGCTAAAAGCAGCCACGGTGCCGACGTTTCCATCCTGACCCGCCCGCATTCGCCATGCGGTATGGAGAATGCCATGCCAGGCCATGGCCTTGTTATGGCGCGCCATGCTCTCCAGCACGTCAGTCGAGGCACTGTCCTTGCACTTGTCTCGCCTGGGCCCAGTCCCTCGGCGTCGCCCTGCTGCTCTCCACTGCCTACTGTACCCACTGCTGTTGTGCGGTGCGGTGCGGTGCAGTGCGGTGCTACTGAAGCTGCTTCCTGAAATCCGAAAGAAAAAATTGGGTTCGCCTGGTGGGCATACTAACTGGGCCCCTAAACTACCTAGGTACACTAAGGTCCCTGGCTGCTTCGTCCGAGCTAGCCCTCCTAAAGTCAACCTTTTTTTGCACTTGGGGGAAAATAACTTTCCTATCATTCTTCCGTCGGGTGTAGCTGTCAACCTCTGATATGCCACACAGAAATAAATCCCTGGATGCATATCACTTTTAGGGCTTCGTCATTCACTGTTTGGTCATTCGGCATGTCCCTGTTGATCCTTTCCTCTCTATTCGCGCCTGCCGAGAAGAATTCCACAGAACGTCTTCTATAAACCGTCGTCTGCTCTCCTCTGCACCTTCTCGACCAGTCGACTCGGCCATCTCCTAACCTTGTCTAGCTCTTTTCTTTTTATACAATCAAAAAGACGTCAGCCCTGATCTGCAAGCTGCTGCTGCTCGTGGTGGTGGCTCGTGAGATCCAGGTCCGTACATTGTTCTATCTCCCGCCTGCTGGTGAGTGTCCAATCATCAGAAGCATAACCCTTTTGACCAGAGGCAAGTGAGGCACTGACAGACGGGAACTCCTAATCAGAGCTCTGGAAAAGCTCCGGAATACTTCCCCCTTCCGATTCCTTCGGGTCGCTCTTCAACACTTTGGTCGAAAGAAAAGACGTCTTGCCATTATTGGACGCTGATCATTATAACCATTGTAGCTGCACACGACCTCTCCTCTCTCTACATTGGACAACTCTAAACCGTTTGGCATTCTCACTCTCCCGAGCCATAGCCTTGCTCTGCGCCTCCCCCACAAACAGCTATTCTTCTATTCATTCATTGATCCATATAAGTTATTTTGGCTCTCACGGATTCTCGATATTCCGAGAAAAGCTCGCCACCTCAGATAGGAAGACTATCACATATCTGAACAGATTCAACCTCATTCTTAAGGGACAAGAAGGAGCAGGCAAAGGTACCACATCCCTTCTACTTTACTATGTTCTTTAATCCAATGGGAGGCTAAAGACTCAACCTCTTCGCCTGTTGTTGCATTATCTCTTATGTTCTCCAGCAATGGGTTCCGAGAAGACCTTTCCTTCGACAACTCACTTGATTGTACTAACATGCCATTTGTCTGGATACAGGTTTGGGGCCCGCTCCCAACAATTTACGAAGGCTTCATGACAGATCCACCTGCCAGATCGCAGCCGGCCGGCGACTTGCCGAACAGCTCACAGAGTTCGCGACCGAATGTTCCCCAGCTTGCAACTCCAGTATCTTATGAGGGTAACGACCCAAGGAGGGCTTATCATGGGTCCTCGCAACCTAATCTGCCTCAAGGAAGTTTTGCGCCCGTCCCGCAGTTCCCTCAACAGCAGAATTCCTCACCTGGACGACAAGACTCATTTGGTATGACATCTCTTGGTTCTGCTCTTCCAGAAGTTTTTCAAGGTTACGGAAGTATGCCCTCTCAAAGGTACGCTGGAAGTCATGCGACATCTTCTCTTCAATATCACCCGCAAAGCACACAGTACACTGCGCCAGCGGGGATGACTTCTCCGTCTGCAATGCCATACAACATTCAGTATCAACCTCAATATCAAGGAATGTATGCGCAAAGCCATAATCAATCACCAACGAATACTGGAACTGCTTCTGGACTGGGAAACCAATTCTATCAAGGGCAGATTTTTATGGGTCAACCTCAGCAAGCAGGAGGACCCTATTTTGTACAACCAAACCAGTATGGTGCACCCAATCCGATGTTTATGAGTACTCCTTCAACTGGACAATATGGCCTTGGAAGAGGATATGGTGCAGAAAATCGACTCCCTAATCAGTTCCGTGGGACTGAATACCTCGAAGGACATCCTGCAGGTACCGGTCCTGGCAGGTCTTCCAGCATTGGTAAGTTGGTGGCAAGTAAAGTATTGCTGGCTAGCATCTTATCTTCCCTTGAGAAAAATACGCTGACGGAAAACATAGCTTCCAGTGGCGGTCAGTCTTCAGTGGTTCGAGGTCCTCCTCGAAAACCTCGTCAGAGTGGTACGTAGATATAGACTCTCTGGTGCCTTCTCCCAGCAACTGATCGCTACATTCTAGGCCATGCGATTTGGATAGGAAATCTCCCTCCACACACTGACTTGATGAGCTTGGTTCTTCATGTTTGCAAGGAGACCCTGGGACTCGAGTCACTATTCCTAATATCGAAGAGTAATTGCGCTTTCGCAAACTTCAAAGACGAGGAGAGCTGCGCAGCTGCTCAAGCCAAAATCCACGACTCTAGGTTTCAGACTGTGAGACTAGTTAGTCGATTGCGACGAAGCTCTGGTGCAGGTGTTAGCGCAGCGACTCCAACCGGCCCAGCAGCACTTGCACCTCCTGCAAATCCACCTGTTGCAAGGACGCCTTCGCCAGAGACCGACACTAAATCTAAAGATGCGGCTGAAGCAGAAGCAGAAGTGAGCGGAATCGCAACCGCAGATGATGTCGCCCAGCCAAAAGACAAATTCTTCGTCGTCAAAAGTCTTACTGTTGAAGATCTAGAGTTGAGTGTTCGAAATGGAATCTGGGCTACTCAGTCTCATAACGAAGAAATCTTGAATAAGGCGTATAAGGTGGGCTTTTCGAAGATGTTGCAGAAGCAAAAATCGAACTAACAATAATAGTCTGCGGATAATGTGTATCTCGTTTTCTCTGCCAACAAATCTGGCGAATATTTCGGATACGCGAAGATGACATCGCCAATCAATGATGATCCGGCCGCTGCGATCGAATTTGCGCCGAAAGCTCATACTGTCGAGGATCCCGAACTACCCAAGGCAATACCAACTCCTGCTACAGAATTTGCCCCCAAAGGAAGAATTATTGATGATTCCGCCAGAGGTACCATATTTTGGGAAGTAGAACGAGATGACGGGGATGGGTCGGAGGATGAGGACGAGACGCATAGCAATCGAAGCGATCAAGACGCAGAATCCACCGCAAGGAAAGCTTGGGGCAAGCCATTTCAAGTCGAGTGGGTTTCTACGACTCGGCTTCCCTTTTACAGGACGAGGGGTCTACGAAACCCTTGGAATTCGAACCGGGAGGTCAAAATCGCTCGGGATGGCACTGAGCTAGAGACGGCTGTAGGACGAAGGCTTCTCGGCCTATTTCATCGATTGCCAAGCCCTGTTGGGCCACAAATACCTATAATGGGTGGGTACCACCCTCAGATGCGATTCCCTTAACTGCTTGCAGTCGAAACGACTCGGTCGCCTGTACACTTGACGATGATATTTGTTTTCATCATGGCTACAAAAAGACTCTACATTGCTGGTCATTGGATTGGGGTCTCATCTTTTCTTCATAAGGAAGCATTCGTGGCTTTACCCTACAGGCAATGATTTACGACGGAAGGCATTGCACGATGAACGATTTCAACATGTAGAAGATTGGACTACTGCATTGCGTACGAGTCAGCCATAAAAAAGCATTTGGGCAAGCCTTCATGGCCTCCAGGTACTAAGACGGTGGATTTCTATCAGCACATCTATTAATGACAGCGAGTTGTTTAGAATCTTTGTCCCTCCAATTACTGTGGAGATATAAGTAGTAATCTTTGAGCACTCAGTAAATGAACCATATACGTCCCTATACATCTTGACAGTATTTATTGAAGGATACGAAACCATCTAGACTTGTTTGTATCTTTACCCTGCGGCATCAACGGTGAATAGAGTGGAATACTGTCTGTCTCTATTCATAGTAATTTGACCTGCCAATAAGGAGATACAATTCCTAGAACGATTCAGAGTCTTAAGAGCGGCGGCAAGATTGAAAGTCTCGTAGCTAGAATTATCAGATATCTAATAAGAAATCTTCCAATCCATCGCCACAGTGCAGATTAAGGTTGATGTGGTCGCAGCACGCTTCTCGCATGCTGTAGTGAGAAATGTAGAAGTTGGGATTTTGGCCACAATCTCAACGGTCTGAGTGCTTAGAGTTTTTAGCCGGCAGTTAGTTGAACAGGTTCATTCATCGACGAATCTCTACAAATGGTTTGTTTTGAAGCCAGGCAGGAGGTAGCTAGTTATGGGAAGCACTTCATTGCATTCTAAGCCTTGCGTCTAACTGATTCGAAGCCGGACACCTTGTGCTGTGAAGGATATTTGTTCAATTGACGTGGTGGCAAAATTGATCTTGAGTTTGAAATTCACATGCGTTAGTCTTTGAGTGAGGTTGGAATAATATTTATGTGGCTGTGCAAAGTGAGAAAGTAGTGCAGCGCCACATCTTGGCAGCTTGGCACGCTGTTCCCAAAATGGTTGGTCGCTTAAGATAAGATCTCTTCGCGAGCTTCACTACCTTCGACCTCGAAATGCATCGTCAACTGTAGGAAAGGCAACCATCATGCTATGCAGTCTACTTTGATGAGCATGATTTTTTTGAAGTAAGATTGCTATTCGCTGCCAGTCCCAGCAATGCCGGAGCTGACTTCCTTTGAATCTCTTATTGGTTGACTGGATAGAAATTTCTAGCTGCTTGTGGAACCCACATGAAGATGTCCAGATTCTCAGGTGACCGACCCCTCTTTACACGTTTCTTTGAGGCTATTCCGTGATGGAATGCCTTGCGTTTGCATCTGCTTTCGTCATTCGGTCATGCCAGAATATTCTCTGTGGCATGATCCAGAATATGCCAGCAACCAATGGAAATTCCTATTGAAATATATAAGCTCACATTGTCTCTCATGAAACGTCTCTTTCTTTCTTCATCAGAACACATCAATTCTTCTTCATGCGATCATACCGCGCACTTTCTCGACTACCAAGTACTCAAGCTAGACGAGTTCTATTCAAACCAATTCCACAAACATCAGCCCGCAACATGTCTTTTTACAACTTCCCAGGTTTCTCCGCTCCCGACACCTCCTTCCACCCGCTCTTCCGTCTTCTCGACCAATTCGACCAATACCAAGACAATACTGGCCGTCGTCATCATCGCAGCCAAATGAAGACCTTCAACCCCAAGTTCGACGTCAAGGAGGTCGACGACAGTTACGAGTTGCACGGCGAATTGCCCGGTGTCGAGCAAAAGGACATCGAAATCGAGTTTAGCGATGACCACACTCTCTCTATCAAGGGCCGCACCGAGCGATCCTACCAATCCGGCACTCCCCCAGCTGGCTTTGTCGAAGGACCAACCGCCTCTGGTGCCATCACCGAGTCCGGCGAGGAACATAAGGACCACAAAGCCTATGTCGAGGACGAGGAAGCTGGTGCCAAAGACGCCAATACCGAAGTCGCCAAGAAAGATTCCGAGCAGCCCAAGGAGCCACAAGCCAAATATTGGGTTTCTGAACGCAGCGTCGGCGAGTTCTCTCGATCTTTCTCCTTCCCGGTTCGTGTTGACCCGGATGCCGTCAAGGCTAGCATGAAGAACGGCATTCTCTCCATCGTTGTCCCCAAGGCCAAGCAACAATCGAGCCGCAAGATCACCATCAACTAAATCGCTTCCGAAGCTCGACTTCGATAAGTGCGATTGGTTTCCGGGACTTCGAATCGATAGGCTTCAACATCATGACTTGAGGAATGGTTGAATTTATTGGGATGGAGTTTTGCTTCTTCACTCATTTGGAGGATTTGCATTTGCAGCGATGGATTTGATGCTTTGCACAACATGGAAAAAGTTGCTTTGAGCTAGGAGTTGGGTGCTTTGCACTTGACTGCCAAATTTCGGTGGATGCCCAGGAAACAAAACATTCCTTTTGTACGTAAGACAATTAAAGGGTAATCATCGAACAAAAACCTTACTTGCCATGCCAATGCGTTGTGAGACTTTATAGTGATTAGTAAGTGAACTTGGAGTTGTGTCAATGCGAGCTCCCCAGTGGATGGAGAAAACAGCCGTAAAGTTTGGGACTTGCATTTCACAGAAAGCATGACACTCTGTAGACTTTGAGACGAACTAGACCATCTAGAACCAAGGTACGCCAGTCTACCGTCCGCTTACTTTCAACATATATACAATCTCCCTCGATTTCCCCTCGATAACCCAAGAAATCCCCTCAAATATCCAAATTCCAAATTCCAAGAAACAAAAAAGCTAATTGGCTTTTACTACTACTGGGTTGTTGACTTCTCAAACACTCACAACGCCAAGCATTAATGTTCTTGGCTGAAATGACCGTCTATGATAAAGAAGTTGAGACAGCCTCTTGATCTGCGTTGAAATCGTCAAACTTTAAAAGTTCAATACCCAACAAAATCAAGTGCTTTGATGATTAGCAGAGAAAGCACGAAAGCAATGAATAATTGCTTAGCAGTCTGAGAGTTTGTTTGAATTTGTAGATTGGGTTCGAGGATATATTTGATGTGCCTCACAGCAAAGAACTCCATATCAATCCCAAGCTTTTCATGCTGTCCAGTTCCCACCAACGCCATGTGAATGCAAATTTCCGCCAAACACTCAGAATCTTTCTTTCATCCTCGATGCCACCGTTCTCAGATTTCCATACACCTTTCCAGGAGGGCTACCCAAGATCAAGCTGACGATTGCCTCTCTCGCAATGTGAATGTTCTTAAATCCACCCAGGATATGGATCTTCGAATCTGCCAAGACTACCCGAGTGCGGCTTGCGTTCTCAATAGCGAACTTCGTTTTTCCGTCTTTGCCAGCGATTCTACCAATAGCCCGGCCAAGGTGCTCGCCTTGCAGCGTTTTGACGTCCTTGATCTCAAATGTCTCAATGTAGAGATCATCTAATCGTAACAGTGCAATAGCATCATCGACGTCGAACCCTAAGCTGAAAGCCTTTACGAAATCTTCGCCCTTTTGAAGTGCTCCTGGGTCGGTGGTTTGCTTGTGATTTCGAAGCTCGACAGATTTGCTCTTGACATTCATTCGGACCTGGAGTTTGAGATGCTCGACGAGTGGTGGGTAAATCTTTGGCCAGGCTGCTCGGATAGGTGCGACGCGGTGAGGTGGGATGGGGACTTTTCTCGTCTCGACTCGGAAATCGCTTTGCTATTTTGTATATTAGATTTGTGTTCCTGGTGTCGTAGAATGTGGACATACAGCTTGCTTTGCAGGCGCAAATCTAGGTCTTCCCTCTTCATCTATGTGCATTTCTGTGTCTCCTTCTACTGGCTGGACTGTATCGGCTTCTGTTGGCATTTCACTCGGCGCATCCAGTAATAACTCGTCATCTTGATCTGATGTTTGTCAGAAGAATATACCAGAAGGGGAAATGTGCTTTATACCTTGGGTGGGAAGAGGAATGTTTGCAGCATCAGCGAGCTCTTGTGGCTTCCGCAAAAGGGCTGTTGGCGCCGGCATTTTGAAGAGTTGCTGAGAATTAAGTATGTGTCTCGAAATATTTCTAGATTGTCGATAAGAGAGGAAGAAAAATTATGTGGTCCGTGCTAGCGCGTCCGCGTCGATCCAGAAAATCGAGAAGTCCAGCCCAGAATCGTCATCGCACCGCTTTCTCCTCTCCTGCACGAGGTTTGTTATCGACAATGTTATTTGCGACTTCAACGGTCTGCTGACATCTAGGATGCTTGCGAGAGCATGTCTTCATTCATAAGAAAAAGGATATGGTCCCAAATATGGGATCCAGCTTGGCAGTTCACTCGCTTTGAACGGGCCCCTAATACCTCCTTTTCCAAATCAACATTCACAAACTCTTCGAGACAATTTTCTTGGGGCAGACCTCGATCACAGTGTCAATCACCAAAGAGAACTCGTGTCACTAAGAGTTTCGCATCGTGTGGCGTTCTACTCTTCGACTTAAGTCCGACAGCAACCGCGACATCATCTACAATCACTTCCTGTACCACGACTGCGGAAAAAACCTTGTATACCTCGACAAAACTCTCTCGAGTGTCAACATCCTCTTTAGCACAGCAGGCATGGCGCAGGGAGATTCATTCCAGCAACGGCAGGAGACAAAGGGGCAATGCAAGGAGGAACAAGAGCTCTACATCAAGTGGGCAGAATGGCCCAAGAGAATCGAAAGATGCAAATGGTGCCTCAAAACTGAAGCCAACTTCGAAGGAATCAGAGCCATCAACCAGCCAAACCCCTTCTAGCAACTTTATTCACCTCCCAAATCTTCCTCACATGCCTAAGATGCCCCATCGGCCTACAAAAGAAGAGCTTTTGGCAGCTGCAACAGGGTTTTGGTCACGGTTGAAAGTCCGCTTCAAATGGTTTTCCATAAGAAGCGTGCGGCCATGGAATATAGATGATTGGAGCGCATTTGTGTCATGGTTTGTGCTTGGAAATATTGTCTGGATCTTGGTCGGAACTACAACATTCTTTTCTCTTGTCATTTTCTCCATAAACACGGTTGTTGCTCAAGGTACGCTCATGATATCACATCACACCACGTAAAATTGCTAATGATATGAACAGAAACACTTGCACGATGGATTGGTGATTATCTAACTCATTCAGCTGGAGTGAAGGTTGTCTTCGAGTCTGCAATCGTGCCGAAATGGAAAGATGGAGTGATCACATTTCACAACGTATTCGTTTCTAGACGCCCTGGCCAAGGCAAGACCAAAGTCAGCAAAGGATCATCCATGACAGCCGCAGCAGCAGCTGCTGCGGAGAGACAAGCTGAGCTGGAAGGGAGAAAAGAAACAGAGGAAGTGGTGGTCGAAGAAGAAGAGGACACGAACTATACGCAATTCGATCTTACGATTGGCACGGTGAACGTCACACTTTCGTTTGTCAAGTGGTGGAACGGAAAAGGCCTTCTGAGAGATGTGGAAGTGAAAGGGGTGCGAGGGGTTGTGGATCGAACATCTGTACACTGGGGAGGAGACTACGTTGATCCGAGGACATACTTACACAAGCACCATGCTGGAGATTTTGAGATTGATTCGTTCAAGATGGAAGACTTGTTGATTACAATCCACCAGCCGAAAGGGTTTCGGCCATTCTCAGTGAGCATTTTCAATTGCGAGCTACCTCAGTTGCGAAAACAGTGGTTATTCTACGACTTCCTATCCGCAAACAACATGTCAGGAGCATTTGATGGATCTTTGTTTACTATTCATCCTCGACAAATGCACGGACTTGCGGGGGCTCGTCATGACGAAGAAGCAGACGAGGCAAGTCCGTGGAAGAAACAGAGCAGACTTCGCATAGATGGGTTGAAAATTGATCACTTGAATCGTGGAGTTGAAGGGCCGTTTGGATGGATCCAAGAAGGCAATGTGGATATCGTGGCAGATGTCATGTTCCCAGCAGATACAGATGACAGCATTGCAAAGGTCATGTCTGACTTCTATGACCGCATGGAAGCGACTGTCACATCGAATCGGTATCTTCATATCTTGGAGAATAGTCCGCGGACAGCTGACCTAAACACACCTGAGAATCGAGCATCGTTTGCTGAAAAAGTCAAGAAGGACGACGACAAAAGGTTCCTTGTCATGGATCTCAGAGTCCATCTCAACGATGTCAAGGCTGCTGTACCACTCTTCACCCGCGATCTTTCTTACATCAATTCAGCTTTGATTAGACCCATTGTGGCCTACATCAATTCTCAGAAGACCTTCATTCCCATCAATTGCAGAATTGTCAAACGAGCCAGCGAGTTCGACGGTAGTTGGACCATCTTTGATAGTGGATTGATGGAAGATTTATCCGCCGAGACCTACGAGGCGTTTGCTAAAGATGTGGTCGATAGTCAGGCGCGAATGAGGAGGTTGAAGAAAGTAGGATTCTGGTCAATATCCTTGGCCATTCAGGCTCTATTTATGGGCATGGCTGGTAACGTGGCGTAATAGTAATGACTCTCCTCACTCTACGACGATTATGTATAAAAGTTGGGTAATTACTAGATATTTGGGGTGGGCAGGCACTGGTTTGGCGCATGGGTCTCGTGAAGATATTCCACCAGGAGTCAGGGAATCGATACATATATAAGCGGCATAAATGTAAAGTACATAGATCCGAGTTCTGTCAAAGAAATCGATGTTGTTGTTCATACTATTTGCGGAAATTTCGTTCCATTCTTGATTTCGTCCTATTCAATAACTGATAATGAGGCAACATGACTCCATACCGACAGCGCTTTTCTCCTGTCCCCCATCCAATCCAGACATGCCGCCATATGTAGATACAATGATTACAAGGATATGAAGAAAATGCCCCATGGATGTTGGGCCTCGAGTAGAAGCTGGGTACTGATTAATTTCTCTCATCACCTCAAGCTACCACACTCTCCTCCTTGGAGTAGATAGAATCTTCTCCAAACAATTCCTGATCTCCTTTGCCACCGAGACCCATGAATTCTGCTGGGTCTCGATTTTGAGAAGGTGTCTCCTCCTTCGCCGCCCCCTTTTTACCTTTACCCCCAGTCTTTCCATTCACCGTCGCAGCAAGTTCTTGGTTGACTCTGTTTTGCGAGGCCTTCGAGTTTGGATTCTTGATGTAGACTTTGACGGGATCCTTGTCGGAATCAATTTCAATGACTTTGGTAACTTTCACATCGTTGATGCTGCTGAGTAAGGTTCGTTCTCGCGCCATCTTTCGCTTGCTAAAATCAAGGTTGGCGATACCTCCAACCAAGCCATCTGTGCTGTCATTTGGATTCAAGCTTCGCTGGGTAGTCCAAGGGTGTTCAAGGCAGTCATCAATAGTGTACCTTTTGTCGACGTCGACAGTTAACATACGATCGATAAGATCCAGCGCTGGGTCGCCAACAGAGTCCCAATACGGAGAGGGGTAGTCGAAGCGGCCAGTTTTGATTTGCTGAGTAAGAGTATAGGGGTTCTCCTTCGAGTATAGCTCATCAGAGAAAGGGGGGAATCCACAGAGGCAGATGTAGAGAACAACTCCCAGTGACCATATATCTACAGCTCGAGTGTATCGACGATTTCTAGAATCCTCCAAGATTTCAGGAGCCACGTAACTAGGTGTGCCACACAGAGTTGTGGTGAATGACTCTTCTCCGATTATCTTCGCAAGGCCAAAATCAGCCAGCTTGACATGAAGATCCTTGTCTGTGAGCAAGATATTTTCTGGTTTAATATCACGATGGACGATTCCTCGGTCATGCTATAGATCTGTTAGCTCAAGAGCATTGTCCGAAACTGTAAATACTTACCAGGTACTTTACCCCCTGGAATAACTGTATGAAAACTTTCCGAGTCTCTTGCTCAGTCAATTTCTGTTTCAATACAATGCAATTGAACAGCTCTCCTTCAGCTGCCAATTCAAGGACAAGATAAACTGCGTTTGGTTCATCGAATGTGTCTTTCAGACATAACATATTCGGATGGCTTACACCCATCAAAACCGCAATTTCTTGTTGTAAGCCATCGGTTTTAGAACGTTCTTCAACACCAGGTTGTTTCGAGAAAATCTTGACCGCATATCTTTGGCCCGAGGCCTTTTCAATACAAAGGAACACCTCTGCAAAATGGCCTTTGCCAAGCTTCTCCAGCAGGGTATACTGCTGGAGAAATGCACTCGAGTCTCGGTTTTTGGGATATCTGAAGATGAACCTGGCCTTGTCCATGACTGTGATCTCGTCTGCATCTTTGAGTTCTCTCCGCTTGTTTCGACCAATCACTCCTTCATTGACGAAAGTGCCGTTGCTTGAAAGATCCTCGACCATTGCAATGGTGTCGCCCCCTTTGTTTTCGGTAAAGATCAAGCAGTGTCTGTTAGATACTATTGGATCGTCGATGATGAGATCTGTCGAAAATCAGTCAACTAGACACTTGTGTCTAATCTCGAGTATCACTAACCGCATTCTGGATGCCTTCCGATCAAGTAGCCCCCTGAAGCGATTCCCTGAAGCTTCGTTTCTTCATAGGCTTCCTCTTCCGCCTCGAAGTCCTTGCCTTTGCCGTGCTTGGATTGTCTTCTTCCGCCATCCCTTCCGAAGTGATCCATTGAGCCCGGTAAAGGGCAAGCGGTTCTCTTCTTCATGATCAACGACTTGCCATATTTCTGGTCTAGGGGAAGTAGGTAGCCCCAGACTCCCTCCTCCATCTCGTCTTCAACTTCGTTCGAAAGACCATTTGTGAGGTTGGCTTGGGTGAAGGCCTGTGTGTCGTTTGGCGGAGACGAAACACCATTGTAATCGATCAGAGCATTGTATTCTCGATGATGAATCTGACTCGGACGACCCTCCTCAGGTGTCTTCGTGGCCTCTTTGTATAAGTCGCTAGAAGACGATTCTTGGTGTGTGATAGGCGATGGCAGTTGTTGCTTCTTCGATACCGGCGTTGTTTGAGGTTGAGATAATCTTGTCGAACGCCGAGGTTTCTTTGCGTCTTTGTCCTCGGAAGCTCCGCCCTATGTCACAATTGTCAGCTTTGTAAGACAAACCTCGGGAGAGGTTGCGCTGTTACATACTCGACCTCGTTTCAATTGTCCTTTCTTCTCGCGGGGTGCCATCTGCGCTCAGAGATGAGCTCCTCCTGTTGGGCTGGGACCAAGTCTCAACCTTGGCAGTAACGGCAAGAATCCTCTTGAAGAGAAAGTGTAGCAAGATATCTAATGCCTATGTGAATTGAGCAAGTCAAGAGTAAAGTTGGCTTTGAAATAGTTGCAATTCGAAGACCAAGATTCTTTGCCGAGTAGGTCGAGGCCCTGTCTTATTCGCCCGGGCTTACTCTCCAGCATGCAGGCTAAAGCGAGGAGCTTCGACCACCACTCAAATGAGTATCTAAAGGAGTTTTTTGCAACGACGAAATGTTTTACAAAATAGTTTAATGATTTTCATTGCAGGTACTGTTTAAAGGCAGTAGAATTTGTCACATAGCATACGTTATTCAGCATCCCGTGGAGAAGTCACGGCCTGTCGGCTCTGGTTCATTTACTAGTGTGCATAGGATTTGCATCGAACCGAGTACTTTTCCTCATCCACGGGCTGATGGCCGCCTGTAAGTGTGTCTCTAATGCGGCTAGATAAAGTCCTCCTGCCAGCTTTCCTCGTGATCTAGCCTCGTGATTCAGCCTCGTGCCTTTCAACAGCACATGATCCTCAAGCTGACGGCGACGTATATCTTGTGGGTAGTCTTCGCCACCATGTTCTTGAACAGCTGTTTCGTAGTGATGATTTTGTTCTGGTAAGATACCACTCTGAGCACTTGTTGCACAACATAACCCTTAATCAATCAAATCTTGTCTTTCGTTTTGTGCCTTGCCCCTGCAACGAGCTTCTGTCGAGGCCTGCCATGACTCTTTCGGCTGCACTCTTCTGACCAGACCTACTTGACTGCCCAGGAGTCCCTCCCCGACTTACGGACTCTCCCGTTGTACTTGCAGGTACAAAGTCAACAGCCTCCCTTTGGCCTCTCTGCTTTTCTTCCTCGGATCTCTTCAGGATTTTCTGTTGGCTCTTCGCAAGTTCCTCTTTGTATGCATATGTAGGGAAGCTATTGGGGTTCCAAAGCTCTTTAGAAAGTGTGCTTTCGTATTGGCCAGCCTCGTCAATACTAGAGAAGTCCATGAGCTTCTGCATAAGACTTGGATTCTTCAGAGCCGATGACTTTGCCAATTTCTCGTTGAAGTGAACCCCCTGCTTCTTTAGTTGGAGAAAATGTTTGAATTTTGCGTTCGTGCTTTCTTGAGGTGATCCGGGTGGTGATGATGGGATATTGTAATTAGGAATTGTTGGCAAGGTCAGGTCTCGTAAAAGAGCCCGATTTGACGAGTATGGGGATTGTGGAGCCATTGTTGTATCGTCTTCAAGAAGCTCTCCAACATCTGCTTGTGCTATTGTCGGTCCTAGGAGCGGCGCATCGGGCTCAGGTAAAGGCGGATGTCGATGCGAAGAACTGTGGACACCATTCGAATGGTTCGCATTTGGTTGATTATCTATCCTTATGTTAGACATTGTATCTCGAATGGCATCTGGATTACTGACCGCTCCGGACATTGTCTGCAGTTATGAGACTGTTTGTTGAATTGTTCGCCTGTAATCTATACTGTCAGTCTACTAGATCGAAGAACCTAAATTTTCGAACGGACTTACGTCTACAAGAGGACTTTCATCCTGTATACTGTCGTCTTCGTCACTACTTCCGTAATTGACTAAACTTGCCATCTTGGTGGTGTTGCAAACTGAAGTTGTTGATGTGGTTGATTTTCCGTGTCGGCAAAACCTGAGGCGCGGTTTAGAGCTTCGCGTCGTTGTTACCTTGAGCTTCAAAGCTCCATCAACCTCCGCCGACTATTCCAAAAGACAACACAACAACCTTCTTCCAAAATCAACAACCTCGAATCAACCTTGATCATGAATCACCTTCCACAAGCTTGGGGACGTGTAAGTTTTATTTGTCCGCTGTCGCCCAGATACCTCGCTGATCGATATAATCTAGCCCAGGGACGATGTGTACGGCGCCTACGATGCTTCATACCTTCAAAGTAACGGTCCAAACCAACATACTCAGTCGCCAATTGTCACTGGTACATCAGTCGTGGCGCTGAAGTTCAAGGATGGTGTAGTTATTGCAGCGGACAACCTGGGTAAGCTGTATTTGGAGCTATTTCATAGCTTAAGAAGCTGACACTCGTTTCTCATACAGCATCATATGGTTCTCTCGCCAGATTTACCGATGTCAAGCGCCTGCGCACGTTTGCTGATACTTCAGTCGTTGGCTTTGGTGGTGATGTTTCGGACATGCAATACTTAGACCGACTCCTCAACTCCCTCGATACAGAAGAAGCATACAGCACCTCTGGCCACACACTCAATGCCAAGAACCTCCATACATACCTAGCGAAAGTCTTCTACAAGCGTCGATCCGATTTCAACCCATTATGGAACCAAGTATTGGTGGCTGGATTGGATGGAGAGGGCAAACCGTTCTTGGCCAGCGCTGATCTGTTGGGAACAACGTTCAGTTCGCCCAGTCTGGCAACTGGCTTTGGAGCGAATCTAGCTCAGCCTCTGTTGAGAAAGGTTGCACCTGATGAGGAGGCTGCATCGAAATTGTCACAGGAGCAAGCTTTGGAGGCAGTCAAGGAGAGCATGAAGGTCTTGTTCTACAGAGACGCCAGAAGTTTAGACAAGTACTCTATCGCCGTTGTCACGAAGGATGGAATCGACTTGAAGGAGGACGAGAAACTTGAGAAGCAGAGTTGGGCATTGTAAGTCTCTTTCGACAACCCAAATCTTCATACGACTAACCCGGATTTTACAGTGCCGACCAAATTCGAGGTTACGGAACACAAGTCAACTAAAGCTATGTGTTGCTTCATTGTATACTAGATATCATTTGGTATGAGACATGACCAGAGGCGTTGCGTTACATGGCATTCTTCTCGAAGCTTTTCCTATAGACTAGTGAAAAGTGAAAATCTCGCTATTAATCATACTCTGGAATATGCCGTGAATAATGACTCTACAAATACCTAGATACCTACCTATGCAGGCAATATCCCTTTAATCTTCCCCGCTGTCTTGGCCTCTGCATCCAATATATGACCCTCACGTGAGAAGATATTATTCCATTTAGCTCCTGAACAAAAGTTATCTTGAGTCGAAAAGAAATGGATCGTTTAGAGGAATTGCCATTGCATGTACTGTACATCTTCTAATGACTAGGATATATTGAGCAAATGACGATTTTTTTTAATGAATGATATTACAAAATTCTAGTAAAGGTTCACACAGGGGAGAACGAAGTCGGGATGGGATGGTAGCGAGAATCCGTGCGTTGCCGCATCAGCCCTCATTCGAGGGGGAACTCCTGTCACAGCTCATAATTGTCTTTTGTAAGTTCGCGAATACTGATTCCGCACCTTCCAATGTTCAAGTCAGCCAACTGTACATCCTCAACACAAAGCTCGAATTCTAGCAGCCCCATCCGGAAGCTCCAAGACGAGGCAGCCCACCATCGAAAACCCACGCGACGCGCTCACCTTGGATGTACGGGCACACGGCCTCTTGTAATCATAATAGAAGGAGGTGCCAACGGTGACTGGTATGCAGACGGCAAGGCTCAAGGCTGAATCGCAAGGACGGAAAGCTAAGGTGAGACCTCTCTCAACTATTTAGTGATACATCCGATGGCTCAAGAGGACTGACGATCTTTTGTGTAACAGCTTGCCAATTCATACCATGAGTTATTGGAGTATGTGACCCTACTTGCCGAATTCAATAGATGAAAACTAATCTGAGCTTTTTGCAGAGAGTTTTCGTCGAAAGACCTTCGTTCCGTCGGAAATTATACACTGGGACGTTTGATCGGGAAAGGGTCATTTGGCAAAGTCTATCTCGCATCGCATAAGCTCACAAATGGCTCCAAGGTCCGTTATGCAAACTGGCAGAAGCCCAGGTGGCAGAATGGCATAACTAAATGATGTACAGGTCGTCCTCAAGTCTGCCAACAAAGATGACTCGAATCTTGCTCGCGAAATACATCATCATCGACAATTCATACATCCTCATATTGCACGACTGTACGAAGTTATAGTGACAGAGAGCTTGGTTTGGCTAGTGTTGGAGTATTGCCCAGGTGAGCGCGGAAGAGGAGGGGTCATCTTCACTGGGCCTGAATGCTAACAGACGGAAGGCGACGAACTGTACAACTACCTCCTGAAGCATGGCGCATTACCCGTGGAAAAAGTACAAAAGGTGTTTACTCAACTGGTTGGAGCCGTCACATATGTGCATAATTCCTCATGTGTCCACCGGGATCTGAAACTGGAGAATATCCTGTTAGACAAGCACGAGAATGTCAAATTATGCGATTTTGGTTTTACTCGAGAATATGAGGGGAAGTCTAGCTATCTGCAAACCTTTTGCGGGACCATTTGTTATAGTGCTCCTGAGATGCTCAAGGGAGAAAAATATGCGGGTGAGAAAGTTGATGTTTGGAGTTTGGGTGTTATACTATACGCCCTTCTATGCGGGGAGCTACCTTTCGATGAAGATGACGACAATGCAACGAGGACCAGAATTCTTACTGCCGAGCCGAAATGGCCTGATCATCTTACCCCGGATGCTCGTTCTCTTCTTGGACTACTTCTTTCGAAACGGCCTATAATTCGACCTTCTCTCCCAGACATCCTAGCCCACCCGTTTCTGGCAGAACACGCACCACAACAGCAGGCCATCTTAAAACTTCAACAACCGCCACCTTTTGCTACGTCGTTGGAGAAAGAGACTCTTGAACGCATGCGCAGTGCTGGAGTTGACATTGATCAGGTGATTGAGAATGTTCTGGCCCGTCGATGTGATCCGTTAGCTGGCTGGTGGACCCTGCTTATCGAAAAAGAAGAAAGGAAAGCCATCCGCAGAGAACGAAAGCGGAAAGAAAAAGAAGCCGAAAATCGAGCCTCGAGGAGACTGAGTGGTGCGAGCAGTCGACTAGAACGTATGGCTCCAACCCTGACTGGAGTCGATGAAGAGGGCCAAGAACTCAGACTGGGCGAGCCTCCCAGGAGCAGAGGCCGGAAAGAGAGACGAAGTGCACACTATCCGGACCTCATTCTCACGGACTTACCTGGTCTTCCAGAGCACTCTCAATTAGATTCTCCTGAAGTAGCGACGCCGCCTCCGCCGATAGAGAAAGACTCAATCCGGTCAGCAAGCTCTTCAAGGCATCGCCGTCCTATCCCTCCTCCAAAAGAAGGTACAATACGAGGAGCTAAGTCTCGGGGTAGTACTTTGCAGCTAGTAACTTCCAATCCTGATCTTCTCAACCCCCAAGCGAACGGAATTGTACAAAGGCCCCCTCGCAGGAAGCACCAACATGCTTTCATTAATCAACTGGCTCATTGGAAGCACTGGCTTTTAGACTCTGCAAAACGTGCGAAGTCTCCAGGCAAAAGAATGAGCCGCTCTACCCCTGATCTGCTCCAAAAATCGGCCAACAGCTCACGAACAGGACCAAAAGAGCCAAGCCCACGGCCAGCCACTTCTAAAACGCCTCCTTCAGCAAGACCATTATTACAACCAGGACCGCAGACCCATCCACCAGTTGCAAGGATATATACCACACCAACCCCAGGGAATAAGCGCCACTCACTCTCCCCTTCCCCATTGACACCTCGCTCTACATTTCGACGTTCTAGCACAGGTCTTCGTGGACGAAAGTCGACGTCCTCATCGGTGTCCTCAGTTCGCACTATTCATCATCACCAACATACACATTCCAAAGCGTCTTCGACCTCTTCTAATGGTTCCGGGTCAATGAGTAAGGTGTCCCTGCCATCACGAAGTCCTCATCACTCCGTCAAGGTCCTACCTGCAACTCCCACCACAAGCGCTTTCCCATCAAATATTCGAGTTGTGCGGCAGCCACCCATCTCAAGCTTCAACGAGGCGCCATGGGGTCAGCCTGTTGGTGGTTTGGTCTTTGCGAAGAGGAAAAAGAACATATTCAAAGGACCCATGCTCAACACTTCCTCATCAAGCGGGTCCGCAAACGGATCAGGTCACAATAGAACAGGAAGCCATAGTCGCAGCGCGAGCGTGGCTGGTCGTCGAAGCGGAGAGATTATCGAGGAAGAAGACGAGGATGAGATCGAAGAAGTTGACGCTTTCAGTCCCTTGAACGGACCGGAAGAAATCGAGGAGGTGTATCCTGACGCCGAGACCACTGTGAATGGAGCTGAGGATAAAGAACTTTCTAAACCCAGCTAGCTGGCACTAGGGAGGGATTGATGTATGATTGATGTGTGTGATTATAGAAGTCATGAGTGATTGCGGTTGTGTTTTCTCTTCTGCTGTTCCTTAGCGAGTTTGCTGGGTTTTTTTTCCCTTCATCACTATTCTTCTCTTGTACCAGCGTTGCATGGTTCTCGCATATTTGAGTCTCTATCTTTGGGAACAGTACAGTAAGATACAATACCCATGCCATTTGTAAGGTATGGTTGTACTTTTGGCACGCATACTTAGGCATACGAATAGGTGATTTTTGTTCATAGAGTGTGCATGGTAGATAGACGGATGAGTGAAAACTGTATTGATACCAGGTCAAACAAAAATTTTCTCGTGAGAATGGATGAGATCCGAATCCTAATTTTGAGACGCCTTTTTCCGTCTCTTGATACTCGCGCAAAAAACATGCTTTCTATTCTTTTCATATACTGTCATAGAAAAGCAGACTCATACCACACAGTTAACAACACTTGATACAGGCACGTCTCCGTCACTACTCAGCAAGACGAGACAACGCAGCCTTTTAAACAGAGTGGCCTAAGAGAGGATCTTCACAGCACCTGGGTGACCGCAGTAAGTAAGGAAGAACATATACCATAGCACGATCGAAAGAAGTCCTGAATCTTTTATTCTACTTGGCCCCGAGACCGTCATCTATCGTCTATGAAACGTCTAGATCTTACTTGCTCCCGTTCTCCGGGCAGCGAGATTCCTTGCTGCTGGAAGGGCAAATGCGATGTGATGGCTTAAAGCTATGATATCTCCTTCTTCGTCCATGATCACTACCTCTAAGTCCATCCTGCCATTCTGGATACGCTTGCTGTTTCTGTTGGAGTCTGTTAGTATTGGGAAGTGCAAAGGCGAAAAGTTGAGAAGCTGGAGCCGCGACTCTAAAGCAACAAGCTAGATGGAATTTGAGGCTTTTAGGCTAGTTTCAAGCTCTGAGGTTCTGGAGAAGCGGAGTTCAAAGCAGAGGAGAAGGTGTCTTACACTCTAACGAATAGCCATTCGCAGGGCTTCTCTGAGAGGGATTTCTTTATGTCTAGATTCAATCTAAGAATGAGAAATTAGTGCAATTCGAATCAAGAATGTGGAAAGAAGGAATGACTGAATCCAGGTGGATGAATACCAACAACTCAGAACACGAAAGACAACTGGGTTTCTGATACTCACAATAGTGTAGGGTACCAAAATTTTGCTGGTCCCTTCTCTCCAGCGGTTTTCTCCATGTTTTTGACATCGTAGGGATTCTCTTTGCTAACAAAGGCTTCGACCGGCATGGCTGGTAAGCGGGTTAGCACAAGCAGTATATCTAAATCGGAGGGAAATCTAGAGCAAGCAAGGTCAATGATTCTCTTTCAGGATAGCAGACCCGTTTGGCCTTGTATGCTCAGCTCTCACTCTCTTTTGAGGCTCTAGTGGTACGAAGAATGAAAGATAGGAGTATGTAAATAATACTGACGCCACATATCCGCTAGATATCCAATAGATGCATCTGTCCATTTCTCCCCAGAGACCAGCCTCACCCATTCATCTGCTTGTGATCTCTTTCGTTGTCGTTCTCGTGGAAAATGAAACATTGTCTTCTGTGTCGCTTTTCTGAATGATGCAAACGGCATCTCACGTGCTCTTGCCCAATTCTCATCTTGGTCTTTAGCAAGGTGAGACAAATTAACTGGCAAAGGTGCGGGGTCTAAGGAATAAGTCGTGTCGAAAGAGACCCCTTCCTCTGCTGAAATGTTTCCTTGAGTCAAAGAGCCTATGACTTCTTCCCGGCCTTCCTGAGAGAGCGTCACATGAATGACAGAGGCTTGACGACCCAGTTTGGTGTCCTTAACTGTGAACAGTGCTGGACCAGCTGAGGTTCGGCGAAGGAAGTCTAAATGTACCGCTATGGTGTGAGGTTGGTTTTGGGCAGAGAGAGTGCTGCTGAAGTGCTTTGAGGCAACTTGCATGAAGGTTGCAGTCGCATAACCTCCGTGGGGAACTGTAACTTGTTAGTAAAGAATTATAGCTTGAACGATGAGAACAGATCGATAATAATTGCGAATCACACCGAAATGGGTCCATGTGTATACCATAGCGGTTTGATAGCCACTGGGCTATCATATTCGGCCTCTAGGCAAATCCGATGTCCCGGTCACTTATTGCCACTGTACTTCACAATAGCTTCGAGTCACCACTGTTCGGTACACTCCCCAATACGCACATAGGGTTCGATGCTGACAAGTCACCAAGGTAGAGCTTACCAGATCCAATGCACCAGTCATCAACAAAATTCGCCTCGTACTCGTGTGAAGAGAGGCATTTTAATGCCGTTGCTGCCGCGAAAGTCGACCCTGCTTCCGGTGAAGCCATTGTTGCGGTAGATTTCTGATCACACCTGCTATGCCCTATGCCATATCCCAAGAATGATTCAAAAGAGGCTCACTGATCAAAGGTCATGATGTTTCTAGCCTCTGAAGTTACCGCCGAGCCGAGGCAGGACCCCTTATCGATTGCCCAAGGCGATCCCTTGTTCTTGGTGGCCGAAGAAATGCCGGGACGATGTTGTGTCCTTGTGTCTTCCATGAGGACGAGCACGGTATCACATGAGTACAAGAATACTTTGAAGCTCTCCACACGCCTTGTGATCAGGCTAGGTTGTGACTTACCTAAGTGTCAGCCTTTCGTAGTTGTTCCTGACATTTGCATCACGAAGCGGCAAACTTGTCAGATTGCCGAGTGATGTCCTTCAGGACCCTTGTTTGAGCTTGGAAACGCAATCAATCCAATGGGACGAAGGTGATTGTGATTCAAACAAGTCTCAGGGCGTAATGACTCTGCTGCGTGCAGCTGGACAATCCACCGTGAACGGATTTGCTGCAGCCTTGTGAGGGCAAAATACGTCAGCAAGCTCCCAAAATACTGTAGCTATTTTGGCCGTATCTGCCCGCAGGAGCAGAGTGATTCGACCCGCGAAACTTCAGGTGAATCCGATTTTATCCTTCGTGTTGGAGTTGAGCTCTCTAGATCTCCCTCCTGAAACGTAAAATTTAGCAACGAGTCCCTTCATTTCAACTAGATTAATAACTCATTCATCAACCGCGTCTAACGCAGCGGCCAAGCGAGTATCGACAAGGCACTCCATGCATTCTACACTTCTGTCCCCCTTTCACTTCGACTAATGCGTATTTCGAACGAACATCCTTTCCACGAATACATAGATGATATCAAGCATCGGATTATCTGCGCTTGATCGCCTTGTCTGCGTGCAAGCAAAGCCTTCCACCAACATCCTTTGACGGTGCGCCTTGGTGGGGCAATACACTCGACGATGGGGAACGTCTCCAGCATCCCAGGGGACGGATCCGCGTTATATCTCAGAGATCAGACTCGATGTCAGTACATTCTACTCGGACTGCAGAAGTGTGTCTAATGTCGTCTGAACAGTATCTATTTCATCGCTATCGGTCATCAACTCTCGGCGTCGGACTGTCCTAAATGTTGTACCTAACTCCTTTCCTGCTACCAGAGTGTCAGCAACCCGCGATCTTGGAGACAATAGTGTCGTGGAATATGTCCAGGTATGGAAGAATGCGCTGCAGAATAAATGCGCTGCAGAATAATATATCGAACCTAGCATGCTGATTCGAGATCGTTAGGACCCTGAACCACTTCCCTCTACCCCGACTCCGAACTTCATCCTCAAACTCAATAACGATGAGGAGCTCACATTCAAATTCACGTTTGTTCTTCGACAGTCACAGCAGATTGTCACAGGGGTGAATGGTGCACAAGAAGCTACCAATCTTGTTGACACCAATATCAACGGCCTCACATACGTATCAGCGTCAACAGCCAAGGAAGTCGAGACGCTGGTGACTCGAGAATTCCATGCCGACCCGAATTTACATAAGAATGCCAATGTACAATTAGTGGGAGACTATTCCACGGGTGGAAGCCAGTCGGTATCCTTCGAGTGGTCGTGGAAATGGAGACCTCCCAAGGCTGTAGAGGATAGAGGTGGCGGCTGGAGGAATGACTGCAGTGTATGTCCACACCTCCTGCCAGAAGCAAAGTCACTAATCGGGGAAAGTTTGTCGAATACGACCAACGTGCCCATAGATTAAATACTCTGGCTAGCTTTTCATTCTGGGTTTCAAGTATGGCTGTCTTGTCACATAGGTAATTATATAGATATACTGACTTTATTCAGACAACCAAGGATACCTCAGCCAGCCCAACTCTCCTTCACCACCCTTTAATCTTATACCGCCCCCAAAACTTCGAGTTCCATCCTCACAATCCATGGATTCAAGAGTGAGCGGCACAGATACTCGAGAATACGATGAACCTCCATCGCCGCATATGTTACCAGCTGAGCCTCCACTTGCAATCGGTCCAGTCCCTCCGAAAGACATAATCAAGGTTGATGTTTCTTGCCAACGCCCGGGGGAAGACATGAGTGCAACCGAAGATGGACCTTTGTTCCGAGCCACCATGAAAGCATTGGAGCAGAAGACTGGAAACATGAGGCAACGAATGAAGAAAGTTCTGAGAAGAGCCGAAGCAGCACACATGGCACAAATTGAATGTAATGATGCTATCTCTGGGTTCATGGATGCTCTCAGGGAAGCGTCTACTTCGAATGCAAATGCCGTGCAGCCTGCATTGGAACATTATTTTGATAAGATTGCTCGAGAAATCTTAGGCTACGAGAAGCAGAACACCGTAAACCTGCAAAGAATTATCATCGACCCTCTCACAAAGCTTTACAATCTGGATATCAAACAGGCTGAAGCAAAGAAACGGGACTTTGAAGAAGAGAGCAAAGACTATTACGCATATGTCTCGCGATATCTCGGTCAGCGACAAGATTCGCTGAAGAAGAAGAAGGCCGCTGAAAGTGATACCAAGTATCAAACTAAGCGCCGGAATTTCGAGTTAAAACGTTTCGATTACTCTTCCTTCATGCAGGATCTTCATGGCGGCAGAAAAGAACAAGAGGTGCTTTCACATCTCACTAAGTACGCTGATGCACAGACCAAGAGCTACTTGTCCACCGCCAAAAAGGTCGAGCAGATGCTACCGCAGTTGGACGCCCTTAGTGCGGAAGTACAAGAAGCGGATAAGGAATTCCAGTACCAGCGGACGGAACGTGAGGAGAAGCGGAGGAACTTGGAGAAAAGCACAATTACCTACGTTGAGCCAGATACGGTTCCTGCTGTAGGCATAATACCCCCACCAACATCATACTCAACCAGTACTACAAGTGCCTATGTCTCTGATGGAGAGTTGGGCAGATCAGATAGCTCGGCATCGCAACTGAGAGCGATTCCTTCCAATGGTACAACGATGACGAGCTCCAATGGAGGCGCCATGGAATTTTCTAGGTCTCCCGGTAGTTTGTCATCTACTATGGGTGTCGTTGGAAGTCCTGGTCCCAATTCGAAGTTCAAGGGTATTCGAGACCTTGAAGAAAAGGACCACTCTCAGATCACGAACAGTGAGAAACTCGGGACTCAGCGTAAAGAAGGGCTTCTCTGGGCCCTTAGCAGACCTGGCAGCCATGCAGATCCAAGGGGCTTGAATAAGCAGGCGTGGCATAAGTGAGTTCCTTTTCGTTCGATCCTTAACGTAGTGGACTGACCCATTTAGATTCTGGATTGTCCTCGATGCTGGCAAAGTATCCGAGTACAGCAACTGGAAGCAGCGCCTCGATTTGCATATGGAGCCTATTGATCTCCGAATGGCATCTGTGCGCGAAGCTCGTGATGCGGAACGTCGTTTCTGCTTCGAGGTAATTACGCCTCAATTTAAGCGGGTGTATCAAGCGACCTCTGAGGACGACATGAAGAACTGGATATCTGCTATCAACAACGCTATCCAGAGTGCTGTTGAAGGGAGGGACATGCGAGACGCGCCTGCACCAGCTCCTCATCAAGAATCACATTCGATTCGTCGAGACATTGGTTCGATTTTGACGGGCAAAAGTTCTTCGATGAACCATGGGAACCACTACAACAACGCTCAAGGTAGTGGCGCATCGAACAACAATGTCTTCCGCCGGACGACCGTGGGGGCCAGACCTGCCTACAATCGGCAGGGTAGCAACGGATACGACGATAGCCCTGATAAGCTTCTCCAAACGTTGCGAGATGCTGATCAGGGCAACTGCTGGTGTGCCGATTGTGGGTCAGGGGTCAAGGTTGAATGGGTTTCTATCAACCTAGCCATCATTCTTTGCATTGAGTGCAGTGGCATTCATCGATCCTTAGGGACTCACATTAGCAAAGTTCGCTCTTTGACCCTAGACATAAATTCCTTCACGACAGACATTGTGGAACTATTACTACTGGTCGGTAATCGGGTTTCCAACATGGTCTGGGAGGCAAAGTTGGACCCTGCGTTGAAACCTTCACCACAAGCGACTAGAGAGGAGCGACTCAAGTTTATCACCGCAAAGTATGTCGACAGAGCATACATTGAGTCAATTTCATCGACTTTGTCACGCTATGCCACTGCCGACGAGACCCTTCTTGCGGCCATCAAGAAGAATGAAATCCAGCAAGTCATCTACGCTTTGGCTCTGAAAGCCAATCCCAACGTTTGTGATAGATCGAGGGGGACACATTCGGTATTCTTAGCGCTTGCTGCTGCTGATCCAGCGTCACCATCTCCAGTGGCTTCGCCTTCAAGACCCGATACTGGAGTGAAGGTAACTGCATTTCCAGTTGCTGAACTTCTGGTGCAGAACGGTGCAGAGATTCCCACAAGTTTGCCAGCATTTCCTCTCAGTCGGAGTGCAGCGCTCTACATCGAGCAGAAGAGCGGACGAAGCGGCCAACCGAGCGACTCTCTTGGTGCACTTCCTGTGATGACACCAGATAAGCAACAGAAAGAGCGTGAGGCTCGGTTGCAAAAGCGTGTCAGCGCTGGTGGGCGTCTTGCAAAAGCACCCATTCCAGAGAGATGATACGACTCTGATGACCGTTTGATGATAGATGATGGATGATGGCATGAACTGGAGATACCTTGGGAAAGCATGCTTGGCGTTCAATTATGTGCGTGTGCGAATATTGTATTACTGGAGGTGAGCGCCTGGGCTTTTGGGTCACCCTGGGGTTCTTGTAGGGCTTGGATTGGAAAGAGGGTCCGTGATGTTTAAGTCGAACCTGATTTGGAAAGGAAAAGGCAAATGTTATGGATAATAGTAATGGATCAAGACAGTGATGAAGGGTATGATTAAGTAGAAGCCTCTGGTCTAGGAAATACAAGGACTATGATGATGGCCGTGGTCATATTGTTTGATATTGTTTCTTTCCGAATAAAATGTGACTTGGCATTTGATGTTTGAAATCTGACATGGAAGCCTGGAGTTGGAGACTGAGGAGTGTCCGTGAAGGCACAGAGGGTTTTAGTGAACCCCTGTGTCTTTGCCGGGTTTCTGACCGGATCGAGTTTTCCAATTCTGTGCAACTGTTACCAAAAGCTTGGCATCGGATCTGGAAAAATGAAAATATTCCTAGCTTCAGCGAAGCTACGTTCAAGTTTTGATCTAATCTCTGAGGATCTTTCTGTGGAGTGGAAAATAATGCACGATGACGTAGTGTGGCTGGGATACTCCTGCGCTTCCCTCAATCTGCCGTTTTTTTACGTTTCAAGCTCAATTCGGTACGAACCAATTCTTGATTTCCCTCGACTTTAACTTCTTTCGTTTAAATGCCATGGGTCCGACATGAGGATGTCATCGTTGTTTTTTCATATGCTGCTGCTCTCTCTTCTTTGAATAACAGTTCAGACCATCTACGCCAAGCAGCCGCACTCGATTGACACTGAACTGTCTCCTTGGCAAAAGCTTACACTCGGGAACTCGGTTCACCAGTCTAAAGAATCCTCCAACCAAACCGTTGATACGCAATCGTGGGCTAAGGTTTTAGCTTCACCCCTCCGAGTACAGTCGCATACAGTGTTGATAAGGCGACGAGTACATTACAACCTCCAATTACTCCTCTTTTGTGGTCGTCAGATCGTGAGGTGAATCATCACAGGCTATTCACTCTTAAGCGGGAATTATATCCCAAGCTGCATTCGGGCCACCGTCGCAGTTTGCAACAAATACAATACAGACTTATCAATGTCGGAAAATGCCAATCCCGCGCCCAGCGGGCTTGATGATGGCGCCAACGGCAAAACACAGAATGGAGATGTTGAGAAGCAAGGAGACTCTCATGGGAAATTATCTGCCGCAAAAGACAAGATGACAGAGAAGCAGCAGAAGATTAGGGACAAGAACAATCCTCCGGGCGGCCACGACGATACGCCAATTCCACGAGCAGCGGATGGATATACTGTCAAATTCACGTTTCACCGTGCCGCCAATCTCCCAATGTCCGACCTTAACTCTCGATCAACGGACCCTTACATAACTGCGACTTTGACGTCTAGCCTACCGAAAAGACATAAGGAAGATCCGGAAATGGTGTTGCGGACACCGACTGTACACAAGAACACAAACCCAGAATGGAACACAGAATGGATAGTTGCGGGCGTTCCATCGAGTGGATTCCGCTTGAAGTGTCGACTATACGATGAGGACCCTTCGGACCACGATGATAGACTGGGAAATGTAACAGTCCAGGTTGACCGCATTGGGTCCAATTGGCAGGGCATCAAAAACGAGAGCTTCGACATCAAGAAGCGGATGGGAAGTAAGCGAGCATATATGATCCGAGGTTGTGCTGCTATGCTTAGCAGCAGTGTGCATATGGGTGGACATTTGTGGCTCAGTGCTCAAGTGGTTGGCGAGTCTGAGCCTCCGCATGGGAGAATGTATACGATTGGCGTAACATCATATTTCAAGCACTATTCACCAATGATTGGACGACTTGCAGGGACCAAAGCACCTGGGAGCTCAAAGGGCCCGCCTAATGGAGACGAGCCAAAAACTGAGAAATACGAGTGAGTGCATAAGCCTATTTTCCAGATTCGTCTTTAACACCTTATAGCTTTCAAGCAAACCAATTTCAACTTCAAGGGCCGGTGCCAGCAGAGCTGTATCATCGATTTGTTGAGTTTAAACCTTTCGTCAAAGGCATGTTCTCGAAAGCTGGTCTTCGAGGACGAGTCTTGAACAAGGCATTGCATCACCAACATGCTCGAGTCTACAATTTCAGCAATTCGACAGAATATGGAATTGTCAAGCCAAGATCCGAGGAAGCAGCTCTCCAGTTCTTGAAGATGGTTCATTTTGACGAAGGTGGCCGGATCTTCACCTACGTCCTCACTCTGGATGGTTTGCTGCGCTTCACAGAAACGGGGAAAGAATTCGGAATCGACATGCTCTCCAAGCACACCATGCACAGCGATGTGAACATCTACATAGCTTGCTCGGGAGAGTTCTTCATCCGTCGTCTCAAACATCCGAACGAATCCGTCGATGCCCCAAACCAAGAAACCCACCCCAATGCCGATCTCCCAGGCGGACCACCAAACTCACCACCTCCAACAAGCCCCAAGAACTACGAACTAGTGATCGATAATGACAGTGGTACTTACCGTCCCAAAGGCGAGCTCCTTCCATTGCTCAAGAAGTTCCTCAATGAGAACTTCCCTGGCCTACACGTCGTGACGAAAGAATGCACAGACAAAGGTCTGGAAAAGATGAAGAAGGGTCAACGCGAGCGGAAGAAGAAAGAGGGCCAGAACGTCACTATGGTGCAGAACAGTGATGATGATATTAGCAGCAGTGATGAAGAAGCTTTGGCTGCCGGTGGAGCAAAGAAGTCCAAGAAACAAAGAGCTTTTGATGCCGTTGAGGATCCAAGTCAGGCTTTCAAGGATATGATTCCTGGGGAGAAAGGAAGAGAGACGAGAGAGGCAAATGAGACTGCTGGGGATGCGCCAGAGAGGGGTGGGGAAGTTCCAAGTGTCTGATCATGTATGCGGAGTAATGGTATTACAAGTTTAATTGCTAACGGTGGCTTGCGTTGACTCTACTTCTTGGCTGGCCTGTCTATATGTATTGGTAATTTTTGGAATATTGAGAGGTTGTATAATTATGGTCACGACTCCCAGAATTGAACATTGTCTTGTTGAAGAATTTCAAACATTCGCAAGTGCTAGATGACCCAAATGATCTGAGTGCTTGATGTGACTTTAAAGTCCGAATCTGTGTCAATGTCCAAAACTAGCTTAGACACCAAGCTAGTTTCAGTCACGGACACAATTCTAGTGATTTAAAGACTTTGGGTAACTAAGAAATTTTGAGTGATCAAGAACTTCTGAGATGCTGTCACACTTTTAGTGACGGACATGATTCGAGTCATCGAAAGATCCTGAGTGATTGAGATATTCCGAGGTCCTGTGATGGTGTGAGTGACGGACTCAATTCGAGGGACTGTATACTTCCAGTGACTAGAGGGTGTTATCAGATGTTCAAGGATCTTAGCTTTCGACAGAATGATTCACGAAAACTCAGTGGCTCTGTTGGAAGTCCTTCCCGGAGGAGAAATGGCTTTCGGAGGACAAGGCACTTGGGGATAGCGTGTTCATTTATAAGTGTTTGAATTCAATTTCGGAAGAACTGGAAAGCTGGGGAGAGATTCTAGTCTGGGGACTTGAGTCTCTGGGTTCGAGCATGTTTTAGTTGTGCCAACTTATAGAAAAGTAGTTGATCAGATAGCAAGTTTTGATACCAGAGATCATTCACCATTCACAAAACGATATGAATCAGCGTGAAACCTCGGTCATATTCTCTTTCAATTTCAGTCTATCTTTCTACATTCATGCGCCCAAACGAGTCAAAGCATGAAGCAAAGCCATTAACAAAGCAAGGCAGGAGCAGACGGTCTATGATTCGCATCTTAACGCACTCTAAGTTGAAAGACGATTCCTCCACGAATGCTTTCCCTACGTAGCCCATCCCCAGTCACGCCGATTGCCATCTGATACTGGCCATACTTGCTGAGTGACCATTGTCCACTCGGGCGGTTGTGTTGTGTGCGCCGCGCATTGTATGTTCTTCGTAAAGTCGAGATTGCATGTAGCGGATGCCCAAATAGACATCGTTTATTGCCTGTTGAGGTGAGGCCGGGAGGGATATGCATAAAATTGGTATCAAAAAGCCTGTTCACATGAAATCATCACTGAAGATTGTCAGTGATACATCCTTATCCCAAGGTCATTCAAAACTTACTCGCCGTAATCATCATCATAAACACGAGTATCTGGGCCTACGGCATTTCTGCTTGCGACCAAGGCAACCTTAGTCTTCTGAGCCTTGCTCTTCTTGCCACCCTTTTCTGCCGCCTTTTCTTCCTTCATCTTCTCGTTACTCAAGGCAGTCAAGGTGCTGGCGATCTTCTTGATCTGGTCGCTCGGTAGGTCCTTTGCGAGTTGCTTGGTGAATTCCTGCAAGAAGATAACATAATGTGCCTTCTTGGAGTTATTGCTCAGGACAGGAACCAGAGTATCGCGGAGCTTCTCGAACTGCAACTTGGTCTTCGGGTCGAAAAGGGGAAGAGACGTCAAGTCGACGGTGGACGTAGGATCCTTCGAGTCGATTTGGACAGCATTTGCGGCAGTGGTAACTTTGCGGCTATTGCTGATACCGATGTTTCCGAATAAATCCTCAGCTATAGACGTCAGTATAGGCGTTCTCGGAAGTATCATATGAATGGTACGTACCGTGTCTAAGGTCTGCCTCTTGCTCTGTAATACGTAGCCTCTCCCTTCTTTCGGCCTCAGTTTCTTCCTCGGAGGATTCGCTCTCCTCTGCTAATCTGCGCGCCTTTTCCTCTTGACGCTCTGCAATACGTTGAGCCTTTGTTTTCTTATTGAGAGCAGCCTGTGCCTCAGCCAGCGCCTTCTTTTCTGTTTCTTTCTTTGCCTTCTCTCGTTCAACCTCACTGTCCTCGGCTTCATCCCAGGCCTCTAGAACGTCATCGCTGTCTTCTTCATCACCGAACTTTCTGCGTGTGGCAATGGTAGGCTTGAGGGCGGGGGAAGACGCAGAACTGCTGTCCTCTTCGGATTCATCTAGAGGCGGTCAGCCAAATGGAGCCATGAAAACTCATCACCGTGCATATTCTCCTGCAACGTCGATCTGCTATCCGAGCCGCAGATTTATCGACTTGAAAACATATGATTGTTCGTGGCTAGTACTGGCCACTGTGTCGCGATATGACGCAAGCAAAGAAATAATGAACATACCCCATTTCTCAGGCATTTTGGAGGGAGGAGATGTTGATGTTCCTTCTCACTGTGTCGATAATTGGTGTCTTTGTGGAGGGCGAGATTTATTCTTTGTGTGAAGAAGAGGTTGAGTTGGATGCGATAGTTGCGGGTCAGGGCAAGTGCGCCTTAGGGTCGTGCCAAGGCTAGCGCGAATTCTAAAACAAAGGCTCACGAGGTAGTCCTTTCTTTTTTTGATTGCAATTCTTGATCTTTGGGTGAATGGATAGCTGGAGATGTCATTTACGATATCGAGTGAGATTTTAATCGGATTCATTTTTTATTCTGGCTACAACTGATATTGTAGCCACAGAGTCTCAAAGATGGAACCGGTGGCTAATCAGATGCGTGTCGGCGTACACTTCGCTGCGAGCCTTCCCATCGTTAATCGGTGCGTCTCTCTCGGGAATTTCACGATGCTTGCGGCTGGCTCGGACCAGACACTCGTTGTGAGAGTCCTGGCGCGGCGCGTTGAGAATACATATCACAGACCAACAGCACAAATAAAGTGATACATTTCAAGATTAATTTGTTGCACAAATACCATGTGATGAGGTAAGCACTTTTATTGTTCCTTTGTCTTCATCTATCATAAGCCATAACTAAAGCCATTCGTTATTCGAGGAGTCCCTTTCCGCATTTGCAGAATTCTTTACAAGTTAACCGCAGATCTGAATTTCTCGCCAGCGTAGATAGCCTTGTCACCGAGTTCCTCTTCGATTCTTAGGATCTGTGACTCATAGTTAGTTGTCCATATTTTTAAGGAATCTGACTTGCTGATGCTTACTTGGTTCAACTTGGCCAATCGCTCAGATCTAGCTGGAGCACCAGTCTTGATTTGTCCAGCTCGGATTCCGACAACGATGTCAGCAATGGTAACATCCTCAGTCTCTCCAGAACGGTGGGAAACCATGACGCCCCAGCCAGCGGCATAGGAGTCCTTTGCGGCCTGGATTGACTCGGTGAGGGTACCAATTTGGTTGACCTTGAGCAAGAGAGCGTTGCAAGACTTGAGCTCGATGGCCTTCTTGATACGGAGAGGATTGGTAACAGTCAAGTCATCTCCGACAATCTGGAAGTCGGAAGTCTTGTAGAAGTAGCTCCAGGCCTCCCAGTCATCCTCAGCGAATGGATCCTCGATACTGACAATGGGGTACTTCTTGGCGAGATTCTTGTATTGGTCTGCAAGTTGCTCGTAGGTGATCCACTTCTCTGGGTCACTATCTGGGTTCTTGAAGTCCAGATCGTACTTCTTAGCATCCTCCTTGTAGAATTCGCTCGAAGCAACATCCATAGCGATGTGGACCTTTCCAGTGTAGCCAGCGGACTCGATAGCCTCAGTGATGAGCTCGAGAGCCTCCTCAGCAGTCTGAATATCAGGTGCAACACCACCCTCGTCTCCAACATTGCCAGCGGATTGACCGTACTTCTTCTTGGCGAGGGACTTGAGGATTTGGTAAACCTCAGCGCCTTGACGAAGAGCCTCGCTAAAAGTTGGTGCTGAACTGTCTAATGTTAGTGAAAGCCACATTTCCTACTTCTCAGCAGCTTACGATGGCACAATCATGAACTCTTGGAAGGCCAAACGTCCACCAGCGTGGGATCTATCGAGAGTTAGACACATTTCTGTTGATCCTGGCTTGATAACCTACCCTCCATTGAGAACGTTCATGAAGGGAACAGGAAGAACATAGGGCTTCTTGGTACCGGCAAGGTCGGAGATGTGGGCATAGAGAGGGATACCCTATGGAGGATTAGTTTCAAGGGATCATCTGGAGGTGTTGCCCAGCTATGATTCTTTCCTACCTTCTCAGCGGCAGCAGCCTTGGCAACGGCAAGAGAGACACCAAGGATAGCGTTTGCACCAAGCTTTCCCTTGTTTGCAGTTCCATCGAGCTTGATCAAGAACTCGTCAATCTTAGATTGATCCTTAACATCAAGGTTCTCCTTGATAAGAGCAGGAGCGATGACAGAGTTCACGTTCTCCACAGCCTTGGTGACACCCTTTCCACCCCATTTGCTCTTATCTCCATCACGGAGCTCGACAGCCTCATGTTGTCCAGTCGAAGCACCTGAAGGAACAATGGCACGGTGCAGACCAGTCTCGGTGACGAGATCAACCTCAACAGTAGGGTTACCTCGGGAATCGTAGACCGAGCGAGCGTGGATCTTGGTGATCGCCATGATGGATGGATTTGTGGTAGAACTCTGTTGGAGGGGTAAAAGAGTTAGCTTTGGTGACTCAACAAAAAAGATACAACAATAGCGGAACGCAGAGAACTCTTACCTTCTTTATCGAAATTCTTTGGGATTCTGGAAGACAAATTCGTCAGTTGCAAGTCAGAATTTGATGATGAAAGAAGCAAACAAAACTCAAGACAAGGTGGGGTGAGGGACTTGCAAACCAACCGGAGATCCAGTCTGCAGCTTATCTAGTCCCTGGCCGAAAATTGGATGCGGTGCAGGAGAAAATTGCAATTGGTTGCAGAACAGAAAGCGAGCACTTACTTTGTGGTTGTGGCTTGAAGAAGAAGATGTGAGAGAAAGAGATGATGAGGGGCTTTTTTACCTCTTGAGAAACGCGAGCGATCGAGCTTCAGTTTTTGGGCCAGTTTTGGTGGGGGAAAAGGTGCGATCCCTGTTACTTTGCAGGGAAGGCACAATTGGCCGAGAACAGCAGCGCGGTCATCTTTCGTGCAGCCTTGCAAAAACTTTACTTACGAGAGCAAAACCTTCACAGGCTCGTGATTTTCGAGGATTCTTGGTTACCAAAAATGTCTCCATCACACCTTGAAAACCCACCGAAATCTTCAAAGGGCCATCTCGATCCCCCTCCGGACTCGGATCTCTGGCATCCTCAGTAGATATCGTCCGAGTCATAATTTTGATGATATGTATCGTCTTGTCATACGCTGGATCCTACACCGGTCTCCAATGAGCCAAGCCATGTTGGGACATGCCAGCGTTGCTAAGGCGTGTCAACGAGCGGACTCAACCACTGGTCGCGCCATATATCAACATCTTTAGACATGCCCACGCGTTTGTGCCTTTGATGGGCTGATGAAAGATCGATACCAAGTTTCCATTGCTCATGCTCCACTTCCTTTACCCTAAGCCCAAATTGACAGAGCAGGATATGTAATTCAATATTCTTAAGATACCATTCAAACTACTCCTGCTAACTTGTAAGAAATACTTACGTTAAAAATGGGAAGTTTCAATCAATGAAAAGAACAAGTACATACTAGGCGAATAGACCTAGAAAGATGTATAGCTCCTAGCTTGAGTTATTGAGGATCCAAAATACACATCTTACCTAGACGGCGAACTTAGTCGTTGATCAGCCCTGAAGTGTGTTTTTCCAAACAACAACCAATCATATACCGCTCCTTGACTTGCTTTCATTGGAACCTGTCCCTATCAAATCCAAATCTTCACATTCTGATTTGACCAGTTTCACGTGACCTAGATTTGAAGTACGCGTGAAGCTCGCCGCCTAGCTGGGCCGGAGTTTGGTATCAACATAAACGCAACCAAACACATTTGCCCGCAACGCATCCCTGATACTAAAATCGGTCCGGCATCTTCCTACAAATATCAGATCTCTCTTCTTAGTACAAGCATCCTCAACGCAAGATGTCAGACCCAGAGCGCGAGAATGCACTCTCCTCCTTCAAGACGAAGCTCCTGGAAAGCCGTGAGTGGGAATCGAAGCTGAAGTCATTACGGTTAGACATCAAAGGACTGCAGAAAGACTTTGATCATACGGAGGACAACATCAAGGCACTTCAGAGTGTTGGGCAGATCATTGGGGAAGTGCTGAAACAACTTGATGATGAGAGATGTAAGTAGAGCGCCATAGCTACTGAATGACTGCTAACACGATTCTGCAGTCATCGTGAAAGCTTCCTCGGGTCCTCGATATGTCGTTGGATGTAGATCGAAGGTTGACAAGGCTTCGTTGAAGCAAGGAACCCGAGTTGCGCTGGATATGACCACCCTCACAATCATGCGAATGTTACCTCGAGAAGTCGACCCGCTTGTGTATAACATGTCTTTGGAGGATCCAGGCCAGGTCAGCTTTGGCGGAATCGGTGGACTGAACGACCAGATCAGAGAATTGCGAGAAGTTATTGAGCTACCTCTAAAGAACCCTGAGCTCTTCCTGAGAGTCGGCATCAAGCCTCCAAAAGGTGTTCTGCTCTATGGACCTCCTGGAACCGGAAAGACATTACTGGCCAGAGCTGTAGCTAGCAGTTTGGAGACAAACTTTTTGAAGGGTACGTGGAGCTAAAGTATGGAGGCAAAAATTCGTAAGCTAATCTTAGATAGTTGTGTCTTCTGCTATCGTTGACAAGTATATCGGAGAGTCTGCGCGTTTGATCAGAGAAATGTTCGGATACGCCAAGGAACACGAGCCCTGCATTATCTTCATGGACGAAATCGACGCTATCGGAGGACGAAGATTCTCGGAAGGCACTTCAGCAGATCGTGAGATCCAACGTACATTGATGGAACTCTTGAATCAACTTGATGGTTTCGACTACCTGGGCAAGACTAAGATCATCATGGCTACAAATCGACCGGATACCCTCGACCCAGCCCTCCTCCGTGCAGGACGATTAGACAGGAAAATCGAGATCCCACTCCCCAATGAGGTTGGACGTCTGGAGATCATGAAGATTCATGCTGCGGGTGTTGTTACGGAGGGCGATGTTGATTTTGAGAGCGTGGTCAAGATGAGTGACGGGCTCAATGGGGCGGATTTGCGAAACGTCGTCACGGAAGCGTATGTCTATACTTAAAATTTAAGAAGAGCCTCAGCTAACTTTATACCAGCGGCCTCTTCGCCATCAAGGATTATCGAGATGCAGTTAACCAAGACGATTTCAACAAGGCAGTACGGAAGGTGGCAGAGTCGAAGAAGTTGGAGGGCAAGCTGGAGTACCAAAAGCTCTAGACGTGGTCATCATTTTCTTGCATTGGCGTCAACATACCATCGAGCATAGGCCTAGTCTCGAATTTGTACCAATAACACTCGAAATGCATAGATCCATTTCCATGGCATGATATATTCTTCCCTTACAGAATATCTCTGGATTCTTCAGTGATCGGGATCCCTCTTTCTGTCTTCCTTCAGTCATTTCTGGGAGCAAAAGCATGACTCTCCATCCTATAATCGGCCCAACCGGTGCTGTGAGCTTTCCTCAGTAGTCAGATTGCTGTAATCCAAATTGCCACTATCAGCCTGGAGCTACATCAACCTTAATTGCCACTAATACGGGATTCTAAGCAATTGGGCAGACCCGATTCACTTATTAATTGGCAGTTTCGACCCAAGAGTAGTGAATCTTAGCAGATTCTTGATTGTCCAACGGCCTCGAGGACATTTGATAGTATGTGCAAAATAACTATACACTGCTTCAAAGAATCCGTGCAGTCTATCACTTTATTTGCAACGATGGTCGTTAAGAAGTTCATCAATGATGTAGAATCAACTGAGATCAATCCCTGAGTAAACATCGTTGATTGAAACATCTACTCATTGTCTCCTCAACTCCTGAACATGCGACACAATTCCCTCATTCACTATATCTCACGCTTCTAAATCTGCAAGCTTAACACCAAGCTCCTCATTCTCATTCTTGACCAACTTGGTCCTCTTCCACGACGCCTTCGGTGGGAACCTGGCCTCAAAACAAGTATCGAGCTCTTCAATCGTGCGACCTACAGTCTCAACACCAAAGAAGAACCAAAGAAATCCGGCAACGACGTCCACAGCTATCCAGACAAAGTAATACTCTGTCCCTCATTAGAAATGCCCACTTTATTAAAGGATTGGAAACGTACTCCAACTAATGTCTCCTAAAGCAATGGAAGTGGTGTATGTAAAGAAGATGGTTGCCAAATTACTTTCAAGAGCGTGCAAGGATATACCCTTTGCTCGAATTTCTTGATTCAGCACTTCGGTGCAGTACAAAGACTAGATTCGGGTCAGCATTGTCCTACGATCTAAAGTAAGGTAACAAACTTGATTCGGCGTATACACAAAACTGAAAATCCAACCAAAGAGGAAAATGGCAAATATGCCGACTCCGGAAATCGCTTTTGAAGGAGTTTCTCCCGCAGCAGTGGAAGCTGCTACTCGAGATGACATGCCGGCCACGAGGGCCAGTGCTGAAGCCAGAGAGAAGGATCCCCAGACGAACCTAACAAAGAACTTTAGATGAGCCTGGTTTTGTTGGACATTTGAGGTCTTACCTGGTTCTTCTCATAATCCAATCATTGGTGGCGCTCCCAATGACAGCTCCTGAGCAAGAAACCTGTTCGAAAGACGTAGTTAGTCAAGTGAGATTGGATATTCTGCTGGAGAGGCGAGATGACTTACAATTGAGGACGCGAAAGTCAATAATAACTTTCTTCGTACGGAAGTCACACCAACAGCTGCAAGCATGGTAGGTTGAAAGAAAGTGAGAATGTTATTGCCGGTGAGTTGAGAAGCAAAAGTGAGGAGGGTAATCATAGCAGTTCTAGATTGTACCAGTCAGTCTTATTGTCTGTCAATACCACGAAGAATATGAGCAGCTGATGGGCTTTCTCCCGGGACAGAGAAAGACTTACCTCCATCTGGCGGAATGGGAGTTGAAGAGCTCTCTGTAATCCCAAAGTCCCTTGATATACTCTCCTGGAGTTTGAGGCTTGCTGAGCTTGACATGCAAGGCAATCTCTCTAACTTCGAGTTTTGCTACTTCCTAAAGTGCAAAGTCAGTAATTTTGATACGTGGCGAGGATATTGTTCCAGGAGGTACAGAACATGCAAGAAAGTTTATGTGAAGTACGGATTCGAGGGCTTCTCTACAGGGAACAAGTTGGATTTGGTGACTTACATTGTCTTCTCCACCATGAAAGCGGTAGATTATCTTTGCTGCCTCATCCATACGATCTCTCGATGCAAGCCAACGAGGAGACTCCGGAATGAAAAAGCAGCCGATGAAGACAATCGTAGGAGGAATGACCTGCAGCGCCAGGGGTAGTCTCCACGCAAGGGTTGTCGTATACCGAGAAGTAGCATATACGACGCCAGTTGCAGTTATTGAGCCCACAAAGTAGAACGTGTTGTAGTATCCTCCCAGTCTTCCTCTCCATTGAGGTGGAATAATCTCTGTAACATATACTGGTGCAGAAAGCGTCTGAAGTATAATGCCGAAGCCAAGCAAGAATCGAGAAGCTTTGAATTGAGGCAATGTCTGAGCTGCTGACGCTAATACTGCACCTCCAAGGGTAAAGAGGCATCCAGACTGCATTCCCTTTCGTCTGCCAAAGTAATCCATGATAGGTCCACCAAAAGCACATCCAACCATTGAAGCAACGTTATACAAGACGAAAACCAAGCCTGTGGAAGAGCCCGTCTCTTTCAGGTGAAAGAAATTCTTGTAGGTTGCTTCTGCGTTGATTGAGCCCATCAGACTGCCATCGAAACCACTTGATGTTGCATTTAAAAATGCAAATACAAGGAAGAAGTAAAGGGTGAAGGCCTCCTTGCTTCTTGGCCTCAGGTAAGATTGGTGATTTGCGATGGCATACTGGACTTCCTCGTCGACTTGCTTGAGAGCGAGAGCATCTATACTGATGACATTCTCAGCTATGTTGCTTGTGGCCGTAATAGACCTCTTAAGATCGTCCTTCGCTGGGGACGTCTTGATGTCGGCCATGTTGGGTACACGAAAGGAGGAGGATATCGCGTGACTATAGGAAGTCTTGCATGTTCGACTTTACAAGAGTACATATAGGATTCTCAAGTCGTCTTTCCAGGCCAGACGTCCCCCACTGTTGTTTCCCCAGGAACGTTACATGGCTTATCTGCCTATTTGGGACTGTTATCGTGGCAATCATGGGTTTTGAATGGAGGCCAAGAACCCAGGGTAAGATTTCTGGGAATGAGGAGTAAAGATCGCTTCTTGGCGGGGTGTTGGCCGTGGGGCAAGATGATCGACACAAGGACGCTTATCACTTTGTGTCCCCAAGTCGGAACTCGCTTTCCGACTTACTTCACACTGATCCATTTGGAACTTTTGCGACCAGATAGTGCACATTTAGGCGCATGAAGTTAGATACCATGGGATGGATTCGAGGCCCCTGAACTTTAGCGAGACAGCTGAGGCAGAGTGCTGAATGTCTGTATTGCATTTAAAGTCGGTTTCTTTTACATTGCAGGTCGAAACGAAGGACATTCAAGACGCATGACAAGTACGGGCTTCAATGATTCTCTTGTATATCCTGATCTTCATTTTTACCCAATGAACTCGCAAGCTTCTGTTTCCGAATGAATGTGGAATTCACATCTCGTTTCCCAAGAAGGATATACCAATTCTGTTCGCTGCTTCGGATACCACTCTTCAATGCACATCAACAGCTCCCAAACCCTTCTGATCATTTGATATGAGATCCTTTTTCAGAATTGTTGGCATGACAATAAAGCAGCGAAGCAACATATCTTTCAAAGGCTTCGGAACTCCTTCGTGTCCGGCACACTTTTGCATCGAGCACACATGTGACGGAGTCGGGCACCTCCTGAGCTCGAATTGAAAAAGGATTAACTCGTCCATGGCCGCGTTACACAGACTTTCACTGCCGAGCCTGTAAGCCTGTAAGCCAGTATGTATAGTAGGCTGTAGATAGTGAACCCTGTGTGGTTAGACGCATGCCTGATCAGTGGTTTTAGTATTCCGGTATCCACCCATTCCACGAAGAGCTTCAAAGAGTCTCCAATGATAGAGTGTTCGAAGATCGAAGAGCCGCTGTGTTCCCCAAGCCTAAAGAATTGATTGTTATGTTGCTGGATAAGCTCGACCAAGCCTTTGCATTCGCGCTGCTCCAGCTTGCTCATGCTGAAGTGGCATTTTGGATCTTGACGTCCGATGTAAGGTAAACGAACAAAAGTGAAAGAGTATAATAATGTTAACATATTGTTGCTATATAAATGTGTGGGGGTTTAGATTGCCGATGACGGTGTGCAAGTTAGGTCAAGATAGTGTCCAGTAGGTATAGAATGAAGCTAGAAGCTGCCAGGACATTTTAGTTTACCCAGATTTGTGTTGAATGGGAATGACGAAACTAAGTTTACCTACAACGAATCCGGCCAAAGCCACGTTCTTAGATCCTGCTGCTAACCTCATTAAAGTTTCCAGATTCGAATGCCTAGATCAGGCTGGGACAATTTAGTGCAAATAAATCATCTGTTCCCAGTCCAACATTGTGAAAGTCCCTACAATGCTGGGTCATTCTGGTGGAATCAACTATATCGCCACTATACTATATTCGTCTGCCAAAAGTTGATGGATCAATCAGTCACCAACGGGAGTCAATCAAAGACGAAGACGAAATATTTAGTAATTCAAGATTCATGTGTCTAGACTACAGAAGTTCATAGTATAATAGTATCTCCAGGAGCTGGAGATCCATGCTTCCAGTCGTGCCGTGCCGTAACCATTTTCCCATACCTGAGTACGCTAATAAGCAAAAACAAAGACCGGAAATCTACCACTTTACTCCACAGTGACAGACTTGGCCAAATTTCGAGGGAAGTCAACATTCAAGCCTTCAGCAACTGCAAGCCAGTAGGCCATGAGTTGAAGAGGGATGACGTTGAGGAGACCTTGCAGGCAGTCGACTGTCTTGGGGATCTCGATGGTCTCGGCCTTGCCAGTCTTGAATTCCTCATCGCCCTCGTTGCAAATAACGATAGGCTTTCCACTGCGTGCAATGACTACAGAAATGTTAGCTATAACTCAGATGAACGGGCTTGCCTATACATACCTTGTTGGTAAGCATTGAGAGACTTGGCGAAGATATCATCACGAGTGAGAATCATGATGATTGGGAGGTTCTCGTCTACCAGAGCCAAGACACCGTGCTTCAACTCTCCAGACATGACAGCCTCACAATGAAGGTAGGAAATTTCCTTAATCTTCAAAGCACCCTCCAAAGCAGTAGAGAATTGACTACCTCTGCCCAAAAGCAGAAGACTCTTCTGGTGCTTGAAGGTTCTAGCGCAGAGCTCCTTGATAGGTTGGTCAAGCTCCAAGATGTGCTTGATCTGGGAAGAAATCTTGCCGAGACCTTCCATGATGTCTTCTCGTCTCTTTTGCTTGGAAGCGCGATCCTCGCTCAATGAGAGCGCGAACATGATCATAGCAATGAATTGAGAAGTGTATGCCTTGGTCGATGCGACACCAATTTCGGGACCAGCGTTAACGTGCACACCGCAGTGGGTCAGGAGAGAGATGGAAGAACCAACGACATTGACAATACCGACGGTCAACGCACCTCGCTCCAAGCAGTAGCGGAGAGCCATGAGAGAATCAGCAGTCTCACCAGACTGTGAAACGAAAACACAGGTGTCGTCGCGGAAGACAGGAGCTTGTCTGTCGAGGAAATCTGAAGCTAATTCGACTGAAATTGGAATCTCAGTAAGCTCCTCAAATGCACCACGAACTGCCATGCAGGAGTGGTAACTCGTTCCGCAGGCAATGAAAATGATTCTTCGGCATCGTCGAATGGTTGAAATATATGATCGCAGACCACCGAGAGTGACCACCTTGTTTTCGAGATCAAGACGACCTCTCATAGTATTGATGACGGACTCGGGTTGCTCGAAAATTTCCTTTTGCATAAAGTGGTCAAATTTGCCCTTCATGATCTCTTGAAGCTCGAGTTCAAGAGTCTGGATGTTACGGACGTTTGAGGAGCCATCAGCCTTGGTAAGTCTGTGGATGTTCAGAGAACCCTCATGGATGTGTGCGATATCGTCATCTTCGAGGTACATGACCTTCTTTGTGTGCTCAACAATAGCAGAAGGGTCAGAAGAGAGGAAGAATTCGGCTGGCATAGGGGCTCCATCGTCTGTCATGAAGGCTCGCGATTGTGATCTGTGCAAAAGCGACTTGTCCGGCGGGGCGAGAAGGCTTCCAGGGGCGGAAAGGAAGTTTCCGACGTTCGACTTCTTCATAGCCACGTTCTGCGATGCTTGCTCAGCTGGTAGAGGTCCATCCTCGCTGAATTCGACATCGACAAAGTCGACCTTCATACGCTTTTGTGTCTTGACACCAATGACCAGAGGCGAACCTTTTCTGGCGGCAATAACTTCGTGTGGGTAGTGGACGGACTTCATCAAGAGACCGAAGGCACCTTGCAACTCCTTGATGACAGCCTTTGCCAAATCCGTGAATCCGACATCTGGGTGTTGATCGTACAAGTATTTGGCGAGCTTGGCAATACATTCCGTATCCGTCTCAGTCTCAAATTTGAATCCCTTGGCAGTCAACAAAGTCTTCAATTCCTTGTAGTTGGTGATGATTCCATTGTGTACAACAGAGAACTCCCATTTTGGGTCGGATCTAGGGTCCCTTGTTAGCGGTTTGACGTGGGAAGCTGCAAGTAAGCTTACCTGTGAGGATGACAGTTGACTCTCGAGGGAGGGCCTAGCTGCGTTAACAGATGAACCAACAATCTCGTTTCCGAGTGTCTCACCATGGGTAGCCCATCTAGTGTGTGCGATACCAGCGTGTGAATCGAAGACCTTGGTGAAGTCTGGCTTCTCGTCCTCGATGAGTTGTCTCAATTTGGCCACCTTGCCAACCTCTTTGAAAGCAAAGACCTCGTTCTTCTTGTCGCCATCGACGGCAAGACCAGCACTGTCATATCCACGGTATTCAAGTCGGGAAAGGCCATTGACCAAGGTGTCTAGGATGAATCGTCGGTCCTTCTCAACGAGATCTGGTCTATACGTTAGCCATGTTCTTAGGAAACTATGGTCGAGCTCGAATCGAGGAGAATAGTCGTCATTCATGAAGGGTATTCTCACAACTATTGACTAGTTAGCACAGTATTCAATAGCATTCTTTGGGGCGGAGGAGCAATTGGTTCAGCTGGAACCTCCTTTCTCTTTGACGAGACGAGTCCTTGAGCTCCGATACGATTCCCAAAAATTTGGCACGCAGGAGGTAGAAGAAATGAGGGCAGAGGAACAACTTACTTTATGTAGCCGAAAATTCCACTGTGAAGAAGAGAGAATTAGCATTGAATACTCGAGGGCAGCTTGCGCAGTAGCTGCCATGGTTTGGGGACAACCCCGCGCAGGTGTCGAGGCTGGCAACTTACCACATCTTGAATGTTGTCTTATGTTCTTTGGAGAGAGAATTGGATGGGTATACTGAGCAGCTATCCTGTGCAACGAACGAATCTCAAATGGAGAGGCACGAGAAAGTGGTGTTGGCAAGAGGAGGTGGTCTGAAGGAGAAGTATTTGTTATTTGGTGACGGAGCTTGGGACTTTTATTTAGGTGGTTTCAACTTCCTCCCTCGGTTGCCTCACCAATACCCATCGCACGCTAAAGGCGGGCTTTGATCAGCTCTCACCCCCTTTCGGAGAGCTTTCTTCAGCCGCTACAAAGATTCTGCCTTGCATCGACCTAGGGCTCACCCATTCCACACGCTTCTCTTTGTGCTTGTTGGCGTTGGCACATCAATTTCTGACTGGCAGCGTCAAAAAAGGGGGCTTCAAAGACGTCAAAATCGTCAGCATGAGGACCGGCTATTGGTGGACCGTCTGGTACGAGGTGGCTGAGCCAAAGTTGGAGGGTCCCACACGACTGTGCTTATTTTTAGAGAGTGATCGCCAGGCACGGTGACACCAAAACAGAGTTTAGCAAGGTCTTTGTTGGCCTTTGTCCAGTTCATCTTGTTTGGCAAGCAAAAAGAATGCTGGCCATATGATGCGATGGAGAGCTTGGAACGGAGGCAATGGCCTCCTGAGTCGGCCGACCCGTCGTATTCTTCGTATGCTGCCCTTGTCCTCCCTCTACACACGATAAGTTTGCCATGTCTGGCCGGAGAGATATCCTTGGCAGAAGCAATTCATCCTGATGGCGTTGACCAGCAAAACGTGCATCAACCATTCGCGCCACAAGCTTCTCCCATCTCCAATGTCTCAACACCCTGAAATTTCCACAGAGGCTTCTCTCAACTGCAGTCATCTGAAGCTTAGCAAAGCGCGGTCTGAGCCGAGATCCCCGCCTGTCAAGTTCAATCCTTATCCATTGGATGTCTCGGGAAGGATTGTGGTAGCGAGGAGTGAGATGTGGTTCAGCTCAAAGATAGGGGAGCCTCCTGTCAGATTCTCGCCAGATGCAACATTCCTCTTGGAATCATCATAGAAACGCGATGTCAAGACATTGACATATTAACTGCAAGGCAGTCCTTGTATGTCAGCACTGGGAAGTGACTTTGGACGAGCATGAAACTGTGCATGACCTCAGACGTTGGCGCATGAAAGGTCGAAGTTCTAAATCTGTGGGTACCCGGAGATCGCTCAGCCTTAATCGAAGACTTTATTGATTCTAATGCGAGCACTCGGAGTCGAATGTGAAATGGGGAACGAAATATATCTCTTTGTTTGTTTGTCTGACTGTAAACGACCCTCTCGATCCTGTATCGCTCTGCATTCAAGTTTGTGCACATTGGACTGGACAATTTTGCATTGAAAAGGCTCTCTATTCAATGACTACATCGGCTGAGGAAAGTTTACATATTTTTTGGATGTTCAGCAATTGGATCCCTCTCAGACATGGCTGAAAATGCAAAATTTAGTCAATGTGACTCCACACAATTAGAAGATAAAGAGATCCGACCAGAGTGAGAAATCAAGCTAAATTGGAGTGTTGATTCCGTCTATATCAGCAGTGGCTTTAACTGATGGGCTGAATAGTAAGATGTGCTAGAAGGATCAACAAAGTTGGGCGTTCGTGAGAGCAGCTGCAAAGCCCAGAACTGCATTCCTTTCCAAAGTCTTCGAGAGCAGTGGCATGCAATCATCTTGTCCAGTGTTGGTTCTTGGCATCCAAGCACTTGCCACATGAACCAGTAAGTGGTATGCATAAATATGCCACCCCTCGCTTCTATGAGGAGGCTCGCCTTGAACAATCACGTCTTTCAACACAATTCGAAGACATTTCCTGGCGATCGATTGAAGAATACGGAGATTCATGTCCATCTCATCGTTCTACTGCCGGTATACAGTACTTTGCCATTGCAGATGTCGGCAACGAGGACGACGCGCGTTGGGCTATTTAGCCATAACATTCTTCTATGAATGTAACCATACACCCTCGGACAACTTCTATCGAAGAAGCGCTAGGTGACTTTTCATTGACACATCAATATCACCTCATTTCAGAAGTTAAGTCCCTCCAAGGGTTGTCTCATCAGAGTTAATCATCGAGTCGAGTCCAGACTCCGAAAATTTTGCGTCGAGAGTCTCTGCCTAGGCCTTGAGATTCGACGTTCGAATTTCGAATGTCGAAATCAGTTCATCGACTGTTACAAGCAAAGCACGTGTACTGCTTCGCAGTTATTCGTCTCAGTGGATCCCTTGGCTTCATTGCACGCTGGACCATCAAATTTTCAAGATATACTGGCAGTCCGCAGACAATGGAAAATAAGTCTTAGTCTCTAGTACATACTAGTTTCCGCAGGAAACAATGCATATAAGTCTTTCCCAGCCTGCCAAGAATAGACATACCTAGATATTCTGTGAGTAATACTTACTCGATTTGTCGCCACCGAAAAGAGAGGTTAGTAGCTGCTAGGAGTTGAACTACGTTACCTATTCTCCTAGATTGATTGTGTATTTCCATGTTAGAGTACAAGTCCTCATATTTGAGTACTACAATGCGGTGCGGAAGAACACCTCTTGCTTTATAGGCACCAGTTTTCGACTACGGCAGGGACGTTTTTGGTCAGTTGGGACAATTCTGAGGAATATCGCTCGGCACATATGCTTGGACGTCATGAGATGGATGAAAGGGTTCTATTTTAAGAGGGTTTCATGGTTCTGATTCCTACTATCTAATGCCCAAGCCGACCTCCGTATATTCGTCAAGGAAGTCTCTCTTTCAAAGCTCTCTGGCAATTCAGCACGCTGTCAAGTAACAATGTCAAATCACATTATGCACGTCTTAATGACTAAGTCCTGAGATTACTGCTGCAGGTAGGAAGCTACCAATCTATGCTCTATGTGGGAAGACCATGCCAATTCCACAACCCTCATACCGTTACATTTCCTCGGTCGAAGTATTCCTCCGCTCGCTCAAGTAACTCCTCCCCATGTTCACAACGCCGAAATATGCTATCATGAAGTATACCTTATGAACGCCCCAAACAAATCTAACCTCTGCGTGAATACTGAGGGGCATAACGTGAGTTTCTGTAGGAAGAAGACATGACACGGCTAGCCGAAGGAGATCGAGAGCTTCTCAACGGGTCAATGCGACGAGTTGGCATGTCCCGATAAGCAGTCATTCTGCGAGTGCGAGAAGAAGGTTCAATGATGCTTCGTACGTCACCTTCCCAGTCATCGCCGGCATCGTCAAAACAGATCGGATTGGCACGGCTTCCTCTCTCCATTCGCTGTCGAGACTCTGTGGCCAAGGGGACAAATGGATTATAGTGGTAGTTGTGAACTTGAACACCCTCGCGACTGGGTGCCAAGTACTGTCGTGGTTGTCTTGGTTGACGGCGGTTTGGTGGACGAATAGAACTATCCGAGGATTCTGCTTCTGGTTCGGGTTCATGAACTGCATTCGCAACATAGGTGTGAGCGGGAGTCATGTAACCATAGTCGCTTTCACTGTCCAGTTGTCGGTCTTCGCCGTAATCAGTGCGTTGCTCACTAACATCGCGAGCTTCTCTTGGATGGTACTCTGGTTCAGACTCATGAGCGTCACCGTAGTCATCACCGTACTCGGTGACCGGCTCACTGCCTTCTCGAGCGTAGAACACTTCGTCGTAGGCGGTAGCATAAGGATTGGGGGTGACACTGCTGCTGCTGCGGCTTCGGCTAGAAGCGCTCATTTCAGTATCGCCGTCTCGATCCATGACACCGCTCGTATTAGTCGAGTATCCATTCGTGACTTCGTCGTCCTCTTCCTCTTCTCCGAGGTACTGATACTGTCCAGCATAGTTGCCACGGTAGAAAGGGCTTGTATCTCTTGGATAGTTACCACCGTGATATGTAGGAGTTTCCGAGTGTGAAGAATCCGATAGATCATCTTCCTCTCTACGTTCTCGTTCGTGATAGTTTACATTACCACCGATGGTTGAGGTGTTAGTGGTGTCACTAGCACCGTCTCCATGCTCGTCGTCTTCGGACGTGCCATAAGCGGGATAGTCGTGATCGTAAGGCATACGAATTTCAATCTCGCTATCATGACCATTGTCGAGTGGACTCCAACCAGCATTCTGCAAGCGTTGTTCTGCCTCACTCAAAGTCTCATCGAAATCCGATTCATGAGCGCTGCCATCTGAAATGCTAAGTGCATTAGGAACTGCGGGTGGCGGCGTTGATCTTTGACTTCCACGACGGCGACGTAAGCGACCATTAGAGATTGCACCACCTTCATCGGATTCATCGTCGGAGGTAAGGTCAATTGTGAAATGCTGGGTAGCTGTGGGACGACCACGACGATTGTTCGGGACTCGAATTGGCTCCTCATCATCATCATCTTGCACAACAAAACCGTCGAGAGAATTGTCGTCTTCCTCACTATCAATGTTTTCGCTTCCCTCGGAATTGGATAGGTCGCTAACTTCCTCGAGCACTGCAGGATGGAGGAAGCGATGGCCGTACATATTTCCAAGATGAGGAGCAGCCGGACCGAAATTTGGGAGGTCTATGAAGTGATGATGGCCATGCATGTCAGCAAACTCGGCGTTGATCTCGTCGGCATCCAAGTCAAGTTCGAGATTGTCGATGTCCTCGATTTCAAGATCGGCGTCGTCCTCATCAAAGTCGCTGAAGTCGTAAGGGTACTCGTCAATTTCCTCTCCGCAGATTGCGCATGCCGGACCTCCCTCATGTTCATGGCCGCAACCAGGGCATCTCAAAACACCGCCATCTTCTTCATCTCTGAACAATCGCTTGCGTCGCGGGCCTCTGGAAAATGTTCCCTTGAATAGGCCCGCAGGATTATGTCTGTCCTTCTCGACTTCTGCGATCTCCTCCGCTCGTCGCTGGACGTGTTGTTCGGGGTTCTCATCAGCGGGCATTAGCTCGATTTGCTTCGTGAATACATCGACGATAGATTTGACCTTGTGGAGAGCGATTAGCACTTTCTTGATTGCGGGACGCAGAGCTTACAATGTAGTTTGGTGTGGGAATTTGCTTGACTCGAGCACGGCATTCTGGACAAGTCTTCTTGTGCTTGTTCGGAACAAACCAGTTGCAAAGGCACTGGGTGGAAGTTAGACGCCAGCCTCTTGAAAAATATCCCGAAAGTGAAATCCTTACAGAATAGCAGTAGGTGTGACCGCAGGCCAAGGTGTAAGGTTCGTAGAGGAGCTGGTCACAAATTGAGCAAGTGACAGTGGATTTTATGTTCATAAGGTCGGATCTGAAAGCCGTAGCTAACTGAGGAAGACGTCAGCGTGGAGAGGTTTTTAGTTTGGAGCCCAGCACATACCTGCGTGTCACTTTTAATCATGACGCCAGACTTTGCTGTTGGAGTGGTTTCCCGACTGCCAGAGTCTCTGTCTCGTACGGAAACTTGCTTCTTTTCTTTCATGCTGGACTTCGACGATGGAGGAGTCAAGGAGGCTTTGTAGGTTGGGTTGGAATTTTGGGCCGCCGCGTCAAAACGAGGTCGGGAACTCATCGTGAAACGAAAACGAGCTGGGGATTGATTGCACTCCCGCAAGAAAGCGAGTAAGTCCTGTCTGCAGAACCAAGCCGATGAGAGTAGTGTTGCGGAACGTTGTGCAATGAAGAAGTAGGAAATATCGAGAAGGCTGACAGTCGTTGAACAACCGCGCTAATACTAGCGCACCCTTCGTGTGGGGTGCACATCCCCGTCGGAATAGCACAATAGTACCAGCATTTCATATTCACCAACTTTCAGATTTATATTGTGCTATGCTTGCCATTTTTCAAGACAATGCTTCGAGCTTCTGAATACCCGGGTTTCTTATCAATGATCTCGACTTTACAGAACTTTGATGATCAATAATTGTCCGTCCTGTTTCATCGCAAAAAAAGAACGCCTCACATCTATTGGAACATTTAACGCGATCTCCTCGTTTGTTTCGTGGCTGGAGCTGGTAGCCGCTCTAGTCTTACGACCAATCATTTCAAGAGCATTATGATGATTGAAGTTGTCCTTAAATGGTCATTTATTCACGATTGGCAAAGTTGTATTAAGGATAAGCTACTCCGTACAGGAAGATGACCCCTTCGAGGATTCGTGGCATTGAAAATGGTATGGTATTCCTGCTCTCTGTCCGTGGCACAGAAGGCAGTTTTCTCTATCTGCAATTAAAATGACTGGAGAATCTTACAGGTGCAACTGGACAATCTTTATTCCTATCAAGCATTCTACGCTCAATTGCTCTGGAAAGTAAGCTCAACTCAACGCTGATAACAGAAAGTAGAATGAAGGTATTGCAAAGCGCACATAGCAAAGTTAAATTCAGCCAAATAAGAATGTCAGAACAATTGCGAAGAAAATTCGTGATCATCAACTTCCAGCCACAGCTCTCATAAGAATTCTTGACCCCATCGGCATGGATTCTACTCTTCCTTCTTACGTCTTTTAGGTTCTGCGGCTTCCGCACAGACATCTGCAAGACTTCCCTTCTTGACCATAGCCTCATCCACAATCTCTCCATCAAGACGAGATAAAGTCTTAATCTCGAAGTCGAGGAAGGACTTGATGGCTTGAACATCAGTAGCTCCGGCCTTCATTGAGTCTCGGACGTTCTTGAGCATTTGTCGAATGCGAGTTTCCGCATTTTCGAGTTGGTATTCGACAGCTTGGCCATAAAGATCAGATAAGTTGGAGATTGGACGAACAGTGTTCAAGACGGTATCATCACGAATACGTGGAGATCGAGGACGGAAAGATGTGACCATCGTTACGCGCTCTTGTCCTCCAAAGGCTTTGAGAGCCTGGTGGTCAATGTATCGACCCTGAAGGACGACGGCGCATCCCTGAAACACGAATCAGAATGTTACTCTTGGTCCATTAAGATAGTGATTGTATTACCTTGCTTGGACCTCGAACCTTCTTGATCTCACCAGTACCAGTCCTCAACGCAGTCTCGCCTCCTACCATGTTTGTGGTATCACTCATCATGAGTACACAGACAAAGGGGTAGCTATCCCTGTGCCAGCCGACAAGAGCATCTTCCTCCATACCTTGATTCTGGATCATGCCTGGGACAGAGAGGTTGATGTGTCCGATCTCATAGTCCATAACTGGAACTAGCTCGACGCCAGCAATCTTGGAGATAATCGCGAGTGTTTCCGGATGTTTCCAAGCCTCGAAGATGAACTTGCCGTGCCTTCTTCAGTCAGCTAATGCTTGAGACTGTATGATGTGTACTGACTTTGGAGCATATCCACGCAACTGCTTTGGAGCAATATCGGATGTGTAACTGTACTTCTCTTGTACCTCGGGGTCAAATATTTCATTTCTCATGATGTTGACAGCCTCCTCGCTGAATAGTCGAAAGGGATCGGAGACAGCAACTGGAGAAACGCCTTTGCTGGCAGGAAAGCCGATCTCTTCCATGGTGTGAATATGTGCAGGCTCCTCGTATTGAATGTGTCTGTCCGGTTGGAACAGCTTGCCAACGGCTGGTGAGCCATGATCAGCAGCAAGGTACTTGGCGAAGGATCGCTTCAAAGATTCTTGAGTCTCCTTTGGGGATGATTTGAGTCTCGGGGAGTTGATCATTTTGGAGGAGAAAGGATCTGGAGCGCCGGTAGGCAAATAGATATCGGGAGTAGCCATTCTTCTTGATCAAGTGTATTTGAGACTAGATGCTAGGTGGTGTTAGCGAGTGAAGCTGCTGATAAGATATGAAGTCAGGATCCACGAGTATAGACTTCCTCTTGTGTGACAAGAACGCTTCTGCACGCAGAAGATCTATGTTACACTGCACCATGTATTTATTGTGAAACATCCATTGCATGCAAACTGGTTGGGAGAAAGAGGGGTCTGATGGTGCAAGGAGACACGATCTTGGCTTGCGCCTCTCGAAATGGTGGGAAACATAGAACGTCAGGAGGTTGCTTACCTCTGACTTGGTGGCTTTGTAATGAAGGGGAGACCTACTAGATTGTGCTTGAGCAAGAATAAGACAACTTTGACAGTTTGCGAGTTTCGAGAAGATCTGTAGATAGAGTTCTACAATATAAATATGAAGAGTATGAGGACAGGTGTGAAGTTGTGTTGGGTTGGTTTGAGCTATGTTGTGTTGAGTTGGTGGCCGGTCTTTCTTATATCAAAGTGTCCTTAAAGTCTGCCTTTCAATGAAGGCCCTTCACGTCACCAACGCTTGAATTCTGAAGTAAACAGTCCAATCTTGGAAATACGCTACGGAACGATCAACCGTGATTCTTGCACGACCTTGATGCTTCGATCCTGTCAGCCCTGGTGGGTTTCCTCCACACCTTTCTTGCATCAAAATTCTGCCGTTCTCAGGTGATTTTGGGCCAGAAGTGTGGAGAAACTCTCACGATATTCGCATCCTGTCAATTTCAACGAAGCCGCCTTATCGTTGAAGCTATCACGCCCGTTGATCTGTTTCCTGATAGTAGTTCTGGAAGTTTGGACCGATGACACGAACAAGGTCGCAAGAGTGTGCACTAATCGGAGTCCCACCCAGATTCTCCTGGTGGTGGTTCGAATATTGCATGGAAAGGGTTCCTGTAAATGGATAGGAGCGGAGAATTGGCAGACATGGACTAAACTGAGATAAGTCACAGCGCTCGGTGCCTTCTCTGCTTGAAATGCCAATCGGCAGCAGTGGGAGCGATCTCGACCGCCACGAGGGCAAGGGGGTAAGATGTTGGACTCGTGGGAAGCGTCATCACAGCACCGGCAGTCTTGCACATGTCTTGTTCAAGCCAAGGTCGAATTACCAAAGTTCGCGAATTGACGCCGGCTGTGGAGACAAATGAAAGGTAGAGAAGCGTAGGGGAGTAAAGATAGGTGTGGAGATCATACGTTGACTAGAGCGGGGAGATATCTGGCTCTGAACGTCTGGGTTTGTTTTCCCGATATGGAAAGATCTCGACTAGTGCAACTTATCGCTTGTCATGCTGTGCGTAGGGACGCCGTTAACGGACGCATGTTGGAGCTTAATCAGAACCAGCTGGGAATTTCGAGGCTCCGTTGAGCGAGGTCAACCGATGCCCCATCACGAGATTAGAACAACAGCCCATCATCTGCTGCAACTGTGCAGGGTGGCAAGCCAAACGGATAGCCTTCCCAGCGCCCAGAGAACATCTCAGTTGTTCGTGATGCCGGTGAATTGCAATGGAAAGCCAGCCGCCGTCGAGACGTTTGCATGCATGCACTCAAGCACTGTCTCGCGCGGTGGCAGGGCAGATCATCAATGAAGCTCAGATAAGGTATTGGACTTCCATCCCCGTCATAAGCTCGTGAGCAGTGGGTTCGAAATGCGAGTGGCAGCCTGAGCCCGCTTGGGTACAAAGTCAAAGGCAATCCGACGAGCATGTTCCCTGCTGGAAAGCCTTATTCGGAGCAACGACAAGATACAAGATACGGTGCCGGCGCATCGAAGACAAGAGACGACGTTGATGCAAAGTCATCAGAAGAAGGTGAATGCTGCAGGCAGATAAGACCCTTGTGGCTGTGCGCCGATAAGCCTAACATGCGCCAAGGCTCGGCTAGCTTTTTAGACTTGCTTTCACTCGCCTAGCCTACCTAGCAAGGGCGGAAAAAAGCGGCCGTTTTTGTAGGCGAAAACCACCCAAAAATTCGGCCACTCTTTTCCGCCCCTGAGAGCCTAGCCTCCAGAATGCCTCATGGAACATCCAGCACCACCTAGGACTACGAATTGATCAAATCTATCTGATAGCCATGTCATCCAACGACGCTTCTTCCGAAGCTGACCCCTGGGACGCTAAGACAAGTCAAACATTTGAAAGGTATACATACACTTGAGTGTTTTGGTTCGGGACCAGAACTGGTGGCAATTTTACCTCCTCTGAGCTCAGCTGATTTCAGATTGTATAGTAAACGAGCTGGGGAGTACTTTGATCCCTGTCAGGAAGCTGCATCAAGAAGCCTGAAATGTCTCCATCGCAACGGTGGTGACCGGGAAATGTGTACGGATTATTTTCAGTAAGTTCATCATGGGGACAGCATTGGAAGGCTCTGCTTTTTCGAAGAAATCTCAAGGCTAACCTCTTCAATCAGGGCATATAGGGATTGCAAACAGCAATGGGTAGGAACACACAGTTTCTTATCTCTACTCGCTTTGATTAGCATTATTCAGTCCCACATGAGTTGCCGCGGTTCGCAGGTCCTTGGCAAGGATGAAAAATGAAGTAGATTTCAGAGTGTTAAGGGCTCGAGAGAGGTGAAGGCTGTAGAGTTTAGCCTCTTCGCTGATATCTCCTGGGAGGCGGCAGACATTTAGTCCGAGTTTATGCTGACATATGGCCAGATTACCGCAAGAAAGGAGGCAAAACGGAAGGAAAGAAAGGGCTGGTTCTCATGAAAATGTGTGTTATCGATTGAGGACTTGCTCGCTGTACAATATGTAATATTCACTTTGTACTAAAGCTCAATTCTGGGCTATCTTATGATGACAATGGCGATTTTCAAAACAGAGACGAAAGTGAGAGAGCTTTGATGAGGATTGAAGTGGTACATTCCTGTAGACATCATAGCAGAAGCCTTCTTTTTCTGTTTGCGACCTAGCATATTACCACCAAAGAAAAGATTCGGGAGAGACCTCTGGAGTATCAGAATTCAAACATTCCCTTGAGCCACTAATTTCTCGCTTCGGCAGCGACCTGAGGAAAAGCCGATTTTTATGCACACCAAATTTTCTTAGTCGCATCCCTTGTCGTGAACAAATCCACCAAAGATGATCTCAGAATCATAACCAGTATTCTAGAAGCGAAGGTTAATATTATTGTCACCTGTTATTGCATGTCGCGTTCGGCGGGAGCTCAGAAGCCTGCAAAGCGCACACGATGGACAATCTTCAAGACCGGCAGGATGTGCCAATCTGGAATGCGATCGAAGCCAAGAACTTCAAGCAAGCTTTGAAACTTGTGGACAAGAGACTCGCAAAGAAGTCAACCGATTACCTAGAGGTATTATATCGCAACCATCTTGCACTGTCTTCTTTTTCGCGTTGAGCTTTCGTGCCCAATTAAGTCACGTGGCTGATACTTATTACACAAGCTAACTTTGACTGCAGGCCTTGAAGATCTACATTAGGTCTCTCTTGCCTCAAGTATCGGAAAAATCAGCTGTTATTCTGCACCTAGAAGACGTCGTAGCCAGAAAAGCAGTACTCTCAGACCTTGCTGCCATAGAACTATACGAAGATGCTCTAGAAGAAGTCCTGCCAGGATCCCGAGAAGTCTGGATTAAGACTATTGGAGAACTCAGATGGCGATGTATCAAAGCTGTCCCGAAGAATGAAGATACCAGTCTCGCATGCCTTCAAAGCTGTCTCTCTAGAGACGATTTGGATCATGCCCGCCAGGTAGGTCTTGGGCAATAGCCTCTGTCACTCTAACGGGCAGCGTTGCTGATACTGAGTCAAAAGATCGCCAACAGCCTCGAGAAGAATTTTCCAAACAGCCATCTATACATTTTCTGGAACATAACCTCAATGTTCATGTTTTCAGTAAGCATTGAACCCATTTATCTATCTAAATGTTAGCTTGACTCACATAAATCAGATATCACCACAATGTCCTGAAAATCAAAGAAAAATATGGGGAGGCTTAGCACTTGGTCAGATCGGCAAGCTAGCTGCAGCTACTAGACAAGCTACAGTGAGTGAATTTCGAAAGCCAAATCATATGAGAGGCGTTGACACGAGTATGTCTAGGATATGAAGCAATTACCTATCAGGTCCATCCAGACTCCTCAAGAATTACTCCTGTTGGACAGGATCACTGAAGTTTTTGGAAAATCGGAAAATCGACTAGAGTACCTGCAAGATAAACATCTAGGACCAGAATCGACTGTAGCAAAGGGGGAATGGAGCCTATGGAGACTAAGGCTGAAATTGATGACAGAAGCCAATCACTGGCAAGACCTCTTTGACCTTTGCGGGACTTTGCTGAAGCGAGCACGAACCCCGAATGATTCCAATCAACTTGTAGAAGCTTCATTCAGCGATTGGACGGTGTGGGAAGCATATCTGAAGTCAGCAAGCAAGCTCGAAAATCGCGGGTGAGTAATAAAATGGGTTTCGACTCGCCGTAGCTGACAGTAGCTGCAGAAATTATAACGAGATACGTGAAGAAGTTGAAGCACATCTAGATCCTGCTTGCGAGATCGACAAGGGCTGGAAGAGAAACGCATCTTTGGCAAAAGTAAAATTGTCTTTTGAGTGCTCCGCCTCGTTTTCACAGAATGCTCCATCGATTGGACCGAGCGACAAGCTCAGCTCTCAACCAAATGTCATACTTGACTATCTTCAGGAATATGGTGATGCTAGCACAGCATACAATGATATAAGGCAATTTGTTGAAGTGCTGAAGCCAGATGAGCGTTCTCAACTCATGTCTATGCTGGAAGATAATACTGCGTTGGAGAAGCCACAACAACCAACTGGACCGGTGGACCCTGAAGCAGCTGACATATCGGATTCTCGTAATGTGAGTTCGAGTTCTACCCGTTCTAATGTTGAAATTGTAATTACATGAGGACTTTATGCTAATGCTCTATGGCAGTTGAGTACTGCTTCCAAAATTACCAGAGCTGTGAATAGGCTCAAACTCAAACATCTTATCAAATCTAGTATTCCAGAACAAGAACGCAGACAAAGTTTCGCAGAAACTCAGCAGTTCAAGTGCAGCTCTTGTGCCAACGACTGCGGGGTGTTCTGCCGGAGTTGCCTGGTACAGCTTGCGGAAGAATCTGTTCAGTCTTACCGGTCAGCAATCAGTGATGATGGACAGATTACAAAGTCCCTTTTGAGCACTGATAGACATCCAGCTGATGACTTCTGTGTCTTAGCAGCGATGTGCTTGATCAAACTTGGCCGGAGTAATATATCTCCTCACTCCGAGAACCTGAAAAGCAGTGGTATCGTTTATCTGCTCCAAGCAATGGTATTACTGGAGTCTGCGTGGTTGCGCTCCAAATCGAACTTTCAGCTGTCTCTAATGCTGGTCCGGCTATATTCACATCTTGGATGTGGCTCACTTGCTATGAGAGCGTACCAGCGTCTATTTCTGAAGGAAGTCCAGCTTGATACCTTGTCGTATACTATGTTTGATCGGATTTCCACTTTGCATCCACACCCCATCCACGACTCGTCCGGCGGCTCCTCGAACACGCGTACTCTCATTGAGCAATTGCAGAAGCAGCAGAAGCTTTACAAGACCTCTCGTGAACATATCAACAAGAATATCTGGCTGTCCTTCAAACATGGCAGCTATAATTCAATCTTCGAATTTAGAGAAGTTACCCAGAAATTGTCTCATAGCATATCAGCTGTTATGTCTGTTGTGGAAACCAATAGGATCCATCGATTCATAACAAGTAAGGTTCCAGCTGGTGCCATCCGCCAGATGTATGGTCTGATACGTAAGTGCTTGACTTCAGGTACCTTTGCACTGCTAATTGAGAATCAGCCGCCGACGTGGAAAGTAGGGAACGTGTCCTGTCCGATAATAACGACTATGAGACGTTTCCCAACTTCGAAAGTAGCCGAGCACCAGGCTTTGAGGAGCTCAGCAGATTCATCCCAGGTCCTTCAGTACGTCACACGTGCCTAATTTCAGAATACCCGGCTGACATGACTCAGGAGTCCCGATACCGGGTTACCCTACTGGCCGAAAGGATAATGCTTATCGTAGACCCCTCTCCCGAGCTGAACGGTGAAAGGAGTATCTTGCAACAATCATTGAGTCGACATATCAAGCAAGATTCGACCTCAAAAGTGGGAGTCAAATCTATGACTCGGGCTGAACAGATTGCGGCCCACGCCCATCGTGCCATGGCAATCATCCTTACAGAGTCTTGTGACCAAGAACTCTGGCTTGAAGGAGACTTCAAGACGAGGTTGGAAGGACTTAATCAAGAACTCTCCAATCGCCTCGAAGAACTAGCCGAGCTCATTGGTGCCATGGAGACGGTGATCCCTGCTTTCCAGACCACGCTCAACGCTATTTACACAGCTTATGAAGTTGGCAGAAGTGCTTTAAATTTCTGTAAATACCTTTCTACAAAAGGCAAAGCAGTCCATTTAAGCCAAACAGAAGCAAGCAAGAAAGTTACCCAAGCTGCTGAGCAACTCATACGAGTTGTCATGGAGAAGTGTGCTTTTATAAAGAAGGGCTTAGATGAAGGAGGATGGATAGACAAGGTGTTAGAAAGCGTTTTCCCAGATTCACAGACAGGATCTGAGCTTTCATTGACAGAAGCAGTGCGAAAAGTAACTGATGAGGTCTTCATGGAAGAATGGGCTGGCGACGTAGTGGAAAGCTGGAAGGACTCCATTGCAGGATTCTCTTACATCAAGATACCCACTAAGGTGTAAGATGTAGTGAGATCGAAGTAGCAGACTCAGAAATAGAAATGCGAGGTGTTACATTCCTTCAAGTCTTTCGCTTGCCTGGTCTGATATTGATCACCGTGAACAGGTACACACAGAGCCTCCAAAGCTTGTTGTGATGCGAAATAGCCAAGCATGTTCATAAATCATAGATCATCGCTGACTCAAAGCATATCTTCTTCGGCTGCTCGTCTCTGCTGCTTCCGAACCGCAGTTTCTCTCCTTTCCTCTCTCAATGTGACGAAGATCCAGAACCAAGTGATCATCTCCACAAATGCCCATGTAAATAGCACCCTGTTCTTTAAACCTTCACCCCACGAGCTCGGACTGTATGATTTCGAGGAGTATAGCGGAGATGTATCTGAGAAGACATAGGAGTAGACCGCGAGGCAGAGGAAGAGCAGGAATCGCACCGGTGCTGGTTTGATCAGCGAAGTTACATCTGGATGTGGCAACTGGATACGAACCTTGGGAGCCCCAGTGATATTGAGAGATTTCTTCAGGGAGAGAGACGGAGACCAAGTCGCTGAAACCAATTACTGCGAGGACCGCTGACAAGAAAGCAAGAGGAGGCGATTGATTGTCGAAAGAGCGCGTGTATGGCTAGATATAAGTCAGTATGAAAGGTGAATATCGAGGTGAGTGGCTACCCACCAAACCCATAGCTTCTCCTATGATGAATACCAACGTCTGGTCTGCAATAGCTCCAGGGGAAACGAGGAAGAAATACGCAAGAGTGATGTGAAAAAGGGACAGGGACGTAATGATTGTAGCTGCAGATATGAGCGCCATGTTGGATGTATGAATCTCTGGCTAAGATCTGGGGTTTGTGTTGATTTGAAGTAGGTCACGATGCTCGACTTGCTGTCACTCACAAATCTTGTGAAACAGGGTCTCGACGGATCCCTGCAATTAGAAAAATAAGGTTGAACATTTTTCCGACGCCACGACAGGGGTAGAAAGTGTATCCCGCGTCAACCAGCCAGCCTAGGGGTCATGGTATGCACAAAGACCGTGTATACGATGCGTGAATCTATAACACTCATGTAGGTATTGTTCGGATGCTAGCAAAATGTATACTCCTTCACTGTGTTGCCTCTTGTCCTACTTTCGTCCATGATTTGGCTGCAAGCTCAGCTTCCCTTAACTTGATTCCCCACTAAAGAATCCAGAATTCTCAGAAACTGGAGCTTTTAAAATCCTCATAAAAGCTCAACACATCGCCGACGATGGCTGTCCAAGAATTGAGTCTTGATGTCGCGCTCCACATCAAGTACTGGCATCGATGCCTCAAGAACGTTCTTCCAACAGGATATACAAGCATGGATTCCTCACGTATGACTCTGGGCTTCTTCATCCTCTCTGCCCTCGACCTTCTTGGAGCTGGTGCCGAGACATTCCCAGAAGATGAGCGAGCGAATATCAAAGATTGGATTCTGAAGTGCCAGCACCCCGATGGTGGCTTCTGCGGGTCTCCAAATCACAAATACCCTGATGCAGCCTATGTTGATGTTGGACATGGCAAGCAGACGATGGATCCTGCGAATCTGCCAGCTACTTATTTTGCTATAATGGGGCTCAGTTTTGTTGGTTCGTTGGATGGGGTGAGACGGGATGATTGTTTGAGGTGGATAAAAGGGCTCCAGAGAGAGGACGGGAGCTTTGGGGAGTTCATTACCCAAGACGGCGTTATACAGGGCGGGACTGATATGCGAATTTCTTATGCTGCTATGGCTATAAGATGGATTTTGAAGGGCGACTACGACTCGAGTAAAGAAGATGGAGCAGACATCGACGTTGACCAACTCGTCAAATATATTCGCTCTGGACAGGTATAATATAAGGTGTCTTGCCGAGGTCAGATGCTGATCTTTCCTTAGACCTATGATGGCGGAATAGGAGAGTCGTCTCGGCATGAAGCACATGGTATGATGCAGCCTGTCTAGCAGAAAGGACTTACACTGATGTGTATGAAGCCGGATATACATATTGCGCCATTGCCTCGCTCAAACTAGCCAACAGATTATCCAAGTCAAAAGATTCGGAGCCGATCTCAGGCCTCACAAATGTTGATTCGACGATCCGTTGGCTCGTTTCAAGACAGACGGGCTATACCACCGAGTCAGATGAGGAGGAGGAAGGAGACGCAGAGCATGCACCTGCTGTGAAATTGCAGGGCATCTATACCGAGGAACCAGCACATGAAGACGAGGAATTTGTTGGCTTCAATGGTCGCTGCAATAAACGTGCGGACACCTGTTATGCCTTCTGGGTTGGAGCAGCAATTAACGTATATCCCACTCTATCTGCCGAATACGACGCAGTACACTGACTGACCGGACGATAGATGCTCTGCCAAGAGAAAGTCGAACTCCTGGACATTCCAGCGATCCGTCGATTCCTCTTCGAGCAGACACAGCATAGAATAGGAGGATTTGGGAAATGTCCGGGAGATCCTCCAGGTTCACCACTCTCGGCTTTCCTAATATGACCTTTCTAACCGTGTTACAGATATCTATCATTCTTACTTGGCATTGGCTGCGCTTGCAACAATGAAGGAGCCTGATCTGAAGCCATTAGATGCAGCTCTTTGCGTCAGTATTCAACAAAAAGAAAAGATCGAGCAGGTTCGTAAGGCGGCCTTGGTCTAGGCGAGGATATAGAAGCATGGATACAGCTTCTGAATGTGGGAGGTTGGTCCCGACTTTGAAGCATGACGGCTACCGAAAGGAAACTCCGAACGTTAGCGGCGGCGATGAAGTCCGGGTGAAAGCAGGAGAGAATGAACCGATGAGAAGGGGTCTTGAGGTTGTTTAGGTAGAAATAAAGTTTCTAAACATCTTAATAAAAAAGACTCCTCAAACTTCGCTCATCACACTTTGATAGCCTTTGCCAAAGATACACTTCGTCTTTGTGTTATCCTTGATCATAGGCTTGCCATACGGCATAGCAAACCCCATGATGGTCTATTTTCTTACCCAAGTCGAAGTACTTTGGATCACACGTGATGGTTCTCATCATCCTACCTAGGTATGTTTTACCGACCAACCAAATTCCAAGATCAAGGGCCATGTAGTCATCGTGCTCAAATTCAGAGACTCTATCAGAGATTATAGAGAGTTCCGAGCATCCTTCCTATGCGGGAGAATGCCAGGGAGTCTTGTCACTGAAAGTCGAGATGACCTCTAACCTTACCGTGTTCGCTCTTTGATATATTAACGGCCGACTTTACAGTACATCTCCCTCCTCTGCTTAGCTCTCTTCATATAATTCTGGAACCAATGGAAGCAAAGTAGTGAATACAGTAAGTGCCACAAGGTGGCAAGCTAACAAGGTGCTTCAGGTCTCGGACTTTGCAGAGCTATAGCTAAAGGTGGGGTTACGAACTCCAGATACCAAAAGGACAAACTCCAGCTCTCGAGCACTACAACGACTACACCCAAGAAGCTCAATCTGCTTGACGGAGAGATGAAGATTTATCTTCTTTCGACCTTTTTGTTGGCGAGCTGGGCCCACGCCGCTCTCTCAATTGGTGCCCAAGAACCAATCATCAACCCAACCTCCTCTTCACTCCTCGAGCTTCACAAAAGCCTCATCGAGCACGAATCGATTACTGGCAACGAGCACAACGTTGCGAAATACCTGATATCCTACCTGAAGAGTAAGAACTTCACGGTCGAAACCCAAGATGTCGGTCCTTTCGAAGGCTCGAACAAACCCCGCGAGAACATTCTGGCGTATGTAGGGAAGCAAAGGAAGACCAGGACGTTGGTTTCGTCGCACATTGATACCGTGCCCCCATACTGGGAATACAAGTCAATTGGAGATGAAATCTGGGGCAGAGGCAGTGTGGACGCGAAGGGGAGTGTTGCGACGCAGATCATAGCTGTTGAACAGCTTCTTGCAGCTGGAAAGATCGCTGAGGGCGATGTTGCTCTGCTCTTCGTTGTCGGGGAAGAACGTGGCGGTGATGGCATGAAGAAGGCGAATGATTTGGGCATGGAGTGGGAAGCATGCATATTTGGAGAGCCTACGGAACTGAAGCTTGCGAGTGGACACAAGGGGATTATGAGTGTTGACCTGAAAGCAAAGGGGAAGGCTGGACATAGCGGTTATCCTGAGCTTGGTCGAAGTGCTAATTCGATGCTGATCCCGGCATTGAATGCTTTGCTGAATATGGAGCTCCCTTGGAGTGAGAAGTATGGAAATACAACTCTGAATATTGGGAGAATAGAGGGAGGGGTTGCGCCGAACGTCATTGCAGAAGAGGCTTCTGCCAATATTGCCATTCGTATTGCTGATGGAGAACCAGTGGTAATTGAGAAGATAATCTTGGACACACTCGAAGCTGTTGGACAGAAGGTTGATGTCTCTTTTGGTGGCGGCTATGGACCTGTCTACATTGACAGTGATGTTCCGGGCTTCGAGAAGATTGTCGTCAATTACGGAACAGACATACCGAATCTCAAAGGAGATCACAAGAGATATCTGTATGGCCCGGGATCAATCCTGATGGCACATAGTGATCACGAGCACCTCACGGTCCATGATCTAGAGGCTGCTGTCAAGGGTTACAAAACTTTGATCGAGTATGCTTTGAAATAGTTATATCTAGATAGATACCCAATCCGTTTGGACAATTTGTTTCATTTCACCTTGTCTCCTTTTCCATAGACGGAACTAATTCCTTTGGAGTCTTTTCATTGCTTCTGAGCTCATATATATGGCTATTCCTTCTGATGAATCTGGGTCAATTGTTTGAATACAGGGCTGCCAACGATTTCGTCAAAATCCCGTGCCCAATACATTTGTTCTTGGTTCCCCTGATCAATCTGAATGTTACCAACGTATATCCCAATCTGCTTCAACCTCTTCATTAAGTCACTCTGTCCATCATCAGACATAACAACCCCAGTTACCCCATTTGCGGTCAAGCACTCTATATCTGTTCCTGAGTCTCCAATATAAAGCAACGTTTGCTGTTCTTGTTCTGATGAGATACCCCATGTGTAAAGGAGCCTCTTCGTAGCAGAAAATTTTGCACCAGATGTAGCCATTACAGGACGAGACGCTCGTTCCTCAATTTCAAGACCGACAATGAAGCCTCCACTAAGTATCGAATTTGCCAATATGCTCACCTTCGCCTTTTTATCACCGACAGTTGCTTTGAGAACTCCTCGAATGAAGTCAGACGAAAAGTTCACTGAGACCACTCCCCAGACAATTCCGCAATCTGCAAGGCTCGTCACAAACTCTTGAAAACCTTTCCTTACAATCACTTGCCCCTCTTTGACCGCATCGTGTCCATGTTTTTCCCAATCCTCGATTCCTTTAAATAGGCCCGAATTGCTTACACGTGCGAAGCTCTTTAGCTCAATTTCACGGAGACTCCTGTAGTACTTGAGTTCTTCTTCCAGAGTTGACCTTTCCTCCTTCACTGGCCTATAGGCCTTGATATGGTTTGAGTAATCTTCACTGTACTTCGAGAGAATGGAAGCCCATGCTCTTGAAAGCTCGATCCCCTGATCTTTCTGAGATGAGAGGCCGATATTAGCCAGGGTCGAGATGGTGTCCTTCGTGGTTATTGTCCCATCAAAGTCGAGGATCACCGCTATCCGCTCGGAACTACCGCGGTACATCGTATAATGACGGCGTATTCGAACAGCGCCGAGGGACTGTGTTTGTACACTGGCTCTCCAACGTGAAAGGAGAAATTCTAGCTTGGTGGCAAGTTGCAAGACCATGAGCGTTGGTGGATAATTGACATCAAACTTCGAAAACGTTTACTGTCACTGGCGGATTTACGAATGCTAGTTGTATCGCTACATGATACTACCGGTAGCACTGAATCTGTGGTCTCCACAGTCAAAATTCGGAACGACTGTTGAAAGTACTGTTCAGGCGGACTGTATTTCTGGTAAATAAAGATTCTCCAAATTGGTCAGACTGATGCAAACCTCCGTGAGTGACGAATCAGAGGTCTGACTCTGTTATTTTTTCCTTCCTTTCTTTGACAGTTCAGGGCGTCTTACTAAGCCGAGATTATCTACTGCGAATCGGCTGCATTGAACGCCAGCGTCTGTGAATTTAAGCTTACCCCTGCCCGTCATGGCTGAGACTGAAACCTAGAAACAGCAACCGAGCCCGAAAGATGCGATGGAATCCCTCAATAGCGTCCGTAGATCAGTGGGAAATGGAAAGGGTAAATGGCTGGAGGGATGTCTTTCGTGTCTTTTTCCAGACGTTCCCCAAATAAGTTTCCACTGGGACATCATGGTCTGTATCTTCATCCAATAGCCAGGGCCCATACGGTCCCAGTTTGAGTCTGACAGAACTTGAGACTTGGTGCTTCCTGGGCGTCGAGTGCACGTGCCGCTACCCAATCCACTACACTAACCGCTATGTTGATGCCTTTCCCTCCTAAACCCATTCGATAAGAGGACAAGATATTCGGACATTCTTCGAGAATCAAGTCCCTCGACGGAATTATTGCGCATTTCCAAAGTAGCACTCTGTTCAACGCTGCCAGCACTCATATTCAACCACCAGAATCATTTGCTTCAATAGCCACAACTTCGGTAAGCGCATGTCTTTCTTCTGGAGCTTCATAGCCCATGCGATCACACGGTGCTCAAGAGCTCGATTCTCATCGTCCCCAACCCTTCTTGTCAACCATGGCTGACGTTTGAGATGTTCTGCAGACTGGCAAACTGATATCACCTATATTGGGATCTTACCTCCGAATCGTCCTCGTCGCAAAACCCACCAGCTCTGCGATTAGTACCGTCACAGCTCGGGCGCTTATTGTCATCGAAATCTACAACCACAACATTCCCTACTCGACCACTTTCAATCCCTCTCGATCATAATATCAAGCTGGGGCGAAGCACTTTGCGCGACATCACATTTGATCCGTCCTGATCTGGGGGCTACTCGGTTCTGTTCAAGCTTTGCCCGGCCGCAAGATTCCGACAGCATTCAGGCAGCAAACACATCTATCGAAAGTCTACTAGTTTCAGGTTCCCGTTACCTTTGTATGCGAGAGGCTTTCTGGAAGCCCATTCCTCCACAATTACTCGAATCTGAGTGGGCGGACAGTTGTTTCGCACTTTCGCGCATAGCCTCAAAAGGCTGCTCAGCCACCGCGCCAGTGAGGCTGACCACCGCATCACAGAAATCAACCTGATCGTGTTCTAAGAACAGCAACAACAGTCACTATGGATCAACAACGTGGGCGGTCACCCTCTGCGGGACATCAACAGCTTCATATAAACCAGAGCCACTCTCCCTCACCGCAGCCATATCAAGATAATGCCAATTCGATTGGGCTAGGACTAGGCCTTGACAACAACGCAGGCAACAACAACGGTAACGGTCAACAATTTATGAACGGTGGCTTCAATTCGAACAACGGCCTTCCATCTTATTCTGAGAGTAACGAATACTTGAATCAACAAGGACAATCGTTCTCACAAGGCAGTCTTGGAGAATCCAATTACGCGCAGAGCCAAAACTTTGGAGGACAGTTCAAGTCAGAAGAGGGAGCTTCTCCTTTCAATCAACAGCACGGCAGTTTCACGCAAGAATTGCTAAATCCAAATCTCCCGACCAATTTCAACGACGGCGACTTTCCTCTCTTCTCGACGCCTGGAAATTCTACAGACCAGTACGACCCTTCTTTTTTCATGAGCGAGTTGCCCTCTCAATCTTCAAATCAGCAGTCCGTGAACCCCTCACAACTCGACATGGCTTCTCCACAGATGCACCAAACTCCTACCCCGCCAAATCTACTTCAACCAAATTCTCAATCTCCTGCATCCGCACATCAATCGCCCTCCTTCAACCAGGGCGCCTTTCAGCCATCACCAAACCACTCCAGAAATGCATCACTTGGGCCTGAAAGTGCTGCTTTCCCTGGTCAGAACCTCGAGTGGAGCAATATGATGGCACCTCAATTCACCACTCACAGACGGACACCATCTGAATACTCTGATGTATCTGTCTCCTCTGCAGCGCATTCGCCCAACCTTGGCCATCATGACGCATTCGACTCCATAGAGCAACATCATTCGCCAATGCAGCATCCGCAAGATTCAAGCCTTTATCAAGAAGTCCTAAGCATTGGTAATTTCTCTTTGTCCGATCCTCAGATTCAACATGGAGCAAGTCCAAGACGAGGTTTAAGTCCTGCACACAGTCCTACTATTTCTCCCCGCTTGGGACCACAAAACATTCCAAGTATGAACCAACCAAATGCATTCATGCTGGGTATGAACAACAATAATGGATTCGGCCAATCTTCCTTGTATAGTCAAAGCCAGGAGAGCTTTCCTCAATTGCAAAATGACATGGGTCAAGCACAGCAAATGGTTCCTCCAGAAATTAATGTCCAGCTCGCGCCAACATCGACGCAGAACAGCTTTGAGCCTCCGAAGCCAGGCAACTTTGACAACGATGCCTTGACACCCCCTGATCGAGGTATGGATTTCTTGTCCTCTCCACGTGATATATGCTAACAGATGTAGGACGTCGTCGTCGAGCCTTCACAGATCCGAATAACAGCGGATCTGGTATCTCTCGTCCTCACACACCAAGTGCATCTTCCACGCTTGGGTCTGATCTCGCAGCACCATCTCCTAGCTCGCACCGCTCTTTATCCCCGAACGATCGGTCCGGAGCCAGCTCACCCAGTAGACGCCGCCAATCCACATCGTCCCTGCCAAATCGTGATTACATCCTTGGCCTAGCTGATCCTGATTACCAAGGATCGGCCTCGGAAAGTGGCAATGCTAAACGAGTGCAAAAGCACCCTGCGACCTTCCAATGTACCCTTTGTCCAAAGCGATTCACTCGAGCATACAATCTCCGCTCTCATTTGCGTACACACACTGACGAACGTCCTTTCGTTTGTACAGTCTGTGGCAAAGCTTTTGCTCGACAACATGATCGAAAGCGTCACGAAGGGTTACATTCTGGGGAAAAGAAGTTCGTCTGTAAGGGCGAGCTGAAGCAAGGTGGACAGTGGGGATGCGGTCGAAGATTTGCTCGCGCTGATGCACTCGGTCGCCATTTCCGGTCTGAAGCAGGAAGAATCTGCATCAAGCCTCTGCTCGATGAAGAAGCAATCGAACGACAACGTCTCTGGAACGAGCAACGAATGCAAAATATGCACAACATGCAGCAACCCCAGCCAATTCCGGTTGATGCCAATGGCTTCCCTATGGATGCCAGTGGCAACTACACCTTACCGGCAGCCTTGTTGGCTCAGTACCCTGCACTGGCGACTCTGAGCTGGTCTGAATTGCCACAAGGGGATGTCGGCATCGACGATGATCCTAGTGGGAGAAGCAGTTTCGATGCGAGCGGCTCCGAATACTATGATGAGGGAGACGAGGGCGGGTATGTTTCCAGCGGTCCACAGCCCGGTTACGGCCAAGCACAGATGAATGACCCATACAATGGCTATTCTAGTGATGTACCTCGCTGATTGTTTTCTTGGCGTACACCTTTTCTTCTCATAATGACTATTCTAAATATTAGGCGGGTGGGGTTTGGGACACTGTTCTCTTGGGCGTATCTAGATACCACACTCTGCTTGCTCATGGCTTTTGCATGGAGCAGCATATCACAATTTTGGATCACTTTACTGGCTTTTTTTCTATGTCAATTAGACTTTGTGGCAATGCTTGCCATTGCGAATGAATTCAATGAATGTATGCTTGAAAGTCCTCATGTACCAAAAATCTACACTACAATGTGCAACTTCTGATGCTGTGCAAGAAATAGCAGTGTTCAGCGTGTAACCTATCTAAGAACAGGGTTTTGCTTACAGTCGCTTCTGGTATCGTCCTGGAGAACATGGGAGAAGGTACGCAGTCAGAATCGGATGTTCTTGGAGATTCTTAAGGCGAAAAAGGGTGGATCTGATTACACCTTGACAACATGGTCGAAATTGCAGAACCATTCACATCTAGCAGTGTTGAAAAAAACCGACTCAGAGAGCTAGGACAATCTGCAATTTCCTATGTCCGAAGCGGATTCCAGACATTGGTCGCTTCCGAATGCTGGCAATTTTCGAGCGAACCTCTCTTTTGGGATAGCGAATAAATAAGCTGCTGCCCGCAAGCAATTACACCAAAGAACTTTAACAGCTTAATATCCATCCTCAAAGTTGCTTGTTTTTCATTTGAATTTCATATTGGGGCTCATTATCTCAGGTGGGCAAGATACTGAATATCAGTCATCTTCTACATAGTGAAGACCAATTTCTCGCCAGACACCTGCCCAGCCTTCATAGCTTCAAGCCCTTTCAACGCACCCTCAAGACCCTTCCCATACTTATCCACACTGGGTCTATGGACCTTGATCTTTCCATCGGCTAGCAGTTCCCTCGTCAACTCCCAGAATTTACTGCCCTCCTCAAAGTCAGCTGGAACGGCAGGAACCTCGTTGGTACCGAACTTGAAACTCTCTCCAACGACGGTATACGCCAGCGTATGCTGGTTCTTGACCTTGTCGTTGATAGCCGTGACCTGCTCGTCCGGAACGGGCAGGAGCGTGGAGTAAGTCCCGCCTTCGGATGTAGACATCGCGGAGACGGTGATCTTGGGACTGTCGCCTTCGGCGATACAGTCAAATGCTAATGTAACGCTGTCTTTGGTAAAATCTTTGATTTCTTGGGAGCAAGTGGGAGAGTTGTAGTCAAATGCTGCAACTGCGCCGAGAGACTTGACATAGTCGAAGTTCCTGGGAGATGAAGTCGTGATGACGTTCAGACCGGACAGTTTGGCGTATTGGATGGCTAGGGATCCGGTTGCGGTGGAGCCGCCGTAGATTAGGAGGTATTTCTTCTCGGTAGAAGAAGAGGGCTTGTTTGGAAGGGGAAGCTTGAGAGATTGGTAAAGTCCTTGACCGACGCTTTGGGGTTGTTAGTCTTTAGCTGGGGCACTAAAAAGTCAAAGACTAACGTGGTGATTCCAACACCTAGAGTGGAAGCTTCCTCGAAGCTAATATTGTCCGGGATCTTGATCTGGATGTCACCCTTGGCTGTGATGATATTTGCAAAAGCACCGTCTTCGTGCTCGACCATGTTTCCTATGTAAGGTGAGTAAAATGGCCCATGGTTCTCTAGACGTTGGAACTTTACCTCCATGTACAAATCCAGCCACTCTGTCTCCTTTCTTGAAGCCTTTGGTGACCTTGCTGCCGACTTCTTCAACGATGCCTGCATAATCACATCCAATCTGAGGGAAATCTCGTCAGTCTGGGATTTCTTGAGGGTCAATGAGATGTGGTTACTCTTTCACCTTCCTCGCAGAGAAAGTCAATATGCTAAGTCCAGTTTAGTTCACTTTCCAGGTTGGGCAAAGTCATCTTGGAGATGCCGACCTTCCAATCACTGGGACGAATTAGTATAATAAAATACTAAAATGGAAGCGAAAGACTCTGGCAGCCGGGAGCTGTCTCAAGAACCTTCAGACGGATACATTTCGTTTGCAATATGTCTCGGCTCTGCCCGGTTCCCGGCTCACAGAACTCTCATATAAGAAGACAGCAATTTAATAAAAGAAGTTGAGCATACGTGGGATTCAGTGCGATTGCTTTGGTCTTCACGATGATGTAATCATCCCTGACTTTAGGGACGCTGACCTCAGTGACCTGGAAGTTGAGGAGACCAAATTAGTAACTCCATTTCATACATTCTGAAGAGTAGAACGCTCAGAAACCGTATGATATCCATAAAGTTCGTAGTAAACCTCAAAAATAAAACTTCTAGACATAGTATAGAGTTGAGATATTCATTCAGGAGACATACCTTGGCATCGCCCTTCTTTTGGACAACAATAGCTTGAGTTTTAGACATTTTGACTTTTAATGTATTGGAAACCACGGAACAAGATGGGGAAAAGAGGAATATGGAATGAAGGACGACTCCATTTTAAATACTCTTACCCCCTACGTACCGGTAGTCCGGTTATTCAAGAGGAGTTTCTTCATTAATAATGGCCAACGAACGTTTTTCAAGGATACGTAGCTTGACGCTTCGGCGATAACCAAAAACCCCACAACGTTCGGGTCTTGATGTCACTGACTAAGAAGCGCGAGTCGTCCTGGACGGCATTTGATGTGTAAGCAGGGATGCAGATGCAGTATCTTTTGTAAATGGTCATCTCTTCCTTGTCAAATATTAGATAAACTTTCAGTTGCTCAAAATGCTTAGAAAAGTCACCTCGTCAATGTTTGTCACACAACATGCTTAGTTGCATGCTGCATCAACCCCGCTGCCCGGTAAATACAAGAGTGACCTGCCATGAAATCATACGTACTATCTCATGGTTCACGGCAGCAGTCCGGGAGAAGAGATTTGATTGTCTGTGCACTGTAAGGAGAATTGTAGAGAAGGAGGTTTAGAAAGCTTTACTGCCTAGAAGAATCTCTATCTATCTCGCACATGGAAAGCTCCGTAAGAAGCTCCGTGTACCAGCGGAACGAACCGTGCAGCTCTCGTCGATTTGCCCCTCCTGCAATCGTTATCGACCGGCCTCCGCACGATCCTTGCATGTTCTGGAAGATCTCTGAAACTAAAGGAAAGAACGAAACCTGCTGCTCGGTCATCCCTTTGTGCGGAACAACATGTGCACTTCATACATATATGAACGACGACCAAGAGCAGAGATCAGCTCAGATCAGATCCCGTACCTGCACTTCGAGGCGCGGCATGCGACCCGGGAATAAAAAGGGGCAAACCCATTCTTCACTCACTTTCTTACGCGGCTAATCAGAGAAGTGATACAGTACGGTTTGGCAACCGACAGGCTCTCGCCATGAATTCTATGACGCTGCTCCCGATGTGGATCCTGGGTACGGATACATGACTGCCAGCGTGCCATAGCGTGCGAGGTACTGTAGGAAGGAGTATTGTTGTGTGGTGAGGTGAGTTTTATTGTCCGTTGACTCCTTTTTCTTTTTGCCTCTCTGAAATCGACTCGTGGCCTCTTCCGGATTTAGTATTTATCCCAAGTATAGCGATGCGACTCCTCGCGGGACCGTGATATAATAAGGGCATGGCTATGTTAAGTGATGGACACGGTCACATCCAGAACGAGGTCGTGGCGGTCATGCATCCTGACGCCGGAACGAATCAACAGAGTCTGTTTGTGGTCGGCTCCCGAGAGCAGCACACCACCATTTTTCAGTGCTCACCGAATGTCCTGACCAACCGCAATGCTTGCGAAGTGATCCCTTTATGCACAATCCAATTGTGTCTCCCAATTTGACGAAATATTTCCTCCTTTTCTTGAGCCAGACTTGCGGTGAGGCCTGGGGAGAACATTATGATGGGACCTGGACGAATGGATGGAGTTCTCTTGTCATATATTTTGTTGGCGCTGCTCCTTCTCCGAATCGCTGGGCTGCACTGCAGTCCCACTGCTACCCGCAAGCACCAGCCCGGCGCATTGCCGTTCAGAAGTCCTCGCGCCGTTCTTTTGCTTTTGCTCATGCTCATAGCGCGTGTCAACACCGTACAATAGAAAATGAAAAAGAATATTGGTGACCCTCATTGTCGCTCTGCTCTCTCGAAATTTTGCGAGATCAATCTTGCTATTGTGCGTGTATCGGCGGAGGCACAGACAATCGTTGATAAGGGCTACTTTTCAAGGGTGAAATTTCCCTGCCCGGTGTCTCAGTTGCCAACCACGAGAATAAACATCCCTACCATCCCTAAAGATCCTCCGTGTGACCACGGCCCCGTTAACCTCACGACCTCTTTTACACCATCTTGCTGGATATCTCCAGATCCTCCTCTGTCCAGGAATTCCCCTAAACTATCTCAAAATCTATCGTCTTGCTTGCTATCCTATTGTTGAGCACATAGCCTCGATGAGTCTGACACCTCTCCGCGATCACACGAGCTCGAACATCCATAATGGCAGCCGTCGAGGGTATATTGTACTGCGCAGATCACCCAAGGAGCGACTATGGGTCTGCTACAACCACGATTGGGTGGGATGAGGAGGATACACGGATAAGGCTGAAGCTCATCGCGAGAGCATGGATTCAATCGCGTACGCCAGGCCACCATGGAGGTGCACCGCGGACAAAAATGGTACGAGCCGCGATGATTTTCTCAAATTCTCTTGAAGCCCGAGCCATGCCATGTCATGTTGTCGTGCAGATGCAGTCACCTTAGCGGCTGAAGCCTGCCGCTGCAGCAGTAGCAGCGGTGTGGACCCTAACAAGTCATATTTCTAACGTTGACAATAGAGCGTACTTCCGCATTCGGGTTATACGTGGCCCTGCAGATGGGATCCGACTCCTTTGAAAGTTTCAGGAAGTTTGGATGTTGTTCGTGGAAGAAGACCTCGACCAGACGACCAAGACGTCAACATACTCGAACCTCACACAAATGCCTATGCAGAGAAGCACGCACACGATTCTGACGAAGCGCGAATTACCCCTCCTTCTTCGGTCAGAAAAGAAACAGACAAGTCACTGTTCTGCGACCCTACTATGGCCCCTTCGGTGGACTTTCAATCTCAGGATGGATTCCAGCAAGCTGCCAAGAAGAAGAATGCCAAAAATGCCAAAAACGCAGCAGCAAAGAACAAATGGGACGGTGATGAAGACGAAGACGGAAGTAAGAAGGAGGAGGGTGAGGGAAATAATGATGGGGACAAGGGAGGCGACACTGGCGCTGGCGGTAGTGACGATAAGAAGGAGGAGACGAATGGAGGTGGAAATGGTAACGGAGATGCCAACCCAGATGATGCCTGGGATAGCTTCCTGCCAGCGAAGTCGAAAAAGAAGGGAAAGAAAGGCAAACTTGAGGACCCAACACCCGAGCCAGCACCCGCAGCCGAGGACAAGCCAGATCTCTTCCATGAAATCAAACTTGACGATGCGCCTATTCTTGACTTGAATTTTGATACGGGGACAAAGTCAAGTGGAGGGTTTGGAGCGTGGGGAAGCAGTTGGAATACTGGCACAACAAAGTGAGTGTCTTTTATGCTATTGGGTTCGCTTGCCACATGCGGGTTGTGTTCCTGCATTTTCATATCCAGTGAAGAAAGGGAATGTGTCTAGTCACTTCCCAGAATGGCTTTGCACAGCACTTCGATTGTTCACGTGCCTATCTGGATTTATGCTTGAACTAACATTGGATTTCAGTACCTGGGACTTTTCTGCGACAACTGGCACATCCACCACCGACACCAAAAGCAAAGATACTGAAATTGATAACAATCCATGGAGTATCAATCGTTCCAAGCCTAAGAAAAAGACAACAACTTTCTCATTCGGAGCTTTGGATGAAGAGGAATCGAAGCCAGAAGAGCCTGATCCGCCTCCACCAGCAGAGACAAAGGCCGATGATGGCTTTGACTTCGGCTTCTCGAGCAAAAAGAAGAAGAAGAAGGGTGGTGTTTTCGACTTTCAAATAGATGAAGAGCCAGCAAAAGAAGAGCCGACTCCAGCTGCGGAACCTGCTGAAGATGATTGGGGAGGAGGATGGGGAACCACGGCCAAAAGCAAAAAGAAGGGCAAGAAGGCTGCGGAGCCAGATCCCCCAAAAGAAGAGCTTAAAGTGGAGGAGCCAGCACCTGTGGAGAATGTATGGTCATTGCCCAGTTCGAAGAAGGACAAGAAAAAGAAAGGCAAGAATGCATTCGAAGAAAAGGCAAGTTTATCTTGTTGGAAGTGATTCTCCTAACGACAATTTCTTTCTCACGCGAATGATTATCACCTTCGAATCTAAAGCTAATAGTATATAGACTGAGGAACCAGCTCCTCCTGTTACTGTTCTTGAACCCGAGTCAGAAGCTGCGGCTGAAGAGTTTGGTTGGGGCTCCTTCGCTTCTAAGAAAGACAAGAAGAAAAAGGGGAAGAATGCCATTGAGGAAGTCTCCCAAGCTGATGACCCTCCGCCCGCAGTCCAAGAACCAGAACCGGCAGTGGAACCGGTTGCAGACGACTTTGGATGGGGCTCTTTTGGTGGCTCTAAGAAGGACAAGAAAAAGAAGGGCAAAGGTCTGATTGAAGAAGTCTCCAAAATCGAGGAAACCCCTGTTGTCGTCCCAGAACCCGACCCAGTTCCAGAACCTGTAGAGGATTTTGGCTGGGGATCCTTTGGTACCAAAAAGGATAAGAAGAAAAAGGGTAAGATTGCAGAAGAAACTTCCAAGATTGAGGAGACACCTGCGCCAGACCCTGAACCCGAGCCAGTCGTTGAGGTTGCCGAAGAGTTTGGATGGGGATCCTTTTCAACTTCTAAGAAGAAGAAGAAAGGTAAGAATGCTATCGACGAAATTCCAAAGGCCGAAGAAATTCCTGTCCCAGAACCAGAACCCGAGCCGATAATCGATGATTTTGCATGGAGCGTTGGCACTTCTAAGAAGGACAAGAAAAAGAAAGGTAAGAAAGATGCAGAGGATCCTCCCATTGCCGATGATATCCCGCCCCCGGAGCCTGAAAAGGAGAAGGAGATAGAACCCATCGTTGATGACTTTGCCTGGGGCACGACATCCAAGAAGGACAAGAAGAAAAAGGGAAAGACTGCTGTAGTCGATGAGCCCAAGATCGAGGAACCTGTCATTCCAGAGGTCGAAAAGGAGAAAGAGGAATCAGTGGCTGATGATTTTGGCTGGGGATCTTTCTCAACTTCCAAGAAGGACAAGAAAAAGAAGGGTAAGAGCGTGGTTATTGACGACGAGCCCAAGATCGAACTTCTCCCAGCTCCTGAACCTGAAAAGAAGGAGGAGAAGGAAGAGCCTGTGGTTGATGACGGCTGGGGATCCTTTGGCACCAAGAAGGACAAGAAGAAAAAAGGCAAGAACGCCATAGCCGATCCCACCGTCGAAGCACCACCTCCCCCACCCCCTGAGCCTGAAAAAGCTGAACCGGAGCCGGAACCGGTGGAAGAATTTGGCTGGGGCTCTTTTGGCTCCAAAAAAGACAAGAAGAAAAAGGGCAAAGCTACTGCTATTGAGGAAACCCCGAAAGTGGAAGAGCCGCCTGCTCCTGAGCCAGAGCCAGAACCACCTGCTGATGATTTTGGATTCTCGTTTGGTAGCTCGAAAAAGGACAAGAAGAAAAAGGGTAAGCTTGCCGAGGAACCGGCCAAGAAGTCTGAAGAAGTCATTCCACCACCACCAACTGAGCCTGAGCCTGAGCCTGAGAAAGTCGACGATGACTTTGGCTGGGGATCATTCGGTACCAAGAAGGACAAGAAAAAGAAGGGCAAAGGCGTCTCGGAGGAACCCTCCAAAAAAATAGAAGAGATTCCGCCACCGCCCCCAGCGGATCCTGAGCCTGACCCCGAACCGGCTGAAGAGTTTGGGTGGGGTTCTTTTGGCACTAAGAAGGACAAGAAAAAGAAGGGCAAAAATGCCGTTGAAGACCCGCCCAAGAAATCCGAAGAAGTCTTGCCTCCACCACCAGAAGAGCCTGAGCCTGAGCCAGAAAGGGTCGAAGATGACGGTTGGGGCTCTTTTTCGACTAAGAAGGATAAGAAAAAGAAGGGCAAAGGTGTTGTCGAAGAGCCAGTCAAGGTACGTGCATTTGTCAAACAAGTCGTCTCCCATTTTCCTATTTTACTTTGCCTTGAATTATGAAGCACGTATCTGATTAACATAGATTGTCGAAACAACAAAGGATCCTGAGCCCGAACCCGTGGTCGAAGCCGAGTCTTGGGGCAGCAGTATCTGGGGATCCAAGAAAGATAAGAAGAAGGGTAAGAACACTGTCGAAGAACCACCAAAACCGAAGGATCCTGAGCCTGAACCCGAACCAATCTCCCTTGAGGACGATGGTGGTTGGGGATCATTTGGTACCTCAAAGAAAGATAAGAAAAAGAAAGGCAAAGGCATCAGCGAGGACGCGCCCAAAATCGAGGATCCTTTGCCTGAACCTGAGCCAGAGGCCGAGACATGGACAAGCAGCATTTGGGGCTCTTCCAAAAAAGACAAGAAGAAAGCTGGCAAAAAGGACGAGGTTCCATCCGATTCACTAGCCAAGATCATTGAACCAGATGACAACGATGACTGGATGAATTGGGGTCAGAGCACTGACAAAAAGAAAGACAAATCTTCCAAATCAATTACCGACGACGTTCCGCCCCCATCTCCAACTCCGCCGCCCGCTGTCCCAGAAATTGGCGATGCAGGTGCTACCGATGACTTTTTTGCTGATGGCTGGGGTTCATCAAAGAAAGACAAGAAGAAGAAGGGCAAAACGTTTGCATTTGCGTCCCCTGAAGCTTCGTTCCACTTTGATGATTCGATCAAGCCCACCGAAATTGAAGAGCCCAAGGCAGCCGACGATATTTGGGGTACTACATCTTCGAAAAAGGACAAGAAGAAGGGTAAAGGCAAAAACATCCCTGTCGAAGTTGTGGATGAAGCTCCAGCTCCAGAGCCCCCTGTTGTCGAAGAAAGTAAGCCTGCTAACGACGATTGGATGGGTACTTGGGCATCATCTAGCAAGAAAGACAAGAAAGGCAAGAAAAAGGATATCATCGATGCCCCGCCACCAGCACCAACACCTCCAGCCATGGACCTCACGGAACCCGAAGCAGATCTGTGGGACTTTGGCACAACAGCTGCAAAGACCAAGTCCAAGGAGATAGAACCTGCTGCTCCTCCCAGAAAGCTTTCCAAGAAAGAACAAAAAGAAGCTGATAAATTGGCCAAAAAACAGGCTGAAGCTGATGCAAAAGAGGCAGAAGAGAAGGCGCGAGCAGAGGCCGAAGCCAAAGAAAAGGAGGAGGAGGAAACGAGAGCCCGAGAGGAAGCTGAGGCGAAAGCAAGAGAGGAGGCCGAAGCCGAGGCTAAGGCTAAAGCTAAAGCACCCAAATTGAGCAAAAAGGATCAAAAGAAAGCCGATGAAGCGGCACGCAAGAAGAAACTTGAAGAGGAAGAAGCTGCGCGCAAGCAGAAAGAGGAGGAAGAGGAGGCTGAACGTGCTGCCAAAGAAGCGGAAGAGGAGGCAGCTCGTGAGGCTGAAGAACAAGCCGCCAAGGAGGCAGAAGAGAAGGCCGCCAGGGAAAAGGAGCTCGCTGATGCTAAGAAAGCGAAGAAAGACGCCAAACTCAATAAGGGCAAGAAGTCGTCGACGAAAGTCAACATTCCCGACCCCGAACCTGAGCCATTGATCGAGTTCAGCCCCGTCAAAGAAAAGATCGAGATCGAGGACAAGTCGGACGTCTTCAGTTTCTGGGGTGCCAAGAAGGCGACAGGCCGGGGTACTGAGGCTACCAAAAAGGAGACGCCGTCGAAAACAGACGAGATTGCGATTGCTGACAAAGCAAAGGTTCTGGAAGCTACGAACCTCAAGGACACGACGACCTCTTCCAAATACACTGCGACCTTGATGAAGGCATCAGCAATTACGAAGAAACCAGTCGGAGGTAAATTTGCTGATAGGTTGAAAGCCTTTGAGTCACAGAAGGAGGCTGCGACGCCACCTCCTCCTCCACCCCCTCCATCGCCACCTCCACCAGTCATCGAGGAGGATAAAACCAAGTCGGCGCGCTCGTCCTCGAACAAACTTTCCAAATCCACGTCCAAAAAATACAGAGACAAGGAAAAGGAAGTTATCATCGAGGAAAGCTCTCCCAGAAAGCTCTACAAAGCAAAAGACGTACCTGGTAGCTTTCCTGACGACCTCGCTGAGGACGACATTGTTGATGAACCAGTAGCGATGGTCGTTGAGAAAAAGTCAGGCAAAAAGAGCAAATCGTCCAGTAAAGCCAAAGCTCCTGAACCTGTCACTGAGCCCGAATTGGACGTTGAAGTCAAAGAACCAGAAATCGTCGCTCCTCCTACACCACCTCCAGAACCCAAATCGTCTTCCAAGAAAGAGCGTCCACGTGTCGTGCGCGATGCAGGATCTTCGTGGGCTGCTTGGGGTGCCACTCCGCGTAAGGAGGAGAAGAAGCCATCCAAGTCTCGTAAATCTTCTCCATCGAGAGAGGAGAAGAAGTCGAAAGAGTCGGACGTGAAGCGCTCCAAATCGACCAGGAAGCCCGAGAAAGACGAGAAAATCTCATCGAAAGATTCTTCCTCTGACAAAGCAGATAGGCCACCGCTTTCGCGTGGGCTTTCGAGCATGTTCACTGCTGCGTCGCCAATCTCACGGTCGAAATCCACATCTGAAAGACGGACTAGCACATCGGGTAGAACAAGCTCACGCCGACATTCAGTCGTCGTCGACAGCATCATCTCACCTCCACCTGACGATATCAGAAGCCCACCAGAGATGTCAGCCAAGGCAGCGAAGATTCTAGGCGCTACTCCTGTGAAGCTGTCCCGGAGCAAATCTGAACGGCAGCCTAAGTCACGTGGTAAGCTTCCTGAATGTTCCTCCAGTTTCGAGTCTATGAAAGCTGACAAATTAAATTCAGGTCTCGACGATGATGATGACATTGTCATGGTTGGAGCAGATGAAGACCTCACGAGTCCTGAGAAGTCGAGTCGCGATCGTAAATCAAGAACGAAGGTAATTCAGAACCCAATCTACGATGATCGTCCGCCGCCACCTGTGCCAATGCCGCCAGGAGACATCGATAGTCCATTTCGGCCGACCAGGAGGCCATCTACCAGGGATTCATATGCTAATGCTAGAAATGTCAAACAGGCAAAGCAAGACGAAGACATCGTTATGGTCGACGCTGGTGGTCCGTCAGAAAATCTTGGACCTTCTGGAATCAAACGAACGAGCTCGAGTGCTAAAAAGGCAGCTGGATTCGGACTCTTGGGCGGCTTACTCGCTTCCAGCTCACGACCAGAAAACAAGCGCCGCAGCACAGCCTTGACGGACGACGAAGGCTTACGAGGCTTGCGTCGCGAAGACCGGAAAATTAAACGTCCGGCCCGAGAACGATCCGGGACCGATGGTCTTGATGCAGATATCACTATGACTGGTGGGGCTGCAGAAGAAGACCAAGAAGCTCGTCGTGCAGCTCGACGTGCTCGCAGAGCAGAGCGAGACGCCGCCGAAAATGCCGCTGAAAATGCAAGAAGAGCCAAAGAGGATGAAAGGCGCGAACGGCATCGTAAGCGAGAAGAAGAAGCAGAGGCTCGAAGGATTGAAGAGAAGGAAGCTCGAAGAGTAGCTCGACGAGAGCAGAAGGCTCGCGAAGAAGCTGAACGCCAAGCTATTGAAGCAAAGGAAGCCGAACGAGCTGAGCGGCGACGAGCCCGGAGAGCCGAACGGGACTCCGAAAAAGCTGCTCAGACCGACGCCGAACCCCTGACAGAAGATCCGGGGCGTCTGAAGCGATCAGATCGTAGGAGGTCTCACATGGAAGGACCAGCCGATGAGGATCCTGAAGAAAGACGACGAAGACGTGAGGAGCGGCGTGCTAGGCGTGTATCTGAGACTCCGAGGATGAGTCGTCGCACGTCGGCGCCTGTCGTTGACAGCTATTTCGATCCAAGAAATGGCACCAAGTCTCGTGGCGCGGACCCAGACTTTTCGCCTGCTGATGGTCCTGTCTCCAGAGACTCGTCAAAGCGTAAGAAAGCTGGGTGGCCACACTCTGGTACTGATTCATGGGTCCAAGAGACGTCAGATGCACCACCACCTCCCGAGGACACCCCAAATGTCGATATAGTCGATGAGAATCTTGCTGATGAGAATGAGCGGCGACGCCTCAGAAAAACTCGTCGCCATTCGCGCATGGAAGGCGAAGAAGATCCAGAAGAGAGGAGACGAAGGAGAGAGTCCCGGCGACAAAGTCGCCAGGACCGTGACACCATGAAGAGCTCAGAAGGAAGCCAAGAAAACGGTCGCAGGTCGAGCCGTCGAGACTCCGGCTTTGTTGAAAGTAGAGCCCCTAGTGCTCAAGGTGGACTGTTCAGCAGATGGAAGAATTTGATATAATATCTAGGACATGCATAATCTAAGCGTCATCTGGGGACAGAGTTTGTTTATCAAGGCGCGATTTTTGGAGTTTGTTGTTGAGATTAGGAAAGCGATCAAGCATTTGGGCGGTCTGTATCTGGTATCATCTGCATAGACCGGTGGGAAACTGGCTTGTAGGAATGCTGTCGGTATAGGCGGTGGTTTGAGCGTTTTACTATATACCCCTTTGAGATTTAGATGTAGTTTTATGTGTCACAGCACGGGTTGGACCCGGCCAAAACTGTCTCTTTCTTCAATGTTATACCCCGATCGAAGCAACGAGGGTCTTTATAAGCTATAGCAATTGGAATGAATGCGCAACTCTCAATGTCGGTTCATAGTGCTTTCACTATCTGACTCAGCTGCCCACTGAGATCGGAGTTTTCAAGTTCTTTCTGTACTTTGTATCGACTCGTCTGGTATGTCTCCTTCCTTCCACCTACTCTTCAACCACACCCATACCTTATGCTACGATTCGCCTCACCCACCTAGATCGGAGATCACTTCTCCTCGGTCCCAAAGACGTTATTCACGTGACGCTACGCTTGCGGGCCGCCGCCATTATCTCTTCTTCAATAGGAAATCCTCTCCCGTCCAATGCGGGGACTGATAACGGCCGTCGTAGTGACGCACTTACCTGATAGAGTCTTGATTCCCAGAAGACATGGCCGTGGCTCGCAGCGCATTGCATGCGCCAATTCCCCATTCTTCGCAAGCTGCCATGCGCTTGTATGGCTGGGAGCAATTGCCTTGGGATGTGGATGTGGAATTAGGTAGGGAATTAAGATCTCTTTCCTGATTGAGCGAGATTTCGTGGGTTGGTCTGGCCAAAGCTTCCTTCCTTCCTTCCAGCTCCAAGCTCCAAGCTCCATCCCGCTCTCTCCCACGAGTTCCCTCTCCTCTCCCACTTTCACTCCCCTCTCTCTCATAAATCAGTTCCGCACCCATGCTTCCGTACTTATCAGTCGAAGCAAAGGTCGTACCACATTGAAGTGTTCTATTGCCTCTTCAAGCACGCTCTCCTCTCCCTCTCCAGTTCTTGAAGCACGCGTACGGCTGTCAGTCGCGGCGGTGATGAGATAAGTACTTTGTGGTTTTCGAGATAAGCCATCTGATAACCTTTAAATACGCCATCTGCTTCGTTTCATTTCGGCCAAGCAGCAAGACCAATTCACTTCACGGGTTTCACCGTGTATTTCATCGCCAATTCGGAACCGTGCCGACATCACTTTGCTCGAGAGCCAGGTCACGGTTCTACTTTCCATTCACATTTACCTCTTCCAAAGTCGAGAAATCTTTTGTCCTCGTCGATCTTCACACCGCCCAAGATTGAAAAGATTTCAAGATGGTCCTCTCTATCAGTCGAGACCAGTTGCTTCTTAGTCTCGGGATCCTCTTTCTCCTGTCGACTTGTATTACTTTGGCAATAAACAAACGGCAGCGAGATGCGATGCTGGAAAGACTGCACTTTCATCGTCGACGGGAATCTGGGGCTTCAACGCCTCCACGTTCGTTCTCACCAAGTAAGAAGGCTCCGATAGTTACGGGTGGAAGTCCGGATTACAGCACTACGTTCCCACCCTCGAGACGTGAGGTACTTCCTGAGCTTGCCAAGACTCTCCCTACTGCCAACGCCCAAATTCTCCTCAAAACGGAACCCTGCCCAGACTTTTTTCTCAAGAACCCTTTGCCAATGACGCAGTCATACGCCGTAGACAGCGATGCGCCCAAGTATACACCTACCGGTTTCTCGACAGCCGAGATCAAGGCCATGGGTGATTTCCCTGCATATGATATCCTCACCGAAACTCCACTGCCTCAAGCCTACCAAAACTTTGACTCGACTAAAGCTCTTCCTCGGCCATACAGACCATTCAGATGGGCTTATCACCAGACCATGTGTACGTCTTTCTCGCAACTTGGATGCAATTCTTGCTAACCAGTTCAGCTTTTGTCAAGATGGAACCAGACTGGTGGCTCGAAGTTGAAAATACCTATGTTGCCAGGATCAAAGAGCGTCAAGACCTGTTCCGAGAGTACGGCCCCAAGGTCCTTGACTATATGCCTGGATCCGAACTTGTTTGCAAAGAGTTGATGGAGATGTGCCTACTGTTCTATTGCGCCAGATACCCAGCGTGTTTCTCCTTGTCAGAAGACAAGAAAGTCTTCCACAATCACTTGCTTGGAAATACTACTGAAATTAAACGCTACCACCCGCTGCATATCCTACTCAATAACATACCAGAAGATTTCGCCATTGTCCTACGAAATGAGGAGGACGGGATGTACTACTTCCGTGCTGGTGTCATTTGCAGCTCACTGGGCTGGAACGTGGGAACCAAGATCGGCATGCAGCTTAAAGAAATCCACACTCCCATTCCAGATTATAAGGAGAAGATGTCTTTCAGCATGGACCGATACTTCGCCAGAATGCCTGTGAATTCTCCAATCCAGCGTGGAAGCTGGGGACTAGAGGTCGGGTCGCCGTTGTTCATGCCACCAGGGCATCCCCACGAGAAGCTCAGGGAGATTCAGGATCCAGACTTGAAGATTGAGAATTGCAACTTGCGGGTTGACTGGCAGACTTTGAGACGATTGCCATTAAGTGGTGGTATAGTGTTCAATTTCACTGCGCTCTTCACGCCGATTCCGGAGTTCAGAGACGAGCCCTATGTGCCAGCGTTGGTAGCGAAGATCTTGAAGGACGGCAAGAAAACTCTCATGGATTACAAGGGTACCTGGCACGTGGAGCATATCTGCATTCCTGCACTAGAGGAGTACAATCGAGAACAAGTTGAGAAGGGATTAGTGAAGCCGGAGAACGAGGGCGATGAGACATGGACTGAAGGGACATTGAATGAATATCCCTACTTCCCAGGCTGGGAAGAGAAGTGGCATCGTCAACAAGGTTTCTAGACGTATGAATGGCAAGGGAGGTCACAAAGGTCAAGAAGCGCCACGAGACATGCAAATAACGATATCACGAAATCAAGATACCAATGAATACTGCTACGCCGTCTCTTCCTTCTCTTCCTTCCATGCACATCCACTTTTCTAAAATGTGTCCATCATGTGACTACTTAGTCTTGCAAGACGCCGAAGATACCTTTCCAGTCTCGACGCTTGCACAGTGTTTATGTTGTCCTCTGATACGCAGAGAGAATGGCAGAGCTCTGCAATTACCTGTAGCCTGTCCCTACATAGACCTCTAATCTCAAATACCCTTATAGTTTTTTTGAATTTAGGTCCCAGATCAAAGTTTACTGCAGATAGGCCACTGCGGCGGGAGCTGATATGATTTGCACGGATCAAAGCTCCGTACGACTCAGAGCAGGCGGAAAATAAAGCATGAGATGGGTAGCAATAAATACGGAAGCAAATTCCCAGCGACATAGAATCCACGAAATATGCAACTAAAATGTCCCCACGGATCCGTGGTAGGTAGGCAGAATTGCCCATGAACAGATGATGATCCTCACGCCGCCCATCGGACCATCCGATGGATCTGTTGTTCTATTCTGCCATGGTTTTCTCAACCATGTAATGAGGATTAGATATACTGCAACTGACAGTATACCAAGTCGTCGGCTGAATGGCGAGCTTGAGGAGCGAGACAGCGGCCTTTGGTTTTCGACCCCTAAGAAGGCCCCTCGGCACACCTTAAAGTCAACCAACACCCAAATCTTACCCTCTGATAGTCGTCGATCGTCGGACACTGTGACTGCGATTGCGCCTTACTAGTCCTGTTGTCAATCTGGGTGTGGCAGACTGCACCTGCGTCTGCGTCTGCACTTGGAGGTTATGTGTCGCATGGCTCCTCCATCCATCATCCGGGCCTCTGGTCGCTCCCTCGTGCATCTGCTTGGCTGTTCCCCACGACGAAGGGTCCTCGCACTGCACACAAGGGGCACCACTGTACGATGACGCTGATTTGGACCTGGAGCTGGAGCTGGAGCGGGAGCCAAAGAGTAGCAGTCTAGGAGAAAGCGTGCTGTGCTATGCTATATCCTTACGATGCAATTCCATCATCATCAGAGAGCTCGAACGAGTCCCCATCGTCACAGACTGATCGCGCCTGCCTCTTGGCTAGTCCATCGACCTTTCCAGACTCTGGCAAGATACAGTATACCATGCTGCGATCTTCTCTTCACGATGCCGGCCGCTGATATCTACATGGAAAAGACGATCTGGGCACCAGAGCTGTCACCTCTGGGGAGCCGGACACATCTCCGACAGGATATCACAACTTTCATTTGGCCGGAGACATGTCCAAAATTCATGCTCTTTGGGCTCATACTCATCAGACCCGTCGCTGCACCCACCGCCCAGCAACCTCATCTCCTCGTCGCCGTACTTCATGTCGACTGCTATTTGCGACGACCGTCCGAGTATCAGCACTGTGCCCTCTGTGGGGTGGAAACATAAAAATCGACCGATTCATACATTTGTTGACAGCAAAAGAGTCTGAAAAACCGGAGCAATAATGCGACTCTGCCCATTTGCAGAGGGCTTCTCAACAACCAGTTTCGCCTAAAGAGTTACACATTTCGAGAGGTCCAAATACGTCCTCCAGGCTTTGGCACCACGCTGTTGGGGCAGAGAGATAGACAACCCTCAGCCTATTGACAACTGGATCCGTGTCTGTCGTTTCTCTCTTGGGTGATCTCCAGGACTGGATCCATCCTTTTTCGCCGAGGTCGTTCCCACTCAAGTTTGGCCTACTCGCTAGAAGTCCTGAAGGTACAATGAACTTGGACTCAGCCAGCAGCAGCTCTGGAAACCCAACCAACCCCAGAACAAGCCGGGGTTCAATCGCAGCGCAGTTCGTGGAAACTTTCCTTTGTCGTGTGTCCTGATTTGAAGATATACATACTCATGTTTTATGCTTGGTGGCTTCGATCAGCACCACGTTGTTACTATTGAAACTCTGTATTGAGGATCGGTTTTACTAACTCTGGGGGCTTTCAGAGCATGTGAGACATGTCGATCGAGAAAGCAAAAGTGTGATGAACAACGACCAAAATGCGGATTATGCCAGAGGATGAAGTTGGACTGTAGGTATAGGGAACCACAACCAACGAAGTAAGAAGCCCCGCCGGCCTCCCGGATTTGAGACACAACTTACTGAGTGGCTGCCAGGAAAGATAAGACTCTTGTCGAGATCCTAGATCGTTTGAAATCTCTTGAGGGCAAAGTAGACCGAATACCAACTGGCAGAGCCCCCATACCCACTGGTTTCGGCCCTCCACAACCCGCGCCCTCAAGCCAGCCCTCCTTCAGTAACGAGCTCGACTCCAGCTCCTACTCAACTCCAAATCCCCGCCCGTCTCAACAACCCAGTCCTAGTGGCCTTGGACGATCTCCAGGCTATCGACATGCTTCTGCGGCTCACAAGATATTGACTTGGCCTGTTGTCCAACAACTATTGCTACAAGCTCTGCCGACAAATGTGGGGGATCTGAAGACACTTGAGCAGGATGGTCCAGCATTTATAGTTCAGATACAGAAAAGCGTTCCACTCCTACCGCTGGATGAGGCATTACAAGACAGGCCCTTCGTCGGCATGCAAACTCAGGCAACGAGGGCCTCTAGCGGTGCTAGGATAGTCTTTCCGGCTTTGACTAGAGACGTAATGCATCGTCTTGCAACGGCATATTTTGACACTTTCAACTTCATATACCCTTTCATGGACCGGCAGAACTTCATCTCCGATACACTTTCAAAAGTATATACAGAAGGTTTCGATGGTGATCCAGATTCTGTCATCGCCCTTCTAATATTTGCGCTTGGTGAATTGGCTCTAGAAGGCTCTCGTGGACCTCCCATCTCAGAAGATGGCGCTCGAAGTAGTGGTGTGAGGGGAGGTACAGCCATGAAACCTCCTGGACTTGCACTCTTCAATGAGGCCAGAAAGCGTATAGGGTTCGTGTTGACTGAGTCTGAACTCGAAAACGTACAGATCTATTCGCTCGCCGGGTTCGTAGACCCCTTGAAACCCCATTCTGTGTAAGAGACTTTTGATACTGACATCAGCTGTTGTCATGACAGGCTCTATTTTCAGTCGTGTTCCCGTCACGTGGTATATTGTTCGCCTTGAATTGTATCTGAGTTCGAAAGACTGATGTTTTGGCTTTAGGATTTCTGGAGAATGACCGTGTGTGCATCACAGGCGTGCTACATTCTGATCACATGGTATGGATTCTACTCTGCAGGTGCCTCTTTGTGCTAAGAACATTCAGCAATCCGATAGATTGGAGTACACCTCGAGGAGATATCATTAAACGAGCTTATTGGCATTGCGTTATTATGGAAACCGCTTTGCAATATGAGTTAGACCTGGCTCCCACGGGTATTGCTGGACTAGAAGATCGAGTAGGCATGCCTAGTTTTAATAGTCCCTTTTGTGAAGCCGATCACAGGGGCAATCAATCGTCACATTTCGAAGCGCACTACGCTTCTCAGATCGCCTTGCGGAGATTATGTGCTGAAATACACAATAGCTTGTATGATGGTAAGTGAATAGCTGTCTCTGATCTGTGTGAACTTTCAACTTTACTGATCAGTTCTAGCCATGTCGAACACTGACACAGGAAGCGGAAGCAGTGATGAGTTCCGTGGACCGTCTGCACAATCTCTCAATCAACTAGCTGCCCAGCTGTCTCAATGGCGTGGAATGCTCCCAAAGGAGCTCCAATGGGCGGAGGAAGACCCAGCTGGCTTCCCTTCTGTTCAACCTTTAAATGTCGGACCTTACAATCAGACCTTGGATCCGAGTTTGTCGCCTCAGCAATCGCATTCTAGGGCTCCACTATTCACTGCTGACTCGAGTGTCGAGCCTATTCACTACCCTTACGTCTACGATGTACAAGTTGCACTTTTGCGGACAAGATATTACTATGCAAAGTATATAGTTTATCGACCGTTTGTATACAAAGCATTACATTTCCCAGAACTGATGACAACAGAGGACGCTCAGGGAGTCGCGGAATGTCTCAGAGTAAGTATCATTCCGGTAAACTAGTTCAAAGTCCCTGACGTCTTGTGCTAGTCCTGCCTCAAATGGCCTCTGTTGCTGTCACCAACGTCTCGTCGAAAAAGATTAATACCTTACCTGTTTTGCTGGAATCAACATTTCCTCGGCATTCTAATCATCTTAAACATTACCCAGCACAACCCTATGCTCAGAGACATACGGGCTCAGTTTTGTGGATCAAGATTCGAAGCTGAAATAGGCGAGAGCGTTGACTTGATGATTGATTGGATCAGGGACTCGAGGATATGTGATCCTATTGCAGACTGGTGTTATAAGATCCTGCAACCGATTTATAACTTGGAGTCGTGAGGTAAACTAGGATTTAATTCGGAACATTGTACAGGGCACGACTAACGATAATCATGTGTATATGACGGTTATGGGAGGGGCGGTATTGGGCGGTAGAAACCATATGGAGCGGCATTGCAGGTGTTGGAGTAGGTACAAATCACCTGGCAGTCAAAATGTCGTGTCACAATGTCTGTCCTCGAGCTTGAAATTAAGATTAATCTCCAACAAAATCAAATGGAAATTTATGATCTCTATGAGAATGGCCTAGCGTTGTCTTTTAAAAGAATCCCCATAGTTTGATTCCACCCCAGAACATTTATGAACAGCTCCCAGACTCCTAGCAATGCAAAACACGATACCTTCTTTCTTCAGTCACTGTCTTCGTCCATAGCCACGTCTCCTTCACTATCCTCCTCTGATTCATCCTCTTCGTCACGCCTTCTCTTTTGACCGGCCACACTCGTCGTCGGACTTCGTGCATCTTCCATAGCGTGATCAGTGGATGGAGGCTTCAAGGTGCCCAACGCAGGAGCTGTAGTATTTGTCGTAGTTGCAGCAGATGGCGGGGCATTGAAGATACTCTGCTGAAGCTCTGTAGCAGTGACTGCACCTGCAGCTGCCGCAGGCATTCTGAATGTGCCGTCTAGCTTGGCGATAGTATCAGATTTCGATTTGGCATATTGGATTTGCTACCCCAGACATGTCAGCCTCTTGATAACTTCGCACCTATGCAGATTTAAACAGAAACGTACCATCTCTCTGCCGAAGAATTCGAATCCTTGGAGTGCTCTCATGGCTTGAGTAGCAGTTTGCGCATCTCTAAACACAATGTGGGCTTGACCACGCATCTTCGTTGTTCGTAAAGCCACGACATCGAGCACAGGACCGTAGGTCGAGAATATCATGTAGAGTGCAATTCGCAGATCCGGTTTCTGTATCTTGGAGGAAGGGAGATTGGTGATGTAGAGGGTTTGGTTTGGAGCATAGGTCGATTTGCTGCCAGGCTTGCGCGCACCCCCAGCTTGCCCAGGAGCTTTCGTTCCCTACAGCAGATGTTCAGTACTCAGTCAAGTATAAAGAGGAGTGGGACTCACTGTTGCGTTTGACGCCATTTTTGCAAGTCAACCTTTGCTAATGTTCGACGCGGCTGCGAATCTCCAATATCAGAACTTCGATCGCGCCAAGATTTCAAGCCTTGTCTGCCTCCAAGCGACAACGACCCCGCTACGCCCACTTCGTAATCTCAGGCTGTCGTCAACTCCCTTCACAACCAACAACCACTCATTTCTTGATAGTAGAGAGCTCCTCCTATCAAGTCAATTCCTTAACCATGGCGGCTCCTGAAGTTCACCATCTCTTCCACCATCCTATTGCGGACCATTCCTTCTCTGCTGACAAGCAGACGTTGGCTGTGGCACGAGATACCAGCGTTGAGCTCTATGGCCGAACGGGTAGCGGATTCAAGCTTAAGGATGAGCTCAAAGGTCATGATAAGACGGTCACCAGTGTAGACATTGCTCTACAGAGTGGCAGAATCGTGACCTGCTCTCAAGGTTGGTTTCGATGCAATGCGCCTGGAACATAACAGACGCTGACAGCCAAAGACCGAAATGCCCTGGTCTGGGAGCCTTCACCTACAGGCTACAAGCCTACCCTCGTCCTGCTACGAATCAATCGAGCTGCTACATTTGTAAGATGGTCGCCCTCCGAGATGAAGTTTGCTGTGGGATCCGGCGCGAGAGTCATTGCCATCTGCTATTTCGAGGAAGAGAACGATTGGTGGGTCTCGAAGCATATCAAGAAACCTATTCGAAGCACGGTTACGACAGTCGCATGGCATCCAAACTCTGTGCTGCTTGCTGCTGGCTCGACCGATGCACATGCCCGCGTGTTCTCTAGTTTCATCAAAGGTGTTGATTCTAGGCCGGAACCTGGTGTGTGGGGAGAACGATTACCGTTCAATACCGTCTGCGGAGAATATCTGAATAACTCAGCTGGGTGGGTTCATGCTGTGTCATTCTCACCTAGTGGAGATGCTCTTGCATTTGCTTCACATGATAGCAGTATTACGGTTGTCTATCCCAATGGTGCCGAGCAACCTCCAAGAGCAGTTCTGAGCATTAACACTCAACTGCTCCCTTTCATGAGTCTGATCTGGAATGGAGAGAGTGAAATTATTGCTGCTGGTTATGATTGCGAAGCTTTCCGCTTCCAGGGAAATGAAGGTGGTTGGCAGCTTACAGGATCCTTGGAGTCTAAAGGACGACCAGGAATGGGTGATGCAAGAGAGGAGTCTGCTTTTAACATGTTCAAGCAGATGGACCTGAAAGGCAAGACTAAGGATGATACGCAGTTGAAGACTGTGCATCAAAACACCATCAGCACCATCCGTGTGTACGAGGGTGCCGGTGGTACTGTTCGGAAGTTTAGCAGTAAGTGTCTGGCATTCTCTAGTTTCGCGAAAGAAATACTAACAATGGTGTAGCAACTGGAGTTGATGGAAGAATCGTCATCTGGAACGCATAGACATAGAAATGAAAGCATGAAACGTGTTTCGAAGAACTATTCATGAGGCTTCTACCGGCTTGTGTTGTCTTTACGCTACAGCTTTTCAAATGAACACAATCTTTCATCTCGAAATTCTGGTCCTCTCCAGCTAAGTCTGTGTCTGTTCTTTCTTCAGATGAACCATCTATATTAGCAGGTGCTTCCCCTCCTCCCAGCTTCTCATCCCTCTTCCTTCAATTTTCAACCGAAAGTGCTCGTTCGGAATACGGACTACCACAAGCTGTACTTCGCACACCGATGCGGATTACATTTTTCACAATGGAGAGCGATCAAAACTTCTCGAACTCTGGCAACTCACTCCCCTCACCATTCCAAGAGCAAATGCGCCCCTACACCAACTTCGGATGCGTTCGCCACGGCCACAACCAAATTCATGCCAGGAGAACCCCTTATCCTCGCACCTTTGGCAATACCACAAATCTCCCCTCCTTAAGAGCCTTGAATTCCACCGCTTGCTCGATGAGCCCTGTTGCTCGTGCTCCGATTGCTCCGATGTATCCTACGCATGTTCCCAATGTCGGTGTGCGGAGAATCCACTCTCCTGATGGCAATGTCCATACGATGACACCACCCCCATCCCGCAGAACCAGCGAAATGCATGGAGTGGAATCCACTGTGAAGGATTTCAGAACTCAGGCCGAGGTTTGCGTATGCAGTAACAGTGAGGGTGGCAGAACTGATGGACGAGAGACCCCAAATATCCAAATGGCAACTGCGGCATACAACAGGATGCAGCCATATTCTAGAGTCCCCATCACTCAGCTTCTCAACACTCCCACTGAGATCTTCCCCGTTGCTCCTACTGCTACTCGGACCCTCGATAGCAATCAAACAACACCATCTACGAATACTATTGCCGGTGCAAGTTCAACCCACAGACAAACATCACCTATCGGCATGTCCATCTGCTCCGACACAACTAGCTCATCTCAAACCGTTCGCTTAACGTTCAACATCGCCGAAGAACGCTGCTATCTCCTCAGCACCCTCTACCAAACCTGCCAATCGGCCGCAGCAAACTACGTCCGCACTGCCCCCGTCACTCCTCGTGCCCGAGCTATTCCCCGCTATCACCCTTACGCAACTCGTAGCTCCCGCGTGTCAAGCGCAGCAGCAAAGAAAGAGGGCAAGAAGACGGCTACGTTGATGGACAGCATTTCTCGGATCTGTACCCAGATCTGGAGGAAGGCGAGACGCGATCTCGTTGCCCCGCACAGGGAGGAAGCGGATGCCGTGCGCGAGATGCGGGATCTCTATAAGTGGAGCGAGGTCGTGGCTCGGTGCATGGAGAGCGATGGTCTTGATGACGGCGAGGGAGAGGTCGGGAGTGAGGTTTCGGGAACTGAGGATGACGGGTTGGGGTTTCCCGGGATGAGTGCTGCGAAGGCGGCGAAGAGGATTTGTCAGTGGTTGGGCGATGAGGAGGCTTGGGATACTTGTGATACTGTTATGGGCGAGTTGAGGGATTTGGGGGAGGGTGATGGAGTTAGAACTCCTGTTGCTGGAGAGAGAGGTGGTAGTTCTGAGTATGGGAGTATTTTGTGAAGTTTGTGTCTCCTTGGTTATTGGAAACTGGTATTTGATGGTCGGTTTGTGGGAGTCTTTGGAGTTTGGGACTTTTGCTCTGCGAGATGTTCATACAGACTCTAGGAACATAGTGTAATTGACCTTGAAGGTGGAATGAGAACATACTTCTTCGTATCCTTGGCGATTCCTGCAACGCTCCCACCTGATAGTAAAGTTTAAAATACCCACTTGACAGAGAGACATCACAACAAACTAGACCAGTACTAAACTTTACCAGGACATGTGAAAAATCGGACGTCTGGAACGATAGCATGGAATGATTTATGGCCAACTTAACAGCATCTTCGGATTTCACCATTTGCAACGAATTTACGCCCTTCCTCTGAGATCAATCTCATTTGCTTGAAGTATTTCGAGAAGTTGGACTGTTGATACGATGAAAGTAGTGCCCCCTTGTGCCCATTTTGATGTCAGGAAGTACAAAGTCTGCAGTATTACTCCAAATAATTCGGCCTCTGAAAATGTGTGACGACTCCTGGCAGTATGAGATATCTAGAAAGTACACCTGAAAAGATTTGATGGGTGTCCACAACTGATATCCTAATAAAGAGTATACTATTTATACACTTGTGAGCTGCTAGGAAAATGGGCAGAAAGCTCTATCGAGAATCTTTGAAATTGATATAATTATCACAGATGACTTGCTGCTGCAGCAGCAGGCAAAGACACCTCTCCATTGACCCCTTTCTCCCTCCTAATTCTTTCTCTAGCTTCTTCATTCCCTCTCTTCCACATCGCAATCCTCAACAAATGAGCAGCATCAAAATCCTCCCTCCACTTCTTCTCGAACTTCGGCAACGGCCTACCCTTCCCATCCTTCGGTTCCCCAGCCATCTTCCTCACCTCCTCAAAATACTCATCGAAATCTGGATACAGAGCCGTGAAAGGGACTCCATCACCTTTGTAGTTAATACGATCTTCTTCCCATTTGATCTGCTGTTCGATAGGAGGTAATGTGATTCGTCCAGCGAGGAACCTGGCAGCGAGCACGGCTTGCCATTCAAAGACTTTGAATGTGAAACCTGCCGCAATGGCTCCTACGAAACAGAGAGTGGGGTCCTCGCGCCAGAAAACATGTTGGTAAAGGTTTGGAAGACGATTGTTGCGGATGGTTTCTGCGAGATTGGGGAGGAAAGGAAGAGTCCACGTGTATCCAGTGCCGAAGATTATGTGGTCCACGTTCTCTAGTCTCGTACCGTCCTCACAATGTACGGTTCTCTCATTGGTCTGGATGTTCGAGGTGATATGGGTGATTGGCGGTCGGCGGAAGATGTTTGGATGTTGAAAGGCACTATTGACCATATCAGTATTGTATTTACTGGAACGCTCACGGAAAGATTTACAAATCAAAGAAATATGGGTGGTATTTGCCCCTCACAACGCAGTGTAATGGCCTTTCAGCAACATCTGCAAGTGCAAATGAAATGTCAGGCCCCGAGATGCTGGCTCCTACCACCACTGTCCGCTTGCCCCGATATTTCTCGGGACCCCTCCATGCCTTGCTATGCTCCACACTTCCCGGAAAGTTTCTCAGAAGCTCGGTAAGGCCGGGGGTATAGGGTATGAAGGGAACAGTATAGTGGCCCGGAGCTACAACAACTGCATCAAAAGTTTCTTCCCACCATCGGTCCTCGAGTCCGTTCTCAAGCGGTTGTCTCAATGTAACAATCCATTTACCAGATGCCTGGTCCTTGGCAACGAGCTCCACCGTTGTGTTATAACTGACTAGGTCTTGGTAACCGCGGCGATTTAAAAGTCCCTGTATGTAACCCTCAACAGCTTTCCAATGGCGGAATGGTGAATTCTCTCCATGCCGTCGGACATTGAGTGGCGTTCTATCTTCGGGAAATGGTTCTTGAGAAAAGGACATAGCAAACGCGTCAATGTTGGTCTCCAACGCAGGGTATATCGATGTTTCAGAAAATCTATATTGATTGTTTCGAGGGGCCGTAGTAGGGAGTTGTGTAGGGATTGGAACAGTCTCATCTGGCTTCCGGGCTGCAATCTTGTCCAGGTCTGGAAGCTGTTGGACATGGTCCTCGGGATCCTCAATCCTACCACGGGTTAGGAAGGCAGGACACGATCCATGCAGGAGACTGACCAGCATCCTCCCGCTTTCTCTCTTCTCTCGAACACTCGAATGGTGTCAAAGACTTGTTCTTGGGCCAGCGCATCGACTGCGATTGCACCAGCAGGCCCAGCTCCAATTATTGCAATGCTCTTTATGGAAGGCATGATGAAAGAAGATCTCTACACAAATATGAGACTCATCTCATGGAGGACAAGGAAAGACTATGCATGGATTGCTAGACTGGTCGAGGAAACCTCGAACTATAAAATAATGTAAATGAAGTGCAAGGTTATAATGGCCAAGTGAGATGTACATATTTAAAAGTGGATGAAATGGTGCAATACATGCAGCAAGCACTTAAACATGACGGAACGCGAGCACCCAACCACAAGTGATGGTAGCAAGAACCCCTCCGTCTAGTTTCGGCAGAAGGGGCGCTAGAGAGGATCCGAAGAAGCCTCAACCGAATATAAAAATGGAGACAAGAACTCTATTCACCTATTCATTTTTTTACGTCTGCCTATTTGGACGATTGTCTTGGAATTCGAGGATCAATCAGACGACACGTCTCTAGATACACTGCAGCTGGTTTGAGGAGAATCCGGCCCTAAAAGACCCAAAGAATCGTTCGGCTAATAGCCTTGGATACGGTATCACTTTTGAGAACCTACCCAACCAAAAAAATAAAAACAAGGCAAGAGAAGCAAAAACTCAGACCTCACCACCGAAGTGGGGAGATCGTAGAAAACTTGCTCGGTGTCGGGTGCAGTTTTTAAAGTCGCGTTATGGCGTGTGTTCTCGTTATGGCGTGCCTAAGTCCATCTGGAAATCTGTCACTTGAGCTAACAAGATATTAGATAACCTTTGGTTTTCCGGACTTAGTGGAAGGAAAAATGCTTATTTAACTTTATTAGGATAGCTTTGAATAAGCGAATCTGAATATGAGGAGACTGACGTCGGTCTAGCGCGATGTTGTTTACTTGTGTGCTGTCTGAAGCTACCACTGCCCGATTCCTTCTCCCTCTTCGACCTTCTACACCCTTTCACTTCCACCTGCTACGTGTGTCTTGAATGGATTCTCTCATTCTTCAGAAGCAGTCTCATGAGATCGATATTGAAGACTTGATACACCATTCCATTGTATGTATATGCAAAGCACTTTAGGGTATCCGCCAGAATCGCGAAAATAAGAAATGCCTTGTTTTGTGAGAGTGCGAACCACCAGAAGACAAATGAACCACCTCGCAGAGAGCAATTAATCCAAACCATTAGTACATACGATCTATGCTCGCCATGGAAAAGATGAACGCTTCCCTCCCGATTGACTACGCGGCGACTGGCGAGACATGCAGCTTGGGGCTGTGACAGCCTTACTCTTTCGTCTCGGATTTGCTGAACACCTTCCTCCATAGCCTCCATGTGCTCTCGTTCGCTCCGTATACAATCGCGTCGGCGAACCCTTGGATGACAATGCAAGCCTTTTGACGACTGTTAGACGATTCAATGTAGTATGTGAGGTGGAAGTATGCGTACCTTATCGACAGTTCCAATAGCAAATGGAGCAGACTTGCCAGTCGTGGCTTGGTAGATTCGGATGGAAGTAGGAATAGTCCATATAACCTGAACAGCGTTAGCAAGACAGATATAGCTAGGGACTTTGCGCTATGCGAACCATGTAGACGAGCGGATAAGTCATCATTTGATACGAGATCTGATTGAAGTCAGCATGATGCGCTAAGGTTGTTCGTTGGATGTGTATACCCTCTTCAACACAGGAGATGCTCTTCCGATCCTTGTATGTCTGCTTTGTGCCCCGGCCCGCTCGCAGTCATCATCGGCACCATTCGATACGTTCATGGAAAGCCTTGATGCAGTTCGATTTGCTGATGATCCACCAGTCTGCAGACTGCCGCTAGCATCTTCGTCGAAGGACATGAAACGGTTGTGTGCTTTGTGGATGATGAAGTAAAGTCGAAGATAGAGTCCAAGAATGGTGATGATGATCACCCATCGCTATCACATCAAGTTAGCTTGAGAAATGTTTGGCGACATGTCTGTAACGTGTTCTGAGCTTAATGGCCACAAAGTTCGATAATTCGAAGGACTTCGATGGCCAAAATGTCTTCAAAGGTGATGCCCTCTGTAATAAAGTCCAGCGGACTTAGACTTGGACTTAGATTTGGCTGTGCTATGCGGGAGACTGATGCCCAGAAACCTCAATACTCTCCACCGCAGCAAAATGGTACTTACTGGGAGAAAATTGACGAGCAATCGAGTTCGATCACTGGTGAACCAGCACCCTGTCCTGGTTAGGCCGAGATATAGGAGATTGGGGATACACTTACAAGCGCCAATGTCGCCGTACCCAACCACTGCCAAACCAATTACTGCCCACAGTAGAGATAACACCCACGGAAGGAGCCAGACAACAACTCTATGCTCTTGGATCCAGGAGGATTGGTGCTTATGGTTGGTAAGAATAAGATATGTGCAGATGGCAATCGTTAAGACCCAGTAGTCAGCTATATCTTGTCAGCAAAAGACGCAAATATTGCTCATGAGTCATACTCTGAACTACAAACACTTGGATCATGAACCCATTGAAGCTGCAGAACGTCTTCTCCAATGAATCCCCAATGTTTGGACCCGCAAGATTCTTTGTACTGCTGCTCAGAAAATTTATGGCCATCCAAAAGTCACTGATGGCAAGTCCCCTTCATCAAATTGGTCAGAGGTGCTTGAAAGGCCCGTGCCAGCAAGTGAGACTCACAAGATCAATTGATGCCTGAAAGTTCTCAGAGAGCGGAAGATCGTGAAGCTGAATATTATCCATCCTGCTCCCAAGGCAGACAAGATAGATACAATAACTATAACGGTGTTTAGGACATGGATCTGTTCAGGACTTGATGGGGCAGAAAGGACACCCATGTTGTCTGACTGATGTGTAAGAGTGCGTAAGAGCAAGAGACTGCATGGCGGAGATGTCTTTCTATAGCAATGGAGACATTTGCAATGAACTTGGGTATCGAATTGCAAGGTCCCTTATCTCAACGTTGTCTTTTCCAACAAGCAAAATGAAGAATTGTAGCATGATCGATCGAGACTGTTTCAATGCCTGGCTGCGGTACAGCGAAATCCGTCCGTTTACCCCAGCTTATCTTCAGAAGGAGTCAAAAAGGAATTACCTCTTCATACAGAACGAGAGCTCTTATCTGGCGGCTTGCAAAAAGAGAAAGACGTTATTGGCTCAGGGTATGGAGTTTACGGACGCAGAAGTGCGAATGATGTTTGACAGTTGTCCTAGCAAAGCCAAGAAAAGTGTCGCCATTGGTGGGTATCTGTCAGGGATGAAGTCCCACAACGGCTCGTAGATCCAAATCTGTGCGCTGGAGATCGAAAGGGCGTCGAGACATAGAGAAAAGGCAAGCCACATGCTCAATTTGTCCCTCGTAGAAATAACACTAGGTACGCCATAAACGTTCAAGATGAAGAAATGGTGGAGATACTACTCTTCATGATTCACTTTCTATCATAAAGTATTCTGAATGCATTTACAAAAATAAGTGTTCATCATCTCCTCGTCCTGGAAACAGAAGTGCCGCAGTCTTTGTCTAGTCTAGAGCGTGAAAATGGGACGATCTCCGCGGGATTCGAAAGCAATATACTGGGGCAGGGGAAAAGGGGAGAAAGAAACACGGAAAATGGCTGGTGTGGGGGGCACAGCCGAGATGTTGTCCTACTGGAGCGCGAACGTCAATGTTTGCACCAAAAGCAAAGAAGTGCTCCCGGCCGATGTGGCCTGTGAAAGAGACACACGTGACTGCATTTACCGGGCTGCAAGACTTCCCCTTTTTTTCGTTTGACTTTTAGCGAGTTTAGATGGTCTTTGGCAACAGTATGTCGTCAAAAAATCTTTCTCTGCTGGTTCTCAGTTACTATGGTAAGTTGAGAATTGCTCCAAAAAAGGAATCGGCACAGATTTAAGTGGTTCAAGTCACAGCGAACCAAAGTGTATGTATACTCGATTGAGGTGGCTGACAAGCAATCTAGACATGTTCGCATTGCCATTCATCTCCTGTTGATACATGAAAAAGATCTTGCTTGGACTCTAGGGTATGTGGTGCGAAGATGAGATAGTGCACTCAAGCAATTCATGTTCAAAGTCAGTATCACAACTTTGAAGACTTCAAGTCGTGATTTTGACTCCAACTACTGTTATCTGCCAACTTGGATGAATCATGGCGTTGCGTTGTAGAGCATTGGCATCAAGATTTATACTTTTCTGAAGGTAGTTTTGGCACTTGGCCTTTATACTTTCTCAGATAGTATTATTCAAGTTAAATAAACAACTTCAAGAGCCCCTAGTCAGCGATATCGAATTGATCTACAGCTTCTAGATTATGAATCTTAACTTAAAGTCATACCACAACTTTACCTTATAGCATATATACTATCACAGAACAAGACGCTAAACTCTGTGATTCACGGACTGTGAATGTCTGTGCTGAGTGTGAGCAGAGGTAGGGGACTTGCCCATGGACTGACTTCTGAGTAATAAAAAACACGAGCCTTCCGTTCCTCGCCTTTTGAAGCCATCCTTTTTGACTTTTTGGTATTATAGTCTCATGATACTTGGTACTTTTGCCAAGGAGGTGAAAACTTCCGTTCACCTGGACAAGGTCTATGCGCAGCTGTGTTCTGCCAGGCGGTTTAGGTCGAACTTTGATGGTGTTTGTGCTTCTGAATATACTCTGTTGCTTTGACCTTGAAAGAAAAGTGGCGTGCTAAGACTCGTTTCTAGTTGCCAGTGGAGATACTTTCAAGGTTTCGCTTGAGATTTAGCTTGGGATCACCCGTTTCCTACGGAGCGACCTCCGTAGGAAACGGGTGAACAGATGGGGTTAAACCGTTACCCCACCGGAACAATTCGTCTGGGTTTTTCACGGTCCCGAGAAGTCATGCGGAAGGAGACTTCCTGAAGAGTATGAAGCAAGATGTATGTGATTGGTACCACTCAAGTTACTAGGTAGTGAAACTACTACAGACGAGTACCGTGATTTCAAGCGGACTTGTACTAAAAACTGAAGTGAGAACAACCGACGGACGAAGCCGTCTCGGATGCGCCCGGAGTATAAATTCCCGAGCGCACGATGATTTCTAGGTGCCCAACTCTTCCGGTAGAAAGACATCATACGCGAGCCACAGGTGAAATCATTAGCTACTTTAGCCGAGGTACCTTGCAGCAGAAAACCGGGTGGACGCTACATCAAAACTTGTAGCTCTGATGTTTCGGTGTCATGAATGCCTGAGCTTCTTTGTTCGTCACACCGTGGGTACACTGGTTAACCTCATGCCGGCAAGTAATTTATATTCGCGGAATAAAGTTTGCAGCCGAGCGTCGAGAAGTCAATGTACTGTAATTCTGACAGGAACCGATTGCTACAACATTCTGAAATACGAAGCCGTGCTTCACGCCCTCGAAAACCAAGGTATGTATATGAAATTGGAAAAAGGAATCGTGCTGTCCAGGCCGATCACTAATCACCAAGACCACCCGAGCCAGTGCACCATAGAAACGTCGTTCAGCAGAAGCTACGAAGGATAAAAAAGGCTTTCTTGGTGCCGTCACCGTTATATGATACTAAATCCTAATGTGCAATGACCGCTCAGACTCGAGAATAAATATGGTGTGGACCCTTTAAAACTTAAAAGTCGCAAGCCAAGAAAAAGTATCTCAAGTTTTTCCGAAAAATCTTGCTGGACTTGCAAGATCTACTTCCCATCAGACATTGGTCCCGAGATACTTTAGCAGGTCATTAGCAGGACAAAATAGTGTGAACTCTGTTGAGCTTCTTAGATTGTTGGTGGACCCTCCAACGCTACCATGGCGCCCGGCTCCCTGCTTCTCGCTCCAAGATCCTCGGATCTCAGTCTAGATAAGTTGCCATCGAAGGGGCCTCGACGATGCGACTGAGTGCGCAAACGGGAAGTCCATGGGAGAGAAAATGTCAAAGGGGAAAGAAGGCCGAGCATCGAGACGAAAGATTAGGGATTCCCAAAGTTTATTAGGACCTACAACACGAGAAGGGATCTGGTCCTGGGCATGCATACGTCACTTGAAAGTGTAAATATATACGTTTGTCTGGCTGGACCCCTTGGATTTCAATCTTGCAGAGTCCGTGTCCTCCAAACCCAATCGGATAGCTAGGAACATGTACACATCAACCAGCCTACGAATTAACCTTTAACGGCGCGGATCTCTTACCTTTCTGAAGGTAGTAGTAGTGTTGTGGTGGAATTCCAATCGGTGTACCTACCTGCTGCCCGAGTTGGCTTGCGAATAACTTCAAAAAATGGATGAAAGAAGCGAAGCGAGATCAAGCCGTCGAAGCACCGGGATGCCACTAAGAGAAAGACGTCTGGGGACGAGGTACAGGTTCCGGAGCCGCACCAGGTCTTCTGCTCCTGGGTTGACCAATCTTACTACAGTACATCGCAATTGCCTTTTGAGCACTGGTCACGAGGTGGTCTGGGTTGTATCCACCCGACTCGAGGAGTTCTCGACAAAGTGAAGTTTGCATGGCTAGTCCAAACGCCAGAACCATGATCGCTGTCGCGAGTAGACAAATTTTTCTTTTCCGACGATGCAGCATTGTAAGATGGATGCTCGCGCAAATCCGTCTGTATGGCCAGGGTCATTGGACCTATCATTGAACGAACTTTCCTCGGTTGTCTCCTCCCAATCTTCTGCACCACCATTGATGCACTTCTGCAGATATCCGCTGCAGAGGCTGTATCTACGGATGTACGATGCGCGCAGCTCAAATCATGCACCTTGCATGCATCATCCAAGAACGGTAATCGAGGGCGGGCGCGCTTGCGGATGTTAACCACCAAGCGCTCATATTGCTACCGAGCTCTGATATTGCTGAGATGCGTTTCATGGAATTACCATGGTGCCATGTGGACAGGCACCGCGAAAGGGGCTATTCTTAGCGACGACTTGCTGCCGGCACGACTTCTTTGAGCTGTAAGTGCTTGATAGAGAGGTCGGTCAAAAACCGAGTCCAGGCTCTTAATATCTCTTTGATATACCAACGGGTTGTCAGTCCGGTTCGAATATCCCGGAATGACCCCATTTATCAGTGGACTTCCTACTGTACGGCTTGATGCTTAGTCTGAACGCTCTGCTGGTCGGTCAGCTGAAAGTCAGACATCGCCTTGTTTTCCCGGTGCGAGATTGTGAGATGACGCTGACTGGTTGAGAAGGTCATAGTTCAAGAAAATATAGGCAACCCTTTCCCCTCAAGCGTCATACCAGATATGGACGATGACCGGATCGAATCGTGCCATGATAACCCCCAAAGTATCATGATGAGGTGTGCATGACACCCCACACATTTCAAATCTCGAGAGGGGAAACAAGGCACAATCAAAGCTCAATGAATGAAAAAGTGTTGATTGGATATGTCCTGCGCCTTGATAGGAATTAACCTCCAGACCATCTCTTGTGTGGATGCTGCCATGCTTCCCAAACTTTTTCCCATGCAATCCTCTGCCCATAATACTCCTATATATCTCCACAATAAAGCCTTCCAGGTATCAATCTTGAGTTCCAGCTCGTCTTCCGAAATATAGTAGTGGTCACATTGTACAAATGAAGAAACAAAAGAATGGCGTAATCCCAAATATCCCAAAAAAGAAGTTCCGTGTGACGCCCCGCTGAGCCCGGTCATGAATCAAATGTCGTTGCCGAAATGTGTAAAAGCCCTATGCCATCAAAGATCTGAAACGTTTCCATAGCGTAGATAGACGAATAGCGAGCGCATGGGCTCTCGGAAGAATGGTACGGTATCAGCCCGTACCAAAAGTTTCAGGAACACAATGGACAGTGCCCTGGTACCACAATATATCGCTCATGAGGACCGCGTGGACATCTGTGTTCCCTCTTGCCATCGACCGAGGTGCCGAAAAAGTGAGCTCCGGGGTCGACACATGAGGTGTAGATATAGTAGTTCTTGGTGTATTCGCACATTTTGGTAAGGGTATGTCTGCACAAAGTAATCAGTAAGATGTTGTGAGTTCATAAGGTAGAGATAGGTTGGACATACGGAAGTAGAGAAAAGTATAAAGAATCGAGTAAGTTGAGGGAGAAGAGGGGTCAGTGTATGTGTTCGACGAAGACCGGTGATGTGGAGTGGGCGTGTTTCCTGCAATGCCGCATGCCTTGAACAAGTCGAAAAGATGAGCTGGGTCAGAGAGTATATATATATGGAGAGGAAGGGAGAGGGTGTTCGTCAACCCGGCAGTCCCCTGGCGAAGTATAATAAAAGCAAATTGCTTGATGAGGACATATGGGAGATGACAGACTTTTTTAAGAAACGGCCTGAGCTATGGCCGCCCAGGTGCAAGAGTTCAGAAACACGACGTTTGCGGTAGGCCAGAGCCTGTGACAGGCATGGAGAGTGGTCAGAAGCGTCAGAAACGAGGAAGGTCAAGCTGCGAGGGCGATCCACCATCTTGTGCTGTGATTCAGATTTTGCAGACCCCCCCTACATACCGGCACATCCTTACACGGCAGCCCTGACCCTTACCTCTCTCTGCCTGACCCCTACCTCACCGCGATGAGGAGCACAGGCATCTTACCGAGTGAAGGCCACGGCCGATAACCGTGAAATGCGGTGGGCCGCGTTGACTGGGTGCAGGATGATGGACCGTGGGCCAGAGTCTGCGACATGTAGTGCGAGGTGGTCCAAGCAAGAGAGAAAAAAGAAAACAGTTGAAGAATTATTAGTTAGAAAAAGAGAAGAGAGCTTGGCAATAGTGTGCAGGCGGTTTTACATAAGGCGGGTTGGGGAAGAGGATTGAATTCCAGCTAGTAATCATCGGGGCGTGGAGAATCAACTGGCGTTGGTGCTGGTGGTGCTGGTGCTGGTAATTGATTGAGGTGAGTTGTGTTGTGGTGGACGTGGACGTCGACGTAGTCGAAAATGAAAGCGCACAGCCAGAGAGCAGAAGACCAGAGCAGATCCGAGATACGATGCTGGTTCGATCGTTCCGCTCGAGTCTCTCACCTCAGCACCCGCTTGCTTGCTTGCTTTCTTGGCCTGGGCTTGGATATTCAATTATTGAGCACCGTCACCCTTCCACTCTCCCTTTCCCTTTTCCTTTCCAATTCCCTCCTACCCGACGATATCCTCGTCCCTCCCTGCCCTGCCATGCTCTGCCCCCCGTTGTGCCTGCACCTGCTGCTGCTGTCTCTCCCTGCCCTGTTCTCATGTGCCCGTGCGTTGCAACACAACGTGGGTTTTTGTGCACCCCTCTCCAATGATCTGTCACCTGAGATCAGCTCTCCTTAGAGTAACAAGATGGCAATATCATCAAACAAAAAGGTGCAGGGGCGCGGAGCGCGAGCATGCACGCATCCCGCCGCACCACCACCTGTGAAGTTTGGACGCATCGAGACACCCTCGCGTCTCTTCCCATATATGACTCTATATATCTCTCCGCACTGGTCCGGGTGAGCATCATCATCACGCCTACTGTACGACCACTACCAGAGCTCGCTCCATGCGAATTTCCTGCAGGGCGAGCGTTGGGCTTTGAAATGGACAGTTATTAGATCTCGCTAGACCCTTCTCACTGCTCCTTAGCTGAGGGACCGCTTCTCGAGAGTAGAAGCGTTCTGGATGGACGGACGGATTTCCTTCTGCTCGGCCAAGCGCCGGAAAGCATTGATGGTCGTCGGATAGACTTGCTTTGCCCTGGTTCAGAGCGCTTACCACCACTCACCATCACTCGGGCAAGTATATGTTGCCTCTCTTATTACTTTCTTCGGCTTTGGCTCTTAGTTCTTAGTTGTCAGTGATATATGATCAGCTCGTTATTGCGCACGACCGGGAAGTGAGATACTGGAATGCGATTATCAGCAATCCAATCCGGTACAGGAGTGGGGCGTGCAGTTCCAAAGTGCACGACTCCCAGTCTCCCACGCCATCTTTTCAGCCCATTCGAGTGCCGCTCTGACGTTTCTCGCGGGGTACCCATTTTGGGAATTAGGCGCAAAGCCTTGATGGCATGTTCTCGACACGGACCTGGACCAGAAAGTATCCATTGAAACGGCCAGTCAGGCAATCTTGGAACCAGTATTATTGAGATGTACAGTACATCGTCTGCGACCCCCCACATCCAGGCCATCGAGTCTCAACATGGTTGTCCAGTAGCTGCAAATGAGAACTCTGGTAAGACCACGCCCAGAGCCTGAGCCAGACGTGAGTGAGTTTGAGATCGGACTTCTACGGGGCGTTTGAAGCTCATCAATGAATTGGGAGAGGCATGGGTTCCTCTCTCACTAAAAACCTTGTGGTCTACAATGTCCAAGTCACCTGTCAAAGCCTCCAGGCCTGCGTTTATGTTTGGGTTTGAAGCGCAGTACAGTCAGTAACATGATTTGAGGCTCTCGAGCCCCAGCATTGTGCATGAACAGCTGTCTGTCAGTGCGTTTTACAAAATCTCCGACGAGGTGTCAAAACTCGAGCGGGCGAACTTGCTCGACATCGCATCATCATCGCATGAGTTTGCTCCTCAGATCTCACCGCGTAAGTGCATTCGGCGCGGGGTCAAAGCTCACTTTCGTTTGAGGTCGGGAGCGCTGGGGCCAAAGCAGCTCCGTCTGATGTTATTCGCCCAAAAGCCGTTGTATCTGTCCGAGAGCTGGATCCTTCGTTTGCCCGCACCCCATAATTCAGAGAGTTTGACAGCTCATTGTTGAATCTTCAAGAAACATTGCACGCGCAACTGAGACTCGAGCTGCCTGTATCTCGGCATTTATACACGGCTGAACCTGAGAAGCAATGACTCGACACTGTTGCTGCAATGCCTCTTGTGAAGTTTAGATGGGGCTGGGTTTTGGTGGAATGATCAGCAATTAAGCAACATGCGTGCCTGGATCTGTGCTGTCAACTCTCGTTCTGCTTTTTCCCACCACTCCCTCCATGGGTTGGCTGTACAAGGCCCCCATTCCGATGTCGAGTCCTATGGGAAGGAGGCTCAGAACCTGGTATTCATCCATAGCAGATCACCTGGATCGGTGCCCAGAGCCACGAATCCTAGTGCTCAGGGTTTTTGTGTCCAAATGTTGTGAAGGACTTCGCCGTTCCCGGAAAATCGGGAACAATCAAAAGAAATGAGGTCCCGAAATGTATCTCCAGGGGCTACGCAAACAGAAAATTCACACATATGGCACGGCACACTTGCAGCAGATTTGCTGCGTGAAACGAAAAAAGAAAAGTTTAGGAAGCATCGGATCCTTTCAAGTGTTGTGCAGGAACGCTCTAGGGTGAGAGATGAAGTCCCGGGTTGCTATGAACAAGCTGGAGAAGCTGGAGCAAAAAAAGTAAGCGGTCAGCTGCGACCTGGGAAATTCACCGCTGAAAGAGTTGAAGAAAACCAGCGGACTGGTATGGGATCGCTCAGTTCCCCGGCGCAGCAGATCAATTGGAGCGGGGCAAGAATATGCAAGAAGGGAAGTGTAAATTCAAAGCTTTGGGATGAGAATCTGATGACCTTGATCGGATCCACCAGAATTCCACTTTATACATTGTGTATCCACCGATCACAGAAAGACCGCGACTGCTGCTAGCCCTCCTACGAGTCCTACCCCCACGCCAGGTGTTCTTTGATGAGCTGCATTCTGCGTTTGCGATGCTGCTGTAGTACTTGAAGATGAGGTGTGAGCAGTTGTGCTTGCCGTTTTCGCAATTCCGGTTGAGCCAGTGTTCGAGGGAGCGCTCGTCGTGGCTGGCGTCGCAGCAGAGCCAGTGGAGCCAGAAGTTGCTGTCGAGGTGCAAGAAACGGCAGTTGGAAGATTTGTGACGAGGTTCGCTTTACACAAATTGATAGCATACTGCGTGGCAGCTTGCTGGTCTGCCGCATCGCAATTTGCAGCAAGACAACATGCAATGCTACCTAGGAAGGACTGGTTCGAGCATATGCAAGTAATCTGCAGAGATACAAGTCAGCGCGGTACTGGGTATACTTGGTGCAAGTGGCCGAGATTGAAGGGATATAACGTACGTCGAGACTGTTGCAACCAGCGATAGTGCTGCCACTTTCGAAAGCTGTAAGGCAGGAAGTCTGAAAGAATTAGTCTTGAATGTATCAAGTCAAGAGTGGAGATTGAATGTACCGCGCATAATGGGAGACCTTGGAATGTTTGTGCTGCCACCAAACCACCGAAGAGGGCGATCAAAGTGAACTTCATGGCTGGTAGGATCATTGTATGTATCAATGTCTCCAGTTGCTGGATCAAAGAACCGAGCAATCGAAGGACGCAATTGACAGAAGGTGGGAAGTTCGTTGCAGGAAGGAAACAGAACGGGGTTGAGATAACCTCTTCTTTTTACCGTGAATAAGTTTATCCGAGGAACGCGATTCACTGGAATCAGCCACCTTCAGGTCGATTGGTTGGAACATCACCAACCTGTTGGCACGCAGTTCAGCTGCACATCAGATGCTCGAATCGAGAGACTGGTAATAGACCCCTGCTTGTCTAGATCACTTTAAGTTGGCTTTAGTACGCATGTGGTTAGACTTTAAGCCCCGCTCCCTGACTCTGTTGGAAATTTGCAGCACTGTTCCCCGAGGCGTCCCCGCTGATCACCAGCAAGTATCACCATTCAACATTGATACCGGTATGTACATGTATATATGAATACATCCACATGTCAGGACCATTAGGTACACTTCTAGTTTTCGTTTTCCTCGCTGGAAATCTTGCTTCAGCCACAGACCCTTCTTAATCATCTTTGGTACCTCGAATGTCCAAGCTACGTTTGGGGCTTCCGAACCGTAATGAAAGGAGAGAGGCAAAGTGGAGATTCGCGACATAGTGCAGGGCCATCACTCTGCCCATTCTGTGAACTTATACCGAGGATGTTTCCCGTGCTGACTGGACTCTCTGGCCAGCAATTACATTCCGAACTCGCGTGAACACAAAGTTCAAACTTTCTTTGAGTGCCGAGATGAACTTACTATTACCAACGGCCAAGCAGAGGACTTGGAACTTACAATTGCCAAGGCAAACCTCATTCAGCATGGGGCCCGCTGTCACTTATTGACTTTAGCTTTGACCGCTTGAGAAACGAGGCATGGTTTGCGAAGATACAAAGCCTCTAGACCCCACGCACAGATGGGTTAATTCCGCTACTTACCGCTCAGCAAAGGTAATCAATCCTCCACTTTTTCAATTTCAGACCTGAGGTAACTTCGACGTTGAAGATAAGTGGTCACAAGCTGGGGTTGACTCGTTTGTCGGTCGCAATATACCTATCCGCCTGCTGTAGTATTTTGAGTTGTTGATCACAAGAAGGGACATGGATCGAGTATCTAGAAAATAGCAAAACCCAAAATCTGTTGCTTAAAGGGTGGGGCCGTTCAATACCCCGGATCGCCGTGACCTGCCCGTTGAGACCCCCGCAATACCTACTGATGGAAAGTGAATTGTTGCTTGCGATAATCGGAACTCGAAAAGGTGTAAAAAGATTAGAAAGTTTAGCTGGACTTCGGACTTTTGGGATCTTCACTCGCTCCGCCTAATTGAGTCCAGACCCTGTCGTTGCCCGCCATTGCGTTGGCTTGCATGCGGGACCACCTCTGAATGCCCCCCATTCGCGCCACCCCAAATCGATCATCAGCCTCGCAAGCGCGACTGAGACATCTTAGAATAATTCCGTCGCGACGACTTGAGGGTCATGCAATCATTGACTCTTGGACGCTCAAGCTTCATTACTTGTTGAGCGTTTCATCAATATCGCACCTCTACTAGAGCTTGCAAATTACCTTGTGGGGTGATCCCACCGCTAACCGCGAAGATGGGAATGTGGATACTCGAGTCCAGGGCAATGGAACATGTTCCAGGTTTGCGCCCCTATTGCAAGAGTCTATTGATCCGGAGTAACACTGCAAAGGGACTACACGATACTTTGACGATGCTGAACGACCTCAAGTAGCGGGTCCTGAATCAGCTGGGCTAAAGCGTGATACTTCAGGGCCAGTCCCAATCATACTTGTCCCACAACCAAGTGATGATCCTAATGATCCTCTTGTGGGTAGATAGCACTTACTTTGTGTATTCTGCTAATTCATTACCTAGAATTGGCCGCTTTGGAAACGCGATTTGATACTGCGTAATTAATCCATCTCTTTACTTTCTTCATTTCTTTTCGCTTCGCCACGTTCGGATCTGCTCCTCCTCCCAAACATTCAGTTCCTGATTCTTACACGAAAGCAATTACTAACTTCCTGGAGTCATTCTATCCATAGTTTCAGTCTTCGCAACATGCCTTGGTCCCATTCTCGCTGCGAACACCCTGTAAGTTGTCGTGATATTGTCAAATGCGGTGCTAATATGCCTAAGGACTCTGTCGTTGTTCTTTTCTCTAAAATTCACAAAGATTGCCCTTCTTACTGGTTACTTCCTGCTTGGTGTTGGACTAGCCGGTATATTGTTTGTGCCATCAGCAAGAATATGGGGAAAGAGACATTTGTTCCTTCTTGGAACATTTCTCATTGTAGTCACCTCGGCTTGGGGAGGTGCTTCACGAAGTTACACTAGTCTGCTAGTGGCACGAATATTCCAAGGCATTGGTACCGCTCCCTTCGAGGCACTAGTAAATGCATCGGTAGGAGACCTGTACTTCGTTCATGTAAGTCTCCCGGCCTCTTCATCATGCACGTGCATGATAATCTCATCTTCCTTCTAGGAACGTGGAAAGCGTATGGCTCTGACCAATCTTGCTGTCTTTGGCGGAGCTTTCTTCACGCCAATCCTTGTTGGGAAGATTACACACACGATTGTAAGTTTATTTCCTGTTCTTTTTTGTTTTGGGAGCCATATTCTGGACTCTGTGCTTCGAATTGCATTCCTAAGACATGCATATTTGCTCCCCAGATATACAACAGAAGAGGTTTACTAACTCTCACATTCAGGGCTGGTGGTGGACTTTCTATTTCGTAGCTATCTTTGCTGGAGTCTGCCTACCACTAGTCTTCTTCTTTGTCCCAGAAACTGCATATCGCCGGGAATCTCGACTGAATATTGATATGGCTTCCACTGAGGATGTACACCACTACGACGATCCCGAAAAGGAACCTCCCAATTCCACCGTCCCTGTTGCCACCGAGAGCTCTCAGGCAGCTCCAAGTAGCCACGCTATTGGGCATCAGTCTCCGGAAGCCAGTATACCACTCGCAAGCTGGACACAAAGATTGGCGCCGTTCAATGGAAGAAAGACAGATGAAAGCTTCTTCAAATTGTTCCTCAGACCCTTTCCGTTGTTTGCTCACCCAGCTATCCTGTGGGCTTGTCTCATCCAAGGCACAATGATTGGATGGACAGTATTCATCGGGATTATTCTAGCTGCTATCTTCCTTGGGCCGCCAGTGAGTTCCCCCTCGAGCAGTCTCCCGCTTTAGCCTAGAGCCTTTTCCTCAATAGTATGTACGTTGATGGCTTACTGACATATTCCCTGCCTAGCTTTTCTGGGACGAAGTCAACACTGGTTATGCTTACACAGGGGCTTTCATTGGAGCAATCATCGGCTTTCTCATTGCCGGAATCATAGCCGACTGGAGCGCCAGATATATGACTCGGAAGAACAAGGGAATTTACGAGCCAGAATTCAGAATCATCCTTGTAATTCCCCAACTCATCTTCGGATGTGCTGGACTCTACCTTTTCGGAGTTACTTCTGCAACGCTTACGCATTATTCCTGGGTGGTCCCAGTCGCTGCGTTTGGGCTGGAAGTCGGAGGAATGGTCATTGGTGCTGTTGCTTCAAGTCTATACATAATTGATGCGCACAGTGAGTCCATCCTAGTTCATTGTCTTGCTCCTCATGCTCATGGTTTGATAGGAGACATTGCAATTGAAGCATTTACATGCATGATCATTTTCAAGGTAAGCCTCAATGTCTGACTGAACATGGTAAAGTGACTGACGGCTTTCAGAACTTCTTCTGCTTTGGTCTGACTTGGAGTGCGTATGAATGGCTTGTTCACGGTGGCATTTTCAAGACGTTCATGTGGATTTCAAGCATTCAAGTCGTGGTTTGTCTCTTGAGTGTCCCTATGTGTACGTTATCCAACAACTCCTAGTAGATTACATGCTTACACCTTCACAGATGTATTTGGAAAACGAAACAGGAGCTACTTTCACAGGCACGACATCCTTAAGCTTACAGGTTTGCAATGAAGGTGGCATATGGGGCAGGGGTTCATTCATTCTCCTCATGTAGCATAGTCATAAACGGCAATCAAGTCCACTAAATGGGTCCGTCATCAATCTGATCACTCGGCACAGTTGCCTTCATGTTCTCCCCTGACACCCCCCGCAAGACCCTCATGACATAGCACGGTGCATAGATCAATTAGAGCAAAACGTTCCGAGTCATCTTCACAATTGTGGAGTGCATAAGCGCTTGCATGCATGTTGAACATAGGTATTCATCAATTCTCGCCAATCGCATTCAAGCCTGCCCAGTTTCCAACAGATCAAGCACATCCACAGAAAATGACAGATTCTTAGTGGGGATTTGAGGGGTGCAAGATATCTGTTACACATGGAGATCAGATTGTATAGTAGTCCGAAAGCCGGAATTAATCCATGGCAGCGATTTTACAGACCTCTCACTTGTCCCTCTCCGTGGCTCGAAGTTTGAAATCGGGTGGTAGATCTGACCGAAAGGAGAGGCCATTCATCTAGCATTTCTCTCCTCTGTTGGCTTCGTATGCTTCTCATAAGACTTTCTGATTGCATGTCACAAACAGACAAAACTGGTTCGCAGGGGTTTCGATGCCTTCGAACTTTTGGACAGAGCTCAACCAACAGAAGGATAAAAACCAGAGGGGATTGCTACTCCAAAGGGTGAAATCTCAAGGATATTGGACAAAAAATAGTTCAAGGTTTTTGTATGATGGTATAGTTAAAAGCACATCCACCACAAGAGAAGAATTTCCCTCCCAACACAAGCCCCATCGAAACTAAAAAGGAATCAGAGTCGAGTGTCTAATTTCTTCCTTCATACCTTTTCCAGTCAATATGGACGCCTAATTCGCAGTTTCACACCCATCTTTCATGTCGTCGTACCATCATCTTTCACATCATCAACGCAATGCTCGCCTTCACATCTCAATAATCACCATATCCGCAGCTCCGTCTCCCCAAATACCAACAACACTCATGGCGAAGGCTGTGCCGGCAACGCATGTCCGGATCACCTGTGTCCACATGAATCCTTCCATCTCCTCTCGCACTTCCTCTCCATTTACATCTTCATCTATATCCTCACCGCTGGCTTCGCTCTCTCGATCACTTGCTCCCAGAACCTCATAGCTAGCATCCATCTGTCTTGATTTTCTTTGCTTCTGTTTCGTTGTTCTGGCGCTTGTCACCGTCTTCTTGGTGGCCGGAAGCACTAGATCCGTGACTCCGGATGCTGCGACGAAGAGGGAAGTCCATAGTAAGTATGGATGTTTCTGACTTCGCGGAGAAAGCACGTATGCGATGAAAAATGAAGCGCTAGATATTCCAGCTAAGGTGCGGAGATGGGCCAGGGACAGTGTGGTCAGGTTGGAAAAGGCTTTGGATGCGCTGGTGGCGGAAGGAAGGGTAAGGAGTGTCGGAACTGTCAATGAACTGAGTGTATACGAGAGGCCCTGCGAACAAATAACATTAGCATGTGCTTGTAATGGTGGAAGATGTGATTGAACACAGTTGTCGTCGGTAAAGTGGCAATGGAGGGGTCTATCGTACGGTGAGCAAGCCCAAACTGATGGACCCCACGAACTTCAGCGTGGAGACCGTTTTGCCCGCCATGATATTAGGATGTCGAGCACTCTGGTGAAGGTTGAGAGAATCGTCCGTGAATGTATCGGTGGTGTTATTGGCGCCGGGTGGGAAGGGAGGTTGACGTCGTGAGTCGCTTGAATTGGGTTGAATTCGACTCGTCGAGAGCTCCTCGAATCCCAAGCCACTATCTTTGGCGTTATCCTTGTCAAAGTGTTCCTGCCTGTTTCGTTGCCAGTTGTGCCTGACCGCTTACTCGTGCAAAGGGCTCGAAACAGGCCGAGGCTGTGCGGATATTGGTTCTCTACCCCAGATTTCTCATCAAGCTCCATAATAATGCTACGGCCGTGAGAGCTGACGGCCTCTTCAAGAGATACATTCTCAGCAAGCCTGGGAGATATCATCCCCCTTTGTCTTGTCTTGTGGTAAGGATTGTTCTCATTGCTATACATTAAAGCTTCCACATCGCAAATCAACTATGGCAGTTCCCAGGTCCGAATATCTCTCTTCGGTTTGGAGGGATGGTATCTTTGGTTTGCATGCTCTTTTGATTGCAACATGGTGCAACTCTAACAACGTCACTAGATAAAAAAGTCGTATTCTGTACTGGAGGCGCGGGAACGATATGCAGTGCTCAAGTTAGAGCGCTTGTTCATCTTGGAGCCAATGCCTGCATCATCGGACGAAATGTAGAGAAGACGGAGAGAATGGCAAAGAACATAGCTACAGCACGCAATGGAGCAAAGGTCATTGGCATTGGTGCTGTGGATGTCAGAAAGATTGAGGATTTAGAAAAGTCTGTCGCAAGATGTGTCAAGGAGTTGGGAGGAATTGACTATGTCATGTAAGGACATTCTCTCTGCACATACACCATATACTTTTTGATGTTAGAGGTCATGCTAATATTCTCATGAGCAGTGCCGGCGCAGCAGGCAATTTTCTTGCTCCGATTGAAGGGCTTTCCTCGAATGCCTTCAGAACAGTCATTGAGATCGATACAATAGGCTCTTTCAATACCCTCAAAGCGACGGTTCCCGAGCTCATCAAGTCTGCTGCAAAGAACCCAAACACAGGCACAAATCCCTCGACAGGTGGTCGCATAATCTTTATATCTGCCACATTTCATTTCACTGGCATGCCATTGCAAGCCCACGTCTCTGCCGCGAAAGCTGGTGTAGATGCCATCTCAGCATCTGCGGCTTTGGAATTTGGACCGCGCGGTATAACATCGAATATTATAACACCTGGTCCCATTTGGGGAACAGAGGGTATGGCTAGACTGGGTAGCAGAGACGCCGAGAAAAGTGGTGTGGCATTTAAACATGTTCCACTGCAAAGATACGGAACCGTGAAGGAGATTGCTGACGGAACTGTTTATCTGTTCAGTGATGCGGGAAACTATGTCAACGGTGAAGTTCTGGTTATTGATGGTGGCGACTGGAGATCACCTAGTGGTATGGGAGGTACCACAACATACCCAGATTATTTGCTTGATGGGTCGTTCGTTCGGCCAAGTGCTCAGAAGGCGAAATTATAGAAGGAAGATGAGCTAGACGATTGCGGTTTATGTTAGACACCATTGCATGTCTCAAAGTCTTGAGGCTTACTTGGATATGTTGAGTCTCTTCAGGAACGATGTAATGAATCATTTTTTATTTCCTCTGAAAATTGCTCGGCTATTCTACGTCGTCTTGACCAAATTACATCTAAAGTCATTTTGATGTTGGGTGACCCAGGTGTTCTAAAGTGCCTAATTCTAGCGATTCATCTTCTTTCATCGGCTCAACTTAGCAATGTGGACTTGCTTAGAAAGTCTCATGAAGCATCAACACTTATTGCCATTTCTGGTGGTACCCACAAGCCTACGCAACTTCCAACCAAGCCAATCCATACCATCAGGTAATCTTGCATGGTACAATCAAACTTTTCCATTGCTTCCTTAGTCTGACACGGGTGAATGAAAAAGGCTGGTACATCTGTCACAGGATGTGGCTGGTAGAGAGTAAGGTCAGTAATTTTAGCAGAAAAAAATATGAGGCAACCCACTGCAGCAGAGATACCTCCTGTCACTCCTAGTGCTCGTAGGTTGTCTTTGTACTGTGGTGGCACGAGATACCGATAGATGGCATCCAAATCAAATGTTGGTTCTCCGGCTGGAAGATCATGGAGCGTAAACCAGAGTGTAGGTAGTCTGTAAGTGGGATGCAGATGAATTTCATACATCACGTATGGCTGTTGTGCATACGGAGTATATCCTGGAAGGGAGTCTGGATCTCTCAGAGCTTCCTTTCCTGAAAATTAGCGTCCGTATCAATTGATCATTATCCAGAACAACTTCACCTGATCATCTTCTTCATCTTTGCTATCAATATTCATCTCAACGTCGGCACTCTCGCCAAAGCCGCCACCAAGGCGTTCAAGCATCGCTGATAATTCATCAGGTTGTTCTGGCAGCTGAAGTAATCGAAGTATTTCAATATATGAATTGCCTGAAGTTGCTATGCGACGATGCCGAATTTTAAATATTTGTCTTGTTGGACCAAGATGTGCTCTGACATATCTTTGGTCGAAGAAAGCGCAAGCAAGCTCGAATTCTTCTTCGTTAAGGAAGGGCCACTGACGAAACTCGTCATGGTGAGCCATGATGCTTGAGTAGTTTAGCAGAACATAACTTGAATGGACTTTGAAAGGATGTCCGTACAAACGAGAATTAGAGCAGGCGATACTCGGGGCACTGGATCACGAAATCTCAAAGGTTGAATTAAGCTAGCTTCACTTGCTCACTTCATTAAATTCCGCAATATGAGAATGCTTGGCTGAGATGAGCCGTGATGGACGAGGGCTAGAATGCTGTCTCTAACAAGAATGAAGATTTGGATGTAAGTAACTCCTCAAGATGAAAGATTATAGTCACCGAGACAGAACCAAACATTACATTACAAGAAGTCTGCTAAAAAAGTACGTCTTTTGACGAGCTTTGTTGTGCTGGCAAAGCCGGGGAAGACAAGGCTGAAGTATTTCGTACATGCACCCCTGTTCGCTAAATGCCAAGGCTTTACCAGCATCTAAATGTAGACAGCGTGTACAAAGCACCACGAGCATCTACTATTTGCATTGTACATCACTTCACTTGACGCTGTTCTTTCCCTGTATCTATTCAGTCGCTCCTTAATAATGATCAAATAACCTCGATGAACGTCCGCGACCCCTTCGATCGCCCAATTTTCTCCCCGTTCCAAATCTTACGAGGAACTGCAACACAAGCTGCCGCGCAAGTAACGCAGAGAGTGAAGGAAGCTGGGATTCAAGCATACGAGTCCGGCAAACAAGCAGTCGAAGAGATGTCTTTCTCCATACCCCAGAACGTTCCGTCCTTTACAGATCCACAACGCGAACTGGAGAACAGAGTCTGGGGGTCTTCAGGAGTCACTTCGAGGTCTGGGGCTTCGCATTCAAACGGGGTCATGAGCGGGATGCAAGATCGAGTTGGGAGCTTCTTTGACAAGAGTCGGGGCGATCTGCCCATGTACAAAGACAAACCATATTCATACGCAACATCAAGGAGGCGGCGGCCGTTCTGGAAGCGGAAGAGGAATATGGGTGGACTCGCTGCGTTGTTCTGTCTGATATTGCTGTACTACCGGGGATTCTTTGGCGGTGGTACACCAGAGGACTTAACGTCCGGAGAAAAGAGCAAGAACAATTGGAGTTGGCTGAAGGGCTCAGAGAAAGCTGGTACGGTTGACTGGTTGGAACGTCGAGAGAAGGTGAAGGAGGCATTCACAACGAGCTGGGATTCTTACGAGAGATATGCTTGGGGTACGTTCTCCTGAAAATATTCTATATTAGAGTGTTCCTAATCACTTCTATAATAGGTTACGACGAATTTCACCCAGTATCGAAGCGTGGAAATCATATGACCCCAACAGGAATGGGTTGGATCATAGTCGATGCATTGGATACGATGATATTGATGAATCTGACAAGCAGATTGACGCATGCTAGGGAATGGATGTCGAAATCACTCTCCTACGAACAAGATCAGGATGTCAATACCTTTGAGACTACAATTCGAATGATTGGCGGACTACTTTCGGCACATTATCTCTCCACAGAGTTTCCTGAAATGGCTCCCCTGACAGATGATGATGAGGGCGCTGCTGGTGAGGATTTGTACCTTGAGAGGGCTAAGGATCTAGCCGATCGAGCTATGGGAGCGTATGAATCTTCCTCAGGGGTGCCTTACGCGAGCTTCAACATGAAGACTACGAAAGGGCTTGTGTCACACGACGATGGTGGAGCTTCTTCAACAGCAGAAGCAGCTACTCTGCAACTGGAGATGAAATATCTGTCAAAGCTTACCGGCGAGACTCTTTACTGGGAGAGAGCCGAAAAAGTCATCCAAGTGATCGATGATAATGGCATGGAAGATGGTCTTGTCCCAATCTACATCTATGCAGACCAAGGTCATTTCCGAGGCAACAATATCCGTTTGGGCAGTCGAGGTGATTCTTACTACGAGTATCTCATCAAGCAATATCTCCAAACTTCGAAAGAGGAACCGATCTATGAAGAGATGTGGGATCAAGCTCTTGCTGGTGTACGCAAGCATCTGATCACTTATTCTTCTCCGTCACAATTCACTGTCCTGGGTGAACGTCCTGATGGGCTGCAAGGAACACTGTCTCCAAAAATGGATCATCTGGTATGCTTCATGCCGGGCACGATCGCTCTGGGCGCAACGGGAGGTCTTCCAGAGAAAGAGGCCAAGAAGCTATCAACATGGAACAAGAGAAAGGATGAGGAGATGAATTTGGCCAGAGAACTGACTCAGACCTGTTGGGGCATGTACAAAGTAATGGCCACAGGACTTGCTCCAGAAATCGCACATTTCCACATTGATACTCCTCCCCTTCCCGAATCGGCACCCCACAAAGCACCAGAAACATTTGACGATCCCGAGAATCTTGAATGGAGGAGAGATTTCAATATTAAGAGCAACGACAAGCATAACTTGCAAAGACCGGAGACTGTGGAGAGCTTATTCTACATGTGGAGAATCACTGGGGATGAGATCTATAGAGAGTGGGGCTGGGAGATGTTCAAGTCATTCGTGGAATTCACGAGGCTTGAGGATGGAGGGTTCACGAGTTTATCGGATGCTGATAGGATCCCGCCTCCAACCAGAGACAACATGGAAAGTTTCTGGCTGGTAAGTTATCCAACTTTGACTTTGAAAAATTCAGTACTAACAGAATGTCAGGCCGAAACTCTAAAGTACTTTTATCTCCTTTTCTCACCCAACGACCTCATTCCTCTTGACAAGGTTGTCATCAACACAGAGGCGCATATATTCCCCCGTTTCAAGCTAGGTCCATTGTTCAAGACCGGCTGGAAGAGGAAGCCCCGCGGTCCCGATGGAAAGCTTCTCCCTGATCCTCCAAAAGAAGAACCTGCAACCCAGACAAGGAAGATCGAAGTAGAGGTTAAGACGAGTTCATGATTTTCTTCTTTCTTGTAGGAACATTCAAAAGTATTGTACATACTGGTGGCGCTGTCGAGACAGCAGGGGAGAAGGATGTAATTCAAGATTACATGATTGTATTCATAAATTGATACCAAGCTGATGAGCCGGTTGTTCACATATGACAAACAAATTCGTCCAATTGTGTGTTTTCTGTGCTTGTTAATGGGGAAGTGTGAGTTGAGACTGAACTGCTCTATCTAATGAACAACAATACAGCCAGCAAGATATCACCGTACAGTCTTCCGCCAGTGAGCGATACGTCCTCCTCGGTTATTGACGTTTGTCTCGAGCAGACGAATTCCGTTTTAGTTTTTTGAGTGGCGGGGATGTTTTTCAAAAACACTGGGGAGCTTCTGAGTTCCGCCAACAACCCTCCAAGGCTGAGACACACATTGAAGTGGGCAGAATATTTGATATGACTACCAAGTCTCAAAGTATATTTATGTATCAACATAGAGTCCGAGAATGGAAAAGAGTCGGATGTTCGGAGTCTAATGAGTGTTTGAGATCGCCATAGCTTTCCAAGACCGATGTTCATGCAATATTTGTGGAAGACTTGGAAATTTTTGCAAGAAAGATTCATAGTGAGCTTTGCTTAAGTGAGGTACATTTTGGAATGTGGCTGCTGAGACGAAGAAAGGTAACCGTCAAAGGTCCTACAAGCTTAACGACATTCGAGTGTGTCTTTGGATATGGTGTGCTTGATTAAACTAATTGATATTGGGTAGTTGTTTTCATATTCATAGGCTCATGTAGACTAACTAACTCACAAAATGATCGAAGAGATGAAGAATAATATTTCATTTATTCTTTCCAGATTGGTCTCCTTTTGTATGATCTGTGCGAAATATTTTCCACGAGGTATCATCTACTCACTCTCTCACATGTATACTCCTCGGAAACTGAATGTCACCCGGTATGTTACTTAGACTCATCCCATCATCAATATCCATCTCACTTACTCCTTCACAGCCCCCGGCGCAACCGCCGCTGCCCCAGTACCACCCAATCTCTTCTTACTAACCAATCTCAACCCAGCAATCAACATAATCAGCGCTTCTAGGCCAAGAATAACAGCCAACGTAACCATGGCACCAATAACACCCGCTACAGCCTTCGAGATTCCTCCACCACCTGAAGACGAAGAACCACTAGCAGTAGCTGAAGGAGAGCTCGAAGTCGACGTCGAGGTAGAAGTAGCACATACACCAGTCGAGTTTCCGCATTGGCTACACCACGTAGCCTGGTCTCCGATAGCGAATTTATTCATCTCAGACACGAATGTCGTCCACGGGATAACGGTGGACGATTGTCCGAACAGTGGATAGGCGGTAAGTGGGTTGGCGGCCGCAGAGCCGTTGGAGAACAGGAAACGGACGGAGATCTCATCTGCGGTGGGGTAGGAGCTGTTGGAGACGGAGCTGTTAGTTACGAGTTCGAAGGTCATGGAAGAGGCGTAGTCGACGATGCCGGTGAAGTTCTCGGAGACGGCGGGGAGTTGGGCGAGCCCGAAGAAGGAGAGGAAGGAGGCATAGGCGCCGAATTGGATGCCGACTTGTGAGGCGGATTTCCCGACAATGGTGCTGTTTAATTGTTGGAGACTGGTGCGAATTAGCACACTGATCTAAGGCGATTTCCGAACAAGGAGAAGGGTGTAAAGAAAGAATCATGGTACATACATTTGTGCGGCTAAAGTTGAACCAGCAATAGCTCGGATGGGCTCAGATGAGTTGTAAGCAAGATTGAATTCGTGGTTGTCGGCGAGGGTTTGCAGTTGATATACAGTCTCGTTGGTAAGTAGGCTATCGGATGGAATGCTCGAGCTCGAGTTGTGGATCATCGAAACGTGAATGAAATCGTAGACTGTCCACGTTAGCATCTTGTCCAATGCTTCTGTCCAAAGTACTTACTAGTATAAGCATTCTTAAAAGTGTCAGTGGCAGAAGTGAAAGTGCCATTGATAACCGGCAGGATACTTTGGTAGAAAGACTTGGTGCTATTCAACTTCTGCATATACTCGGAGGAGAAAAAGTAGTTGTTGGAACTAATGATTGCATTGTTGCAACCACTTTGACCTTGAAGCCAAGCAGAGTTCTCTGAGTTGGCGCCCGTAGAAGCAGATTGGACGGCATTGACAGGAATAAGTTGGAAGCCGTTCATGGGAGCTTCGACTGATGATCCATTTGCCAAGGTCTGGCTTCCGAGAGTTGCTCCGACAGGAGGATAGAGACCTTGGAGGAAACCAGCTGCTGAGTTCTGGAGGACGTTATCGACCGGAGCCTCCACGCTCAATTGGGAGTTCTTGACAATATTGGATGCGATTCCATGAATGGGAGATGTAGCAGTAGAGTCGACGTAACGGGCACGGTAGAAATCTCCTGATTGCCAAACTTGTTGGTAACCAAGATCTGTCAGAGATGTAGGACTATAGCTCTTTGTTGTGCGATCTCCATGGCGGTGGAATATATAAACACCGAGAACTGTCTCTTGTGCCGAGATCAATGGTAGCAAGGACGATACGACGATGAATTGCTTGGCAAGCATCTTGACCGAGTCCGCTGATAAAGAGCTTCGAGTAGAAGAGAAGAGATACGAGGTATTAAGCAAAGGCAGGAAGGGAAAGGCTAGGAAACAGGCGCCGCGGGGACCTGCCTCTTTCTTATTCAGAGCAAACATCAATAGCTCCCTCTAGTCCGCCGAGCTTATCTTATGATCTCTCCCACTTTTCGAGGCCAACCTTCTCCGGATTTGATAGCTGCGAGTGGATTGGTAAGGATGTTCCACCCCGGTGCAGTCCGCTGCAAGAATGGAATCGTGCCCAATGATGGGAGCTTCCACCCACCATTTTTAATGTTCACGTAGGTGACTGCCCCTCACTAGAATCCCTTGTCTGCCGCCCGCACACCACGCTAGAAAGGTCGAGAACAAAATGACAGAATTGATTGGTCTGATGCGACTTTCAGGGAGCCCGATTATCCGTGAGGCGTCTTGAGGATCTGATATGCAATCAGTCAACGGGACGTCTGAACATCGCAGACTTGTCAAACATTCGTCAGGTGTGTCCCACTTCATGTGAAAAAGAAAAGTCCTGCAAGGTTTGTTCATATTTGCTTTTGCATCTTCCTCGGCAGCAGACATCCTTGCGCTGACGATGCAGATGCGTTAACCTTAAAACGCTTAAGTTAGTGACGGAGCCCGCCTAAGAAGATGTCGAGTCTTCCCGGTCCCTTCGTTAGTGTCCGATGGTCGTCCGAAGTTCATAATCGCATCTTGCAGTGATGACATGTTTGAGATATTGATGTTGTGTTTGCAAGATCCACAACACTCAACTCCTATCCTCCAAATTCCCATCCTGTTTCCTGCTTATCCACTGCATAATCTTCCCATAAGTATATCATAAAAACAACAGTACATTGAGTACCTGTCGACCATTAACGCCGACGCTAGACCATATATTCCGCGAAAATCAAGTAGAATTCAGGACCTGTCCCTTCTATAACAAGGGTATATAACCAACACCAAATGAAACTGAAAATTTAACAGCAAACCTTATACACCTTCTTCCACTTCGGCCATGTTGCTCGCTCGTGCTGCTCCTGCGCAATTAACTCGGGAAGATTTAGATCCCGTATACCCGTCCGAAGATCCATGTCGATACAGCGCACGATAGATGTTTTGGCGTAGATCTTATGACAGACATAGAAAGCAATGACCACAGGGGCTGCCAGGAAGGCTTTAAAGAATTTGTTGACCTGGCCCTTGGGCCCAAGCTCTTCAAAACCAACGGGCCAGGCACCAACCCAGAACTGGGTGACAAGAATAAGGCAGTTGAAGAGGAAGGCGAACCAAGATCCCAGTATACCGGGTTGGGACGTAAAGGCTAGTTCCGATAGTTTATGTCCTTGGAGAGTCCATGCTCGACGGAATCGAATGTGTGCTAGAGCGATGGACCCCCAGCTGAAGATAGATGACAGACCAGAAAGCGCCAACATCCAGTCAAGAACCGTGCCTTGTGCTCCAGCGTCCGCAGCATAGGCAATGAGGCCGAAGAAAGATGCCACACCAATGCCAACTAGAGGTCTGCCCATCTTATCGACATAGCCGAAGCACCTTGGAGCCTGACCTTGGAGCGCAAGTGCGTGTAGGGTTCTAGAAGAACCGAATACGGCCGAGTTGCCGACGGATAGGACGGCGAGGAGAATAACTGCGTTAAATACGGAGGGTAGAATCGCGATGCCAGCGTTCTCAATCGATATGACGAAAGGGGACGCGGTCGAATCAGCGGAACCGTCTCTCAGGAGGCGTGGGTCGGTGAAAGGTACATTCAACCCGATTATGAAGAGAGACACGATGTAGAAGAGCGTGATACGCCAGAAGACTTGCTTGATAGCACTTGGCAAAGACTTTCGGGGGTTCTGTGCCTCGTTGGCAGCCAAGCCAACCAGTTCGGTGCCAGCAAAAGAGAATGCAGCAATGACGAAAACGCTACAGAGGCCTTTAAACCCATTGTTGAAAGCCCCGGGCTGAGAATCCATTAGTTACTGTTTCTTCTTGTTGGTCCACACTTCCTTGAATGATGGGGGAAAGGACAAAGGCAAAACGCAGCTAATCATTGCCTATAAAGGATGTTCAGGCAAATACTTGGAGCGAGATACTCAAGTAAAGGAGTATATGCAGTCAAATGCAATGCCCAAGATGTAATAAGATTCAGTATTGACTTACGTTGCGCCACAATTTCCCGCCAACATAGCCTTCATTTGGGCCACCACCACAGTTAAGAACCACTCCTAAAACACTAAATTTGTGTCAGTCAGAAAAAGTCTCAGTGCCAAGAATCACTTACATGAATCCAATAATAGCCGTTATCTTTACGATGGAAAAGAAGAATTCCGCTTCGCCATAACCTTTGACGCCGAACAGGTTGATACCGATGATAACGACCAGGAATATCGTGACGAATATTGCATGATTATAGCGGCCATTCGTGTCCCAAAAGTCAATTGTAATTGATGCACCGATAATTTCAAGAGGTAGGACGACAAGCCATTGCATAGCGTAATTCTTCACAAGTCAGTAAGCTATTGTTGTGGGAGATGTAACAAGACTTACCCAACCCATAGCAAAGCCCCAAGAAGGATCTAAAAATCGAGTCGAGTAGGTCGAGAATGAACCGGCAACGGGTAGAAGCACAGCCATCTCTCCTAAAGCATGTACCATGCAGTATAGCATAACTCCCATCAGTGAGAACGATATAAACAGCGAAGCTGGACCGCCTGTCTCAAGAGCCTTGCCCGAACCGATGAAGAGACCAGTTCCTGAAAACATTTAGAGATAATCTTTCTGCGTTTGGATAGACTTACCGATCGAGCCTCCGATAGCAATCATTTGTAAGTGTCGACCCTTCAGCCTGCGTGCCATTTTCGTGTTTGCCGTGGCCATGGCAGCAAGGCTAGGATCAAAGGTCCTGCCATGTCCTGTGTCGAGCTTTCCATCTGGGTCAAGAGTACCTGGTGCGCGTTGGAAGCTCTCAAGTACACGGTGAAAGAAAGGTCCGCTGAACTCTGTTGTCTCTGCATAAGATGAAAACTCGCCAGAGTGATTTGTGTTGTATGCTGGCAGTGTTGTTGTATTACTTTTGGTCGTTGAGTAGACGCTGGCTTTCTCCAGATCATTATTCTGGTCGGCCATGGTTGGCAATGAGTCGGTCTGTGAATTTCCTGCTTGCGATTCTACCCACTACAATAGGTGAGAGGAAAGTCCTATAAGATAGATACGTAGAGGCGGTGGCAAGCAGACGCAGACGCAGCCGCAGCGATAGCGATAGCGAGAAGTCGCACAGTACTGGACAATGAGTAGAGGCTGGGCGGCTTTGGTGTATTCCTTTAGGTTCGCCCTGGGCTGGTCCGCATCAGTCGTCCTCCATCATGACGTGCCACAGTCGTAGTTGAGCAAGGTCGAGCGTGAAATGTGTTGGTGGAAGAGAAGCAGGAGGATTGGAGTTGCGGAGGCGAGTTTGGGACTCGAAACTCTCGAGACTCGAGGAGCACTTTTGGTCCCGAAGGAAGGGTTCAGCTGGTGGGTCTGGGTCTTGATCCTGTCCTAGTCCCAGTTAGCCTTATCTTTTCAGTGGCACCATCCTTCAAGGATGAGATTGCTGGAAAGTGGTGATTGGTTCCCCACTGAGTTGACAGCCAAGCTAACAAGCTAAGCACTTCAGGGGGCAAATTTTGAGCCATTTCGGTCTAGTGCATGCAAGCCATCCTAAATCATCTAACAATTGCCTCGTGGGATGAAGAGGCAAATATATTGATACTCCTGTTTCTAGATTCAGACTGCTCCATATCGGACACTGTCCAACGTGGTTACCATTGGGCCAAGTGGTACGAGGTTTGGTTTCATTGTCAGTGATTTTTCAAGAAGGCATACTCGAGGACCCCTGATTCTCGGTTCTCATGCCACGACGCAAAGCCGAGTACCGAGTACCAGTAAACTCACATCATGAAGGGTGGCAAGTCTCTGGATTCCATTCAACCTTTCGACGGGCAGAAAGGGTACCCAGACAATCCTCCTTTCTCTCCTAATGAAGTGCGCCATCACTCAGGCAGGCACATTGCAGAGAAATGCGCGACAACGGCGTTCCAGCTCTCCTCGCTCTCACCAGTGCTATTAGCGGTCTCCTACCCACTCCCCGCTCGCCATCAACACATCATTTCCACAACGCTCAAGGTCATCCATCAAAATAGCACTAACCATGGACCGACCCTTCGGGCGCCAAGACATCGAAAGCGGGTATGCTCCGCATGACATCTGCAAGGATGTGCCTGAAGATCCTCCCCGCGACAGACTCTGAGACAGAAGACTTCAGATGAACCGAACCTTCTTTCTTGATTGATCTTTTATGCTATTATTCTATTGATACCAAAAAATAAAATGAAAATTATAGGTGACAAAATCGGTAACTGTTTTGCGCTTTCTTTATGGACGGAGAAATCATGATTGAACTCATCGAGGAGTTGAGACAAACTCATGGACTCATAAGTACTCGAAGTTGACTCGTGCGGCACGGTCACTCACACAGGGTCATGACGCTTCATCCGCTTATCCCGGGTAGTCTCATGCGGGAAGCCTCTCTGCGCTCGAGCATGGTGGTACTCGGCTTGAACAATTAGATGTCTCACCTAGACTAGTGTGTAAGACTGTCAGCCCTATGGCGACATTACGAAGTATATCAAACAATTAACCTTTTCCAATCCTCGGACTATAGCAGGCCAACCCTCTTGAGACATATCCAAGCATCTTGTTCAAACGATCTAAGAAACACAACTCACAAATCGCGATCGCAGATAGAGTAGCGCAGTAATGTCAAGAGCAATGAATCTTTTTACTCCTCCTAATGCATACATATCCCAACTCCAATGCTATGACTTATACAAGTGCGCCTGATTGTTCTATCCTATACAACAACAATGCTTATGCTTACGCGTACCGTCGCTATGCTATGCCGAAAACTCAATAATTCATATCATCCAATCCCTCTCCACTGAGAATACTCTTCAAGATACCGGCACCAAGACCCTCCACAGCTTGCGCGACTTCCTTCTCGCCAACGCAGCTTCCAACTCTCTTCTCATCTCCTACACCAATGCCAGATCCAAATTTTCGTCCTCTTTTACTTGATGTCGTCGAGGAGATGAATGATCCGTTTCGCCCATCAACGGCACTAATTAACGAAAGCGTTTCGAGACTTCCCACCACATCCCTGAATTCTGTGCTGGTCAGAGGATGTAGGATAGAGTCCCGGGTGCAGAGCATGCTGTAGACACCGTAGAGTGCTTTGATCGTTGGAGCAGCAGTCTTCGACTTGGATGGGGTCGCCATGACATTGGCCATAGCTTCTCTCTTCTTCTTCTCCAAAGCCACTAACGCACATAAAGCCGCCTTCTGTTGCAAGTTCAACGCTTTCAGTCTCTGGTTGGCACCATTGCCAAAAGTAGCTGATGTGATTTTGTTAACATGTGAGATCAGTGCTCGAGGGGCAGTTTCGACAGTGAGTGTTGAAAGTGACTGGTTGAGAGTCTTGTTGGCCATCTTTCTCGGAGGGGTTGATATTGGGGAGGACAAATTATTATTCTCTTCCAGAGGTCTCTTAGAAGGAGAGTCTTGTAACTGTTGCTCCTGGAGTGCGGCTTCATGCTTCTGTTTCGTTTCCGTCTCAATCAGATCTATGGCTCGTCTGCAGATGTCGAATGCTTTGCGAAGATCGCCTGTTTGACTGGCTACTTTTCGGGAGCACAACTCGATTGCTGCTGGATGAAGGAATGGCAGATATTCGGGTGTCGGAGAGTCTGCAGCCAGAAGCGACTTCAGTCGCGTTGTAATGACCGTCTTGATCTGTATTACGGTATAGGGTAGGAATGGAAGCAGTTGAGGCTTCAAATTTCGGGCTTTCAGTCGTGGTAAGAATCGATCTGTCAGATCCAAAGCATTGGCAATTCCAATCAGGACTAAGTGGGAAGACTTCTGCAAGGACCACTCGAATAGCTTGTACAGAATCTCAAGATCCAACGAAAGGACGTGGTCGATCTCGTCCAGGGTAACCACATAGACTGACTTCGTCTTCTTCTTTGGTACGAAGATAGCTTGAAGCGCCTTGAGCTCGTCTCCTTCCAATACATCAACTCCTTCGCAGAAGGTCTCCAACAACTTGCCGTACAGATCTTTCGACGTCTTCATACTCATACAGTTGATGTACTCTTTGCGCAAAGTCGCAGATTCTTCGAAAGTCTCCGTGACTTCGTTTACCATTGCGCTTTTTCCCGTTCCTGGTGGTCCGCTAACATATATACATCCTCCTGAGGTCTTCTCGATACCTCTTTCGATGAAGCTTGATAACTCTTCTCGCTCTGCTTCTCTGCCGACAAGTTTGCCAGGTTCTGAGCTGCGGATGAACAATTGTCGCGCTTTGCTGTACACGGTCGAAATTGATGCACCTGGAGTGGATGGAGTGCGAGGTGTTCGAGGCGTCAATGGCTTCCCACCAACGATGACTCTGTGTCTCGGTGTAATCGTTCCATTCTTGGAGAGCGCGTCTCTGTGGCGAGGTGTTTGAGGTGTGGGATTCTGTACAATATGCTTTTCAGCGACACCATGCTTGACTGGTACAACAATGGTGAAAATGCTCTCGGAGCCCTCATCCAGGTGCATTGGCTCGCCATCGTGATCCGTGTCGCGCGAGAAGTTTCCCACAAATGGATTCTCATTCTCGTCGTTGAAGATCTCAGGTCGACCTTGACGCTTGACGCGTTTGGCGATGGGTTTTGACTTGGCCGATTCGAGATTGAGAGCAGCGCTTCTCGTTCGCTTCCCTAAGACAGAAGTCGCCATGGTGGTGGATGTGCGTTGCTGTGTGAAAGGACCGTTGGTAGAGGAGGAAGGTGGGATGCAGGTAGGCGGAAATCTGGGTGTCGATGGAGGTAATTGAGGTTGGAAATTTCGGTGGTTGACCGAGATATTTCCTCACGTCGCGTCGCGCTCCCCGACGCGTGAAGTGGCGCGTAAAGTGGAATATTTTCGCGGGTCTGAGCTTTTTGGCCTCACGTGAGAGGCACCAAGTCTGCAAGTCTGAACATCTCGGCCATTGCCATTGCCATTAGTGTTAGTGAGGAGTCCGTTCGGATTTTGTCACCCGGTTCTCTTTCTACAGTTCATACAGCTTTTGTCTTCTCTCTACTCTCTGTTTCTTCCTTTGCCGTACCTGTCGCAACATTCACTTTCTTCTAACTCATCACCGCCGTCCAATTCTGGTGTCTTCGCCAAGCATGGAAGCTCGGTTGGGGTTCACGGCACTCGGGCATCTGTGCGCTGTCCATGGCGAGGACGAGGACGTCTAAGACATTTCCCGTGGTTCCAAAGGTATCGTGTCCAAGATGGATTCATTCTTCTCGCAAGTCCAGCGGCAAAGCGAGTCACTTACGTCTTCCCGGCGCTTGCACTGAGGTATCGTTCCCCCTTTATGCACTTTCTGTCGTCTTGGCCCTTCTTGTAGCCGCCGGCAAGGATACTTCGCAGCGATGACTGGCCAAGCTGGCAGCGCTTTCGGACCCACCAATCACAGTGGTCTCACTTGCCCAGCGAAGTCCGTCGCTGCATTCGTGGGCGTTTGCTCCCAATCTATCATGAAATCTCCAGCTTCTTGAAGTATTTCCCCGTGTTCCGTTTCCTGTATCTTGTTCTCCCTTTCCGCCTCTCAGCTTTTGCGCTTTCGTATATCTACACATTTGTTTCATCAGTACTACCGTTGGTCTACCTCGTGGTCGCAGAAAAGCAGGCCCGGCCGCCTGAGATCCGTACACCCCGCCTTGCCCGCATCGCTCATCTGTGCCTCATCAGATAGCTCACCCACCGAAGACAACATCCTATAAATAACACTTCGTGCGTCACTTAGCGAATCTTAATTGGATCAGGAACCATCGACATTACTCCCGGTACCTGAATATGGCTTCGCGTCAAGGCAAGCCAGAGGAGGAGCTGTTCTTTTCGCGACCCTTGAATGGAGAGGACAGTCCTACCGTCGAACCTCTGAGAATCTCCAAACCTACCAGTCCCAAGCCACGCGCAGACTCAGCAGCGTCAGGTCGATTCAACTATCCGCCCCCAAGCAACAGTAGCAGTAAACTCACATTCCCTCTACCTCCCGGCGCCTCAAGCTCTGCGAGCCCTCTTCCCTATCCCGAGGACGAAGATTTATATGCAAAGCCTATCGAGTCTCGCAAGCAACGGCTTCCATATCCCGACGATTCGAGACCCAACCCGAACAGAACAGGATCTGGAGGGTCAAGTCAAGATAACAGCAGACCGTCACCGAGCAGGAAGGGTACAAATGACACAACTCCGCGAATAAGCACAAGTCCCGTCGACAAGAGAGGTCCAGGTCTGGCAGAAAGACGGGGGACTGCCCCTAAACCTCTGCCAGAGTCTCCAGGTCTAAATCTTCCTGACAAGGAAGGTTTGTTTGCGAAGCAACCCCGAAGAGACCCAAAACCTTCCCAAGGCGCAAGTCGCCCTGGTCAAACAAACGCGACCTCCTACCCCGAGTTTCGTCCACAGCAGCAGCAACAGTATTATCCTCCGCCTGTCCCAGGAGCAGCCGAGCTTAATGGGACGTCTGCAGATAATCCAAACTTGATAGCTCCCACTGCTAGCGCCATGAATCGTTTTGCCTCTACAGCGTCAACCTCAACGACAAGAGCTACTCGAGGTTCTCCCCCACCTCCAGAGACTCCCATTTTGGGTCCCGGTGATCCGGCTGGTGGTGGCATTGAAGCTCGTTATGCTGCTGCGGGCATATCAGGGACAGCTACTTTAAGTAGCTTACAAGCTCAGAATGCTGCAGCCGCACAAAGGATGAACCAGTATGGACCTCCACCAGTTCCTCAACTTCCACTGTCGCCAGGCTTTGCGCCAGCTCAGCCGCAAAGTATACCCAGGCCTTGGACACCTACAGAGTCCCCAGACAATCAACCGCATGGGCCTCCTACGGTCTATCAAGGTCCAAATCAAGTGACAGCCTCATCTTCCCCACCACGTCAGCAAGAACCGGCACGCCAACGCCCAGGCTCACAGCCGAATGCTCTGGAGCAAGACTTTCAACGCATGCAACTTTCTCCTTCACCACCTCCAGCTTATTCGAGCGTCACTCCAGGTGTGAATGGCAATGCTCAGTCATATCCTCAAGAAAAACGCTCTAATGTACCCGCCAACATAAGCACTGCTTCGAGGCCGGATATCGCTTCACCTATGACCTCGCCTGCATTGCAACATCCGGGACATCCCGCCTTTGCAAATGACCCAAGAGATGAACCCGCATATCCTCAGCAACCAGTACAGTCGATGGCCGCAATAGCCACAGCTGCACCTGTACAACAATTTGCTAATGCGTCACCCTTTCAAGGTGCTGGGCCTTCGTCTCCACCACCCCTTCCAGAAGGGTGGATAGCCCATCTTGATCAGAACTCTGGTCAATATTATTACATCCACCTACCCACACAAGCCACACAATGGGAATTCCCTAAAGGTCCACAACCTCTGAATGACATCGCGCCATTGTCCCCAACAATGTCTACCTATGGCAACCCACTGGCCTCGCCCGGACTCAGCGCATTTGGGAAGACTCCTTTGGGCTCCCCTGGCTTCCCACCACATACTCCTGGCTACGCCGAGAGTATAATGAGTATGACTTCACAAACACCCACTGCTGCTGGATTCTCCGGTCCTCCCCCAAGTGCTGGAGTTGATATGTATAAAGTGGCTCCTACAAATGGAGTGTATTTTGGTCCATACCTAAGATACGTCAATATGGACTTCGAAAGAGGCGTTTGGCTTGGTACCATCATGCTTGTAACTGATGCTTTACAACCTCCAACCATTCACATCCATCAAAGTGTTGATCTCTCTCCGAATCCGCGCCAACTAAAACCTAATCCAATCTTCACACATCAACGTTATACCTTCTATAGATACGATGTTGACCTGCAAATGGGAGATGGCCCGAGTGACAAGTGGACCTATGCTATAACATCACATCTTGGCTGTACTCGATATGAGTTCCTCGTGGCAGGCCGGTATGAGACGAATTGGCGATTTATAGCACATTCCGGAAATGACTTTGCAATGAACACGAATCTGAACGAACGTTCAAAGCTCGGTGGCATTGGCTTCATGTGGAAAGATATCTTGCAAAAGAATGTCGAGTGTGGTGGCTTTCATGTCCAGCTTGGATTGGGCGATCAGATTTATGGAGACAGGTTATGGAAAGAGGTTCCGCTGCTCAGACAATGGCTTGCCATGAGCGGCAAGGATAACCGAAAGAGCGCAGCGTGGACTGCAAGGCACGAGGAAGATGTCTCTCATGCTTATTTCCATTATTACACAAGCCATTTTGATCAACCGTACTTGAGGGAGGCATTCGCTCAAATTCCTCACGTGCTTCAAATTGACGATCATGATATGTAAGTTGAGCTTCTGAACTACCCGATCCAAGGTGCTAATAGATTACAGTTTTGACGGCTTCGGATCGTATCCCGAGTACATGCAATCATCAAATATGTTTAAAAACATTGGACGCATCGGCATTGAGATGTATCTTTTGTTCCAGCATCATACGACTTTGGAGATTCTCCGAAATGTTAACACTGACGTTGACCTCTTTACGATAACTGGAACCGGATGGCATTTTGTAAAGTATCTAGGACCTGCGGTTGTGGTTGTTGGACCAGACTGCCGCTCTGAGAGAAATCAGCGCCAAGTTCTGGCAGGACCGACGTATCAAGGAATTTTCCCCAAAGTTGCAACATTGCCACCAAGCGTTCAGCACTGTATATGGATGGTTTCCGTTCCGATTGTATATCCTCGCCTGGATACAATGGAGAGTATCACTCAAACTATATCAGCTGCGAAGAAGGGAGTCACTGGAACCTACAATCTCCTTGGGAAGGTCACGAGCTCTGTAGCCGGCGTTGTTGGAGGGAAAGAAGCAGTCGCTTCCGGTTTCTCGCAAGTAAAGAAAGCAGTCGGCAAGTCAGGCTTGATGGGCGGTGTCCTCAACACGTTTGGAGACATTGACATTGCAGATGAGCTACGAGATATGTGGACACATGAATCCAAAGATCTCGAAAGAACATACTTGATCAGGACGTTGCAAGGAATTGGACACCAGAAAGGCATCCGCATGACTTTCTTATCCGGAGGTAAGAGCACTTTTCTCTTATCGAGACGCATTGGCTAACTGCAACACTAGATGTGAACTGCTGCGGTGCAGGATTGCTGCATGATCCAAGTCACCCAAGTGACCACAAGACAATGTATCAGGTCATCTCCTCTGCTGTTGTAGCTGCACCTCCACCATCTTATGTCCTCAAGATGCTACACAACAACAAGCCTCTCTACGTGCCACAAAACGGCCAGAAGACCACCAACACAGTCTCAGACACAAAAGAAGACATGATGGAAATCTTCCAAACAGACACCAACGGTGGACCTCGAGAGATGAAGAAGCTGATGGGCAGAAGAAATTACGTTGCCTTTGTAGCATATGACCCTGAAGTCGTCGCCGGCACATCATATGCTGGCAGCATGCACAGCGGACAGCAAGGTCTAGCGAAGCTGAGTTTGGCGGTTGATTTTGTGGTTCAAGGAGATGGTGGTTTCAGTCCGCCCACCAAATACGGGCCAGTAATCATTCCTGGTCTTGAATTCGGGCGATAGGAGCGCTTTTAACGATTCCCTTTACAAAAGAAGATATCAAGCATTTCATGAAGAAGGAGTTGTAGGGGAGCGTTTGAATATTATTTTTGTTTTCCTCTATCTCCCACACAGCGAAGAGAAGAAATATGATATAAACCGAATCAAAGCTAGCATATGCACATTCGCTCAAACTCGAAGTGAACAGTCCTATCAAAGCATACTCCAATCCCCTCCATGACTTGGGAGTCACAGATCAAAGAGCTTCTTCACTTGTTGATATGTATCGTCTGGGTTCAAAACAGAGTGACCAATCGTCCTAGGATCTGAGTAGATCTCGTAGTCATTGCCATCCTTGTGCGTCTTGTCGCCAAAGAAGTGGATAGTAGTGTATTGAATTCCACCCGGCTTCTTAGCCTCGTTCTCCAAGTGCTGCAGACAATAAGTCTTATCCCATCCAGTAGGAAAGACATCGAACGATATCTGGCCACCAATCGAGTATCTGTACTCAACACACCAACATTAGCAAATATGATCATGCCACCTTGACCTCGTATGCAAAGGGCTTACTCACGTCAATCCCAGATCCGCAAACTTCTCCCTCAGAATAGCCACGAACGTCTCCCGGATCTTATGCTCGGCATCATAGGCATTGAAATCGTTTCTCTCCTGCACGCTCGCATTCCTCCCAACCGGACTAACATTAATCATCCCATTCCGAAACTCCACAAACGTGCCCCTCTTCACGGGGATATCCAGGTCCGCAACGTAGTGCAAGATGAACTTGACCAGCTGCTTGTACTTCTCCTCGCCGAGCCACTTAATGAACGAGTGCGAGGCGAGCGGGACGCCCATCTTGTAGGCCGTCAACCCGTTCTCCGCGAAGCAGAAGTCGAACATGGTCGTTACGGGGACTTCGCTGGTGCCGAGTTGCTCTTGTTGTTTGGCTAGGTCTGATCCGCCGACGTAGCCGATTGCGACTTTTTGACGCAGGGCGGCGAGGAGGGTGAGCATCTCGGGGCTTGCGAACTGTGAGTCGGGAAGGTTAGGATTTGGTGGGGAGATTGGGTGGGAGGTTTCGTGAACGTACGCGGCGGGGGATTGTGAGGGTGTCATCTACGTCGAAGAGGCAGATTGTGTTCTTGATCGGGCGCTGGTCAAGCGGTGGGTAGGCTGCTGTGCCGGCCATCTTGAAAGTTCGAGGTGTGAGTTTCAGAGACTAATTGGAAAATTGGCTGAGGAAGACAAATTTGTTTGTGTAGAAGTTGAGGCGGTCTGTCTGTTGAACAACATGGGGAAGAAGTTATGTTCTGCAGGGTAAGCTACTTAGCGGGCAAGCCCCTGTAAATTGACCCCTCATTTCTCAATTCGGCACCAGTTTCAAGCCGCGCACGCTGTGGCTGGGAATTGGAGCACACCCTTTTCGTCCTGTAATATTGCATTCGGAATTAGTTTTAGATACTTTCACAATTTAATGTTGATCAAGAGGAATTGATTTCATCTGCTCTCACCTCGATGCCACATTTTTATCGTTGACAAAGTTTTGAAGAAGTATATATATTGGAGATGATTATGTACAGCAGGGCCGTTGGACGAATCATTACTCCTCATCGATGACAACCCCCCATTCATGATCTACGTTGCCGTACATAATGTCACCCAACCACTACAAGGCAAAGTATTAGCATTTTCACTTTTGTCGGACGAGGGATTCATTACCTTCTTCAGCAGCGCAGCATAATGACCACATGAGCCATCTCCCATGGGGATCTCGAATTCTTCATCTCTGAAGTTGATAGCCGAGATTGGCGTAATAAAGTACTATTGATCGTTAATGAAAATCTTGTGCTTGCATGCCCGAGTTCACTTACAGCGGTCCCTGCAACAAATGCTTCGACAAGTCGTCCCTCGTTAGAAGCTTCGACGAGCTCAGACATGGTGAATATTCTCTCTACAATCTCAATGCTTCCCAACTCGGATGTGATATATTTCGATCCCTTCACCAGCCTCTCCCTAGCCAGATCAAGCACACTTCCTCGAGTGACGCCTTCAAGAATAATCTTTCCTTCCAAAGGAGCAGTTACAAGCTGTAATGCACCTTCCTTCGTCTTCCAGACAACAAAGAAATTGCTAGCACCCGCTTCTGTAACATGTTGTTCAGGCCCAAGCAGCCAAAGGATCTGGTCATAACCTTGCTTTCTTCCTTCCATATGAGCAACGAATGCAGGGCCATAATTGGCACCGACCTTTGCGTATCCAAATCCACCTGGCCAAGCTCGAGTATCGTTCTTGGAAGCCAGTAATTTGAGTCCTGGCTTCACTCCAGGACCAGGAGTAGAAAAGTCCGGCCATAGAACGGCTACCATGAACAAAAGGACTTCTGCTGGGGCAGTGACTCCGATCTCCTCGCCATTACCAATAATAGCTGGACGTAAGTAAAGGAATGTCCCAGATCGAGATTTGGGGAGCCATTCTATTATTGTCAGTCCGGTTGATAAGCATTTAAGGTTAGACAACTTACTGGGACCATCTATCGCCAAGAATGCTTTCATCAACTTCTCCAACTCCTGAGTATCAAATTGCGGCAACGCCACACGAGCAGAACTCATGTTCAATCTAGCACAATTCTTGTCCGGTCTGAATAAACGAAGCTTGCCGTCATAGCCACGGTAAACCTTCATTCCTTCAAAACACTGCGTGGCGTAGTGAAGACAAGATGCAATTGGCATCATGGTCAGAGGTCCATACTGCTCGATCACAGGGGAATGCCATCCAGCATCGCTCGTCCACGTAACCTTGACCATATGATCCGTACCTAAAATCATTAGCTGAAGGCTTGCACTGTCACCATAAATCTAGTTACAGGTTTTCATATTGGTGGCCTCTTTCGAATTGGCCGCAGGAACATCTCGTGGAGCGGTAGCTCGAGTAATTGTAAGCTTTGAGGCGTCGAGCTCTTTGATTGCTGGCTCGTCGTGGGCTACAGCCTTGGCAGCTTCGATGCCGGCTTGGGTGAGATGACTCCCACTTTCTACTGCATGGCCATTCATCATAGCGGTACGGAATTGAATTGCTTCAAGAGCTTTTAAATCTCAGATAGAGGTCAGTATTTCATGGAGTATGAAAATTGAGTACGTATGATCTCGTGGGAAGCGGGACAATGTTGACTCACCGTAATAAGCAAATCGGCGGGAAGGCGTAGGTATTCGATAGCCGGCTTGAGCTTATCCAAAATTGAAATAGCTGCAGCAGTTTAGTAATTGACAATTGAGAGTTTGAGGAAAGAAGATGACATGGAATTTTTTACTCAAATCCCTTGTTATCTAAAAATCTCCTGAAATGGACTCTGACTCGATGTTCCTGGAATGGACGTACCCCTGTAAGATGGAGACGGCTGTAGCTTATCGTAGATTTCTGGACTAGGGAAATGCTATCACCTAACCTCAGATCTATTTACTTTTGGACAAATCTGCTCAATAATTTAAGTCCACGATTAGTAGTACTCAAGAAATGAATATCCAAGTGTTAGGTTTTGATTTGGGAAAACCTCGACCAAAACCGCCCCGGTAACCCTTAATCGTGTTCGTCACGTGCCGTTGAAAACCTGTAGGTCGACCACAAATATCTTAGATTATGGAGTTCTGCTGCATTAACTGCGCCCTTGACGTTCAATTATTGCCTGGTCATTGGACAAAAGTGCGAGGTTACGATACATTGCATTCTCCACATTCTGCCTCGTTCCAGAAGTGCGATATCGGAGTTAAGCCTCGGTCAATATCCATCTGACCAAAATGCACGAGATGTGAAACATAACCATAGACACAAACTTATTGGATTTGTTATAACTTTGAAGCCCAACTCGAAACTCAGACTGTATTTACATGCTATCCTCTTAATCTCCAAGAACTCTTTTCTTCACTTCATGCTTTTCCCTCCTCAGCTTACTCCATTATTGCTAGACATTCACAGTGATCGCTTGAACATCGATTCCTCGGATAACCTTTGAATTCACCTTTCGACATGATACTAAGGAGAGCCAATTGGATTGTGAAAAGTAGATTTGCTGCACGTCGCAAGTACGTTGACTGTCCATATTAAAAATCTGAAAAGTTAGGCTTCAAGTTCAAGATCGATTCAAGTTTAATTCAAGTTTAATTCAAGTTTAATTCAAGCTTAATTCAAGCTTAATTCAAGCTTAATTCAAGCTTAGTTCAACTTCAACTTTAGACTCGCTAGCAATTCACCTTCAAGTCAAGGTTTTATTGCGTATTGTAAATACGGTAGTCAATATGCTAGTCGTTCAATACCAAAAACAAATACAAAAGTTGAGTTTCAAATCTTGACACATAGACATTTCATTTCCAAACTTAAGATATAAATGTGCATGAACGGCTAGTGTTGAGTCAGAACCATGTTCTGCTTCAAGGTTTCTGTACTGTCTACTTACTTGATATTGCCCTCAGGACCTAAAATCGCTCCACTCTTATTAGAATTTGGATCAGATGGCGCTTGCACTTCGAGACTACTCATCAGACACCAAGTGCAAACACTGCCATCGTCTTCAAGTCCCGAGACTTTTGACTCTGTCAAGCTCCCACTCCCGACCACAGAGTATCAACCGAGATGTCACAATGAATCCTCGCTCTTCAATTGGTCGTTCATTTTGTCCGGTTCCCAATACATCCGACTTTCAAGGACCTTCCCCCGACATTGGAAGGTACTTCAATGTCGCTGCTTTTGCCAGACTTTTCGTTTCCGAAAATCATATTGTTCGTCGGGACTTTCACTCGGTTTTGTTGCCCTGACTACACTTCTGAGCACAACTAATCCACTTTGTCGAGGTTCATGAAGATGGACATTGACATGAAATAGCTGCTTGTAAGAGAGAAGAATTTTGTAGTGCTTTGTGGCGAAGGTGAATAGTATCGCCAATCTCTATGCACTGTAGAGACCATGGCGAAGCATGTTCAGCGAATTGGCTCGTTACTGAGACTAGGCAATGCTCATTGGATTTCGCTTGGGTATCGAACTTGAGTACACATAACGGTGACTCTGTATCCGTTGAGTCTTCGTAATTTGCGCTCGAATGTGAAGATGGCACCACCTTGCTGCGTGTTGTAAGTTTGGAATGTTTGGAACTACGGGGATATGTTCTCCAACAAGGTATTGCACATCGACCTGAAGAGCTGGAGGACACAGGACAAGTAAAGAAAACGTTACATGACTAAAGAAGGTCAGGTGGACTTGGTCGGTCTCTAGCCCCGCATAGCCAATCAGCTCCGAGAATAAAGCTTTTGTTGCACATCTACCGGGAAAAAAGACAAACTTCCGATCTCTGTAGAGAATACTGCAAAAGTGGGTGCGATATGCAACAAAAACTTTTCATATGCTGGGATTGGTTGTTTTTCGGTAAGATGAATGTAGTGTCTATACGGAAACTGGACATTCGAGGCTTGCGATATCCAGGTTAGAGCATCAGAAAGCCTTGTGCTCATCACTAGTCTCGGCGAGAGACCGAGTGATTTACTCTTCCAAAATATCACAGAAAAGAATAAATGAGACAACTTTAAATCTGGATCTTGCAAGGTCATTGACAAGATGACTTGGATCTCTTGACCCTGGTAATAACAACGAAATGCACTCGGGTGTAAACTTTGTCACAATTTCAAATTCTTGTATAAGTGTTTTCCGGTGCGGTGCAAGAGTGGGAGATAGTGCGACTTAATTTGTGGGGGCTATTGTTGTTCATAATTCCTGCTTAAATTGCATAGATATAATAGAGAAAGTGTGGGGAACTTTGCCATGTCTGCAATAGTACAAGGTAACTTTCCTCGATTGTCTTCGAGGAAGCACTCGTCCTTTCGAATTGAGTCCTCAGTGAGGCACTTGCTTCTCGAGTTACAGTTGTTCTTTCAAAAGACACAACCAAACATATGAACAGCACTCGTAAGCAAGGCTGCCTGATCGATGTTGTGTACAAGCAATTTCGATGCTCTGTAGTGTAGTTGTCTATGTTCTGTATGGCATATGACCGGGTGGCTCCGTCATGACATTGCCCACTGGCATTGGCAAGGTATGTACACGTCGTCCCTGCATCGATCGAGTGAAGTATTTATGCTCAAGCCTTCGTTTCAGTGCCTCCATTGCTGTCTCCAGACCTCGAATCTGATGCCTCCGAGTTGGCTTCGTCGACCTTTGCTCGTTCCGACTCTTCGAATGAGGCAAGCAGATCGTCGATCTTCTTTTCGAGACTCGTGAGATGCGACTCAAGTGCTTGTGCCGTCTTTTCACCTCTGCTCTACATGTTAGTAGTGAAGCATCGAGACAATGGGAGCGCGCAGCGGTTAATTTAAGATGTTCCGCCAACCACGGAAAGGCTGCCGGTAGTCTATGCCAAGATGCAAGCGATCTGCGTCTAAAAACCGCCACTCTGGAGAAGGAGGATGTTAGACCGGGACCGAGATCTAGATCACTCGATTGATCTGACCTGATCAAACACGGATATATCATCACAGATTAGGACTTCTGACTTGCAGAGCATGGAGTGGAGAAAAAGATGTTCCGCGGAGATGCTCAATTATGGCAAGCTTTAAAGGGATACAGAATTTGCAAGCCCTGCAATGCGGCTGGCGAATTGCAAGATGATAATGGCAATGTGAAAATGGCACGTACTTTGCAATTTGGGTCCAAGCTTCAGAGATAGAGATCTAGAACATGTTAGAACATCTGTGGCGCCAAGAAAATCCAGAAGCGCGCGAGGTGCAGCAACACCAGGTGGGATGTAACCCTAGTTCGTTGTGAATCTGATGATTGAATTGGTGTCCCGTCCGCATGGGAATCTCAAATTGCAGGGCTAGAACAGTCATATCATGACATTGCATAGCCGTCACATGTCTGGCAACCTGCTTGGGGTAGTCGAGACTTCTTGCTCCCCAATCCGGATGTCACGACTGCCAATGATAGAAACGCAAAATGAAATCAATGTACACGTACCTGCGCTAAATCAGCGTCAGTATCTGACACTTCTGCATGGTCACCTTTCGAGGAATCGTTCGATGAGGCCATTTTTGTGGTGGCTAGATGCTCTAGCAAAGTAAGTCCAGAGGAGCGTTTTATCGTGAAGCGAGTTTGGGAGCGATCATGAGACAGCCCCGTCCAGGATCAGAGGTGTGAAGTGGACGAGCACGGAGCGTCTTATTCGACAGGTTCGCAATGATCCCGGACTCGCGCGTACCGAAGATCTGAGGAATGCTGTGATGCACTGATGACAGTTGGCGAAATAATCAGATGGAGTGTTGATGGACTTTAATCCCCGTTTGTGTTTGTGGCGCAAAAGAAAACTGAGCCAGGCCGCATCGGTTTAGCAGCTCAGTTCTTCATTGCCCTCACTTTCAACCTTTTGGAACTTCGTGAGCATGTTCTACAATGCTTGCTACTCTCGCCGAAGAACTTTTTTAAAACAGCATCTTTTTTTCCGGATGAGGTTTGGATTATGTATATTATTTTTAAAACATGCCGTTATTAACCTTCAATATACACAATTATCAATCTGCTTTTTTGGAGGTATCAAATGATAGATGGATTGAATTGAAGATTGTAATTGACCGGGGGTTTTTCAAGCTGTATTAGGTCTTATTTCTCGTCTTCCTTCTTGTTTTCTAGTCTTTTGACTTCCTTAGATTTGAGGTCATTTGAAGTCATTTCTTGCGACACTGTTTATACTCCTTCCCCAATTTCAGTCTGGATCACTTTTACAAGGCGCCAAGCAAGTGCACAAAACGATAGCAGTAGTTTTCATTCCTCGACCAGACACACTGACCGTGCTCTGGCAACTATCGACAGACCATAAAATATTTTCACGGCTTGAAAGTATAGTCTCTCATTCATGCTTTTGAAAAGTCCCACAAGAAACAACGAAAAGATGACAACGCCTGTTCCTAGGAAGCAGCGCGATCAGGTTCCGCGAGATTCTCGGCATGACTTCATAGGAATTGATGGAAGACTAGACCGCAAGCAATCTCTGTTGATACTCAGCATCATCATAGACTGAGTGCCCAATCGTTACCTCTTAGCTAGAACTCAGCGCTACCGAAACCAATTGCTCGCGGTCAACACCGTACAGAAGCACTCATAAGAAGTACCAACCTTATGCAATAACCAGGTCGTCCTTTGCTTTGCAAAACTTTAAAAAGGCCAGGAGAATAAATGTCCCCACGTGACTGGGGGCCGAAAGTAAATACCCGGGTACCTCTCTCCACCAGGCGATTGTTTCGTTCAGTAACATGTGAGTTGCTATTCCTTCCCAAACGTAGACGAGGCCGGCGATACTGTCCTCTCATTGCGGTGTCCATTTACTTCGCAGCATACCTAGCTAGAGGCACCTAAGGCATGTCAAAAATTCGACGGCCCTGCACGAGAGCTGATGGGACTGTAAAGACGCACAAGAGGTCTGCGAGCTACCATGGCGTACATAGAAGGCGAGGAAGGTTCTCCGTAGTAGTAAAAAAAGACTTGCCCTGGTTCTGCTCTGCTCTGCCCTGCTTCGCTTCGGCTCTTCTTTCCGTGCGGCAGGCATGTATGACCTACTTCGAAGGAGATGGGCATCAATTGGCTACCGGGTGTTGGGGTCGAGCAGAAAATCTGGCACGGTTCGAAATGTCCCATGCGTGGAAAAGGGCGAAAGAGGGCCTGCCATCGTGGTTTTATACGACCATCGGCCTTTTGCGTCTTACGGTATCTGGCACCATTGGGCTATTCTACGCTACTGTAGGGTACAACAATCCAGTGCGACGACTATGGTCCGAACCACAGGCGAGGCGACGCTCCTCTAACCTGACCGGTACAGCATATTCTACGCTGGCCCTGGCAAGCTTGGCCCAGGTCAAACGCCGACTGCAGGCGGCAGCGTATCCCTCGATCACCTCAGGAGGGCGAATCTGAAATTGCATCACCTGTCTCTCTTTTCCATTCTGCCTTTCGCCTGCGTTGCCTCTTTCCACGCAAGCGGGCAGGCGTAGCGTCGCACGAGAACGATGATGCCGAAAGATCGGGCCTCCATAGGTTGCGTTGGTTGAATTTGCCTTTCCCATGTTTCGGAAGAATGTCCATGTGTCGATGGCGATGGCGATGTGCGATTGTTCGATGTGTCGGGCGGGCACCTTAGGCCTCACTTCCTGGAATGCCCTCTTTGGGCTAGTGAGGGTCGACCCGACGAGGAGCGAGTAAGGTCGTATCCGTACAGAATGAATTACTAGGAAGTAAGTATACTTCACGATGGTCTCGGTACATCCCATCCGCACGTTCGTCGACGTCGCTCCTGTGTGCGGTTACAGGTGCGAGAGGTGGAGCGGACACGACCACGATTCAGGACTTGGTATTCAATATTGCCTGCTAGGCCAAGAACAGACAGTGCCAGTGCCAGAATGCAATCTGCAATATGCATGGCATGCTAGAAAGATGGGCCGGACGCAGTGCAGCCAGTGGAGAAGAGGTTTGTACGACCATCATCATCGTGTCCCGGGCTCGACCGAGAAAGGGAAAAGTTCAGAAATACCGTAACAAGACAACAAGCCCACCCCGTGGACGGAGGGATCCCCAGCTCCGCAGCGTCTGCTCGATGCCAGATCATTTCTGTCTGCTGCCGCTTGCCCCTGGCTTTACCCTGTTCTGCCCCACTAGCGAGAGCCATGCAGGTTTGCAGCGGCCAGCGCTGGGGTTGAGAAATCTTGCATGGCCTGGATCAGACGCAAATCTGCTGCTTATTCTGCCTCCAGCACCATCGCAGACTGCCCCCGAATTCTCAATCTTCCGTCCCTCCTGCGGTGGAAAAAAGAGAAGAAGATGGTCTCGTACCCTCCTGACCTACCCTACAGCAAATTACCATGCCGCCCGTTGCTCTCGGCTAGCCAGATTCACAATAGCAGACAACGGCCACGGGCATGCCTGCTACTGCTGGAAACCCGACCCTCTTGTCTTCAACTCGATCCCTTCGCATCCATTTGTGAATTTCCCCTTCCCACTCCCACTCGATGTTGTTCTACTAGTCACCACTACTCCTCCTCGTGCCCTCCTTCGATCTTTCTTCTTTATACGTACATCCAGGCAACATACACGGACGCCTTTCGATTCTTTTAATACTTTTTATTCCCGTCTCCCTCCCCTTCCCTCCCCCCCACACCCTCAAAACCCGCTCAGCTCGAGTACATACATCATACTGTAGACTTTCGGTATCCGTTGCCAACGAATCACGCCCTGCTCTGAAAACTCCAGCGGAATCCCTACAGTATCTACCCACTCAACCAGACTCGCTGGTCGCGAGTCAAGATTTACCCGTTGCCCATCTCGATCTCCCACTAGAACCATCTTCTTCTAGCCCCGAATTTCGCACCAAGTTTCGGTCGATCTCTACCGGAGCCGTCCCAGCGTGTACTTACTTCTGAAAGGTAACATTCCTGGCGTCACTCTCCACACTTTCCAAGCTCCAATTCGAGATAGGCGGATGGCAAACGGTAATTTTGAGTGCCATTGCTCTTATGAATTATCTGTACCTGGTTCAATGAGCTGACAATAGACGGCAAAGTTTTTCTCCTCCTATATCGACCGGACACCCCTCCGAAGAGACCGCAATCAAGCGTCACAAGAACCATTTACTGTCACTGAAGAACAATCAAGTCTACGAATTTACATCGACGACGTATATAGGTCACCACTCAGAAAGCCTCTCACGATCAATCACAGCCAAGACTCGTCCACGACACCTTTGGACTTTTGAAATACTTCTGGCATGCTCGAGAGCGATAACCAGCTCCCTCCGACGCACCATTGACCTTTCATGTCCAGTAGCCTTAGTTGATGGTATTCTGCGTGGTAGACATCAATGCTCGTTGCACGAATATTTGTTTCAGACACCCACTCGAGGTCAACAAATCCCAAACTGTTAGACGGATTGGTGTGACAAAAGACTATCTTGAAGCTCCTCGTAAGGAAGGACTCGGTGCCACACAAGCTGACTGTTGATTCGGGTTCTGCGAAGTGCGAAGTGCAAAGATCATTGTGTAGTACAGGCCTGGAGAGTTTCCAGACGCTGTCTACTGTATGACTGAATTGGCGGACGTATTCGCAGAGCTGGGTATCTCTCACTACCTCCACGACTTCCTCGAACAAGGGTTTGATACCTGGGAGACAATCCTCGACATTACAGAGTCGGACTTCGATGCCTTGGGTGTCAAGCTTGGCCACCGGAGGAAACTTCAGCGGAAAATCGCCAACTCGAGAGGCTTCTCTTCGGATCGAGCATTAGCTTCGCCTCGAAATACACCAACAGATGACAGGCAACCAGACGAGCTGAAAGCAGGCAACATAAAAGCTGAGAGCAAGGATGGAAGCGGTATATCCCATGGCGCAAAGAGAAAGTATCGACGACATCCAAAGCCTGACGAAAATGCACCCGAGCGACCACCTTCTGCATATGTCATTTTTTCGAATAAGATGCGCGAAGAACTCAAGGGAAGAAATCTGTCTTTCACAGAGATTGCCAAATTGGTGGGCGAAAACTGGCAGAATCTCTCCCCCGCAGAGAAGGAGCCTTATGAACAGCAGGCCTTTTCTGCAAAGGAGAAATATAACAATGAACTCACCGAGTACAAGAAGACGGAAAACTACAAGGAATATTCGCAATACCTAGCGGAGTTCAAGGCGCGGCATTCAACAACACAGCAAGGTAAGCTAGTTGTTTATACTCACCTTCACCAGTACACTATCTTAACAAATTTTCGTAGCAAATGACTCCGATGCAGCCAAAAGACCAAAGCTCGAGGCACATGCGAGTGCGGTGAGCAGTGGCAGCAGTGCTACAAGTCAACATGGTGGTGATACACCCATTGGTCGCATGCGTGTAGAATCATCCGCTTCAATGACTGGCCAATGGCATCCCTCGGAAGGACAGACCTCACCTCAGTTATCCAACATGCCCAAACTATCAGTTGCGCTTGGAGGTCCAAAGCCGCAGGTCTCGCCAAGTGCGCCATCTCCAACCGTACTCCCCGGATATCGCGACTCTCTCTATGGATCTCATCAGCAGCTTCACCCTTGGAGAGAAGGTCAGCGAGACGATACTCTAACCAACCATCAGCAGCTTCCCCGATTGTCCAGCGTCACGGACGGACGATCAACGTTGTCTGGAACACAAGCTGCCGATCCACGCAACCTCACTGGATCCCAACAGCATGCCCATCGTTCAGCACAGGCACAAAGTCATCCTCCTCCATTGTTGACCTCTGAGTCGACGAATAGGTCGACTACTTCTTCAGCCAGCACAGGATCCTCTGCTTTTTTTACTCCTCGCACGCCTCTGGAGCCTCCACTCGAACGCTCCCTTCCCATACCATCACTTTACTCGCAGAAATCGTATGAGAATCAATTACCACCTCTGCGACCCCCATCTCTATCCCCTCAATCGACCTTGGTAACCACGCAGCAATCTCCAAATCGTACGTCAAATCGTTTAATTATTGCGTGTCTCATTCTTGCCATAACAAACAATGTTTTCAAAACTTTTAAGTACTTACTAGATCATAGCAATTCATGCCATTGTTGACTTGCAACCTTCGATTCCACCGATCCGCGGCTATGGATCCGCGCAGCCACAAGGTGCTCTCACTACCCGACCTGATCCCCGACTTCGAGAATATATTTCGAATTCTGTCGACGATAACAACTTAGATCCGGTGAGCGCATTGCTGCGGGCGGGAGAGATCGTCGACAGAGGCGATAGGAACAACGGTGGCCCTCCGGGGCCATAAAGCCATATTTAATGTGCAAAACTTCGGCCGCGTCAGTACACGAAAGACAACGCCGCTTCATTCCAATGGAAAGGTGAATAAAGGGTCATTGCTATAGGTGGTCATACTGTAGTGCTCAAGAAACGGACCTGGCGCTTGGAGTTCAGGTGGTGTAAACCATGGTATGATGAGATTCCCCAGATCTGTTTGTTTATCTACCCAGAATAGGGGCATTTTGGGTGGCGTTCAATCGCACCCATATGTACGAAATGAAGATATGATTGCATCCAAAACCTGCTCATGATAATCTGAAGTGGTACAACGTGAGCCCTTTTATTTCGAAATGCAAATTCTCGAGCTCACCCATGACGAAAGTGTTGAAAAGAGCGGGGCGTCCAGATAGGGATACTCATACATGAGACTCTCCTTGATGTTTGGAGAAATCAGGCCACTTTATAAAAGATTCCCCTTCAAGGAGGGTTGACTCCGGCCGGACATGTCTCCGGGAGTGCAGGAGGGGGCGTCGATTGGTCTGTTTGAGAACGCCCCTTCCATGCTTTTTGCGTCTTGGACTCGTGCCTTGATCAGGGACATGCAAGAAGACTATAGTAGAGATATTATCGAATATCAACAGCCTACCGGATACGAAGGGTGCACAATCTGATAGTGGAGTCCCTCAATTTCTTTGTCAATACAGGGGTTACTTAGAAATTGACATTATTTCTTCATAACCTGTGTAAATATTCTTGCACCTCATCTGCAACACCTTTTTTGTTGTTGTTTCTTTAAAATGACCTTCCAAGGTTGTTGACCTACCTACCCCCACGTGCTAATGAACTTTGAAGAGGGGTTGTTCTGCCAAGAAAGGCAAGCGGGGTCATTCTGCCGACATTCTCCGCCTACTGTAAAAACGTGTTGATGCTTAAAAAAAAAATCCAATTCTCCCTCTGTCCAAACATTTTTTGATTAGCAAGGCATAACCACTTCTTAAGCCCAGTCTAATCGTACTGGTCCGACTTCCAAGAATTATGGATCACGGACTCAAAGCTATCAAGTACGAAAGCGGCAAGCTTCTCGTCCTTGATCAGCTAAAACTCCCGCATGAGTTCGTCTACGACAATGTATCGACGTGTGAAGAGGCATTTGACTGTATAAAATCTATGCGCGTCAGAGGTACATCTTAGGGTTTCTTGGTGGGATGAATTCTAGCAGCTAAGGCTTGACCAGGAGCTCCTGCAATTGCAATTGTCGCAGCACTGGCTCTGGCGGTTGAGCTGTGGCATAAGAAGGATGGTAGGCTTGTTACTTACATGCGATTCTATGAGCAGTTGCTGATTGGAAGTCTGCAGATGCTAGTACGAAGCAAAATCTCGTGGAATATATCAATCGGAAATTGGACTACCTGATGGAAAGTAGACCAACGGCCGTCGACCTTTCCAACGCCATCAGACTTCTCAAGACACAGACCCAGAAAGCTGCAGCTGATACGACTACATCCGACGAAATACAAGCATGTGATAGTATACGAACGCGGTTCGTCCAGGTTGCGAAGAAAATCTTTGATGATGATCTTGCCACGAACCAGAGAATCGGAATGTGGGGAGCAGAGTACCTGAGAGCATTGCAACCGCCAGTGACCGATGCCGTTGCTGCCAGTAACGACTTCAGGTACTATACTACAAGTCCACCTGGTACTCAGGGGGCTTCTGATCAGACGTATAGAAAGATCAGCGTCCTGACACACTGCAATACTGGGTATGTGATCACCAACTCTGAAAGTCTCAAGAAAACGCGAAATTTACCAATATTAGCTCTCTTGCCACATCTGGTGTCGGTACGGCTCTAGGTATAATTCGCAAACTCCATGATATGAACTACCTGGACCACGCGTACTGCACCGAAACCAGACCTTACAACCAAGGTTCCCGCCTCACAGCCTTCGAACTAGTATACGAGAAGATCCCCTCCACGCTCATAACCGACTCCATGGCCGCCTCCCTCTTCAAAACCTACAAAGACGAAAAGAACATCACTGCCGTAATCGTAGGCGCCGACCGCGTAGTCCGAAACGGAGATACTGCTAACAAAATCGGAACCTACCAACTCGCCGTCCTCGCCAAAGCCCACGGCATCAAATTCGTCGTCGCTGCTCCAACCACTAGCATTGACCTCGAGAAGGAAAATGGCGATCTGATCAAGATCGAGAATCGAGCTCAAACAGAACTCACTCAGATTAGCGGAGCGGTGGTGGGTAAGGATGGTAAGGTGGACGTCAACAATACCGCTAGGGTAGCTATTGCGGACCAGAGAATCAATGTCTGGAATCCCGCGTTTGACGTTACGCCCTATCAGCTCATTGATGCTATTATCACAGAACATGGACCGGTGCCAAGGAACGCGAAGGGGAAGTTTGATTTCAAGGCTATCATGCCGGAGAGGTGGAAGGTGCAAGTTGAGGATGGAGAGGCGGTTGTGAATGTGGCGGGGACGGCGGTGAAAATGAACGGCAGTGATGGGTTGCAGTTCCAGATGGAGGGGGTTTAGTAACGAGACGATTTGGGATGAGATGAGATGAATTCTTGTTGATATTGAAAATGGTTGGCTTTACAAAAGGGATCATGGATAGATGAGTGTCTTCGGACTTTTCTAGGATACTTTAATTCAGACATTGAGTGACAAGTCTGTTCTGTTAGTGATGATCCGTGTATCAGTCTAGAATCTGTTGAAAGTCTCCTAAAGACGAGGGTATCTTTGAAAAGGCGACACATTTCGAGCACGGTATTTAGCCATTTTCTTGTCTAACATGAACATTCCGAAAGAAACCTTAGTTGAGCTCCGCATTCCCTCACGATACTCTCTCGTTAGTCTGACATGTCATCTCTAATTTTTATCCTTGGTAACTGTGATACTTGACTATTGTAAATCTCATCTCGTCAATATCTGTTCAACCTTCCTGGAAATTCATACTTTCTCTACTACTACTACTTGACAACCAGATATTTGAAATTTCCTCGCGTTTCGCGCTAGCTGCGCTATATGCGCGGTTTGCGCTGTCTGCGCTGTCTGCGCTGCATGCGCATTTTGCGGTCGAGACCTCAACAACCCAACTCCAACTTCTCGAAAATACATATCCCTTTTCTTACATTGAAGATTCACACACCAAGAACTAACAGCAACTGAACCACAATAGACAAAGACAGTAACATAGAGAGAGCATGGTTGGATCACGCTTGGGTGTGGAAATTGATAGTCATGAAGCAATAGTCGGGTTCAGACAAACAAAGATGGATAATGAGGCAGAGGAGAAAATGTATTGAGAGGGAGGAACTAGAGCAATTTATCAAATGAAGTAGAGGAAGTTATTGAGTACAAGAAACAAATAGCCTGTGTTGACATGAGGATTCTCGCTTAGATACTGTAGAAAAAGGAGTAAGAGAATCACTCACTGCCTCGCATCGGCCGCAGCGTCACATAAATGAAAAGGGCGCATGTTGGAACAGAATCACAAGCACGATGATGATTTGATTTTAGGACTTTGCAATGTGATTCAAGTATTTTGTGCGCCTAAAATACAGATTTACGTGAATGCCAGAACCATCCCAAGAGCGAAATCAAACGGACGGTTTTGCAGAAATTTAAATGCAGCGCATCTGAGGGGGATCTTCCAATTCCTTTACTTGAACATTCCTCCGATTCTGTCCCTGGTATCTCGGCTCGACTCCCGCACTCCGTAACCTCGTACCTCATCTACGATGAGCTGCGGGTGGTACGCTTCTCAGTCGTCTTGGCGGCATCAACTCCTGAAGCAACAGCCTCAGAAACCTTCTCCTTGGCGTCCACAGCGGCGGCCTTGGCCTTGTCGGCAGCCTTCTTGACAGCCGGGGGAGGGGTGGAACCAGACATGGAGACAACACCGACGATGATGGCAAGAAGAGTAACAGCGACAGCGGCAAGACCACCAGCAGCCTCAGGAACGAACTTGATGGCTTGGATAGGGTCGTTCTGGGCGATGGTGAAGAAAAGGTCGAGCTTCTCGCGGATGTAGTGGACTGGGTCATCCAGGAAGACGAGGTCTGAAGGAGACTTTGGTGCCGGCTTGTCCTCAACCTTGGGCTTAGACTCAATCTCAAGAAGTTGCTCGATGGGGTGCTTCTCCTTGAAGGTCTCCTCAGCAAACTTCTCAGCGTCCTCAACAGAGTGACCAATGTAGATGTTGTCGAAGAGGATATCGTTTTGCATGGTCCAGATTTCGAAACCAATAGCTCCCATAGGTTCGAGGTTGGCGGGGTGCTTGTCCTCGTAGAAGTCGGGGTTCTTGATCTTGCGCTATTGTATTGTTAGTAATTGATTGCTTAGATAGATAATTCTGACCACTTACAGGAGCCCAGACACCCTTGTAGGCTGGGTTGTCTATGTATGGTGCGGTCCACTTGCCCTTGTAGGCATCGTTCTTCTTCATTGGCTTTGTCCATGGTCCACATCCAGAAACATCGTCACACTTGGGGTTGGAAACAGTTCTGCAAAGATGATTAGCACCATGGCAGATTCAATAGAATGTTATACTTACGGTGCGACCCAGTCTCCATCCTCCTCGTCATCCCAGTCCTCTGGCTTTTGGGCCTCTGGATCGGGAACGGTGAGAGGCTCGTCCTCGAGCCAATCCTCGGGCTTGGTGGCCTCCTCGTCGACAATCTCGAATGGAGCGTCCTCATCCCAGTCCTCTGGCTTCTTGGCCTCTGGGTCGGGGATTCTGGACTCGTCAACCCAGGTATCTGGCTTGCTGTCCTTTGGATCATCAATCTCCTTGGGTGGGTTGAATGCGGGTTGGAAGTCCTCAAGAAGGTTGGCCTCCTTGACTTGCTCACCATTCAACTTAATGATGGCGGTGTTGTTGGGATGGATGATCAAGGTGTAGAGCTCGGTGGTCTTAACAATTCGGGCAGCTGGGGCAGTGGCGAGATGCTTCTCCTCGTACTCGCCAGTCTTGGGGTTCTTGTGGTTGATGATCAAGTGGACCTTGTTGGTAGAGCCACACTTGTCGGGACCGAACATAACCACGTAGGGAGATGTATTTGAGAACTCTTCTTGGTGAAGAGCCTTGTTATCACGGAGAAGCTTCAAGTAAGCACCACCGCACTCGAGACCGTCTGCGAATTGGTCAGCTTTGAACTTAAGAGACTTGATGTTCATATGGCAACTCACTTTGAAGTTTGACTTCATATTGAACAACAAGAGTCTTGCCCTTGTTGTCAATCTTCTTGGGGAACTTGGCAGAGATGGCATGGTGGGCAGCGGCATTCTTGACCACAAGACCCTTATCACCCTCCATACCCTTGAAGACGGTGGGCTCCTCTACAGCCCATTCTCCAACATATGCCCATTCCTCATCCTCCTTCTCACCTTTGGTGTCCTTCTTGGCGTGAGATGGTTTCCATCGGGCTTCCCAATCGTCTGTGAATTGCTCAACGAAGTCACCCTTAATCTTGGTAGGCTGCAGAAAAGCGAAAATCAGTATTCAATTGCGTGGGACGAGGGGTGTTGCGGCACAGGATAGGGGTGCTTACAGTGAAAGTAGGGAGCTCAACAGAGGTTGAGGTAGAGGTAGAAGAAGTAGCTTCGCTGGCAACGCTGGAGACAGAAGAGCTGGCTTCGCTGAGGACAGATTGAGCATCAGCATTGACAGTTCCTGTCAACAGAGCTGCTGCGGAAAGAGCAGCGGTAGCGGAGAAACGCATGATGGCCACACAAGGACGAGCAGATCCGATCGATCAAGTGAATTGAAGGAGGGCTAGAGTCGTCGACGTGAAGAGGACGTCGTCAAGTAATTGTTGCTTCCAGAGCTCGTGTGGGATGAAGAGGAAGAAAACCGAAAGACGATAAAGTGGGAGGCTGAAGGTGTTAATAAAGTTCCGTGGTGGTTAGAATCGACACGGTGGCCTTAAAAGAAATCCGGGGCGGAGACAAGGGTTCGGCTAGCTTGTTGGCTTGGAGTTGACCAATTCAGATGCTTAGGCGCAGACGGAGCAGGACGCAGATTGATGGCTTCGGTTTTAGCTGGGTGGCTTTGGTACGAAGTACTGTATGTACTGCAGGACTTACTTACCCGCTGGAAAAGCATGGAAGGGGGTAAGGTACGGCAGCAGCACAGAATTGCCGTGGGATGAGGAGGCAGAGAGGTGCATTGCCAGAGGGAAATGACAGCGTGTCACGATGGAGCAATGCCTTCATCTATATCAATATCCGTTACTCGACTTTATGCTACAGCTCTGCATCTACATATATGGATCCCATACAATTGTTCCTATCTCTGTTGCGAGGGAGGAGAGACCGCATCATCAGGACACCTTTGACGTTGATCACTTTTCTCTCGGTCCCAAACTGGCAGCTTGAGCAACGTCAATTTAGGGGCTAGACTACATGACCAATCGTTGAGCTCCATTTGCTCCGCACTTTCCTGGTGATGACTTCTTGACTGTCTAGCCCGAATGGGCTCTTTGCGGCGGGGCAGGGCAAAACCAGAGCCTGTCGTTGACCGGTCTCTTTTGTCTGGAAAGGACTCAACTATCACTTAAGATTCACAGCAAATACTAGAATGGTGGCACAAAATGAGGTTGCTGAGTGCCCGTCCGGAGCTCAAACAATCAGAAGCAGGTACCTGACTGCACACGTGTGGCGTTGAGAAGCCGAGAGCTCTTTTTTTTCTTACCCCACCCTGTGCTGTTCCATTTGATATGCCGCAGTTGCGGATTGCGAGCTCGCCTTAAATCTTTTTGCGCGACGTGAGAGCAGTCCTTTCCTGCCTTCTAGCGATTCTGATGAGATCTTTGTGATACACGTCTGCAGCATGGCAAGCACTACAGATTCTGCGCAGGCCACTGAAAACAACGATCATTTGATCAAATCCACCGACAGCAAACACCCCGCCAACCTGATTCCTGCGCTCTGCAGAAAGTTCTGGGGATTGGGATGGGTTTCGGGCACAGGAGGAGGGGCAAGCATTCGGGAGAAGTAAGACACTTCTTGGAGATTGTTATGGCATTGCTGATCACTTTTCAGTGATTTGGTCTACTTAGCACCATCTGGTGTGTCGAAAGAGCTTATGGAGCCCGAGAACATCTACGTCCTATCCATGTCGAAGCAAGAAGACCCAAAGAAGCGAGTTTACCTACGCTCTCCACTGAACCTCAAGCCGTCGCAATGCACGCCTTTGTTCATGGCAGCTTTCACAAGACGCAATGCCTCCTGCTGCATACACACTCACTCGCAATGGGCCGTCCTCATTACTCTCCTTCTCGAAAATCAACCTTCGAGCAACAGGGTCTTTGAAATCAACAATATTGAACAAATCAAGGGCTTTGGCAAGGGATTTCAAAAGCAGGGTAATCTAGGATATCACGATACGCTGCGCATACCAGTCATTGAGAATACACCACATGAAGAGGATCTAGCTGAGTATCTGGAAGAAGCTATGGACAAATATCCAGATACCTACGCTGTTCTTGTGAGACGGCATGGCGTCTATGTCTGGGGTGATACTGTCGATAAAGCCAAGGCACAGGCCGAGAGTCTGGATTACCTCTTTCAATTAGCTGTCGAGATGCATAAATTGGGTCTGCCATGGGTGAGTAGCATTGCTCAAATTGGGCCTTCTTGATCTACAAGACCGCTGGTTTTCAATCAAGATCAAATTCAATACCAGCTTGCGACTCCGAGGAGTTAGAGTTTTGCAACTGGAAGAATAAATTTCAACAGCCGAAGAAGATGTCTTATCAACAAGACATGTGAGGTTAGTGTTGAGTTCTGGAGGTGCATCAAAAGACAAAGGCGTAATTGCTAAGCTTTCTCAGAATAATACAATTCCAAACCGTTATTGCAGAAAGTTTTGCTTCAGTTTATATCCCTGTGTGATTTTCTCTCCAATCACTTCGGTTTTCTTACTCAGTAAGGTTCTCGTTGGGCTTGTCAATCTGATTACTATTGGATAAGATTTTGTCTCCCTAGTCAAGCACGTCTACGGACATTTACATATTTTCAGCTTTACATATTAACGATATACTTTTTTTGCAGTAAATCCCGGCAGTCCATACCATATTGATATCCAAATTTACGCGCAACCCATCTCTGTGGAATAGAGATTTTTGAACTCGAGATGGCAGAATTCGACCTCAATTATCAGCTGGTCAGTCAGGTTATTTCTATCTCTTTAGATTCTTTCTTTTTCATGTACCTACCTAGGTACTCATGGACAAGATTTGACAGCTGAAAGTTGCATTAAAAAAGTATAATATTTGGATTGAATTGGGACATTGTGTTGACTTTAGTCTTCATGCATTTTGAGTGCCCATTCTTCTCTTTCGCAGATAAGCAACGACCCCCATTAAGTAACGAACCGCAAGACTTCGACAAATATGTCTTGTATAAGGGTATGTCAAAAGAAACAAAAGGCAGAAATCCCGGTCGACAGTACAGTACATCACCATCACTTAATCCTTCCATTCCTGCCTCTTCCCAATCCACTTCATAACATACACCAATCCAAGTAAGACGGGCACTTCGATAAGTGGCCCTACAGTCGCCGCCAACGCTTGATCACTATCCGCGCCAAAAGTAGCAACCGCCACCGCAATCGCCAACTCGAAATTATTGCTCGCAGCAGTAAAGCTTTGGGTAGCAGAAACCTTATATCCGAACCCAAGTCTATAAGTAACAAGCAACGTCGCAAAGAAAATAATGGCAAAGTAAACAACAAGAGGAGCAGCGACCCGAACCACAGACACGATCTGATGCACGACTTGCCTGCCTTGAGAAGCGAACAGGATCAAGATCGTGAAGAGCAGGCCGATGAGCGACCATGGGGCTAGGTACTTTAGGAAGGTATTGTCGTACCATTTCGCGGAACAGAGTTTTCGGAGTGTGAAGCGGGTTAGAATTGCAGCGCCGAGTGGGATGCCAAGGAATACTGCAACGGACTTGGCGACTGTGGCATATGAGATGTCGAGTGTGCCTTCAGCGTGGGAGATGACTTTGATGAATAGGAGGGCGAGGGGAGCGAAGAGGACCATTTGGAGGAGGGAGTTGATGGCGACGAGGATAGCGCAGTATTCACTGTCACCTCCTGCGAGTCCGGTCCAGATCAGGACCTGAGCGGTTGTTAGCTGGTTATGGAGAACGAGGGAGTAAAGGAAGTACCATTGCGATGCAGCGAGCAAGGCCAACGAGGACCAAGCCTTCGCGGAGTGCTCCTTTGTCTGGCAGGAATGCCCACGCAAGACCAAGCTTTGAGAAGTTAGTAAGTCTTAATGTCCAAGGATAATCGACTTACCATGACCAATGGGGCAATTATCCAGTTCACAAAGATACTGAACCCAATCTGAATCCAGATATCCTTCTTCCTAAGAACCAAATGCAAAGTCTCGTACTTGACTTTACACAAGATAGGATACATCATGACCAGTAACCCCACAGCTTTTGATCCATCCTATCAGCCATTTCCTTCCCACCTACCCAACAGAGAAAGAACAAGAGCAAACATACCAATCGGAACCGAAACCCCGACAAACTTCCCCTTCTGCAACGCGGGCCCGGTATTCGTGACAAAATTCCCCAAGATAATACCCACAGCCATAGAAAGGAAGATCCAAAGCGCCAAAAATCGATCCAGCCATCCTAAACTTTTGAACGCGGATGTTTTCGAAGCATCGAGGGCTTCGGGAGGAGTAACGGGGCTTTGCTTCTCGATGTCTGTTGGTGAAGAAAAGGAGGAAGGAGGAGCATCTTTCACTAGATCTTCTGAGGGGAGGACTTTCATTCTTGAGGCGAGTTTTGTGGTGCCAAGGAAACGAATAATATCTTTTTTTAGAGAAATAGAAACAATTTAATGACCGAATGAGAAACTTGATGTATGGAATATGAAGGTGGAAGTAACAGGGAGGAAGAAATATACCTACAGCTCAGGAATCCAAAGTTATATAAGGGTCCAAGATCTGGGGAACGGTAATCGCCTCGAGACTTGAAGGTCACCGCAAAATTGTGGACAGGGGTCGTTTCGGCCAATCATGTCGGGTCGGTGACATCTCTCGCTAGTTTGTCGCTTGAATAGTGGGGATTGGAGGTATGGATTTTGGATTTTTGAGATGTTCTGGGAGACACGACACACTTCTTTTTGATTACGGTATATGAGAGAGAGAGGATTTATAATGATGGAGTGGTAGATTGTGTCATCGGATGCTGCTGGTTGGCTGTAGTATAATATTTTATTCTCAGACACTGACGGTTCTCTACCTAGGCAAGTGAGCTTGGTCACGTTCACTCATGTTTTAGAGGACATTGATGAGTCGTTTCTCTCTTTCCTATTCTCTCAAGCATTGTTCGAGTTTCCACCTGGTGCCAATTCAGCTTGAATTTCCTACCACTCCAGGAGAGAAGCTACCTAGGTAATTATTCCAATGCTCCCACGTGTCGAAAATCAGAAGTGAGCCTTGTGAAGCAGAACACCTCTCATTCTCAACGCCTTGTTTATGCGATGTACAATAAGCCAAAGGAATTCTCCGAAACATGCAAAATATCTCCATGTCCAAAACCAAATCAATTATTCGGCGCTCCATCCGCCACACTCCCATACGGCAGAGCGTCATAATCACCGTTACAAGCATAATCATACTGGGCCAACGCTGTGCTGCTTTCTTGTACTTTCAAGAAGGTGTCAAGCTCGCACCATCCATCCAATCTATCTACCCCACATTTCGGGAAACTAAATCCTAATGGAAGGGTCCTTTGGTTGAGAATGAAGTGGATGTATGTCGTCTCGTTGCCGTCCAGGTATGTCCTATCAGCTGATAGTGGGTGGGGTGTTTTGATGACTTCCATATCTAAACGAGCACCGAAAGGCTCCATGTGGCTAACTGTGAGGTTGTGAGGACCTGGATAGCTGGTTGCTGGAAGTAGGGTGTTGAACTGCTTGAAACCAAAAGCGGTCAAGATGCTCATGATGTTCGTATCATGACTGAAGTCAAAGTAGAGACTTTGATTCAAGGGGAATGTGACGGTATTGTTGTCGAGCGTAGTGTTGATTTGAGATCCTGAGTACCCAAGAGTGTGGTTCTGGAGTCGGGCAACGATCTCTTGGACATAACCAATTCCTACTGCTCTTCCAGTTGGAGATTGAAAGCTGGATCCACCTGCAAAGTTAAGGTCGAGACTATACTCAAAGCCTTCCCATTCAGAGTAAGTGAAGAGGTCGCAGAATGCGGAGTAGCCGTAAGCAACCGTTTCATAGGGACACATCGTTTGAGCAGCGTAGGTATCTTTGATTGTCCAATCGAATTCTGGTGAGATCATGGATTGGAATCTGGCTGTTGCATTTTGTAGATAACTTTGTACCCAAGCACGTGTTGCATTTACACCACCTTGAGAGCGATGATTGTAGCTGTTAACACAGTTGTCATATCCAGCCAGTGAGTTGTTGAAACCGGCCGATTCAATGATGACTTCGATAGTGGCATTGTTTGTCCATTCGAGGCCAAAGAATCCAGCCATGAAATATTCAGCACTCTATCAGACAATCAGCATTTAACCAGGATGTACTGGTTCAATAACACAGACCTTCAACATCCTATCCTGGGTGGTAGTCCGAACGATAATTTTGCTGTATGGATTGTACAGCTGACCATATTGATAGTAGTGTAAAATACCACTCTCAAATAACTCTTGTCGTCCTCGTGGGACGAGGATCTCCGCACCAAGCTCATACTTCCACTGATTCAGGAAGCTCAAAGGTCCGGTAGCACTGAACTTGCCAGTCAAATTTGCCACCTTGGCACCAAAACTCTGAACATTGGCCCCGGTTGTGGGATACCGAGAGCCATGACGAGAGAGCATCTGAACCTGAGTGATGTTCGCTCCAGGCGGCAAAGGATACTCGCTCACACCAAATCCGGATGGATTAGGAAAATAAGGAGAAAGTTGTCCCATTAGCTGGAAAATACTCTGGTTCTGAGTCGCTCCCACGATAGGTATAGCAGTTTCCAGTGGCTGATTCGGCACAAAAGTTACTGTCGGTGCAAATGATACTGGATTGGTCTGAGCAAGAAAGGGAGCCCGTCCCGTCGCCGTAGGACCAGCCCATAGCTCTGGACTCGTCTGAAAATACTGGGGGACTTTCGTAGAAGCTGCTGCTGAAGCTTCTGTGCCTATTATTTTCGCTGGTTTCGCGGTGGTGAAGGCAGCTAGAAGTAAGAAATTGTCGAACAGCATGCTAAAGGTGCAGAATAGCATGATAGATGATATCGTGGCCAGTATCGCGCTCCTCCATATCCGCGTGCGGTTGGAGCTTTTGCAGCATACAGGAGCGCCATCTCCGGCTATTTGAGGTGCATCCAATCTCTCATACTGGGACTTGCTCTTGCTCGACGTGGGAGCTTTCATCTTCCATACACAAGGGTCTTCGAATGAACCATGCACTGTGTTGAAGCTGGGGCTGGCAATGAGATGATTGTTTCAAGCATGAGCCGGTTGTTGATGGTTGTGGCCGTGATGTGAGAGCTGGGGCCCAGATTCGCGACGTTGACGACACGGCTTCAGGCGAACTGACAGGGGTAGCTAACGAGGCAGGGGTCAATCAGCGACTCATTACCGCCGAACCAAAATCGGTCTGAAATGATCGGATTTTAACGTTCAGTCTAAAACTCCATTGGCGGGAGCTTGACATACTCGGACAAACAGAAAGGATCTTGGATTGTTGATGGTGATGTCAGAGTATATCCGAATACTATCGCCGAAAGACCCCGCACTGAAAGCGTCACAAACGCTGAGACTTTTTACTTGAAGAATATATTCTATATCCATTTCATACTTATTCAAAATAAAACATTTTCAGAAGACACATAAATCTTATCACAGAAACATCATGGCTGACATTCCTGAAAAAATGCTTGCTGCTCAAGTCGTCGAAGTGAGTCTTTAATTCCCCCGGTTGTCATCTTACCGTGTACTCATCAAGAAAAGTTTCATAAGCCGTATAAGATCCAGGAAGTCCCAGTCCCAGGCAAGAATCTAGATGAAAATGACATGCTCGTAAAAGTCGCTGTTGGCTCCCTTTGCCACACGGACGGGATGGTCTTAGAGGGTATCATGGGAACCAAGTTACCCTGCAGTACGTCAAAATTTGCCATTGTTTTGAATTTATCCTAGGAGCCCAGATCTTTCGACCACCTTCGAGACCTCTCTGAGGAGTTGCTCACAGCAAGAAAATGTCAAGAAGATGTCTTCAGGGACGAGCTCCTCGGTTCCCAAAACTCTGTCAAAAGATATATGCTGATTTTTCTACAGTCGGAAGCCACGAAGGCGCCGGTACCGTGGTCAAAGTTGGTTCAGCAATCTCTGAATTCAAAGTGGGAGATAGAATTCTTGTCAATCTAACATACCATCGTTGTCGTACTTGTGCAGATTGTAAAGGGCCAGAACAAGATACCCAGTACTGTGCCAATGTTGGAGGTTATTTGGGCGTCTCGAGAGATGGATCTTTCGCTGAATACGAACTCGTTGATGGACGAGAATGCTGTCGACTGCCTGACAATGTAAGCTTTCAGTCTGCAGCCCCTCTTGCTTGTGCTGGCGCGACCGTCTGGGGTGGACTTGTAAGAGCTGGGCTCAAGTCTGGCGAAAGCATTGCGATAGTGGGAGGAGGAGGAGGACTAGGGCATCTCGGTGTCCAGTTTGCGAAAGCTCTCGGTCTTCGAGTTATTGCAATCGACGCTCGCGATGAAGGTCTTGCTCTTGCAAAAGAATGCGGTGCCGATACCACTGTGGATGCTCGAAAAGGCAAGGAAAAAGTTGTTGAAGAAGTAAAGAAAGTCACAAACGGTAAGCTAGCAGATGCGACTCTGAATGTCAGTGATCACGAATCTGCTGCTGCCACGGGAGCAGCCGTTACTAAGATGCACGGTAAGTCATGATCAACCCGACATTGCTATCCTTCATGGTTACTGACCATCACAGGCATCCTTCTCCAGATTGCACAACCGACCAATGTCAGTGTGCCATTCGAAGAGTTTGTGTTTCGTGACATTAGAGTTCATGGAAGTTTGATATGTTCTCGAGGTGAATGTCAGAAAATGCTTGAAGTCGTGTCCAAGAACAACATCAAGGTCAAGACGAACGCATTCAAAGGCATTAAGGAAGTCCCAAAGGCAGTCGAGCTTGCTCATTCTGGGAAAATGCAAGGAAAACCTGTGATATTGATCGACGAGCGAGCAATTGAAGATGAAAAGAGATCTGGACTGAAGATGATATAGAATGATAGCAGACTGAAACACTCTTGACATTGCAATCACATAGGCAGATAGGCAATAAACTATTGTTCCAATAGAAAAGGTCATACCGCCCAACATATTTATTAGACAAAGATGAAAAAAGATACGAGCATTTATTGGATGAAGAAGTCTGAAGTATCTGCAGCTGCGTTAGTGGCCAAGGCTCTGCGAGATTATGCTCATGGGTACATGTAGTAACAGGTCAATCAGGAAATAAAGGTTTCAGCAGCATTTTGTGCATCTCGAGCCTTTTGCACATGTAACGTCAAACCTCAAGTTCTTGTGGAGACAATAAACACACGCGCCGTCTTTAGCGATGATTTAGATTCTGAAAACGCAAAGTTTTTATGAAAAAATAAGCTGTCGACTTACTGCTTCGGCAACAAGGAGTGGGAAAAAATAAAGACAAGTGGATGATATCCCCAAAAAATTCCAAAAAATTATTATCGCTTTGACCTACGCAGGGATCGAACCTGCAATCTCTTGATTCGTAGTCAAGCGCCTTGCCATTGGGCCAGCAGGCCATGTTGATGCCAGAGTTTTGCTTATTCTAATTTATGTACCAGCCTAAATAGTGCGCCTGGAACAGCGTAGTTTAGCGAGCGGCCGCCCCCCACTCGCCCATGCAACTGATTTTTCTCTCTCATTCAAGGCAACAACCTTAGCATTAAAGTGAAATGAATATTGTTTAATTCTTCGTATTCTAATTCGTCCTCGCTCCCATTTCTATCCTTTAGGGGTGGGGGCAGGGGGTTTGGGCAGTGGTCGGGCCGTATTAGCGTTGTTCCGCAGGATAGGGATCAATTTTCTGAGAAAATGTCATATTTACCTTCCCCGTAATCGTATTCTAAACCTTAAATTTATTACTTCACTTCCCCTTTACTTCCAATATAGTTGGAAACTCAACGGGGGGTCCAAGAGGTGTAACCTTGTGCTCTCACTCTAGCTCTGTACTCTCACTCTAGTGTTGGACTTTTACTCTAGCTCTCACTCTAGTTTTGTACTCTCACTCCAGCTTTGTACTCCCACTCCAGTTCTGTATTTTCACTCTAGTCCTGTACTCTTACTCTAGCTCTGTGCTCTCACTCCAGCGCTATGCTCTACTTAACCCTTACTTTCACTAACTACTCAAAATAGCACCCCTACAAGGGACCCGGAAGGTTACTCAACTCAACTTTTTAGAAACGAGCACTTCGGTTTTAACTTTCTACCTTAAGCTTGTCCCGCGGCGCCTTTATTGTGATAACGTCAAAATGTTGACGAAACTAAATCAAATTCCCTGTTTCCTCGGTGACGGCTCATCAATTACATTTCAATTCTTAGTAGCAGTAGGAGAAAATCGTATCGGAGTGGATGATGAGAGAAGAAGCACCGAGTATAAATGCGGTGATGGTTCACATGCGGAGTTTGTTTGGCACAACTGTGACGAGGCCAGGGTCATGTTACGTCAGAGTAGAGATTTTTGGATCACATAAATTGGAATATAGCATCTATCAAAGACGACCTAGGCAAAATCTATCAAGAATAATATTTGATACGAAAGGTAGGAAATGAGTGTCCGAGAAAGCTATCGAAGAGGTAAAGACTGAAGATATCAACATAAACACAAGAACGGAATATCCTCCACCAAATACCAAAGAAAGCATTAAATCCTCCACGAAACCATGTTCATTCATTTCATGCGCTTATTGGCCTTCCTGTCGCTAGATTTAGCAGGCCTCTTGCCAGAAGAAGTACTTGGACCGGCACCGGAAGTACTGGGACCAGCCCCTGAACTACTTGGCGCAGCACTGAGAAGACTTGGAGCAGCCTGAAGTGCCCTTTCTCCGGGTTCAAGAGCACTTGAGCTCAGCTGCGGGGCTCTTGGTATAGCATTAGGTGGAACCCCCCTCAGCTGTTCAATTATCCCCCCCAACTTGATTTTGTAGGGTTCAGGTGAGGACCAGCCTATCTGTTTGAGAATACCGAGCAAGCCTTGTAACTGATCGATGTAAGGCTTTGCCTCAGGTAGATTTTGCAAGGCGCTGAGAACGAAATCAACAGGGCGGTTCTCAGGTGGACTCCGAATAAGGCGCTCGTAGAGATTTCGGTCCCGCGTTGGCTCCGCATGTGCTCGTCGTCGACTCCATGAGGGATCTTTGGGGTAAATTTCGTAGTTGCGATTGATTACCATATCAAGGATCCCCACCAATGCTTTTGCAGCTTCCTGTTTAGCTACTGAACTTAGAGGCTGTCGCTGCACAATATTGAAGTTTATGGAGTCGACGAGCTTGATCAAGGTGTCTGCACACCATATTAGATCGAAAGGACCATCAACAGGCCCCTGCTCAGCATATTTGTCGAGGGCGGCAATTGTCGCTTGGGCTTTGAGAAGGGCCTTCGTGAAGTAGCTTCTAGCTCGTAAGTCTTTAGGAACTAGGGTCTTGAAGTGATAAAACATGTCGTCGTTGGAGAAGAGGAGTCTGGAAATTGTTGCTTCCAGATCCCCGAGAATCAACTTCGGGGACATGTCTCCAGGAGTATTGAAGATATCACCTCGATAGTCGTCTGTAAGGAGGGTATCGGATGATAACGTAGCCATTATATCGCGTACGGCGTGCATCCTCTCTTTCAGCATACGTCTCGTCTGTCTGCCAAGTCCAGAGGTCGAATGTACTTTCTTCAATTGCCATGTATCTTCGGTGTCGGATTCTGGACCTTCTCGGAGCTCGAATTGAAGTTCTTCGCATACGGTGTCCAGCCCTACCGCAGAGATCTGTTCATACGTCGTTATATCGGTGACCTCAAGCGTATCCGGAATTGCATTGGACAACTGCTCCAGAAGCCATTCGATATGGCAGCATTGCTCTCCTCCGCTGCAGGTATTCGAGGAGCATATTGGTCCGGTCGTGCTGATGCGAATCGAAATTCTCTCGACTTCGGCGTACGCTATCTGGAAGGCGTAGAAGGTATCGAATTGGCGGCAATGGTTGAGTGCAAAAACTCGCCCACTTCGGGTTCCTTCATCTGGTACTTCCTCCTGAACGTCGTCCGGTGCTTCTTCCTGGCCCATCTCATCGTCGGACTCGTTAGGGTTCAAGATCTGAGCCAGGCTTGCCGATCCACCACTACCCATTGGGGCTTTTCCTTTGCCTTTCCCTCCGGATTGTGCAGGTGCAAGATCTCCGTGAGACTGCATGTCTTGAGAGAGTGAGAGCTTTTGAAAGCGGGAGACTGGCGCAGACATGAGGATGGGTGGGAGGAAGCTGTTGGAATAGGAACGCCATAGCGGCACTTGTGTGACTTATATACTGTGGATCGAAGTAGTCTGCTCTCTCTGCCTATAGTGAGGCCCTCGAGAGCCAGTTCCAATATGATGTCCAGGCGCGTGTGCTGAGCCCTGCCACTGCTTCACAGAGGTCTCTCGGAGGGTCAAACGGTCCTCAAGAAGGCCGGCTGGAGGGAGTCTTCGAAGGGACGTGGAAGATATAGCATTGTTGGAAGTTATGACTAGAGCCATGAGGGGCAACTTGCGATGCTTCGCCGCAGAAGTTGGAGGGGAGAAAGGGCCGGGTTCCTTCGAGTGACAGTTGAGCCTTGTGGGATTTTAGCGCGGCGATTGGTCAAGACCCGCGCAAGCGAGCTCTCAAGGCTGACACTCGGTTTTCGAGCTGAACTGCTCTTCATCTTCACCTCAACTGCTCCCCAACAGCAAGCACAGTTGCCGACCCGCGATGCGTGGTTGGCTCGACCGTCTACGCCTCAGATTGATGTTACTGCAGCCTGGGACGAGGAGGCAGCACCATCATCTATCTGCTCCGCAGGATTTGAGGTCTTTCGGTCATCGTGGTGGTTGCGTGGGGAGTAGTAACTCGAGCAGGATTCAGCTTCACACGGCATAGAGGCACTTGCAGCACCATGCAGAGCGATGAACTTGTCTCCAACATTACTTCCATCTGATTTGCATGTTTTTTATCTCTGCCTGCATCATTGCCGGGTCAAGTGATAGCTCCGGCCTGCGTCTTTCCGTTGGCTGCGGCGCAGCAACACCTCTGCATCGCTCTTCATGACCCATGGTCATAAGTCAAAGAGTCATACCAGAGATCCAACTGTCGCAAGTGTGCTTTGGGACGATATTCGGTCAGCCCGCATTCTCAAAAGAATAGGAGAAGGACAGATGTTTCCAGTGTTGTCAGTTTCAGCTGTCGATGCCGGGCACTCAGTGGCTCATTACCCTGCATTACTGGATTTTTAAGTTGCTTCAGATACCTGGAATTCTACCAAATCACACGCTTCTCCATTTCAGCCCTACATCACATCGTCGCCTCAACACCATCTTCTATGGTACACCGAGTTCTCCCTTTTTGTGCATCATATCACTGAAGGTCGAGAACTACTCTGCCTTGCATTTTCCCGGCAGACATCTCCTCGAAAACTGCTGTCAGATTTTCCATCTTCTCGGTTCTCAATCGAGTCTTAACAATGCCCCTTGCTGCCATATCTAAGATTTCAAGAGCTTCTCTTTGGTTCCCCACCGCGGACCCCTTAATATTGTGTTCCATTGCCACCATTGCAGCAGGGAATGCTTTTGCGATAGGCACGGAGTCGCCTTCTGGCATTCCTACACACACTACAGCAAGTCAGCAGAGATTTTTCAAGGAGCCGAGCTGTTTGAGAGTTTCCTCAATGACTGTGTAGATGTGCCTCGGGGGCTTGGCTTTTCACAAATGACAAATGCAGCGGGCGATTTCTACCTACCGAGTGTGCCTCCGAATCTCAGGAAATCTAGGGCTTGCGCGTATGCTTTGTTTGATGCCGTGCACACAATCACGGCTGATGCCCCAAGGCCTGATTCACAGTCAGTGACAAAGAGTATGACGCGTTTACATAAAGGAGGTTACACGAATGGTAAGTTCTTCAGTCAAACTGTTTAGAGATGACGTACCGCCAGTCGCTTTCTTCACTTCCTCAGCGAGACTTTTATCATCAAATTTCGTAATGTCGAGGAAGACTTCTGCTCCACAGTCCTTGACAAGACTTTCCTTACTTCCATGATCAATACCGATAATTCTCATAGCCATACCGCGGCTACCGATCTGGCAAGCTAAGTGACCCTGCCTGAATAAGCGAGATTTTCCGAGGTGAAAAGGGGTCACTCACCAAGCCACCACCAGCACCGGCTATTCACATGTTAACATATCTCAAATACGTCGGATAAGGCCGACCTTAACATACCTATAACGACCCACTGGCCACTTTTCGCTTCACTCTTTCGCAAGGCTGAATACCTAAAATAGACACCAAAATGAGCTTCGCCTATTTCATGTGACCTGTTATGCGGCCCCCGTTCCACAGCCCTCCAGAGAACAAAACTCACGTTGTCACCCCAGCGCAAAGCATGGGGGCTGCATCCTCGGATTTTAAGGACTCGGGAATTGGAGTGACGTAGTTTGCTGGAGCTAGAGCATACTGCTGAAACGTTCCTGGGTCTGAGGTGAAAATTAAGCAACACCTCTCACATATCGAGCCATGAGTCACTTACAATAATAACCGGAGATCTTTTGGTTCTGTGCGAGCCAACATTAATTAATGTCATTGGAGGAACGCACGATACTCACGAAACAGACGCCGTCTTTTCCTTCCAGGCATGGCGGGCATGCTGAGCAGGCGTAAGCAATCCTAAACCCAGCATCTCGTGTCAGCATGGTCTTCGCCCCACACCTTCATGAAAGCCCAACATTGCAAACGTCGTAGATTGTCGAGATTCGCACTTTCAGAGGCATTTCAAGTCTCCAGGCTTCAAGAAAGTAGAGGACACCATGTTGAGAAGGGGGCTTACCATTTGATGCCTACTCGGTCTCCAACTTTGACTCGACCATTTTCGGAACCCGGTCCCAATTTATGAACGATCCCGACACCTTCGTGTCCTCCGACTTGCCCAGGTTGCGTTGGATATGGTAGACCCCTCCAAGTATTCTCCATCACTCCCATGTCAGAATGACAGACTCCAGAATGCGTTCTTTGAAGGTGTCAGCAATCTCCATATTGTGCAAACGCCTAGGCAGCACACTACTCACAGTCGCACAAGTACCTCTCCAGCACCAGGTTCGGGCGTATCAAGCTCCTCGATCTTTGTCGAAATCGTCCCCGGCTTATCATAAACGATTGCTTTGTACTTCTTCGGAATATCGAACGTTTGGGGGGTTTCCGTGGCTGCCATGTTTGCGAGTTTCCAAAGGTATCGCGTGTGATGATGTCAATGATTTCTAAGATCCAGAAATATATATGCTATCAGATGTACACTGTGACTCGTAACACTTGACTACAATTCTGGGCGCGGGGAATCCTCTTCCTTTTATCTATCGTCCTCAACTCCAGATTCTGCGGGTCTGACAGTCCTTACCCGCCGAGGTCGAGAGCTTGTGAGGCGTGATGTGGGGTAGGTGCGGGGTCGATTGATACGATCATGAAATGTCACCGAGCTTAGCCATTAAGATATATGAAACTAACTTTCAGTGCTTTGCATTTTGACAACTGCTAGCATAAAGCATATGAAAAAAATTCAATAGCTACGTTGTCCGAGAAGTCGTCGGATGGTTGGCATCAAGTACGGAGTATTGATCATCTTGAAGAGCTTTAAGAGCAAGGTAAGATGTACTAATATTGTTCTTTTGAACATTTCTGAACATTTAGGTCTCACAGTATCTCGAGACGTATTCATTCTACGGCCCGAATATCCTGTGCGAATAATCCCAAAACTCACTTAATTTTGGTTCATATTGGGGACGGGATATATACATGAAGCCAGAACACAAGTGACCCTTGCTCAAACTTCACAAATCCCGTGAAGGGTTCAAGTTACTTGCATGAGAAATCTAAGACTGTAATCTCAAGCTCAGAACTTGAATGAAGATAAGATTAGAATTCCTGGTACTCTCGTTCTTGGTTCTCGACCTCCGCAATCAATTTGCGTGCCAAGATTAGCGGTGCTTACTGCATGATGTGATTCTACCATAAAAGGCTTCAAACGCACACGCACTAAGTGTTGCTTAAGATAACATGCACTTACCTTACAAGATGAATGTTTCATGATAGCCATTGACGCTCAAAACAGTAGGTTCGATACTGCTAATCATATGTACTCTCTCACTATGACGTACCTCGGCATGAGCCCGGGAAGGAGCAGCTCATAGATATGTAACTTTTCGTTCCTCCTCTCTATTCCACTAATTGTCTAGACATCACATTTAGACCGTTGATCAGAATTACTGGTAGTATGTCTACAAAAATGGAGAAACAGAATCCCCAATCAGTCCATGGTACCGAAAAGCACCGAAAGTATGGAGCCTTTCAAAATGAACTCTACAGAGGTAAGCCTTCTCTGCATATACTCACTCAAGTATGGAATTAACTTGGAACTCAGCGGGCATGTTTCATCATTGTCTACCAGTGGTGACCACCGATCCCCGCAAGTTGGAGGAACAGGCAAAAGGTGCCATGAAACCAACAGCTTACAACTATGTGGCTGGTGGAGCGGGAGAAAGAGCAACAATGGATGCAAACAGGCTGGCATTCCGCCAATGGAAACTTGTGCCTCGAATGCTGAGACCAACTACTCATCGAGATCTTACCATCAAGCTGTTTGGTGAGACATATGGTAAGTCAATATCACTGTCTCTCGGAGGGGCTGGAGCTGACATGGACCTTGTAGAAAGTCCCATTCTTATGGCACCGATAGGTGTACAAACAATCTTTCATAAAGACAAAGAGACTGGGCTCTCGGAGGTCTGTTCGGAGATCGGGGTCCCATACGTTCTGAGTACAGCATCGAGCTCGTCCATCGAAGAAGTGGCGAAAGCGAATGGGAAAGGACCCCGATGGTATCAATTATACTGGCCACAAGACGACGACGTCACAATATCGTTGCTGAAGCGTGCAAAAGCAAATGGCTATAAAGTTCTTGTGGTAACCCTCGACACATGGGCTTTAGCATGGAGACCTGCGGATTTGGATGGAGCTTATATTCCTTTCAGTACAGCCAATCGACTCCTAGATCTCTATCAGAAGCTTGTACTAATTTGTCAATAGTGAAGGGAGTCGGCAACAGAAATGGCTTCGCAGATCCAGTTTTCAGGGAGAAATTCCGGAAGAAGTTCAATGCAGAGCCCGAGGAAAGGGTCACCGAGGCCTCTGAAGAGTGGATTGGTGATGTCTTCTCCGGTGCTGCTCATTCCTCGGACGAGATTGCACTGCTGAAGAAACACTGGGATGGTCCTATTGTACTAAAGGGTATTCAGGTGAGAGACGGACCCTAATTTGCGCAACCTAAGATGTTTACTGATTATTTTAGCACCCAGAAGATGCCAAGCTAGCTGTTGAGCATGGTTGCGATGGAATCGTGGTGAGCAATCACGGGGGTGAGCCTGGTCTTTGAACACATCAACAATTTGAGATTCTGATCTGCCCGAAGGTCGACAACTCGATGGAGCTGTGGGATCATTGGAAATGCTTCCCGAAATCGTGGAAGCTGTAGGTGACAAGCTTACCGTCATTTTCGACAGTGGCATCCGAACAGGTGTGGATGTCATCAAGGCTCTGTCACTTGGAGCAAAGGCGGTCTTCGTAGGTAGACCTGCGATCTATGGCCTAGCCATCGGAGGGAAGGTATGAAATCTGCTCTATACCACCCCAAACATTGACTGACAGCCACTCAGCAAGGAGCGAAGCAGGTCTTACAAGGTATACTAGCAGATGTTGACCAGTCAATGGGACTTGCCGGTATTGTGAACATTGCTGGCTGCAATCGATCGATGCTTCGAAGAGTACAATACGGTGGCGACTCGGCGTCCTCCAACTAACGATACCAGTATGCCAAGAGAGCCAAAGTGTATGAGTGGGAGATTGCCTTTGATATCATATAACAAGAATTTAATGTCTAAAAGTTTGACGTCCATGGGAACGCCTCTCCTTTGTCTGCAGTGGTAACTGTCACCAAACCCAAGAACATATATACTGGCATCTTAATCCTTCACCGCAAACCGACTCTTGGCTCTAAGTATTGCGCCATACCTATACAGTAAATACAACAAGAAAGCACAAACAATAGTCAATCCTCCAAGCAAGCTGACTCCTCCAGCAACCCCAAGATTTGTAAAGAGTGGCCGAGAGAAGAGAATAGCTCCTGCTGCTAAGGTGCTTCGCGCCAGGTCGTTTGCAGCGAAGAGAGAAGCGCTGTATTTGGGATAGGTGAAGGGCAGATATAGGAAAATACTTTGGATGATGAGGTAGGTGCCTCCAACGCTCAATCCCATTCCGAATGTAGGAGCTATCCAGTGTACCCCAGACCTTGCTGTCCACGCTAATCACACCTTATCAGCTATGGTGAACATTGACTAGTGACATTTTTCGGGGGGTACGAACCATACAAAAACAATCCAACTGGGATCATGCAGCTCCCAACAAGGCCTACAACCAACCTATCTTCTTGTGGCCCAAATCCGTTCTTTTCGAAGGGACGCTCCACGGTGTAGTGCCAGTATGCAGCATACACTGGTCCAATGACAACAATTGCGACTAATGCCGAGAGATATGGAAGTCCGGACTCTCCAAGATTGAAATGGTATATCTTAGGAAAGACCAACGGAGTAGATTCGAAGAACGAGTAGAAGATACCGTATAAAAGCGAGGCTGAGATGATGTTAGTTATGACCAGAACTTTGGAATCCTCGGAAAATCACTGTAGAAGGTCGAGAACAGAACGGCAGGGTCGAGTGCATTGATCTCCCAAGGTTCTGCGATGCATTTCGTCAGAGGCACGACATATCACTCCGTACCAAGGTCAACTTACTGATCAAAGCATCAAATGCTCGCTCCCTAGCAGTCATATGGGCTTGATCAATCTCCGACTGCGACTTGAGATTGGACTTGTTGAGCAGTTTTCGAAGACGGCGAGCTCGTTGCAGAAGGATGGTGTCGGCTGATGTCTCTGGTAAAGAGAAGAACATCATAAGAAAAACCGGGCCAGATAACCAGAGCATCTCCCATTGACTCCATCGCCAGTTCTCAGCTTGAATACTGAACCCACCGACCACCGGGCCGAAAGCGGGACCAAGAGTTGCTAGATTTTGTCAGGATACAATTGTGATCACTGAGATTGGAAAGGGAACAAACCAAACCCCGCCCAGATGATCATGAGATAAGGTATTTTGATCAGAGGCCACTTCAAATAATCGTAAGTGTGGCTTCCAGTAATCCCTTAAAAGTAAAATACTTACTATATCTTGGAAAGAAGAGCCAGCAGTTGCGAGGCAAGGCGATCCTGAAAGGTCAACGAAGGAGTTCAATGCTTGGAAGTGATTCCGAAGTCACCTACCAAAGAAACCCAGCAAAAAGCGCAGTACCAAAAGGCCAGCGAAACTCTCTGTCAATGCTGTCGGGATTGTGAGAATCACAAAGATGGCGAATGTAAAGATATATGGAGGATTCTTTCCTATGACAGGAATTCTATCCGCATGATTTAGTGGACGACATTCTGCCGGTCAGTGGAAGAACTTACTCGCTGAGCGGAGACCAAAGCATTGGTCCAACACCATCTGGCACTTTGTTAATTACTTGTTCAACGCTGGGTGGAAAGATTTCGTTCTTACATGCAAGAACGTATAGGCTCATCCCTAGTGCTGCAGCTGTTGGGCCCACATTGAACCTCTCCTCGACCTCACCTTCCCCTGGAGTATAGATCGACGAGCCAATGTACACAGCAAAAGTATACAGTCTGTTGCTTGTCAGCTAGATGGGTCGAAGTCACGAACGGAATGCCTCACGCGATAATGAAAGAAACATATATCTTCTTGGGGGTCGAGTAATTTTGAGGGTTTCCGGGATCATCTGGCTACATCAGCTCCCTTCAGAGATAAATGCAGCGTGTGAGATACCGGTAGTGTACCAATCAACAAGGATGATTCCATCAGATGCCACTATAGGATGGATTGGTTGACTGATTGTCCTTTCGATGGGTTCGATGTCGGGGCGCGTTGCCAGCTCTTCATCTTCATCCCTATCAATCTTATCTCCACTTGAACCTCGGCGGTCGTTCGTGATAGTTGATGTTTCAGACTGGTGTTCTATCTCCTTCTCTTCTGTAGTTGGTGAGGGCAGCTCGAAATCTGGTAGCTCGTCTGAGAAGAGAAGAATCTTGTTTTTTGCAATGAGGCGAAGAAGTTGTCCGAAACTTGAGTCTCTGATGATGTCGAACATGTTCGAGATAAAACGATTTGTAATGACTGGAGTTCAAGGTAACACGTATTGACCTCGAGGAGTACGAAGAGATTTGCTTCATAAGAATGGAAAGAAAGGCATAGTAGGTACTTCAGTTGCCCGAAATGACATGGAAATGACTCACCAACAGCAACTGCCGCGCCTTCCTTAGCAAAGCATTAAGGCCGCCCAACAAAGAAGACGATTACTAAATGTGTGGTCGGTGCTGGCACATTGGGGTTTCAAGCCTCAACAGCTTCGGCATGATTTATAACTCAGCCGGGGAACTACCCAGCAACTTCTCATTGGTCAAAATTTCACGCCTTGAGAATGTACGGTACGATTGCTGATATATAATTTTTCCATCGGACTTCTACATGGACAAAAATCAGGTAGACATCGAGTAATTGTCAATTTGTAATTGAAAGGGGGAAATGCTAAGATCGTGCGGGTAAGTTTACTGATCATCATTACCCGATGCATTTGATAGATATACGGAGCTCCCAACTCATAATGTGTTCAAAAGATATAATCCTTCAATTCTTAGTTGTTATCTTCCAATACAGACTCCAGATAAGAAGTATTGTTGCTCAAAGATCGGCAAAATGGCAACGTTTGTTCCAACTCTACACTTGCAGACCTACCCGGCACTCTCGCCAACTCGCCCCGAGCTATCTGCAAAGGGCAAATCTGTGCTTGTCACTGGGTAAGCCAGGCTGAGAGTTGTCAGTACTCACAGTGCTAATATGTCAACAGAGGCGGATATGGCATAGGTCGAGCAGTTCCCGATGCATTTGGAGCCGCTGGAGCTGCTCGTGTAGCGTACGTGAAATGTCCCCTTCTTCTCGAGGACATTCAAGAGCTGAACCCTCGGCATACTCTTCGAAGACTCCTTGAAACTTTTTAGTGTCGCATGCTGATTCTCTAATAGCATCAGTGGACGCACTGAGTCTAAACTCAAGGCTGCTGTCGCCGAGCTCAAACAAGCATTCCCGAAAACCGAATTCTCGTATTTCGTTGCCGACATTAGTAAGTCAAGCTGTAAATTTGTTCCAAGAACTTTCATGAGCCAAGCTCTCGGGACCCGTTGTCTGGAGCGGTCGATTCATGTGCTCTGCAATCTTCTGTCCAGACCGATACTGACTTGTCAACAGGGGATACGAATGCCGTGAAAGCCATGTTCAAGTCATTCGGGGCTCCTGATGTCTTGGTCAACAATGCTGGATTCCTTGTCGTACCAGAAATTTTCAAGACGGTAGATCTCAAGGAGTGGTGGGAAGGGTTCGAGGTGAATATTCTCGGCACAGCCATCGTCACCCAAGAGTTCCTCCGCGCCAAACCCGAAGGCAAAGAAGCGGTTGTGATCAACGTCAATACCATCGCGGCTCATCTGGGTACGAACTATCCGAAGCTTTCAGCTTATAGTTCGAGTAAAGCTGCTTTGGCGCGATTGTCCGAGTCACTTCAAGCAGAGACTCCCGAAGTCCGCTTCGTCTCGATCCATCCAGGAGCAATCGATACGGATATGTACGTAAAGTCTGAGATGGGACCTTTCGACATGACCGAGGTAGACTTGGCTGCCAATTTCATGTTGTGGTTGGCCTCACCTGAAGCAGACTTTTTGAAGGGGAGATTCGCGTGGGTGCATTGGGACATTGATGAGTTGAAGGCGAAGAAAGAGGAGATTCTGAGCGGAGATCTGTTGAAATATACTCTAGGTGGATTCGATCCTCTAGGCGGATTCAATTGATAGTGACCGCTTTCTAGGTCCAGAGTGGCTGTTAAAGATGAGATGAAGTTTGAATTCGGTTTGTTAAGCGAAGCTCGCTTGTGTTCCTCGAGACGTCAGTAGAAACCATACAATGCAGAAGTAGGAAGAGAAGATTTTCCATCATTGGAGAAAAAGAGAAGGCTTCAATTAAGTCTTATGATCTGATGCAGATGAGCTGCGTGCAATCGTGTTGAATCGAGCTACTCCTGAATAGAACTCGCTTAACATGTAAACAAATCCTTGGGAAGATTTCAACACCAAAAGATTTTAGTAGTAATCGCCAGAACCAAAAGAATAAAAACAAATAAAAATCACCGACAAGAGGAGCAAAAACTTAGACCTCACCACCGAGGTGGGGGGATCGCAGAAAACTTGCTCGGTGTCGGGTGCAATTTTTGAAGTCACGTTCGTCCGTTCGTCTCTAATTGATAGTACCCCAGAGTACGTGTGTATAGATTGTAATAAGCAAAAGTGCTACCATCAACCACTCGGCTGGCCGTATGGTTGATAAGTCGTCACGACTTTCAAAACTAAACGACAATGCTTTGCGCTTGGGCATTTGACTCGCAGCTCCCGATCGTCTCCGACGGTGAGCAGCGAGCCAAATGTTTTGTTTATTTTTTCTATTTCATTTTTGTCTCTTGTTTTAGGGGGGAAAAGTTTTTCCCACCCTGCTTCTATAGCTACATCCTTGGACTTAATTTTGGCTTTTGCAATTCTTATCGACTATGCAGACTGTTTCGTGGGAAAGCTAAGCGAGAAAGAGGGCCGCGCGACTATGACACGTGAAGAGACTTGCGAGCCATCACACTAAGTCAAAGATAGTTCGGTGAATGCATGTTCTTAGCATTATGTTTTATTGTCCCATTCACTACCGCATTGATGGTTGCGATAAATTTCTGCTTCGAGCTTCTCTTCGATCTTGAGCGCCTATCTGACGTAGCCACTTCAGCCAAAACAACAAACATACATCCAGCTCATGGCAATGTCTATGCAATCAAATTACGCGGCTAACAGTCCAGATCGTCCGTATTCTCAACCAGGTCAAAGCCATTGCCTTTATCAGGGCATCGGAGGGTGCATCGAGGACTGGATCGCGACGTCAATTGAGTTTCGCGGATATCCAGGACCGGTTCCCAAGCAGAGAGAATTCCGAATTAAATTGTCCAACAACAGAGGAACACTGAGGCTGACAATCTGACCTCGCTCACAAGATTCCTCTCTTTGGTCTTGGTCATTTTCGTCTTGCATGATAGATTGATGGTTCTCGTCCTTGAGAAGAGCATTGAAATCGAATACCTCACAAGGTTTTCCTCTAGAATCCACAACTGGTTTGCTGGAATCGTCGAGTGGGGTATCCGTTGGTAAATTTTCGCTTTCGTCCAATGCGTCCGGAAACAGGGCAGCGCTTGTTGTGGTCCATGGACCTATCTCATATACTTCTGAGGAATAGGTAGAGACACTCGGATCATTTGGTGTGCTTGCTGATTGAAGTGTGTGAAGTTGATCGCTTCTACAGCGTGAGTTCATTGTATGCTCTAGCTTGCAAGTGCAAGTCTGCAAATGAATGATTTCGTTATCGATGTGATATGCTCCTTTCGTGATGAGGTATTCTTCAACGTCGAAAGCATTCAAAAATGGAGATGAGGTTGAGGCATAATCAGCCCCTAATAAAGCCTGAGCATCGACTAAAGGGTGCAGAATTTTGGGTCTGAATTCTCGTTGGACAACATTGAAATGTTGCAAGGACAATGTCGAGTCAAATCCGAAGACTGCTCTTCCAAGCCAACGTTGTGCTTGCATGCCGTGTTCCAAGAACCAGCGGAGGTTGGCCATGATCTCATGTCTTGTATGATAAAGGAATGCATACTTGAACATCTGCATAACGAGGGGGTTTTGAGTTCCAGAATCATCCATCAAAGCAAAGTATGCAACTTGAAGATTGGTCCTGATAAGGTGCATACCGAACCCGAGTGGAGGCATACTGAGATCTTGATTCCCTTCAGGCAAGCGTAACAGGCCATGTGGCTCGTAGTCAAACCATCCATTGCCAAAGAAATTACTCGGACGGGAGATGTCTGGGAGACGGACGTGGGGAAGATCCATTGCTGAAAGGGATGACTGTCTATCCTTCGTAACCGAAAGCTGTCTAGAGATGGAACCATCAATCTTTGGCTCTAATTCCTCGTTTTCCGCGACAGCAATTCTAGCCAGATCAATGATCTTTGACGTAGTCGACAAGAGGCTCCTTCCTATCTCCGGGTCCCTCTGCACCATTTGAGTCTTAAGCATAGACTCACTGAAGCTCAAAAAAACTTTGCTGATTTCTTCCACACAGTCCTCTAAGGCTTCAGCTCGTTGCTCGAGAGATTTCACCGCCGCTTGCTTTCGCTGCCGAAAAGCTTCTTGGGCTTTTCGGACCTGTTGCCGCCGCTCCTAATAGTTTTGTTAGCTAAATGAAGCTACATGGCGATGTCTGAAGCATGACTGCAGCGATTACAAGGTGTACAATGAGGTAAATTTCTAAGAGTACAACGTATGCCAGCCACTTGATACTACAGACTGGATTTAAAAGGGATCAATGTTGCACATGCCACTTGAATTGAAGGTTTTGTTCCTTTGGCTCACAGCATATTGATATCAAAGAGCTCATACATACTTCAGGGATATTTGATTGGCCGGGATTTTTGAGAGGCCGCCCTCTTGCCCGCTTTTTCGGAGGAGCATCCTCGTGTGGAGGAAGGTCCTGGATTGAGGGCGAGGAAAGGACGGAGCTTGCCATAAAGAATCGCGAGTATCGACTGCAAAGATCTCGGTATTCGGTGTCCAAATGTCACGAAGGAATTGATGGCATATCCTCATCAATGTAGAAACCGTTTGACGTTGACATCAATGTTGATTTCTCAGCAAGTTTTGTCAGCAAGTCCTTCATGGTCATCACGTGAACCATATTCTCACTCATTTGAACCTGAAATTCGAGGACATATTTGCACGTCAAGAACAGAATAGTATTATCGTGCAGCTATGCTCAGGAAGTTGAGAAGGAGATGTGCTAGATATCCGTTCAGCACCGTCACGCCTCACTTACCGGAAGCGAACGTCTTCGAGCCAAATGTCAATGAGCAAAGCGTGACGAGACTAGATTTTGTGAACTTTGCTTATGCTCCAGTTCCATTTATAGCACATTGATATACATGTAGGAAACGTTCTAATCCACAGTGTGCATCAATTGCGGATGGGATTCTCGATCCGCCTCTTCCACAAGAGTCTCTGCTATGACTTATGCTCTATATTCACAGTCACTCCGTAAGGAAAGAAGCCATGATATTCGAATATGGAGGAAGCCTTGAGGATAATAGCATCGAGAAGGGAAACCAAGGTCGTACAGGCGATCGGGGTATCTCGGGGGTTTCAGAGGAAGACACCGGAATCAGCTGCCACGCTACAACTAAAGTCAGCCATGAACATGGATGGCTAAACAAGAAGGACATACTATAGCACATTCTTCAAGAGGTCATGATCTTCGACTGAGTTTGCTTTTGTTCCTTTTTTCGAAAGGTCCATCACTCTGAAATTGGGAGCTCTATAAGTTGGCATTTCCACGTCGCGCAAATCAGCCACCAATACATTCGTGAACTCCAGGATGGCGGTTGCCAGAGTCTCTCGGCCAGTACCAGGTTTGATATCCCGAATCACGTGAGTAGAACTGGCTAGAATCTCTCTGCCTTCTCTGACCGGATTTCTGACAGCGATGAAGATTGTATCTGGATTGACGCTAAGAAGCCACGAAGGGTCTGTTTTCATCATCTCTCGGTAGATCTCCCAGTCAACTGCCAAGTTCTTGATGCGTTTGCCAGTGTCTAGTCCAAAGTTGAGCGGCTCGCGTTCGTCGGGATGAAACACGAGAATGCGAAGAGCTTTGAAGTGGGCTGGATGTAGATCACCAAAAAAGAAGATGTCCTCATCCAAGTTGACATAGATGTTTCTCTCAACCTCCGATCCGCTGAGCATATCAGTGCAAGAAACCAGTTGATAGTGGTCCAACAACAGAGCCCTCGAATATCTGCACACGTGCAACATACTTGGCACGAGACGAGGCCCACCGATTCCTTCGTAATAGATTCTGAGAGTATAGTCGTTGTTGTTATTTCGCTGCTGAAACTCCTCTTCGGTATCACGAGCGACACGTAGAAATCTCTTCTCTGCTTGCTGAGCCAGACAAGCAAAAGACAGGATTTTCTGCTGCATTTCCAGAGGCAAATCTGGGAAGAGAGTGAACTTTCGAGCTGCTCTCATACCGCCGGAACGTGTCTTGGTCCTTGGAGTGGCTGGAACGACCGAAAGCCTTGCAGCGATTCGGGCTGATCGTCGAACGGATGCCATCATCGCCAGTATTTCTGGATGAAGGTGTCTGTGCTTGAGGGTGACTTTCGATAAGAGAAACTTTTTGAATGTCAACGATTTCGAAATCAGAGTGAAGGAATAAATGGAAGAAGATGTGAGTGCGACTTCCCAAGTGAGTTTCCACGCTAAAGGCGACGTCCTGAGCACTGAAAGAGGAAGGCACGAACTCCGAGCCAAGGAAGAAATGAAAGATTTTTGAGCTATCTCAACAGAGCTCACTGAGATGCTCTAGTAATTTTCCCTATCTTTGAGCGAAAGCGAGAAAATATTTACACAGCGAGCATGAGAGCGTATCCGCGTTTGTAGTTTATCTTCTCTCTCCTCCAAACAGGGCTTAAAGAACATTAACTGCACCAGAAATGTAGGAAGCATTCAGTTTATCATTATGGCAGAGTTCCTTAATCCTGAGTGTCCTAAGCTGCGGACTCAGGTAGAGCAAAGTTCTCACCTCTACTAGGTCACATCTCCGACCAAGCAACGGGCACCAGACCTATCCTCAATCTCCAGACCCGGTAGCATGATACCCCTTCAAAGATGAGCAGTTCAGACCCGGATTCTCAACGAACGCAATATCAACCTTGATGCCATAAACATCTTCGAAGGCTTCGCAATCCTCTTCAGGGAAATATGGGGCCTTGATACTGATCTTTCCGCGAATTCCTACAGGAGCATTATCGCCGGTCGATAGACTGGAGTTGAACAAGGTGATCTGGTTGTCACAAGTTAATCCATCAGTGAAGATTGGCTGGTTCGTGACGTTCTTGAAGCTGTTTGACGTTAGCACTCGTAGCAATTTCCAGTGAAGGGGTACGTGCAAGCTGACAGGCCAAGGGCCAACTTCTTTGAGAGATGTGAACTTGGTTGCCACAGCTGGCTGTGTGGTGCTCAGGTTTGTGTATGCGTTCAAGAAGATCTCGTGACCCGATGGAGGAACAAATGCGTAGGCTTCGAGATCAGGGTCAAAAGTTGTTGGAGGCACGATGGTGCCCCCAGCAGCGGCTCCTTCAATGGCGATGGTATTGTTGGCTGAGATCAAGAGATACTTGTTCCATGAGAAACTCGAGTAACCGTCACCTAATAGATCCACGAACGGGTACAGGATGTGAATACTCTGAAAAAAGTTTCAGCTTCGTGCACAGGGTCCAGAATATCTACGTACCTGGAAGTCGGCGAGACTGTAGTTGAAAGCATAAACACCAACGCCATGATCCAATGCGCCTCTGATAATTAACTGAGAGCGGTGTTAGATATTATGGATCTTCATGAACACGCGATATCATACCGGATACTTGTCAATTGGAAAACCTGGAAGCAGGGAGTGATACGCTTTAGTCAAGATTGGATATTGAGCTGGTATGATGCTTCTCGCAAGATCATAAGAGATTGGGACGAGAGATAGAGTACTGTTGATGGTACCAGTGATTGAATCTGGGTAGAGGGGACCAATTGGATTTGGCGCTGAAGATGAGAACCCAATCGATGCATTCAGTAGCAGAGATAAAACTCCCAAAAGTACAACGGTAGGCTTCATGATTGAAGTTGACGATCTTGTTCGCAGATATCAAAGGTGTAGGGGTCTGGGCGCGTTGCGTCTAACGAATGGAGGAATGATTTCTGCTCCAAGTAATCAAAAGAGCTCGGATCTCGTAATCTTGATTGATTGAAAATGAAACAAAAAAATGAAATTAATATCAATCGTGAGAGGAGAAAAAAAGTGACGTCTCCAGACGTACCTTTACCAAAGTTAACGAATATCCCACGGAAATATCAGCACTAGCGAACAATTGCAAGTGGATGAAGAGCCGACACTACTCATGTGGATCCATGCAGGTCGACGGCTCTGCAGTATAAAACGCTCAAGCAATGTCCGGGGATATGAGATGAACGAATGATGGGCCCGGCTTAATTTTAAGCCACTTGCATTCGGGTCGAGCGCATCCGAGAAACATTGGAAAACGCAAAAGACTTCCGACCACTAGTTGGAGATCCCATGCCACATCAGGATATCTTCTGCAGTAGTTTTGAACGGCAAATAATGACCGAAAATTTTAACATTGTAGCTTCACCCGAAGTACGGGGACTTGCATATCTTGCCGTTTATTGCTAGGTCGTACAGGTTTCAGCCAGTGGTGCCATGGATCCTCCAATATCATTAGCACCGTGAGGCGTAGCAAAGCGTAATTACGCTAAGTATTTGTTGAACCATTCGATCCCCTGCTTTTCTGCCTCATCCATTGCTTTTCTATCAACCTCAGAGCTCCAGTCGCTTCTGAGAGCGAACCCATGGATTTGACCTTCGTAAATCCTCAACTCGTGAGGAAGCTCAGTCTTCTTGGCCATGAGATCTTGAATTTGTCCAACAGTGCCATTATCTAAGAGACTGTCTTGGTCGCCTACAGCCAAGCTGAGCGGTTTGCTTACTGGTTCGAAATCGCTGGGTACAGCAACGAGTGAGGGATGACAAGCATAAGCGGCATCGACTTCTCCATGTGATGCGAGAATTGCGTAGCGTCCTCCCCAGCAGAAACCGATAGCTCCAACCTTTCCAGTTCCTGGAATTTGACGAACGGAGCTGATGAAGGAATCGATCAACGGCTTACTGACACCTTCTCGGTGCTTCACCAACCAAGGTGGCAACGTCGTACCGACGACGGCAGTGCTCTTGGTTTTGTCTATGATGGTTTGTTGTTCGCGTACCTTGAGAGGAGGCTCGACAGAGTTCAGAAAGTCGAGTGGAAGAGAATCTCCTTGGTGGACGTCAGGAACATAGCAATAGAATCCAGCTTTGGCATAGTTATCGGCTAGAAGCCTGACGTTCTTGAATTCCCACCCGAAGACTGATAAACTTTTAATTGATTGTCCAATTTCCTGAATTTGGCATTACTAACTGTCAACAAGGAACACAATTGATTTCGCTTTCGATCCATCCTTTGGCGCTGCGACATAAGTGGGAAGTTCGCCAATTGTCTCAATCTTGCCAGTGGGAGTACCGTCGTGGACCTGTGAAATATCAGTCAATTGTGCTCTGAAAATTTGGGCTGTGAACAAACCTTGCCGGAAAGGCAACACTCGCTCATACCAACACCAGTCGACATTGTGATGAATCTGTTGAAACTCAAAGTAGTATCAAGTGTAATAAGTAAACAATTCACAAAGTGAGTTGCAAGGTTTTAATGTAGAAGTAAGTCTTACCTGCTGGAAACGTAATGTTGTCATGATGTATGTGAAAGTAGTGCAGGTATGACGTTGAGGTTATAGACTAGTGCCACCAAATGCCGCGGAACATAAACGGTACTCTTTTCCGACCGCTTTGAAGGCCCGGGCCTCAAGTTTCCATCCGGTCGATATTTGATTGTCCATGAATGCTCAAGTAGCGTGGGGTCATGTGGGGTAAACTCATGCAGCATAACAGGTATCAATTCCTAAAATGCCGTCCTATGTCTCCTCCGTTGTTCCTATTCTTACAATGTCTCCTACCCGAATCGTGGGATACTGACTCTCCTTTGTTGCAATTTTGGAAGGTATATGACACATATGAGAACCAAAAAAGATCTTCGACTCAAACCTGCGCGTCTTAGCTAGTGTGACAAACGGTTCCTCATTCTTTTCAGCTGTATCCTGATCAACGCAAATCATGTGGCAGCGCCGACATGAGCCTAGCATTTGAAAATTTTGTTGTCCAATACGAAGTGACGACCAGTGGTCCTCTGCATATGGTTGTGGGTTTGAGAGTTGGGACGAAGCCAAAACGATATTTGCTCGAAAAACGGAAGCTGATGCAGGCTTTCCGCCTGATCTGATAATTCCATCGTTCAACACATCTAGACTATCTTTATTGATTGCCAAAATTGGACTCTCATTAGAGAGTAATATGGGTCGCTTCCTGTTTTCGTTATCCGAGTCTGGAGGAGTTGGAGGAGCAAAAGCCCCAGGAACATGAACTTCATCAGATGAATGTCTCTTTGGCCGTTGGTGCTTTTGCATATGAGCTTTAGAGTGCCTAGTGCTAAAGCCCGAACCTCCAGCTGGAAATCTTGCAAGCGTGCAAGGCACGCCAAGTATATTCGAAAAGAAAGCAGTGATTTCTGGCTTGGAATAAGTTTGTGCAACGATAGCATCGCCGCACACACGAGACGGCGAAGACTTTCCTCCATCTCCAGTTGTATAGAATGACGGATTCGCTGACAAGGGAATGGCCAATTCTTGAAGTGGCAGATTGCCTTTCGGGTCATAAAACTGAATGCACAGCATACCTCTTCGAAAATCAAGAGATGGCCGAATCAGAGCCATAAGCGGATGGCGCTTCTGACTTAATGCCTGACCAGTACCTTGGTGTACGAGACACCACTCTCTGTCCCAGACTAGACCTTCAGGTCTCACTTCCCAATCGACATTTGAAGCTATAGTAAAACCACCGCAACTTTTGATGGGATAGATGGTCAGGCTCTCAACGAAAAGTCCGGCTGGATTTGGAATGGTTGGTGGATGCTCGTCGACGTCTTGGGTTGCCGTTTCAACATAGAACTCTCTGATGAACGAGATGAACGAATCTACGTCACTAATCGTGCTCATTGCACCCAAACTTGCACGAATGACTCCTGTTATCTTGCCTGCGTATATGTCCGTCTCGGCACCGCATCTATAACCCGCCGAGAAGTTGTTTCTCATCTCCCAAGGTTCTAGCTGAAGACAAGCCGCAACACCTCCCGGGTTGCACAAGCCTCCGCTTCTGATGTGGAAATTCCGTACAGAAGCCAGCCTTTCAAACTCAGTGTTGCTGATCCAAGCCCCATAGCTATTTTTCAGGTTGAAGGCAACCACTGGGCCTTGGAATTCGCTGAAATGTTGAGTCGAAGACCTGGATGAATGTATCACACATACAAGCTCGCCATTCTCATGCCGCAGACTAGAGAGTCCATCGAACAGTTTCCGTGCGAGAAATGATGTATGCCGCGCAATTTTCTCCATAGATCCGTACAACTCTCGATGTACTTCGAGTGCAGTATTCAAAGCTAGGATATTGTGAATTGCGAGTGTTCCGTCTTCTAGTCGGTCATGAAAGCTTTGACTTTTTGGAGCATGCCACTGCTCTCTCATACAAAGGACCACATCTACCGTCCCTCCGCCAAAATACTTCCTTCGCTGTAAAATAGTGCCCGATTCCTTGCGGACAATCAAAGCACCAAGATCAGGGAAGCCGAAAATCTTGTAGAAGCTTAGCACGGTAAAGTCTGGAGCCGTACTTGCATCACTCAGGTCCAGAGCTGAGGTAGAAACAAATGCTGAAGCATCAAGTAACGTGTAGCTGACTCGGCCATTCGAATTGTTCGCACGAACTCTCTCGGACCATGAAAGTGGCAGTCGACGGCCATCCATATTTGACTGTGCGGGATATGCGAAGAGGCTAATATCTGAGCTTGCCCCTTCACCAACCAAGCCGCTTGCACCAGACAGCCATTGCTCAACATCTTCGTCATCCAGACATCGGCTTGAACTGGCACTTTCTCGTACGCCTACAAGGCTTGTATGCGAATCTTTGTGGTATCCATAGTTGTATCCTCCTTCAAGTTCTCTGAAACATTCCATAACCAATTTTATGCCAGCAGTGGCATTGGCCACGAAGATAATGTCGAACTCTTCTGGATCTGCGTTGAAGCATCGTAAGACTTTCAGACGGATGTCTTCGATTCTGTTCGTCGTCAATTGGGACGAAGCGGAAGCTGAGTGAGGATTGCCATAGAGATTCGATATCATATCAGAAGTGAACTTTTCCATCAACGATTTGGCATAAAGAGTGGTACCAGCATGGTCGAGATAAATCGCATCTGAAGCTCAAGTATCAGTACCTTATTCCTTTCATATCTTGATAATGGATCTACCCTGGAGCATGGGATATTCTGCTTCCCGAAAAGCTTCAACATTGCTATTGTAGCCATCCTCCATTGCAAGATGAATTGCAATTGCTGATCGTGATCATTCAAGGCGGTTCCTGGATGTTTCCTCCTTTCGAAGAGAACAGCAGGGGGCACCGGAAAATATGGATTTGCATTATTCACCTCCTTCTACAGCAAAGCTTAGAAGAGGTTGATCCGACGGCGACCTGCGGCAAGAGTGGAAGAGTGGAGGACCCCAACCTTATCATCACAGGTCGGAGCTCGCCTGCTCACGTGCACATGCGATAAGGAGTTTACGGCCTGTGAAACGAGGCACTAAAGTCGTCGTGAGAAATAATTTCGTCAATAGAGAGGGCAGAGTTGACAGTATCATCTCTGTTCACCATGTTACGGCCACGCATACCTCGGATAGGGCATGCCCTTCACTCTTTTCGACGATCCTTTCATCAGGTCCCACCTCTCGTTCACGACTTCCGGGAGGGTGTCCCAGGACTTCTTTCACCTGCTGGATTCGATATGGCTTGGACGAAATATCAAAGTCTGATGTGCTCGAAGCTCAATGATCTTACAGCTGGTAAGTTGAGCTCGTATTCATAATATTTAATGCTATATATAGCATTCGATAAAAGAGCTCTCAGGAGCTTATAATATTTCTCTTCTCCATTCGAAGAAACCAAAATAACACTACATCTATAGGAGGACCATGGGAAAACAGCGAGCCCAAAGATGTAGCCATCAACTTCGCCCGGGACCCAAACTCAGCCCCAATCTTCAACTACGCATCAATGGCACACAACAACCATTTCTTCTTCCAATGCCTATCTCCCAACCCACCAGAGATGCCCTTAGCACTCAAAACCGACCTCGAGAAATCCTTCGGCTCAATCGAAACCCTCAGACGCGAAATGGTCGTAACAGCCAGCTCCATGTTCGGACCCGGTTTCGTCTGGCTCATTAAAGAGCGGTCCTCGAAGAAATACAAAATTCTATGCACGTACTTGGCAGGGTCACCTTACCCTGGAGCACATTTCAGGAGACAGACCGTAGATGTGAATACGGGGGAAGGTTCGGGGACAGAAGCCTACAAGAGGATGGCGAGCCAGCCGCCTACGAATACGGTTGGAGCGCATGGAGCGCATGCTAGGAAGGATACTCTGCCAGCTGGTGGGATTGACGCGACGCCGGTTCTGTGTATCAATACGTGGGAACACGTGTATTTACCCGACTACGGAATCGGCGGCAGTGGTTCTGGAGGCAAGAGAGCGTTTGCGGAGAGCTGGTGGTATGCTGTGGATTGGAATGTTGTGGCAGATAAGGCCGACGTGAAGGGCTCTCTGCCAATGGCTCGCTGAGGCTGGAGTGAGGAGAACTAGATGATTGTATCATATTGGGATCGATCCATGAGCTGGCGTTCCGGCATACGTCTATATACGATTAGTATGTACAATAGTGTACTGAAAAACTGCTTGAATAGCATGGAGCTATTGTAGAATATGAAGGATTCAGCTCTGCAGAGAGTTTGACAGTCTCAGCTCAAGACACAAGCTGCCAAGTGGCTCATCTAATAATGCACATTGTTCAGGACCTGCTGTTACCTATGCATGCACTACTCGTTGGCTAGTCCAAAGTTGGGCCGACTTCCTAGGTCTTTATAGCTGATGAGTACTTGAGAGAGGAGTTATATCACCAAGCCTCTCAATCAGACTTTCGCACCTCATTTCATATCACAACTGAGCCAAGAGGATATTTCTTTAGAGATCATTTCATTCAATTAGCTAATCCGACCCATTAGAAGGAGTGTCCTAATAATCTCCCATCACAACCCTCTTCGACCTAAAGCGAAGGGTTGGGTATCCAGAATATCTCGCCGAAAGACGTTTACGCCAAAAATGCCGCCAACTCAAAAACAATCATGGCACGCTCGCTATCAACAAAACGCAGCAACAAAAGACAAAATAAGTCGTTGAAATCCTCCTAAAAAGAATGGGTGGCATCATCACCACTTTCATCGCCCCTTTTTCATTCCGGTGGGGAAGGTTAGATCATGTTGCCGTTGACGTTGATCTCATACCCCTCACTCTTCTGCTTCAACGCCTTGGCAAGCATCAACTCTCTCATCCAGTCGATCCGCTCATCTCTCGACTTGACAGCGAAATAATGCGTCTTCGCCTTGGCGCCCGCATCCTTCTCATCGGCGCTAGCTTCCTTCTTCCTGAGTTTCTGCACGCGGTCCATGGCCGCAGGAATCAATTGGAACGAAAACGCAGCCTCATCCTTCTTGCCCTTGTCGCCAAGCGAGATGTTCATGGCTTTGAAGGCAGCGTTGAGTTTGCTTCCTGATGCGAGCGAGGAGCACGCAATGGCGTAGTCGTCGACGTCGATGTACTCGAGGGTTTCCATGGCGCGGGCGTCCTTGTGCATGGCGAGACGCGTGCCCTTGAGCGTAAAGTGGTGCTCGTGCCATTCGTGACGGAGCATCTTGGTCTTGCGCTTCTTCATCCATCCAGCGTGGGCAATGTCGTCCGCGGTGCGTTGAGATGGATCGTGGACTGGAGACCAGGGATAGGCGTTGGCGTTAGACTGGCCATAGGGCGCTGAAGGTTGAGTTTGGCTTCGGTTGAAGCTTGTTTGGGTTGGGGGTGCGGTCGAGACATTCTCGTCGACGCGGGGCATGGCAAAGGAGGGGCGAGAACGAGCTGAGGTGCGAGATTGGGTTCTCTGGGGTGGTGCTGGTGCGGGGTTGTGGCGGTAATTCATGTTGGGTGGAACAGATTGAGAGGCATCCCGAGAGATTGGACCAAGGTTGACAGCAGTCACGGGAACGTCCATCTCAGAGAATGGAGTGCCGAAGCGGTAGACTACTGTTCCTGGGGACTGTGTCGCACTGCGGAGATCTGAAGCCATGGCTTCGACGCGCTCCATGCGGTAAGGAGAGAAAGCTTGAGCGCTTGCAGAACGCGGGGGTGGTGTTGGACGAGGTGGTGGAATTGCAAGTCTTGGGAGACCGCGAAGACCAGCAACAGGTGCTTGAGAAGGAGCCTGTGACTGAATGTTCGGGAACATCTCGAATGGAGGAGTAGGTGGTTCCTCAGACGTCGTCCAGTTCGTTTGTTGGGGATCCATATGCTGGAACTGGATGAACTGTTTGACATTCTCTTGAGGATCACGGGATTGGAGACTTCGAAGGCTTGCCTCTTCCAACTGGCGGAAAGCTGGGACTGGCCCAGGCCCAAGCACGTCTGAAGAGGCGACGACTGACGGTACAGCTTCAGAGACAGGTCGGTTCATGTCAATGGCCTCAGCAGTGAATGGGTTACCTGGATCGCCAGCAATCCATATAGATCCACCTTCTGGAGAGACAGGGTGGTCCTTCTTGAAGTTGTTGATGAGTCGTTGTTGCTTTCGCCATTTTGAGCAATTCTCACCCTTGGCACACTTATGTGGCTTGGGCATGAGCTGCTCGATGCCGACAATAGAAACAGACTCGAGAGGTGTGATAACATCATCGGGGATGATAATTCGCTGTTTCTTGGACCTATATCGTTTTGGTTGCTCATCCGAGCCGCAATCCACGGACTGATCTCGCACTCTGGAGCCATCGCGAACTCTCGAACCATCTCTCCTTCTTGATGTATGTCTGGGCATGCGCTCGACACAAGGTGATGCCATCTCCTCCTCAATTGGCGTTGGTGGGGTCGGTGAGCTTGGTTTGCTATCCCTCAGAATATGAATCTCATTCCAGAGCTTTGTGCGTTGTCCAAAAGATTGGATGTCGAGTTCCCTGAGGTCTTCAAATTTCAGTGTGATGAGGATGGCTCCAGAGATATCGTTCTCCTCGAACTTTTCCACAATTGCTGGTTCGAAGCCAGCATTGTACATCCACCTTGCAACTTGTCTTGGTGTCCATAACGCAATTTCTTTTGAATTCAAATTCTCCACGGCGTCTGTCAATGTGCTAAGATGACGATGTTGACGACTCGGCACATCTGGAATTCTGGTGTTGCTCATTGCCATTGCTGCCCTTTGTGTACTGTTTGGTCTTGGAGTCATTGGCGACATTGCAATTGAAAACTCATCATCCTCAACAATTTGGGAGTCGACCGAAGCTCGGAAAAGGTGGGGTCCTCGTGGGCCCTCGACAGATCGCTTTTGTGTTGTTGAAATATCGAAATTAAAGCCTTCAAAGTTCTCATTGGGACTTGGAGTATGTATCTCTTCGAAAGAAGATAACGTTCGCTCACTCCTTCTCGAAGTCTGAAGTGTTATCAGCACACGCAAGCCATGATCAGTCATGAAGGCGGCTCACCGAGTTGACACTCAATCGCGGAGAATTACCCTCTTCTTCTATATCGCTGTCCTCAAAATCTGTGTCGAACATTTCTGTCGCAGTGGACATTGGTCGTGGCGCCAGCGCCTTCATGTTAAAGAAAGCATCCATGGGTTGTCCCTTTTGGAACATCTCCACCCGAGGATCGATTGGTGTTTCTGGGGAATAGTTGGGCTGGCGACAGTCAGTATCATACATTGGAAGGACTTCCTGGGCCTCATGAGCTCACCATATTGCCTGATATATGTTTTGGTATCTTTTGGTATCTTTAAGTGAAGGGAGTGCTAGACTACTAGCTTTTACCGTTGCCGGTCAACTTTCTAGAGAGTATGATATCGAGTAACAGTACGACGAGGACGAGTTAGGAAATCGCTTAGAAGCAAAAGTTGAAAGGCGCAAAAGTTCAAAAGCATCAAAAGGGAAGGCGATGAGGAAGCCGGCGCCTACGAGAGTATATATGTCTTGAGGTCAACGGGCGTGGAGGATGAGGGCTTCATCGTCAAAGCGCCCAATGGCCAGCATGATGCCGGTACAGGAGGAAGAATCTGCACAGTGACCTGTGCTCCGAGTGCATCGATGTGACTATTCTGGACAGAATTCAGCGGTTGTCGTCTGTTGGCTCCAGGGCTGGATGGGCGCTGGATGGCGGGAGTCGCGGTGGTTTGGGATGTGAGCAGCACGACCCCACGTTGCAGAAGCCAATGAGACCTACAGGCGAATATAGGCGAGGGGACGAAAAGCGCAGGATGCACGCATGATTGGCTACGTGAATAGATTTACGCGCTCGGTCTAACCCTTCTGCTGACTACGATTCGCTAATGCAGCGAGATCCAGCCGTTTTCTCCTTCCTGGTCATCCTTGTCCTTGTCCTCCATTTCTTCCATGTCCTGTCGTGCTCTCTTCGACTGGGGGGGCCGGATTCGGTACGACGGGACGAGAGAAGACCCGCCGTAACCGAAGGGAACTTCCTCAAGCTCAGTCGTACGAAGGCCCAATGATGCTCTGGAGATGCCTGTGAACTCCAAAGTCCCCTTTTTATTTTGCAATTGCGATCAACGAAGGGAGCGGCCCGGCCACGCTCAGGGGACGGTGAGGGCGACGGTGTGCGGAGAGGGGAGGGGAATGGAAGGGAAGGCCTGGCTGGTTCCGCGGCCAGCGCAAGAGACCATCGATGGGCGACGGAAGAAGTCCATACAGTAAGATCGTGGATATTGGCAGGAATTGTGGAGCCGGATGCCCATCCAACCTGCAAGAAATGTGGTGGTTGAATGCAGAGCTTCCTGCAGGAGCATCACGACAACAGATCAATTGTTCACTCACAGACTCACAGACAATGCGACCCGTTCAGGGATCCATTCATCCAATATGCACCATATCCTCGATGCCGTTCTGTGCGTTCCCGCCGCCTTCCCAGTGGCTGAGAGGGTCGCCCGTGGCGCAAGCGAATCTGAACACCACATCCTGATCACCGATGCGTGCACGAGACATACTGTACATGTCAAATCTCAACGACACTGCATCTCGACAGCTTGGGCTGCGATGGCTTTGTCCAAGATCCTCCATGTTCGAATGAATTCGCATGATTGAGATGACGAAGTCTCACTTGCCAGCGAGAGCGGACTTTTCGCGTCACGATCCCTTCATTCTCAATGCGAGAACCACATGACAAGACGTTGGGCCGCCGCTGGCCGCAAAAGCCATGTATTGGTACAAAATGAACCATCGTTCGTAACCACGCTTCCTTCGGAGAAATATCTGCTCGAACAGTGTCTCCATACGGGCCTACTCTCGAACGTCTGTCCGACGATCTCCCAACGGCTTCTCCAGGTCTTAGAATCATTCCGCCAATGGTCTTCTGGAAACGCACTCACACCAGTCTCACATGATTAAAAGTTCATGCGAGATCCCTTGAAGGGACCCTTCTATGAGATAGATCACTTCCAAGGGAATATCGTGGTCTGCGAATCCGAGACCTGGAGTGGCAAAGGAAGGTATCACGATGTTGACAAGAGTTTGCGAGACATCGAATCGCGGGGCCGGGACCCAGAATTTTCTTCAGCAACACACGCAAGGAGCCCAACCGGGATTGTGGAGAAACGGCAGGCAGCCCAAACTCAATTTTTCAATTTTTCAATTTTTTGAGAGACACAATACGACAATGTCAATATGATAGAATCATGACAGTTTACATGGTCTGGTCCATGCCGATTCACACCTTTTTGGAATTCCTAGACGAGTCTTGAAATGAGGAGCACGCTATCGAGCTCGTCACATCAAGCGGTCGATGCAATTCGAGATTCAAGATCCGCTAAGCAAAAGGCGTTGCATCCGAAGGCCGATCCGCACAGAGATCCGCATCCGCAGATATGAAGCTTAATGATGCTAGTTTTCCCACTTGGCTCGAATGTAGCTATGGTAAGCGAGAAACAGACGGCATTCACAGATATCGTCGAGCATCACAACATATGATCACCCCGCCATGATCAGGACCGCGCCCCGCGAAATGAGGAATTTCTAGATTGAGCAGACGATTTCCCTGAATTTGATTGTGCGCGCACGAATGATCCATGGCGGTGTCGTACGCATGATGGATCCTCCGTCGATGAGACAATGCGAAGTCGTCGCTCTCGCTGGCAGTAAATCAGCCTTCCACAAAGCCTCAGGAGTCAGGCAGAAAGTTAAACAATGCTTTAGCATGGAAAACACATGACAGACAGGTGGGGGTGAGACTCCATGTGGGATGCGGACCCAAACCTTCTAGGAGAGACAAAGTCAGATTAATTTGCCAACATTCATCAAGGCTCGAGTGCAAAAATAGAACTGGATCGAGCGGTTATTGTCACAAATTGTGACGACTTCGCGCCGTCGGGAAAAGGACAAAATTAGCAATCAATAGTTCCAATGTCCCTTAAGTGGCCGGATTGGGAACAATTATGTTGCTTTAAATATCACAAGGCGGTGAGAGAGAGAAAGCGAGCTCTTTACCTTATCGTGCTGCATGAAATAACATGGGCACGAGCAGAGCAGGGAAGACGAGGGAAGGAACCCGCTTGCAGTGCAGTGCAGTGCAGTGCAGTGCGGCGAGCGGTGCGGGGAGGTGCGCTGGGTCAGGGAATAGGGTAGCAATTTGGACGACGGGTGGCCAATAGGGGCCAGAAAGAGGTCTATTCTCTCCTTCTCCGACCCTGTCAGTATGTGCTGGTCTTCCCTGTCGCCCTAGGGTATTTTTGCAGGGCGCACAGATGCACTCACGATGCCTGTCCTGCCACTGGCTCCCGTGCTTCCGCACTTCACAGGCTAAGGCTTGCTTGATCACAGACGACAGCCTATCACGCTCCCATATCGACTCTCATCACCACATCACGCGATGCAAGACCACAAACCACAACCTCCCCCCCAAAAAGAATTCCACCAAACACCAGCCCTGTCTTTCCCACCATTCTTCCGAGCTCGACCTCTGCACTGCAGTGTCCTCAACTCGTCGTCGTGGTTGCCATGCCCTGGTCAACCCTGGTCTCCCCCTGTCTGACTGTCAAATCAGCCATGAGGTTCGACTAATATCACCGTCTTCGACGACGTCCCTTCCACCAAGCCTGACTGGCCGAGAGAGTGGCCAATCTCATCCTGACCGCCCTTTGGCGCTACACGATTCGATGGACGCGAGATACGGAATCTCGAGGATCTGCTGCATCGGGGACCTTGGACAGCAAGCTCTGCATATTTGCATTTCGTTTTTTGCTCGACTGACGAGTGAGGCTTCTCCTCACCGCCGACGTCGCTGGCCCGTCCAGGTCACTTGCCAGGGTTTGGTCAACAGCCTCCTGACGGGACGGAGTTGCCTCCTCCACTAGGCACAAGATGGTACCGAGCTGGACTCGAACTCAACAAACCAAACAATGGATGGGGAAAGTCTGGGCCAGCACGCGGAGAGGGAGATCAGCATCCAGCTTGGACGATGATGACCACCATGGAGCTTTGAGCTTGCAGACGAAGCTCGAGGAGAGCTTCTGCATCGGAGCAAGCTAGACTCAACGCACGCTGCTACCCGTTGCTCAACAGTGGTCCGTGAGAGCTTTTGACGAATATGCATGTAAGCCGTGCGAATTGATTGACAGCAACAAGGGTAGCTATCGAGCTGCATCCGGCCCTGCAGAAGAGCATGGACCAGATATTCCTGGTGCGGTAGGGGACCCAAACGTCGACGGCAGAGCGAGCAGCAGCAATCGCTATCCGGCAACGATGATCGTTCAGGATGCTCGAATCATCCATCTGTGAGGCTACCACGCTAGAGAGGGGTCTTGACCCATTTTGGGACTCGACTCCTCGGTCCAGCAGCTGGGATATTTCTCTCGTCGGCCAATGGCAGAATGTACATGCAGTCTGCATGCATGAGGCGCCTCTCGAAAATAGCCCCTCCATCCGTTCTCTGCTCCCCCACTGGCCAGCCACCGCTCCCTCTGGCCTCGATCCAGGCTTGCAACCCTGTGCAATACTTTTGGTCTGGTGTGGTGCCCGATTTGGAGCCAACCAGCGTCCATCTTTCTGCCCGCAGATGCACGCTTTTTCGAGTCCTGTCGTCTTGCTGGCTGAGACCTGGTTCCTCCCTCAGTCGGTTTAACGGTACCACACGACTGCCCCTACCCTAGCTCACCTTCCCATCTGGTAGACCAACTCTGCTAGGCCGTTTTCTGGGCTGGGCAGGAATAGCATCATCTCATTTGGTGGTCCCGAAATAGAACTCTGGATAATCGATGGCTTGAGGTGCATTTTGTATATATCTATCCAACGCACACATTCAACAACTTCTCACTCCACGAAGAATTCAAGGTCATCAGTGTGCACTCCGCTCTCCTCCCAGTTCCCACTCTCTTCGCCATCCTCTCCACGCTCTCACTCTCGAGTATCAAAGTAAAGCTGGACTTGCTTTGACCCGCCATTCATTAATAAAATAATCGGTCCCTGGCTCGCCAATAATCGACTCGGCAGATCCCCGTCTCTCATCGCCGCACTACCACCAAAGTACACCTGGACCCCGATCCCCCTTGGCTCGAGTCACGTTGCCCCCACCATTTGCATGCGAGGTACAAATGTCAACACAACCCCCCAACTCACAATTCACGGGCAGAACGAACGTCGCCATGGCGGTCGCTCAACCAAAGCCAAAGCCGGCTACAAAGGCCAACACTACTCCGAAAGGGAAGATGCAGATGCACAGAAGATCACGGACAGGTTTGTTCCACTTTACTTCGGCTCATGTTCTGGAAAGTCGCTTCGAGTTAGACCTCTTACTGACATAACCTTTAAAGGTTGCTACACATGCCGACTCCGAAGAAAGAAGTGCGACGAAGGCTCTCCTTCTTGCACTGCTTGCAAACACCTTGGCCTTCGCTGCGAATACAAGAGACCCATGTGGTGGAGCAACAATGATCAACGCCGGCTCCAAAAGGACAATATCAAGATGATCATTAAGAGAAAGAAGTTGACTGAGAAGACAACCTCATCTGCAACAAATCAAGTCATGACACCCGGCTCAGAGACACCTCCTGGACTTTCACATTCGCTTCCCACCTCGGCCACCTTTTCTGATCCTCTCGATCGCACTCGGTCCGCTTCGATTGATTCCTCATTATCGCTTTTTGATTTTAATGCGCCTCCGCATATTGCCGACTACACTGCATACAATGCGCAAATGCACTCTTCACATTCGCAATATGCATCCATGTATCCCGAGTTTTCACCCTACGAGATCGACGTCAAGACTGAGAGACAAATGTACATCAATGACAACCTCGCTCGACGAGAATCGACTGTCTCTACATTCAGCACTTATCACCCGCCACCACCACCAGAGCAAATGCTTCCATCATTTCCGGTCGACAATGAATGGGAAGGAGCGATCTACACCGATCGCAGAGAATCATTGGCGGAAGAGACACTAAACATTAATCTTTTCGATTTCTCCCATGGCCAACCAGCTCCCGTGCGCCAAGTCGCCATTGAACTCGAGGAAGGCGACCAAAGGCTGCTCGACCACTTCATTTCTGACGTTCTGCCTTCAGTCTTCCCGATACTTGAAACAAACCAGCATGGCTCCGCCCGAACCGATTACGTTCTACCGGCTTTGTCGAATAACAAGTGCTACTTGCATTGCTGTCTTAGCATAGCGGCGCAGCATTGCAAAGCCACGATGAACATTCAAGGAGAGCAAATTGACAACGATATCATGCGCCACCGTTATGCGACAATTTCAGAGCTCTGCGAGGCTCTCAATCGGGATACGAATCACTCGGACATTCTCGAGGCAACCTTGGGCATGATTTTCTTTCAATGCTCGGTTGGGCGATTCGACGACTCCTTGCCAGACATTCCATGGCACCAACATTTCCAAGCTGCAATCTCACTGATCCAGAAACTTGAGCTCAGCCGCGCAGTCTCTGAATCACATGATCTCATTCCATTCAATATGACCCTCACAGCCTGGATTGACATTCTTGGATCGACGATCCAAGGCCGAGCTCCAACATTCGCCCACACTTACCGAGAGAAGCACTTGTCAACAACCAACTCATCTCTCGGACTTCGTGAGCTTATGGGCTGCGAAGATCGAGTCATGTATTTGGTCTCTGAGATCGCTTGTTTAGAAGCTCTCAAGAAGGACGGCATGGACGACATTGCTCTCTGCCAACACGTCCACGCTCTTGGAGATCAAATCGGCTTGACTGAAATCGGAGAACTTGGACCAAAGATCCCATTCAATGCGAATGGTGTCTTGAGCCCCAAGCAATTGAGCAAAAACATCACTGCTGCATTCCGAATTGCAGCTAGAATTTACTTGTGCAGCCTGGTCCCAGGCTTCACTCCCAGCCAACAAAGCTGTGTTGGTCTGGTATCAAAACTCACACAGGTCCTTGAGTTTATCCCTTCTGGACAATCCGGCTTCGATCGCAGTCTGGTCTGGGTCTACTTGATTGGAGGCTCAGTCAGCACCATGGACTCCCCTTTCCGCTCATTCTTTGAGGAGCGATTGATGGGTTTGGGCGACCTCGCCAACTTCGGGAGTTTCGGGCGCGTTGCCTGCCTCCTGAAGGAAGTTTGGGGACACGTTGATGGGCGCTTAAGTCCTGGCGGTGGTGAAGCACACTACGTTTCCTGGCGAGACGTTATGCAGATGAAGGGCTGGGATTTCTTGTTGATCTAGAATCCCCCCGGCTTAGAACCTTGGACTGGTTTCAAGGTTTTTTACAAACTTCTTCTGCAGTGCTTTTTGATACTTGGTATCAACTTTCACTTCACCTCGGACGTCGAGCGCCCACCGATAGAGTCCCGGAGACGATTGATTTCGCATTGAGATTTGTTTGACGGGGGAGCATTGCGAAACAGAGCTATCTGGATATACCAGCTTAATGGCTCAGAAACGCATGATGACGATTGGGACGAAGCATACGCATGGGATGGGACGGGAAGGGATGGGAAACGAGTGGGAACGGTGCATCACTGGCGACGACCTTTTCTTGATTCATTTCCCTCTGGTACATAATTATTTGTTCGTCAAGCAAGCATTGTGGGCACAGCACGGCGTTCAGGATTGGGGGATATTGCTTTGGGGGATGGATACCCACAAGCAAAAAGACGTACTTCCCTAGATGGGCCCAAAAAGGCTGGATCTGGTACATTACGTTCTACTACTGGCAGACACAAGACGTGTCTCGAGGATTCTGGGAGGAGAGACAGTGGATGAAGAAAGGGAGTTGAGCACTGCTCCTCCGGTTAGGGATTAGGATACTAGGTTACGCATTCGTGTAGATCCTGCGCTTCTGCGTAGCTTGGTTGGATAATTAAAACAAGTCAAAAACATTTCGTCTCTCCATTCGCTTGTGCATCATGATTGTGAACCAACGGATTGCCTGCATCAAACATCAAACATTCAATGGGAACCGAAATCATCCCTTTGCGAGGATATACTCCAGTTTCAAACACTGATACAGTACCCAGGTACCTCAATTTCCACCCGAACAATCATCTACCTGCGCAACACGTGACCCGCGCCCTTCTTCAGCGTTCCGACGCCACTCCCCTCCACCCCGACATCGTCACTTAGAAACAAAGCACCAAGCACCAAACACACCTACAGTACCTTTGTTGCACATCGCATCGGGTCTTCACGCCGACACGCATTCTCGTGCTTCACGTTGTCTCCCCCCCGACTCGAATGTTGTGGTGTCACTTTGTGTACGATACCGGAAGGAAAATGGGTTGATGTGATGGGGGCGTGGGCGTGGGCGTTGAGAGTGAACAGGGTGCGGGACGAGCTGCGGCCGTGGCCGATGTGATGTTCTCTGCTCTGCGGGGCAGGAATATCAATCACGCTGCACGCAAGGAGGAGAAGGGATCAAGGACCGGGTTACCATTTTCCCATCCCATTTTTTTTGGTTTTCAGCATTTCGAAGGGGGAAAAGTAAAAAGCTAGAATGGCCCCCAGGGAACGAAAGCCTTGGGGGCGCTTGTCGAACCTCGGGGCCGAAAAAGAATTTACCTACCTTACTTACTCCTCGTCGATCGATAGGTTTCTCCCCTCACAATAATGCTGCAACAGCAAGTGCATTGCGCAAGCAGGCAGGCAGGCAGGCAGGTATAGTAAAACGGATCACATGCGTGCGAAGAAAGGGAAACGACATACACTACAGCTCAGCTCAGCTCAATGAAAATGTGAGACTCAATCGCAGCCCAAAGACGCACGCTGGCCGTCCGACTGGTCGCACCGCTGGGAGTGCAGGGCCAGTTAAATGGAACGAGGACGTTGGGCGTTGGGCGGAAGCGAAACTCCTGGATCGTCGTTTGTTCGTACCCGGATCCTGCTGCTGCTGCTGCTGCTGCTGCTGCTGCTGCTGCTGTTGCTGTGGCTGTGGCTGTGGGTCACATGGTGAGGTGAGGGCGGCCATTCGATGGGACAGCTTGCATTGAAGTGAAGCATGAGGGAAAGGGAAAACTTGGTTCTGTCGTGTTGCCGGAGCTGGAAACCCGCTGCGAGGCGAGAAAGAAGGACGGACGAACGAACGAATGAATTATTCGATATGCTATCACGGGTCTGGAAGTTCTAGTCTAAGGTAGGTACCTAGGTACCTAGGTACTCTGCTCTGCCTCCAGCCGAGCTCTAGACGGATCCACAGATCAGGTGTCCTGTTACCATTGGCTTTTGTAAGGAGCCAATACTTCCAGTGAAGAGCTACTCGACGAAGACCTGTCTATTCAAGGGATCATTTACGATGATCGATGTTACTGTAGCTAACTATGACCATCCCACGGCAAGAGTCGGGTCTGGCATCGATGGGACGAGAAATGCCTTCCCTTCCATCTCTCACATGATTTCATCCCATACTCGGTCGGCCCATTCCTTTTCCCTGTCCATCCTCATCCTCACGCAAAGTCAGCCAATCGCGCTTAGGTAGCGTTCCCAGCGCCAACCACCACCAATGAATTGAATTCCCGTCGTCGTCGGATGCCTCAAGCGACGTTCGTTCATGAAACGACTTCCATCCTGAAGCGCCCAGAGCCTGTCAATCCCAAGAGTCACCACCAAGAAGAGACTGCACTGCCTCATCAAGTGAGCACCCCCCGTTCGCAAAGCGCAGCGCTGCCCTCCAGCCTGTGATTCCGTGCGCTCCTCGAACCGCCGTTGCGGTTCTCGCGGGACCTATTCTAGCATCGCGAGACCTATTCGAAGGTACACGGTCGACTCGAACTCGACCGCGTCTGCAGACTGCCGGAGGATATGCACGCCGAAAGACAGGTAGGCAAGCTGTTACAGTACCGCTATGAGGGAGACATTCGAGCCCGATGACGAAAGGGAAAGGTGGGTGAAGAACCGTAGGTAGTGTACAGCTAGCTGGCTGGCTGGCTGGCTGGAAACAAAGAGACTTGGAAATGGGTTCATGAATGGGCCGCCGTTTCTGGACTCTTCATTAGATCCCATCTTGTCCTGGTTTTTTTTGGGTTTCCGAGAGAGAGAGAGAAAAAAAGTTGTGTTTCGTTTCCTTTGTTGGTTTTCTCCTTGTCATATACTCGATCCTCTTTGAATCACTGTCGCGGACTCGAACATTCATACTATTCTATAATTACTCACTGCTTGCTTGCTCGCTCTCGAATATACCCATTCCTTCGCACTTCCCTCGAGTTCTATAATCTGCACAAATTTCGATTATCGTTTTATCTGCCACTACAGCTGCAGAATCATACGTTTAAGGGTACACAAGATACACGGTATTTGGAACCGGGAACACAATGAGGGGATCCTCAAGGGCGATTCTGCTGGCAGTCTGCCTCGCGACCTCTGCTACGGCGCGATATACACCCAACACTATCTTCGAGCGAGAGACGGTATGTCCAGATGCGGCGTACGTAGGGTGCAACAATACAGGTCTCCCAGGAGACTTTTGCTGTCCGACGGGCAGTAACTGCATCCCTCTCGCCGCAAACACAACACTCCTTTGTTGCCCCACCGGCCAGACGTGCCAAACCATCAAACCCATCACCTGCAACATAAGCTATCAGAACATCACCAAGAATCCAGACAATACCCTCAAAACGACGGCGTTGGGCGCTACTCTACCGTCTTGCGCCGGACAATGCTGTCCCTTCGGCTTCTCCTGCAACACGAACAATAACTGCGTAATGGACGCCGACCAAAGCATCGCTCCCACCACCTCCTCATCAAGCACAACCTCCACACCCACAAGCACCTCAACCTCTTCCCCCTCCGCAAACCCAACCACGACCTCCTCACCCACCTCCAGCACCCCCCTCCCCTTGACACAAACCTGCACCAAATTCCCCATCCCCGCCATCCTCGCCGGCTTCTTCCCCGGCCTCGTTCTCGGCATCCTCCTCGCCATCCTCGGCCTCTGCTGCTGGGGCAACTCGCACAAACGCTCCTCTTCCTCTCATCACAACACCCACGAGCGTCGCCGCTCCGGCTCCTCCTTTGGCAATATCTCGGAACCGCAACCGCTCGATCGAGAACACGATATGCGGACCGATTTTCTGCGCAAACCGCCCATGACACCCTCTTCTCAGGGTTCCACCCCGGGCCGGAGGAATACGATGAAAGGGCGCATGAACTCGTTGTTCCGGAAGAGTCGCTGGGATGATGGACAGGGAGATATGGCGACGCCGCCAATTCCGTTGAATATCAATAAGAATAACAACAATGGGAACGGGAATAATAATGGGGGAAGACCCGTCACACCGGAGAACAGGCAGCAGAGGGAGGTGAGTGAGTTCTATGGCAATGTGCCGATGATGATTGATGAGCGGGAGCATCCGACGCCGTCACCGCCGGGGCTGGGGCTGGGGAGTAGGAGGGATGTGGCGGATGTGGCGGATAGTAGGATCAGTTATAATACGACGTGGACGGATATCATGCCAGTGCCGGAACCCTCGCAGAGTTCAGGTAATGGGGGGACGGGAGGGAGTGGGGCGCCGTTGGCGGGGTTGCCGAAGGGGCAGCGTGAGTTTTGATCCCTTTCTTTTGGACGAGGGATGAGAGGCTAATGTTTTTGGTGTAGCGTTCAGACAGTATGGATCGCCGCCGAGATGACATTTCTTCATTTAGGGGTTGAACTGGAACTGGAAGTAGAACTATGCATTGTACTGTACGGACTCTAGATTGCTGGTTGAATGGATTGAGCGTCGTTTTTTCTTGGGCATATTTGCATGGTGTTGGGGCGTCTTTTTTTGTATTGTAGCTTTTCTTGATGGGGAAGGAGAGAAAGAACGAAGAGAACGAAAGAAAGAAGAGAACATTCGCTGCGATGACATGGCATGGCATGGCATGGCATGGCATAGAACAAAGAGAGGCTTACTTGCTTGCTTTTCTTGCATATATTGTATCGGTTTATGTTATATACTCTCGTTGATGACATGGGTCTTGTTTGATTGTGGGTGAGTGGAATTGGTGAATAATTGTGTTACTCTAGTGGGTGAAGTTTTGAAATGTGAGGTTTGGAAAGGGAAATTCCCCAAGGGGGTTTTATTTTCACTTGGATTGGGAGAGGAGCTCTCTGGTGGAGCTTGAGCTGATATTGGTGACAACGCGTACAGTGATTTACTCTAACCATAAAAATTCCTAAGATGTGAGACCTGGAATAGAGAGGCGATCTCAGCGTCCCACTTCAGGTCGAAGAGGAGCTTGAAGCTGATTTGGTTGAATGATATGTACAATAAACTTACTCTACCAGGAAATTCCTGAAATGTAGAGACCTGGAAGAGAGAGGGGTGTCGATGTCTACTTCAACTCAAAAAGGAGTCTGGGCTGATTGGTGATTGAATGTGCACACAATGACTTACTCTACTAGAAAGTTCCTAAAATGTGAGACCTGGAAGAGAGAGGGATGTCGAATGTTTCACTTCGAGAAGCACCGACTTAAAAGAGGAGCTCTAATTTTATTAGTGAATGATATATACAATAATAACCTACGCTATCGAAAAGAATAGGAGACAAGTTATCGATGCCCACCACTCTGATTAAAACAGGTTCTTTTTAGCTTTCATTGAGTAAACTCCTTTGGTACCGACTCGGTAATTGTCCAGTAACCCGAGAAGAAAAAAAGGAGTGCTTTATTTCAGGAGTTCAAGAAAATTCGATGCATTTATGTATGTGTCCTTACTGCTAATTCTCTCTTCGCTCACTACTACTTGAAATTGCTCACTACTATCATTCACTTCAATACATACTACTCACTCTGGCGAAGAGGATCAATGATCAAGAGAGGGAGAGCAGAGGAGTGTTTCGGCGGCATTTGAGTCATTCGGTCTAGAGCTCGTCGCAGTGTTGCTTCCCTTCCTTCATGAGAAGTGAAGAATAGGGGAGTAGGTGTGAGGAGAGCAAGAGTGAAGCGTGAAGTGGTGCGATGAGCAGTGGGATTGAGTATTTAGGATGGCAAAGGGTAAGGCGAGTTAATGTTATCAACTTGGCAGATGGAACTTCAAAAATACCCATTTGCACTAACAATCAGTCGTGAAGCAAGACATACAACAACATCGCTCACCGGAGAATGTCTAAAATGTTGGATTTGGAAAAGAAAAAAAAAAAAAAAAAACAGGTATTGATTTTCACTTCGAGCGTGAGGAGGCACATAGCACGTGTGAACACGAGATAGAACCAATATCGACATGAAGATTTCCAACAACATTGAATTCTAAAGAGCCCATCTGCAGAGAATAGAAGCATATCCTCCACGTATCCCCACAACTCCATACCAAGCAACCACCAGCATCCAAGCTTTGCTCGAGCCTCACTCTCATGGCTGGTAGGGAAATCTCGGGAAAACAAAGCCGGCAGGAACGAGCACAGACTTTCCTGCCGCAGCAGCTGGCAAAGTTGCCGGGAACGAGCCGGTGACTAACGGTGCAGGAGCTGGGAATTTAGGGGGAGTTCCGCTTGTTTTATGAAAAGGGAACTTCTCATCCTCGAGCCATATTGCGGCCTATGATTGATTAGCATAGAAACCCATTCTTTATTGGGTGGACCTCAGGTCAGGTATACGTACGGGCTTTAACAATAATTTAGGATGGTTCTGGGTCGTCAAGCTTGCGGCAGAGACGTGGATTCTTTCCTTTTCGATTTCGCATTCGTGACCGATGGTTGATCCGCAGGTATCACACCAGTAACGGTGGACCATATTTTGTCCTCCGCTGCCACCGATGTGTGAAAAGCATTTTACCGGACCTGTGATGAAAAAGTCGTGTTTCGGAAACCAGAGACTGACAGCTGCGAAGTAATACTATCAGTCAAAAGGATTTTGAAGAGGGAGGGAATAGGAGTTTGGAGCAAATCTTACCGAAAGGCGCGCCTCCATGTGTTTTGCAGCTATTACAACAACACTCAACCAAATTGGTCTGTGCTGGAAGCATGCTGGAGGTCCACTATAGTTCGGATTAGCTTTGAAGCTCGTGGACGGCATGAGATAGCAGAGAAAGAAATATTTTCAATGCAACATACATGGCAAGACGCGCAGATGCATTGGCCTTCAGTGTTCGTAACGTAAGAGAAAGCTGAGTTACCCGAGCCCGCCATATTGAGATTACATCCGGGTGGTTTGTTAGACAGAAGACAAAGTATGCCATTGTTCAATCTTATACTGGCGTTGTCGATGTCGTGAAGCTTGTGGAATGTAGTTGAGGAATGGAACTACTCTCGGCAACAAAATCACGTGGATATCCCATGGCATTGTATGAATTCACGTGGGTCGAACCTGCTTGAAATAAAGTGTTGTTGAAAGAATGTTGGATTGTGTGAATGATTGAAATTTTATATACAACGCCATATCCTGTGACGAGGTTTCGAGCCATTTTAATTCTGAAAAGCAATTAGTTTCGTGTCAAGAGGTATTCAGATACATTCTTGTTGGAAGCGCTCACTAAAAGCAATAGCTCATCTTAGATCGACATTTGATCCATTTTTGTCGCGTGGACGACTTGGTTAATTCAATTGTGAGGAGGTCGGAGTTGGTCCAGATGGGCTCGACGGTAAGTGACCCCTCCACACCATTTTGAGAAGCTGTCACGAGTCTCGAGGCTCTTGCCGTTCACGAACACGCATTTCCCCAAATGCACCTCGTCAAGAAGTCTCGCAAAAGCTCTCCTGAGATAACGCAGCCACTTCGGTTCGTGTAGCCGAAACCGTATGGTTTCCATACACCTCCAGCGGCCAAACATTGACTTCATAAACTCTCCATTCACATGCCCCTTGGGTCCGATACGCTCTTCAAGCTTCCTCGACTGAAATTGGAAGTCATGCCTCAAGTACACGACATGCATGAAGCACGCTGTGGCGCATCATGAGTTCGGGAATGTGACCCTAAGGATTTATGCTGGCAAAAATTGGAGCGATATGGAACACTAGGAGCAAATGAAAGAGCATAGGCACCTTGAGTATATTTCAAAGCATACATGCATGGTGCCAGTCATGTGTCAAGATCCGTGATAAATCATTACTTCTGCCCAAGGGAGGAGGATGCAATTCAAGTTGACTGACTGACCAGTGGTTGAAGTGTTTATGGAATTGGAATTGCAAATATACCGCCAGGAGCACGTTGAATCAACTACTCTGAATGAAGCAGTTGAGGAAATATGACGAACTGACCAGGATACTTGCTCACTGCTTATCGTAAGTCTTGAAGAAGTAAACATATATAGAGCTCTAATGTGGTAACGAGCCGCTTCAGTAATATAACTTAGATCCGACGATCTGGATCTGGGGAGTAGGGGAGTTCTCCAGCACGTCGATGGAGTCACGAAGAAACGTTCTCATTCGACTTCGAGGCGAGCTATATTGGGCAGGACACACGAGTGACTTCGGTCATAGGTATCGTTTGTGTTGACGACGTGCATTGAGTTGGGATAGACTTTAGGCTAAAACATTCGACAGGGCTCGCACTTGAGATGTTCCTCGGTCTGACATCCTTATCGGGACACTCCAATCAAGTTCCTTGTGGTGATCATCGAGTACCCCAGATAGCGAGTATGGAGAACTTTGTAATCAGGATTGGATGGACCTGACAAGTCCGGGCGCTTTTGAGAGCAGATAAGCCCTGACAAACGCTTCGACATCCCAACTTGTGGTGGGATACTCCATGCAGAATAAGATAATCGGACGACAATGGTGGAGCAAGTCTGAACACCACACACTTTGATCATGGGCCAATTGGTGCAATATTGTAACACTACACCGTCCTTGCAGATGGAAGTCGATCACTGGAGCATGTGCCTCGTGAAGCCTGTTCTGGATTCTCAAATAGGGCAACTTTCTTACGGGATTGGAGAACGTTCCGATGCGAGCGAGAGCGAGGGGTAAGACTGTTGCTGAAAAGGCGTGCTTGAGGATATCGGTGAGATATATGACCCATGAGCGCCCTCCCATTCTGTTTGTTAGTTATTGCCCTCAAAACCGTGTTGTATAGCTCTCTTTTTCCTCTCAAGGACTTTGGACATCATGGAGTGGCAACGTACGAAGACAACGTTTGAACTGGCGGGAAAAGAGTTCCCGCGAGTAACTTGGTACAGACAGAAAGGAATGAGAGGCCTTTATATTTGCTTGTTGTTCGTTGTTCTGACCTCTGCAACCAATGGATATGATGGTTCCATGATGAATGGCCTTCAAGCGCTTCCCCAGTGGAAGAGTTGTGAGTGCCGATCACTGATATTTGATGATGGATCTCTTGCTGACCACTCCCAGCCTTCCACAACCCTTCTCCTTCCCAACTTGGTCTTCTTAACTGTATCATGTCTGTGGGGTCTCTCGTGGCCCTCCCAGTCGTGCCTTACACTGCCGATCTTCTAGGAAGACGAACAGGAGTGATGATCGGATGTAGCATCATGATCCTCGGTGTTGTGTTGCAGACACTTGGCTTCACGTACGGCATGTTCGTAGGAGCCCGGTTCTTCATCGGTTTTGGAGTCGCCATAGCTCGTAAGTATTGAAGCGGGAATCTCTTCAAACAGGGAACTCTCTAGATGTTTATACAAGCCGATGAGAGGATGCGCTAGATCCTAAGAGAGAGCCAATATCAGTGTCGAATACTTGCTGATGTTTTTTGGCCCAGATGGTTCATCGCCCTTGCTGATCACAGAACTGGTCCACCCTCAGCATCGTGCCATCTATACAACAATATACAATACAACGTGGTACGTAGGCAGCCTTGTAGCTGCTTGGCTGACGTTCGGAACAAACAAAATTCATGGAACGTGGGCTTGGCGAGCACCATCGCTAGTGCAAATGTTTCCGTCAGCCTTACAAATGTGTTTTATTTGGTGTGAGTGTCGCTCATTTCTTCCCTCTTGTCAGAATTCCATTTCTCACATCAACAGTCGTTCCCGAATCCCCAAGATGGCTCATCTCCAAAGGAAAGAACGAGAAGGCTCTTAGAATCCTTGCCAACGCCCATGCCATGGGTGACGAGTTCGATGAAGTCGTACAACTTGAGTATCAAGAAATCCGTGAAACTCTGAACCTCGAAAAAGAGATCGAAGGGAATGCTTGGTCCGAACTATGGCGAACTCCTGGAAATCGCCATCGGCTTGTTATCTTGATCTCTCTTGGCTTCTTCTCTCAGTGGTCAGGCAATGGTCTCGTCAGGTGAGTGGCCGAATCCATCTCCTATGCCTCGCTAATGAATCTCGCCAGTTACTACATGACCAAGGTATAGATGAGCTCGAGTCGTTTTCCAAGCAGTAATAACTTTGTGATCCCTAGGTTCTCATCCAGATTGGAATAACCAACTCAACTACCCAGCTTCTCATTAACGCTATCCTTCAAATCGTCAACATCATTGTGGCGACAGGAATGTGCTTCTTCGTCGATCGTGTCGGCCGCCGGTTCTTATTCCTTGTTGCAACATCGGGGATGCTCGTTATATTCGTCATCTGGACAATTTGCGGCGCGGAATTCCTCCTTCATCCGTCGAAAGCTGTTGCAGATACAGTGGTTGTGATGATCTTTCTGTATTACTGCTTTTACAACACTGCCTGGTCCGGACTTCTTGTCGGCTATGGTGTAGAGATTCTCCCTTATAACATACGCGCAAAGGTAAAGACTCTAAGAACTTCAAAAGTTTCTTGCTGATTCAAGTAGGGTTTGACTGTGATGTTCCTGGCCGTGGATTTATCACTGTTCTTCAACCAATATGTGAACCCTATCGCCATGACTCATCTTCAGTGGAAATATTATATATTCTATGATGTCTGGCTTGCCTTCGAGCTCTTCATCGTATGGAAGTTCTATATCGAAACTCGTAACACACCATTGGAGGAAATCGCCAAACATTTCGATGGTGACAGCGCCATCGTCGGAGGCAATGCTGCGAATGAGAAATCCAGGCAGTTGGCAGCAGACTTAAACTTGGCAATGGCTCCTCTAGAACAATCAGAGACGACCCCGGGCCTAGTCGAGAAGGGCGGTGCTCAAGCAGTTCAGACGGAACTCTCAAAAGAAGTGAAGGGCTAATCCACTAAGCCCTAAGCATCAGTTGATATGTAGTTAAAATATTCGTAAGAGAATTATTTCATTGGAGGTAATGGCGATTGGGACGTTCGATTCATGTCTCGTCGATGTCGATTCTGATTAGCAAATCTTCATGACTTTAGCTTGTTGCAGCGCCGTGACAGCGAGAGCACATGATTTGACTGTGAGATGCGCGTCCGAAGGAATAATTCCAAAAAGACCCCTCTCATGTCGGAGATATACCCTTTAAAAGCGTATGAGCCAAGCTGGCAATCGTTCTCGTTATTTCTTTTGAACGTTGCTGAGAAGGAGTAGTTGTGAAATTGATGCCAGGCGTCCATCAGAAAAACACGCTTTCATCTCTTCTCCTGCTCGACGAATGCCTTCAATTCGGTAGCACATTTGTTCTGACAATCATTCAAGTCTTCTTGAACGGTGAGGAGCAGGTAGTAAGCACCAATCCCTTCTACCGTCTGATAGGTTCTGTACTCGCAGAACCCTGGTTGACCCTCAATTGATACCACCTCTTGAACGCGCTCGGAAGAAAGCAACCACTTTGGATAAGAAGTAGACTTTTCAGCGATTTTCCTGTTTTCGCGGTCCAGTACAGTTAATGTAACGGGGATGAGGCGTTCTGGAAAATCTTCCATGGTGAGCTAATATGAATATTAGTCTCAAAATATCTCAGTACAAGTCCGGCAATTTTGTGACCGTGAAAAGCCACGAAGATGCAAGAAAACTCACTTTGAATGTCCCCATACTGCCAACACGAGGTACGCCGTCCAATGAAACATCTTTCCACTTGTACTCATGAAACGGTGACCAGTCCGAGTAACCTTTGTAGTTCTGAACCACAGAAAATACTTCGTCTGCACTTCCTTTGACTTTGGTGGAAGCAAATGCTGTTAACACAGCATTTTTCAACGGGATGCTCGGTGTGGCAATTAAACGGTCATTGTCGACGCTGTTTTGTATTATGGCAACGAGAAGCAATAATGAAATGAGAACAAAAGCCACGGCAGCACCGACGATCGCAGCCATGGAAGCCATTGTGTTATTGTTCTTGGAAATTTATGAGTGTTGAAGCTGTCAAGTGAAAAGTACCTAGCTAGGGCTGAATTTACAATGACATCGGATGGCAAGCGATCGCTCGCCCACCTTCCTCTTTCAGCATAAGCCCCTTGAAGAACAACGCTAAGCTTCCCGCTTATGAATTTCGGGGTCAAACGTCAAATTGGGAGCTTCATGCACGACTCGTTGTCCTTTATTGATTCATTATCCTATTCAGACGACAAGACTGATCTCACTAAGGATCATCATCGCGCGAATCTGCAGTCTGCCAGCTTCTACGATCCTACAAGACCTTTCGTCCGGTATCCAGCAAGCTCGAGCTTCAGCCTCGGCCAAGTCCCACCATAGATAAGGCATCAGGGTCCACGAACGCAAGCTTTTCCCGCGCATCTCTCTTCTGCCATCATGGATCCCTCAAAAGTGTCGATTTTCAAGACGTACGATAAGCCCAGAGGACAAGGTGGCTCAGGATCATTCGCAACTTTCATGATCATTGGCCGTAAGTGGCGCTCAATCAGATGTTTATCTTTGCGCAAACTGACCATCAACAGCAACATGTTTCTTCCTAGGCATGCTCTTCTCCGCCTTCCCATACGATTACCCTCTCCTGTGGACATCCATTCCAACTCCCGATGCATACTACGACCAATTTGAAGCTCATCTGAAGTTCCTCCATGCTTCCCCTCCTATCATTCCCCGCATCCTCAACATCACCATATCCATCGGCTTCACCGGCTTCTTCATCAAATTGTTCAAGCCCTCCGAGGCAAATCTCCTCTTCGACGGCGCATCTCTGCTCCTTTACGTCGTCGGTGTCGTGGTCTACATCACCAACATCGTCAAAGGTCTGCGAATCGTAACCAGCGGCTTCTACGGACAACCAGAAAGCGACACCGAGATAGCCATCGGACGAGAAGACAGCTTGAGAGTCCTAGCCGCTAGCAATACCATCCTGGCACTTGTGCTCGTGGGCGTTCTCGTCCTGCAAGCCGGCCAATGGTACGCTGAGCGCAAAGAACAAGACGAGGTCGCCAAGTACGAGAAGCAGCAGGAAGAGAAGAGCGCTGCTAAGGGCACGAAGAATGGGGGCCACGTTACGAGATCTGCGTCGAAGAAGAAGCAGTGATTTAACAGGCATCTGCATGCATATGGCGTCGGGAATGTACATGATAACTCTGTGTACTTACTTTTGTCATCTGTTTATCAGCTTTTCTGCATGGTGAAGGTGAAGGCGGGTAGGATACGGGCGCTTTGTCTCGGCACGAAAATAATAACTCTCTCACAATATCTGAAAATATTTTGATCATTCATTCTCTCACCTACACTTGATCTTTGACTTGTGAAGAATCCACTTGTGTACGCCAGTCTCCAAGACGTCTTTCGGACATTTCTATCCACCCTGTTGTGATGTTGGATCTTTCGCCTTACACATGATTGTAAATCAATGTCCGTCAGAAAGTCAAGCACATGCATCTTTAAATATTCTAGAATGATGATGACCTGACAAGCAACCTCCCAAGAAGTACAGCACATGCAGGAACAGTTCCCTAAAACGGATGTCTGTATCATTTATCAACATTGAGGAATGGCCATTATCTCCTGAGGACAATTCAATCTACAATGATCACAAGCATAGATATTGTTTGCGGAAGCATGTAACATTGGTATCGTCTGTAGCATCATCAAACCACTACTCATCAATTACTGATTATATTTACATGAATCGTGACGTCCGTCCCAATCCAACCGTTAATAGACTCTTAGAAGTCAGTCTTCTCATCTCTTTAATCCGACCTCCCTAGAACAGAATATTTGAAAAGACTAAGGAATGGTATCATCGCTTTGCTAGAAACAACCACGCAATGCCAAATATTATAAACCAATGAAGGGGTCAGTATCCAGTGATCAGATAAGACCACCTCCTCTTAGAATGCATCCTCAAATGGACAATCAATACTATCATGTCCTTCGCGCTCACATACTCCGCACCATTTATCCATGTTCACCACTCCACTTTCCTTTCCGGCAACAGGTCCCGACTCCATTGGGTTCGGGATGATTCGGACGGGTGCTGGAGGTGAAGGAAGAGACTTCTCAGGGGCTTTGTGCTTGACAGGCGAGAGAGGAGCAGGTGTATATTCCTCGTGAGATAGCTTTGGTGACAATCCTGCTTTCACGACATCCTTCCCTGTCCTTAAATGAGACGCATCCTTCGGGGCACCTCCATTTGGCGTGAACATATTTGTACATGTGAGGATGTCATGTCCAGCAGTCTCGCAAAGCTCACAGAAGCTCTCCGCGGCAGAAGAATAGGTATCACTTTCTGGCATGGTTTCCAGAGTGTTGCCTCTTCTATGGTTTTCAGGCGAAGCACGTAGCTCCCGATCACGCCAGCTGACAATAGTACCTTTCGAGTCTCGAACTGAAGACCGCTCCTGTGTCACGGTTCCAGTACTCATAGCACTAGCGCGATTTGGAGCAGCCATCACACTGCCTCTGCGTAATCTTTCCACCTCGCGCTCGAGCTCATCTTCTCGATTGACTTTGGATTCGACGATAGCTCGAAGCTCTGAAACTTCACGCTCAAGCTTCTCCCGTGCAATTCGGTCCTCTATGGAATCGATGCCGTTACTTGGTTTACGTCGTGAAAAGCTACCTTGTCGTTGGGTTGGTGTCTTCTGAGTGTCCGAGCCTGGACTTCCCACATCCGGTACAGCGTCACGGCTCAAGGAATGGATAATGGCTTTGAGACCTCTGATCTCATCGTCTCGTTGCTCGACTTCCTTGGACAAGGATCCAGCATCGCCGTTAGTACCGTTTCCATTCATGACAGCAGCAGCTTTCTCCCGTTCACGACGGAGTTCTGATCGAGTTCTTTCGACTTCTCCTCGTAGAAACTCCACCTCGCCACGAGCCTCGGCTTCTCCTCGTCTAGCATCCTCTAAACCTTCTTCTAGCTCCTGGACGAGCTCTTCCAATTGCTTGAGTTGTCGTGCTACACTGTCGACGTCTTCGCCGCGTTCTTGTAGCTCCCTGACTTCCTGTAGAAGGTCCTCTACTCGCTTCTCGTACACGCGCTCTGTCTCTGTGCTGGCCAGTTCCAAGGTATCGATCGTACTCCTGAAGTCGGCTCGATGGGCATCAAATTCGGCCGTCAACATAGCTATTTTCTCATTCTTCTCTCGCAATACAGCCCGTAATTGTGTTGCGTCCTTATCCTCCATGCTTCCCTTATTATGCCTGCCTCCAATATCCGTGCTACCCATTAGTGTCTGGACTTCTACCAGACTATTCTCCATCTCTGCCAAACTCGAAGCTTGCTCTTTGAGCTGTCTATCGCGTTCCTCTAATTGACCTCGCAGTCGTTCAATCTCGTCATCGTTCGCTCGAGAAGTTGCTCTAGAGGCTGGCCGCATTTTCGTATTGAACGATGAGACCGATCCAATGCTTCCATTGGTAGCGGTCCGAGCTATTCCAACCGGCGTATTATCATCGTCGCTGTAATTCATAGGAGCTTGGCCGAGGGCAGATGCGCTTCGGGGCCCAACCTTCATGCCATTTTTTGGTGTATATCCAATCTTCTTGCTTGGGTCCCTCGAATCTTGTGTGCCTCTGACACTTTGCCCAAACTTCCCAGGCGCTGGACTCCCGTAACGCGCAGGAGTTTTCGGTACAGGTGTGCCAATAGACGGCCGTGAACCAATTTGAGTCTTTCTTACGGGAGATTCTGGTCGAGGTAGGGAAGGCCTTGACTTCTTGAACTGAGGACTTGGTGCTCTGCCTGGACCAACAGACTGACTGAATTTTGGTAGAGATGGAGTCGGCGGGGTGTATGCGCTTGAGCCATGTCCTGCGACTTTGAAATTTCCACCGACTGAGGGCGTGGTAGGCGTGATAGGGAATGAGCCTTCTTGCGACGAAGGAGAACCACGTCTTGTAGCTCTGTTGATCGGTAGAAAGATACCAGCTCCGTGGATCGAGGTCGTGAAGTATGATACCCTGGTTGTCTCGTCAGTTCCATGGTAAGGGGTTCTGCCGTTTGTATGTCTTACCCATCGACGTCGCCATTATTTTTGCCTCGTGCAGCATACTCTTCACTTAGTTCCACGCCGGCAAATGTTCCTTTCTTGCCTTGTACGCTGCCTATAAATTTGACCGTTCCGTGCATGCTGCCGGGCACATCGACCAAGTCGCCGACCTCGAGATCGTCGCCATCTCCTCCGCGGGAAGGCGTGTATGGTGGCATTTTTCGATAAATTGAAGAATCCTCGTCCAGCACCGTACTCAGTCCGTATCCTGCGCTGGCATCGGGGATGGTTGCGAGAGAACCAGACGTGAGTGCGCTTAGGGACGACTTGCGAGAAAGCGCGTTTCTGCTGCCGGGCAGCGCCGGTGGTTGTAACGAGTTGTAAGACGCTCCGAGATTGGGACTAGACGCAGTGTTGATGCCGTTTATTAAGGAAGGCCGAGGTCGTGCAAGGGATCGTCTAGGAGTGAAGGTATAGTTGTTGGAAGACATTGAGTAATGTTTCGTGTTTGTTTATTTCGTCCTTGGACCAGGTCTCCTTGGAAAAGGCCCGCGCGACTAGTTTCCAGCCAATCTCGTCGCGATTGGTGTTCAACAGTTCGATGTCTAACCCTCGATTTGCAGCGGATTCGATAGTTGAAAGAACGACAATTAATTTCCCGATTATGATTATTGCTGCGGACCGATTCTGAGAATGAGAATGCGTGCATACAAGAAGGTTTAGTAGAAGAAACTCTGTCAGCGCAGACGGTTCACCCTTCGTGTCTGCCCCCTTGCAGACCGACTGCTGGACACCGAGGCGGAGGCTTGTCGATGCTGTCAGAATCAGCGAATCGGATGAAAATGTGGAGATGGTTCGCGATGAGACCAGAGGAAGTCTTCAAACCGTCAACAAGGATGGCACGAAATGGCTTTCACTTCTTGCTTGTTTCAATGGTGCAGATTTCGAGAAGGCACGATCATCACAATGTCAGCGACCGCTGAGTTCTAGTCTCTTCAGTATGTTCATTTGTCGAATTCAGAGACATCGAGGAACCTCGCATCCTGTATGACAGTCAGGAGAACATTCCCCTTTCTCCAGGTCCCCCTTCAACACCCCTATTCCTGACCTCATCTCTCATCCTGGTCCCGTCACAAAAGAGCCGGCCCTAACTGGAGTCTCTACGCCGCTTCAATCTTCAAGCGATCCATGCAGCCATCTAAGGACGCCACCATCTAAAACTACTGTAACCGATGAAAGTTAAAAAGTTCGGATCTTCAACCCATATCAGTTTCGGAAAGTCCAGCTTTCTCAGATCAGCTCTTTCATATCAGTATTTCTGTTTGACATGGTATATCCTCCTCACACATATCCTCTCAAGAATCGCTGTTGAAATGTCTGTTCTCTCCGCTTCCTCAGGATGCCAGTCAAAGGCTTGGAAAACTGAGAGCCTGAACCCTGTTCGAGATGCAGGTACTCCCGCTCAGACTTATGGAGCCGCCAAGTTTGCATTGCTCTCTCGAGCTTCCCCTCGGGTCGGGAAAGTTTGATATTCTGTGCCTCGGACCTCGTCCTTTAGATTCTATAGGACATTTCTACTGTATATATTTCTTTGTTGGATCAGCTCAGGGGTCAAGCTTCTCGAAGTCGTGAAGTCCCGAGATCAGGCCAATGTCGATCCCTTTGCAACACCATCTGAGCAGTCCTTGTCTGCCAAAACTTTGTGAAAACCACGCGAGATGAAAAAGCAAAATATCGGATCTTGCAACTTGCAATGCTTCAAACCCCGAACAAGATTTGTAGGCATGAGTGAACAGGATTCCCATGCTTCAACAGATAATGTAAGGTAAATAGAGCTAGCACTCATTTGAACATAATTCAACGAACACTTTTCAGATAGATTTATCATTACTTCACGAAGCATTGTATACCTGCGACATTTTCTGCACATATCGTACCACGTGGTGCACATCGTTCCTTTGAAATCGGTTTTCGTAGATGGGCTGAAATGTGTTGGGATATAGGTGAGATCTGTGTGTGTGTATATTTGAAAGGGAAGAAGATAGAAAACTATCGGAGAAAGTTGAGACATGTATAGCTAGAGTTATGAGTCTTTCAATATCAGAAAATAGATGCTATAGAGCATTGATATGTTAAGTTTCTTCTTATTGAATCGAACAGGTAAAACTACGCCTATGAAAACTCCGTGAATTTGTCCCCAAAGCTGTAGGTTGTTCTCCCATGCTGAATTATTGTGTAAATCATTCTGGCTCTCTTCAAATATTGAAGATGTCCCTTGAGTAATGAAGAATGGAGAATGCCGATTGATGCGGTTTTCCCATACGCACGTGACAGACAAGAGTCTGCTCGTAGGTACCTAGGTACCTAGGTAGGGGTTGTGATTGGAAATATCTCAGAGCTTCCGAGAATGATTCAAGAAAGAAATGATAGTCAATTTGGCAAAACGAAGAATCCGAATGCATAATTTTGTTCGACTGGGTAGCTTTCCTCTCAATCAAGGAACAGGTAGACGAGAAAATGCTTAGTGTGGACTTGTTGAAGCCCTTTTGATCCTCGCTTGCGAATCTCAGCGATGACCTATAGAGCAACCCTAATGTTTTCAACCCACATTAGCACGCCTTCACACCAGTAATTTAGTCTAATACTAAACTTTCGAACGCCCTTCCACCAATCGATCATTGGCACCAGAGCAAACCCTCATACCTCCTGAAGTCTAGCTATCGTGACATTGATGAGATTACATAACTGTCATTCAGACTATAATGTACTTTCTCTACCTGTCCATCTGCCTTGGGAATAGTTGAGCTATCTCTGTCGATCGAGCATCGCTGAGCATGAGCACCCCAAATTCTACGAATGCCACAATCCTATGTAGACACCTTTTGCAGGCTGCAGCACTATTTCTGCCTTCATACTTGCACATGAAGAATGGTGCTCCTTGTCGGACATGAGGTTCTCCACTTTATCGAAGTATTGGAGCATTCCGGTAACAGTGTAGCCCATTTCTGCCAACGCAAATTGTTGTCCGATACAAGTTCTCGGACCGCCGTTGAAGGGGATGTATGTCCACGGCACGGGTAGCTTCTCAGACCATCTCTCAGGAGAGAATTCCAAAGAGTTGACATCCCTCCGATGAAGTGCTAGTGTCGAGTATCCGATGAGGGTGTCTTTTAAGACGCCCACTGGGAGTAAACCCGAGTCTCCTCCACCACGTATCGCGTAGAGCAACACGTACATTGAAAGGAATTGACCGATAGAGTCTCAAAGTTTCGTTGAGTACATTCTGTAAAATGAGTTTTTGTTAGTCGAGGGCGTCAAACAAATTTGAGTTAGAAGAATTGAGTGAGGGAATAACTTACCTGGAGGTATTTCATGGATTTCAAGTCCTCATATGTGAGATGCTTTTTCAGCCCTGTCACTTGATCTATTTCTTTGCGAAGTTTCTCGACTACTTCGGGGTGGCGCGCAAACTCATAGAATGTCCAAGATAATGCCGCCGCTGTTGTATCCCGGCCAGCAAGAAGTACTGCAATGATTTGATCGCGCAGAACTATCCTCGATTAACTTAGTGAGACACGAAAGTTTTTACAAAAAAAAAAGTTTCGAAAAAAGTCTGAAAACAAAATAAAAATTCAAGGAACTCATGGAACCATAGGACCAAAAGACAAAACATTCACAAACTCCCAACTGACAGCTCCAGTAACACCCTCATAAACAGGCAGTACCTAACTTGTAAGTCCTGGCTATGTAGCGGGGGGCCTTATCAGGATCAGTCAGCTCGAAGCTGCTTAGTACAAGGGCGAGCCATTGTTTATCCTTAGTAGAGTTGCTTTCGTAGGCGTCCTAAACAGGTCCGTTGTATCCCTCTAATTAACTCTACTAATTCTTGCCAAAACTTTGCTTATTTAACATTATAAGACCTTTTCTTGTCGGTACCTAGCGAGCTAGCGAGGCTGCGATCTAAGACTCGCACACGTGAGCAAACCACGCTAACGAGAAAAAAAATCCAAGTACAAAATTGTCGCGCAGCTCCGAACTTTCTTCTGGTTCTTCGTGCGGCTGGCATACCAACACCCGTGTTGCTCAAACATCCAATGGCCATCTGGTCTGTTTCAATGGTGTAGTCAAACTATTTCCGAGCGTCAGGTATGCCCCAGAGCGAACCCAATTGCAAGACCTCTCTTCGTCCGATGCGCCAGGTCGAGTTCGCGCCTACGATTTGTCTTAACGGGCTCGTGGGTTGCCGGGTCTGGTGCTGGGCTAGAGGGGAACATATACTTGAGAGATCGTGGATTATGGAGTTATGGTGGGAGTAGGAAAGGCTACGGTAGAAGCAGATTTGAGCGCTGGAAATACATTTCTTTATGGGTGAGGAGGAGGATATTGGATCAGAAACACGCTCAATATGCGCCTCCGAACATGCGCAAAGGAAGTTTAGGTTCACGTCACTGTTTCGATAGACAGACGCTCTAAAAGCAATGCAATTCTCTGGTTTTCCTGGCCGTGTAAAATATCATCTCTGCAAACGCCAACCAATGTATCTTTGCTGCATGAACCCCATAATGCTCATCTTTCATCATCTCTCGCGATCATACTCTCTACTCTCCAGGCTCATCACCAATCTTCTCCAGCTTCCCCATTTCTCTCTTCTCGCCAGTCTCACCAATAATCCTGATTCGATCGATACGAACCCTCTCTCCTTCTCCGTCACCATCTACAATGAAAAACACCAAGCTTGTGACGTTTTGGAACTTCACAAAGCGTAGTGGGATAGTTGCAGTCCCAGTCTCGTCCCAATCCTTCTCTGACAGCGTGATTGATTGTGTAGCGGGGATATCCTCTGCTTCCTCGAAACCAAGTATATGTGCGCGGTTGGGGTAGATCTGGACGGTCTTTGGTCGCATCGGAACTTCGTCATCTTCTTCAGCTTTGGGTGGCAGAGAAGTGATCTATGTCGCAGGTTAGTTTTTGAATTCAGAAGATGTCTGCAAGACATTGTACCTGGATAGTATGGACTTTGAGAGTAGACTGGAAAGGCATGAACATCATAAGTTGCTCATCCGTATCACTCTCAACCCAATCCTTCTCCTTCGAAGCCGCAGCCTTGCCCCCGCTCAGTCCAGTAGGTTTGGCGCCATCGATCAGGACACGAACAGACCCAAACTCGCTGTCGGCGTTCAGAAGCTCCAGACCCTTCACTTCAATCTGATCCGTAATATCGCCATAACCTCTGGGTAGATCGCCCTTGCGCCAGCTGCTTCCACTACCAGACGCTCCGAAGCCCGAAGAACTAGAGCCATCTGCCTCTGCAGCAAGCTTCTTGATGACCGCCTGAAGTTTTCGTGGGTCCGCGCCTTGTATCTTTTCTTCGACCTTGCCTTGCTTGAAAATCATGAACGTTGGCATACTGGTGGGCAATCAGCAAGCCTTCCAAGTGCATGCCGTACTCTGCCAGGGAACATCTTACGCAGTAATGCCATATTTACTTGCGATCTCCTTCTGTTGATCAACATCGACCTTGACGAATGTGATCAGGTTTGGGCGAGAGAGCTGTTGAGACAGTTGTTCGAATATGGGAGCTATAGTCTTGCATGGACCACACCATACTGCATGGACTTCTCATTCTCAATGTTAGCAAAGCTCAATAGCGCGTTGTATGCTCTGTTGAACAAACACAAGAAGGGATTTGTAAGACTGGCGGGGTAGGAGGGGCAAAGCTCACAGTCCGTGACAACTATTCTTGAAGATTTCAAGAGGCCTTCGAATTGCCCTAATGAGTTGATAATGACTGTTTTCGACATCATGAACTCGATTTGTAGAGAATGGTTGTCGTGGTGTAAAGGTCGAATAGAATACTATAGCAAGCTCAGGTGGCACTTGCCGAACTCAAGGCGGCAACGTGATACGTTTGTCAAATTTTGATGAATTCACTCTTCACTCAACATCATTCGCTCCCATTCTCCCAAACTCTCATCATTCGAGTATCTCAGGACTTCCAAAAGCTTGATAACATCTGGCGACTTAGATCCTGAGATACAGAATATCCAAATGCTCTTGTGTGGTGTTATATCAGCTCAGGGGTATTTCGTTTGCATCTCCTGGGCAAGTAGGCCCAACATAGAATATCTCATTGTGTAGCAAGCTCATTGACTTCATGCTGCATCGACTTTTTCATCCGATCCCCTTTGTAATTCATACCCTCAAGAATCTCTTGACTTTTTCTCCTGCAAGTTATTGGCGTTGACACCGAGCTCATGGCTGGGACCTTGCTTATTGAAAGCCTCACTGTCTAGAGAACTTTGAGCTCACAAATGTCTTAAACATGTGTCTCATCTGTTTGACTTTATCGCATCATAGCCCGATGTTGATAGACTGTTATAATGTGCAGCAACTGTGGCTCTGGTGATTGCTCATACTATGTGCGCCTCTGCAATCCTTCATTCAATTACCAACATGACGATGTGCACTATATTCGTGTTACTTCACATGGTTGATCATGATTGGCAAGATGTGTGGCAGGTCACAAGTTATAAGGAACGCAGACTTCGTCAGTCAATGGTTTGTTTGTATGCAATGACCTCTATGTACAAGAGAATGCAGATGTCAGAGCTCATCCTACACCCCTACAACATCGTGCTTCCCTCAACATCCAACACATGCAAGTGCAGACTGGGTATCGCGCGAGACCAAAGAATTGAAAGGCCGTCAGGTCGAATTAAAGATTAGAACGCCATCATGACGCCATGTCGAAGCTCGAAGGTGAGGTTGTTTACAAGAACTGGTAATTGTCAGTACAATTCAGTAGTATCGCGGCAAGAAGGGACATACAAGAGCAACACCTCCAGCAACGATCATGCCCAAAGCAGAGACACCGTTTATGGAAGCAGCGCCAGTGGCGTAAGCAATTGGTGAGCCAGTGGAGGTAGCGGCAGTGACAACACCGGTGGAGGCGATGGTGGAAGAGGCAATACCAGCAGTGGTGATGGTAGAGCTTGGGCAGGCATAGACAGTGACAGTCCTATGTTTTGTTAGGGAATGGGAGAATTCTGAAGCTGGACACGGGTACCTACTCAGCAGCTGCGACGGAGGCCATGGCGGCGAGGGTAAGGGCAATGACGTTGAATTGCATTTTGACGGTTGGAAGTTTGATTGCTGGTTTGGTGATTGTGAAAAGAAGGTTGATTGAAGGTATTGAGGAGCTGGAGAGAATCTGATTGAGCGAGCGAAAGTTATGTAGTGGTCAAAAGAGTGTAATGATCAGATGGATGGTGAAAGAAAGGTAGGTTTAAGAGCATGAGATCGGTCATATATGTACGCGTCAAATTCGCCTTGACGACAACGCCAACGTCTCCAGCGAATGCTCCAGGCAAGGACGAACCTCCAATCTTTCAGACCCACCGAACGGAGATGAAAGCTTCTGGGTACCCTCCCCCCTTGACCTCGTCAACAGCGAAGCCACACTCTACTTCGAGCAACTGATCGTGCACCCCACGGAGCTTACGCCACTTTGCTATCAATATCCTTGCACGTTTCTCAAATCTCGAGGATGGGGTTTGGTTCTAGCGGAGGATTCGTCGACATTTGAAACATATCAAGCAAACCATGTTAGATGGCCACTGAGCATGCTGCAACCAACAATTGAAGCTGGCAAGATGAGACACCTGGTTGTCAAGAGATGATAGATTTTTCTACTTTGCTAGATACAAGCTACCAAATGAAAATTCAACAATCAAAAGAGAAGCTTCCACAATGGGATTCTATTATCTGTGGTCCAAGGGCGGGTACCTGCGCTGACCCCTGTTATCAAACTGCTGCCCTGTTCCTCATCTTCTCGCAATCCCCCGATTGGCGCATTCGAGTGCACTCCATATCACTGATGCATTATCAAAATTACTTCAGCGATCATTGATATTGAAATCCCAGTGTCTAAGAGGCACACCATCCCGTTCAGTAGATGCGAGATGTGATGGAGGAGATGAGACCAAGTATCGGCCTGTAATATCGGCCAGTGTAGTGTTTCTGAAATGGCATCCCATGGTTGAGCAAAAGTTCTTGTTTCAAGGCGGATGATTGAATGGGGCTCTAATGAGATAATCATCCAGATCGGCAGCTGAAAAGATTGGACGGACTGGAGCGATACACGCGTTCAGCTCTATTAATATTCGGGTCCCACCCTCTATCAAGAATCGCAACATCGCAGGACCGTGCTCTGGACCTCGAAATTTGCTGTAGATAAGAGGGGCAATTGCGTGTGAGAGGACACGTGAAAGAACAGCCACAAGTCCACGACCTACAAAAGGAGGCTCATCTTCAACATCTTGGCCGTGCATCAATGCCAGAGCTGAACCGAGTAATGACTACCGGTAGATCAGTAAAGAGCGCAAAGGGTCCGCTCCTCTCGAGCCTGTCCAGAAACCATGAAAACAGCGTTGCCAGCCTCCACAATTTCAAATGAAGCGAACCATGAGGAAATAGGTTAGGAGGTCTGCACCACTGATAAGGGCAGCGTCTTGCTCCTGTCACCTCGAATTTCACCATCTTCGATCAATTAAAGAAAGCTCTTTACAGCTTGAGGGCATGTACGGCCAATCATTGCAACCCTCTTCACTGGCAGAAGAACATCGCACCCAAGATTTTCCAAGTTTCTCTCCATTCTACAGACGGATTCCAGACGTCATGGAACCTCACATCACCACGAGGGCAACGGGTTTCTCATTGGAATTGCTTTCAAAGAGAATGTGAAGTTTGCGTTGATATCCGTAGATATTTGTTGAAGAGGAAAAGATTTCTTGTCGAGCCAAGAAGATTTTTATCAGAGGGCGAGTGATACCGAGCTAGCTCTTTTTGGATTAGACTACACCTAGGGCCAGGAAAAGTACCCCACTACTCCGGCTTCGCGCAATGATGCCCCTCGTCGATTAAATTTTTGGACAAACGTTCTTGCATTGGCAATCAATTCCGATTCTTGGACGACTTGTGAGCAACCAAGTTGAGCTCTTCTTGTGTGGATATTAAGCTCAATCGTACAGGACTGTATGCGCGAAAATGTCTACGAGCCCGAAAACCGGTATGCAAAATCGAAAGATGATTCAAATCGGCTACTAATTTATCCGTAGCTATCATCTCTGTCTATGACAAGACAGGTCTGCTTGACTTGGCCAAGGGCTTAATCAAGCACGATGTCCGCCTTTTGGCTTCAGGAGGGACTGCTAAGATGATTAGGGAGTCTGGCTTTGCAGTTGAGTAAGTCTTTTTATACACCAGAGTCGCGGAAGAGGTTGTAGGTTGAAAATTAAGTGCGACAATAGGGATGTCTCTGCTATTACCCATGCACCAGAAATGTTAGCTGGCAGAGTCAAGACATTACACCCCGCCGTTCACGCTGGCATTCTTGCTCGCGACCTTGCCTCCGATGAGAAAGACCTCGCCGAACAGAACATCAACAAAGTCGACTACGTTATCTGCAACTTATACCCTTTCAAGGATACAATTGCAAAAATAAATGTCACAATCCCCGAAGCTGTCGAAGATATTGATGTTGGAGGTGTTACCTTGATCCGTGCCGCTGCAAAGAATCACGGCAGAGTTACCATCCTCACAGATCCCTCCGACTATCCTGAATTCCTGCAAGAGATTGAGAAGGGCGAGGTCACTGAACGAAGCCGAAACCTTTATGCTTTGAAGGCTTTCGAGCACACTGCCGACTACGACGCATCGATATCAGATTTCTTCCGAAAGCAATATGCAGGAGAAGGTGTTCAACAAATTGCACTTCGATACGGAGCAAACCCGCACCAGAAGCCTGCCGCTGCTTTCTCGAAGTTCGGCCCTCTTCCCTTCAAGGTCCTATGTGGTTCTCCAGGATATATCAATCTCCTTGATGCCCTAAACGCTTGGCCTCTCGTCAAGGAGTTGAAGACTGCTCTTGGTCATCCAGCTGCCGCGAGCTTCAAGCATGTCTCCCCAGCTGGTGCTGCCATCGGTGTTCCTCTTACAGCTGATGAGAGAAAGGTTTACATGGTCGATGATATTGAAGGCTTGGAGAATTCTGCTCTGGCTCAAGCTTATGCACGCGCTCGAGGTGCTGATCGCATGAGCAGTTTCGGCGACATGATTGCTCTGAGTGATATTGTCGATGTCCCTACAGCAAAGATCATCTCAAGAGAAGTTTCCGATGGTGTCATTGCAGCTGGTTACGAGGATGCCGCTCTCGAGATTCTGAAGAAGAAGAAGGGTGGCAAATACCTTGTCCTTCAAATGGACCCAGAATACGCGCCAGCTTCTCAAGAGTCAAGAACAGTTTATGGCATCACTCTGACCCAACACCGCAACGACATCCTTATCTCCCCCAAATCCTTCACCTCCATCATCACACCAAAGGAGTCCGGACCTCTACCTGATTCCGCTCTCCGAGACCTGACTGTCGCTACCATTGCGCTGAAGTATACTCAAAGTAATTCGGTCTGTTATGCTTTGAACGGTCAGATCATTGGTTTGGGTGCCGGACAACAATCTCGCATCCACTGTACCAGATTGGCTGGAGACAAGGCCGACAACTGGTGGCTCAGATTCAATCCACGAGTTCTGGGCATTCAATGGAAGAAGGGTACCAAGCGAGCAGACAAGAGTAATGCGATTGACTTGCTCGTCAGCGGTCAACTGCCGAAGGATGGTCCGGAGCGAGAGGGATACGAAGCTTTCTTCGAGGAAGTACCCAAGGAGTTCTCTGAGGAGGAGCGCAAGGAATGGCTCGGTAAGCTCAGTGAAGTTGCCGTATCCAGTGATGCTTTCGTGAGTGATTATGATTCCTCTAGTTGGATCTGACTGACATGATTAGTTCCCCTTCATTGATAATGTCTACCGAGCCGGACGATCTGGCGCCAAGTACATCGCGGCACCAACTGGAAGTCAGAACGATACACCTGTCTTTGAAACTGCAGAGAAGCTCGGCATTACCTTTGTTGAGCAGAGCATCCGTTTGTTCCATCACTGAGAGGGTAATGGAGGCCAAGTGATAAAGGATTTGTGGAAAATGGAGTGACCAGATAGATACCCCCATAGACTTGCTTGCGGTCAGCAAAAATCAGGGGGAGAATCAAAAACATCCAACGTATGCCTCACAAATTCTGGTAGATCTTATTGGCAAGTATAAGTCATCGGAGTAAGCTACCAGCCGAGTGGCTGTCAAGGGATTTGGCTTTCAAACTTCCACGCAGTGAACTATAACAAGGTCGTTAATGGAACCAATGGACTCCTAGCTGTTTCTTATATACCACTTGGCCACATTTTTGTGTCCTATATATCGAAGCTACGAGGTGGATTTCATGCGGCCATGTCGACCTTTAAAATGTCCAGCATGTATATATGAACGGATGGCTGCTGATCCGAACTGTATTGCTACGGTCTCAGGTACAGCCACAACCACGGCCGAAGGTCTGCATCTTCGGCACCAGTATCCGACAAATATAACATCAGTGAATAAAACGCCTCCCAGTTGCTGGCTTTCGCTCACTGGAATGCGGTCGTGAGCAGCATCGGATCCTTCAGGAGCAATGTTGGTATGCGCGCTACGGTGCGAGGCCTTATTTTTGTAGAATGTATATCTGGATATCATTACGAGAAGTATATTTGAGTCGAGGGGCATACCGTGCCTCGTTGAATAATCTCGTCGCTGATTTTAAGTCACTTTAGCTTGAATCGATCAGTGATCACGGCTCTTTCAATAGATCTTCTCAAGATTATCGCAATAGCGATTTGATAGAACTCTCAAGTACATACGCACTGTCACAAAGTACCAGGTGGCGTTTGACAGATTCCCAGACAATCGTCATGTCGATGTTGGGCCAGCTCCAGCCTTCCCACAACGCCAGAGACAGACTTAGAGGATCCAGGTGCGGGTCCTCCCGTCGAACAACCGTTAGTGCTCGATGTAGATCGGATCTCTCTACATGCGGCTCTGTGTGACCGAGTGCAGACCGCTGAAAGGTGGTCCGAGGCGCCGAAAATAGTTTGTTACTCCAACGGCCATTCTATTTTTCCAGATGATTTTCCAATATTGCAAATGGGGATCCTAAAATAGAGTGGCTCGCCCGCTTCGGCTATCTCGACTGGAGTCGCTTGGACCCTTTCGACACCTGACAGCACATCGTCCGACCCCTGACGCATATCAGCGCTAAAGCAATGTGCACACCTTACTGTAATTCGGGCATAGCAGCAATCTGACTAAGAATGACAATCGTCTTGGACAGCAATCACCCAGATTACCACTGACGGCAGTCTTTTGCCACCTGGATCTTCGGCAGAGACGTTCTCTTCTGCGGACCAGGGCCACGGTTCCAGAATAACTTCGTTTTATTGAACAATCTCGTCGAATTTCCCACGCGGGTTTCGGATGCCGTTGTGGTTGAGAGACTCATGATTTTTACCGCTCAGACTAACCCGGGGGCTTGCGGGCGCTCGATGATCTGATGCACATCCATTCGCTAGTAGCAGGTGAAACGTCGAAGCGAACGGAGCAAACCTCTCTCAGTCGTCCTATCACCGTTGGGAGCAGAAACAAAATCTCGAATCGGATGTCCTATCACAGTGTCGGCAGCGGGTGCCAACTTACTTAGATGCAGTTTCTTCGCCAGTGCCAAAGCAGGGACCAGGCGCACGATGCTTACCCGCCCCCTCCCTTACCGCCCAACCACGACGCCAGATCACCCTCAGTCTCACTCAATACCGCATGGGTCTGCAGCTGGAAAGCCAATCATGCCCCAGAGTGAGAAGTTTGCACATTGCAGTTATGCAGGCGCGAAGTTGTCCGGCTCTATTGGAAGACTTGCTTCCCCGCCGGCAACCTCTCGTAGGAAGAGAGGGCGCCAACCACCACAGCGCGCATTTTTGGTTCTTTGGCTGCTTCCAAATGTCTGACATGATGTTGAGAGTATCGTCGAGCTTCTTGATCCTTATGTATTCTTGATCTGTATTGCTCTTTTGCGCAGTCGTCGGCCTCAAGCTGAGGAATAGTTCCACTCCGCCTCGTCTATGCACTGTAGTTGACCGCCATATCTTGAACCTCACACCACGGCGTAACTTCAGAAGGCAAGAAAGTATATGCAAGTGTAGGCGTCTATTTTAGACATACATCCCCTACGTTGCAGCGACCGCCCGGGTACCCTATCAGAAGCGTCAAGCCACCAGGTTCGCCATCCCATTCTGCCAATACCGTTCCACTACTCCCGGTCCGTACTGTGCGGCCAGACCATATCTTGTCTCTCATTCCCGCATTTTACTGATTCGAGTGTAGCCTCAGATATCTGCCCAAATTAGAATACCACTTGCTGGCGCGCGGTACAGAACAAAACCCTCCCTGTGCCCTCCGGTTAGAGACCTGTCTATTCTTCTGCACGATAGCTGGTCTCTATCTATAATCTTTGTCTTTCAACTTCTGTGCATATCTGTTTTCGAAAGCAACACACTGCTGTGGTCGTCGACCTACACCTGTACTCTTTATATTTTCTCTCATAGATTTGTTTCCCCATACCATCATGTCCAGTCAGTCTCCGCCCTCTAGTTGGCCATACAAGCAACTCACACCTCCTTCAGCATTCAGCGAGAAGAAGCGGCCCGAGCCTCTGACGCGAGAACGAACCTCGAGCTCCTCGTCTGGATCATCACTCAAGATCCCTCGAACCCCACGATTTGCGGAAGCAACGGCTGTACACTCCCCAATCGAGCAGAGCGAAGATAGCAGATCACCTTTCGCAGACCCTCCACGCTCTCAATCCAGCATGGCTCAAGCACAGCCATCCGATATTGGCTTCGGCTACATCTCTAACAATGAACCATCACGGCATATTGTTGAGATCCCAGCTATGCCAGCCTCGCCCGGGCCACTGAAGAGTGCAATGAAAGTTCCAGGAACTCCAGGACGAAGGATAGACAACCCTTTGAGCCCTACCTTCCGAGAAGAGCAGATATTGGAGAAGCATGAAGAATTTACCGAGAAGGAACAAGCAAAGGATCTGGTATGATAGTCTGACCTGTATGCTGGTTCCGCCTACTAACTATCAACAGAAAGTCAAGACAAGAGTACGAATCGCCAAGTTCATTCTCCGAGGAGTGAACTTCAGCTGCAGTCTTATCGTTCTCTCTATGGTCTCCGTCACATTCTCCATCTTCGAATCAACCAAAGCTTTACCAGCACGAAACAATCTCCCTGCTTGGGCCGTCGGTACGAAAACATGGCCACAAAAGGTCATTCTTGCAACCTCTTGTGTCTCCCTGGCTCTCTGTCTTTGTATCTTCTGGAACTACTGGAGAGGCGGTCACAGGCGAGCAGAAAAGGTCGCAGTCTATTACACACTCTTCGCCGTTGGATTCTTCGTCTTCAGTACAATTATGTGGGCTATGGCAGCTGGTATTCTTCAAGGAGCCAAAAGCAACAGCAGCAACAAGGATATCTGGGGTTGGTCTTGTGTTGACAACAAAAGACGAGATCTATTTTCTGAAAAGGTTGATTATGCACTGGTTTGCAGATTACAAGTAAGTTCTCATCATCGTATCATATTTAGAGCATTCTTCTAACCCGCGAACAGAGTTGGTCTCTCATTTGTTGTCTTATCGAAGTCGTCCTCGAATGCATCACCATCATCCTCTACGGCGTCGTCTTCTATAGATACTACTCGAAGCAACGCCTCCGCAAGTCCATGGATGTCCGTGACCGCGCTCGTTCCGACCTTTACCTCGCTCAACTCCGCTCCCAATCCGCACCGAACACTCCCGGCTTCGGACCCCTATCTCCATCCTACTCAACCCACATGAAGTCCCCTCGCTTCCCACCCGCAGCCTACAGCTCCAACCTCGACTCCATGGCCGAAGAAGGTTTCGGGCCCGGTACTCGCTTCGTAGAAGCCAAGCCCGCCTCCGCCAAACCAGCCAAGCCCTTCGCGCTCCAACCTCCTCCCATCAAAGTCCACGCCGCGACTCCCAAGACCCCTCAAGCTGGATTTGATGCCCCGGCCCCGAGAAAAGAGAGAGTCATTGAGCACGTAGCTGCCGCGCCTGGCGAACAAACTTATGACGCTGTCCCGATTCCCGGCGCGTATGCGAGTCCGCTGAACAGTCCTGGCATGACACAACCTCAGCACACGAGGTTTGGCAGTGTAGGCGAGGCGATCACTAGCGATGTTCGGATCGAGAGTCCGCCGGGAAGTCCAAGGGGTTGGAAATAGATGATTTGAGTGTTTTTGCTTTGTATTCTTTTTCTTTTCTCTCTTTTTCTCTTGTTTGGAGGATACTTTTATCTTTTTTTGTGGGAGTTGGTGGGAAACACCGTTATTGATCGATTTGAGATGAAATGGAATGGAGTGGAGTGGAGGAACATTATATACCTGTGAATCGAATGAAATGGGGAGGAGAGGAGAGTCGCTCGCTGGACGTATATTATACCTACCTGGCTGTTAATAGGTTCTGATTATGGATGATATCTAAACAAAAACAATATTCATATCTCAACTCTCCGTGCTCTTCTTATGTGACCTCTATCTCAAAACTCCACGTTCAAATATCTGACGAGTTTTGCATGCACTGTACCGGATACCCCGTCTCCTCGCCGCACGGAGCTGAATCCTTCTCCCTTTTCCAACTTCCGCTTTTGGTGCAGAAGATCTTGTCTGTTGCACGTCGACCGGACCTCCCCAAGAATGAATGCTCGAATCCTGGATCGTTGCGGACATTAACTGTTTTCTTCGTTGCGTCTTATCTCACATGACATGCAATTATATCAATGTCCGGGAAGACGATGGGATTGTGATTGGAGTGTTCGAAGTTGTTTCAGACTTTGTATTTCCAATGGTAAAGAGGCATCGCAGAGTTTATGATGTTGTTGGGTGTTCTGTCATATTATTGGTCTCTTTCTGGGTGTCCGACTTTGATTGCTTTAGAATCTCTAATGCAAATTCAACAATTTAAGGAGTTTCAATCTTTGAATCCTCGAACATCGTCTATTGCTTCGCTGTCTTTCAAAGACAATTCTAGATCAACAATCTCATTTACAACAAGAAGATTGGTGGGGAAAGTTCTAGGAACTCGTTGCAGAAGAGTAGCTCAAGATGTCCATCTATATAAGACTAATGGTCAGTTACACTAAATTCGTGGAGATGTCTTGGTTGTGAGGTATGATGGAGGGGTAAGTCTTATATTGTGTGGGGTTCAATGGTTTGTGTAATGGATGTTGCTATGAAGCTTGAAGTCTGTTGTGAAGAAGACTGCAAGGTATCATGCTATATGTAGGGAGACAGTTGAGACGGAAAGAGAGGCTCCTTTTGCAACATCTCTTCCCAATGTCTGTCCTTGGCACCAAATCTTGAGTTTCTACAAAGTCATCCTCAATTCCACGATTGAGGAGACATCGAAGTCCCATATCAACACAGAAATTCTAATTGTCTGTCCTCATTACCGAGTTTCGAACTCATCTGGAAATCACCTCCACATTCCAAACATGTAGAGACGTCGATAGAATCTTCATAGTCAACTCACCCACGCTTATTCTCTGAAATTCAGTTCGATTTGAAAGCCATTGTACTGCTGCATTGATGTAGGCCATATCAGCAGCTCTCGCCCTACAAGTACAACCATGCCTCTCCAAGCATGTGTAAAGCAAAATGCCCTCCCTTCCCACCGAATAATGTAGCAAGATCATTCGTTCCTCATCATCTCTCATAACCTCCCTCCCCTTCCTCACCCGCCCCCCAAAAATGTTCCTCCAACCCCACTCCCTTCTACTTCCCAACAACATCCTTCGCCTTATCCGCCAAAGCACCAACCTCCTTCTCAATCTTGCCCACCACACTCTTCGCCCCGCTCTCAGCCTGCTGCTTCAACATCTCCTCCTTGCCTCCCCACTTGTGATACTGCATCCACCGATACCCCTGCGTGAGCTGCGCGCCCTCGTTGACGAAATGGCAGGCGAAGAGGAGGTAATTCTTCGGTGAGACGGCTAGGGCGTAGCGCATGAAGGTCGCGGAGTAGATGACCAGGGCACCGGTCATTTTACCGGAGATTCTGAGAGGGGTGGTTAGCAATTGAAGTTCGGGATGGGAGTTATGGAGAAGACAAGACTCACAGTTCAGGACTCTTTTGCGTATCCATGACCGCTGCGATCGGGATACCGAAATTCGAGACCGGACCCCAGAAATCTGTTCCCAAATCACCAGATCAGTACTCAGCATCTTCAAATCTGCCTTCTCAACACATCTATCCAGCCGTGTAACCCGCCGAGATAGAGCTTTAACGTACGGGTAGAGCAGACATAGTTCAGTACTGGATGTGCTCGGATCCTCGAATTGATCGCTCTGAAGAAGGACGCCATTCTGAATAGGTGGTCGTTGGTGGAGGGGAGAGGTGAAGGCGTTGGTTGTACTTTGCTTTTAAAAAGCTGCGTTTCTCGGGTTTGATGGGAAACGCTTCAACCTCCGAAAATAGGATCCGATCACGTGCTGCATTGAAAGTCCAAGAAAAATCCGCCGAGTTGAGTTCAGTTTGCATATTGAGGTGAGAATTACGGATCGGGTTAAGATTCAGGACACAAGTAGTTTGGATAGTAGACATCAACTGTTCTCTGACTTGCATTGTTGCGCTGTCTATGCTACAAATTGACAATTTTTGGTATGAAGTCCAAACTCCCCCTCAACGCCTGTACGGTGTTTAGTTTTCCGCCGCCGCCCAATTTTCTCATAAGATGTCGCGAAGACCATAATTAAATCCCAACTACCGTCTTGGAGGAGGAGCAAATCCTGGTGGTGGTCCTTGTCCTCCTGGGAAGCCTGGTGGGGGAAAGCCTCCAAATCCTGGTGGGGGTGCTGCAAAGTTATTAGCATTCTACTGCAAGTACAGATTGGGATATATTTCTTACCTCCTCTACCGAATGGTGGTGCGCCAGGGAAACCTCCAAACGCAGGCGGTGCGCCGACTCCAGCAGCAGGTCCCTATGTGCTATTAGTACTTGTTCAAATGTCCACTGCAGTCAAACTTACAGCCAAACCAACAGGTATGCCCCGTCCAGCTGGTCGAGCAATACCTGCACCAGCAGCAAGAGTCGTAGCCACTCCTCCTGGCGCGCTCGCTCCCAATCGTGCGGATGGATCTGCTGGCGGTGGAGACTCGACAGAGAGGGAAATGATATGAGCACCTCTAACGATGGTAAGACCAAGTGTGCGCTTCTCTTCGGACTCGACGAGCGGTGCTGAGCTGCTAGCTGCGCCTGGAGCAGAAGCTGTCTTGTTGGCCTTGCGCTTGACGCGTCTGAACTCTTCGGTATCTGCGAGGACGAGGTTCATGTGCTGAAGCAGAAGTTAGCAATGGTTTCTACAGAGCATTGAGCAGAGCGCATACCTTGTCAAAAGCAAGCATTTGCCCAACCATTTGACGTCCATCATTCATGGTCACTCTCATCCGGTAGTTGATCTAGTTCTATATCAGCACACGACCTTTCGAAGCTTTGCGCATTGGGTTAACCTACGAGACCGGCCTGTACACATAGCAAAAGTCAGCCTATAATGTCAACGTAAAGCTTGTAAAGCTGCAGTAGAGGAGTTTGACATACCATCTTGCCCTGTTTGTTCGCCATGATGACTTCTTTGAGGTGTATGAAGATTTGGCTGGTTAAGTCGCAAATCTCAAGCTCTCAGAAGCGCGTATTGACGAGATGTGCGACAAGTCGACTTCTCTTGGGGTACAAAGATTGGGTTCTTGAAGTCTCTTGTACTTCAGTCAACTCTTCGGCTTTGGGAAGCGTATGAGTCTGACCTGGTGTATGATCGAGAGCCTTGGTGCCTTGAGTGGGAAGAAAACATCGCCAAGCTTCAATTCAGAATAGTCACGTGCATACTTTGAGGCTGCCGTTTAGCCTTTACGCACTAGTCCTAAATGGATTATCGCACACAAAATTGACCTTGACATTTTTGAAGAATATCGATCATCAACGCCGACAAAACACGAACGAATTCCCACGAAGCCTCTCAACATCGACCAGAATGGCTGAATCCGGAGAGAAGAGCGGTAACCCCATGAAGGAGCTTCGCATCCAGAAGCTGGTCCTCAACATTTCCGTGGGAGAGGTATGCGAACTTTGTTCTCCATGTTCCAAATTCCCCATCCTCAATCTCAATTCCCTTTCTTAATCCACTGCGCATTTGCTAATTAGAGTATTAGTCTGGAGATAGATTGACTCGTGCTGCGAAGGTGCTGGAGCAATTGAGTGGTCAAACTCCTGTCTACAGTAAGATTGTCATTGAGAACCAAGGGAATCAAAAATCTAATACCCATACCAGGCAAGGCCCGATACACTGTCCGAACCTTCGGCATCCGTCGTAACGAGAAGATCGCCGTACATGTCACTGTCCGTGGACCAAAGGCTGAGGAAATCTTGGAACGTGGATTGAAGGTCAAGGAATACGAGCTCCGCAAGCGTAACTTCTCCGAGACTGGCAACTTCGGCTTCGGTATCAGCGAACACATCGATCTCGGTATCAAGTACGACCCTGCGATTGGTATCTACGGAATGGACTTCTACTGCTGCATGTGAGTATATGGTCATTGCCAGTATAAGTTGAGTAGTGTTGACAAATGATAGGACCCGTCCTGGTGAGCGTGTTGCCAAGCGTCGCCGATGCCAAACCAAGGTTGGATCCGCCCACAAGATCAAGCGTGATGAGACTGTCAAGTGGTTCAAGAACCGATTCGAGGGTATCGTCAGATAAGTGGTGAAAATGGTTGATGATATGGGCGCTGGAGTAAACGATTATGCATGGGCGGGGGCTACATTGGCTGTATTTTACTGAATCTACGGATCAGGACACAATGAAGCAGTTTGCCTAAAACTGTTCAGCTCATTCCTTCGGAATGAGCTGCGGCCTAAGAGACCGACCGGCTTGCCGGCTTTTTGCGAGTACCGAGTGAGAAATTGTGATATTGAGAGGGATAATCATTCTTCTGTTTCCGGTTGTGCTTAAGCATATCTATGGTACACCCCTTCCAAGCGGCACTAAGGGTCATCCTTCTAAAGATTGAGCGAAGTATTCTCGATTGTACAACCATTTTTTCCGTCAAATATCACAAGTAGGTCCCTCCAAGTCTAAGAAGTTACCTTTCACTCAATACCAAGCACCAATATTCATATATCCAAATTTCTTCCTCGTTGATAACCAATTTACTTCGTCCTCTCCGTACCATTCATCAGGTTATTGAACATCTTTCCAACAACCGAAGGCTATATTTCTATCAGTATGAAGTCTTCTCTGCAAGGAACAGATTCTACGTACCTCTGCTCTTTGATCACTGATTCCATCTGCGAATTTCTGGCTCCCAACACCTTGTGCTTCATTAGATCCAACTTGGTCCTGTGAGCCTAGCTTCGTCGCTGCTCCAGGCGTATGATGATTGGAGGCTCCTGCTCGACTGTATGCAGCTTCAATGTTCCGGACGCCAGGAGTCTTGCCTGAAAGGAGACCACCGAGTAAGCCTACATCTCCTTTCTTTTGCTCTTGTGCTGGGTGTGTTTGGTCTGACATGGTTCGTATGTGTTTGGGTATTTTTGTTTTGCAAAAGATGAGGAGTATCGTGAGTTGATTTTCAGAATAGAAAATTTCAGATATGACTTCTCTTAACACTTGCAATGGTTTGACTTAACTAGAACCATGCATGTACTTTACATAATCATCAACCCTTCTAGCCTTACGGTCTAAACGCTCCAAAAGCTCCGGCATTGTCGAGTTCGAGACGTCATGAGGGTCTTGATCGAGGTACTAGCGTCAGAAAGGCTCAAACATGCACTACGCTAGTGCGTTCCCTCTGAAGATCTTGTTTGACATTTGCGATGTACTTTCACATGACAGTCATTGAAATGGGAAAGGCCCTGTTGATATTGGAGATATTCATTCAGTTCGTACAATAAAATATACTACACAAATATACCCATAACACCATTTCTCGCCCGCTCATAAAAGAGACTCGCAGCACTGTGCCAAACAATACCCCTACTCCAGCGTTGTAATACAATCTTGGATCATCCTCTTCGATTTTCGTCTTGAAAGCTTTACTTGGTACCTTGAGATCCGGTGGTGAAGCTGCACAGTACACTGTCAGCATCGTCCTATAGATATCTCATAGTCGTGAACGTACTTATGCCACATCTTTCCAATGAAGCCGGAGGCAGGCTTCATCTCATGGAAGCTCTCTCGCCTTGCTGCCGCTGCAGCATCGGTACTGTTGCGTTTCTGGCTCATGAGACCGGAGAACATTCCTGATGATGCTGAACCCTGGATTTCCGGCGTCAGGTCTGAATTTCAATGTTGGAAGAAAGGGTTTAAGTAGTCATGGATACATACTCTTCTGTCACCACCGACATTGTTCGCGGGAGTGCTCTCTACTCCTGAACCTCCGTTCACTGCTGTGGCTCGTGCTGAGTTCATGTTGAGTATATTTGGATGTGTGTCTTAAATAAAAAGAGTCGTCAAATTGAAAGTATCCTCAGAATAGACAACGTATGTGGGAGACACGGAAAGAGGGGAGTAAGCATTGATATACATCCAGTCGGTACACGAACACAGCATACAACCCTGTTCTGATCGAGCATTCGCAAGCTCTAACCTAAAAAAAGCATTATTAATGATCTCATCCATTCATCGGCTCACTTGACTCTCAATAACGAACGCCCACTCAGCCCTTTACATGCTTCTACCCCGCTTGAATGGCATGACCCTTCCTCGACGTCCCTTGATCGTCCAACCAACGATGCTCCCTGTGAAACGCTCCCGAACTTTCCATCCAACCAAACCCCTTCAGATGATATCAAGCCGTCAAAACAAGCCATCTGTGCCCCTCCACACCTCAAACATCCTTGCAAGACTTATCCACATTCCAATTATCAGACCAGTCGTCGCACTGCAATGCCAGAGGAACAGGCCATCTTGCTGCGTTACGCGCAAAGTGTCAAAGCATGTCCATGACGACGAATGGGTCGTTGCCGCTATTAGCGCGAATCGCGGGGATCTTTCCCCAAGCTGGTGACGATCTTGACGATTTGGGGAATTTGCCACGTGAGATATACAACTACATTGCTAAGAAATGATTGATATTCAACAGAAGGATAAGCACTTGAGCAGCGTTCTCCAAAACTTGTTCTTACGAAGACTCGTTGTCTGGAAGTCCGGACGTTGAGAGCCTGAGATGGACCCCGCATTCCGAAGTGGGGCACGTTCGCAATCCTCGTTGGAGCAGGAGGAGGAAATGAACATTTCCAAATGAATTGTTGCCAGAGAAAGGAGCATCAACCTGGCTCTTGAGGCAAACTTGCGATGGGCATCATTTTTTGCTTGGTTTCGACACTGGAAGTCCCAGAGCTCGAATCAGAAGAGATGTTTCGCTTGGGAGATCACAGCTTACTCGAGCTACCTGAGTTCACACCTGAACGTTTGATACTATCTCTTTGTCATATGTAGGTCAACTATTGTTTAGCTGCGGTGCTCTTAAAGATGCCTGAGATCAATTTGTTTTTCTTTGTTGAGTAAAATTCTCGAAGACGAATACATGACTTTGCTCACAAAGAGCTCATATCCACTATGGTTATTTGCAGTTTGGAAAGCCTCTGACTTTCTGTGATCCCGATCTTATCTTCGCTGTACCGTCGTGTATAGTACATGTCTGTTTACACAATATTCACAGTCGAGCTGTCTTCTAGCCAACCTTATAGATATGGGATTCGCAATCAGCGAAGGATTTCGTTCTTTACATTACCCATTCCTGGACACCAGAACGCCGACAGATACGCTCTCTGCGGATCTGAGGGAGAATCTATCCGATGAAGAATGGGTTGTGCTACAATTCAAGTAACAATGGTTAGAAAGTCCATATGCCGAACAACTAGCAGGCATCATACACGAGGTTATTGAGGACCGGAAAGATGACGCCATATCAAATGTCGTTGTCCTCGGAATCAGTGGGAGTGTGGGCACAGTACTGACCATCAAAGACCTTTGGCAATTCGTGCTCCTCTCCCAAGTTGTTGCGCAACTCGCTGGCGCCAATCCAAGTTTGTTGGATAACCTTGTTGCTCAAGATCCAAACAAGATTCCTGAAATGAGAGCTCTTTTTACAAACCATGGATTTCAAGTTGTTGATACCCCAGCAGCATTTGGACTTGTGGAGACCAATACTTTGCTGTACTCCGCTTGGGTGGGCAGTCGGACCCTCATGCAAAATTTAAAGAACCAGCCAACAAGAGAGCTTGGCATGTTTATTGGAAATGGAGAGGATCTCGAGCGAAATGCTGCTTGTAAGTAATTCTTCTTCTGCGGGTTACCTTCACTTTTGGCGCAGTGACTAATGCTCACGACCCATAGCTCAAAACACAGAGTACCAGTCGTTCTTTATATCCATGTTGGACCGAGGACTTTGCAAATTGAGAGACGCCCCGTGTGACAGGCCCAATGGCAAGAAAGATTTCAATGTTGATAGCCAGAGGGATCTAATGATGCCTGAACTAGCAAGCTTCGACATGTGGTAGAGACCAAAGTATACCGAGGCAGAAAAGCTAAAGATTCGATACGATACTGCTCGTAGTCACGGCTTCCCGGATGATATTGAAGAATTCCGTGGGGCTTATGATGCTGGATATAGAGATCTCTACATGTTACTTCACGAAAAGATCGTTTACAGCTTTATGGCTGCTCGCTTCGAGTCAAACACACAGACTCTCAGAGAATACTTTCTGGATTATAACGGTGGAATGAGTGACGAGCAGAAACGCTACGAGCTAGAGATTAAGAGATATTTAAGCATCAAAGATGATTCAGATCCAGATGTTGTGAAGCGTACTTTTACGGAATATCTCGAAGGGTTCAGAAATATTTTTGGACCAAGGCGTGTTTGAATATCTGGGAATTTGTAACATATACCAGTGGTGATCTTGTTAATCTCTGTCTTGGTTATAATCGATCAGTCTTTAAGCTCGAAGAAGGAAGTTAGTTTTGCTCGGACAACATGCGAGATTGTTGGACGATGACATTTGTACCAGAGGAAAAGTTTAGAATATCTTGTTATTCTGCAATGCCTTGCTTAGCTCCATCTATAGCTTTAAGCGCGAAAGTTAGTAGAGTTAGACTAAAATTCTCAAGTCCCATCAACAGTCTGCTGTATTGAAAGCGAGCCCTTGACCTTAGCGAGCATCCACATATTTATAGACCGCGAACGAATACGCATCGTATGTCGTCTTTCTCTGGACATCACGATTCTCGAACCACTCTTCTATTGATACGTGGATTGTTACAAACAAATGCGTAATTGATTCACTCTTCGCCAAAATGTTATTATCAGCTACCTGGCCAATAACGTGCCGATTCTAAAACACCACACAGCTGGATATCTTCATCTCATGAATATCATTGATATATACTACTATATTCGTTCATTGTCATATCTACACTACTAATTTCTATATCGAGGTGATTACTCTTGGGAATTCATCAATGTTTCAGTCTGTCCCCTTCATCAGCAACTCTTCGTCATTTCATCATTTCATCACTCCCACTTTTCAGCCTCGGCTGTCAACCAGACAGTTCAAAAAGTTTCTGCTTCTCATTCATCTCACTGTCGTCTCCTCTCCTCCTGAAGTCCCCGCCATCAGAAAAGGGATCTCTGCCCGCGCCGTTCCTTGCAACAGGTGGCAATGGACTCAGAATACCTCTATATCCTCCATCAAATCCTCCTTGCCCCTGTCCAAGCCTCAACGGCTCAATATTATTCCTCATACTGTTGTTTCTTTCATTGCCTCCTTGTCCGTCACCTCCGGTGCTTGATTTTGAGCGCTGACTGATAGTTCGTGCGATGCCGGGAGGTAGTAGGGAATCTTCCATTGGGTTAAGGAGTGGCGATGATGGTGGGTATTCGGCTTTGCCGAGACGGTGCTTGCGAAACGTGCGACGAAGCAAGAAGACAAGAGCAATAAAGAAGGCTAATCCTCCAACTGTAGACCACGTTAGCATGTTCTCAAAACATAGAAAGACAAGTTAGCATCGGTGACCGTACCTCCAGCGGCAATTCCAATAATCATTGTAGTAGTGTTGGCGTGACCAGATGACGTCCCAGAAATCCCACTCGCACTTGCTACAGGTCCGTTGATTGATCCCGTTGTTGTGCCCGTCCCTGTACTGACTGGTCCTGCAACTACTGCAGAGCTTGACGCTGCGGTATCAGGTGCGGCAGTGGCTGAGGTCAGTAAGGTTGTCGGATCAGATGGGCGCGCTTGAGCAATTGAAGTCAATCCTGATGGCTTCGCTGCTGTGCCCGATGAAATTGTTGAGGATGTTAAAGCCGCGGGGGCTGATGAAATTGATGAAGTAGCCAAAGTTGTGGAAGCTGGAGTGGTTGAAGATGCGGATAGCAGTCCTGGAAGCAAAGAAGTTACTGCTGGTGGGTCAACTCCTAGAGATAACAACGGAGATGAAGTTGCTCCAGATCCTACTCCTAGCAACGTACCCGTGGGATTGACGCCAAGAGAAAGTAAGGGGGATGAAGTCGCTCCTATGCCGGCGCCGATCAGAGGTCCGGAACTCGGAGCCACAGCTACAGAAAGAAGTGGCGCTGAACTTGGCCCTATTCCCACTCCCAACAATGCTCCACCGGACGATGATGCTCCCAGGACCGGAGAAAGAAGACCACCAACCACCCCTCCAGCGCCACCTAGGAGACCACCACTTGTGTCTGGAGCCGGTGTCTAGATTATCTCAGTCATGTTCAAGCCTTTCATAGAGATGATAACCCACGGTTGCTGCTCCGGAACCACCGGTAGATGAAGCAGTGTTGTCTGGACTTGAGGTAGCAGGAGCCTGATTACTACCATCTCCTAGAACTCCACCCAGCAGTCCTCCATCAGCCGATGCCGTAGTAGCGCTCCCTCCTCCTAAAAGTCCACCCAAAAGGGCTGCTCTCGGCAAGTGAGTCTCGCCCCCATCTCGTCTCTCCAAGCCTTCATCACCATCGCCAACTTGCCTGCGCCAGAAATCAAGTCTCATCTTAAAGAATAGCAAAAAGTAGAACCAGCTCTGAAGTTAAACGCGGGTCCTGCCCAAAAATTTGACATTGAAAAATAATAATCGTCAAGTGAGGAAATCAGAAAGCAAAAATGAGGGGATACCACTGGGCATAAATGAAGACTGATGCAGCATACGTAGAGAGCCGTTCATCTTCCCCACCACTGAAACCTGACCCTGGCAGGGCTGATTTTGAGTGCTTGCATTACTTCTGCCAAACAAAGCGATCTGCCTCGCGCTCAATTTAGTTAAAGATCTCTCGAAAGGGACCACAGACTCCCGCTGGTAGGTCCAGTTGAACGGAAAATTGTGGTCCTGACACACGAAACGGATCCGGGATTTTCCCTGGGCGCAGCTGCCAAGGTCATGTCGCACTTTCCGAGTGTCGTTGCCCAAAGAAGAGATCTTTCAAACTGAAGATCGTGTTTCAAAAGTTCCCTTATGGTGGGATATTCAGTTCGCTAACAGATTTGGAACACCCCTGTCCGTGCGCCGGCTATGCAAGGATGGTCAGGAGGCTGGTCCAGTGATTTGGGGAATAGAACCATCTGATAATAAAAAGCAAATACGTCAAGATTCAGGATATAGGGAGTGCCTCGCACGTCAAATTCTGGTAAGCTTATGCGCACGGTCGGGCAGTGTTTAAACTTTAATCTCGTACCACGCTCGCCAGGTTTCCTTATTCTGTAGTTTGCTTGCAGTCTTCTCTTTGGTTGGCATTGCCTCGAGACCGGAGCAGTCTGTTTATCGATGCAAACGTTCCTAACACTGGATTAGCTTGTCACCTCTGGAAACATTCCAAAAGAGATGCTGGACTGGTTAGCCCTGAACCTCGCTAAGCCTAAGGGGCTCGCTTACGAGCTTGTAGGGGAATACTAGCATAAGTCTAGATTTCTTATGAGAAGAATTGATCGTAGCAACGTTTATGAACGGAAAGGAACATTTTCGAAGTCAAGGAGACAGAAGCAAAGTTTCAAATTCAGCTTTAGAGACTAGAACACTGCGTCGTTCCAGGCAGCTTCTCTTCTTTACCGCTGCCGAACTTTGTTCGGAACCGAGATCTCCCGCTCTACCGACTACCTGCATGATTTTCCGCTTCAACACCAACTTCTAGGTCCAAATCTTCTTAAATGTTGTTTGTTTATGGCTAGGTCTTCACTCCTACCCATATAGTTTCTTTACATGCCGAATTGTATCCGGCAACTCAATAGAGAGAGCGGAGAATCGATGGATTCCTTGAATCTTGGTGATGAGTTTTGGAGCTTTGACCTAGCTCTTGTTTTTTATTATTTCTTTTCAGCCGGTCATAAAATCTCGAACGCTGTTGTCTCTGCGCCCATAAACCAAGCTTTTCGGCGATCATGTTCAGACAGTCCAACTCGTGTGTAAATTCCATTTGAATCTGACTGAAGTATCAAGGCAAACTGTATTATATACGAGCCTGAGTGTCTGTCATCCCAAGTCATCACAGATTCGTTGCGCGTTTCACCGATCAAGAGACATGCCACTTCAATCGATTCTTGCAGGGCCATGTCATTACAAGTGATGTCTGTGTACGCATATTCTGTTTCTCCGCGGAAGTTGAGGAGATGAGTTGGGTAGATGTCTGATGTGACTTCATGTTGATGAGTTAAGGTGCAAAATATGGCCAAGCCCTGTACCGAAAGAGCAGCGTCTTCGGCGCCAATGATCGACTTAACTTCGTGTCTTGACAATGTCGGACCCGTCGAATGAAAACTCGCATCAATAATGAGGTCCTTCTTGCGAGTGTGCATTCCGAATGATCTTCTCGAGAGTAATTCGACAGACGCCCATGACCAGCTAGGGATATATTGGCCAGGCATACCAACTATGCGGCGGCTTATTTGATATGGCATCTTTCTCCACAGCAATCCATGTCCAAGGTTGTACTGCCAGATTCCAGCATTATACGAAGAGTTCATCTTCGTCTGGAAGTAGCTTGCTATGCCAGAGATTGCAGGTAGTCTATCGAGCTCGTAAGTGATCTCCAGCTTTGTGAATTCATTGACGATCTCTAGCCACCTTTCGAGTAAACCCATACGAGTCTCATCGCTGACTTGGTCCCTTGCGGTTTCGTCATTAGCCAGTAAACTCGAATCCACAGTCGGGTGGTCCATCGTCAAGTCCCATGCAAAATATCCGCACTCACACTCTCTATTCTCGGCACTCCCATACCATCTCCTCTCCGTGAAAATGAATCAATCGATTTGATAGTATTCGCTCTTGAAAGGCCCATGCTCGATTCCAGAGAGGAGCCCCGCTTATTGGTGGATGCAACTCTCCAGCAAAATGCGTATGAGCCTTGGACAAATATCTAGCTTTGATGCCATAAGCTGTGAAAAGCCTGTCACTCTGGAGTCGCGAATCGACATGCGAGATTCTAACACCGAAATCTGTTTCGTGCCATCTAGTGGTCAAGCAGCCAGAAGTCGGGGATGAGGCGCCCGTTGCAGCAATAGTCAGGTAGGATCCGGAATATATTTCTGCCATTTTTACAGATTCCACGATCCAATCTGAAGCATCATCTTGAATGATGCAAAGGGAATCAATCCACAGATAGTGAATCCCGAGACAACGGGTGATTGAGATAGCGTCCTGGAAAGTTTTCGGCAGCCTCTTCCAAGGAATTTCCATCACAAGGTCTTCGATTGTTGCTTTTGTGGTAGTAAATACTGCAGACTGGTCACCCCAGCAGTGGCTGAGGGTAGTATAGGGCTGCAATGTTGGCAGGAGTTCAAGTCTGAGGCATGTAGGGTCGGTCTCGCAGCCAACGTAAAGCAGTCGAGAAGGCATTGGAGACGGTTTTGCTCGATAGCGAGAATGTGATGTATGGCAATTGCGGATGTGGGGGACAAGGAAACAAGCACAAGTTGAGAGGTCAAGTGTTGCAGGAACCTCGTTTGCAACACCCAGCGCCGGTATTGGAGACAGTGAATCTAAATTGAATAATTAGAGGATATCGCAAGACAATGACGGTAGTGACTGACCGCTTGAAGAATACATTTCAAGTTCGAGATATGGCTCAGCCAAAGGGTCTTGGTCGCTCCATATCAGAACTTTTGTGGTCCATCCATCTCTCAAGAATATTCTTATCTGACTCGATTGCAAGAACTGGTGGAATCCTGTGTGGAAAATCTCGAGCGGATTACTGAATTCAGAAATAGCGTAGATAATAGCAGCACAAATCTGGCAGTCTTTCGAGTCTCTGAGGCTTTGATACGGGACTTTGAGACGTCGTTCCCAGTAACCATCTCCGGAATCCTCTGGCATTCTTCCCCAATCCAGATCAAGACACACATCGCATCGTGGTGGCCCTATATTTGGGAAAGTAGATGTCATGATTGAAAAATACGAACGGTTACAGCCGTTTAGTTAGGGTGGTGATGAAATAGCTTAAATCTTGTTGCAAGGCGACGATCATTGGGTGAAGGTAAGAATGCTCGCATCACGTGAATGGCTACCAATTTCCGAACCAGTCACATGGCAGTGATTATAGCCCGCTTTCAGTATGTATGCGAACTGTCTGAAGTCTAAATTATCTTCGCCGTGAGGCTATAATCATCGACAAAGTAACCTTGAAACTAAATTTAACCAGGATCAGAGCACAATATTAGTGGGCTACGTCCCCAGGTGAAAACTGGGATTTGAGGGACAAAGTGGTGCAAGTACGACGTGAAGTCCCTTCTGTTTTTTGAATCTTCCTCCTTCCACTCATATTGTACTACAAGCTGTAGAGCAATGTTATCTTATACTCCAACTTCTACGGTAGTGTTTGACTTTTGGCCCAACCCTCCGAACTGCACACCCCTTCTACTAGACTCCATCACGGATTGAGGAGCATTCCAGTCAAAATACAACTCTCCACTTTTGACACTTTTCTGAATAACATCCCTAGCTCGAGGAAACATGTCTTTTTCGTATTCCTCAACTGCTTTCTGTGATATTCCGAATTCCTTCAATTTCCGCGCCAGGGCGACCGAGTCAAGCAATGCAATATTAGCGCCCTCGCCGATGAAAGGAGTTGTCACATGTGCGGCGTCGCCAATCAGTGTTACTCCTTTGGCAGCTTTCCATGCAAGAGCATCTGGAGGCATGTAGTACAGAGGCCAAGCATGAAAAGAGCTATCAATTGCTTCGATGATCGCCTTGATGCTGTCTGCGTGGCCCCCAAAGAAATCATTCGTCAGCATCAGTATTTTCACAGCCTCAGTATCTAACAAATCAACTTGAATCTTCTCAGCGAAATTCTCAGGTCCCTTGAAACCTAGTTCCATGCGGTAGTGGCCGTCTCCTTGGCGCTGGATCCAAATCATTGTAGAGCGACCCAGGACTATCATAGGGCCTAATTTTGCGACTTCTTCCACCTTGGTGTAGAAAGGATTGGAGGAATGGATCTCGCCTGTCCAGAACATCATCCCAGCATATTTTGGCTTTGCGGGCGTTACCTGCTGGATCTTAGTCGAATGATTATGATAGCCAAGGACAGATATAAACTCACTAGGTGCCGGATCTTGCTGTTGGAGCCGTCGGCACCAATTACCAACTTAAATCCAGTTGCAGAGATTCCATCTCCAAAATGTAAGACCACATCTCCCTTGTTGTTCCTCTCAGACGAAGTGACAGCCTGTCCCCACTTGATATTCTCCTCGGGAATCGTGGTCAACAATGCTTGTTTGATCTGCTCTCGATCAAGTTCAGGAGAATCCACTCCCTCTCCGTGGGTAAACACTTTGTTTCCCAGGTGATCCCACACAGCATGAATAGTAGCCTCACCACCGCGTCCATATTCTCTGAACTTTTCATAACAGCCTGCTTCTTTCATGGCCAACTGTCCACCACCGTCATGCAAGTCGAGACAGCCGCCGCGAGGTGGAACATCGATGTTGCTGCGCTCGTAAACAATGTAGGACAAGCCAGCTCGCTCAAGTATACCAGCTAAAGCGAGGCCTGAGGGCCCTCCGCCGACGATGGCTATGTCCGCTACCATGATTTTGCAATAGAGTCTGATATAAAACTTGGGAAATTAACTGAAAGGCTTCTATAAATCTGCCAGATGTTGGAAAATGCAATGCTTTTCAAATAATTAAGCAGTACACGTAAAGTGGTGTTACATAAGGTTTTTCGGACACAACTCGCGCCCGAACGCCGCACCAAACGCGATGTAACACTTGAAACCTACATTTCTGCATGGAATATTCCTAGGATTGAACAAGGAAACAACACCGGAGTCCGGGGTTAAGGCAAGGTTTTGCGGGGCTAGTATGTGCTGCACCTGCACTGCCTTACCCTTTTAGCAGAAACTACCTGCTCGATCATTTTTTGACCAAGAGAGATGAAGGAATTGTCCGAATTGTTATGCATCAGCTCTTCTTCTCCGACTGGTTGACTTCTTTTGAGTGATCTCAATACAGGTCGTATTGTATCAACTGAAAGAGAAGTGCCACTTACCAGCACTCTTTCCGTGCCCACTGCATTGCGCCAAGCACTTCTTATTTTGCCGAGCAAGGGTTGGAACTTGTCTTTTTCTTCTCCAATACATACCATTAAACAAAAGAAGTGGCAGTCCAAGACCATCTTAATAAACAAAGACGAAGTATGTGACACCTGGATATCATGCACCGTGACCATCACTAGACTCCATGACTTTCTGCAACGTCCTTCCACCACCTCTTGTCACCCATCGATCCGCTCTCCACGCCGAGTTCGGTCTGTCCAGAAGATCACTCTTATTCCCTGGATCCCAATTCGATAACTTCTCTCGAGTCGCGGGGCTTGGCACCGTTCCTTAACGCAGGCGGAAGACGCTCCAATCTCATGCCTGTATACACAAACAGCGCAACCACAATGATCTCTTCAAGGACAGCCATGCATAGAAATACTGTGACATCCCCAGTGAGTACGCCGAACTGGGACCTTAGACTTTCCACGTACGTCCCCAGAATGCTAAACAGAAATCGGACCACCATGAAGGGCGCGCAGTATGCAAAGCAGAGAAGCAACTTCTGCTCGCCGGAGGGGATAATATGCCATTGTCGAAGGAAAATCAGGAATATACACACGAAAGCGAGATAGGAAGCCACGAAGAGGATGACGGAAGCTTTCAGTAAGTCGTTGGTTGCCAAAGTGGGCGAGTTTGCAGACTCGATGCCGCCGTAAATAGCCAGCACAATACCCGCGATCGCGAGTAATGAGATAGCAGAGAAGATCTTCTGATGTATCGTGTTGACAAATTTGTTCCTGTTTTTGCAGTTCGCAGATTAGCTTTCACTGTCCATGATATCTTGCACTGGAGAAAGGTCAGACTAACACTCTCACGAATAGCGCAAAGTTCAACAACGTTAGTGGAGCCAAACCAATTCCTTGGCAAATGAGTGCGCCTCCATAGACCGAATTGGTAGGATCATTGATAGAGGCAAGTTGGAAGCTCGCAGCGAGCACACGTAAGGTCGAGAAGGTGACCAAAATGATCCAACCTTCCGAACGACGGAATCCGTGGCGGAAGCACAGCGCGAAAGCGAAGCCTAGGTAAATCGTGAATGGGACGAGCTGAATTATCGCAACAGCGTCGCGGTAGGTGAAGACGCCAGGTTGATCCAACATGTTTCTTGATGATTGGCGTCGAAGTTCTCGGGCGAGATCAGTGAGTGGAATGCTAGGGAGGTGCGTTGGATGAGAAGTCTCGCGAAAATGTCCCGACGACAATGACAGCAGAGTCTTGGCAATATAAGTAGGAGGAAGAGCGAAAGGCAGAAGCCATATAGCGAGAAAAAAAGGCTCAATGGACTGGAATAACTTTTGAAGTAAGAAAGTTGCATATCCAGCTCGCTTTTAAACGCAGATACCGTGTGCCAAAAGCATTCCCTGGTTGTCAGGGGACATTCAAGCCAGCCGCTTTTCGTAAAGCGTCCCACGTTTTTGATAAGAGATATGGGCATCTTTGTTCGTTGAGACTCTACCTGATAGGATGTTGAGACTTATCCATCGTACCACGAATGTCAAGGCAGACGCGAAGAAGGTAGTAGCCGCAAGGAATGTCAACGTCGCTGGCTACCTATTTAGGAAATTAGTAGAGTTGACTTACCCCTGAATACTCGCTAAGCGACTGTTGGTGGAATTAGGGCAGATTTCCTCAACGGGCTAGCTAAACCGACATAAGCTAGCGTTCCGTGGAGAAGGCTCAATCACTCCGACCCAACTTACCGTTGGTGATTCTGCGTTGAGTGCCTTCGTCTTGCATATTTTGCAAGAGCTGAGAAGATAAATCTGAACGAATTCCATAACTTGCAGCAATGGCGGTTATAATCTTTTGGACAGCCAGGCAACCTTTCACTGCGCCCGATATCTTCTTTGAGGTCTCGACAATTTGAAATATGCGAATCGGGTTGTGGTTTGAAGAGAGCTTGAAGCCTCGAAGGCCACTCAAGCGAACCTTCGACTCATATGACAATATACTGGATTCTGCTCGATTCTTGGCGCAAGGATCTGATCATCTGATCTCGTCGACGATTCCACTCCATCGATGCAAAGTTGGTGAGAGTTGAGCATCTCAAGAGGTCGACTCCCTCATGTCGCTAATTCGAGGAGTACGTTGACAGAGTGCAAAAGGAACGAGAATTCTAGGAAGCACATTAGCTTCAACACCATCTCGGGCAAAGTAGGTTACATCACGTGCTGCGACATGGGCATCGAGGTTCATCCCTTAGGTCGCTTTGTTTGTGCATCTCATTTGCTTCTCATTCTGGTTCGTGTCTTTCGGCATTTCAACCAGTTCTCTTTCATTGATTGAAGAAATCCGTATCTTCCTGCAGCTCTTGGGTTGATGAAATCCTGACATGAGGTTGTGGCTCGTGTTCGGAAGTAAAATTCGAACCAACGTTTCACATGCTTTGACGAGCCAACCATAGAATCATCACAGAGATGCTGTTCAAAACCTCGCAAGGAAGGCGTCATACTTCTAGCGATCGCCGCATCGATTTGGCAGTCGATGCGTGTGCATCTCGATATATAGCATCATGACGGATAGTCAAATGGAAGATAATTCCTCTTTCTCTCGAAGATATTATGATACGAGTGAGGTAGAAACTGCCGCAAAGTTGAATAGCGAATACCTTGGAGAATCAAATTTGTTCACATCGAGAAGTCATCTTCTCCAATTCAATCAAGTGGGAAAACTTTACATCTTCAAGCTGGGTAGGCACCACATTCGTGTCTTTTTTCGTCGCAAGTTAAAGAGAGTTTAACTTACATTATCCCAGACAACCACTGCTATCCGAACTCAATCTAAAACCCAGCAATCAATTAAGATGGTTCTCGGGCTTCACGGTCACAGTCATGTTGATATCAACAGCATCAAGAATAGTCACCCGGATCCAACCACTTCGATCTATCCACAACTGTCTCCCGACGATGCTCCGTACCAAGTGCAGGAAGTCGATATGCGCTCTGCAATATTTATTCCTGAGGAGTTCCAATACGGTCGAGATGGTAAAGTACCTGTGATACTCGTTCCTGGAACAGGCTCCTTCGGCGGAGAAGCTTTCAGGTGCAACTTTGCAAAGTTACTTAAAGCGAGTAACTTCGGAGATCCACTTTGGCTGAACATCCCTGGAATGATGTGCGACGACGCAGCAAAGAATGCGGAGTACGTTGCCTACGCTATCAACTACATTTCAACAACCTGCAGCAAGAAAGTGGCAGTGATAGCCTGGTCGCAAGGAAACCTCTGTGTTCAGTGGTCATTGAAATACTGGCCAAGCACTCGCGGACAAGTCAGCAACTTTATATGCCTCTCTGCAGATTTTCGTGGGACCACCAATGCATGGCTCATGGCTCCTGCTGCTGGTGTGCCATGTGCGCCAGCAGTGAGACAACAAAGGAGACGTTCAAAATTCATTACCACCTTGATGTCGAATGGTGGTGACTCGGCTTATGTGCCTACCACTTCAATTTATTCCAGAACAGACGAGGTTGTTCAACCGCAATTTGGGAAATGGGCGTCAGCTTTGATGTATGATGAACGCCAAGTCGGAGTTACGAATTGTGAGGTCCAGGTGGCAGCATGCAAGAAACCAGCAGGTCTGTATTACACACATTTTACACTATTGTGAGTTCCACCTCTCAGCGCATAGCATTGTTTTTTGAAGTTTGTAGCCTCGAATTCCTTTCTGGCTCTATCCATTCCTGCAAATGATTGAATTTTATACTTGAGTTATACTACAAAACTGAACATGTTCGCTGACACGAAGATTTCGATGATCAGGTACAATCCGCTTGCGTGGGCTTTCACTGAAGACGCCATCTGCAACGGTGGACCAGGTCGATTGGATAGGATTGACATGAAATGTTGCATGCGTACCAAGACACACGGGCTGAATAGGCTGGACGTACTGAGAACCAAGGAGCTGATCAGGTGTGGGAAGGCAATCTTGAACTACCCGGCGAAGCTTAAATATGAGCCAGAGTTGCCGCCATATTGTGCTCGCGAGGAGAAGACATATGTGCCTGATTACGAGGCAGATATTGAGTAGGCTGCTCATGATTCAGGTGTGTCAAATGACTTGAAAGAACCTGTAAATGCAGAATAGAACCCATCTAAAAGTTTTGACAAAGGGTCGGCCTCGATTTGTTTTGTCAATTTGTTTTGAGGCTGGAACGGTGAACGTTCGAGTGAGTCTAGGAAGCATGAAAAACAACTCCGAAAGGCGTTGGCGCAAGTGATGTGGACCGCAAGGATTGACAAAGGTGAATATAGCAGAAGAACAATATGCAAAGAAGTTTCGAGATATTCCGGACTGTTTTGCTTGTTGACACGGCTACCGCCAGGTTCTCTCTCTACAGAAGGAACCACCGCAGTTGCGTGGCTACAAAGAGTTTTGGTACAGCCTTGCTCTGCATTGAGTTATATGTCGATATTCATGGACTCATTTTCGAAAGAGGTCTTGCGTTTCTTTGGTCTCGAGCAGTGTACAAGTAGTTCAGCATCGTTCTTCAGCAAAGGGCTTAAATTTGACAGAAGAGACCTGCAAACGAAAAGAATCATCGCTTCAATCTCCAGACTTGGATTCCACAAGCATTGTACGAACCACACTTCAAATGCATATCGGTGGCGCGACCGTGCCTGAAAGATAACTTGCACGGCTAGCGGGCAGCGGGAAAGTGTCCCATGCACACACATACATGTTTGGTTGGACAAGTGAATGCGCGATCTGTCATGGTCTCCTGTGAAGATGCAAGGGTGTGAAGGCTTATAAACAAGCCGATTGCCCCCTCCATCTCACTTCACTTCACTCACCTCACACCATGGACATATCTACAAAGAAAAAACTCAGATTTCTCGGAGGGTGCTTACCTCATCACCCAACACTACCGCTTAAGCGGCACAGCTCATTTCTCTTGTGGAAGGAGCTCTGATAGAGATGTACCCTTTTGAAATCCAATAAACACTTTCTCTTCAACAAGGTGACGTGTCCGAGTGGTCATGGAGGTAGGTTGTCGCCCTACTGGGTTACACCGTAGCGGGTTCGATTCCCGCCGTCATCAGGCGTAAGCCTACAGCGACAGCGTTATCATATTATTATTCTGGTCTTTGTGCCCGGGGCGATAGGCCTACTGCCCGCAAGGGTGAGTGAGTTCGATTCCGGCCGTCACCATCTATTTTTTTTATTCGTCTTTCTTTCTTCTTCTTCCCCTTGTATAGGTATAGGTACGTACAGTACCTTGGTAGGCGACTCGTGATTCTTGCGGCCTCGCACTAGGTATGCCTAGGTGAGCCTCGATGGTCAAGTGGGAACGTGTGATTGGACGAAAGGGGTGGGGCCGCTTTTGAGATGGACTCGCTTGCAATTTGGATCTCGACTAGCTACTGACCTATATGAATGTTTTCAAACTTCAGAATCATTTTTCATCCGCCTTCATCCAAATTCGTCCAACTGCAACTAAACTCATCCAAACTCATCCAAACTCATCCAAATTTATTTGACTTTATTTAATTTCAAGATAAGGATCGAAAACTGTTCAAATTTACTAGACTTATTGAAATCAACATGGAAATTGAACCACGATCTCTCGCAGTTTCCAAGTCAAATGGAGTGGAAGTCCTCCGCAACCTTCTCGGCTTCGGTGCAGGCGAGATGATTGATGCTATCTTCGTGGCGATCGATTTCGAAGGCTGCCAAAACATCGAAAACGCATTCCAAACTTCGATTGACTCGGAATTTGGTGTCGCCTATCTCGATACTCGAGATCTCTTGCATCACGAGGAGAAAGACCCCTCATCTTTTATCACGACTCAAGAATTCGCCACTGGCAGTAACTCTCGATTTGACAAAGCTGTGAAAAACTTCAGATTCGGAGTCGCTGAAAGAGTATCAATCTACGACTTGGGAGAAAAGATTCGCCAATGTTTGAATCCACAGGATGCTGATATCACCAACGAGAAACGGAAAGTCATCATCGTCAGACACTGGCGAAATGAAATGAGATCTGTTGAGGCGCTGCGCATATTTAGTCATGATCTCCGCTGTGTTCACAGAATCCTCGACATCTCGCGGACTGCCAACGAGCTCTTCGAGCGGCCTCCGGGTTGCCCTATAGGATTGACAAAGCTCTCTTCAGACCTATCACTGCCTTTCCGAGGCGAGGACTTCCATACCGCAGGAAACGATGCAAATTGCACGTTGCGAGTCCTTCTAATGTTGGCGGTCAAGTCACAAGAAAATATCATACCTGAAGGGCCACAAAGCAAACTTGTGGCTCTTCTCCGACAGATTGCGCAAGCTCCGCTACCACCCACAAAGTCCGAAGAAGAGGTCAACCGGCTTCTAGCGATGCAGCCCACAGAACCTTTGGACGATGCCGCACAACCGGTAGACATGTCCCGTTTCTATGTCAAGCTGACCAAAGCTTCCTTGAGGCAGCGATTCACACAGAGACGGCAAGAAAAGGATAATGACCCAGAAGAGCGAGCGAGACGAGCTGCAATTCGAGCTAATCGAGATTTGAAGGAAGATGGTGAGAACTTCATGGGGGCGTTGCAACAACTTGAGATCAGAGTTTCGAATGCCGCAAGTTAAGGAGACAGGTAAGTCCCTTGTACCAATTCTATCGCCGAAATTGTTTCGGGATCTGACGCTGAATTTAGTCTTCCGGCATTTGGTACGCACAATGTCATCCCAGATCTTCAGCCGCAATGGTAGTATAAGTACCACGATGCCACTATCACCCATTTCACGACGAATTCCATCCCAAGCGACAATGTTAATTACCTATCTGACCAATATACACGAGCTTCTTTCCCTCGTCTTGGCACTCCAAAACTTCACGGGATACTCATGACAATACCCCTGAACGAAATCAGGTGCCATCGAGAAAGCCACACGAGCATCTTCCACGAAGACTATTGAACAGGAAGCTTCGAGATTGCAGTTCTCGATTTTCGTCAACTCTTAGATTCCTCTAGAAGGCGCTTGCCAACTGTTGGCTTTGTATAGCATGCAAAATTCAGAAGCGCGGAAAGTAGGGCCTGCTATTGTGTGCGATGTGCTCTCTCGGTAGTCATCTTGATTTCTACACTGGTGAATCTCGATAGATTGAGGTCGAGGTTGTAGTCGTGCCAGAATGCAATAGAGCTCATGACTATGAAGACTTCCCTGCAATATCAATGATGAAATATTCGACAACATGAAAGTGATCTATCTCTGTGATTATTGAAAATGTTTCAACGTAATATCTTAGACTTTGTTGTAGAGAAAGATTCTAGGGGGACAGTCTAATGGTATGAACTTGCTCTCGACTTCAAATAATGATCCCAGAAGGCAACTGAAGCAAATCTGTTAGCTAGCTCCGGCCGATATCAAATTGGCCTTCTCATCGAGGCAGCCAGTACAGTAGAGTTCCAATATTTATTGAGCAGTAACAAAATATGACGTAAGATGACGTATAATCCTACTTGCCATAGATCAAGGTGACTCCTGCATATCCGGGAACGGCGTCACCAAATACCAACGCCATAAAGGGACAAGTTGCTATTCCAAGTATCCCAAAGTTCATATACAACCGAAGGGTCATCCGCAGATCTCCTTTTAACGAGTTTCCCAATAATCTCCAGCTCCGGCGATGCATCCCAGTCCTTGCCACGTCGGACATCATTAAGATCCGACTTCAACTCCCCCTGCGACCAGCGTCCTGGGTCGATTCAGCCTGGCCCTCTGGTAGCTCCTCTGTTTCGATATCCCATTTCTTGCGTCGGTCCACTGTGACTTCTGCGCCATGAAGTGCACCTTCGAAGACGGTGAGCGTCTTGAGCTTTAGCTTTGACACTATAGTCAGCGCATCCTGTCTATTGACGACTCCGGTCTGCAATCTCCAAGAAGAAATTCATGTCAAACACCAGATGCCGGAGGACCTGATTCTCGGGATGGGAGAGGTATCTGCGTATATCAAGATTCTTGAGGATCAGATAAAGTGTATCCTGTTCCGGACGAATGTATAATGGTTCAAGACGATTGTACGGTCTCTTGGGTTTAGGATACAATCCGGAGGGATGCGGCATCCATCGTGATCTATCGGGTGTCAGACTTGGCAGATACACCGGCTTGAAATTCTTCGGGAGGCAGCCAAGCCCGCACACAGAAAGGATGTCTGCTGTCGAAGTCGACAGTTCAAATCGGTAGGTGGAGAAATTGTAAGCAGCTTCGATGAGAGTAGGCGCCGCATCAAGAGCGAGCCCAAAAATCATGATTTGAATTTCTCGTGGCAGCTTGGTGAATACTGTGAATTGTGTGAGCTTCCATGAATGATCCTCATGGAACACTTCTTTCTTGTTATGCTTGAGTTTCCTGGTCTCTCCAATTGACTTTTTCTGTGTAGCAGAGGCCGTAATAGTCCTACGTCTGCGTTGCAGCACATCATTCTTGATCTTTTGCGTTCCGAGGAAGTGACTTTTTCGCTTTTTCTCTCGTCCTCCTCTCTTGGATGTACGCGACGTCGACGAGTTTGGTAAGATGCTCTTGTTCTTGCTCCCTTTTGTATGTCCGCGGCCATGTTTTACTTTATGGCGAAGCCTCTCGATGGACCCATTTGTCTGATCCATTATTTCGCTGGAGAAAAGGATGTTCGTTGATTGAGAATCTGGGATGTCGCGACGAGTTTCTATATATATATGCGCCGAGGACTAGTGACGTGATCCCTGCAGAATTTTACACGCTAGTCTCGTGATTGGAGGAACACCAGTAGCTCAGCAGCATTAGGGAAGGGCAAACATCATAAGGTTTTCTTCTCAAAAATATGATGTAGATTTGTAATTACATACTACTATAGACTAAGGAAGAGGATACATAGTCTAGAGTGAGCTGAGATTCGTATTCGGGGTGTCCGATGATGTCTCGTGAACGAGGTCTCATCTAGCCTCTCTTTTGTCGCTTGAGAATGAGTTCTAGATGTCAAACAATTTTCTTTATCTTCTCTTGATAAAGCGAGAAAGACAGAGGTGATTCCATTATCAAAATCCAGGAAGTCTCTTTGTGTTATATGTATTACTCGCATATTTCTAGGCGTCTACCAAACTCTCACGCCTCATCAAACCCGAGCTCGTCGAATCTCGACATCGTAAATCATTGATGGCAAGCCAACATCATTTTCCTACACTCTGAACAGCTTTAAAACCCAATTTTACCAGGTTTTGAAGTGTATTGTGTTTAGATAGGCAGCGGAATCCTGTTCATGAGCAAATCTGCGGTGAGCTTCATCGTCCAGAAATCTGCAAGGCAGAACGAGAGTTCGCAAGATTTTCAATCTCGGTTTGGAATGAGAACCAAAAGCAAACAAGTGGCGTTCGGACGACAGTTTCTGTCATCTCGGGAGGGGAGAGTTTTCCTCAGCTTGTTCGCAACAAATTATGCAATCTTCGCTCATGTAAACAAGATAACCAATAATCAAAACAGAATATAGCAGCTAGAATTGAATTTTCATATATAAAAGAAGACTAGAAGCTGCGATAAATAACAAAATATTGGAATTAGGCTGCTGTCTGAGGCTCTCAGCCTCCGACTCGAACAAGGACAGACCGGCGTCGAACAATGCCACGAGTGTCAAAGAGATTATCGAATGCAAGCAGAAGTAAATACATCGAAGGTTTGATGTACAGTTCGCGCGAAATCGATGGAGATAACAATAATTTGACCTTGAACAGGATGGCAGGAAAGCATGGTCGAAATTTGAATCGAGAGATCATTTCGAAATTTCCTGGGAGCAGAAGCGCAGTTTGCGCTGAACGCGCTCACTGCGCTAAACGCACGAATTGCGCTGCCTGCGCCAAATGCGTTAAGCCTGAAGTGAAGCTCCTCCAGATTTTGGACTGCCGATGCATCTCCTTCGAGGCGGTCATACCGGCAGCGCGGGTTGTCGGTCCCCATCGTATTGTCTCTAAGCGGACGTTTGTTTCACAGAGCTCCGGAATGGAAGTAAAAAGGAGGTATTTCGATGTAAAGTGAAGAGGTACCTCGGCGTTCTACGCTAGTTTAGGCCTCCTGAAAGGGGGAGTCAATGGCGCTCGCTAAACAAAAAGTTGGACCAATTAAGTAAAATTGATTGGAATCGGATCTTATTTTATAAAAAGCTTGATCAGACTACATACTTGAGGGTAATTGTGAATAAATACGAGTAAAGTATAAGTTTGGGATTGTCGTTTTAACCTGTCTTCGACGAGGTCCCTTGCCGTGCTCGTGCCGCTGACAAGTCTGTCACTGCGCTAGTACCCTTGTATCCTAGAGCTTATTTTGTATGTCAGTTGGTTCTTGATTTCTTTACTTTGTATTGCAACAATTCAAAAGCTTCCTCTCATCGTATGTTACCCTATCAAAAGTACCTTTGGAACATTGGAGGGGTATAGGGATTTCTTCACAATAGGGTCTGGGTGGATGAGGTAAAACTTCCTCGACGAGAGTACGCAAACGCTGGATGTCTGCTACAGTACCACCTTCCCCGCCAACAACCCAACACTAACCCCTCCTCCACAAACAGTATTCAAGTACCCATTACAGCGGACCAGCCATCTTTCGCTTTCTCGTGTACCATATCCAGACGAGCGCACAATTGCCGTAAATACAAACACGTTGGCGGCAAGTACCTGCCTATGCGACCTGTTCTGTTCGTGGTCTTACTACCGGAATCTACGATCCAATTGCAGAGTCTTGACATTCAACAGTCTCAACTCCATACATACACATATCCTCTAAAATGACTCTACACAGCCGACCTCCAGTCATCCGTGTCGATGCGGAACTCTTGATTCCCGGCCGCGGCGTCCCAATACCACATGCAACTCTTGTCTCCGAAGGGAGAAAGATTGTCTACGTGGGCAAGCAAAGCACCCTCCCGGCGAAGTATGCCCAAATCGAAGGGACCGTGGTCCCCGTTCTCCTCCCGGGTCTCTGGGATTGCCATGTCCATTTCTTTGGTGCGCCGTCCTTTACCCCCGAGGTCGTCACATCAACTACTGCAGCGCTCGCAGGTGCTCGAAGCGCTCGTGACCTAGCAGCTACACTCAATGCCGGTTTCACGTCGGTTCGGGAGCTGGGAGGCTACGGTGCTCAGATCTCGGCAGCCGTCGAGGAAGGTTGGCTTGTTGGTCCCAACATCTATTCTTCTGTCAGTATGCTCAGCCAGACGGCGGGCCATGGGGATGCACGTGAAGAGGATATGACAATGATATGCTCCAAGATGCAACAGAACATGCCATTCTACCTGTGTGACGGGGAGGCTGAGTGTCAGAAGGCAGTCCGCACCATGATTCGCCGTGGAGCTACCGTTATTAAGGTTGCTACGACCGGGGGCGGCTCCAGCAAGGACGAGCTGCAGGCACGTCAATTTTCGGATGCAGAGTTACTCATTATGGTCCAGGAGGCTCAGAGGGGTGGATTAGCCGTTGCGGCGCACTGCCATGGCAAGGAAGGCATTAAGGCTGCCTTGCGCGCTGGCTGTCGAACTCTGGAACACGCCAGTTTTGCAAACGACGAGTGTATTGCACTGATGAAAGAGAAAGACGTGCTTTTCGTACCCACCCGGACCGCTATCAATTTTGCCCTCTCAAATCCCAAAGCATGGACTCCAGAGAACTATCGCAAGATCGTGCAACTGGCCGACGCGAACCTTCGCGCCTATACCAAAGCAATCAAGGCTGGGGTTCGCATCGCCTTAGGTACCGATATTGGCCTCAGCGCGACCTCACTCCCTCTCAACCATGGCATGAATGGAAAGGAGTTTGTCTGGGCTGTGGAAGCAGGGTTGATGCCGTTAGAAGCGATTGAAGCTGGGACTGCAAGAGGTCCAGAATCACTCATGATGAACGCAATAGAGAATGGAGACGATGAGAGTGACGACGATGGAGAGCCACCACTTACGAAGGCTCCTAAGAGCGGACAACTGAAGGTTGGTTTTGATGCCGATTTCATCGCCGTCTCGGAAAATCCACTGCTTGATATTGCTGTATTAGCGAACCCTGAAAAGGTAACTCACGTTTGGAAAGGGGGGAAGCTGTTCAAGGAACCGGGCAAGCTAGCTACACTCATCCTTCCGGTTCATTGATTATTCTGCTTTGCAGCAACACCACTCCGATCTTGTCAAGGATTTCAAAGTAAGATATACTGGAAGTTTTTGTAAGTCTGTTTGGTCACTCTAGTTTATAAATTAGCGAGCAAGCAGTTGGATTATTGCGGCATATAGCCAATGAACTGCGGAAGCTTCAACTTTACATGTGAAGGACTTGGAAGTCGAAGCAAGCGTCGGATTACTACCAGCCTACCTAGGCAGGTAGATATGTGAATACAATAGTCTTCTTGTCTTCTTGTGCGGTGCTCTTGATGATATTTGGAGAGAGAGCGACGAATTATTCAAAATTTGTGGTTGTGCTGTGATTGATAGACACATTGAACAAGTGGATGATCCAAAACGACTAATCTTCGTGTCTTACATTCATCTTGTGATTTTCGAATCCTTCCAATTTCACGAACCTAGCGCATTGAAAAGGTTGCCGTTGCTTTCATTTCAGTGAAACCTTAAAAGAAGAACAGAAGAGAAGAAGAAGAAGAAAAGCTGTTGATTTGATGTCGCAAGTATATCGTCCTTCTTTACTTCACTTCCATATTCCAAAATTCTAGGCGAGGGCTCATCCAGCCAAATTTCGCAAAAGAACTACAACATTTGGGAAGAGAGTTCTATTCATACATCTATTTTATAATTATTGAATGACTGATACTCTGATCCTCATCTTCGTCTGTTCTATCCATTGTCTTATACAACTTATGCTCTTTAACGAGCAAACTACAAATGGTAGCGAGAACCCCCAAGCCGAGAAGAACAACAAACACTACCTGCAAACTTGCCATATAAGCTGCGACAACCTCAATCCTCCATTCTTCAGGGAGGTCCTTGATTGCGTCAATACTACTTTGAACCCTGCGAATTACCTCTTCCGCACCTTCCCTCCCACCAAGCCTTCTATTTAACTCGTCATTCAATCTAGTTTGCAGCACAGTATTGGCAACGGCGATACCGATTGTGCTCCCCGTACTGCGAAATGCATAGCTTGCGCTTGTGATCACAGCATGATGGTGATGGTCGATAGCTGCAAGAGCGGCCAACAGCGTTGTAGTGAGCTGTCCAACATATCCTACACCGAGCAGGAACATAGATATGAAAGGTAGCCAAGATGTCGTGGATGCAGACAAAGTCGCCGTGATGGCTAAGCTGAGCAGGAAAACACTGGAAACAGCCGCGTTGAGGAGATAGTAACGTCCAGTTAGGCGTATGATCAGTCCAACAGCAAAACCCGTGATTCCAATTGCGACACTCTCGGGTACCAGACATAGCCCAGTCGCTGTTACAGAATGTCCCTGTACGAGGAAGTAGAGAGGCAAGTAGAAAATGACTCCAAAGCGTGCCATAGTAGCAAACCAGTTTGTGAGACATGCGGCAAGTATCGTGCGGTTGAGCAAGAGAGTGACAGGGATGATGGGCTCAGCATGAAAGCGTTCAAAATAGATAAACGCTAGTCCGAGGACGACAGATACTGGGAGCGCAGTGAGGACAAGAGGTGAGGTCCAATCGCCGGTTGTAAGTGCAAGGAGAAAAGCAACCAGTGTCGCGACAAGGAGGAATGCACCAGTGAAATCAATCCTCTTCCACTTTGCAAGCTTGGTCAAACCGACTTGGGGATTCTCGTCCTGGTCTCCTCCATCTTTTGAAACTCCCGAGCTTTCTGGAACTTTGATAAATAGCAATGATAACACGATTGCCAGAAGCGTCAGTGGCGTTTGTATCAAGAATGCCGCTCTCCAGCCAAATTGATCGTCAATCCAACCTCCAAGAGGCCCTCCGATACTGCTCCCAATCCCGAAGCATATGTTCGCTGTTCCTTGCCACATGCTTCGCCTTCTCAGAGGGATAAGGTCACTCATGATGAAGACAGCAGTTGGGCCAATAACTCCTCCGCCTAGACCCGCAACCACTCTGCCTGCGATCATAGTATTTTCACTCTTCGCCATAGCACACATGAGGTTTCCGATTCCAAAGACGACATTGGCAAAGATCATGCCCGCCCGTCGGCCGTAAATCTCCGTTAGGCGACCAGCGAGGGGTTGCGACGCTGCATTGGCAACAAAGAAGGCGGATGCCAGCCATGATAATAACGAGAGCGAGGAGAAACTAGTGGAGATAGGGGATGCGAGTGTGGCAACGAGAGTCGAGTCGAGAGCCACAAGAAAGGCACTCACGTACACACCAGACAGCACAAGAAGGAGTCGTGCTGCAGAGGGGCCGTCAGGTGGTGTTAAGCGGTCGCTACCATTGTCAATGTCGTCATCTTCTGTGGGCGTTGAAGGTAGAGGAGACTTAGGTCCAAGAAGGGGTGTGTTCTCCGTTGCAGAAGTGCTCGGGGGTTCCATTGGCACAGAAGCTTAATCGGTAGTCGAGAATGTGTGGAAGGGGTGACAAACGCTCGAGAGGCTTGTTGATTGCTACTTGGGTGTTTGTTACTTTCAACAAGGAGAATGCGTGAGGTTGTGAGGTGCAAATTGGTACTGTAGACGTCTGACGGTGTTGAACGGGCGCATATTTCAATCTGCATTCGAGAGTCACACGCTTACGGGTGCAAATTTGTTGAACAAGCGAGGACGAGGCGGAGTGTCCGAATCATGCGGGGATATGGATGAAAGCTCTTATTGCCGTGAAGGCTTGCTGTCGTGTCCGTTCCAGGAGTGTGGTTGAAAATAAGCTTCTTACAATAAGCGAGAATTGCCCCTGATAGTGGCTTTGCGAGGAGAAGGAGATTGTATCATCCTTGCAAAATACCGACCCCCGATCCGGAAGCACAGGAGCTTCTTCCGCTCGGAGTTTCCCCGGAAATTCGGGCGTGAAGCCTGGTCAGATAAGTCAGGCAGTTTTTTATGCTCTCTCTCGTGGCAAGTAAAACCGCTCGGTATGTATCCATCCTTCTCCTTTAATCATTGTCGAATTCTCCATGCTCATCCATCCTTGTACAGTCACACAAAGAAGACAACGGTACTCGCCTTATTCTGGATTGGCTACTGCGTCGACAACATCATCGGTACACAGACCTTCCAAACCAAATATGCCTCACGCTTCGCATCAGCTGAGATCACCATCTTGGTTCTCTTTGGGATCGGTCTCGTCGATATGCTTCTCATGTACTTTATCTTTTGTTGCAGAACAAGAAGAAGGAACAAGAGAGGTCTTCAAGTGCAAACGTAGAGATGGAGGGCCAGGACTTTCTTAACTTGACGGATTGAGAGAATCCAAGCATGGCATACGCTTTTGTGAGGTAGCTATGTTTCTTGGAAACCTAATGCTTCATTGTTAGCCATCGAGGTTGGAATGATGTCAATTGCGTGCGAGATGTAAATAAAAATTGAATCTTGTACATATGAAATTTCGCGTCGCGAGTTACCGGTGCTTGAACATTTATTGCACATGGAAGCGAGGTTCATTCTATACGCACAAGGTGATAACTTATGTTGGTTCTGCTTTATCGATCTGCGATTCAGTTGAGGTGGAATCAAGCTGGTTGTGCGAATGAATCCTCACTCGAGGTGGTGGAACAGCAGAAGAGTAAACTCTGGCTTGGGCTTCACGTCGTGGAAAGACGTTCGAGCACTTGTAGGCATTAGTCGACAAGATTGATCTTCTGTCTTTTCTGTTGCAGAGCAGGTATTGAATATCGGAGCGGCAGTACCCCGCAACTGGCGTTTGCATACTCCTCAACCACCATTTTTCACATCATCACATCAAATTTTGAGTAATCCTCGCGTGATGTGGGCTCATCTTCTCCTTTTATTAGACAAAAGCCTTGGAATAAGTGAATGAGAGCATCTTCTCCATACCGAGGCTGAGTTCCCACATAGTGGACACCTAAAAGCACGCTGCAACAGTTAGAAATTTTCAAACGAGCTACAGTGATCTAACCATGAAAGAATTTTTATCGTGAAAAACATATTGGAACTCTCTCAAGGTGTCTTTGTGAAGGATTTGCGAAAGCATAAACTGCATAATTAGGCAAGATGGGATCTTGACATTGGATTAATTATACACGCATACGACGAACAGGTTGAATTGTAAGCTTTAAATTTCCCATCGGAGAAGAATAAAGCTCAAGACTCGTAGAATTCACGGAAAGATATGCAGTGAAGGATAATGATGATTTTCTAGCGATGATCTAAGAGCTCTCCGAAAGCGACATCGATCGATTTTCTTCCCTAGGTATAGGCGCCAAAAAGCAAAAGGTCCTCTGTTCTAATACATCTGGACTTCGCATTTGAGCTGCGATTTGGTACTCTGTCACCGCACTCCTATCCTGAATACCCGTAAGCAAGAGAAGCCTCACCGTGACCGAGAGTGCAGAATGTGAAAGGGTGTGCGGTGTGCTTCGTGATTTCCTCAGTAGACCAGCTCAACATCCACAAACTCTCGGGACGTTCTTGCCGTAGTATGCGCGCACTGCTTGTTATATTGCTGAGAATGACGGCAGTTACGACGGAGCAGCTCCTTCATCCATAAATGAGAAGCTTCCTTTTTCGCGGGTTCGTCTTCCTTCATACCACAACAATCAAACGAAACCATCGATGCCCTCTTTCTCCAGCAACAATCCTTGCACCAAACAATAAGCAGTACTTCGTACAGTGTCAGGGCCTTACGATTTCTTTCGGGCCATTTGTCACTATGAGTAGGACCGCTCTGGCCGTGTTCGACCCTCAGATTCCACGAAAGTCAAATAGTCCTGACATGGTTTCGCGACACATAGCAACCGCTCATGGCTCAGACATCACAACTTCATTGAAGTCTTACTCATCATTGCGCATTTAGGTATGTGCAAAACGGACTCTCTACTAGTGACTGTTCTCTCACGACAATTTACGCACTGGGCAAGCCCATGTTCTTTGCGTTCTCAGAAGTCCAATATCAAATTTCTATGACTATTCCGAGCACTCTTGACGCCGGCATGCTGGGGTACAAACAAATACAAGACGTCAGCTTAGGCTGACGCACTTTTATTAGGAATTTTGCAAGTTACCAACAAGCCATCTGAGCTCAGCATAGCATCACAGCTCTTCGAAACGTCCACGAGCCGAAACGATATCATCCCAAGCGCACTCATAAATGATCCGAAGCAATGTTCAAGGATTCTAGCATATCCGACAAGATCGGAGAGATCTACCAACAAGCATTCATAGGCGTGGACAGGCGCTCAAGAACCTCCCGAGTTGACTCGAACATTCGCACCACTTGATATCTGTTCAGGATTCTGATGTCGCATACAGAGTATTCGGATACACACATACAATCTACACTATGGTTACCTACCTATGATTCGAAAGTTCCGTCATCCAACATCCAACGCAAGCAAGAGCGAGACCACGTCTATTGCCACCAGGGTATGCTAAACAAGCTTCTCGCTCCTCAGACTAAGAAGCTCAAGCCAATTTAAACAGTGCCCACTCCCCAAACCACTGCAGTCGTCTCTACCAATTCCACAGCAGCCGCCGTACGTTTCACAAAGTCGTCGGCCGTAGAGAGTTCAGCAGATTGGGTGAGGATCTGTGGTGGTAGAGGTGAAACTATATGATAAGCACGCCACATATGCATGCGAGACTTTGATGGTTGAAGAGATGGTCTTCGAGAGGACGGCCGGGTTGGCTGGTTCGCAGATGGTAGTGGAATACACCACAGAATGAAAGAGCGAGAAGTACGTGAAGGGTGCGCGTTGCTAGGGAATAAAAGCCTGGCTCTTCATACAACGCCTCGACTTGATGCATTTGAAGTGCGCATTAGAATTTTAGCGGATGGATGAGCCAAGTTTGTGATAGCAAAGGTAGCAAGTATCGGAAACGTGACTCGCGGGACTCCTAGAAAGACAACGAAAACAAGGTACTGTAGATAGCCTGAAATAATAAGACGATGACAACAACTTTCCAGATATGCGATTCAGTATTATAGAATCGCTTTCAAGCCCAACTTGACGGTTGCAGAATTAACGATACCGAGGCTCAGCTAAAATGTCCACTTGTTTTTTGCATAACGATCCGAAAGATTTCTCAGTGGTTGGTTCAAGTCCAGTACGCATTGGCGTGTGGACATTGTTTCATCACGGCCTTGAACAGTAAAAATAGATACTACAGTTGAGGTGCAACTTTGGATGGGTAGAGGTTTTGAAACCAAGATTAAATATGTGCGCCGAGACGCTAGTGCCTGTTTAGGCGATTTCATTCTCGACTAGCCCGTTTTGGCTTTGGTGGACATAACGTCAGGCAAGCGACGAATGTAACGATTTCCGTGTACGATTGATGTTGAAATGTGGTTCAAGCAACTGATCTCCGACTTTCTTGAGGTTCGCCGCAATATAGCTTTGAATTGCATAGAGTGCTGTCACATACGACATGCACGGAGGAGAATTGGATAATCTCCGCACCGTTAATCAAACTTTGAAAGTTTTACCCTATTCAGAACATGGAGATCTTTGGCCTTTATATATCGTGTTCAGCTAGATCCATTCGTGGCAAGTGCCGATTCTCAACCGGCTTGAATTCATGAATTTGGTATCCAGGATTCTGACATGTCGTTCTGCTTTCAGTCATTGAAATTTTTGCTTGGAGTACAGGTACTTCGTCCCTCTATTGGCCTGCATGGATGATTCGATTTTCAAGACCTGCTCGTATGTACAATTCAGTACCTCGATCACTAACCCAACTTTATTCTCCGCCAACTCGCAAACTTCATCACGGGCGTACTCTCATGTCCAAAATCTACCCCAGACTCCCTCACCCAGCCAGACTCTGTGCCTATAGTGACCCACTGAAAGAGTCCCAAGAATTCAGCGACTCCCACCCTCTCGAAGTGTTCGTCATGTTCTTCCACGATTAGGATAATAGTATTCGAGATGCTAGGGATCAACGCAGAAGCAAGGAAGACACAGAGCAAAGGCTTGTCGAGACTGTAGACGGTCTGTGTGGCATCAAATTCAAGGTCGAATTTGATTCGCAGATGCAAGCCAAAGCGTTCTGGCGAATGGACCTCAAAGATCATGTCGCCTGCTGCATCTGAAAATGCAAGACCAGGAAAGGTAGTGGAAGGGAGGATGTGCACCAATGAACAGGATGATATCCAGGCAGTGATATTGAGATAGATATATTGATTGATTTTGTTGGTCGACAGGTCGCCTAAACTTTCTCGGAAGTCTGTGTCGGTGGTTAACTGGGACTTGGGTACCGAAATTGTCGCTACTTTGATCTGAAAGCCCCCTCTTGCCGCAACTTGGTTGTACACAAGCTGCTGTGAAACTTCGCCCTTCCAGCCTGCCCATGACCACGAAGGGAATTTTTCATTCCTGAAACCAGGCTTGAAATGAAACCATGTAAGACCAGCAAGCAGACTCTGATTGTCGATGCGTTGCTTGCCATCAAATCGAGAAACCGAACCACAGTCAAGTATTGGGACACCGCAGAGATTGTATACCGGCGTTTTGGCCTTGGCAAACATGCGGAAGATGCCTTGCAGCGCGTTCAAAGTGTCCGACGCGAATGAGAGTTGTCTTTTGCTGAAATCTGAAATGCAGGACATGATTTGCCAGGGGTTGAGTTCTGTGCGGTCTTGAGGAAAGTGACGTGAGGGGAGATTTGCCAAGAATCTTGTCCTTGATTCCATGCGCAATATTTGGTCTTCTGAAGTAGAGAGACGCAATGATTCAGCGCAATAAAGGTTACTGCACTCAAAGTATACCTGCTCATCCGTGAAGATCAATCGGCGCTTGGAAAGTATTCCTTCTTGGTACGTCCAGCCTCGAGATGCCCATCTTGAGCTGTTGACTAATGCACTTGCATGTGGAAGGGTTGAGACAAGGTGATTTCTGTCGATAAGCAGATGCGGATGAACTTTGCGAGGTCGTTCAACGCCAGGCAAGCCATAATCTGGCCCATCGCCGGCAGCTGCAATAATGGTGATGAAGGCATTGGCATAAATGGCATCCATATGGGTAATCTGATGGTGCTTATCGACGGAGTCTTCCTGATCGATACAGTATCTGTCAATCCAAAGATACTGGGCTCCAATCATAGTAGTGACTGACAAGCTGTTCTCGATAACGTCAGGGCACCTGGGAAGATATGTCTCATTCGACTGAGGAAGTTCCTCGTCTAAGACTATATCAGACGTGGATGACCCCCAAACATATGACAGGGCGACATATTGACAGTTCACAGGGGCTCGAACAACTTGCCTTGTTCTACAGTCAATTACCCTGAGGAATGGCAGACCTTCTCTCAATGTTGTGCAGGCCTGACCGTGGTGGATGTCACAGTAAGCAATGCAACTCTTCGCGAAATCAGCATCAAACAAGCTGGGGCTGATTATATGCATATCAAGAGGCGAAGAGGTCTTCAAGCACAGATAGCCAGTCTGGTCTAAAGACTTTTGTGCGTCGTCCTCGGAATCGAAGAAGTTGCCAACACCGAGTAAGGAAACATCCCAATCTGAATCCAAGGGTTCTTGCCCAAGTAATGTTCGTCTGGCAGAGAGGCCGAGTAGGTGACATATCTTCATGATCAAATCGCCATCTGCATCTTTAGATGGAGCCATGCATCCAAACAATCTGCATAATGGGCATGGCGATTCGCTCAGTTGCACAGGAGAGGCGTCGAGTGATGTGATTAATATTCCTTGCCGTCTGAATGACACCTCGAGTCTTGTGTTGAATATTGCGTCGAGGTCAATGGTCTTACATCGTAGACAAAGACGACCAGAATGAGCGGATTCATCACGAACCAGCAAAGCAGCTTTCAACCTCAGTCTTCGGAGCCTCTGACGGCGTTTTCGCTCCTTAAGCTTATGATTTGCCGCGGCCTTGCGAATGCGTGCAATGGTGGCATGGCTGCTGTCCAAAATTGATGATAGTTCTATCGATAGAGCAATCACTGAAGAGTCCATCTCATAACACGAGCAGAGCTGAGCCTTCGTAGAGTGGCAGTAGCCTGTGAAGCAGAGTCCATCGTGATCGGACAGCTAAGATGCCAGTCAGCTGCATGAGAGGCGCACGAAGAAGCTGAGATTTCACGCTGATGTTAAGCAAGCGTTGCGTACCTATTCATGCGCAGAAGTTGGGCGACCGTATGGACCAATGTTAGGCCGCGAGTTTTAATGACAGCCGTCTAGAAAGTCGACATACGATCTGACAGGTGACATGATGTTCGATATCGTATTTTGATAAAAAAACAATTGATCCAGAAAGCAGAATACGATCCCTACTTCTAGCAGCGAGTAGACCTAGGACTAGCAGGTCCCTTTTAGATGGAGGTGTTTTATGTACTGGAATCACGTGGAGCACTAGCGTGGTGAGGCCGATACTCATATTTCAGCAGTTTCATTCTTTATTTTTTTTCCCCAACAATTTCATCATTCAGAGCTTTGATTCCTCCACCAATCGTCCCTGTTCTGTACATAGTTTCATGTCCCCTTCCAAGAGAGCGTCTCAGCACGTACGAAGTAGCTAGCTTCCACACGTGCAACGGCTATCGGCCTCTTGTTTCCAGGACCCGACCTCATTCCTACGCGGCATGAGGAACACTGGCTGGAAGCCAGCTTCTTCCTGTGCCTGGCAATAACAAGATATTCGACCCTGCTCTCCTTATGACGGGATGTGACATAAAATCCAGAAGTTACACAGCTTGCGTTGCTCGCTCCTCGCACCTCGGACCTCGCGCATCGCACATCTTATTTCACGTTCCGCATTTGTTCAAGTAAGCGCATTGTCGATGCTAGCTACTGTAACCAGCCGACCTGTCCGGGCTTACATAGGTAGTTACCATACTTCCAGGCCAGCGATGATCAAGATCTCAAGCAACAAGTATTTACAAGCTGCAGAACGTTTGTATGCACTTGGAAGTAAGGCAAAGTAGAAGCTCGACCCAATCAACATCGAACTCTCGTTTGCAATTTGGTACGACGGCGGGATTGTCCACCGTGATGATTTGCTGTACGATACTGTACAGTAAGCGACGAACGCTGAATCGACCCCGCTTCATCAGCTCAAAGAGTCTCAAATATCAATATTCGTTTATCGGTTAGAAAAGACGAAGCCGTCAAGGCATACGCAAATTGCGTGTTAAAGCTGAAGCAGAATATATAAAGATAAGTAACACCAGCTTCCTGAGTTTCCGAACAGCAACTATCTTCCTCCGATTTTCTCACCATATCTGACACTTCTCCTATATTCTCTATTTCTTAATTCGCGTACCTTACCAAACATGTTGTTCTCGAGCTTCACCTTGGCTGCTTTAGCCTTCGTAGCTGTGAACGGTGCGCCGACTGTTTCGCGGTCATCAGCCCGCAGCGCTGCGCCAATCGACAATTCTGCACTTATTGCAAAGCTTAAGACAGATGCAACGGCTGCAGAACAATTTCAGCAGCTCCTCGCCAACAACGGACAGCCTCTCGATCCCAGTGACCTCGCTGCAGCTACCGTTTTCGATTTCACGAAGAACCCATCGCCCGCCCAAGGTACACAGGGAGGCTCTCTCAACACTGTAGGCTTCGAATACTTGAATCGTCTTATGATAATGCTAACCTTTCATGCAGGCCGGTCCCAAAAACTTTCCCATTCTCACCGACTCGGGTCTCTCTCTAAACCTCTTGACCTTGGGTCCATGTGGCTTATTTTCCCCACACATTCACCCCCGTGCCAACGAGTTCTTTCTCGTACTCGAAGGCCAAGTCGATTTTGGCTTTTTGCTCGAAACTGGAGTCTTTGGAGGCTTAGGCGCCCCGAATCCAACAATCAGTGGCACATTGAAGCAGCATGAAGGCACTCTGTTTCCGCTGGGAAGTGTTCACTGGCAAATCAATGCCTCACCTGACTGCAACAATGCTACCACTTTTGAAGCTTTCTCGTCCGACGATCCGGGCGCCGTGCTGATTCTCAACAAAGTTTCGAACGACTCTAGAGTACTCATTCCGCAGATCGAGCCCAATGACCTCGATGGCCTTCGCGCGGTGCTTCCCCCTGCGATTTTGAGCGAAGTTGATAGTTGTCTCGCACGATGCAATATGTAACGCCTGCTGATGGAATTAAGTGACGCTTGATAAGATGAAATTCGGCCAAACGTGGGAGGTCATACTTTCTTTCATACATGCTTTTAGATCAGTTCTGATTTTAGATCATGATTCGAATATTCTGGAGTTCTTCTTAGAGCTTAGAGCAATTTGTAATTCTGCAATCAAATATAGGCCTATTCGATATAGACTCTTGAAAAGCTGCAATAAGATTTCGGTTCGTATAACCAAATTTGACCCGTCGCTATATCTAAGGCTCCGCTCGAATGTCTACTTCTTCGTTACATAACAATCCAAAAGAGAATCCTCAATGGTTTGTCAAGCAACTTAAATACACTTTCGCGTGTGAACATCATCCCACCATAGCCTGGTATGATTACGACAAATTAAGGGGGAACTTGTGGATGGATGAAAGGGTACGAGTTGAAAGTTATAGGTACCTAGATACCTGTGGCCAAGTGCCCGCGTCAGGTGATACCGGATCTCGCTAGTCTAAATTCCAATTGGTGGAAAGCCTACGCTCACCTTTCCTTTTCGATCATAATACAAGATCTTAGCGCACACAATGCTATGAGACAATTTTCCATACCATGATTGGTTTTCATTTCTATTCTTGTAAATGCTTGCGTTCCAATCCATGCCTCCAACGCGCTGCTGCTTCCCGTCATGCTGATGTATTTTTGCGTATGCTTTTCCTACCGCATTTTCTTTTCCGTCCCTTCAAAGTTGTTGTGGTCGGAGAAATGAGCGCAGATGTTGTTCTGGTCGTCGCAAGGCGCATCGTAAGTCTCAATCTCCAAGGGCAGGATCAGGAGTGGTGGGTTTGTTGAAGACGTGCCTCACTCAAAAAAATCTCGCTGCTGTAGCTGTCATTGGAGCGTGGTCTCGCTGTTCCTTGCGCTATTTGTTAAGGTGTGTGGCCAGGCGAGACAGGCCATGAGTCAAATACTCGCAGATGGTCGCAAGCGGACTTTGTGTACCCAACGGGCAAAGGCAAAGAGATTAATGTCGAGCGGACTCTACTGGCCAGGAGTATGCTTGTCGAAGTGCTAGTATAAAGTTGATTTCGAATGGAGAACCGGAGAAGGATATGAGACAATCTCGTGTGATTGTTCGTGTGAAGATTGGACAATGCCAAGCCTAGTCTGACTTGATGGAGCAGTGATTTATACTGAGCTTTGTCGAGTGGCTGGATATCTGGTTGCTGCGTTAGCCTGGGCCGACGCCTTGCACTGCGCGATGATGTGAGCTAGCTGCCCTGTCTTGCATTGGCATCGACATATGCCTATCGAACAACACTGGGCTCTGGACATTCACAGAGCGCCGCCTTTGGACAAAGCCGGGAGCAGAAGTCGTGAGGCAGTTGCCTTCCTAAGAAGGAGACTGTGTGAGGCCATGTCCGTGAGAGACTCGGGGACGAAGGGTACAGTACCTTGATCTGCAGTGACGAGAACAAAGCGGCCATTGAAGTCGTGACATCTGAGCGCTGTCGAGTGGATTGTATACCTGTTGTACTGCGTCAGCCAAAGCTGACGTCTTGTAACTGCGTGTTGCGAGGGAATGTTTCTGCTCTAGACTCTGACTTGCGAACAAGCCAGAGATTGAACTAGTTACAGGATTTGATTTAGGACAATTTTAGGAGCACAAAAGATATTGATCATCTAGTGAGCAGACCATTGTCCGGGAAAGGGGGGGTGGCAGGGGAAGGGTTCAGTACCTTGATGCGCAATGATGAGACCGAAACGACCTTGAAGTCGTGATATCTGAGCCATCGGTGTGCAGCAGATCGTATACCGGAGCATCTTTGTGCCCCGATAATCCTGCGACAATCTGGTAAGGTATGTGTGCGTCGCAGATGCAGGCGGGAACATCCTCGAGCAAATTGAACGGAATGGGTTGAGAGGTCTGACGGTTAACACGAAGTCGTGGACTCGTTCAGAAGAGTGATGCTCAATATACTGTTGCAGAAAATATTGTCGCAGATTGCCATATTGTTTCTCGATCGTATTGTTGTACTATCGACGAAGTTGTTGCGTTGTTTTGACGGAGAGAAGAAGAAAAAAGGAAAGAGAAGGTACCCTATCTGGTGTTCTTCTCAGTGATATAATTCACTCTTGAATGCGACAGCAGGTGCGTCTCAATGTGTTGCAATAACTAGATATACAAGTGAGGAAGCTGCGAAGCACTTCTTTGAGAACATGTAGGCTACGGCAAGGGTCCACATGGTGCGGTTCTTGGGTGGAGTGCGGGTCTGTGGTTTAACCCACGCTGTTCAAGTTGAGGCTCAAGTTGCGTTTGAGTCTTAAGTTTATTACGTGTACGTATTTGAATTGCTTTCTAATCTTGCTATCTTTACTGATTCTAGCTCGTAACTGTCTTTCCCTATATATGCAAGTGACAGTGTGTGTATATGTGACTCTGTTTACTTATAAAATCAAAAGTATATCCTCAATCGCGCTAACCCCTACCCCCTACCCCCCCAACGGGTAAATGCACTGCACCCAAACCTCAACTCACCCACTCACACGCGCGGATCTACGGCTTCTGAGAACCTGTCATGCCGCGCCACGCGGGTAATGGGTACAGTTTCCCAAGGTTAGCCATGTCGCGGCCATGGGATTCTCGAGTCAAGAATGAACCACGGAAATTCTCATTCTGCCGGATACACCCGCCCTATCTCTGCATCTCACAGTCATGCTGGAGATTTCATTACTTACAAGTGAGGTTTTCAATTACTAACTCGCAGTTTATATCTTTAGGACCCTGCAGAGTGCATAAAATAAGCGAGCAGGTACAGCGCGATAGAAGAAACGAATGTATTGATTCCGAGGCTTGTCTCGTAAGTTTTGGATCACTTCTAATTTGCAGCTGTAATTGGTTTATTCTAAGGAGTGTTTACATGGATTTATTACGCTTTCTCTTACTCGCAAATTCGTCTCTGACAGCCTCTCTAAGTCTTTGAATCCCGTTTATACTCTGCTAGATTGTCGTTCGGGCTACGCTAATCCTACAACTGTTTAGTATAGGTACTCAAGGTGTTCAATTTGCTACTCCAAGTTCCGGGAATCCGGACTCGGTTTGGTGATTCTAATGTATTTGGTTTTAGTCACCTAGCTGTATGAACATCGGCCAAGTGCGGCTTGTGCAATTATGTAATGTAATGTGTCGTTCTTTTTGCAGTGAGCCTTGGATAGGTGAGAAAACGTCCAGGTGTTCTGCACGAAAGCTAGAAGTCAGAATAGGCACTGAACATATCACGGGGGTCGTGAAGTCAACCTCGCTTAGGTATTGACTTGACATGTATTCACCCAGAGGTGGCAGTCGAGCATGAGTGCCGATGTCTACCTTTCCTCCACACATGCAATCACGGATATGAATAGGGACAAGTGCATCCACTGTTGGTCACTTTGGTTCAGCCCAAAATTGAAGGGTTGACTTGAATGTGTCCCATCCGTTCATATACATACATTATATCCTACCAACATCTCACGCCCACAACCAGCAATACCGAAATCCAATACCATTTCTTCATCAATATATCTTACCTAGATCCAGCATACGAAGCATCCATATCAATATACCCAAGCTCACCCTTCTTACAAGAAGTCCCGGCATGTCTCACACCATTCTCACCCACTCCCTTATCGCCCCACCAGAACCTTCCCTTCTCATCAACCATCCAATCATCAATCAAGTCCGCCAATGTCTGGAAGTGCCCGTATGCTGCTGGCTGTGGTCCTTTCGGTCTTCGAAATGCCAGAGCGGTGGTGAAAATTGCCAAGAGGAGGGCCCCAACGAAATATGCGAGAATCGGAAGATATCCCATGTTGAACCAATACACCATTGGCTCATCGGTGCCCAATTTTTCTACTTCAATAATAACAGCTTGACCCATGAGCCAATGCAAGACAGTCTTTGCAACGAACAAGCCCATATTCTCCCAGCTCAAGCTTGCTGAGGATAATGCGCTGGTCTGTAAACGAGCGCCGCCGCCGGTGTTACAAGCGGCTGATCTCCAGGCTTTTTCGTCCCTCGATATATTGACAATCAATTCAACAGCATGGAGGCACATCGTCTGGGCTGCCTGAATCGCGGCCATGAACAGTACAGCCAGGATCAAGGTAAGTGCTCCCTTTCGTGGCAGATTGATTGAGACAGCATCGAATTGCCAAGCCCAGGAGAAATGTACCGCAGGATATTCAAGAGTAGCACGTCTGAAGATGAAGAATACCGAGAGTAACCAGCCCAAAGCAAGTGTGGGAAGGGTCCAGGCGAACATGACAACATAGCGTACGGAGCGGACCGACCCCGTGGAACTTGGCTGCTTCCGGGTAGGTCGCGTAGGGATGGCTGGTACGTTGGCTTGCTTTACTGACAACATGCATCTGTTCTTCCTGTGACCAAGGCCATTGTGTACAAGAGTTAATGCGCTATTCAATGGATTTGAGTTCCATGTTAAAATGGCGTGTGATGAGGAGATCACTATCCAGGAGGAGATCGAGGCTTTCAAGGCGAGACCACCGGCAAGCATCAGAAGAGCGACGCCATTCACATAGTATCCATCAAACCAAGGCAAAGGATCAGACTGCTCAGCCACAACTATTCCCAATGCGAACAACTGAGAAGTCGCAGCGTAGCAAATAATTAACGATATCCCGTCAATCGAATTTGCTAGCCAACTGTTCTGGGGTTGATTTTGAGCACTCTTGAATAACCTCAAGTTGGTGTTATGCTGCAGTCGTCCTTCCCGTGCAAGAGCCCATCGAAGGGAAGAACCATGAATAAAACCTAGACTGTCGAGACAAAAAGTGAGAAGAGTATTGACGACAAGAGCAAGCACTTCCACGCCTCGACTTGTATCCGCCATAGCAGTGGGGTATAGGTAACTCGAAGCGGGTCCTTTGACAATGCAGACGACACCGAAGGTTATGCAGCAGGCTATCAGCAACCATGTTACTACCAGCCCACAGTATGCAAGAATCTTCGTTGTCCTCCCGCAGTCAAAATCTGGAAGCCTTGACGTTGATGTTTGCGGGCTCAAGGTTTTTAAGAGATATTCGTTCTCGATGTTTGACGGTGAATCCCGCAAGTATCCTGACATCTTGTTTTCCGCTTCGGAATGGTCCACAATCGATAGAGACGTTCGCCGCTGTCGATTCAGAGCAGCGCTCTGGAAATTACCTTCTACCTCCATCGTTGAATGCGATTAATCGTTGGATTTGTGTTGTTGTTGTTGTGTTATTGTGTCGTAAAGGAGCGAGACTGCGATCAGACCGTGGAATCTGTGTTGTAATAGATCGAAGCGGAAAGCAGTTTAATCAATTGCAAAAGACTTCGCAGACTTGGGACCCGAGAAGCCTTATAGGATGAAGCAAGCCGAAGAGAATACTAGAGCCCATTTTAATTGAGAAAACACAGCATTTGGTGGCTGGCGACATTCATACAAGGCGTTCGGTAGATTTCTATTCTAGACCAGCCCCAATATCTTTCGAAATAGCTCTTGGTGCCATTCTGAAGATGCGGAACAACAACGAACCGTACTAAAATCCTCGAATTAACCTGGGTTGAAAGGCGTCCTTTATCGCGGAAGAGCAGTCATATCGAGTGCGTCTGAGATGTCGATCCGAGCTCGTCAAGTGGCGGGAGGCCCAGACGACGCCTCCGTTTGAGCACTGCCAATAGTGTGAGGGTCGGAACCGCGGGCAGGCGCTAGTGTTCAGCTCGAGATTCCACGACACTAATCACTGAATCTAGAATCGCGCATGGCTAGTGGGTGATTGTTCAGGTGCTATATTCGCTTCTTTGGCCAAAATAATACGAAATCTATCAAGACAATCTAACTTCTCCCAGTATGATGAGGTATCATGAACGCCTATACGCCCTTGAAATGCACATTGTAATAGGAAAATAAATATACGCAGTTATTGGAAATTTTTGAAGATTATTTTGATGTGCTGTCAGGTGGATATACAGCTAGTGTACTTCAGACTCCGACGCCGCACCGTTCTCTCCCAAGATGAGCATTGCTGATAATGGACCCACGTAGAATGGTTCACTTGCTAAGATGATCACGTCGAATGATCCAACATGATTGAGTCGTTCAGAGACGTGCACAGCTGAGGCTAGTAGTAACGTAGAAGAGGGAGAAGAAAGCGAAAAATAAAATATTTCCTCTACGCATTACCTTCAAATTATTCTCAATTCAAACTTCTCTACTCCTAAATTTGAGATCTGAGTACTACAGTAGGTACCAAGGGATGTTGAAATTCATGGCACCCCGCTAATGAAATAAGCTTTATAATATCATCCCGACGATTAGCCGTCCGTGGTTGAAGCTTTACATCCAAAGGTTTTAAACAACGCATAATATAAGTTTTAATTGACGAAAGGCTGTTACATACGACCATAGACTGAGGAACATTGGGCTATCTCAACCTGCTGTTCTAACATGAGCTTCAGTTCGGAACTATTCCTAGGATTTGCATTCTCACTTCTCGGTTCTCGAGTCACGATTCACGGTTATCGGTTTTGGTCTTCAATTTGCGATTTTCGGTTTTCAGAAGAGCGTGTCAGGGCGAGTTAGGCCATTTGTAAGCAGCCTCACAACGCGATTTCTATTTCTCTTCTGATAGGGTGTCAATTGCGTTAATTGACTGTGTGTTTTTGCGGTATTGATGAAGGTGCGATCAGGAGCAAAATCGTGATACATATTTGAAATCACGCTGCTTACGTGTTGCGTGCAGGAAACAGATATCAGATAAATTAGGCCACTTTTTTTGAGCTTGGACTCATTCTCAGGCACTAGGCCTTATGAGCACCCAAATACCATGTATTTAAGCAGGCTATCCCCTCCGCTCACAATTTTCAGGGTAAATTCTACTTAATATATCACATTTTACCCCCCAATTCGTCCGATAACGAACCTTGGTCATGGGTGGAGAGCGTTGTGGAACTAAGACTCCCCGTCTTGGTCTATGGACACATGATTCTCGCTATCCAAGAATCTTCCCACGCCTGGAAAATCTGTCTCTTTCCTTGGATGTGGATGGTGACGACGATGAAGACATGACTGATATAGAAGATTGGGCATTTCTATATAGCGCTGCTGCCAAGAGTCCGGCTTTTTGTGGCGTTTGCAACCTCGAATTGGACGAACATAATAGTGATGTGCCAATGATTGGTTGTGACGGAGGGTATTGTGAAAATTCATGGTATCATTTTCTTTGCGTCGGACTGCTTATAGCCCCTACTTCTGGTATGTTTTGCCCTATCTACAAACTTGCATATTTAATGGCTAATACTTGGTAATTGCTAGAATATTAGTACTGTCGAGGCTGTGAAGAAATAGTAAAGATCCTCAATCCTCTATCAGACGAGAAGGGTTATAGCTCAGAATCACTTGCCGATTATGGTGGATTATTCGTATGGAAAGAGAGTGATGATGACTCTAGTGATAGCGATCACATTGAAGAGCTTTCTCAGCCAGAGGAAGAAGATCACGGTGACCCATTGATAGATTGGAAAGGGGGTAATTTTACGATCGGCAGCGATTGTTTCTCCGACTCTACCGTCGATTCTGACTTGGCGGCCGATGAAGACGAAATGTTCCAAGATATGGCCAACGAAAAAAAATCCGATTTCAACGACAATCCCGACAACTCAGATATTCGAGAGGGTGGTTTATCTTGCCAGTTTCCTGATTGTGTAAACACTTTCATGGGGGCTACTTTTGCATCTCACTATGTTCTTGCCAGGCATGCGAAGCAACATGACGAGTTGACTCTAATCTGCCACGAGCCTCAGTGTTCAGGAAGACGGAAATTTTCTACGAAGAAAAGTCTTGCAACACATTGTACACGTTTCCATGAAGTCCAAGATACTGAGGTCAACTGCGGCATCAAAGACCGAAGTGGACTTCTAACTCAATTTAATTCGAGTTCTTTGTTTATGATGTCTACAGAAGCCCTTTTAAAGTTAATAGAGAGCTAACAAGATTGGGACATTTCCATGCACAAAGGAAAACTTGACGCTACCACTTGCTTAATAGATTCGATAAAAGACAGCCCACAATCTCACGTAAGTTGTAAGAGCTGAGGCCACCGGGAATGGCCCACTTAAGCGAAACTCAACAAATGAGACCTTATTTACCAAAAATCATAATTTTTTAGTCTTCTTATGAATCTCTGTGAAAATGGAACTTATTATTAATTAATAGTAGCCATACCCTTGTACTTAATTACATCCTCAATCTTACAAGTCAATTGCTTAGTGTAGTGGCGAAAGTCACGTGGGTTAACTCGGTCCTATAGCTTTTGCAACTCCTTTTTCAAATCCACTTTATTTTTGGGCATATAGTCCAAGTTTTTCAATTTCTCCTTCATCCACCTCTAGACTTTCTCAATAGGGTTCAAATCTGGTGAAGAAGGAGGCCAATTAAACCCTCGGATATTGTGCTGTAGTCTAGGTAATTTGGCATGCCCTTTATGCACCTTAGACCCGTCTTCCATGAAGATATACTCCGGCCCTAGATCATCAAAGAGAGGGAAGATTATAGGCTGAAGAACTTGCTGTAGATAGGCTTTAGAACATATGCCCTTGCGTTCTGGAAGCTTCTCTAGGAAGACTAATGGCGACTTGTAATCCCAACCTAATGCCCCCCATATCATGACCGTTGTCCTCCCTGACCTGTAGACTGACTTAATGCAGTCAGGGCACCTCCTCTCATCTACCCTCCTAGTCACATATATCCTGCCATTCTTCCCAGTCTCAAATATAGCCTCATCAGACCATACAACCTTCCTCCAGTCCCCTCCTTGCTTGCCATCATCTCTATGAGCTGCATAGTCTGATGTCCCCCACCATCTATGCTCCTTGGCAAATACATATCTCTTCCTAGCTTGTTTGAGGGTAATATATGGTCGAGGGCATGCAATGCAGCGGCGGTAGCCAGCCCGGGCTAATTCTCGACGAATGGTGCGCACCGAGGGTAGGTAGGGTAGTTGCTTTTTGAGAGCCTCAAAAGTCATGCGCCTAGAGCTCCAGTTTTTGGAAATGGTTCGAATGCAATAACGTATGTCGCGTATAGACATGATATGGTGTCTAGAGAGCTTTCTTTTGCGCTCTCTCCGACTAGATTCCTGCTTAAGAATGCGGCGTACTGTTCTTCGAGGGATATGGGTCTCTGAGACAATCTCGCGTTGCGACTTTCCCTGGCGCTATAGGGATCGAATGACTGCACGTGCAGGGGTAGGCCATTCATTATTCTCTTTCTCGATAGGATCACTTAGGATAAGAGGTGTCTCCATCTTGAATTATGGACTGATTCCTAAGAGGGTTGTTGTGTAGTAAGGGTTTTAAAATGGGGTGTAGAATTTTTACGCGTTACCGCGTCTCGCTTAAGTGGGCCATTCCCGGTGGCCTCAGCTCTTATTAGAAGTCCATGCGAAACTTCATCGCTAGAACATGAGCTTTTGGTATTATACTTACAAAGCTCCAGGTTGCCTGCACACCAGAGCGTCAGAAAAACACTGTTGGTCGGAATAGCTCCCTTGTGTGTTTGTATGAGCACATATCTCTTGCCAGACTATTCATAACAATCGTTTAGCTCAGAATCCGAGTTCGTCAGCTTCGATTCGTCATTTGGGTTTGCCTTGCCTGGGTCCGAGGCCTCTTTACCGTCACGCGATCATGGAGTATTGTCCTAACAAGTCAGTCATAAATTTTGCGACTACTACACTCCATCTTACCTTAGTGCATGGAAAAAAGTTTCCGAGGTTGCGACAACGCTGTGATTGGTGTCATTTCGAGCGAGGTCGTACACGTAAACTGAAATCCCTCGGAGTACTTGCAGATGATGACCAGGGACCGATATGTTTGGTCAACAATTGCCTAGACTTCCGTTGGGATAGATCTAGCCATTGTGTCAGCCATCTTCCGAACGGGATCAAGAAAGCCTCTCGGCGAAGAAAAAGTCGCCGTACATCAGAGACTAAACAGGCACTGCTCTCTCCTGGCAACAACAAAACATGGATGGATGGAGATGTCTGGCAGTCCTCTTCCCGGTTTAGACTGATCCAACTGCTCTTGGAGGATCTAAGAGATCGAGAATGGACTAATACGAATGGGTATCGCCCGAAAGTGCTCATTTTGGACAACGAATTCGTTGGCCTAAACCTAGATGGGCCAATTACCCAAACAAGTCTACTGGATTTATGCACCAATGAGATGTTGGTTGATGTATGTGTAAAGCGAGATCCGGAAAAGCTTGTCTCAAAGGATATGTTTGGCCGCCTCGATCCGATGGCAGAGTATCTTTACAAATCAAAATATCGAAGTCCAACAGCAGATCGACAAGTTTGTTCTGCCTACGAATCCAGTAAGCTGGTCAAAGAGAGTGGTATAACATCAGATGATTATATCCTTGAATGGTCACTACACCCTCTAGATGTGCCAAGGTTAAGGCTGATGCTGTCCAACTCTGGTTTTCAAAATGTATTACCACCCGATGCTCATTGCGTATCGCTTATTCCAGATTTTCGGCTCAATATTCCCAACACCATCTCTTTAGCGCTAAAATTCATTTTCCCCATGCTACATCCAGGCCATATTCTAGTTGGGACCAACCACAACTCTGATAGCGATGTTCGTATGACGAGGCTCATGGTACTGTTTCTTCTTGAACGTCTCGATCCAACGACCAGAGACCCAGATTTTCTCGGGGTCTGGGCTTTGCAGGTCGCCCGCGAACGAAGGATTCGACTTGCATTAGTATCTGAACGCACGAAAAGAAGACTAGCGAAAGAGACCCCAGAGGCGCGACGCATTCGATTACTAGGCAAGAGAACAATGTGGCGAGCAAAGGAAACTCCTGAGCGACGGAGGATTCGTAACGCAGCAATATCAGAGAAAATAGAGAAAGAGACCCCCGAAGAGCGACGTATTCGACAAGTAGCTAGGAGTACAAGGCGGCGAGCAAACGAAACCCCAGACAGACGGAAAGTTCTACGGGCAAGGGCCAAGATGAATGTAAAGGAAAGGAGAGCAAAAGAGACCCCGGAAGCGCGAAGCATTCGACTCGCAGTAAGATCGGCAAAAGCCAAAAGAAAAAAAGCAAAGGAGACTTTTGGAAACCGGAGGATTCGACTCGCAAAAATATTGGCAAGTGCCAGAAGAAAAATAGCAGAAGAAACTCCCGAGAGACGAAGCGTTCGATTCGCAAAAATATACGCAAGTGAAAAAAACAAGGAGAGCAAAAGAGACCCCAGAGAAACGAAAAGTTCGAATGGCAAAAACCACTATGAAGGCAAAGGAAAGGAGAGCAAGAGAGACCCCGGAGGCGCGAGGTATTCGACTTGAAACAAGCCGCGTGAAAAGGGGCAAGAACGGTGTTTCGCAAAATCATTTGCAGCTCTGGGAAATAGGCGATTAACACAAAACATAAGAGAGCGGAGAGACTGTGGAGAGAACTAGGTAATTATGGTATCGAACCCGAGGAGCACACAGCTTGGCAACCTCAGATCCTCGAGTTGCAAACACCAGAGTAAGAAGGGGGCGAAGATACGGAAAGGAGTGGAAGGAGATTTGTCATTGTGGGCAGTATGGGTACCTATAGATTATTACTGAGGTGTGATTATGGGGAAATTTGTTTAGCACAGTTCGAAGGACAGCAAAGACTGAGATTGGCACATTGTCGTCCTAGAAAACTAAGCAATTGCAAAGCACATTCAAAGTCCACGGCTCGCGCACGAGAGTGTTATGATTGACTATTGGACCGTACGCCAATCTTTCCCGCAGGAGTTCCGCTCCGAAATATGTCCCTTTCCTTGATGCAAATGTAGAAATGGCCCTCAAGCAACAACCTGGCTTAGAATATCGGAGTCGCCACCGTCGAGGACCACCATAGTCGAAACTCGAAAGAGTTTACCGCATGCCGTTCCGAGCTCAATCTAAACAAGTATTAGCAGCCCTCCAGATTTATCTTGTGATAATCCTTCGCAGGAACCGAAGTCGAATGTGGGAACGTACGTTATTACCGTTGAAGTGGTGAACAGGACTCTTCGAGAGCATAGCATAGTCTGGCAGAAGTTAGCGACATGAGCCCGATAGAGTTGCGGTGCAAACTTACACTCAAGCTCCGATTTGCGAAGAGGTGGCGTGTTGCCAGAAATCAGCACCAATTTGGCTCTGCCCATACGAAGCATCTTCAACGAGGACTTGTATCCCAGCGTAACTTCTCACGTTAGTCGAGCGCCGAGTAATACGCCATCCGCATGAGAAAACATACCCTTCCCAGACTTCATAACCAAAGCAAGTCGAGAATTAATCGAATCGCCGGTCTTCTTTTCTTTGCGGGGCGCCATCGCAGAGATGAAGACTAAAGAGCACGAATAGTTTGAAGAGTCCTTGAAGGTGGAGGGAGAGATCGAGGCTGGGTCGATGTTGTCGGTTTTGGTGGAGGAGGAAACGAGCTCTGGAAATATTTCCAGGTTCTTCATTGTGTGGGATATTTGTTGTTAGTTTCGAGCTATAGAAACCTAGTCCAGAAACAGCCTAGTAAGTGGTTGCTGAGTCAGCATTTTCACAAAGCCGAAAACGGAAAATAAACTGAAGAGAATTGGGCATCCCGTCCGCTCTGCCATACACAAGCCTCAGATCGGCAGATTAGTAGTTGGGTGGGTGACCACCAGCGAATACCTGCTGTTGTATGTTTTTTAATTTATATATTTTTTTTTCTTCTTCCTTCAATTTTCCTTTCCTCAACCTCCATCGTTTCCAGGAACTCTAACCTGCTCTGCTCTATACCGATGTTCTGTAGTGGCGAAAGGGGGTATGGAACTAGCGAGCATTCAAAGAACACTAAGAGCAGATTGCTGCCCTGCGTCGTTGCGAAGCGGCGTTCGATGATTTCCTTTTCTCTGCCTTTTTCTTGGGCATCATAGTTCTTGTTTTTGCGAGGTTGTTGCAATAGGAGGAGAGAGGTCTGATTAAAGTTCTTCAGATCTCCCAATCTCGTTCTCCGACTGATCTTCCCGCCTTCTACATTTTTCAGGCAATAGACACCGAGCCATGCCTTCTTGCCTCCGCTTCGCAAATTCCGCCGCTCCTTTCGCAGTAGCATAGAGGAAATCGGGTCCATCATCTGCTTGGATGAGCATCTCAAGCGCCTCCAGCGTTTCTTGTCCAGTCGATGATCTTGCAAAAGCATGGCGTAATGCTTCGAGAAAGCGTGGATCCGAAGCAGACTCACCCGTCAACACCAAATCTTCAACCGGTCTCCGCACAGACCCAACAAACTCACGAATGCGATCCTCCACTTTCGCCCAATACGCATCTTCATCCTCATACATCGAGAGCCGTCGCAGCCCAAGCTCCGGCTCAACGAACGTGTCCCATGCCCTAGACATCCGCGCCGACTGAACAGATCGAAGCGCTCCATCCAGACTACTCTCAGTATAATCAAGAAACAGCGTCCATTTCGAAGCCAAAAAGTACTCTTCTGTCCCGCATCCATAGAGATTGGTATAGTTCCGACAAAGACCTTTCCCGTACCCGGCGTAAGCTGCTGAGGTAGCGAAGAGCTGATCGAAAAGCGGATCCCGATTATCCAACATCAGGTCCTCGATACCGAAATAGTCGAACACGTTGTCGACTTCTTCTAGTGTGATTGTTACAGCGTCAGGCTGACTCAGTGCCGCGGCTTTGATTCGAGAGCCCAGTTGGATTTCAGCAGCTTTGTGAAGCTTGGAAACCATGGTCGAGAGGGTGGCGGTTTGTGTCGTTGCTGGCTGACCAAGCATCTTCTTAATACGTCGTTTGCTTCTCCACAGCGCAAAATCTTTCCACGACGATACTTCCGATGGGATCCGCTTACCGTCTGGAGTAAAGTTTGCGGGATGAGTGAGCTCTTGCATGAGAGACGTATACTGCTCTGACCCCGAAATTTTGGCTACAGTCTCGTATGATCCGTTGATATGTCTTATGGCGGCAGTTCTGGGTGCGAATTAGCATTGAAGCTGTGATTGGACTTCATAATTGGAGATACCCGTATCCCATTGTCTATGCAAAGCCAATTCCCGAAGACTCGACTTCAGCAATTGTGGGACATCTCTTGCATTTCTCGAAAGGACATATCCATATTGGTCCCTTGTACTCCTGAGCGGCAGCAAGAAGACACAGAGATATCAGGATGGTGAATGCGTAACTACCTCGCATTTCGAGCAAGTCTGAGACGATGCTGTGACCAGTATTGACTTAGCGAGTCGTGTTTGGGGGCAATTTCGCTGTGTACAAACAATTCTCCATGAAGGTGCAGTTATGTTGGATATGTTATCTGGTGTGGGCGAGCAATATAAGACCCAAGTTGGATTGCTGGACCACGGGTTGGAGCCTAGGTCATTGAAGGGTCGCCGCTGAAACAGCCGTCAGGTTGTTGGAAGGCGTAAGAGTGAAACGGCCTACGTTTCTGAAGAAGTTGTTGGAGTCGAAGGTCGTTGGGTCGACTGGTCGACTATGTGATGTTGGAATTCCAGACGGACGCTGGCTAAGTAGGCAACAGGTGGACAAGGAAGTAGGGTCACGTGCAACTCATCATTTTCAGAGTGAAGGCCCTTTTTGTCCTCAAAACCGCGAGAAAGAGACTAAACCCAAAAACTTAGTATTGCCCCTAACCTCGAATATGGACTGGAGATGGCGTCGATGATTGTGGAGTCGTGTATAATCACAACAAGGTAGGATTGTACTAACCGTGCCTCGACCTCTTGACCACCAACTCAAATGGCCGCCACGGGGCTATCCTTCAAACCTAACAAATCCGTTAACACCGTGTTCGTATTGTTGTTACTTCTAGGCGCTCAGTGGTGCCATCCTATAGAATATTTGACCAACATCACCCTGTTCTGATCCTTTCATTCTTGAAATAGTAATAATCCAAAATGAATCAAGTTCTATACAGCTTTCTTGCGAGGGTTTTATGTACCATGGAATTTGTGCTATTCAGATCTAGCCAAAGAATGGCTCGGACTACACCCATATCCAAGTTTGGAAGCAACGCGAAGCGCTCAACCATACCGAAGTGCTCAGGATCTGAAGGGCATACTGGGAAGGCTCAACAAAGTTTGTTGGACGACAAACCTCACCCAGAAAGTTGAGATGTATTAATTTAAATAGTCCCTGTCCTGGGACGGTCATCATGCTCAAGCCTTGTGACATCAACTTACAGTAGCCTACGTCGTTTTATCTCCTTCAATTTTCACAAATCGGCTCCAGAGATATGCGAGGAGTTCGACCCATTGTATGGAGTTCACCATTCTTCTTGTGGTAGCAAGTCCCCTGATTGAGGAGGAGCAAAGAGGAAAATACACTTTGTTTAAACTCAAGGAGCGACAAGATGATCCATACTCTTGGCCGTTTCCAGGAAACGACTCGGATAGTATAACCAACCCAGTGGATAGATGGGGTGGCGATTACAGCACGTACGCCAAGACCTTTGGTAGTGGTGTCCCGCGGGAATTCGTTGCGGCAACGTGAACGAATCCGACAGTTTTGCTTACTGGATTGTCAGATCATGGGACGAAGCCAGTCAACTAATGAATGCACAAACTACTTTCGTCCCTGGGTATAACTACGACATTCCTCATACACAGTGGCTTGGAAAGGACTGGAACTCGGATATCTGGTGGGGACCATTTGAGTGGAATTACCGGGAAATCATTGCTAGTACGCCGAATCCTTCTCTGCATGTGTCTTTGTACTGAGAACGCAATAACTGATTCGTTATCAGATAACTTTGGTCGTCTGCGAAAGGTGTTTAGCGATGATCCACCTTCTGGAGAGTATATATACTGGTACTGCTGGGACTATGCCAACCAATGTGCGCCCGGTACTGTGGCGTACTCTTGGTCAACTACCTGGATAAGTCTTTGGCGCAACCACTACACCGTCTTTTGCAATATTGCCTTGAAGTTCGAAACACTTTCAAAACAAATCGGGCGTGCCGCTTGGAGTATTGATCAGCAACGCATCATGGAGAACTTTCAAACCAACGCAGGCCAAGTGATGTTCCACGAAATCTGGCACTACACCATGGTATCGCAGCCCCGCACAGATGATTACGCTTATCGCGCTGAAGAAGTTTGGGACCTAGCCCTAAAGCAAGGTACAGATTATTCATACGTCAATGCAGACTCGTACGCTCTTGATGCCATTGCCATCTACGTGCAACAGTACTTCAGCAACTCTATGTCTCCAGTGCCAAGAAGAGTATACCGTCCTCCCGACGACACAGTAGATGGCAACGTTACCTCCCCTGTGAATGCAACTGGAGTTGTTCTGGAGGAAGCACCTTGGCAGAGTTGGCAGCCTGGAATTGACATGCCAGTTTTGAAGCCAGATCCTGACTTTTGGAACGAGGCTATTCAACCTGGGGGGATCTCTGCTCTTGGAGCGGACCTCCACATCGTAACTGACATTTATCCAATTCAGACGAGATGTGAAGACACCGATTTCTTTCCCATAACTTCTATTTATCCCACACCAACAGCAAGTACGGAAGTCATCGGCGCCACTGGTACACAATGCTTTTGCACTTGTGGCCTCGGCTCAATGGCAGACCTTATATGGGCGACGAATGGTCCAACGTTGACGAACTGGTGTGCTGGAGTCTCGACCGTGGTACCGGTACCATCTGGCTTTACGATAACTGCCAAGACAGATTGTTCCTAGAATACTGAGATCAAAGAGCAGAAAGAAGGATTTCAAATAGAGCAATGTCGTTGCATGTAATTATAGAGTAAGAATGGAATTTCGGGAAGAACGAAAAAGTATTCCACAGGTTCCCCTTCTTTTTCCTAATTAAGATCGTTATAACACACTGGAATTTGTGGGTTGAAATGCTTGAATTACCTACGCTTTTCGCGCGAGTTGCGCTTTTCGAGCAATTTGCGCTCTGGGCGAACAAACTCATCATACAATTTTGAGAAGTTTACTTTTAGCAACGTGCTGATACGAGTGATCATTGATACTATTGCTGCATTCACAAGTTTAAAAAGCTATTGATAATTGCCCCGTACATATTGGCGCACCAATGGGGGAGGTGCGCGAAGTGAGGGCTGTGGTTGGAGGAGTTTTTAAACTGTGAAGTGGATCACGAATTCTGGAAGTTGTGGCTTGAAGACGGATAATCTAGAGATCAAAACTCATAGTGGATTTTATTTTAACTTAAAGATATACGTCCTTCATCTCAAGTAAAGAGAGTCAAATAGTCTGTCAGTACGTCACAATTCATCCCCAAAAAATTATCAAAACGGTACAATTCGTTTTCATAAAGACATACAAACTTCCTTCCAAAAACCATCCCATTCTGATCACCGAAGACCTCAATCCACAGCCACAGTCTAATCATTCCCCTTTCCTTTTTCGCCAAAATTTTCCGAAAGCCACAAAACAATATACGTTCAATCCCTTCCAATCAATCTATTTACTCTCCTGGCTTGACAATCTTACAGATGAGATCGGAACCAGCAACAGAGTCACCTTCCTTGATCTGGACATTACCCACTTTACCAGCATGGGGTGCTGAGATGACCATTTCCTATCATTCATTAGCAAAATGTCTTTCATCCGAGTAAGTAGACTTACCATCTTCATGGCGCTGAGAACAGCAAGTGGGTCACCCTTCTTAACCTCACCACCCTCCTTGACTCGAAGCTCAACAACAACACCGGCCATTGGTGCACCGACTTGGCTGCTGTCTCCAGGATCGGCCTTAGGTCTGCTGGTATTCTCAACAGCAGCCTTGATATCATCAACTGTGACTTGTCGAACTTCACCGTTCATCTCGTAGAAGACCTCTCTCTGGCCAGTGGTATCCGAAAGAGGACCAACAGCAAGAAGCTTCAAGATCAGAACCTTACCCTTCTCAAGCTCAACGTGGAACTCCTCTCCAATTTCAGGTCGAGACAAGAAGTATCTGGTTGGGAGCACACTCAGATCACCATACTTCTGGATAAATTTTCGGTAATCCTCAAAGACCTTGGGATACATAGCATAGCTGGCAACATCACACTCGGTGACACTACCATACTTCTTGTAGATATCCCTCTTGATCTGAGCCAGATCAAGTGGTTCCAAGACAAGACCAGGGCGCTTGTCGAGCTTGCGGCGACCACGGAGAGCATTGGTTCTCAATGGCTCAGGAAATCCACCGTATGGCTGACCCATAAGGCCCTCAAAGAAGTCAAGGACTGAGCCTGGGAAATCAAGCTCGGAAGCACGCTTTTGAACATCGTCAAAGCTGAGCTTGTTGGAAACCATGAATTGAGCCAAATCACCAACGACCTTGGAAGTAGGAGTAACCTTGACGACATCACCAAGCAGATCATTGGCTTGCTCGTAAGCCTTCTTGGTCTCTGCCCATTGAGCACCAAGACCAAGTTGAGAGGCTTGGAACATCATGTTGGTCAATTGACCACCTGGAATCTCGTGCTCGTAGACATCGGGGTCGGGTCCATTTAGACCTGCCTCAAATGGCGAGTACAGGAGACGGAGTTGAGCCCAGTAGGTATCAATGGCTCGGACGTGGTGAACATTGAGACCAGGGTCGAGATCACTGCCTTCCAATGAAGCAAGGACAGCACCCACACTTGGTTGAGAAGTCATGCCAGACAAACTGTCAGTAGCAGTATCCACAGCGTCGGCACCTGCTTGGGCGCAAGCCACCATGGACGCAACACCGGTGCCAGCCGAGTCGTGCGTGTGAACGTGAATCGGCAAATCTGGGTACTTCTTCCGGATTGCTCCGATCAAGAGAGTCGCTGCTTTAGGCTTGAGAACACCCGCCATATCTTTGACGCCCAAGATGTGGATCTTCATGGCCACAAGCTTGTCGACGAGCTCCAAGTAGTATGGTAGGTTGTACTTCTTCTTGGGGTTAAGCACTTTACAACATGTTAGCAATGTTCAAAAGACGTAATGTAGCCGGGAATACGCACTATCTCCACTATAGCACACTGTACCCTCAACTACACCTCCAGCCTTGTGAACAGCCTTGATACCAACCTCGAGTTGGTCAATGTCGTTCAAGGCATCGAACACTCTGAAAATATCAACACCGTGCTTCTTGGCCTGCTCACAGAAGTGGTAAATAGCGTTATCTGGGAGAGAAGAGTACGCAACACCGTTGGCACCACGGAGCAACATTTGGAAGGGAATGTTTGGAACCAATTTGCGCATCTTTCGGAGTCTGTCCCAAGGATCCTCATAGAGGAAACGCATGGCAACATCGAAAGTTGCTCCTCCCCAGCATTCAAGACTGTAGAGATTGCTGTATGCGTGGCTGGTCTCCTTTGCAATGTTCAACAGATCAACTGTTCGAACACGGGTGGCCAACAACGATTGATGAGCATCACGCCATGTAGTGTCCATGAGAAGGCATCCCTTATTCGCTCGGACGGCCTTGGCAAATGCCTCTGGTCCCTCCTCGACAATGATGTTTCTCCAGCCTTTCTTGCAAGGCTCCGTTGTGTCGATCTTCTTTCCATCATTGTCGAACAATTCTGGCATGATGATGTCACCCTTGAACTTGGGTTCTCCAATCTGTCCCTTGATGCTGCTGCCATTCACAGCAACGTCTCCCAAGTAGGCCAACAATTTTTGAGCACGGTTTTGACTGCCGACAAGATCGAACAGCTCAGGGGTATCATCGATGAAGGTCGTCCAGCAATTTCCCTCAATAAAGGTAGGGTGTGTGAGTAATGAGGCTAAGAAAGGAATGTTGGTCTTGACACCACGAATACGGAATTCGACGAGAGCACGAAGCATCTTCCTCCGAGCAATCTCGTATGTGGAGCCATGGCAGGTACACTTGACGAGCATGGAATCGTAGTGGGCTGTTTGAAGGTATATTAGCAAGTATAACATATATTGAACAATGAAGTAGTGGAATGTTTAGTTGAAGAGGCGATCTCGTGTGGAATACGAAGTGCTTCATACTGTCCTCCAAAAGAAGGTACACTATAAGCTGAAGAGGTACGGAGATTGGAGAAGGAGAGACCAATTACTTACGGGTGATGATCGCACCAGCGAATCCATTACCACCATCAAGGCGGACACCGTTACCACCAGCGGATCGGTAAACCTCAATCTTTCCAGTATCTGGGGAGAATCCCTTGGATGGATCTTCCGTGGTGATACGGCACTGAATAGCAAATCCTCTCGTAGAAATGCGGTCCTGGGTCAGTCCAAGCTGAGCCAAAGTAGCACCAGCTGCAATTTGGATCTGAGCAGCAATAAGATCAATGCCAGTGATCTCCTCGGTAATTGTGTGCTCGACCTGAATACGAGGGTTGATCTCGATAAAGTAGTATCGGTTCTGTTGATCAACCAAGAATTCCGCTGTTCCAGCATTGCGGTAGTTGACAGACTTGGCAAGCTTCACTGCATCAGAGAGCAGAGAATCTCTGGTCTCAGGGGGAAGATCCTTGGCGGGAGCCAATTCGACGACCTTTTGATGTCTTCGTTGGACGGAGCAGTCACGCTCGTACAAGTGAACGACGTTTCCGTGATTGTCACCCAGAAGCTGGACTTCAATATGCTTTGGCTTGTCCAAGAAACGTTCGACGAAGACTGTGCCGTTACCAAAGGCAGACTTGGCTTCGGAGGTAGCTCGCTCGAAGGAATCTTTCAAGGTTTCTTGCTCGCGGACGACACGCATACCACGTCCACCACCTCCATATGCTGCCTTGATGATGATTGGGAATCCATATTCGTCGGTGAATTTCTTGACATCTTCGAATTTCTCTACGGCACCTTCGGTACCTGGGACGACTGGGACACCAGCCTTGATAGCAATAGCTCTCGCAGAGACTTTATCACCTAGGGCGTCGATGACTTCGGGAGATGGACCGACGAACTAAAAGTAATGGTTAGTATATACTAAATGACTATGAGACGTGGGAATAACGTACGATGAGACCAGCCTTCTCAACGTTCTTAGCAAATCCTGCGTTTTCTGACAGGAAACCATAACCTGGCAGACTTATTAGCGACCATTTAAAGCTGCAGAATCTCTTCCCATACCAGGATGGATCATTTGTACGCCATGTTGCAGAGCAATCTTGATAATCTCATCACCGGCCAAGTAGGCTCCAACAGGTGTATATTGACCGCGCTTTCCAATAACGTAGGCTTCGTCGGCTTCTGCAGACACATATAGAGATCAGCAAATATTCTTGTCACCTTGGCAAGCTGTATTGGAAAGGGAAATACTGACTCTGCCTATGCATGCTAAGTCTGTCCTCATAACTGCCAATGGGTTAGCCCCAAGCTGCTGCATCGTGAACACCGCCAATTGGTACCTGAAAACCGCGACCGTCTGCAAAGAGAGCTCGTGAGCCTATTCAATTGAACGAGTCAGCACCTGCATAAATCCCACAATTCCTCAAACAATTGCTGCAGTCTTGGAAAGTGTGAACTTACTGTACGGAAGATCTATAGTATCAAAGTTCAAGTCAGCAAGCTCCAATTACCCCGCCACGATAACAGGACGTACACGGATAGCTACTCCACATCAGCAATCTGCAGTCAACAAAACATGATCGGGGAATACTTACGAATTTCTCCTCGATTGGCCACTGTAAGATGGAAAGAAACATCATCAGCACAGGTCCCAATGGCAAACGAAGCTCAATGCAGCTTCCCAGGCGTTGTGTTGGGAAGGATCAAAAACTCACCGAGAATCTTCTTCAACTGCATAATACTGGAATTGGCACGGATGCGATGGATGGTCTGTGCCTGACCTGCATCTTTTCCCTCCTCGAAGACCTCGCTGTAGGCGCCATTGGGATTGTGCTCGTCAGCCATGATTCTGGTGGTGAGAAGTTGCGGTGGATGTTGAGCGATGCAGAGGAGAGAGGGCGAGGAAGCTCTTTGAGTTTAGATGCGTGAGAGCTATGGAGGGGCGGCACGGTGGTGGTCGGCGCTGCTCTTAGAGAAGCCTCGTGCCGAGCTAGAACCGGTGGAGGGGTTGCGAGGAGAGGACGGTGAGGTGAGGTGAATGAGCTTCACGAGCTGGGGATGATCGGCGTGAAGGATGCGTACACAGCGGTCAATGGGTGAACGGAAGGCAGGATAGGAATGGGGAGATAGGTTCTGTTATTGTTGAGGGTTGCGGAAAAGAAAGAGAGGAGGAGTTGGGGGGAAAAGATGCTTGTTTTGTTGACCTGGGTCGTGCAGTCTCGGCTTAAGATGCAGATGCAGATGCAGACTCAGATGCAGATGCGAGGGTGAGCAAGTGAGTGAGTGATGAATGAGCGAGAGTCTCTGAGTCTGGTCTTGCGTGCGTGGTGCTCCTTGTCTGTGGTGGTTGGTGTTTGGGATAGCTCTTGTCAGTGTCGTCGTAGTGGGGTTGAAGCAGAAGCAGAAGCAGAAGCCACTATTGTCCCCTCGTTCCTGCCGGACCCAAGCTCCCAGTGTCGGTGCTCTCTCCTTGTCCAAGACAGTTTCTGGCTTTCCCACCAATTGCGCGCCGCCGATATCGATCAAGATCAAGCAAGCAAGATCTGACCCCAATCAATCTCAATCACAGAATCCTGGTCGTGGTGTACGGCACCGAGAGGCCAAGCTTGCTGTGCTCTCTCGTACAGCAGAACAAGTGAGAAATTTGGCTGCAGGTAGTGTAGTGTAGTGCCCAGTGAGAGAAAAATCGATAACGTGATGCAATTATCTCTCACAATGTTCAAATCCCAATTCCAATTCCAATCGTAAATAATAATAATAATAACAATCTCGAGATCTACTGTATCTCGGGTTGTCCCCCACGATAAGGCTATGCAGAGTGGGTAGAAAGTCTGGGAGCTATGACATAAGTGCAGTCGCAGCTCTGGCAATCTGAGCGGGCGGCGGGGGGTTTTCTGGCTAGGATTTAATTAATCCATGCTTTCTCGAATACCGGTGCCTCTTTTATAGCCGTGGAGATGCAATCGCAGCATCGTCATTCCTATCTATCCTATCCATGCCCATTCGCTGACGGGGAAAAAAAATTACGAATGCACATGCAAAAAAATTTACATAGCTATCATGCACGTTGTGCTGTACTGAAGATTCTTCCCTCCCTTCCTCCCTCTCTTCCTGCAGGGGCCCGAACGGGAGAGTCACAGCCAAGCTTAGAAGCTACCCCAAGCTCGAGACATTTCTTTTTTTCCCTCTCTCTCTTTCCTGTCACTCATGTGAACCACCTCCACTGTCCCCTACCCCTCCACCACATCACCTCGTCTTTTCGCAATTTTCACTACCGAGCCGCGGTGCAGCAGCGCCCCGAACATCGGACCAAGCCCAGGTACTGTACACAATCTAGAAATTCGAAGGAAGGGGAAGAAAAATTTCCCTCAGCAGTAGATGCAGCAAGTACACCCGAACTCCCGACGAAAGCCGCTTCCCTTCCTTTCTTCCATAAGAAAACATATCACAACCATCTGTTGCTGTGTGCTGATGCATGTCGAAAGACTTGTCAGCCCACGTGTGGCACATCCGTCCTGTGCCTCTGCTTCTGCATGCGAACCCCGGATTCTGTTAGCGAGCGAGACAGGAATACACTCCAAGGTACGCCCCAAAAGACGTCTTTCGGACACGGCGAGCAAGCCTTTACCAGGTTATCATGAAAAGGATCTTAGAGATCATGCAAGCATTTGTGAGATGTGTTCGGAAATCAACGTAACATTAGCCGCGGCCTCATGGAATTTATAGTCAATCACACCGTTGATGCTTTTCACATAGTCAATTGACTCACATCACTCAAGACATTCATGTGCATGGATCTAGAGAGAGATGAATGTAGAAAGCTTTGATTTCTCAAAATACATCAGAGAAGCTGGAAAAAGCAAAGGCATCATCATCTGGTCGCTCCTATCAGTTACACGGTGCCTCCTCATTGGCTCGAGACACGAGGTCCAATCCACGAGAGGCTACAACTACAGGTCAGGTCATCGTGAAGATGCTATGAGACACATGTTCCATGGAATAAACCCCACCCCGCTGCTAAAATCAGAAAGGTACAGCCCAAACATGTCCTGGTCATTATGTATAGTACGCCCCGTCAGCTTCGACTTGACATCTCAACCTCAAAATCCGTTGTACCCAGTTGGTTGTGGTGCAAAGCCGTTGGCTTGGGGAAAGGGAGCTGGGGATTGACGTCCGGTCGGGCCAGCAGTGATCATGAGTCGGTTGCCACCAAGAATTGGAGTGTTATTCTCCTCCTTCTCTTGGGACTTCTCACGAAGCTTGCGCTCCTCGTTATCCTTCTTCAAGATCTCAATAGTCGAGCTCTGTTGAGCCAAATAATTGATCATGAAGGGCATCGTGAAGTCGGTCAGACCGTGGCGCCAGGAGATCTCCATGACAACGTGGATAGGGATGAGGTCGTAGCAAGCATAGAGCATGCCAACATAGCATTCACGGCTGCCGATATCAACGAACTAATAGATAAATCAGCAGTGTCCATTAGTGGCAGGTTTGGTAGACTTACGTAGCGGAGTAGTTCCTCCACGACATCGGACTTGCCAGACATAGCAGCAGTTTCAATGGCATCCTTGAAAAGCTTGTCTTGCTTGGAAAGAGCAATAGACTTCTCCCAGCGCTTGTTCTTGCGATAGATGTTGGCAGCAATTTGGCGGAAGAAGACCAAATCGTGACGTTCCAAGCGCTGAGCAAGCTCGACAGGATCATAGTTGTCATAGTTCTCGACCGAATCACGGAGAGTCTTGTAGTCCTCCTCCTCGATCAACAAATCGTTAATGGCATTGTTGACAGTCTTCTTGTTCTGCGATTGAACATTGAGAAGGAATGGCTTGATGAGCGGGATGTTGTCGGACTTCTCAAACATCTTGACGACACGATTGACATCAATGCGAGGCGTCAAGGCTTGCAATAAATCGGTCAAGAGAGATGGTTGCTCCTGAAGATAGAAGTTCAATGCACGGTAATAGATCTCCAGATTGGCGACCTTGATGACGATGTCCTTGAAAGAGTGGTGCTCCCAAGCGTCAGCTGCACGCTCCATCATGGCAAGAGCGGCATTATCCCACTCGTCGTAATGGCAGTACAGGAAGACCAATTCAGGCCACAAGTGAGCATCCTCGGTAGCACGAATCATCTTGGGGATGTTGATTCTGGACCAGAAGAGCTTCAAGTGTTCCATCACACGATCTGGGTGATACTTTGACAAAGCAATACCCAACTCGGTGAACATTCCCATGTGAGCTGGATAGCGGTGGCGTTAGCATTTTTCCATCTTTTTTGCTTCAGGAAAAGGATAAGACAATGTCTCGGGGAAAATAAGGAGAAAATGGGGCTTCCCCAACACCTACCTCGCTCGAGACCCAGACCTTGCTCAAGGAGAGCAATGAGCTCATCAAAGTAGCCATTGCGCTCATATTGTCGGACGAGACCTTGGAGTTCCTCGGCATCAACAATCAAGTTCAGGCCGCAAATCTGCGCAAGTCTGAATTCCTTCTTCTCAACGCAAGCAGAATTAACTTGCTTCCAAACCTTGATGTTGTTGGCCTTGCGGGCACACTCAACAGCAGCTTGATATTCCTCAAGGTGAACAAGAGTGGTAGCAAGCTTGGCCCAGTTGGAGATACTGGTAAAGAAGATCTTAGCTGCTTGATGGTAACCCTCGGCATAAGCCTTGTCACCGGACTCCTCTATGTTGGCGACATTGGTACCTCGAAGGAAGTCTTCCAATTCGCCGAGCTGGTCGGTGCGGGCAAAAGCGAAAGCTAAAGCGGTGTCGATGGGAGGCTCTCGGAGGGTCTTGCGTGCCATTCGGAGATACTTGATCAAGTCCTCATCCTTGCCGGCATGAGTAGCGATCTCAATAACTTCGTTGTAATTGCTTGGGTCCTCAGCACGGATGTAAGAGGCAATACCATCGCTGACACGAAGACCGTCTAATTGAGCCTTGGCGACTCTGCTCCAAACCTCAGGAAGTTCAACGCGCTCAGCATACTCCTGCGCACGATCAATGCTGACAATGTGTTCGACAAGGACGTTGGCGGCGCTAGAGTGGTCGTTGATCTTCTTGTAGACCTCGAAAGCTTCCTCGAACAGACCAACCTCGATACAGATATTGGCGATGTCTGGAGCGTTGTATGCATCCAGCTTGTGTATGTAATCCATGACACGACCTGACTGAATTAGCAAGGAAATGATTGTCGAGAGATTGAAAATTACCCTTGTCAGCCTTGGTAGCAGTCAAGATGAGCAAGTTCTGGAGGTTCTCGTTGTCCGAGAATGGAGATGGCTCGAGAACAATCTTCTCCAGAAGCTCAATAAGTTCTGCAGGTAAATCGGCAGCCAAGAAGGAAGCAACAGCCACCGAGACCTTATCGGGTTCGGTCGATTCAGGAACAGCGGTAGAGATGACCTGATCAACGACAGAACGACGATGAATGTTGTTAGGACTAAGAACGAAAGCCCATAATTCACGGTCAGCTCTGTCGAGGAGGTAGCGAGCTTGAGCCTTGAACATGGAGTTTTCACTATTGACAAATCAGTATACACTTTTGACAGAAGTTGAATACAAAACAAGGGCAAAATTTGACTCACGATGTAATACTGATCAACTCCAAGTCATTTTGCCCCTTTGAGTAGGCAATGAATGCTAGGGACGAAATGTTAGAGAATGTCCAGGAACAGATGGGAGTGGAAGGAAAGCGGTAACTTACCTAGTCCCGGATCCCGCTTCTCGCAGTATTTACCCACAATTAGAGTGTCATATTGATCGTTCTCCTTCAAGAATTTCTCAGGGTTATTGTTCGAATCAATGTAAATCTTGGCCAAGGCATTGTACACTGCTTGTTGTTGGTTGCCAGCAGCGAGCGTGGTCTCCAAAAAGGGGAGAAGAATCTTAAGACGGTTTCTTGACTCAACCTCTTGGACGAGCTCATCAATGGGCACGGATGCTGGATTGACGGTCGAGAGAAGATTCTTGATGATCGATTCATCACAATCAACATCAAGAAGACCACCAATGACAGACGGTGTACGACTCGGATTAACACGTTGAACTGGCAACGAATCAGTATACGCTTTTGAGAGAAACCAAGGAGCCGAGGAGCTCATCCAATAAAATTAGGGTAGAATTTGACGTACCATACACTTCAATTGATTTAAATTGCTGTGCCTGATAGAGATAAAGAACCAAGTCGTGGATCATGTTGAAGCGATCGCAGACAATGATGAGTGGGAGCTATCAAATAATTAGTATGGGTCAAATAAAACTACGAAGGAAGCGAGAAGGACTCTCCCCCGAAAACTCATTTCCCTCTATCTGAAATGAAATGCGATTGACTCACTTGCTCAGTTAACTTAGCTTCCTTCAAGAAGTTCTTTACTTTCTCGGGGTTGTAGTGGTTGGAGTCTCTGCAAATGCGCTCAACTTCCGTGAATTGAGACATTGCAACTGATGCTTGCAGGTATTTAAAGACAACATCCGGATCCTCGCTCAGATTGACGATGCTACCAAGGTAGTAGAAGAGACCTTCGGAAGTCTTGTACTTCTCGAAGAGATCAATCAATCTAACCGGGCCAAGGAGATCCGAGTACTTGGTGGCAATCTGGACAACAGCAGCCAGATTTTGGCGAATGTTGCTCTTCAACATGGCATCAAGACAATCCAATGATTGCTCGAGGGAGAGGCGTCCAAAGAAGCCGGTCAACCAATCTTGTGAGAAGGTTGGGGTGGCTACAATATTAACGATAACTCGCTTGATGCTGTCAGGATCATCATAGTGCTCCAGGGCGCGTTGAGAGAGACCAGCTTGTTCACACAATTGAGCAATGCGCGGTCGATCATAATGAGAGAACATGTCATTCCCAAGGATAGCATCAGCAACCTGAGGAGCATTGATGAGGTTCATCTCGAGTAGACGAGTCTGCAAGTGACCTTGTTCCGGCTTATTGTCCTTTAAAGCGTCAAGGAGAAACGCGGTTGCGGCTTGGACCATGCCCTGGGATTGGAAAATGTCGACCACACGTTCTAAGTCAACGAGATTGGAATTTGCTAGTTGAGTCGCAAACTCGGCGCCTTTGTCTGGGTTGACACGAACTCTGGAGAATATAAGTCAGTGATTGTCATAACTGTAAAATCTCCATTCAACTCACATGCTTTGTAGTAGCACAACATAGTCGGGGGTATATCCAACTTGTGATGCGTACGGAACAATCTTCTCGAATTGACCAGTCTCTGCAAAAGCAGCAACAACCTTGGCTGGAACATTGGCTCGAAGATATATGGAGAGAGCGATGTTCAAGTCATGTGGGCGAACGGCATCTCCTAACTCTTCAGAGCAATCAAGCTTGTTCTCCTTCAACCACTTCTCGAGCAAGTGCTTGCGGTTCTGAGCAAGAACAGGTCTAACGAGCTCAAGTGTTTCATACTTGTTCAGGCTTCCCTTGTCGAGAAGCATACCGAAGTATTGAAGAATAACAGACAGTTGTCCTGGTGCAGCAGGCAATGACTTAAATCGCTCGATGGTTTGTGGGGTTCGGAGAAAGCCACGAGGTGAGTTCGCAGCAATCTTAGCAGCCTCAGCATAGTTGCCGGTGTTCAGTAGTTGATCGAATTGACCTGCATACAAGTTGTCTGCACCAGGTAGTCCAGCACGTGATGCAAGCTTGACAGCAAGGCTCGAGTTGGCGGGATTTTGAAGGAGGTATGGAATCACGGTATTCTCATCAACAGAGACTGATAATACCTGACCCTTCCTGTTAACTCCACACTTTAAAAACAGTTAGCAAACTCAAAACTTCATTCGAATGACAGGTCGAGCTATTAGCTCGACTCCACCACCTTGTCAATGTTCCAAGAGAAGAGGGAGAACATACCAAACCTGCCGATTCTGAATCCGGCGCAGTAATGAAGATTGTCTCGCTCGAAATTCGGTTCATGAATATGCAAGTACCAGTCTCCAAGTCGTACAAGTGGATGAAACCATATTTTGTGACCAAGTAGATAATGCTATATCGTTGCGAAACCTGCATAGCAACTGGGAAATCATTGACGGCCTCAGCTGGGAAGTATACATCCACAGCCTTCTTCGAGAAGGTAGGATTTGTGGCTTGGTGGTCGACCTCAACAATGTGTAGCTTGGCTCCCGAAGCGGTACGAACAGAGAATGTGAAGACCTTGGTATCTGCAGGAGCTCCCTCAAGGCGTAAAGAGCCAAAAGCAGCAGCATGTCCTTCGATGGCTTGGCTGATGCCACGATCTCGGGAGTATAATTGCATAGCACCAACCACTCGTCCTTGTTGTTGTGTGATACCGACCACGACCATCCACTTGCCATCGTCGCTGACACGATAATTGATAATTTGGCAGCCCTGAGAAAAGTATGTTAGCCACCATCCATATGTGTCGCCAAGACCAAACTCACGGAAAGGTTTTGGTTTCTCTTAAAGATCTCGACAGGCGAGGGTTGATTTGGATCAAAGACATCCCAGTGGTAGACCGCCGATTCTGTTACCAAGCCTAACGATGTCTCACTGAACCACTTCCAGAACGCTACATCCTCATTCATTGTGGCGGACTTCAACTTTTGCTTCTGGCCAAGGTCGAAGATCTGGAGGGTCCGGGATTGTGCCTTCAGAGCAATAATTTGTTTGGTCCAGTGCATGATCGCACTGTCAGCCTTGATAGGTCTGCGCATGACATTATTGTTGTTCTTCAGGTCGACAATGACCACTTCAGGTTGTGAGGCTTCATCCTTCTTCTCCCGGACACAGATGTATGAATCGGATTCGAGGGTCTGCAGTCACCATTAGCTACCTTGGCAGAAGCTTTGAGCTATGAAGCTGATCACTTACACATGAATTAAATCCAATTGATGTGCCCTGCGATGATACCTGTTAGCTCAATGTCCTTCCAGCTGTTGCCTTCACCTTTGAACAGCTCGGGAAGCTCAAAACAACCGGAGACGTACCAAGATACCCACTGCAGTCAACTAGAAGTCATTGTCAGTTCCGTTCCAACATCATGAAGGCGCGATAGAGTTTGTCACATACCTGGAGCAGCTCCGTAAACTTGATGGGCAGAGCTGGCGCCATGGCTGCTTCGTCTGCGCTGCGGCGCTGGAACCACAACCGTTCTCGATCTCAGTGAAAGGGGAAAGCAAAGTGTTCAGGTAATGAGCGTGATGATCAAAGCTCCCTTTAAAATTTGGGACGCTATTGGGTGCTTGAGAGGGGAGTGTTTGTTGATTGCTGTTATGCTGAATCTGTCTTTCGCGAACTTTGAGAATCCATGGTAGCAAGGCTGCTAAGACTTATTTCGTAAGCTGCCGAAAATACGCTAGGCGCGATCGGGACTGGATAAGGGGAAATTCAATCCACATGGTGTTCTCGGAAACGAAGCCGACCGTTGTTGTATATGAAGCGTGATATTCATATAAACACGGTTGGGGGTCGAGAAATATTCACTTTTTAGACAAAGTTCATTATTATATTGTCTGTACATCGTATGTTGTGGTCAATTTTTTTGTGGCCAATTGCTCACAGGTACAATGGACATCTGAGGGAACCACACATCCACTTCCACACTTGCTGGATCGGCCAAAGCAACGTCTTTGGTTCTCTAACATCATCGGGCAACGGATCTCTCGAGAATGTTAAAAGTTCTGACCATTCCAACTTAAAGGATATATCACATATCTGACGCTTGGGTCCAGATGAGATGCAGAAGCAAGGCTGAGTGATTAGGTTTTTCTAGTCTATCACGCTCATTCGGGCAGTGGAGTTCTGTCAAGACATCCACAGCCATGCAAAGCCATCTCACATGGCCAATATTATACAAAGAGAAGAGGGTGTATCCCGTGTCCCGGTCTAAGACAGACAAAGAAAATTACAAAGTTATACTAGATATCCTCCCAATGCCAATAACGCCAGGGTATATGCAATTCGCTTTCCGAATCCAACTATGCTGTAATTCAAAAACAATGCCTTACGCAGCACCCATCTCAATCTTCTTGCCCTTGACAGACTTCCATTCGATGGCTGCGGCTCCAACAATCGTGAAGGCAGCCATAATGGCGGCCACCAAGAAAGCATGCGTTAAAGCATTGTTGTATGCAAGCAGGACGCCAGGGAGGACTGCCTTGTCAACGCTGCTTTGCAGATTCGTTGCGCCAACTATTTGAGTTAGTCTAGTTCATAGAGTCGTGATGTTTGTTTGCACTTACTGCTGAGAACAATCTTGGGGTCGATGCTTGGAGCATACTTGGCCAAACCTTCGAAAAGTTTGTTGCTGAACGTGTTTTGTCCAATAGATACGAAAAGAGCGCCACCGAGTGTTTGTACGAAGATGATCTACAAGAATTAGCACTCAATGCAAGGTAATTGAAATAAACTGCGTGTACTCACGATTGAGGTACCAATGGGAACTTGTGAAATGTCGAGAACAGTTTGGACAGCGATCAGAGGTTGTTGCATTCCAAGGCCGATTCCAACACCAATAAGTGCTTGATATCCAATCCACATCTGGTGGTCTGATGCTGGAGTCAAGGTCGAAAGTAGGCCGGCACCAATGGCAGCCAAAACGCTTGACGCAATCATTAACGGAGCATCTATATTTTAATTAGTATGTTCTTGACTTCAGAAGGGATAATAACTCACAGTATCCAACGACAGTGACTCCTACACCACTTAGAATGGACACAATAACTAGACACATGATCATAGGCAAGTTCATGATGCCAGATTTCACAGCACTAGCACTCTTGACAGCTTGGAACCAAATTGGCAAAAAGTAAACAAGTAACAGGAAGAACGAGCCCATGCAGAAAGAGAACCAAGCTGCAGACCACATGCTTCGCTTTCTCATGATCTTGGGAGGAATGGTTGCAGTGTCTTGCTTCCAGAACTGGATGGTGATAAAAGAGAGTATCAGAACCCCGAAGAAGACGAAGAGAAGGATGATTCTCCATGAGGACCAGTCGTATTTCGTTCCACCCCATTGAAGAGCCAACAATAGGGAAATAATGGCTGGGATGAAGACGGCGGTTCCGTAGAGGTCGAAATCCTTAACGCGTGCCTTCCAGCCAACGTTTGCTACAGCTGCTCTGGTAGGAGCCTTGAAAAAGATAGCAATGACGACCATTGTGATCGCACCGATTGGGAGATTGATGTAGAAACACCACCTCCAAGTCGCTTTATCCGTGAATACACCACCCAGGAGAGGACCAGCCACTGAAGCAATTCCATACATGCCACCAATAAATCCAGAATACATGGGTCGTTTCTGAAGTGGTACGCTGTAGGCGACGATGATGAGAGCTCCAGAGAAAATACCGGCAGAACCAAGTCCAGCAACGGCACGACCAATGATCAAGGCGATTGAATTTGGAGCAGCTCCACAGAGGAGGGAGCCAAGTTCGAAAATTCCAATAGCTATCAGGTAGACCCATTTGATCGAGAAGAAGGTATAGAACTTGCCAAAGAGTCTGCAGATTGTTAGTTCTCCAAGAACTTGGGTATGAATCCGTAGTATGATTCGAGCAGGGGTTCGCTTACAATTGGAAGGAGGCGGTTGTCAATAGATATGCCGAGCCGTACCATCCAACATCAGGAAGAGAGTGGAATTCATCAGTGATCTTAGGAATCGCAGTGGCCTAATTCATAGAGTCAGTCTTGCAATTATGCAGAGAGGAGAATATTTCTCTAAAAGAAAAGTTGCGCATCGCAGAGCATGGTGTCCAGCCACTCGTTGAACAATATTCGATACTTACAATAATGGTGTTATCTAGCGCCATGAGGAATACAGAAAGACACAGAGCCAGAGAGATCAATCCGAGTGTAACTCCCGTTGGGTACTCGCTACCCTCTGCGCTTGTATTTATTTTCTCTAATTCAGCCCCAGTCTCGACGGTTGTCGCATCTTTCGCAATGGTCTCGTGTATGGATTGCGTGGGCGTAGGGGACCTAGAGCCTTGTCGAACCGATTGTTCAGCCTTCTCGTGCATACTGGTCGGGGCACTTTTGAGGGTATCAGAGGCGGAGTCGTCCATGGTTGGCTTCTCAAGGGAAGAAGTCATGGTGGAAAGGAATGACGGAAAGTAGGCGCGGTGTAGAAGAGGACGAAGATCAGAAACAAAAAGTCAACACACGAACAGCAAAAGGAAGACTATTCATATGCTTCAACAATTGGACTGGACCCGGCGTTCGCTTGCAGGTTGCAAGGGGGAGGAAAAGTAGGTTGTCGGGCTCGGACGCGGGAAGGCTTCGAATGTCCGACGAGGCTTTGACAGTCTGTGACTGGTTGGATTTTGCTGGAAAGAGGGTCTTGGACCGAAGACGAAGACGAACGTCGAACACCAAATCTTGAGAGGGTTCTGGAATAGATTAAGGTCGGGACGCGGTCTGGGGTATGCGGATCCCTTTCTGGCAGATTATTATTGGAACTCTGCACCGCAAACTTGGATTGATTTTCTGAGAGACAGAAATACAGTACTGGTAGCAGTGCAACTGCAGTCACAAAGAAACACCGGGTAATCTCGTCGCCGTATCGATGACTAAATGCCACACGCCACCTTTTGCCTCTATGGACAAAGGCTTCATACTGTACATTCCTACTTTCTTTATTTTATGCCAAGCTTTGGTGGACGTTTTCTCTCCTGAGAGAATTATGCACGGGCAGATTTTCATCCGAGTAATGTAGGCGCTAACCCAATTATCGTAATATCGAACCATTCTCGGGGTCTGATTGGATGCCAAGAGATTTCGGACATTGAAATCTGGAAAGTCCAGCTGGATGAATCTTTTATTTAATCTTTCTTGATCCCTGCTTCCCGTACCGATCATTAAGGGTTCGTCTTTTCCGCCGCTTCGGCTCAAACAGAATCCTCTCCCCTGATCAACCAGATATCGCCATCCCACTTCATCATTAGATAATGACTCAGACGAGATACAACGGAGCATAGACATTCCCGTCTGACTTGCCCCTATGATCACTGACTGAGAAATGAAGCCTTCACTCATCGTGCCTCGACTAACGGAAGGGTAACACAGTAATTCAAACCCAGGCAGCAACTGCAAACGAGGAATGTGACCGAGTCCTTCGCACAATGGGTAAGAAAACACGAGGGCTTTCCGCAAAAATCGACTCGGGAGCAGTTACCAAACTTCAGACTACTCGACTAGATCATTGCCGCCTGTGCAGACGAATGCCGCATACGAACGCCGAATGCGGTGTTGTTCGTGGAGACATAATCTTGCCGATAATACTAGAGTATCATATCTACGCGCCATCTACGCGCGGGAGCAGCCCATACGCCCACAGCGGTTACGCAGAACAGATGAAATCGCAGAAATAAGCCAGAACAACATACAAGACACATACGCCCACTAGGACGTTCGAAACCACGCATTCGCGGAAGCTTCCGTTTTCTGTTCTGCCACTCCACTCGCTTGAGTAGGTAGGTAGAAGTGGGTCTCTCAAGAAACTGGCGAGCACTCTTCAAATGCTGCTTCAAAAAGAACAAATCGTAGTCTGCAAGTTCAAGTGTCGTCTAGATAAAGTTTCCGCTACTTGTCCCCTTGATCAATCTTAATGCTGACGGACGGGAAATCCTTAAGGGATTAGCTAATCATCAGCCTTGTTCTCCAGTTATGCTTTTTACTGCTCCACATTCAGACCGGAAGTCCGGGTCAGATATCTCCATTTATTCCATATATACTTGTCACCATAGAATGAAAACAACATTTCCTTTGTGCTCTGTGCTATCTTTCTGAAGTTATGGATAAGACCATCACGTATTCCTGGTCATCTACAACTAGTAGCCACGAAAACGAGCAGAACTTCTTCGTCACTTTTATGTACTGCAATAACCAAATTTAATTTTGATACACTCAGAGTATCCAAGTCAAGTGAGCTCGAACGTGTTACTTCAACTAATTGTCCAAGTTTTCCATACTCGTCTGATTTCCAATTTCCTCAGGCATGAACCTAGCGTTCAAGTCTCGACATGGCCTCGACTTTACCTACCCATCCTGGCAACTCTACTACGTCCCACTATAACAGCCTAGGATTTACCTTGGTACAACTTGCACGATGTCTTCGGTAGAGCGTTTGACAGTTGTACAGAGTCCAGACTGTCAAACCAGTTTATAGGGACCGAATGGCATGTTGTGCCACCGGATTGTGTGACGATCTTTGCACACTCGTACGAAAGCATTTCACTACGATGCAACCTCCGAAGCCATATGCACGGAAGTATTTTAATCTTACAGGGGTCTAATTCTTAACTTAAGTACCTCTCTGAGTCTCTAGCAATCAGATCTTCAGAAGTCGAAGACGAAACTAGCCGTATTTAATCACCAAGGCATCCAGCCAATTAATTTAGTCATATCCACAGCAGCCAATATCATGAACGCCGAACTTTGATGAAATCTTCACATTTTCTCTCATACATAAAGGACAACCATGCTGTGCAGATCTTGATTTATGTCAAGTAAGTGCCAACCAATTGAGCTTAACTTTTTCGCCCAATTCTATCAACTCCCCATATGCAGACCATAAACAACGAACATACATCCATCTATGAAGTGCTAGGATCCAGCGTAACACCATTGGCAATCGTAGCCCAACCTATTAGTCGCCAATGCTTCTCGATACGTCGACTGAGCGCAACCTTCTCTCCAACGTTCGTGCAAGCCGGACTGGTAAGGATCAATTTCGCGGCATCTTGCTTCACGGCAACAACCTTAGCTCCAGTAGCTGTCGACCCAATATTCACCATCAAAACTTCGTTCTTCGCCAACTTAGCAACCTTGGCTTGCTTTCCGTCCGCAGTCTTAACACCCAACAATCGTCGAAGAAGGTAGTAGTTGACCTCGATTTCGATGTAGATATCAGGCAGACGACCCTTCAGCCCCAAGACGAAACCGACCAAACGATCAGCACGGCATAGTGTAGGATCAATTCTGGTTCCAACACCGATCAGTCCTCCAGGAACAGCGTACTTGAGCTCGTTGTTTTCCGAGTTCAGTGTGACGATTCTGCTGAAAATTGGTGTGCACTTGATTGCTCCCTTCTCATCTCTCGTGACAATACCAGGTCGAATCTCAATCTCGTCCCCAAGCTTCACCACCCCGTGCAAGATACTGCCACCAGCTACACCTCCCTTCAACTCCTCAATCTCAGCACCTGGTTTGTTAACGTCGAATGATCGAATAACGATCATTTGGGGATCCATCGTGAAATCTCTTGGTGGCACAGGAATAGTATTGACAATCGCTTCATTAACGGCATCGATATTGAACTTCAATTGGGCAGAAATCGGAATGATTGGCGCGCCTCCAGCAACAGTTCCTCGAATGAACTTTAGAATGTCTGCGTAGTGAGCGCTGGCACCTTCTTCCCTCATCAAATCGACCTTATTCTGGAGAATGATGATCTTGTCCAGTTTCATGATCTCGATAGCTGCAAGATGCTCTGAGGTTTGTGGTTGTGGGCAGGTTTCGTTACCGGCGATGAGGAGCAGGGCAGCGTCCATGACTGCAGCACCTGACAACATAGTGCTCATGAGAATGTCGTGACCGGGGCAATCAACGAAGCTACATTCACGTCAGTCTTGTTCTTCTTATCTGAAGGGCAATGAACACTCACGAGACATGTCTGAGCAGTCTATAGGTACCAGAGCATCCATCGCGCTCACACGGTGGGTCGACCTCCTTCTCACTCTTGTAGCTCCTAAAACATCCTGGTCTTGGACACTCCTCATTATCGCACTTGTAGATCTTTGCGTTGGCATAACCAAGCTTGATTGTGATGTTTCGCTCCAACTCATTTTTAAATCGAACTGTCTGTACACCTGAGATGGCCTTTACCACTGTTGACTTTCCGTGCGCCACATGTCCAATGGTTCCAATATTGATTGTTGCCTGTCGCGCAATGATCTCTGGGGTGAGAGGAGTCAAAGACTTGACATCGAGGTCTTTGGGTTCTGTTTGCGGAGGTAGAGTTGGGCGTATTATGACTTGTGCGGGTTCTTTATGTGTGCTCTTCTTCATCGCAGATTTGAGAGGAAGCTCCTCCACATGGTCATCGAAATCATTTTGTGCCTCGAGACCTGGAGAGCCAGGCTCGGAGTCAGACCCAGAGTCCTGGTCGTTGCCGTACCTATCGCCGTTCGCCGTCATTGTGTCGGAATCGCTGTTCTCTCGAGAAGTGCTGAATATTGCAGAAGTCACTGAAATATCGGCTCTTGGTATCAAACTATGTAGTCAGAGGTGAAGTTCTGGTGGCGGCTTGATATCGATGTTGTGAAATTTATCACAGCAAAAATTTGTGGGCGGTCGAAATAACCCCGCGATTTTCCTTGAGTCATATACGTCACGTGCCATCAGTTTTTCCTAACCTCGAGCTCTGAACGATTTCAGGGACATCTGCTTTGGGCCTTTTTCAAGAACCAATACAGCTTCTACATATATCACCTTCTTAAATCTACCTTGAATATGACAAACTTAGGCGTGGCCAGAGCTCTTCCGCGGTTCTTGCTTCCCAGATTGAGTTGGCAGCCAACAACAATTCCTTCCAACACCATCCGAGCATTGAGCACTACATCACCTAGATACGATAGTTACAATAGATCTTGGAACGTTGCAGACAGGAAATCCCTCTTGCGACCACAGCACAATGGGATCACAGCGCTGGCGAGCAAGAATCCCGCCGTTCGGCGAGCTTTCCATGCCACTGCACGCCAGTCTCGGGACCATCACTTCGATACTCTTAAGTTTGTCCAGCGGCTACGGGAGGAAGGATTTACGGAGCCACAAGCTGTTGCAATGATGAAGGTACTTAGCGATGTAATCGAAGAGAGGTGTGTTTCGATGTCTGTCTTCCATTAAGCTACCTAACATATTATAGTATTCAGAACTTGACACGCACAATGGTACTTCGTGAGGACCAGGCTAAAGCGACCTACACACAAAAGGTCGATTTCGCAAAGCTTCGATCCGAACTTTTATCTGCAGACTCAACAGAGTCAGCTACAACCAGGGCATCACATGAACGCTTGACAAACGATCTTGCCAAGTTGAACAGCAGATTGAGAGATGAGATTGGTCGAACGCAAGCTTCTGTTAGGTTAGACTTGAATCTGGAGAAGGGAAGAATCCGGGAGGAGGCCAATGTTCAGGAACTGAAGATCAAGGAGACTGAGACGAAGATTGAGCAGGAGGTTGCTGGGTTGAGGGAGAAGCTGGAAGGTGTCAAATTTCAGACTTTGCAATGGCTCATGGGAGTTTGCACTGGTAAGCTTTGTGGGAATTCTATGATTTCATCATCCGCTAACAATTGGATAGGTACTGCTGCTTTGATTCTTGGTGCTTGGAGGTTGTTGATGTAGACACCACTAGTTCGAAGATACCACGATCATTGCTCGCCAATAAATATGACGCGAACTTTGAGTCTTTTTGAAACTATACTCATGATAAGCGTCATACTATGTTTCCATCGCATACTTCCGAAAGATGACGATATTCATATGGTTGAGAAGTTTTTGCAATTGTCCTCATACGTCTGAACGTTTTTATGCTTGATATCTGCACGTTATGAGACTTGGATCTGTATTGGATTTTTTTTTCAGGGCAAAAAATACAGAAATTCATAATGCACAAAGACGAAACAAACTGGAGCAACGTGACGCTGCCCAGAACAGAAACCCTCGGAGAGGTTTTTGCTGTTTGACTTTTTGGGAGACTATCTCTTCCATTCGATGCCCCCCATCCCGTCTCCGTAAGTACATGTGCGGATTAACCACGGCCCGACGGCTGGTATGAACCTTTTAGTTATGAATTTGAGTCAGAGTGGAAGTTACAGCTCGAATTGGCGACAAACAAATTTTGTGTATTTCGTTCTTTAAAGGCCTCGAGCAAAGCAATTCATTCTCGGACCAGCTTAACATAAGGGAAGAATTCACTTTCACTTTTGTATTTGAAAGCTGCAAAATCTAATTTGTGCTTTTGAGAAAGTTTCTGCACATGACGGAGCTCAATGTCCGGCACAGGGGAGAACATTCAAACCGCTTAATGTAGTAAAGATCTTGTTGATTCGGCTCACAGATCCAGAGGGTAACTAGGTAAGCAAAGTTCTACAATGATAAAGTTATCAGGAGAGTGTGTTCATTCCATTCTAATACTCCCCTAGTAAGGCATCGAAACGCGAATAAATGCAAATGTTCAAATGTTCAAAGCCATTCTCTAAGTCGAGAGAGCAGACACCAGGTCTTCCATAGGCTAAAACACTAAGCAGTCCATGGAGTACATTATGACAATGAAAACATCTGGGACTCTTCATCCACCAATAGAGGATCATACAGACGGAACTCGTGCTTGCGCCGCGCCGTCACCCACACAAGTCCCTCCCTCACATGCATAGCAGTCACGACCTCAGCGTTCATCTCCGTGCGGAAGTCTTCGATCTTGTTGATCAAGTCATCATACATGAACTTTGATCATCCATCCATCACGTCGTTCGGGCTTCCCGCACCAGTTCTGTGGGACACATAGGCGTGCAGGAGAGTATGCACAATCACGGCTCGGATTGGATGTCCACGCTGGAACCAGTCATACGCCCGCTCGATGTGATGCTCCTTCAGATGTGTTCGATTGTTGAGAAAGATGCTTCGAATCCTGTCAGCAACGGCCTTGCCCAAATCCGCAGATTCAAGCAATTTAGCTGTCAGAGCCAGTTGAAAGAGGTTATTGACCTCGAGGGAGCGCGTTGATTTTCGGAGTGCCGTCAAGGTTATCGTACGCTCTTTAGCCCAACGCATTGCGATGTCAAACATCTCGCGGGGGACAAAAGGGACCTCGATGGTCTCTAAGGCTTCTGGCCTCTTCTCTCGAAGCTTTCTATGTAGAAGAGAGAAGTTGCTCCTGAGAAGTATTCTAGGAAACATGACCGGATGCTTACCAGAGTCGAGAATAACCCTAACTCTAAATTCGGTCTCGAGTTCTCCGAAGCTTTGACTTTGCCCGACATGTTAGTACCGATGTATTGGAGGAATGGGACTGTACCTACAGCACCCAATCTGCAGCTGATTTGTCTTCTGGTACTTCTTCCTCCTCCTCTTCGTCTGTTTCCCCCTCTTCCTTCTCCTCTACAGTCTGCTTGTCCTTTGCCTCCGTGCCTGTTTCTTCCTCACTCATATCGGCCTCTTGGTTTGGTCCTACCATCCGAGACTTCTTGGACGGGCTTTCATTGCGTCCCTAATGTGAATGTTAGCATTCGATCTAGAATGAATAAGTGCGCTGGAATATATCTGTTGAGTGATTGTCTCCCACCAAGACGATCACTCGAGACAGATCTCCAAAAATTTCAACGACGGTGTGAAATTTCGGGGTGATTGTTGAGGGATATCAGCTAATTAGTCGCCTTTTTCATGTACCATTTTCAGCATGAGACAATTTAGAAAAAGTTGTTCAAACTTACCTTATCCTCAGAAGGTCGCTTCTTCTTTTGAACTACCCCTCCATCGCTCTCATCATAGAGGCCCTCCTCGGCTTCGCTACTCTCAATCTCAATGTGCTCAATATCCATTGGATCCAATTCTCTGTTGGCAGGCTCATCATTTTTCTTTTGTCTTCTTCCCACCGCTGCAGGACTCACTCCCGTCTGCCCGGTTAGAAATGGCGAATAAGAGTCGAACAAGTAATTCGCTTGACTTGCGCTCAGATTTCTGAACGAACGCTGTTCCTTGTTCAATGGCGGAACTGCCTTATCTGAACGTCTGCCCACCATACCCTTCGGAGGAGCGCTGGGTTTCGATGTTATAGTGGCAGCGGACTGTGAGCTGGCAGGAGTATCTTCTGACGATTGGACCTTGCCATGTAGGGCTTGAGCCTTCGAGCTTTCCGCCATTTCTTCTTCTTCTGCTTCCTGTCTAGCCATCAAGATGTCAAGTACCACCTGAGGATCCTCACGGTTTTCTCTGAGAAGCCCGTCGATCATGGCTTCGGAAGCGTTGGGCAAGGCATCTTTGAGGAATCTTAAAGCGGTCCTGTGTTCTTCCTCGGAAGTAGGGTTAAGACCACCGGAACTGGAAGCCATGGTCGGTATTGCGATCAAAAGCAGGGGGATGACAAGAGCTAGGACTGATGGGTAGATATTTCGAATCAGATACTGATTCAAGAAGGGATTAAGTAGATTCATATACCCAATGCACCCTTTTCAGTGGCTGAAAGCAGGAGGACGTTCATCTTGACAGGCCACTTCATTGCACACCCACCCCTTCATGCAGGAATTTCGGAAGCAAACTTCACAATAAAATATCAAAACTGCGGACTTCAAGAGCTCTTTGTGAAGATCCGATGGCATACATGTAACATGCGACAATTTAGCACGGATGTCAGTGCTAGACAACTGCACTGTGTTGAGATTTCTGACCTTCTACTATTCTCTGACAAACATATCTCAATTTTTCTGACAGCAAAGAGCCCTTGTCTCTTGTTTGTTGGATGCTGAGACAATCTGATTCTCTCCCAGATAAAACTTTACTCCTTTAATTAAAGCGCCTCCTTTGAAGACAGAGTCTCACATAAGTGCCCCAGGTGTTGCAAAAAGCGAGCTAGAATTTGCTTTGAGGAGCTTTCCGGCCAGCAATTTAGCAATATTCATGGTAAGTGTGTCTCAGGACACCACCCGTATAAAGAACATGGTTCTGAGCCATACAAAGACTCAAACTTGAGCCATGCCCCCTGGCTACGGAGCAAACTTGAAGCAGTCACACGTTACAAAGAATTGCTAGAATCCAATTAGTTTTACTAATGCTCAATTAAACAGCAATATGCAACGGTACTGAAGAGAGCTTTCACAGCCAGAATGCACCAGAGCCACCCTCCCAAACAATGCAGACGAAGCAATGCCATGCCCTATCATCCTACAGAACCATGCAAGAATGCGAAAATGCTAAATCAGAGCTCAGATGTCCAATTCGGACCCGGAATCTTCAGCGTACCCACTCACACCCCGCTTGGCTCGCCTGTCCTTTCTCGAAGGGCTACCATTAGTCTCTTCAGGCCCTGGTATACTTGGGTGTTCCTTTTCGTACACGGCTCTGAATGCAAGAGCATCCTTGTCCCACTGCGCGGCTTTGTTGTTGTACTCAACCATGGCAGTAGCATATGCTTTCTTCTGGACATCTGCTCTTTCGTTGTATGGTTGCTTCACGTCTTCGGACGCCTCCTTCCACATCTTTGTGACCATCTTCTTAACCTCATTAGGAATAGGCTTTCCTTTGCCTGGTCTCCTGCCTTCCTCGCACTTGCGCTTGGCCTCCTCCCACTTGTCCTTACTGTACATACGGTATGGATTCGCATAAGTATTCGCAGGCCGCCAAGGTCGTTCACCGAGCTTAGCATAGATAGCATTCCAAATCTCGTACTCATAAGCCTCGAGGCGTGCTTGCTTAGGATCCTTGGGACTTTGGATGGTCTCGGATTTCCTCTTCATGGAAGAATCTTTTGGTGGGACTAGGAGCTCAGGCACCTTAATAGAACCGATCATGGTTTCGAGAACTTCAGAAGCTGCTCTCAGACCAGATATATAAGCACCGTGAACGGTCGCTGGGTGTGTGCCACAGGTATGCTCGCCAGCGAAGAAGAGGTTGCCAATCGGTCGTGCCATGACCTCGTAGTCATCTGGTTGGAAGTTTGGACCAGTGTAGGAGTAACTACCACGCGAAAATTCGTCCTCGCTCCACCGAGTAACAACCGCTTCAACAGGCACTGGTACTCCAGCACCGAAAATAGTGCGCAGAACCTTTGTAGCCTCAGAGATGAGCTGTTCATTTGGAGTACTTTCTGCCGAAAAGGCAGCATCACCAGCCATCAGAGCAAGTAGAGTGGGCATGCCAGTTGTATTGCTGCAATTGAACCATTGGAAGAAGCGACCACGCTGCGAGAAATAGTCTGCTTGATCCAAGCTGAATCGATTCATGGGATTGCGAAGAGCACCAAATATATCGCGTTTTTGGTCCCAGAATGCTTCTCTGTAGACCAGAACCACTTTGTTGAGGACTCCATAGCCGATTCGTTGGATTGGTCCTTCCTTCCATTCAGGCAAAGCTGGCTCAAATTCGATGCTTCGTCGCTTCAGGACACCAAGTGGTATCGTCGAGACGATATAGTCTGCTTCAATAAGCTGCCCGTCTTCGCACTCGATCTTCGACGCCGCACCCTTGTTCTCGGCATCATATATGATTCTTTTCACCTTGTTCTGCCTCCGCACATTTAATGGCTCTGGGCAATTCAAAAGACCTCTTGGTACCTGTTGATACCCTCCGGTGACCATAGTGTGTTTGCCTTCCCATTCATTGCCAGCATCAAGATCCCACCCACCAAGGCTGAGCTTATTGCAAGTGACTGCATTGCTGTACTCCAGATTCGCAACATGCCAATTGATTAACCGCAGATCGAGAGGAGTGAAATCAACGATGCGCATGTACTGACGAATGGCCTCATCGAAGACTGTGCCTAAGGTAGCATACCTCGAGCTAACAGCAGATTCGAGATCCAGATCATATTCGATACCGATGCCTGGACGTAATTCCCAACCTATTTCCCGAGCTTTATAGGCAGCAGTATGGACAGCGGGTATGCCAGGCTCAAGATGTGCTCGTCCCGTCAATCTATCCGACGAGACCGGAATCATCTGTACGTCAGCTGTAGGGGAGTTTCCACTGTTCGAGGTGCTTGTGCCATTCGTAGAAGCATCTTCAATTTCGCTGATTGTCTTTGAGCCTTCTGAGCTGACATCGCGTCCTGCGTCAAGGAGGTCTTTATCGCCGTCGACCGCAGGAGGGGTTGGAAGCTTGAATTTATACTCGCTGACTCGATCGAGAATATAATTGAACAGCTTCTCTGCGTATTGATCTCGATTGATATCTACAGGCTTTCCGCTTGCATCGTAGATCGTGGTGTCCGGTCTTAAAGCATGGTATGACAATGCTAGTTGACCTCTGACAATGATATTGAGAGGATTACCTCGGTCAAAGCCAGTAATGATCATGCCACCCATCTCAGCTGTATATCGACTTCCATAGCCAAGAGTCGCATGCTTTGGTTTTGACTTCATGGCCCTAGAGTATACTCTGCCGCCAATTCGGTCTCTACCCTCTAGAACGACGACTCGTGGAGGATCTTCGCCCATTGCTCGGAAACGTTCTTCGAATTGTGAGAATAAGCCTTCCAATTGCCTCGCACAACCAAGACCAGACATGCCAGCGCCAATAACGGCTACAGTCTTACGCTTCCGCTTAGGGCCACGTTGGGATTTCTTGACATCTCTGCCAACCCCAAGATGCTCGAGACAGCCGTAGTTAATATAGCCACGTCGCACAAGCCATTCATAGCAGACATTAGCAGCATCAAACCAACGAGAATCCTTGGCACATCCGATGGCTTCATCGCGCATTACACCAATCATAGGATTTCTGGTCCATAATCTGAGGATGCCATTTCGGATGTTGAGGTACGTAGTCACTTGCTGATGAGTGATATGTTTGCGCAGCATAGCATGTTCCTCGGTATGTAAGCTGTAAGGGTTGAGACGAGACGATTCTGCAGCCGCGATGCATTGTCTGGCATACTCGCTCGGGGCAATGTCAGTAGGTATGGAAACCTTCGGTCGGACATCATATATTTGCCGTCGCTTTCCTGCATGAGAACCCGACTTCGAAGTGTGCTTCGAGTTGACATCGAAGCCGGTTGGGGATGTGGCTTTACTCGATATTGATGAAAGGGCTGATGAACCGTCGTCAAGGTCGGTAGTCATGGATGATGCCATAGAATCGCGAGCACTTTCAGGCCTGAGAAGTATATTGCCATCCGACGTAGACTTGAGATGCCGCTCAGTGCTATAGTCGGAAAAGTCAATTGGCTATATCTCACTATCACACCGGAATGGTTGTGCTTTGAAACTTAAATTACTGCAAGGAAAGAACGACCACGTACCGGATGATATTCTGAAACTTTTGGTCCCCAAACTTAGTAAGAGAACCTGCACCGGAATGAGATTTGGGAGAAAAGTTCTCGCTGGGAGATTCAACAATAATAGTATGCGATTGTTGATCAAGCATGTCGACACTGTCACCATATCCGCTCGATATGGCGCCTGGGGTAGAGGAGTCTCTGCCAGGATTCGAGGTCTCGAATATTGAAAGATGCGAGTCCAGTTCTTGTAATCCCATCAAGTTGAGATCATCATGATGCGAAATTTGGGTCTCCATTGTTACTGCCATCTCTGGTAACTTAAGTCTTGTGACTTTGTGTTGTTTCTTGGACATATATGGGTTGTCGGTTGGGTCAGCGCTGCTACTCGAATTTCCCATGCCACTTGATATCGCTCAACCGCGCACCCCTCCCGCAAGTGTCATCGATAAGTTTGATTTACTGCGTATGACTAGATTGTGAAGAATAGTTAGCCACTCTTCTACAAAGTTGATATTGGTATATGTATCACCCACGTGGAACCGTCTCACCTGTCGCATCCGTTATTGCCTGTCGCCACACGTAGATCCTGCTGCGAGCTCAGTTCAGTTTCTTCGCTAGGTTCGTTGTCACTCGAGAAGGAAAGGAACGTCCTCAAAGAAGACTCGGAGAGATTCGTGGGGTTGTTGTGTCGTACGATATGTATCAATTCCTTTCTAAGTTCTGAGAGTCTCGGCCTAATGATTAAAGCCAATGCGAATAACGTATCACGTGCGCCATTGTAACGTCGGCGTTGACCTCAACAAGGACAGAAGTGGGGACAGAATACAACAATTATTTAGACCGGAAATCATGGAGAGCTTGTCATTTAATCATTACATTATTGTTAGACTTAGGTTAGCGCTGCTCAAGGTTGGCATTGCGTCTGTCTACGAGTCTTGCACAATGGTGGTGTTCTTTCCCAGGGTCGCCTTCTCAATTGCTGCGTCCATCATCTTATTTCCACTAATGATCGAAGTCGTGCATATGATTATTTGCTTTCGTGCTGGCGGATTTGAATTAGCATGCGTCGTGCAAGAAAAGCCAGCAGATCTCAGCTTACCTTCTTCTTTCTTCGCGATGAATCTCAACGCCGCAATTTCTGCAAAGGTAATGCCTCCTAAAAACACGACAAAGACGAGTTTCTTCTCACCGCTACCTGTAAGCAGAGCGCGAGCTTTTGCAGCCTTGTCTTCCCCTTTTTGCACCTCGTCAAATGTCTGCCCTCTAACATGCTTCAGTGCCTCGTCAAAACCCTTCCATCCTTGTGAGGCTCCACCGCTTGTTGGCCCAGTTGGATTGTTCGCATTTCCGCCGCGCGTGATGGAAGTAAGATACTGCTTCTGCAGAACACATTGTACTAGACGAACTGACAGTGGTGCGTAGCCACTATACACATATGCAATGTCGTTGGGGTCGTGCTCATTGACTTCGTCGACAATGAGGCGGAGAGCTTTGCGCACATATGTGTAATTGGTCTTCGTGCCGGCAGCAGCTCCAGCTCCAGACATGGGGATCATTGAAGCCATTGGGGAGCTCCGAGATAGCAGCAATTGCAATTTCTCTAGAGCGTCTAGAGTCAGCATGTGTTGGTAACCATAAGCGTGTAGGACCATCTTCTTGAATATTTCCAATTCTCGAGGCTTTATGCCACCAGCAATGCAGGATTCCAGGCACAACAAGCGCAGAACTTCTTTCAAAGGTGCGTCTCGAGAAATTAGCTCCTCGATCGAATCATGCTGAGACGATGGGTCTGCCCCAGCTGCGAGATTCTGCTGAACCTCCAGTAGTCTACCAAATTGATCTGATCGAGTATGCTTCATTATCTCTTCTGCAAGCCCGGTGTGTATTTTCAAGCTCTGCTGCTCAGCCTGATACCCTGGGAGTTTGTTGACAAAGTCCCGCAATTCTGCGGTGGTTTTGGTCCCGTGTCTGCTCTCGTAATCAGTTTTAAGGCGACGAGCGACCTTATTCAGTAGATTTCCCACAATAGCGAAATTGGTGTCTCTCAACTGGTCATAGAGCTTATCGGATGAATCGAGTAAAATCTTGCGTTTCTTTGATTGTGCTGGTGCAGCGATGCTTTTCGAAGAGCCTGGCGCGGCTTGAGGAGCAGCCCCTACAATGGAGGAATCTACCTCTGCTTGGTTGTTCTGAATCCCCACGGTCTCATCGATCAAGCCTTCGTAAGTTAATTGGGTAAGAAGAGGGGTAGCAAAGTCGACCTCGCGGTCAATGACAATGAGGCTTTCGATTGTGGTACTTGGTGTTAGACCGAGCCTACTGCTTTCATTTGTGTCTTCACCAGCGATTAGTTCCTGTCGCATGCGTGAAAGTAGATCTGCCAGTCTCTTGGCATTGTCACCTTTCCCAGTTATGCGTGGGAAAAGGCCATGCTTTTGTTGTATAAGCATCAAAGCACGTGCCAGCAGGAAAGTTGGTGTCGGATCTTTTCGCAAATATAAATCGCTGAAGGAGCCCTCCAGTTCCAATGACAGGACGTCTTTCTCAACTGGAAGAAAGTACAGGGGAAACTCTGCTATGCTTGTATCGCCAAGAACACCGGCATCTTCGAGAATCTTTTCGGAAACGAGCGTCCGTCGTGGAACCCAAAATATGGAAAATTCGTGACCTGTCTGACTTTCTCGCTGCATACGCTTTATATGGTCTGTATAAATGTCAGCACGTAATGGCAGCATCACTAGCATATGATAAAAAGATGAAAGAGACACTATTAAGCGCGCTGTATGGTGATTTGTATAGGGCTCAAGACTGACTGGGTAGAGTAGAAAAATCGTCTACCAAGTCTACTTTAAGAGCCCAATTGCCATGAAACAAGCTGCAAATAGGAATGAGATGATATAGCGAACATACCGGCTATCGACTGGGCGTGTTTTGCACTTTCTCCTCTTGCGATGAACACAACATTCCGCTGACTGACATCCGCATTGCCGTTCTCCAAGAAGAATACTTTATCGACTCCATAATCCTGAAGTGTCGAGAACTTCACAAATAGACCGATCGGACCGGCCAAACCCTTCTCAAGGACCAAGTTCTTCTTTCCTCGAACCTGTGTGAACACACCAATAAGTTGGGGCCTTGGGGTGGACGACGAGATTGGACCCCTTACTTACACCCTCGAGTAGATACAGGAGATCCTTGCGGGCCTTATCTTTGATATGATCGGTATCGAACCCAACATGAGGAGCCATGGTGAGCTCTACATGCGGGCGGGCGAAGTTTGTCTGATGTTTGAAGTGAAGGGCATTGATGGCTCAAGCTTGGAAGATGCGGGCCCGACCCCGCTAGCGAGATTGCCGACTGGTTTTCATCAGCCTCGTCGAAGCCCTTTACCTTCCCACCAATGACTCGAAATTGTCGGCATTTCATCAACGACTCTTGCATACGACACAGATTGTGTTGTAAGTGAATGAGGAATTCTCACAGATGACTGTTCAGATCTGCGAGATTTAATCGATCCCTCGATAGACCATCCGCGCAAGTCTCCGAAACCCGCCCAACTTCTATGTAACCGCACCTGCAAGGCAACAAGAGGATGGCCACATGATGTTGGCCCCAAGACCGGCAACTCGAGTTGAAGTCTCGTGAGGACCTGGAGACGCCTCGTGAGTCTGATCATTCGCTTGACCCTTGATACACCGAGGCATGTGGAAGGAGACATGGGTAAGAGGAGAGCTATTCTCACTGCGATAAGATTTGACTATCTCATTGACAGGATGTTGGTCATGAATCGGAATATCCAGCAGGTTTTGAGTGCTACCAACTCCAAGAGTTGTACTGACGAATTCAGGCAGCAACGACCAAGGGACTCCCGCTCTGTGGTTGACATCAATGCCGGAATCCGGTGGATGAGGTTCATCTAACTTCATCTGCCGCTGACAAACCAGGAAAGGTACTACTGGAGAGCTTGTATAAGAGAATGGCAGAAGAGACGGAATTGCGAAAGAATCTGCAGTCAACACCTGAGAGTATGCGGTTTAAAATTGGAGAGATCTTTTCAACAAATTACAAGCCGACGAAAAGTGACAGCAAACGCATCAATGAAAGCCGAATCAACGAAATAGACACACTTTCCACTTAGATCGAATCTTGCTATGTTTTCGACACTGTTTCTATCGAATTGAGCCAGGCACGTGGATTAGACTATTGCACCGAGATTGTCTATGAGGTCGGTAGTAAGGGCTTATCAACTTCAACATCTGTTCAACTACACCAGGAATCACTTGAAGTAGTCTTCAAATAGCAACGTTGGAGTAAACTTTGGCTGGGATTATTTTCAGATCCTAGCGTTGTTGCAGGCACTTACTCACCGCTGGTTTTACAATGCTGCAATGTAAAGAAGCGATTACCCTGTATGAACGTTTCGTTTAGTGTTGATAGGACTTTTCCCTCTCAAATTGATATCAAATTTTGCGTCCATTCACAACAAACTGTTGAGGAATGTATCATACTTTATATAACTTTGAGGAGGGCGAGTATGCTACGTTAGCTTCCATGAAGAAGAATTGAACAAGCTACTTTTCTAATGATCTGTGGATCATTTATGATTTCAATCCTTGGACAAGGCAATGTGAATAAGCCCTGTATCTTGATATAACTCTAGACTCATCCTATGCCATCTGACTTGACATTCAAGAATGAGGTCTGAGCTAGCTTTCAAAGTAGGTATTGTAAAGTGATTTACTGAATATGCTTCTCATATATGAGATACTGTATGGTACATTCACTTGCGTTTAGAAATGACTTACTCGTCAAGAAAGTGTCTTTTGAGTTGAACCAAAATCCGCTGTTGGAAAAACTCCGCGCATTTATGATTCATTGTCAGACTCGCGATGAAGACAGTCCCTAACGCCATGCTATTATGCCCCTTCTCTCAAGCGCCCTTCCCATACCGCTATAAACATCTTCAACCCTGTCCTAGGCCCGCCCTAACGCCATTTCTGACTCGAAGCCTCCCTCCAAGGCATTTCTGTCCAGTTCCAGGCTCTAAACCGTATTGTCATGGTAATAGAAGTCGATATCTCTTGGTCGTCTCCTGTTATTCGCCACAAACTGTTGATCTCCTTCTGGTCTCTCGTTTTTGCTGTTTCCAGTCAACATGCTTTGTAGACTCATGCATATGCTCTCCACATTTTGTATGGGTGTCCAGCCTTGTGAGCCGAGGAGGTCGAGACAGATGATTCCGTTTGAGTAGATATGCGGGTGCATGGGAATAGGGCGGTCCTTAGTGTTCACAAATACCACTTCTGGAGGTTCTGTAGAAAGTCAGAGCTGGGTTTCAGGTATTTGTGGGAATCGAGGGATAGAAATGCAAGTAATAGACATATTATGACTCCGCACAAGATATAAAAAGAAGGAGTAGTATTGGAAGTACGTACCAATGGGATATTGAGCACTGAACTTGAACTTTAGACGGTATGTCTGGTTGAGGTAGAGTGGGTTCGCATCGAGGACCCGAATGTCCAGTAGCCAGTCTTGGAAGTCTTCAGCGCTAACAAGTTCAATACCAGGCGGCAGAGATTCATGAAGCTAGGAGGATCAGTAAGTATAAGACTATATGGTCTGAGGGATTGCTTTGACATACCTTTTTCAATTCCTTGCCGAGGCGTTTTGTTGCGAATGCCATCCTGCTTTATCTGCTGTGCCGTTGAGAGAAAGTGTGCGAATCTTCTGAGAGGCAATAGCTGCAGGTCTGCCGGAGACTGTGAATGGAAGGTATCTAGCTCAAAGAAAGGGAGAAAGAGTGTTTGCGATAGTGGAATTGATGTATTGTGTAGACGTGGTGGGATGGTAGACTTTCCAAGGCCAAGGTTACAAGAGGCTAAGATGCGGCCGAGTCTTTATCGATGTCGATAACCAAGTTAGGCACCATTTTTAGACATTTAGAATGTCCCAGATCAAGAAGGAGAGTTTAAGAAACGCAGGTGCAAGTGAATTCGCATGTATACTCTCACAAATCTACTATTTGTATATACCAACATCTACTATCACAACCTCAGGGAATATCAAAAGCCACGTCGGCCGCTCTCAGAGAGAACCTTGGAAAAGAATAGCTTCACGTGTTGAGCTGGGGTCTGCAACCCCTGATGTGGTAAGCCACAGCCCCTCTCAGCCCTTCTGCGGCTGGATGCTGCTAGATTGTAAGGCAGACCCGTGGTCCTGCGTGCGTGGGTCTAGTCTTTTATTTTATCTGCACGGCGAACCTATCGTTGACCTTTTGTATAATTCACTCCAGATTTTGCTCTCGATTATTCATTTGCAAAGGTGGTTGTCGACCGTGACTCTGAACTAGCTATTTACCTCGTCAGCTCAGCCCCACCAACGACAACGACATAGCGCAGCTCCTTCTACCACGAACCCAGCTGAAATCCTGCGCGTGTGCGAACTACATCACTCGATACTCGATCTTCGAAGACACTGATTTCCTTACCAAGAGAATTGAGTTTGAGGACCTGATTTGGCAGTCACGATGAGCTGTAGGTACACCCCGCACTTAGAGAATCTCAAGAGTCTCGGCTTCTCTCATACTCACTCCTCCTGCGTGATCGGAGAGGACTTGATGCCCTCTTTCACTCCCTTATTATACCTATGAAACGTTTGCTGACCATGTCGTTTGCTCCGCTTCAAGTCTCTAATATGCTCAACAAGCTTCACGGCCAACCAGAGAGCTACGATAAGAAGTATGTACAAGATGCTTCATCTTTCATGTCCAAACTAACAATTAGTCGCAGAGCCAAATATCGATTTGGTCGAACACTCGGGGCTGGTACATATGGTATTGTCAGAGAGGCTGATGGTCCAACTGGCAAGGTCGCTGTGAAGATTATCCTCAAAAAGAATGTCAAAGGAAATGAGCAGATGGTCTACGATGAACTGGAGATGTTGCAACGGATGAAGCACCCACATATCGTCAAATTTGTGGATTGGTTCGAGTCGCGAGTAAGCGCTGGGTACTTGAAGTTTCAGGACGAGGACTGACATAGCCAAGGACAAATACTACATCGTCACTCAGCTTGCTACTGGAGGAGAACTGTTCGATCGCATCTGCGAGCAAGGAAGATTTACGGAGAAAGATGCCTCTCAAACCATTCGACAGGTCTTAGAAGCTGTCGACTATCTACATGACAACAATGTTGTTCACAGAGGTGATTTTGCTTCAAAGATACTTCTCGTCAGTCTCGTGACTAACATCAAATAGATCTGAAGCCCGAGAACCTGCTCTACCTCACCTCTGCTCCTAATTCAGACCTTGTCCTTGCCGACTTCGGTATTGCCAAGATGCTCGACTCGAAAGACGAGGTACTCACCACAATGGCTGGCTCGTTCGGTTATGCCGCTCCTGAAGTTATGCTGAAGAAGGGCCACGGAAAGCCTGTCGATATGTGGTCTATGGGTGTCATCACATACACACTTCTCTGTGGCTATTCTCCATTCCGCAGCGAAAATCTCCAGGATCTCATCGAAGAATGCAGCAATGCGAGAGTTATCTTTCACGAGAGATACTGGAAGGACGTCAGTGATGATGCGAAGGATTTCATTGGTCATCTTTTACAACCTGATGCGGATGATAGATCCACTAGCAAGGTATGTTCGCAAAATCGACTGATTTAGAAATAATGCGTTTACTGACTGAATACACAGCAAGCTCTTCGTCACCCATGGCTGAGTGGCGAGAACGCAACTGACCACAACTTGCTGCCCGAAATCAGAGCCTACATGGCCAAAGCCCGTCTTCGTCGTGGCATTGAACTTGTCAAACTCGCCAATAGAATCGAAGCCCTTAAGATACACGAAGACGAATCTGATCAAGCTCCGGGCGAGTCTGATGTCCCGGCCGATGCCAAAGCAGCTGCTGGTGATGCATTAGCCAATCCTGCTGGACACAGCAGCACTGGACTTAGTACGAGCACGGCAGCAGGGAGTGCACCTGGCGGTAAGAAATCCCTTAGTAATATTGCGAAGGGCGCAATCTTCAGAGAAGTGGTTCTCGCAAAGGTTAGAGAGATGAAGGAGAGTGAGAAGCAGCTGCAGGTTGAGAAGGAGGCTACTGAAAATGCAAAACGGAAGAGCTTCCAGAGCGATAGATAGACTGAATTGTTGGGTTTTAAGGTTGTTTAAGTCGATACCCGGAAAGGGCTACCTGCGCTGCGTTGCTTTTACGTTAGTTAGCCTCTTTTATCATCAGTGCATAATGGGTCTTGAATCGCTCGCGTAGCTGGACGGATGGACCGGATTGAGCTTGACACTGGGACAAGTCTGGATGGGAATGGAAAATCATGAATATGCACCAAGAGCTTCTTTAATTGCCGTTGTAAATTGTGACGTTCTGGTATCATACTCGAAAGGACTACCTGACCACCAAACACCCATCCCTATTATGCCCCAACCCAATGAAAATTTGTACTGTTGAAAGTAGAAGAAACGCTAAGTACAAAAGCATCTAGCATACATAGGTATATTCATGCCATTCTGGCAGCCATCAATCTCATCTCGATCTGTTCTCGTGTCATCTGGTCATATCTCGTACAAAATGAAACTCATCACTTCTTCAATCCATCTCAACGCTCCCTAGCCTCCATTAGAGCCTTCTCACACAGCACCCTGTATCTCTCCCCATCAAACCTCTCTCTCTTCCACCCTGTCTCCTTCAGCCTCCTAATCCGCTCCCTCAACTCAACCTTCAACATCTCCTCTCTACTAACCCCGCTCATCGCTCCAAAACTCCGCTCTTCAGCATCGCTAAATTGCGTAGGCAAGTTGCTTCTCCTAGCCTTCCGAACTAAAGATAAATGCCCGATTTGCGAGTGGATGCTCGAGATATGGTACTCGAGCTGTATCGACAAATCTCGGAGGTGCGATTTATATCTCGCAATAGACTGCGTAAGGAGATAAATGGAAAGGCTCTGCGGTTCCTGCAGCTGTAAATCCTTGGTGCTGGTAATCGTAGGATCTGGTTGAGTGGGTGGAGCAGGGAAGGAATCTAGGAGCGAGGATTCGATCGCTGGGGGAGCTTCTTGTTCGGATTCATCTGAGGACATGGAGGTTGAGATGTCGATGGAAAAGGAGACTTTCTTCTTGCGGTTGGATGAGAGGCTGGAGAAGCTTGAGGAGGCGGATATGGTGCGTTTGTGAGTCGGGAGGGAGTTGTCGTCTGTTGGTGAGCTTACGACGGATGAGCGAGCTGAATTGGTGGGTGAGGAGAAGATGGAGTCGACTGAAGAGCGGACGCTGGAGGTGATGGATGCGTTGGAGTGGTGACTTGTGGCAGGTGTGTGGAAGGATACGTTGTCGACAGTGAATTGGGCTTTCTTGTAGAAGAAGAGTGATTCTTGGAATAGTGGAAGTTTGTTGCTGGAGTGGTTGTGGAGAGTACTAGCAGTCATTTCCAGGGAGCTGGCAGCGAAAAAGGAAAGGTAGATGGAGTACAGAGGATGTACTTGGTGCTACGCATGGTTAGTACATTGAGCTTGATATCAAGTCAAGCCACTTACAGGATCCTTAACATTGTCCAGAATCTGTTTGCATCGCACCGCACAGTGCTTGTACTGTCCCTTCGAATATAGGATTTTGACCTCCTCCATGACTTTCTTCCACTCCTCTGGGGTATAGGGCAATATTGTCAAATCGCTGACAGGACCGGGTCGTGCTTTTCTTGACGCTTTCGAAGATTTTGGAGATTCTGGCATAAACGAAGGGATTGATGAGAACTTTGACAGAAAGGAGGGTGATGATGGCGGAGTTGTACGTGGCTTTGTAGCAGGACCGTTCTCGAGTTTGAGAGGAATTAACCGGTCCATATTGTTAGATTGTTTCGATTCTTGTTTGTCGGTAAGGTCAATGGTATTGTCACTTTCTTCGTTTGTAGCAGCTACCCGAATGTCTCGCAAGGGTAGATCTGCAGATTTCCGTGATGTGCGGGAAGATCGAGAGGATACTGAAGAATGACGACTTGGGGACTTTGCGTTTGTACAAATTTCAGCAAGAGGCGAGGAGCAATTTGGAAAGAGAGAATACTGGGAGGAACGACGACGGCTCGACATGGCTGCGGTGGATGAGAAAACGAATTATACAGCACACGCGGGTAATTAGACAGTTCCGACGAGATCGAAAACAGAGCAGAAACATAAAGCCTTCTGAATGCATCCAGGAGTTATAAGAGAAGAAGAAGCAACTAATGTCCCAGCTTCGGTTCGTTGGTCTCTTACCCACCAGCCCCCTCAATGCGCGCAATGCTCACTCGAGCGTGCATTCAGCATTCAGACTTGTTATCATACCCTGGCTACATACCGGTACATGGGAAATGAACAAGGGAGCAAAGACCCCTCCAGAGGCATGAAATGAGCCATAGGAGCTCATCTCGCAGAAAATTTCTGTGGGAGATCGGCCAGGTGTGGAGGTGAACGCAAAGCTGCTTGAGTCGTGGGTGGAGAGAAACAAAACATTCGAGCCAGTGCAACGAGGTGCATGGATGTGGTGAACCTCCCTGCTCGCTTTCTCGAGCTGCCAGTCAGCACGAACCGCTTCTCCTGCTTCTCAACGTCTGAGGACCATCTGTGCGCAATGTCGATGCCACCAACCGGCCGCCGTTTCTCTCCGCACCGTCACCAATTGCCCGAGGCGCAGCTGTGAAGAGTTGTGGTCCAACGCCGTAGTAATGCGATGCGATGTCGAGTTTGGTGGGCAAGGTTCGTCCGAAGAGTTTGTGAACACGGACGGCACTGTTGTGCAGGGTGTGAAGATCCCCAAACGCCCAGCTTGCATAAAGCTGCCGGCCTGACACAGGAGCGGTGCGTTGTGCTTCTTCCTGTACCTCAACATATGTATAGTTTTGTTTTTATGAAATACGGAGGACAGCAAGTAGACAGGATGAGACAGCAGACGGCGGACAACAGACAACACAACGGAGGACAGCGGACCGTATCTCATCACTCGCCTACAGTACTCAATAGCAGATGTGAGTCGTGAGAGCCGAACTCTCTTCACTGGGGAATGTTTTGACGTGTTTTGGATCCTTCGTTTCCGCTGTTGAAGAAGTTGCGCCGTTCCAAGTCAGAGCGTTGAGACATATGTCTCTCGGTCCACTCGGCCAGCTTGGGCAGCTAACCTAACCAACCTCTCAGTGAGCCTCTCACAAGTCGAGAGTCAAGATCCTTCAAGAGGCAATGGAGAAGGATTCCTGCAAGCGGAAGGTGATTGAGGCAATAAAAATGCATGGACCACAGCTTCTGCCAGGAACTTCCCAACTCTCGTAGCCTCCAAGCTGTCAACATCCGAACTCCCCACTCACTCCGCTCTGCACTTCACTTAAGTACCGAATTGGTCTGTCGTCTGCACTTGTTCATGCAACTGCACTCATCCCTGGGCATGTACTCCAGTTTGTTTCCAGGTACAATTCATGTACTGCAGATTGTTCATCATGTATTGTAGATTGTGCGTACCAAATATCCACGGGACCCATAACATTACTCAATATTATTCTTCCAGATGAACATCATACAATCCGCATTGACGTGTGGGAAGATCTCGAAGATCACGAACGCCAAAAATACCCGTGCATAACATAATTCATCTCAAAAATCGGCCAAAGCAGAAGAGCGCAATTTTTTCTCCGTGATCACTTTCACATTGTCAATGCTCATGCACGTCTTATGAATTGTCGTATCATAATATATTAGACTTCACTATACTTCTATAGTATCTTCACTCCTGTGCCAGCGGCCTGCGACATCATGAAATGCTTCAGAGGACTCAAAGCATTCACCGCTCGCAACCCAATACTCCTTAGCGGTACCAGAGGTCCGCTTTCCGCAGCATATAGCTTGTGAAGCTTGTCGCAAACGCCAAGCAGTATATGATTAGCCGCATATCTGTCTGCATTGTAGGATTCCAATGACATCTGGACGCCAATATCCTGCCCATGATTGACAGAGTATTCGATAGTCTTTACCAGACTTTCGACATCTCCTTGTCCCTGATTTAGTCCCTGACCAGCTAGAGGATGTATTGTATGAGCAGCATCTCCAACAAGAGCCACTCTTTCCCCGATATAGGTATTAGCGTGTCGTAGCTTCAGGGGAAATGATGCAACACTTCCTTCCTGAACCCCTACTACCAGCTGAGGTATCCTTTGAGCATCGAAACCTGTATGTTGTGTTCGCCAAGCTACCTCCTCCGTCTGCCCCGAAGCTTGCGTGTGCAAGTATGCCAAATCCACCGGCGACAACCTGAAAGCGGCATTAACCATAGAGATGAAATCCCTAGGACTCAATGTCTTCAAATGAGTCGCCAATGCCGGAGTAGTTGACCAAACCAAAGTCGCATAGTTTCCTGGCATCGGTAGCATGGCCACTGGCCCCGTAGGCAAGAATCTTTGATATGCGGTCTTGACTTCCTCTCCTCCCCATCCGCTTCCCTCCAGCTCCAACGTTGCCACCACTCCATGTCTATCATAATCCCACCCCTTACTTCCAATGCCTGCAAATGCCCTGACAGGACTATTCGCACCGTCAGCGCCAACAAGTAATCTAGCAGCCAGTTCTCTTCCTCCACTTAGCTTCACAACCGGCCAACTGCTCAGATCTACATCCTCACTCTCTTCTCCAAACACAATATCTTCAACGCGCTGGTTGTCTAACATATCCACTCCTCCCATCTCGTCAATCCGCTTCAATAATCCAGAGGTGAGGTTCAAGTTCTCGTTCATATATGCAATCGTAGTCCCCGCCTTCTCAGCCGGCCAGTCGAACTCGATCCTCGCCCCCGTAACTCCATCCCAAACCTGCATCTCCTGATACGCCTGGACTCTATCTCTTTGAACATGTTTCCAAGCTCCTATACTGTCGAGGAAACGGAGCGAAGAAGGTGTGAGAGAGCTACATCTGTTTGAGAACTGAGTCGGTGGTAAAGAGAAAGGGCGTGTTTTGCTAAGGTCTTGAGATTCAACAAGGGCAACCTTCAGATTTACTGTTGTTGGGGAGGAACCTGGGATTGACGTTAGAAATGTCTCAGGCAGGGTTATGGAGGAGATAGGTACGCAGAGCTGCAAGCAGGCTGAGTCCAGCTGGACCGCCACCTACACAGACAACATCATAGATGTCCGGTGTTTGCACAGTGGTAGCATAGCTGCGTCGTTGCCGTCTCAAGGTACGGGAACAGCTATGGCAGACGTAGACACCGAGCTGGCGGAAGCGTAGAGCTTGTGCCATTGGGTTCATTGTCCCATTCATTTTCTGCTGTTGAACTCAAAGAAAACTGTAGGAAGTGGTTCGAGGGAGCTACTTCTGGAGCTTGGATAGAGCTTAATCGAGATCACGTGCTTTATTACAGGGGTCAGATTGAAGTAGGTGTACTTAATCAAGAGAGAGTCAAAGACTTTCACAGAGTTAGGCGTATTTGCAAGGAAAGGAACGCATGTTTATTGATTTCTATTTTGCTCACTAGCTATGTGCATCTATTCGTGTCAAATGTACTATCCTGGGTTCGCTCTAGAAAGCAGCGAGATGCCAGGAGAGAGAGCTTTGTGGCACTTCCTCAAGAACTGGCAATATGGATAAGCAGCAGCAACCAAGTCTTCAGAGGAAGTGTCATGAAGGTTCAGTTCTGGGAGATCCTATCCTGTCAATCCCCATAAGTCGGACCCCAAGTGAAACCATCCTGAACGCTAAATGATGCGATTTTGGCCTCCACGCTCCTCCGTGTAAATGCATGCAAAGTCAAAGTTGAAAGAATGATATAACACCGATGATCGTGTGAATCCTCTTCCCAGTGACGGTGGTGTATAGCGGCACTAGAAACGAAGAACTAAATCGACGATTGCTCAGAATTCCCAGTCATCCTCATCTTCAATTGATTCAATGGCCCAGGTGAACTTGTCTCGGAGCGTCTTGGAGAAAAATTTCTCGATGGGGACATTGAATTTCTTGGCAAAGACGACCGTGAGACGAGGATCGATGTAGTTCTGATATGGTTAGTTAAGGCCAGAGTAAGTAGGTGCATGTACTTACGATCTTACTCGTACCGAGCGCAACCTCCTTGTTGCCCTCTCGGTCTTCGGCCTGGAGTCTCATGGTGGCGATGCGCTCGTCAAGCTTCTTGATATTGGCCTCCAACTTTTCAACTGTTGGGCCTTTACCATCTGCTTCAATCTTCTTGGTCTTGTTCTCCTTCTTGAATTTCTTCTCCAAATCGTCTGCAACTCCAAGTCTTTCGGTAAGCTCCTTTGTTTTCATCTCCTTTTGTCCTTCAGTAACGAGCTTTTCGTTTTCCTTGGCGAATTTCTTCTCAATCTTCTCGCGCTCCTGCTTCACAAGGAAAGCTTGATGCTCGAGAATCCAAGCTTCGTCAAGATCGTCGTCCAATTCGAACCAATTGGCGCCCTTCTTCTTCTTCTGCTTAGGCTCAATGTCGAGGATCATTTGCTTGATGCGCCATTGTTGGTACTGAAGACCCTTGATCTGTGGGGGGCGTTAGAAGACGTGACAGAACATCCGAATTTCACTTACTCGGTCGGTCATCTTCTCCATAGCAGCTTCGTGACTGGCACCAACAGTACGCTTGTGATTACAGAGAATGGCAACCTTTCTATTGCAGTCATTGTAAAGTTTCACCTTCTCTTGCAAAGAAATATTGGTGTTCTGCAATTCCTTGAGAAGGGTCGACATCGTGAAGGAAGCATTGTAGGTACGGAAAACCTTGGCACTAAGACCAGGCATGTAATTGGTTAGATGCTTATTGAGTTGGGTAGTCTGGACACGTTAGAATACGTTTTCTGCCGGAGCATACTGCACTTACATTAAGACGATCGAAGATATCGTCACCCTCCTTCTTGGGGGCCTTCTTGAAGATTTTCAAGTTCTTGAAGACCTGCTCATCAACAACAACCTCGTCGTAGAATCTGATGCTGTCTTTTCCAAGGAAGTCGAAAATAACCGTATTCGGGGGTTTCAGAGTAACATGCTCGAACTTGAGAGAACAACAACCCACGGTTTCTGCTTCGTTTTCGGCGTCCTTCTCGTTCCCGGCACGCAAAGCGAATTTGTCAATCAAGTATACAGCTGTTGCTCGCTGACGATCGGCCATGAGCTCGGCACGGAGATCTCTCGTATAATCCTTTCGGATACGGTCAATGTGTTTCTTCAGTTCCCTGGCCTTCTCGAACTTCTTGAAGTCACTCTGACCCTTGATGCTGCTCTTGGCTGCAAGCATTACATACTTGTAGGCACCATTGATGTTCTCCTGCCACATTGCAAGCCAAGTAGCCTTGTTGTCGTGCTGGATCGCCTTCCATTTGTGACCTTCCGGGGCAGCTGGAACTGTAGCGTCCTTACCAATATTGATTGTGATTTGCTCGGGGGTAACTCTTCGTTTGACTTTTCCTGTCTTTGGATGTGCACCACGGCCTCGGAAGAGTCCGGGAGGTTCGACTCGGAAGTTACCGACTTGCTCCTTACGACCATCCCAAATACAAGTAGTATATGGTGCTTCGATGGCGTCCTTGGCAGCCTTATCTGCCTTCTTCTCGGCGGACGATCGTGCTTTGCGCTCTTGGACTTTGCCATCATAGTAGGCGAAGATTGGCTTGAAGTCGAGCTTACTAAATTCCTTGATGGCAACCTTGTTTCCGTCAGGATCTCGGGCTCCACCAGTCTTCTTCACCTCTGCCGTGAAATCTTCAAAGAAGTTCTTCTGGAACGTAAGGTTCTCAACATTGAGCGTAGAACTCAACATAGCACCAAAGAAACCAGCTATCTCCTCGGCCTCGATGGACAGTGTCAACGGAACTCCATCATAGAGCAGCTTGACATTCTTTGGCAGTGGCTCATACTCTGGAGGGAAAACGACTCCGTTATGTTGAAGGGTGTCCCATTTGACACTGTCGTCTTCCTTCTTCGGCGCGTCCCACCAACGATAAACTTCATCCTCCTCTTCAACACTATCCTCTTTCTTGCCTTTGCCTTTCTTGGTTGGAGTTCCAGCAGGCTCGGCTTTGACCTTTCCGTTCGCCTTCTTAGCTGTGGCCTTCTTAGCCAATGGAGCATCAGAGTCAGATTCCTCCTTCTTGACGCCGTTGGCTCTCTTTGTAGCGGTACCGTTCGATTTTCGCTTGGCCTTAGGCTTGACTTCTTCCTCGCTGTCGGAGTCTTCTTTCTTGGCTTTCTTGGGGGCTGCTTTTTTGGCTTTGCTCTCCTTGGCGCGGATGGCTTTAGCTTCTTTCTCAGCCTTTTTCTCGATAGATGCCTTTGTCTTGGCAAGCTTCGCGGTCAAAGGCTCATCATCGTCATCTGAGGAGTCACCAATCGCAGTTTCGCTGGCTTTAGGGGGTAATTTTCCAGGCTTCTTCTTCGTGGCAAGGGGTTCATCATCGGAATCAGAGTCTGCGGGCTTCTGCGTGGTTCGTTGTCGTTTCGCCAAAGGTTCGTCATCACTTTCATCGGTATCGTCGTGGTACTTGACAGCTTTGGAGGTACTCGTGCGAGATTTGCGCTTTGCGTGACCATTCGTAGTTGGCGCGTCAACATCCATCTCGTCATCAATGACTGGGCCATTGCGGATACTGATGCCGGCAGGAAGATTTGACTTTGAGCTGCCAGCCTGATCCATCTTCTTGTCCGTCGCTTTGGAGATGTGGGCTTCGGAGACTGTTCAAATTGAAGTAAGCTTAGCACTCAGATACGGTGCTGATGATGAGGTCAAACGATGTGAAATTTTCGGCGCGTTGATCTTAAGAAAAGAGATTCTCGAGTTGCGCCTGAGGGAGGACCCGAGGCTAGGCCTGAGCAAAGAAAGTGGAAGACTCACCACGGCCGTTGCTCTTAGCCAAGGGCATATCGTCATCTGAGGAGTCTGACGCCATGATTGTGATCGGTGGCACAGTTGAAGTTGAGGAATTCGGGTGAATTTGTGTATGTGAGCTGAGACGTCGGATTGTCCACGTGTCGACGCGTTCTGGGAGGCCTTTAAGGCCCAGGAGTGGAGAAGTATGAAAGGAAATGAGATTCAGTCGGCGTAGTTCGAGTTTGTGCCTGAAGAGCGAGAGCAGGCGTCTTGACATACAAAAGAAAAAGAAGTGTAAAAGTCGGGTTGGGTTGCTCTTGTCGAGATTCCTGACTAGACGAGCCTAGCGCGGTTTTTACAAGCAGCCGCAAAACTCCGACCTTTTGATGTTCGGAAAGCAATCAACAATCCATTGATCCTCAATTGAACCTCGACGCAACTCGTGGTCACTTGAGTCTCATTTCGAAAAGGCTGCTTCTGTTCCCTTTGTTCACCAAGATGCTTTCGAGGGCTGCCAGACCAGCTTTGAGGGCAGGAGCTGCGGCTTCTAGCCAAAGTGCTGCTCCACGAACATACGCCAGTAAGCTCAGGAAGCTCCCCAAGTCATTGACGATGAATCTGACATCCCCGCGGCCCTTAGAGAAATCGAGCAGCGTCTCAAGTCCATCCGCAACATCGAGAAGATCACGAACAGTGAGTGATCCAGACTTTGGGCCCTGCCGAATCTCCAAACTTCTAAAAGAAGGTCAAAATATACTAACTTACAATCCGCATAGCTATGAAAGTTGTCGCTTCAGTACGATCTAACTGACTTCCCCACCCAATATGGCATTAACAGTGTGCAGACCAAATTGAACCGCGCCCAACGTGCCATGACCGAATCACGACAATACGGACAGACATCCAACACCGTCTTCGAACAAGCCGAGACCAAGCCGCTTGAGGGAGATGGGAAGAAGACCTTGATCATTGTGGCAAGCTCTGATAAGGGTCTCTGTGGTGGTATCCACTCTGGATTGAGCAAGCGTGTCCGCAGAATGCTTGCCGAGACACCAGATGCCGACATCGTTGTATTGGGTGAGAAGTGCAAGGCGCAACTGGGTCGTTCAAGCAGCAGGAACATTGTTCTGAGCTTCTCTGGCGTTGGAAAGGACATCCCCACCTTCGCAGATGCTCAAGCCATCGCCGACCAGGTTTCTCTCCTACCTACCGACTATGCCTCAATCCAGATTGTCTACAACAAATTCATCAATGCCACCAGTTACGAGGCAACACCTATCGAGGCGTTCTCAGAGGAAGCTATTGCCAACTCTCGTAAAGTTCCTTTATCATATACTCTGAACTCATGCTGATGATAGTCGTAGCCAACTTTTCTGCCTTCGAGATTGATGATGAGGCCTTGGCCAATCTCCGTGAATACGCATTGTCCAACTCCCTTTTCTGGGCTCTTGCTGAAGGCCACGCCTGTGAGCAATCTGCTCGCCGGAATGCCATGGATGTATGTTTTGCTTCATTGAATTACATATTTTCGACATACTGACGTTTCCTAGAACGCTTCCAAGAACGCTGGAGACATGATCACCAAATACCAAATTCTGTTCAACCGAACTCGTCAAGCCGTTATTACTGGTGAATTGGTTGAGATTATCACGGGTGCCGCAGCGTCAGAAGAGTAAGGGAATCTGTGCATATGTAGTCTAGAGAACTGCTGGTCTTCGTTAGGCCTGGTAGAATCGATTTCCTTCTGTACCAATGAATAAAGATATTGCATCGAGCTGAAGGTTCAAGTCCACCATATTATTCGTTATCTAATCACAGAAGTTGTCATTTCTTGAAGCGAAGTACACACCAGGTTTGAATATTTTGCTAGTTTCAAGGGGCAAGTATATTTTCAAAGCAACGAGAACCCTTGATTATGCAATGATCAGCTAGTTCACAACATGTTCACCAGGCAACAAAGCGGCATTCATCTGCGACACCATCCCCGCAAATCGGCTTCTGAAGGGGTCTCCTCTTCGATGGCGCCAAGAACACGAGACAACCGTTGTCACTTCTTCCTCTACAAGCCCTCTTCTCATCATCCCTTCGACTCCCCTGATAGCTCCCACCTCCCCACAGGGCTCGGGAATCCATGCCATATGTCTGTGTATCCCTCCTGGTAGATGTGCTAACGACCACTCTTCGGGCTTCACGTCTTCAAGAGCACAAGCACGGATGATGTGCCAATCGTTCGGAAATGGAGATACCGGGGACGAACCGAGGATAGCGAGAACTCCTTCGCCATTGACCTGGAGTTGAGGTGCTGAGCAGAATGGACAATTGAATGACAACGAGATCGGAATCGTCCTTGGTATAATACTCGAATCTGATGGCTGAGCTTGAGAAGGTGTGGTATACAGCATGGAACCGAGGCCGATGTGGCCACAAGTGTGGTAGAATCTGTATTGAAGAGGCACGTTGTCCATAGGGAGGAGATGGTATGAATTTTTTTGAGCGTGTCACACGTTCTTGATATAGTACGCTGCTAACAGTGAATTAGAACGTGAATCACGACACTGAGTCATTCCACAGCGTATTCTGAGATCTATACCTGCTCTGATCTCTGGTTTTGATAGCTGCATAACGTGCAACTATGCTTCTCAAAGACGCTCAGTTTCCTCTTCTGCTGAGTCTCAAGCATCCACAACTCTCCATTGTTCGAAATCTCGTGCCTCTAAGTTTCTAGCAATCAACAAGCCATACCAAATAATGATGAAAGACTCGTAAAAGACAACCTCATGTCTGTCAAAGATGCATTATCTTCCCATTATCGACCCCGACTCTTTATTCCAGCATCACCTTGGCACTTTCGACCTTTGGCTTTTCTGTCTTCTACTGTGTTCTTTGGTACTCGTTCTCCCTCTTGCTTGGTCTTCCAGTGTTCCGTATTTAATGCTTCCTTCTTTGCTGACCAAAGGACTTTCACCCACTCGATGACAGCTGACAACTGACTCAAGTGTTAGAGTAGATGCTTAGATGCTATGTTGAAATCAGGGAAACACTTTCATATGGACAGAGCTTTGTAGGTTGGTTTTCCCCCTAGCTTACCTGAAGCAACAAAAATGAATCCCCCTTTGTAATCATCAAAGTGCTTCCACCCATCCAGAAGCAACCAGAGCACTCTGAATTCTTCAATTATTGGACACCATCACTTCCTGACTTGATGTTTTGTTCAAAAGCTTCTATGCTCTTGTTTGTCAATAGCCCCGACATTCACTTCTTTGTCTTTGGACAATTACTACTTCCAGAATAATGTCTTCGCCAACTATTTTCACTTTTCCATCTTCCCATCCCCAGACGCTTGCTCCTTCGATTCTGGGACACATCGTCGCTTGCTGTCTCAAGTAGTTTATTCTCCTGCCTTTAACATCTAGCTTATCATCAAAGATGTGGTCGGCTCCTGCTAATCGCACTTACTAGCAGCCTCTTGTGAACTTGCAAGCAAACGAGCGAGCTATTTGAAAACGCTCCAAGAGTTTAACATCCTTCTCCTCTTCTCAACTACAGTCAAGTCTTCAAGATCCTGGGGACATTGGTTCTTCCAATAGCACTTACTTGTAGTCCTGCTCCTGGTATGCAATTGAACAAGTAAATTATCTAAGATCACGATGAGACTTCAATAAACTTCTTCTCATCTCAACCACAACCAAGACTTAAGCATCCTAAGGACATCGCTCCTCCCAAATCCCACTTACTTGCGGCCTTGTGTGAGCAAAAAAGCTATCTAAGAACGCTTTGAGATTCTAACGCCCTTATTCTTTTGTCAACCACACCAAGAAGGACATCGCTCCGTCCAATAGCACTTGCAAGCTCCTCCAGCAACCAAGCGAGTAATCAAGCGAACAAGCAAAGTATTTGAAAACGCTGCCACACTTCAACATCTTCCCATCTCAATCACAACCACGACTTAGTGTCCATTCACTGTTTCTAATAATACTTACGTACAGTCTCACTTCTAGTGAGCAAGTAAATAAGCAAATGAGCCAATGAAAATTGTTCTAAGACTTCAACAGCTTTCTTCTCATCCCGTCCACAGCCAAGACTAAATGATCCCTTCGCTCCTCCCAATGAAACTTATTTGCCGTCTCACTTCTAGCAAGTAAGTAAATCATCGAACGTACTCTTAAGAACACTCTGAGATCTCAACAATTTTCTTCTCCTCTCAACCACATTTACGTCTTAAAGAACCCGAAGCTGTACCCAAGCAATAGATTCACCGACTTTAACGGTACCATCTCGTTGTTACATAACATGTCCCTTCACTCCTGCTTGTAGCTTCGTCTGAAGGCTTGCTCGAATCATCTATTGAAAGCCCTTTAACTGCCAAATCCTTTCCTTCCTTCTTTGACGGTACCGACTCCGTATTAACTGGCATAAACATTCACTCTTTCCACTAGCTTCGTCTGGAGGCTTGCTCAAAGTACCTATTTAAAGCCCTTGCGACCTCCAGATTCTTTCTTTCTTTCTCCACCACCACATCACAAAACAACTTCAACCGCAGCCAACAAACAGTCTTACCACTTACATTCCAAATTGCGTCCACAATATCTTATTCACAGTGCGTCATATCTATCATTATTCCCAGTCCTCTTTGCGTTCCATCTTGCGCTCCACCTCCCAATATCTTCTATCACAACCGCAACATCAACATTTGGAGCCTTACATTCTATTCGCAGGCCGTGTCAGAGCTTGATAGCTTTGACTCGAGTTCGGACGTAGCCGGAATCGCATCAGTACAGTTCACCAAAGCAATTCAATCCTGACGCCCTAATATCTCCGGTTCGACTTCAATCGTACCTGAATCGCACCACTACCACAGTCCTGACATCCCGATAACTTCGATTCGAGTTCAGTCACTACCTGGAATCACATCATAACAACTCATTAAAGCAGTCTAATTCTGATACCCCAATATTTTCGGTTCGATATCAGACGTACCAGGAATTACATCAGTACCACAATCCCGGCGCCTTCATAACTTCGATTCGAGCGATTCATGCGATTCGAGCGCTTCGAGTTCAGTCAACACCTGGAACTACACCAGAACAACTCATCAAAGCAGTCTAATTCTGATACCCCAATAATTTCGGTTCGATTTCGGACGTGCTCTGAATAGGGCTTCTGATCCTTCCAGACTATCTCAACATTTGACAACATCGGCTTGAGTTCGGAACAACTGAAATTACAACCTGGCAACATACCATCTCAAGCCTGACAACTTGAATTCGAGATCGGATCATACTTTCGAACAGAAGATATTTCCAGGTCGACTCATTAACAGCTTCGATTCGAGTTCAGATATTCTTGGAATCATCATACTCCAACTTTTCCAAGCATCTCCGACCTTGACGTTCTATTCCCAGATCACCCCCAAATTCGATAACTTCGATTCGAGTTTGGACATTCCCAAACTTGTCTCACTACGACCTTGATAAACTCCTCCCAGGAACAATAGCGAACGTAGCATACCAATCTTGCTTGCTTATCTTATTGCCATCTCAGATACACAACGGACACTATTTGTCATTGCAACGCAGTCAACACATTGATTATCAGCAAACAAGAGAACGTCATCCTTGATCTTTCGCGAAACTTTTCCAACCTTGTGCGTCTTTCATCATCGGTGCCTCAATACAAAGGTTCATTACCTTCCAGAACATTTGCCACAGACAAGAAAATCCGTCCATCGCCCAAAAGAATCCTCCAGATACTTCATACGTCTGCCATAAATTACAATAGCGAGCCAGAGCAGCAATCAGAACTCAGAACAAGCTAGCATTTGGCAACTTTGACTGGTACGAGCTGAAGATTTATTGGTCATTCTTCTTCTTGTTCCTTTGGTTCTTCGTTCAACCAAGCTAATAATGATCTAGTGAAGATCTCTGACCGCACTTGTCGGTACTTCTCATCATTCGAGCAAGACATAACTTCAAAGTAAGTGAAACATTTTCGTTCTGAAAGCGACCGAAGACAAGAGCATTTGGCATGCAGAAGTAGCTGCATCGATTTTGAGCCACATAACATGGTGATAGCGGAAGTGGTGAAAAATAGCGTGCGGAAGATCCTTCACAGCTATTTGCACCGCAAGAAACAGCCTTCGAAACAACCATTGTATCTATTCACATAGCACGACAATAGCGTGTGAATCGACCGTCGCAGCTATTTGCCCAGGCAGCGGTACAATAGCGTGTTGTCCAACCGTCGCAGCTATTTGGCCAGTCCGCCATACGGCAACCAACCGTCGCAGTTATTTACCCAGCCAGCAATACAATAGCATCTAGCATTGTTGATCAACTACACCCGTCGCTATTCTTTTCGCAAACGCAATAGCGTGTGGTCGAAAGTGTAGCTGGCTTGCCCGTTCTTCCCAAGACCTTCGCCTTGTTCGTTATACGCATAGTGTGCGAGGTTGTGTGCTGAGTTCGCTACAGGCGCATAGGATTCAGATGGCAATTTGCTGTGTTGTTCAACTCGCAAGACAAAATGCCTTGTTTGCTATTTGCCTTTGCAAGATTTTACACATGTTGCTATGCTTAGTGTCGAAGACACTCCATCCTCTGTTTGCAAGCTGCTCAGAGCATGGTCATCATTTTTTTTCTTCGTGGTCAAGACTGGCACGAATGACTACAAGGCACTTGCCTTGAAGAATAAACGCTAATCACGTGTCATAGATTTACCCGAGCCCCTATCAAGCAATACTTCAACAACCATCAACATGTGTGTCAAGGAGTTCTTAGGCTACAACTGTGGCCATTGCTCTATCCCTTATCTCAGACAATGTCCTTTGACGGAGTCTAACGAAATGTATCCTCCATGCAAGTTCCCTGCTGAGCGACCAATTTTTACCAATGAAAATTGCCACGCTTGTGCACGTGTTCTATGGAATAAGAAGGTATTGGACGAGGAAGCCAAGCACCGAGAGCTCCACGAGAACGGCTTGTGTCAATGTGAGGTCATCTTTGACTCTGAGGAGCGTGGCCGTCGCATGAGACCTCGTGGAGCAAAGGGCAAGGGAAAGCTCAGAGAGCTAGTTGGTGGAAACACTCATGGCCACGATTATGATATCTCTTCTACCGGTGAGGGCAGCGGCACTGGCTACCAAGGCCGATACCGTGGTGGAGATAGATCCGTCAAGCAAGACAACAAGCATGCGATCGGGGGTGAGTCAAGCCGGCAAGATCAAGCATGGGAGGCTAAGTTGGCAGCATACGAGTACGTTGGCTACTTCACTGGAATTGACAGCCAAGGAGGCGCACTGGCGCATGTGGAGCAAGGCTACGGCTTTCCTGAAGGAGGATATGTGCGCAAGGAACAGCTGTGGGAGGGACAACTTCTGATGGGACAACCTGGATCAGGCATGAAGTGGTATCCGGAGCAAGGACCACCGACCCTACCAACACTGCCGGCTCTACCACCTCTTCCTTCCTCAATGCCATTCGCTGGCAGAGCACCAAGAACCTGGCAGAGAGCATCTTCTGAACCAACTGAGGGCAACTATCGGGCTTCTCCACGAGTTGTCTTGGCGGAGCTGGCAGAAATGAGCGAACCAACAGAGAATCCTGTGGCAGAGCAAGCAGCAGAGGAATTTTCAGGTCCTGTTGTTGTTAGCAGTGAGATGGCAAATTCTGCGACGAAGTAATCGGGCACTGGTAAGTGAAATCACAGAGTCCCGGGATTTTAGTTTGAGGTGTGCTGGCATTGCTAACTCAGCCACTAAGACTTTGTACAAACAAAAGAAGATGCACCGCTTGAATGACAAATGTACAACACCAACTCTCCACTCAATTTTCATCGATCGACCTCACCAAACACTGCAATTATGGTCAGCCGCTATGCCACAAAGTGGATTGAAATTACTCACCCAAGTCCATCGTTCCGATAATTGCCACGGCATCAGCGAGCAAGTGTCCTCTTGAGATTTGGTCAAACCCTCCGAGATGGGCAAAACCTGGAGCCCGGATCTTGCATCTGTAAGGCCTCTCACTCCCATCACTAACAACGAAAACTCCCATCTCTCCCTTGGGAGCTTCAATTGCTGAATATGTTTCTCCAGGTGGCACAGTATATCCCTTGGTGAAGAGTAAGAAATGGTGGATCAAGGCCTCCATGTTCTCCTTCATCGCTGCTCGAGGAGGTGGCGAGATTTTATAATCTTCGACTCGAATCGGACCAGCAGGCATCTTATTCAGGCACTGGTGGATGATCCGGAGGGATTGCCGAAATTCTTCCATCCGACACAAGTATCGATCATAGCAGTCACCATTCACTCCAACGGGTACATCGAAATCAACCTCTCCATACGCATCGTATGGTTGGCTTTTTCTAACGTCCCATGGAACACCAGAGCCTCTCAGCATAACCCCAGTAAACGAATAATTCAAGGCATCAGCCGCCGAGACAACCCCTACTCCCTTCGTCCTGCCAATCCAGATTCGATTATCGGTCAACAACTCTTCGGTCTCATCAATGCGGTCACTGAATTGGGTAGCCCATTGATAAATGTCGTCGAGAAGTCCGACGGGTAAGTCTTGGTGCACTCCTCCAGGACGGACATATGCAGCATGGAGGCGGGCCCCTGAAACTCTTTCATAGAATTCCTGCGCGAAGTTTAGCATTACTACAGCAAATACAAACATATTTACTCACCATAAGCTTTTCACGTTCTTCAAAACCCCATAAGAAAGGAGTAAGTGCACCAACATCCATTGCATGAGACAAGATAGACATGAGATGGTTAAGGATTCGCGTGATTTCACCAAACAACGTCCTAATCCACTTTGCCCGCTCTGGAATCTCAATATTCAGGAGCTTTTCTACTGCCAGTGAGAAGCATTGCTCATTGGTCATCATAGAGACGTAGTCCAGTCGGTCGAAATATGGCAATGCCTGAAGATATGTCTTGTACTCAATTAATTTTTCAGTGCCACGATGTAGCAATCCCACATGAGGATCTGATCGCACGATTTCCTCTCCATTGAGCTCCAGGATCAACCGCAACACACCGTGAGCAGCAGGATGTTGTGGACCGAAGTTCACAGTGTAGTGTCTGATCTTCCTATTCTCAACCGCCTCGCCGTCCAAATTCGAGTCGGGGGTTACATTCAGATGCTGAGGGTCTTCGGGGTTGGTGGGATGGGCGAAGTGCTCGTCGGTGGGGATGAGTCTCGTACCAGCATATTCCTCTGCATATCGTCTCGAAGGTACAGCAGAGAAAGCTCGAACTGAAGCTCGTGGCGCAGAGGCTTTTGGGAGTGCAGGTCGCAGGCAGAGGCGTTTGGCATTGCGGCCGGCCAGCCGGGTGAGTGAAGCTGCCATCGTGATGATGAGGTCTAGGGGAGATTGGTGATTGTGACCAGACCTCAAGGTTCGACAATTGATTTGAGGAGGGGAGATTGAACCTGAACGATTGAGCTTCAATCGATGACCTTGAGATAGAAATAAGGTTCTAGCTAGTGGCTGCAGGCCGACTAAAATTGACAGGGGTCAACTTGAGCATCGAAAAATTGTTTTGCGACGCAGACCCCGCCATACAAAATCAACACCATAGAAAATGGCTCCCTACCAAGCTCCCTCCCAACCCTCGCAGGAGCAGCTGGAGCGCCGACGAGTATGTAACAGGGTCTGTTTATTTTCTGTAGTTTCTAACATTATTTCCAGTTAGTTGGTGTCAACGCAGAAACTGTTACAGACGTTTCTTCCGTTGATTTCCCCGGTCACTATCCAGGCGAAGACCATTCTTGGGATGCTGCGAAGTTCAGAGACAATTTCCAGGTCAAATTCTACCAAAATGATCCTCTCGAATCCTCCTTCTCCCTTATTGGGTTAGATGCCTCCGTCGCCAACGCTTTCAGGCGCATTCTTCTATCTGAGATCTGGACTTTGGCGATTGAATACGTCTTCGTATACAACAATACCTCCATAATCCAAGACGAAGTCCTGGCGCAGCGGTTAGGCCTGATTCCATTCAAGGGCAACAAAAAAGGGCTGCGGGACTTCCTGCGGCCTTACCACAAGCCGGAGGAAGGGTCTGGGGAGAAAATCGAGGGATACGATTACAATACGATCATTCTAGCATTGAAAATCGAATGCACGCGCAACGACCAAGCAGCAAGAGGAGAGACGAACCCGCACAAGGCATACCATAACGCACACGTCTATGCAAAGGATATCGTGTTCAAGCCTTACGGTGAACAGACAAAATACTTCTCCGGAGAAGGTGCAATCCAGCCTACGAATCCGGATATCTTGATTGCCAAGATGCGTCCAGGTCAGTGTATCGACGTAGAGATGCATGCTGTCATGGGCATCGGGAGCGATCACGCCAAATTCTCACCGGTTGCTACCGCTTCATACCGTTTACTACCATCGATACAGATCCTGAAGCCAATCATCGGAAAGGATGCAAAGAAGTTTGCGGCGTGCTTTCCTCAAGGTGTGATCGACTTGGAACCAGTGACCAAGAAGGACGCTTCGAAGAAAGGCAGTGGATTTGAGGGACACGAGGGAGAGATGAAGGCGGTTGTCAAAGACGCCATGAAGGATACTGTCAGCAGAGAGTGCTTACGGCATAAGGAATTCGAGGGCAAGGTCAAGCTGGGAAGAGTCCGCGATCATTTCATATTCTCTATTGAAAGCTTGGGGCAATTCGACAGTGAGGAGCTCTTCATTGAGTCGATACAGGTTTTGAGGAAGAAATGTTTAGCACTGAAGGAGAACTTGTCAAATATGGTACGATAGATCACGCGTCACAAGCATTGCAGGAGTTGGGGGCAGGCGTTGGATGGCTTCCTTGATGCTATCTAGAGATAAGACCAGGCTCTCTTAGAGTCTGAAAGCCTGAATCAAAAATGGCCACTTTCATAATTCGTGTCTTCATGATATCATATGCAAGTGTCTTCTATGCCAGAAACCATCGCCTCATGATACTGAGAATGCTACTGGTTAGCTACCATCCGTACCAAAGGGTCATTTAGCATGGCCGTTCGTCTCCGCCTTGACAAACTCGCTTGTAAACTTCAACCTGAACTTGAAATCGACTCTGCCTAGTGAAGGATCGGTGACTCCTATTTCATCCCCATTTCCAACCAGATCTCCCACCTTCTTTTCCAGATTTGGTGCTGTTTGCAATCTCAAGCTTTCTGGACTCTGCATGTAGAGAGTTCGGCCTTCTGCCCTGATAGATGGCTTCTTCAGCTGTGCTTCTGGTCTTGCTGCCAACGATTCAATGAATTCTTGTAATGTCAGGTTGGGGTCCACATCGAGGTTCTTCGCCATATTCCCACACACAGGACAGTCATCTTTTTTCTCGTGCTTGAACGTGTATGTATAGATACTGTCGTTCCCACTGTACATCATGTAGTTCTCTTCTCCTCCTAGTGCTGGATTGGCGTTGGTGGCGATCTTGAATGCTTCGTTGCAACAACTTGCGGCAATAATGGCATTTGTCGATGCAATAGCCGGAATGATGTTCTTGACAACGCCTTGCGTAAGCGAGTAGGTGACACCAGTGATATTGAATTCAGCGGCCCGAGCCAAAGCCTTCTTGTATAGCCAGGTGATATGCTCCGGATCATCGTTGTCGAGCTTTGGAAATGGCTTCTCTTGCTCCCATGCCATGATATGTGCCCATTCGATACAGTGCTCAGGTTGCCGCGGAATAGTAGCCAGCGTGCAAAGAGGGACAGCAGCGCGTGGAGCATGCATGTCGAGCTGACACTCTATACAAGATGTCATGGTAGGGTAGATAACCCGTGACTGGCCCTTGAAACCTGATGCATGCTTAGCTGCGGCTTCCTAGTTGCTTTAGGTCAGAACACATACCCTCAGTACCTCCATCAATCAATGGCTTGAAGCTATCTGGGTTGTTCATATCGACCAAATCGACAAGCGTAGAGTTGATCCATCTCCTAGCTTCGATGCTGTCCAAACCACAGATAACGAGTGTAAACTGCATGTAGAAATCCTCGTCTTTGTCTTGTATCTTGCAATTATGCGGCGTGATGGAGACACCCTTGACTCTCTTCTCTACGAATTTTGCTGCCACCTCTGCTTTGGACTCGCCGACATCGCTTTGGCGGAAGAGAAACTGTCGGTTGAGATTGGAAACGTCGATGGTATCTGTATATCTTGCGTAAGCCCAGCCAAGCCCAACGCGTCAATGGAAGATAGACTTACCCATATCAATGACATGTATCTTCTTGAAGCCGGAAAGAGCTAGGTTCTTGAGTATTTCGCATCCAAGACCTCCTGCACCACTACCTACTGTCAGCAGGTTCAATCTCTCCTCATTATGTCCAGGCAACCAACATAACTCTGCGTAGAATGTTAGCAAGTCTTCCAGAACAGGAAGTTCCAGACTTACAATACATTTATCTGCTCCATATTCGTTGCGGCGGCTTCGCTCGCATCAAATACATCGGGATCTGTGAAAGGACCGCTGTTCCTGCGGACATTATCGAGGTATTGCCTGGGAAAGGTCAGTTTGAAGGCAGATTCTGAAGTAAGAGATTTGCGACATACCATCGGGTGGCCATTGTTGACGAAGGTGCAAGTATTGTGCCAGACACCATGACTGGTTGTGACATCTTGAGGAAGCATAAACATACAACAGCTTAAGAGGGGAGTATCGAAGTTTAAAAGCGAAGGCAGCCTTATCGTTATCTGCCTGCATGACTAGCGCCTCACGAACACTAGGTAACTGTACCTATCTTCTTCTTGAATCACAAAGAAGCCTTCCGAACACATCTGAGTTGCAAAGTTTGGTTCTGATGTAGGCATGGATAGTCTACTCACTCCTGTGAGTACTTCTTACAAGAACCAGGAACAAAACCCCCCCGATGCTTTAGTCGAAGTTTTCAAGCCAGTCGCAAAGTCGCAAGCTCCTTCTCAAGTAGGAACACCGGTTGAAGCTTTGGAGATACTGCGGAATGAGCCCGACTATGAAACGTTAGTCTTAACGTTAAATTATCTGGATGAAAATACTGAAGGGTTTGTTGTCACATCTCCGAGTCCACTTGCAGCTCAGATAGTCAATGCCCTGGTCTCAGATGTCGTTCCTACTTACTGGGTCATCTTCCACGAGCCACGCAAGGCAAAGAGCTCAGAAGTCGCACCAAGAGGGAAGCTGAAGTCTTCATCCGAGCTCGAGCTTCTCCTGTCCTGTCTTCGGAGTGTGACAGGTTTGAACGCAATCTTGCTACGGTTGAAGCAACATATCCAGGAAGCCAAGGCTCGCAAGAAGGAAGTTGGCGGGCATAATGTTCAAGACAGCTTGAGCATACTGGTTCAACTTCTACAAGCTCTTCTCCAAGGTTCCAAGACGGTCTATATGTTTTGGATGCAAATTTGTAAAAGCAGTGATGCGGTTGCAAAGCAGAAAGCCGTGTGGAATGAGCTCCTAAGTGCAATAGCAGGGGGCAAACTTTTAGGCATTGCTGCTGAAGCCGAAGATGTTATCAACGACCTGAGTAAAAGTGTCCAGGAGAGGAGCTGGGCAGCAGATGGCAAGCAATATGGCCTCTGGCTTGCTCAAAACATTTCTTACTGGGCAAAGAAAGCATCTCCAACATCTGAAAACGGATGGAGCAATTGTGGAGAGTTGTTGGGGAAATCACTGCGTCTAGGATACTCAGGTAAGAACAAGTGGCATATTCGGTGAAATCAGTACTAACAGAAGTCCAGACACTATCGTCAAGGAGCTTCTGACTTCACTGGCACTCGGCGACGCTAAATACCAACCTCACCTTGAGAAACTACTAGAAAGCCTCTCCAACATCGAACAACGGAATGTACTTTACACGGTCTTGAATCTTCTTTCCCGAGACTATCTATCAGCGGCCATTCCCACTGAGGATAACTCAGAGTGGTGGCAATCAGATTCGAGGGCAATCTCCGCAGCCGCAGGTCTGATTACTGCGGTAATCGCCAAGGCAGAAACCAGGAAAGCCAACCTGGTTTCTTGGTTAACCAATTCCTCTGGAGCTGGCGTTGGAGAAGGGATTGCTATTCGTCGTGCTGCCTTGGTAACCATAGCTGAGAGCAAGTCTGATGTAGAATCAGTATTTGACAAAAGTCTTTCCCAGTTTGGTAACAAATTGTATATCAAACATACTCCCACATTACAACAAGAAGGTGGGTCTCCATATTGTAGCTACCATCTGTAGATACTAATGCATCGTAGTTCATGCTCAAGTTCTTTTGCTGGCAGCTGGCTATGTCCACCGAACGGCACCGCTGCGTCTCACAATGATGATGAGATCGGGCAGCCATCTTGGCGTAGTCTCAAATAGACTTGCTGCATCATCTCCTCGTGCCAGGTTTCTTGGCATGGTTGTGGGTGAAGCTCTTTCCAGCCTTGTAGACAAGGGAGACAAGCGAATGGATTTCAAAATTGATGAGATGACCACTTCAGAAGCGAAATGGTTCAAAAGCTTGGTCCATGTTAAGGATATGATAGGACCCATTCAGGGTCTGATAGATGGATCCTTGACGAAGACATCTACGCCCAAAAAGGCTCAAGCTCACAAACCAACATCGAAGCCGACATCAGCGCCTACAGGATCCAAGATTGTTGCGATTGAAGAGATCGAAGACGATGACGACGATGAGGAACAGGAGTCAGATGACGATGGCTTGGTACCATATCAGAAACTAGATTCCGATGTTGAGGATTCGGACGAAGATGCGACCCTAGTTACTCGTAACAAGCCTACAGCCCCAGTCTATGTCCGTGATTTGATCACATACTTACGAGACACGGAAAACTACGACCGACAGAAACTAGCTTTATCAACAGCAGCACCACTGATCCGACGGAAAGCCAACTTTGGTACAGAAGTCTCGTCTCACGCCCAAGAATTAGCTACACTACTCCTAGGCCTTCAAGATAAGTATGAGATTGAAAATTTCCAAGACATGAGAATACAAGGCATGATTGCCATTCTCATCGCCTTACCTCTCAAGATGGGACAATGGTACTCTAAGACCTTCTTCGATGGCGACTACTCTCTCTCTCAGAGAGCCTCCGTACTCACTACCCTAGGCCTTGGCGCTCGCGAACTAGGAGGTTTCGGTTCGGAAGATGAAGCTCTCACCGCTACTTCCAAAGCTATTCCCAATGCCTCATTTCCGTCCAAGACTCTCCCAGCAAGCATGCACAAAATCTACGCCGCTCCTTCACCCACACACAAAGGACCCCCGTCTGCACTCGACTCTCTATCAACACAACTCACCAACACGATGATAGCACCCATGGCCGCCACCCTAGCAGACAAAATAACCGGTCCCTCCATTCTCAAAATTCGCACCTTCAGCTCGCGTATGGCGGTCGAGAAGAAACGGAAGAAGCCCATCGCCAACAGCCTCGCCAAAGTGGTCGCAGATGGGTTCTTCTTCCCTCTGACCGGGCGCTTCTTCATTTACCTCAAAGCTTATGGATCATCAAGTTCAAACGTCATATTCCAGCCTTATCTCCTTTCTTTGTTCATCAAGACGTTATCGTTACTGTTACATGCTAGTGGACCGAATACGTTGAGCCTACCACAGATGACGGCTGAGTTCTGGGATTTGTTGCTGGGGCTGAGGATGCAGGGTGTGGGAGATATTGTGGTTATGGAGGCGTTGTTGTTTGGGTTCATGACTATACTTGAGTTGAATGAGGATAAGAGACGGCTGGTTGATGCTCACGGTCGGCAGATGTTGGAGACGCAAGAGTGGGTTGAGGGTGTATTTGGAAGGGTTGGAGCTGGTGGAAGTGAGGAGGATGAGAGAGTTAGAATGTTAGCTGCGGGCGTGCTGGTCAGGATTAGAGAGATTGTAGAGAAGTACCAGGCTTTGCTCATGGGAGATCTTGCTAGCTTCTGATGAGGCCTAGGTAGTAGCAAGTTGTAATCACGATAATGGCTCATAGTCTTTGAAATGGTATCATCATTGAAATGTGTCTGCCAGCTGGTCATGTCCAGCTACAAACGCCGCGCTATGATTTCGTAGAGTTCGTGGCAATTCATAATCTAACATGCAAGTTATTGATCCCAAAAAAGCCGTTGGCCGTGCTGAGCGTGCTTCATTAAGCCGTCTCAAATCATTACTCCAACAAATATCTGAAAACCATGCAGCTTATTCCTCCGAAACTTTGTCCTTAGGCTGATCACGGCGCATGGACCCACGCTTTTGGATTAGATCTGTGCTTTCAAAGATGTTCTTGAATGAGCCGAGTTGAGCAGACATGGAGTTCATCATGCGATCGATCTCATGTGCCACGTCATTCTGCGAAGCAGTACCACTTAAAGTCGCAATGGACGGAGCCTCTGGAAACGGGGGTATATTGTACGTAGAGTCTCCCATATACTGGCCAGCATTTCTGGGCACTGCTTGAGAGTCTGGAAGACGTGGTGGTGGCATAGCCATAGAATCAAATGCCTTATTGTCACCATTGGGAGCCCGAACTTGAGATGTGCCGTTTCCGTTGGTAGGCGGATTTTTGACAACGTAGTAACCATCTTCATCATATTGTGCAGCTTCATGGGCGGTTCCTTCGGCATCAGAGGCTGAGAAATCGGACATATCCCCACCATCCCTGAGTGTGTTGCCGTTGCGGAGCTCGTAGTTATTTGAGGAGTCTTCAGTGACATAGATAGAAGGTTCCCGGCCACCACCTGAAACAGAAGGCTGATAGAGCTGCTTCTCAAGCTCAAAGGGATTCGCAGACGCAGGAGTCTCGCTCGTAGTGGATGCAGCATCGGAGTTGGCAGTGGAAGGTCGATATTCTGGGATTGGATCCGGAAGACTCATGTCAAGATCTATAAGAGATTGCATTGATAGACGATCCGATGGCAAAGTGGACTGTTGGAGGCCTCCACCGAATGCACCTATTCCTATTGGTTCTGTTGGGTGGTGGACTAGGGTGGGTCGACTGCCGGAACCAGGAGTCACTGCAGGACGAGGCAGTTCCCATGATGAAGGTGGGAATCTGGACAGCTCGGGATCTGCTGAAGCTGGTGGAGCCATGGAGGGGAATTTCCAATCTCTTGTCTGCCGATTTGAATTTACATCTGCTGGATCGCTCAAAGCTGGTCTGCTGAAATCTTGAGCACCATAGTCGTCTTCAATGCCGTCATTAACACGTCGGTTTGCGCGGATTGTGTCCATATCGTGGAAGGTTGAAGGGCCAGAGTCAAGGTCAGGGACATTGAGATCAATCAATGTGTCTCTGATGGATGTTTGTGCAGAATCATCTCGAAGTGGTAAATCGGAAGTAGGTGGTGGCTGCATGGGCCCACCGTAATGAAGGCGACTATTTTCCTCATAGTTAGACATGGTGTTTGGGTCGAAGATCTTCTCAAGCGGTGCAGGAAGGCGTGCAAGAGCTTCCGGAGGTGGTCGTCGTCTAGATACTTTGGCCGGTTGACGTTGGTTAGGGCGACTAGTCTCTTCCTCAAAACCGATGGCGGCGTCGGGTCCATATGCGTCTATGACATCTTTCAGACCGTATTCATGAGCTACTTCCAGGTCAAAGTTGGCAGTTGTGCTGAAATTCCAGCCTTCGTCAAGAGGTGCAGCGGATGATACGTCTGGCTGTGCACCGTGTTGAAAGAACAAGGACTTCCGGCTCCCGCCACGTGCTTCCCACACCTTAAATGAACCAACCAGAGTTCGAAGACTAGATGCTGGAAAATTCGACTCCGTATTGATAAGGTACGGGTGCTTCTGAATTGCCTCAATCATGGGTCGGGCTTTGGGGTCTTCTTGGATGCAGAAAGCGACAAGGTCCTTAAGGCCTTTGGAGAAGCGAGAGTCCTTCGTATCTTCGAGTCTTGGAGTTTGTTGTTGAAGTGCGGCACCTAGTAGTTCGACACTGTACTGATGAGCAAATGGAGGAGAACCAGTTGCGAGCTCGAACACCATGCACCCAAAGGCCCAAATGTCGACTTCCTTGCCATATGAAGTGGTCTTCGCATTGAACAGTTCAGGTGCCATCCAATGAGGAGTTCCAATAATGGTAGATCGCTTGTCCATCTTGCTTTCAACAATGCCTGCGACGCCAAAATCGCATAATTGTACGCTGCCTTGTTCGGTAACGAGCACATTCGCACCTGTGAGATATTAGCAGAGTATCTTTGTTCGCACGGAGCATTGAGCTTACATTTGATGTCACGATGGATGATGCCAACCTCATGAACATACTTCAAAGCTAGAGCAACCTCGCGCAGAATCGGGATGATCCATTTCTCATTCAATCCACCAGGACTTGTGGGCTTCATCTATTGGCGAGTCAGTTTCATGAATTCAAAATGTGACCTTTTCCCCCTTACCAAAGTTGCAACACTGCCACCACCGCAATACTCAGTGATCATCCACATAGCCTTGCCAACCGGTAAAGCCTCGAGCACATGATTGATGTTCTTGGCATTGTTCTCACTGAGCAGTCGAAGAGCGTTGACCTCCTTGAGGAATTCACTGTAAGAATCGGCCTGACGAGGATTGACGGTATCGCTTTCATCGATATCAATAATCTTGACAGCAACGATGGCAGCCGTCTTCATGTCCTTTCTGTTCTCACAATCAGTAAATTATACACGTGATACTGTGGTTGATCAACGTACCCTCTGTAGACGCGACCGAAGCTGCCCTTGCCAATCAATTCCTCTAGCACATATGGAGGTGGATCCTTCCCCTTCTTCTTGCATTCTTCGATCACCTGAGCCTGAACTTTGCGCGCATCCTCGAAAGCCTTGATCTTGACCAGACTGGTCTCCTGTGGACGAACTTGAAGGCGATTGTCCATCGCGGCGATGGGATCCGAGAGACGTCTTGGAGAAGTTGGTGCTGTTGTAGGTTGAGCTGGGAAAGTTTGAGGTATGAGGTTCTGTGGTTTGAGATTAGCGAGGGTGAATTTATCGCGTTTGTGGGCAGATTTTATCAATGTCCGACCACTTTACGCGACTTTTGCCGAGCAGAACCATCCAAATGTCAATAGCGGGATTTGACTTACTTCTATAACCTCCTCCTCGACATCCTCCACCTCTTCTTCTGCCACCTTCCAGCTTGGGAGGATCAATGGCCGCAGCCCTCGTCGTGCCAGCTCTGGCTGGACTTTGTAATTTGGCCTCAGCGGCCGCAGCGGCTGCGAAGGACGCACCAACACGAGGGGTCTGTGACCCTCCTCGAGACCCCTGTCCTCCCCGGGACATTCTCCTTCTTCTTCCTCCAGAGGAAACTGGGGAAGATTCTTCTCTCGTCTGATGTCCTCGTCCTCGTGGGACATTGCCAGGCATCTATAAACCTCGAGGTCGCCAACCTCCCCTGCCTCAAATGGCAGTTTCCCTGCTTTTGAAGATATTAGTATGCACTTGACGTCTCAAGAGGAACTGCACACTTACCTCTCTTCAATGATTGTACCCAAGCCAGGTACTGTGACCAATACTGGTCACGATTCTTCCTCTTGCTGAACAGCCTCTTGTAGGCTTTAGACTTCGTCTCGTTGTCCCCCACGAACTGGTTCGCCAGCAATTGCTGGTATCGGGCGACGCCAACCTGTCTTTTGTAGTCTTTAACGTCGTCCGATTCTTCCATCTTGAACATACATTCGAATGTGTCGATTGTATAAAGCAGTGAGAGCTATTGCGGCGCAAGTATGTCGGATCGTTGTGTTGTGCTTGTTGATATTGGCAGATCGAACGTTGAGATTTTTCGAGTTCGCACCCACTCGATTTTGGTTCTGTAGCCTTCGTTCACTTGTATACGTCGTAGTTCAACAAATGAGCTAGAGGCAGTTCTGGGGGGTCTTTCGCATCACTTGTACGCTGATGTTTGTAGCTTCCGTATCTTTCAGCCGGTTTTCTCCTTGTTGTGCTTGCAATCTCAGACCTCTCTAGATCTCTGCTTATCCGGGACACACAGAGCGATCTATATTCACGCGTTTGAGTGGCGTCATTTCCATAAATTCACGCAAATTGACGTCGGTTAGCTGTTTTATTCTGATGTTGAAGCGCTCAGAGTTCATACAGAAGTATTGACCATTTTGTGCTGTGATGAACATACCTGTCACTCTTCCCTCTACGCATTCTTCTCCTTACTTGCTAGTCTTTGCCTTCCTTCTCTAGGTCTCGTGTTTGGCCCCGTCTCTTTCGGCCTTCATTGCGGGCGGTATTGCACTCCCATACTCCTTAACGCTCAAGAAGCTTGGGTCGATATTCCAAAAACCAGATGATATCATATTGTCTGAAGGGCTGCTTCTGTGTGTTTGAATGCTGCACAAGCCCCTCCCCTGGTCTGATTCAGGAGGTAGGGGTCTGAAATCGAGAAGCAAGTGTAGACAGAGTTGTTTTGTAGCTTTGAGATGGTACAATAGCGAATTCGGGAAGCAAGTGTAGAGAGAGTTGTTTTGTAGCTTTAGGATGGTACAATAGCGAATTCGGGCTAGTGTCATGGCTTTGTTGTCCCCTGATGCTGTCGAACAGTATTGTGGAAGTGTTTCGCATAGTTTCTGGCTAGAAGTCTTCCCAGTGAAGGCCAATGAACCATCAGGGACTGGTCTTAATGATGTCGAGTACCTGGAGACATAAGGGTGTCCGGTGCAAGGTACAAGTTGTGCTGTTGCTGCTCGAATACCACACGTTGGTGTCGCTTGCTGAAGCTATACTTGGACCAGGGCCTATTGACTATTCTTGCAGCTCTGTGGCACATTTGTGTCAAGGACCCATGTCCAGTAGACATAACGTTGCTCGACTTCATGATAGTTCTATGGATGTTGCTGGAAGTGATGCCCAGACCCGGCCATGCAAAAGAGATGTAACAGAGACGGAGGATGGAGATAGAAGATCTCTTAAGTAGCTCATGTAGCCTATCGTATGACACGTTAGCGTGAATAGCTTCAGTCAATGAAAGAGGAAGTACCGACGAGGCTATAAACCCCTTCCGTTATCGAACAGGAAGTACCCACGAGGCTACGAACCAGAAGGACGAGCCAGCCAATGCGAGGTATCTCTTGAGATCTCGAGTTACATTGTCCGGCAAGTTGTAGGACACGCGCCCAATTGTTGTGAGTTGTGATTTCGAACCCTGCCAAAGGGAGGCCACAACACGTAGATGACTTGATGAGGAGGTATGATTGCGAGATGTTGGTAGCCAATGTCAAGCACGTTGAAGGACGTGTAGATCTGGTACCCATTGTGGCCATAATCGACGAAGTGGACGTGTCATCATAGTTGCTACTCTTGAATTGTTGACTCAGGCGCTTCTGCTGCTGGCAAAGAGTTGTCAAACTTCGAACCAATGGTCTGGCAAGTTCCAAGACAAGTTCGAAGAGATGATGATACAGTCCCTTCGAAAAGGAGATTGTGCTGCCAGATATGCCCATCTTTGATATCGAGATGTTAACGTGTGAAAACAGATCTAGACCTCGTCGATTTGTCGCAGGATGGTAGGAAGGGATTCGCAGGTGAGTCTAGTAGCTCTTATGGCACGTGCGTTAAGAGGAGCTATTAAGTTGGATGGATGTCGATGAGTGTCGAGATCTGAGGAAAGGGATCAGTCAGAGAGATGAAAAATTAAGGGTCGAAGTTCTGTGCTAGAGATCTGCGGTTGGAGGAACCCTCCGGAACAGCTCCACGATTCTTATCCACGTGATAACGTCACGTGATCGCCTCTGCCATCCTCCACCTGGGCTAGAAAATTCGAACAGTAGCAGCAAGCACGTAAATCAGAATGGAGAATGCTTGCTGCGGTCAAAGATTTTGTATTCCGAGCGTCGAAATACAATGTTTATTTTCTGTCTCCAGCGACCAACAATTGCACACACAATAGAACTAGTTAGTATCTTGTCCAGATGGAGAAAATCCCTTCATCTACATTATACTGACCTGCAATTCTATCACAAAAAGTACGAACAGCCGAGCAGAGAAGTCGACGGTCGTTCCTACCCTATACAACCTGTCTGGAATATATCCTAAGTTACTAAACCACCCCATTTCGAAACTTGACGTGATTCTTCTCTAACAACAATGTTCGGCGCTCTACCGGTAATCGATTCTACCTATCATTTCTGTCAAAGGAAGATGATTCCGTAGTTTCTAAGCTATATTGCCAATGGGCTAGCGGTGTTCATTTTTGTCTACTTTTTAGTTATCCTCTATCCAAATCCTCCTCTTCAAAGGACAGCCGAAAGGGTTTGATTTGCCACTTCAAGTCTTTGTGGCACTCTTCTATCTGAGGTAGGCTTGTCTGTCTCTGCTTTCTAATTCTGCATAAATGATCATGTAGCTTGCCACTTCCCTCCTTGCATGATCATCTGCCCACCAGCATTGTCTTCCAAAGCTAAGTAAGATCTTCACGTCGATCTTTATTTGACACTGCAACCATAGTAATTTAGAGTTCAAAAAATCAGCACCAGAACGCAGTCTTAGTAGGCTCTACTTCCCAGAAGTCTACAAGAGAATGATATTATAGGAGCCCGGAAGGCAAAGGTAATTAGTTCGGAGCGAGGTTCAGACAGATATCAAGCGTCTCATGAATGCAGCAAATCAAGTCAACAATGAAAAGGCAGGTGTTGTGTGGTATCTAGTTTTCATTCCTCAAATCTCATCTAGCTACCGCCACCTCTCTCGAAGGCTCTAAGATCTCTATGCGTGTGCAAAAGCAAGATCTAACGGCCCATATCGCTTCACATGGTAAAGATCCTGCACGAAATAGTACAAGATATCAGAACGCCTCCAATGTGCCAACCAGGCATTGGTCCTCGACGCTAACTTTTTGATTATGGCCCTTATTTTCCTGCTCGCTATGCCTGAAATAAACGCCAATGAAGCAACGCTGCGCTGTTGTATGGACCAAAATCGTCCCAAATCTTATAGTATAAAAAGGAGATTCATTCGTCGTCGCTGTCCGTCGCGGTATTATCTTCGACTTCTATCTCGTCTCCATCCTCCTCATCGCCACTCTCTTCGTCCTCATCCTCATCTTCATTAAGGCCAGGAATGCCTTTCCATTGGACGTAGTCGGCATCGACCCACTTCTTGCTGACAGGGAGCTGGTATGGATCGAAAGGGAAATAAGCATCGAGCTGATGCCAGCTTTCATTGTTTCCACCATTGCCAGTGTCTCGTAAAGCACCATTGGCATGGCTCGAGGAGAATTGGCTCAGGCGTATCCGCTTGTTGGTCTCGAGAAGCGGATAGACGTACATGAAGCGAAGATGATGCGCAATCTTGGCAAACTCGGCAACAATCGGCGGCGAGCAAATCTTGAGCGGGTTAAGGTTTGAGTATATCGTGCGGGAGAGTGTCTCCTTAACACCAGGAGTCCAATCTAGGTCCTGGTTGACAAAGCCTAGAGGGTCTTCCTCCTCCAATACCTCACTAGACTCAATGAGGTCTCGCCACCTGAAGCAGAAGATGTACAGTAAAGCCTGAGTCATGGCATAGAATGTACTGTAGCGCTTCAGGTCGGGCCCACGGCAAGTGACCTCATTATCACTTCGAATGATGTCCAGGTTGCTGCCAATGAGCTCAAAGACCGTCCGGACAACATGGGGCTGGACATGTGCGCCTCGGGCAACGAAGCTGGCGAGATATGCTGCAGAGGATTGTCTCAAAACAGCTGGTCGGCTTGACTGAAAGGCCAATTGCACGCATGTTCCAGCAAACTGGTCCACAAGATGCTCAGCGGTTTGTGCGAAGTGGAAAAGTAGAAATTGCGTGTGTCGTGATCGATATGTGGGAAGGATGATATTGACGAAATGGTTGAGTAAAGTTTCGAACATCGAAGCAGCTTCCACACTGTTCGGATCAGCGAAATATGGATTGTAGATGTTGAAAAGGAGGTCGAGTATTGCGTCCATCTTCTCAACATTCTCGCGAATTTCCTTGACTCGCTGTGAGTCGTTTTGTTCCTCGCTTGTCACCGAGTCGAGGTCACTGTCGGAATCGTCCCTGTCTTCAGCCTCAGTGGCAGGTGCATTGTTGAGTGTCAGTGCCTGAACGATAGCCGTTGCAGCTTCATCGTCCAGGTCTTCCAAGTCCACTTGCATCTGCACGTCGATTTTGACGAGACGGTCTGTGACAAGGGCGAATACATCCGATTTCAGCTCTGGCGCGTACTCAATAAGACGAACCAGATTGGTGATGTATGTTGTGTGCTCCCGCTTGGAGTCATCTGGAGAAGGAAATTTGGTGTTCAAAATCGGTGATAAGGTACCGCTGGCGGAAGGAATCAGTCGTAGGAGGTATTTGAGGGCGGCATGAATCCTTGATGCCAACTGATCACGGTTGACATCAGGACAACCTGGAAGACGACCGCTTGAGAGTCTGACTGTAGTACAACTTAGAGATGTTACTAATTTGTAATGCAAGAAGATCTTACCACCATAGAAATGCGACACCAGCATCTCAAGGACCATAGTCACGTACGCGCCCTGCGCACTGGCCAGACTACCCAAGAAAAGAATGTATGCCTTAACAAACCCCTCATCTCGGCCCATCCATTCGCACCCAAGAACTGCTTTGACTAGGTCGGAGCAGTTCTTGTTCAGCATTGAGGCATGGCTTGTGAGCGCAAGCACGTATGCCTTGATATTCGCCTTTGCGTCAGCCTCGTCGTCGTCTTCGTCCTCAGCACGCCTCGGGGCAAGGACCTCCTTGATTACGTCGTAGCCCTCGCTGTCGCGCTTCAGATGCGCCTGAAGAGCCCTCTTGACCTCCCCTCTGACGGACTCGAGACTTCTGCCCTTGACCTGGTACTCCTCCATGACCTTGGTGTCGACAGTCGGGTTAAATGTAACCCGCGCTCTCTTACTCGGACTAGGTGGTGCAGAGAGGATATCATCGTCGAGACCAGCATCATCCACCTTGCGCACCGTACCAGAGACTGTAGCACGTCGAAGAAGAGGCTTGATAGGTTTTGCGATCGGTGTAGGCGCAGTCGCCCTCATGATGGGAACAAGGGGAACCATGGTTTAATCGCGACTCCTCTACGGGATAAACAAAAGCTATGTGTTATCATGGGATCGTTCTGGAGGAATCGAGGTCGGATAAAGCGAATGTCGAGAGTTGTTGCAGATGTAAAAAAATCGCTCGTGTGCCTATCTTAAAATATTTTGAGGGTCAATCAAGGGATCCACTTGGGCACGTGCGCTAGTTGAATGCGGACCCCACGCAAGGCTGGAGACAAGGCTGTAGACGTTTGCGCCGACGTGATATCAAAGATGAATTTCTTTGAGATTTGATCTTCTGTTCTAGTAGAAATGCTTCACTGTCAATGTATAAGTAGACACTTCATTTGCTCATCGCTGAAGAAAGTATATGGGTTACCTTCTGGTAAGAGTATATTTCTAGATTCTTCACCGAGAATATGTAACATGCCATGCCGAAGATATGGAGACTTTAAGACATGACTTGCAGTGCCTCTTTTTATCATGGCATCATGAGAGCTTTGGCAGCCATCAAACACCTCAACTGTGCCTCAAGAGTTTGCGTGTGGGCACGTAGTTTGTACAGGTCAAATACATGATATTATACTGGCAATTGTCTGAGGACTGTTTATCCTACAACCCCACTGTTGTTATCGCCCAGGTCATCCTCCATCGACCATGAGCTACCCTAAGGTCACTGTCGTATGCTCACATGAGCGAAGAAATCTAGCGCAAAAATAAAATCCTCCGTACTTTTGGCCCTGTCCGTCGTGTACATCTCATAGGTATCTGAAAAGCCAACCTCACCCTGTCCGTATCCACGGCCCATCCCAACACCAATACCTTATAGTCAATACACCCACAGAACATATCCTTGGCATCCTCCCGAGTAAGAACACCTGTACGCCCGTGTCTTTGTTGAAGTTGCTGTAATCTTAGTAGCCTTCGCCACCCGTTGCTCCATTGTGTCCGCTTGAGACCTGGCCACCATAGATGTTTCCATAAGAGCCACCGTCATGGTCTGCACCCTCTCCCGGTTGGCCGCCAAGGATATTGTTAGTTCCTTCCGGCCCGCCTGCAAAGGTCGTTGACGAGGTCGCGTTTGCGGCCCCTCCTGATCCTCCTGCGGCTGCCGAGCCAAACCCTTGACTACCAGGTCGGTTCTCGCCTCGGGTTGACTGAGTCTGCTCCGCAATGTTAGTTTTGTTGCTGAGTAGGACTCCCATAACTAGTTAGTCATAGGCGGACAACTCACTTCTCGATACTTAGAGAGGTAAATCTTGAGTGCCTCAGCATAATTCTCGAAACCAAGGGAGGTCATTGCAAATAGGATGTCCTCTCCATTGACGGTCTTTCGCTTCTCCTGATGGCATTTCTCGGACGCTGTGGAGGCAATTAGCCAGAACAGCAAGTGGTCTGGGCGGATAGGGGACCAACCTTCGCTTGTTATGAAGGAGATGAACTCGCTCACGCACTCCTGCATGCATTCCTTTGCTTCTTTGGCGATTTTGGCATTCTCGGGAAGGGCCGTTTTCATAATCCTCGCAACTGGAGCAAAGTTTCTTATGTTAGAATCCAAATAATCATCTTTGGAACCTTTCGAAGTTTTGGACGTGGAGGAGGGTGCCTGAGGGGACGGAGACGAGGAGCTGTGGGACATGATAGGACATATGATCGCAGTAACACAACAAACTTGAAGCGTTTGCGCACCGAGCTCAATGACTGGCCAATTCAGGAACATCCGCGAGCACTCGATACAGGTCCTCGAAGCGGTGCCAGTCACGGCGAGCTTCAATATGCGGAGAATATCTGGGTGGGCAAATCAGGAAGAAGGGGGACGACTAACCATTTGCTATTGGAAGCCAGCGATCTTGCTCTTTCACCTCGAATTCGTAGGCCAGACCTGAGGAGTGTGGGTCTTGATTCATTTGCGCATCTGGGTCGTCAGGCGACTGTACACCTTCGTGCTCCGTTTCCTTTGGAGGACTCGCGGACATGGCTTCCTGTTAAAAGGCTTGCTGCAGCTCTCGGATAGTGGCTTTCTGGAAATTCCTTGGTTGACAACGTGGTCATTGAACAACGAAGACTCCGTTTCGAGGCGAAGTTATGCAAGACCTGCGTCAGATCAAGCCCTTCTTTTCTGACCTCGCGCTATCCAGAAGCGGATGGCCCCGATGCAGGCCTTTGGGGCTCGGAATAGTTGGTGAAAGAGAATGACTGCTTGCTGCAGGTATCCTGCATTGTCGCGTCAGATCTGAACAGCTAACTATAGAAGGATTGAAGGGAGCAGGGCTGGCTACACGCACGTCTGCACTGGGTGCTGGAGACCGCGGGGAGTATTTTAGAAGGCGAAGCTGCACTATGCGCCTTGCATTAAGGCAGAAAAGGGTCGAGTCGGAGGCCGCAGTAGCGGATTGGGACTGGAATTGGGATTGGGGATGGCAAATCTGGAATCTGCTGCTCTTGCTGCTGCTGCTACTGCTGCTGGTTCTCTGGAAAAGGTACGACCCCACGTTGCAGACGGATGAATTATGCTGGGAGCCGGCCAAGGAAGCGATGCGATGGTCGGACTAGAAAGCTCTCGCCGTGATCCAATGGACAAGAGTCGGTGTAGGGACGATGCGCGCTGTGGTTTGGGGACCAGAGACGGTGTGTGTATGGTTCGGCAAGGTCGAGGGACGAGTGAGTGTAACGGGGAGTTGGATCGAGGAAGTGGGAGTCGGATTGAACGCGAATGCTCTCTGGTGTCGTCTGTATGTAGGAGGTCGTGTGTGTATGGGTGGGTGGGTGCAGCTGCAGGAGCTGTCGCTGTGTTTACCTTTGCTTTCGCTTGACGGACTTTCGACTCGAGCTAGCGTGCGATGCTGCGTCAAGACTCAGGTACAGAAACTGCGACAACCAGTGGGGAGGGCGATGGGGATGGGCAGCCTTGGATATTTGACCAGATGTTTGATTTGACTGATCTCGAGGCCGAAAAACACGATGTCTGCTCCAATCGAAAAAAGAAAGGCGACGAGTGCAGGTGAGTGGAGGGCTCGAGATGGCTGCATTTTACCCTCCCGGCCAATAATGACTGTCAGCGGGTCAACGAATTACCCGCCCTCGCTCACAATCTGTCAGCTAAACCCAAGTCGTGAGGGGTAGGAAGCCAGAAAGCCAGTAAGCCGCAGGAAGACGTTTCGTCTTTCTCTGCCGCACCACATCCAGGCAGTTGGGGGCAGAATCACACATGGCATTTATTGTTCGGCCTTCGACGATAAGATATCATTATGGTCCCAGACAAGGCAACATGTGTCAGCACAGTAGGCAGCCGCAGTCCTCTTCCTACTTCGATGTGCTGGAATTACTTGGGAGCAGAAGCAGGATTGTGGGAAAGAGACATCTTCTGACCCCGCTACCGAACACTCGAAGATGCTCGATCTCTTCGACAATATGTGAACATTCTAGTACAGCTATTCACAACTATCGGACGGGACCGCAGACCGACTTCTCGGAAGGATCTTAAGTACCATTACCTATGTCCCGATACGTACTCATGGGGGACAACCATCCTTCTAAACATTATTATTTATTATTACCACCATCCATGATCTTCAGCTGAACATGATGCTATCTGGACACCTTCAAGTCCTGCCGGCCTAGCCGGACCCCCTTGGTCTTTCTTTTTCTAGCATGCCATCCGACTCAGATTTCGTCAGTTGAGGCAGATGTGGGTGAGGTCAAGCGTTGTATCGGGTAGATATCGAGAGTCTATCAGTGAGGCGACGGCGAAGGGAGGGGTTAATTTTGTGATGTCAAGCTATTATCCGGGTGAATTCTCAAAGATATGCCACAGAAAAAGAACAACGTTCTCCATTGCTACCTAGTATACCGGACATCTCCAAAGTCCTGAAGCATCAAAATTCGACGTCCAGAGTTCTCGCAATGGCACCCACACCACCTATACAAAATGTACGAGCAGGGGTGGAGAAGAACAGCACATCGCGTCTCTAATGCGAACCAGCCTTCACGCAAGTTGCTTAGCAACCAGTCGTTGCTCGTAGAGCTCAGCCTTCCTTTCATTGGGCAGCAATACAGCGAGGCGGTTGGGCGAAGCAGACGCGGCAGCCGCTGTCGAATAAAGGTAAGGCTTACTTGACTGGTTGATGCGTTGTACAATTCCCAAGGAGCTGGATATCATCTGATCGAGATGTGACGTCGCGAGATACCTCGGAATGCCACTGGGATCGAAATTTTCTGAGCAAATCCGGGTCGCCTTGAATATATTTAGGTTTTCGGGCATAGCTGGGCTGCACAGGTGGAACTTGTAGTCTTCCCGAAGAAGCATGGAACGGTATGCTTTCTCAACCCATTATGATTGACCGCCTTATGAGCCAGAACTCCATACTTTTTCCTAGCCCTACCACGCTATGCATTGACGTAACTCCCGGGACTTAATCAGCCTTGTCCTTGTATGCCCTGCTTCGATATCGGACTTGACTTTCCGCGAAGGTTTTTTGAAATGGTACACTCATTGTTGGACAACTTGGATGTTGTTCTTTTTCTGCAGAAGGAAAAAGTTAGCAGTCTAGGACTATTGCTCTTCTCGGACTCGAACTTGCCTTCCAATTTTCCATCTCCTGCTGGGTGGCATTGTATTGCTTGACGAGACCTTCCAGCACTTTCCGTAGACCATCCGCATTGATCTGTAGAGCAGGGACGACATCCTTCACCGTTCTCTCAACCAGGACGCCGTTTATCATCCGGAAGCATTTCCTGTCTGCCGGGAGCGGTTCGAGGGTTTCAAGAACAAGTCTGTATGCAAAAGCGGTGAGCAAAGGTTCCAGCGGTGAGGTTCGTAATCTATGCAAGTGAAATCTTGGATTCGCGCCATCATGAAGAGACCGAAGCGGGCAGATTTAGACTGCAATAGAATAGGATATTGAGACGGACTTGTGCTCTTCAGCTTCGGATTCAACGTCACCGATCTAATTGCGGATGTCAGTGACTGTTCTGACGGCTCAAGAAGGCAAGGCGAGCATAGCAAGACCATGAAAGGTTCCAGTGGCAGGATAGACCTATCCTGTTGATTTCATCTTGTGTGTATCGCCGGGGGATTTTTGACATGACCGCAGAGGAGAGCTATCCCACCTTTTGTGCTATCTGCTGAAGGCCATTCTTGTAGTTCGTATATTGCATCTGAAGCTCTGGAACACCAGCATTAGCATTTATTGTGCCGAAATGCATGCAACTTCGACATACCTTGTTGCTTCCTTTGGGTGATTTGTTGCGCCATGATTGTTGTTGCAAAGTGGTCGCATGTCCAAAGAAAGAGCTATTGGAGCTTCAAAAAAGTGGCAAGTTCCGTTTGCCGATCCATGCTAGAGAACCATCTTCGGAGATCAAGAAAACACACGACCTTTGAACTATCAACTTCCTGCACATTCAGCCAGCAAATATGCATCCACATTTACACACAAAAGACAATAGCGGTAAACACCTCTACAATAGACTCAATTGGAGCACGGTTTTCTAATTCGCGACAGCTTGCGAGGCGGTTATGACTGCCCTTGACGAATGCCATGCTCGAGGTTTCTTATGGAAAGCAGTTGGCATGTGCAACGACGCAAAGACTCAAGTCAACAAATGTCTACGAGCTCAGAGACTAGAGCGAACGAAGCAAAATCGAGAAAAAGCGAAGGCCAAGAATGAGCAGATCAGGTCGAAGTGGGCCGAGATCGATTCCAACTCATGATTGAGAGCGAACACCGAATGAGGATGGCAAGGCAGACAGCCAGCAAGATGGTGGCATGACATGGCATATCATATCAAGGGGTTTTCGGCACAATGGGCATTTTCTGGCGTTTTGGGAATATCAGGCCACGGACTATTGGGATGTACAGTATAGGTTGCGAAAGGCATCATACTCCACTTCACCGAGCATTGATCGAGATATCAGAGCACAGCGCTTCACACTTCATCTAGAATTTGTATACAAGGGTTTGGAAGTGGTGTTGCGAGTTTAGAGTGGATTATTAGCTCTGCGCCCGGAAACAGAGCAGCCATTCAATCATGCTAAAGCCATACCAACAAGCCTTGGAATTGGATCCTTTTTGACTCCATTCATCCCATTCCTCTCTACTTCTTCAAGAACGCACTTCCATACGTGTAAAGGCCATAGAGCGCCAGGACACTCAGACCCGTTGGCAGTGGCTTCTGGCTCTTGATGGCTCTTGGGATGGATGATCCGGCAAGCACAATGGATGCTAAGAGTGCAAGCTCAACTCCATATGATAACTTGTTCTGGATACGATAACCACCAATGAGGTACTGTGGCTTTTGTAAGCTACATTTCCGTTGTAAGTAAGGACAACGGACTTACCAAGGTGCCAACGGTAACGCCTGCGGCGATTGATGGAATTGATCCTGTCTTGACGTATCCGAAAGTTCCACCGCCAGCCGTCAACGCTCCCATAATGTACGCTGGAGTCGAAATATCGCCCTGTGTGATATGTGTGAGTATGTCTTACGCTGGTGCTCATAGAGAGTTACAAACCATGTTTGCGACTGTGAATAGCTTAAACTTGATAGATCTTGTAATAGAAACTCGCGAAGTGTGCCAACTGCCTACTGTGATCTCTTGTAATCAATTTGAGGAGAAATCTTATTATGTTTACATCAAGACGTTCTCGTCTCAAGCTCCAAGCTAGAACACCGACCCCTCGGTCGTCGGTCGTCAACTTACCCCGGCCAATCGCTAGCCTTGGCGCGGCCTCCACATCCAGCTTCGTGGCCTCATAGCTCACAAAAGTCCCAAGTACAAGTCAACTTCCAACACCACGACAACTCTCGAAAACCATCGTTACTTCACACCCTCACTATTACAATGGCACCAAAACGTAACGCCCGTGAGCCTACACCATCTGCTGCAGCCACAACTCAATCCTCCACAGCAGCTGGCTCCGTACCTACAATTCCTACCAAAGCATCACTCAAAGCAAAGGACAACCAGACCCCGCAAGAAGTCGCACTGGGAATATGGCAGAACTACCTCGATACCACACCGCAGAGAACAAAGCTGATTGATGTGTTTATGGGCTTCTTGGTTGTGGTCGGAGTGCTCCAATTCGTTTACTGCGTTATTGCTGGAAACTACGTGAGTCCAGAATGTTGAACATGGCTGAATTTGACACTGATCTTGAGATTGCAGCCATTCAATGCTTTCTTGTCAGGTTTCTCGGCGACGGTGGGACAATTCGTTTTGACTGGTACGTGGCCTCGAATGGCAGATGTGAAGCATCACTGATCAAATATAGCCTCTTTACGGATACAGACCAACACAGAGAACAAGGCAGAATTTGGCGAGGTGTCTCCGGAGAGGTGAGCATTGTTGACTTTTGTCTTTTTTACGACAGTCCACTAACATATCCCAGGGCGTTCGCGGACTACGTATTTGGAAGCTTGATCTTACATTTCTTCTGCGTCAACTTCATCAACTAAAATGTATCATACCCATGGGAGGCAGGAATTCTAGAGCATGTAGGAATAGCAAAAGTCAAGCGGATCCTCAACACAGGCGCGATGCAAATCGGAGAAAAGTCATATGCTCTTCATGTGCATTCCATATATCAATTACAGACCATAACTTAGTCTACACCACTATCATCGCCGTCTTTCTTTTCATCTACCGCTGTCTCTTCAACCGCCGTCTCTTCTGTGTTAGGAGGCCCGCCAGCTTTAGGAGGACCTCCCATCTTGGGCGGAGGAGGTGGAGGAGTACTCTTGGCACTTGGCGCGTGGTCCAGCTCCCTACTCTTCTTTTCCCCTTCCGTAAAGTAATCGTCCATGAATGGCTTGTTCGGAGCGTGGCCACGCTTCTTGTCTTTCCTGCCCCTCCCACTTGCGACAAGCGGACTTACCAGTTGTGCTGGAACTAGTAAATCGCTTGGGTCTGAAGCAGCTGCTGGCACCATATAATCTCCAGAGCCAGATAATGGTCTAATCTCCTCGTTCGAAAAGCGTGCATTTTTGGTATCAAACAACGTTTCTCCTGGTCCGGCCAAGGGCTCACTCAGGGGTGCTGGTAATCTGTGCAAAGCTCCATAACCCAAGACACATCCCAAAGCACCTTCTCCGCCCCAATCTTTGCTTGGGTGGATTGTGACCTCTCTCGTAACATTGTATTCGTTGTTATAGACATATAGTCGTAGCGGTCGTCCAATGTGGTCCTCAACTAACTCCCCTAGACCTGCCTCGCCATGCAGTACACCTTCAGGAGTTCCTAGAATGTAGTCGCTGTATGGTAGAAGACCTGCAACATCGGCTGGTGAGTTGGCGGGGACGTCTAAAATATGCCAGATGTTTGAGACGGTGTTGATGGATGTCCACTGGAGCGTAAGCCCAAGTGACGGACTCGTGGCTGGAACAGGAATGTGTATCGTTCTCGTTCGTTGTCCCTATACAATCTCAACATCTCAATCCCTAAAATATGTCTCCTCGGCCACAAATACCTTAGCACTCCAGAGACCAAGAGTAACCGTGCTTCCTGCACAATTTCGAATCTCTTGGGCAAAAAGATTTGGATCAGAATCGTCCTGAATCAGTCAGAAACGCGCCAGCCATGTTTGACAGCATACATACAATCATCCGGCCATTAATACCGACTACAAAGTCAAACCAAGGCTCAACGGCAAGCTCTGGGGACTTGTTCCGGAGTACTTGGAAGCCAAAGGCTCCATGATCTGATCTTTGGGTTGGGACGTCGGAGTCTAGCCGGGAAATAAAACGGTTTAGAGCGTTGAACATAGTCGGATATTAAGTTGTCCGCCTCACAAATTGTACACGTCCGAAAGCCGAGTGAGTTGAAATATTATTGCGGTTCCTGGTTCCCGCAATCTGGTCCCTTGATGCCACTAGAATATTAGCGCAGCCTCGTGGCCCAAGCTCCTGCCTGAACTGGGTTATACACGTGAATTTGAACCTTCAACTCAAAATATTTTTTGGAATTGGGAGAAGGTCAAGCGTGACTTAAGGGAAACTTTGTGATTAGTATGTATCTATACCAGAGATTCTTCTGTATGTATGAGTATGTCACTGACAGACTTTGCAATTTTCAAGCTGTTGAGATGTCAAGAACTTTCTACATTCGAACATCACATCTAGATCACGCACCCGGACTCCACACGGCACTCCTCTTCTGAAGTCTCACTACTTTTCTAGTCAAAAATCTACTGTACTCTATGAAAAGAGCTAGAGGACATAGGGTCTCCTGTGAAGAACGTGCAAAAAGAAAAACCAGAGGGTAAACATCTCGAGTGCCTCCTTAGAGCGACGGTCACAGATATTCCAGGTATCTCTCTGGTAATCGTTCTACAAAAGAAACGCAGGGGAGCCAGAGCACTCTAGGACGCTATTCATCAAGAGGATCTCAACAGTAGGAGTCGAACATCTGCAGCCCAAAAGAATTGAAAAAGTAGCTCTCATTGCATCTGTGGGAGACGAAATTCTCACTCGATCCAGGGGTCACACCAAGTGGATTCGCCAAATCTAGGTCCTTCGATAGGGACCAGTTCTACTCCTGTCTAGACCGGTCGCCTGTTTGACTTCAAGCAGTCTAGCTGAGGATTGCAAAGTTGACGCCAACACTAAGACCATCTTCAATCGGAGTCGCTCCACAATCACTCTACACAAAGAGACTATGGAAGCTACAGAGTCCGTCATGGATGACAGGCCGAATAGATTTCCGCTGACGAATGAATGTCATCACTATACCCGCCGCCAGGATGTAGACTGGGACATTCAGAAGTAAGTGCTTCCTCCATTGAATTACATGTTCATTGTCTAACTGGTTATAAGATATTGGGCTCAACGCTACAGCATTTGGTCGTTATACGATGAAGGTATCCACATGACAGACGATGCTTGGTTCGGTGTCACTCCAGAGCCCATTGCAAAGTATGATTCTCCACGCATTTTCTTTACTCATCTAACAACGTACTAGCAAAGTGGCAGAAGATCTTCGTGGACTTGTACCTTCTTCGAAATCCGTCTTAATCGATATGTTCGCGGGTGCAGGTGGAAATGTGATCGCCTTTGCCTTATCAGAGCAATGGTCAACTATCATTGCTATCGAAAAAGACCCCTCAGTTATTGCATGCGCTCAGCATAATGCTGAAATCTACGGCGTCGTTGATCAGATCACTTGGATCAACGACGATTCTTTCTCTTATTTATCCAACAATCTGTCGTCGATCGATCCGACGAAGACAGTTGTGTTTGCTTCACCACCATGGGGAGGCCCAGGTTATACCTCTGACGAGATCTTCAACCTGCACACCATGGCACCATATTCAATCAAGCAAATTCACGAAGCTTGTAAGGGCATATATTCTGCACTGTTCCTGCCAAGAACCAGCGATCTAAGGCAAATTGCGAAGTTGGCCCCAGAAGGCAAGAAAGTTGAAGTAGTTCAATATTGTATGGAAGGAGCGAGCAAAGCTTTGGTGGCTTACATACCCGCAGCGGTATGAAGCCAAAATAGGAGATTTATTGCGGAGACGGAGCATGAAATTCCTATCTTGGGCAATTTGGAGTGCCTTGAAGCCTGGCGTCAATTTGCCAGATTTTCTGTTGCGTATCGCAATCCTTTTGTTCCTGAGGCAGGCTCACATTAGCAGCAAGTTACAATGCAGGCATTCGCTGCAGCAGGTGGAAAGACGTCGAGCCAAGAATTTCAAGCCAATCGATCTGTCGTGCATGAATTCAATTGATAAAGACAAGAAAGATTAGACTGGCTGCGGGATCTATTCAGAAGATGTGGAAGCTTCAAGATGATCAACGAATTTTCGCCGTGAGTTTCATTGATGTATTTATGACAAGCACTATTTTCCGTCTACAACGCCTTAACAATGCTCCGCTCATCAAATAAATCTTTTAGCAGGCTAGCCCTGCATGCCTCGAGATCGGGAGCACTCATCGAGTAGGTGGTTTCAAATGCAAAAATGCTCAGCTGGCTGAAGAATGGTCTCAGCACCTTCGCCACCAGCTCATCCTTTCGTTCCCAATTCCCTTCGTCGCCGATACCACCGGGTCCGATCAGTGGTTTGCGCGAAGAACCATTCGAAGCTTGCATAGCGGAAAATTCGGTGTGAACCGCAGAAGTTAAAGCAGTCGAACCAAGCTCCTCTGAGAGTTCATCGATCAAGGCGACAGGTTGGAACTGAGGTGGTCGGTAGACTGCGTCAATAGTATCGGAAATGAACAGCCATTCGTGCAATTGAAAGTCGTCGGGTGCGATGCAAAGCAGTGTATCAAGCAATTTACATGCTTGAAGGATTGTATGGTTATTGTAAGTTTCGGCAGCAGCACTGTGATCAGCAGCAACCACTGACGAGATGACTGCGTTCAGTTCGGCGTTGACAATTGGCCAAAGAGTCGCTAGGTGAATTGCTGATGTCTTGAGAACAAGTGCTCTCAACAGGAGGTAAATATCAGCTCTTGTCGTAGATGATGGTGACGAAGTCGTAGTAGCCAGCAGGAGCTCGACAATCTTTTCTTGCATTGCGGGCAGATCCGTCACAAAATTGTCGTGGATTGTGGCCAGTATGAGTGTTGCAATACGACGAAGGTTGAGTTGTGTTTTGCGATCTGCTTCAAGTCTTGCTGAGGTAGCACCTACACCAAAGACTATGCCCGCTGTCGTGGGAGCAACCAAACGAGAAAGAAGCTCAGGCATTCGCTCCTTGTCGCTCAAAGCCCATTGTCTTATCAAAGGGAGCCAATCACTCTCAACAAGTGCTACTGAGTTCGCAAAGAATCTCGTATCATTGAAGGCGTCGCCTAAGTCTTTCTTCCATGACTTCTGGGCATTTGGTAGCCTAGCTAATTGGTAAAGAAGGACCAAGGTACTCTGGGAGACATTGTCTGGGAAGGTCTTGGACTTGAAAGTCGGCACAATAACGTTTGTCGATATTGTGTTGGCTGCAGTGAGAATACGATCAGGTTCGAGTAGAATTTTAGGTAAATCTGGCGCGATGGAAGCGAGGATACCAACAACGTCGTCCGGTCTTGAGACGTCGTTATCGACGCTTTCTGAGAATCCCATAGGCCTCGTTGTGAATATGGCCGTTAGAAGTCGGAGGAACAAGTCCTAGTATGTCAGCTATATTCGTTCTCGTATTGCAGGACAACTTACACCAAGCTCTCTTCTCATCCTGCGCTGCTCGCCAAAATTCGTATTGTCAACTTTCTCACCCAAGATTGCCGCGAATTCTAGTAGGCTTGGCAAAGTCTGACGATGAGGGAATGGATTAGCCAATAAGTCCTTCAAGAAAGTCATGCAGTCCGTCCAGATTTCGTCCATGGCATCGTCTTCTAAGGAGCGAGCATATTCCACTAAAAATATCACAAGGTCTGTGTCGTTGAGGGACGAGGTCAGGGTTGACTTCCGCGAAGGTTCTAATGCAGTAGGATTGGTCCGGCTGTAAATAGCATTGAAGATGGCAGGAATCGTGTGTTTAGGCCTCGAGCCATCAAGCACATGTAGAAGGTTGAACACGACTGGGGATCTTGGCTCGTTGGGCGATTTTGATGACTTCTTCCAGATCTCGACCACACTCTCCAGACACTCGAGAGCCTCCGCAGCGAACAGATGTTCGAGAAGGCGACGTGCACGATTCCTCATACGAAGAGAAGTATAGTTGAATGAGGCAGCAGATTCCGTGTCCTGAGATGTATCTTCGCTATTACCCCATGACCATATTAGAAAGCATATTCGCACTGCATCTTGAAAGGTCAAGAGCACTGTAAGACGGTTATTTGCTGTAGCGCTTCTTGATTGCGGAGTGTCGGATGTAAATACGTTAGACACCATGTTCCCAAAGAATCCTTGGGGTTGGTCTGGACTTTTCACTACTGGTGCTTTTGCTTCGTCTTGTAGCAGACGAGCATGCCCACTCGCCAGTACGTGCTCAAGTCCATTTAGTAGAGATATCAAAGTTGACTCTGGAGCCGTAGAGCCTTGGGCAATCGTACCGGCTTCCCCAAATGTCCTTTTCAGATCATTGAAAGTACTACCAATCTGCGAACAGAAGGTTTCGACTAAAGGTATGAGGATTTGGAAAATCGTGTCGGAATACAGAGGTAGGCATTCCACCAGGAAGCTCACCCAGCTGTCCAGTACTGGACGGCTGCTCGAAGAACTAAAGCCAGCTTGCAGGCACTTCACAAGAGATGCCGGCGGAGGTAGAAGGGCAGATTGACTGTCGCGGTCGGTAGTGAGAGAGAGTCTAGAGACTTGTGCGGGGTCAGATAGTATAGAGCGTTTCAGCTCAACCGTGGGTGATTGAGGTGGTGGTGCAGGCTTTGCTGCGTCTCTGATCTTTAGGGTGTCGAAGACGACGTCTAGGAGCAGGACCTGTTTGAAGGGATCAGATCCACCAAGAGATTTGACCAGTCTCTCTATAAGAACATGTTCCAGCTGAAGTTTCGCAAGCGGTAGGGCATATGGACACAACAGAATCTGATGGAGCGTAGTAAGGGCAGTTCGATGAAATTGATTGACGCGGGGCTTGGTGTCAAGGTCTCCTGAACTCTGACTGCCACAGATGACTCTTAAGCACACATGCAAGAAGAACTCCAGGAGTGTGATGTCTCCTTCTTTGCCAGCTAATCCATTTAGCGATTTGTGAAGGAAGAGGAAGGAGGGGCATACCGATGTAGTATAGGGTTTGTTGACTGCTATCAATGGAGACGCTGTTTCGAGCTAGAATGGCCCACATGCTATCCGAAGACCATCGAAGTATATTTGACAACGTCTTGAGATAATATAAACACTGGTCAAGATCATCATCACCAGTGTAGGATGGTGCATCGATACCCAGGAAATCAACTCCATCTTTTGGTATTGAGTGAAGAAAAGGGAAGGCTGAAAGTTTCACTACGAATAGGTGAAAGAGCCTATTCAATGTGTGAGTAATTTCAATTGAAGGTAGGGCAATACATACTTATCAATTCCCACTAGATTTTGCAGCCAGGTTCTCACAGTCATGAACAGCTGTGTGCGTTCATCTAGAAGAGCATCTAACAGAAGAAATAATGGCCTCGCGAGCATTACCTCAAAATTGCCAAGTCCAGACAGCTTGCCAGTAGTTTTAGTCTCATTGATTGATGCTCGAGATGCTCTACGGTCTGCATGTGCAACAATATCTTGTAGAGTATGAGTCCACAGAACGCTAAAGCTACGACCTGCATCTGCATCTCGGAGGGCGAAAGTTCCATTGAGATCTTTCTCGACCATCGTGGAGCAAATGGCCGCTTCGATCTCGTGGTTTGAATGTGGGAGAGCGCTCTGCAGCTGCCAAAGACATCTCACGGCCTCGACGTGGTACTTTGGTTGCGCTGCTGATAGATACCACCATGCCTGGCGGACCAAAGGGGCTATCAGAGTCGACAATTCTGCGTCTGTTATGTAGGAAGTAGAGTACAGTGTAGTCGCGAGAGAAACAATCGATGTCAAGGCTGAAAACGGTATTTGAGATGGTGAGGACAATCTGATTTGCACAGAGGAGAGAACTTGAGTCACATCCAAGCTGTCAGTCTTGGGTGCCTTTGCCAGAATCATTACCAATAGCTTGCTATTGATTTCAGCATCAGCACTTGATACCGAGACAGACAAGCTCTGACAAGTAATACTTCCAGCTTGGCGCAAAAGGAGTTCGCTTAACTCGCCGAAAGCGTACGGAGGTGAAACGGCGTCCAAGTTGCCCTGATCTTGCATGTAGAAAGTTTTGACTCTCTGTAAGATTTCAAGATCAGTGTGTGCTGGAGCATGGCCTCCATTCTGTACGGTAGCAGTGGATTGACTTGTTGATGGACGGGTCTGCAAAGCTCTCTCTGGAATAAGTTCTAATAGATGCATCGCGATACTCAACGCAAGCTTGAATGTATTAGGCGTCCGCAAATCATCGTTTCCTGCAATCTCTTTCTCTTCGGACTTTTGGAATAGGGTCAGAATCGTCAAAGTTGTCAGCGGCGCATGGACCAAAAGCATCTCTTCTTCCCGCACATTGAAATGCGTGATGATAAACTTCACCAGTGAGAGCTTGTCAATCCTGTCACCGGTTGACAGTTTGTTTCTTCCGAGAGCATGGACGACCAAACCGACTATCTCTCCCCAAATGAGACCACTTTCAACGCCATCAAAGAAGACGCTGGCACTTCGGAGGACCTCAGAAAAATCGGTCTTGGTGGTTGCTTGGTCTTTGTACCTGCGAACGCTGTTGACAATTGGTAGGAAGATGTCTGGTACGACCAATCCGCCTATCTCCCATCTGTCCATCAATGAGAGACATATTCGGAAGGGTCGAGCTCTCTCCATAGGATTGATAGAGTCGCGATCGATTAGCTTCAAGAGAGCGCTCGTCAAAGCCTGCAGGCCATATTGTTCAAAATAGCGAGTTCTGGATGTAGACGAAGTTCCAAGCTGGTCTTCTGAGACAGCAATGGGGGACTCGGGACTTGTTTCGTGATCATTCGCAGCAGGCTCTGGTCCCAATAGCCAAGTCCACAGGCGCCTGTTCAAACTCATCTCTCGGCGTGAAACGACACCGGCGGCTGCGGAGATGAGAAGTTCGAGATCTTCTGTCTTGACCCTTTTTTGGAGAACGTTTGAATGTAGTGGCAGATGAGTTACAAGAAGATCTAAGAATCCACGTTGTATAAGAAGTTGTTCATCGCCCAGACCAGCAGCAAAGCATCTCAGTAAGAGACCTGGCTCAGGAGAAGTCACCATTTCCGCCAGGCGAGCAGAGCTGCCCTCAACACTTCCATTTTCCGCATTGCTGGACGTTGTGCTTGCTGGATCAAGAGAAAAATGTTGGCCCAGCATAGGGAGACTTCTAACAAGGTAAGCCAGAGCACCCAACCGACGCCCGTTACTGGTGATTGCTGCAAGAAAGAAACACTGCCAGAAGTATTCATCTCCGCTGCTGTGATTCTCTCCAATATCTTTGGAATCTGGGAATCGAAGGCAGTCTTTGAAACCGTCCAGGAGTCTCAATGTTCGCTCGAACTCTTCACTCGATTCTTCCTCCAAGCCCGGCAGCAGAGCTAGTATAATAGCTCTCAGAGCGGGTCGAAGTGCGCGGGAGTCTAGTTGCAAGAGATGTTTCTCCATCAATTCCAAGAAAGGTGTTCGTACCGACAGAGATGCAAACGACAGTGTAGAGGAGAGTCCTGGCAGATAGAGAGGAAGGTCTCTTGAGAGAGCATCCTTGCCTATCATCGAGAATATGTAGGCATAGACTTCGAGAGCTTTTTGGTGCACACCAGAAGGGAGTGCCGGGTTCAAGCACTGAGCTAATCGTTTTGCGACAATCGACTTCGATGGGACTGAGGTTATCGTCGGCGGGTGACTTTGCAACGACTGTACACATATTAGAATTAAGATTCAAATCGAATCAAGCCCTCTCCTACCTTTAATAGCCTCCCCAAAAAAGAAATATAGTCTGCCCATTCCTGTAACGCTGTGTCAAACAACGACAGTGACCGTTCAACTCCAGAGGCATAACGGCGGAAGGCTTTGTCTTTGCTGGGTGGCTCATCTACCATTTGTCAATTCCGTTTTCAAAGGTTAGATAGCATCATAAACCATGTTACGAACCAGAACCTTGTTGGTTCCTCCATTTTCTAGTTATGGGTGAAGCTCTCCCAGAGCTCGACGGCGACTCTCGGCCAGCCTCAAGAGCCATGGTGTTGCACTGAGCGAATGGATTGTCTGGGGATTATTTGCATCTTCCAAATGCTTTGTGAGGTCTCTGCATGCTGCAAAAAAGAGTCTCACAGAAAACGGTTCACAAGGCTGAAGCATCTTACATCGCTGGCCTCTTGAAGCTCTCAAGGCTGCCATCGGCAAGTCCCATCTCCGACCCCTGTTGGCCCCCCACCAGAATTAATCCGGTGCTGTGCATTCAATGACGAATAATGTCCAGCGAATAATCTACACGGCCTTATGGGACATTTGGACGTCTCTTCTCAACACGAGCAAACACATGTACAGGACGACGATACAACGCCGACGGTGCAGGGCTCTTCGAAGCATGGAACCAGGGATGCGATGACCCTCGCCAGCGACCATGACGCTCAAAAGCGCAATGAAGACTCGCAGCAGGATGCGAAGGAGGGTACAGAGGGTGAACCAAGTTCCTCAGAGGGGACCCAGGGTATAATTGGAAAAGCCACAGGAAATGAGGAACATCGACCGCCACTACCTCCCAGACCCTCACTCTTGAAGACGGGAGACAAAGCAGGGTCCGCTTTGTCGACAATAGCCAAACCTACAACAGCGCTTTCGTCAGTTGATATACAGACCTTGTCATTCCCCGATGGTTCGAGGGGAACGTTTTCAACTCCTGCAACTCGGGCTGTGTCACAGACTGTGTCCTTCTCAGACACATCAGCAGGGCAGAGCACACCGAGCAGGAAGGTTAGCCGTAACGGCAGCTTTGATGATGGGGCGAGTCTTATGAGCTATGCCCCAACGCTGAAGGCCCACGGAGACCTTGCAAGTTTGTTGGATGAAGGCCTCAATCAAAGTCCAGCTTGGAAACTACTCAGCTCGCAAGCGGAGTCTGTGAACCCATTTGAGAACGTTGAGTTCGAAGACAACACTTTAAGCAACTTTCAGCATGAGTTCGATGAGATTGAGGCTTTGGACAGCAAAAGTGGTAACGAAGGTTGGATCTTCTTAATTGGCTAAGAAGTTGTTCTAATTCGTCAATAGAGGAAGTCCTTTTCCAATGGAAGTCAAAGCTAAAGCACTATCTCATACTGTCTTCGGCAGGTAAACCAATATACAGTAGACACGGAGATCAGAATCTTATCAATGGCTATATCGGAATCATTCAAACGATCATTTCATTCTTCCAGGGCTCAAAAGATCCTTTAATGGGTTTTACAGCAGGAGGCACAAGATTCGTGGTATCTACCGAGGGCCCTTTATACTTCGTGGCCATAAGCAAGCTTGGAGAAAGTGATGCTCAACTCCGGGCGCAGTTAGAGGCTCTATACATGCAAATTCTTTCGACCTTGACATTGCCTACTTTAACCCACCTGTTTACAAACAGACCCAACACAGATCTGAGACGCCCTCTCGAAGGCACTGAGACATTGTTGTCCTCACTCGCCGATACCTTTACCAAAGGCTCGCCGTCAGCATTATTGTCAGCCCTGGAGTGTCTGAAGATCAGGAAATCGCAACGGCACACTATCAACAACACTCTGTTGAAGACACGAACTGAGAAGCTGCTGTATGGCTTAATTGTCGCTGGTGGACGACTCGTTAGTGTCGTGAGACCAAAGCGGCATTCCTTACACCCAAGTGATCTACAGTTGATCTTCAACATGCTATTTGAAGCCGGGGGTGTCAAAGCTGGAGGCGGGGAGAACTGGATTCCAGTATGCCTTCCGGGTTTCAACAATAGAGGTTATCTCTACATGTACGTGAGCTTCCTGAGCGCATTCGAAGACGGGACAGAACCGGGAGAACGACCTTCCACTGCCAACAGCAGCAGTAAAGAAGATGAAATTGCTATTCTCTTGATCAGCGCTGATAAAGAGAGCTTTTTCGAGCTGAAGCAGATGCGAGATGATGTTGTGAGCCAATTGGAAAAGAATGGCAGCTTGGAAATCATCAGGGCAGCAGTTCGAAAGGGACGTCCAAGTACGACAGACATTGTGCCTGGAACTCAGCTCAGGCACTTCTTGTACAAATCGCGTGCGAATGTCCAATTTACCATGCCGTCATTCACTCCGGAATTTAGTAGATTGGTAGCTCGAAGAAGGTATGTAAATTAGTCTTTGTTTATTTCCCCTCATACTCCACGTACTCCAAAGAAGGGCCCATATTTACAACGAATGAACAGGCTCATGACGTTATATCATAATCTCCACGCATCAACACACGCCAAACATTCCCACCTCAAAGTCCTGCACTGCGTGAGTAAAGACAGCATCTCCCTGGCCTGGACAACGCCCATTTTCGAATTTTACTGCGTTGCGGGTCCAAACGCATCCCGCGCCGTCCTCGCACAAGGCGCCAATAAAGTGATCCAATGGGTGAAGCGCGAGGAAGAAAGAGTCTTCATTATCGGTGGTGCTGTGTTCTAGGAGGATGGCTTCCGGATCCAGAAGTGAGGTCTGCATCCGCCTTCGGGTGTTGAGGGTATCGAGGAGAAACAACCTCTGAGTGTCTCGGCTTTAACCGCGTCCTGAGCTTGTTGTTCGGCCTTGAGCTGAACACATTTACTCTATCAGCATGTTTCCCGTAGGAAATTGGTAGCTGCTTGCAGCTGCACGGAAAGAAATAGAAGACCATAAGGAAGATACAACGAATGCGGATATTCCGAGAGCCAAGTGACTATCCCACTTGGGCCAGGACCTCGGTTCTAGTGATCACGTCTTCGTATTTTGCGAACCTACTCTCGTGGGGTAATGACTTGGGCAAATCTGTCGATATATGTACTGGACAGTACACTCAAACAGCTCTTTCACATTCTCGAAATCTCGGAGACAACTTTATCAAAGGACAAACTCACATCTCCCAACACACCACCTGAACCTGCACCTGTTTGTTCTAACGACTCCTCGTTGGTACTTTCAGGACTCTCAACTGTTGGATCGTACGTAACGGTACCGAGATCAGATTGAGTACTACTGCTTGACCGACGGAGGAAGCCAAAGTATGGACTCATTCGCTTCAGTTGCCAAGAGGGACGACGTTTATGTTCTATTGAGGACTTCCGCGCAGCAGCGATGTCTGTTGGAGGTGGAGTGATGTCGGAAACTTTATTCGACTTCCTTCTGGGGCGAGATCTGTTTCGTGCCTCTTCATTGTCGGAGCTTGCAGTACGTTTGGCTCCTTCAACCTTGTGAATCGCATCACGTCTGTAGCTACCATATTCTGTTGATGCAACGAAGTGCTGTTGTATTTCTTCGACGTGTGGTTCGAATTCTGGCGCTTCAGATGGATATCTTGCTGCACTGCATGCGCGAGAATCGAAGTATGTCTCGTGTATTATAGGGGGCATTTGATGGATGACAATGGGTATGGAGCAACGTGTAAATGATATGGGTCTTGGAACGATTGTTAGTCAACGTACTGATGACATTAGAGTATGTTGACTTACATCTATTTAAAAACCTTTTTCTGCCGCTTTCATGAAAAGGTGTCGTCAGTATGGTGTATGCTTGTTCGATGTGATTGACTCATTAAGTTGAGCATAGTATTGGAAGAGAATGATACACATGTACATATGGAAGATAAGGTATGTTTATAGGTAACTTTTCATTCCATGCGGGATCTATCGTAAAGCATTAATGCAACTGGTCTGAGCATTCGATGGAGCAGGTTACCTCTAGTTCAGTTGGCGGTCTGGCTTCTAGCAGGTAAAATGCTAAATTCTGGATTGTGTCATAGGCACTATCACGCTGTGTCTGTAGTACATACCTGACCAACGAGGACTTCCAGCCACCACTAAGGTTTTCGCTACGAGTTGAATCGCATGGTGCTTTCATTACGTTAGATGCAATTATCGTTGAAATGACTTGAGTCGAAATGGACGGCATATATGCTGCGAATGCTACGGGTAGGCACTTTTTATCCATGATTAAAATAAGTAAACATTGATGCTTTCTTATTACGAGGTGAAGCCAACCCGAGCAGACAGCGGAAGCACATTTCTTCCCACCTCATATTCAGCCCTATGGACCCGAAACGATCTATCCTTAGCGTGCTGTACCCCACAAATGCTAACGCTGCAAGTAACCGTACCAGGTCCGAACTAAAGGGGCGACACACTGTCATCAAGTATATCATATCAATCCGCTTTGTTCCAGACCACCCAAAAACAGCCTAAAAGCTCCAAGTCAACCCGACCTGCCCTTCGTCATTGAAGCCTCCCTCCCCTACTGCCACTTCCACTCCCACTTCCAGATCGGGAATGTCTTGGCCTCACACGAGCAATCACCGATCGTGCACCTTGGATCCAACTTCGCACCTTGGCCTTCAGTCGTTGCCTGTGCAACTTCTCGGCGAAACGCCGCATTGGCTTGATATCCGAACTCCTTCTATTAGCAGGAAGGTTAGAATCAGATTGATTTGTTGGCTGTGGTACGATTTGTGGGGCATGACGGTCTTTCCATGTGATATCATCATACGATTGAGCTCCTACTTTGGCTGTGTAAGGAACAGCAATCCTAGCCCGCAGATTGGAGATACGCTTTCGCAGACTATGGGATCCATGAGCTTGCGAACTATCGTCCGAGAACACGCTTCGAGCTTCAAACACCCCTCCAACACTCATTGGTGGACCACGCAAAGAATAACCATCCTCGTCCCGATTTTCGTTCGCGGGCGATGAGGTGGTCGTCCCTGCGAACATTGGCTCCGATTCTTCGCTGTGATAGTTGCTGTTCGCGCTGGTCTTTCGTGAATGCAAATGCCTACCGAAGTTTCGGAAGAGATTGTCGATTCCTGGACTTGGTGTGAACAAATCTTTTGGATTCTGCAAATGTATGCCGTTTGAGGGTTCTGCGTTTTCATTATCTCGTGTAACTCGCACCGTCCCTTGTGTTGAGTTTGATGCCCGAATAACTCTAAGTCTGAATTTTGGCTGCTTTGAGATCGTAGGTTTATCATTGAGGTGACTTGACTGCAGACGAGCGTTAAGATTTTCATTCAACCATGAATCATTGTTTTCAAGATTCCATGGTTGTGAACTAAGAGGTGAAAGAGATCTCAGAGCGGTATTGCTTATACCTTTGAGCTTCAGCTTTGGCGCCGAGTTCTTATTTGCATTTTGTTCTATATCGTCCTTGGTGTCTGTGTTGCTGGCTATCTCTGGTTTTGCGCGAATTTCAACTTGCTCTTCATGCACTGAAGGGAGCTTCTTGCCCAAGTTATGAGCGATGCCTTCGTGCTGGGCTGTGTCTATTGACGATTTGCGTGGCAGATCCGCGACCAAAGATGTGAACAGAGATGGTGATTCTTCAGTATGCGAGTGAGAATGGCCAGGAGGGGGCGGCGAAGACTGTGCTGGCTCTGACGGTACCGGTGGGAGTGCTTTCATAAGCCGCGGGATACTGTTCTTCAACTTCAATTGCCTCGCTGGTGATATGGGCTTTGGTGCAAGCATTGGAGACTCTGGACGAGAAATTGCTTTCTGGGGTATTTGGTGACTGAAGTTCGGGACATCTTTGGCAACTTGTGGCGGGTCTACCCTTCGTGCTCTCTGATTATTCCGCTTAATTGGCTGTCTCTGTGCTAACATCTGCAATTCCCGCCCTCTCTGCTGGGCAAACGAAGGCGCTGATGGTTTACCGGAGTCCCCGGCAGATGCGTCTCGTAATTTCGACTTTTCGGGTATGGTCGGAGATGTCATAGGAGTTCTTCCAGGTGGAGCAAAGATGCCATCCTGCTTGTTTTCATGGGGCTTATTCGTACCCTGAATGAGTTCCGTCAACTCGGTCAACCCAGTGTTGATCGAATTGAAACCACTAGATCTTGCTCTAGCGCGCCCAGAAGGCGGAAGGCATTGGCTTTCCCTCGAAGTCCTTCTTGGTTGGTCCTTCTCACTTGATATTGGCAACACATCAAACGATCGGCGAGTCTCCGAGTTGACCAGGTGAGTCCTGATTTTGCTTCCAACTTGTTTGTCTTGTGAATCTTTGGTAGCATTCGGCTGTACTTGCTCGTCACCCATGGGCGGACAAGGAAATTGTGCGAATTGAGAACCCAGACTATAAGAAGACGTTCTGGTAGACTGCGGTTCCCTGTCTGATTCAAAATGATCCTCACTCTTGACTGCAACATTCTCTCTCTGGAATAGTCGTTTCTCGTTGTTCGTCTTGCTAACATCAATCAAAAATGATGACGACGATGGCAGTCCAAAAGCCTCTTCAACATGACAACTTAATTCCCGAGCCCCGTACCCAAGGCCTGATAAACGAATGACCTTCTTGCGTTGCTCAGCGTCATAATTGACTTCTCCAGTTCTCTGGCTGTGTCCCTCGTCATCGGGGAATGAGGCCGCATCAACGTGTTCCGGCTGGGCTGAGTTGTCCAATTTCGACGCTTGAGATTCTTCAATATCCGGCCGATCAGACGACGAGGAGATTATTGTCTGAAAGCGACTGGTATCATTTGAGAACATGTGCTGAGAACCTCCTGTAGCTGGCCCCTCGGCACTCATAGGACGATCTTCGGGAATGGTCTTCTCTATACGGAACTGGGGTGGCGGATCTAAGACCTGTGGCTGGGCACAGACTTCAACCTCAAAATCTTCCGTGTAGTCATAGTACAACGGAGAAGGAGGGTGTAGTTTTCCAGGTGTCGTAGTAGCGGAAGAGGTAGGCAATGTGGCGTAAAGATTTACGGTCGAAGCTACACTGAGTGTACTTCGGGCAGGGGATGTGTTTCCAGATGCCGTTACGTGCCTGCGTTGCCAGTCGCCACCCGATAGTCCATTTTGTCGTGGTACGAGGGGACTTGATGACCGTCGTGGAGGTGAAGACTGGCTCAAGAGAGAAGGCGTGGATCTGTTTGCTTCATGGCGTAAGGACAGCGGCGGCCTACGTTTTTGCGCATACAATGATGCTGGAGAAGACGTGCTTTGACCAGCACCCTGGATATGGTCAGTTAGTGTGTCGTAGGAGCATTATCGTCGCTGAAGTCCACCATAGAACGGAGCTTCGAAGCAACAATACAGCAGGTGTTGGACAAACACTCACGTATGGAGCTCGGCCAATCTCAACACGCCGACTATAGTCGACTGCTCCTCCATCAGTCAATGCTGGAGAGGACGGGCGAAAGCCTGGACGCTTCAAGCGTGTCGGATACGCAAAAGGAGATCTCGGTCGTTGGATGACGCCATTTCCATCAGGTTGACTCCTCAAACTCGTGTATGATCGATGATTGGATAAAGTATATGAAGAATATGTTTGGGTCATTGAATACGAACGATAATCAGGGTCGTCGAAGGTACGGCTAGCTGACTTCTGACTCGCAGTCTCGTACATCGACAGCGCTTCAGAAGAATTATCCCGTGCATACGATGGTAGACGACGCCGGTCATCGACAATAGGAACCCCGTATGGTTGGAAAGCCTGTCTCGTCTTCTGCATGTCAATCTCACTGAGACCTGTCCCAATCCTTCGTGGGGTATTTGAGGGGTTTGGAACGCGTGAGGGTTTGATGGAGAACATGCCAATGTCCCCAGTTTCTGTTGTTGTCTTCAGCATTGTTTCGAGGCCTTTCGGTACGTTCGAGGGAGACCGGTTTTCCCGGCCTACAGGACTGGATCCATGGCGCATCGGATCCCGTTCATTGAACACTCGAGGACGTGCTGCGAAAGTATCACTAAATCCTCTATCTCGAGTGCTTGGACGAGCATTCGGTGAGAGAGCTTCCATTGTTTGCGCTTTCACAACAACAATTCTGGACAGAAAACAGCGTTCGACGAAGAAGGTGTTCGGATTCAGGAATGAAGCGTTGAAGTAGAAATTGGCTCCATTGGCAAACGAGAATGATTACAAGATGGAAGTCAACGTGTGAAACCAAGTGAAATTGAATTGGATGGAAATAATGGGTTTTTGGTTGTGTTGGGATGGAAGAAAGAAACGGTCCCTTTAGATGTACTCGAAATGGCAAGAGCACGCCAACTTCGATACTCGTCGCAGAAAAGGAAGTCGCGCTCCAACAACAATAAATCACCACACTCTGGGGAAATCCAAGACCGCCTTATAGAGACTCTTTGTTTCTTCATCATGCTACCACAAGGTACAATGGATTACTTCCAGAGAAAATTGCGAGCTTTCATCGCATTCAAATGAAGTTCTGACGAGCAATACTTCTGCACTCATGCATGCTCGGAATAGCTCCAGCTTGGCAAAACAAATATTCTCCCCTACACCGTATCTGATAATCCTCCAGAATCAGTTTGAAGCGCCCGACTGGTATGACAAAATTGGCAATAACTACAGTACCTAGGTAGTTGTGGAATGTTTAGAGACTTGTTTTGTGGCAATTCTTATGGTCGTTTCCACCCAAGTGATGTGGCACTGTCAAGCTTGTTCGACTTTCATGACAAGCTTCACGGCAACACGCTGCAAGGGGAACTTGAAAGTCTTCAGTCCTGAGACTTATGTTGTTGAGCTCTTCCCCAGGAAATCAGACGCAATCCATCTGGATCATGCCACTGAATCTCATGCCTTGCCATGTAGAGATGACATATTGCACTCGAGTAGTACAAGAACATAAGCAAATTCGGGTAGAGGCTGACAGGATCAATCACAATCTCGTCGTTCTTTCATCACCAACACCACCCGACATCAGATGATAATTTGCTTGAATCCCACCTGCAAGACTTGTCCGACTGTTCATCAATCTTCGGTAGGAGGACCGTGTTGACAAGAAAGGGGCGCATGAATAGAAATAAGTGGGACGGTTCGGAGTTAGACAGGATTTACCTCTTTGCCTAATCAATGCTCAGCAATCACTATAAAAAGAGTAGATTAAAAATCAAGGTTAATGTACCTCCAACCGCTGACCTTTGTAGTCCAGAAAAGGGGGCCGCGGATGAGAAACCGTGTTCTCTTTTAGACGCGCCTCAAACTACGCCTGGCACAGCTGAACGCTAGCCCGATTAACCCAAGATACCACATCTCCTCATTGCCGTACTCGCTCACTCATAACTTCTATCTTTTCGTTCCCCTCCACAATCCCAATCCACCTTCTTTTATTTTCGACACTGCAAGAGGTACGTCTGTAAAATACTTCATTTGCACCCAATCATTTCTCCTTCTGCACCATATTTCACATTCCTCGGAGCATTCTTGTATGCAGCTGCTGGACCAGGAGCTCTTCCGACTAACGCACTGACGCAGGACCCCCCATTACCTCAAAAAGTACAGTCGATATGCGCACCTTCTCAACTTTGGCCCTTGGCCTTGTCAGCGCAGCTGTTGCTTCAGCTTCAGATGTGTCTTCTTTGACAAAGGATACCTTCCCGGACTTTGTCAAGGACAATGATCTGGTCCTTGCAGAATGTAAGTTGCCCCTCTACCTCCACTGTCTTTGCTGGCTTGCTAACACCTTTTGCCTTCTAGTCTTCGCAGTATGTTATCCTCAAATTTTAAAACGTTGAACATTGCTAACTTCTTGTCTCTCAATTCAGCCATGGTGGTAAGTGGTCATCGTTGGAAGACACCTGTTCATAACTCAGATTACTAATATGCGCTGCAGTGGTCACTGTAAAGCTCTTGCACCAGAATACGAAGAGGCCGCGACTCAATTGAAGGAAAAGAACATCAAGCTTGCCAAGGTTGATTGCACAGAAGAGGCGGACCTCTGCCAAAGCTATGGTGTTGAGGGATACCCGACTTTGAAGGTCTTCCGCGGTGCCGAGAACGTTACCCCATACTCTGGCGCAAGAAAAGCACCTGCGTAAGTCATCCTGCTATTCCAATGCCGAATGAAGACCATGGTGCTAATTCGTCTTTGTCACAGGATTGTCTCATACATGACCAAGCAATCGCTCCCTGCCGTTTCGATCTTGACCAAGGACACACTGGAGGACTTCAAGACCGCTGACAAGGTTGTTCTGGTTGCATACGTCGATGCTGAGGACAAGACATCGAATGCTACATTCACTGCTGTTGCTGAGAAGCTTCGTGATAACTACCTCTTTGGTGCCAGCAATGACGCTGCTTTGGCTAAGGCTGAGGGGGTTACTGCTCCAGCTATCGTTCTCTACAAGTCCTTCGATGAGGGCAAGACCATCTTTGCCGAATCATTTGACGCTGAGGCCATTGAGAAGTTCGCTAGCACCGCCTCCATTCCCTTAATTGGCGAAGTTGGCCCAGAGACATACGCCGGCTACATGGCTACTGGTATTCCATTGGCCTATATCTTCGCCGAGACCCCAGAGGAGAGAGAGACTCTCTCAACCGCGCTTAGATCGGTCGCTGAGGAGCACAGAGGCAAGGTCAGCTTTGCTACTATTGATGCAAAGGCATTTGGCGCACACGCAGGCAACTTGAACCTCAAGGCCGACCAATTCCCTGCTTTCGCCATCCAAGATACCGTCAACAACAAGAAGTATCCTTACGACCAGGATGCCGAGATCACTGCTGAAACCATTGGTAAATTTGTGTCTGAGTTTGTCAGTGGCAATGTTGAGCCAAGCATCAAGTCCGAGCCTATTCCCGAGAAGCAAGAGGGTCCAGTCCAAATCGTAGTTGCCAAGAATTACAATGACATTGTTCTCGAGGAGGACAAGGATGTTCTGATCGAATTCTATGCCCCATGGTGCGGTCACTGCAAGGCTCTCGCTCCCAAGTACGACATCCTCGCTAAGCTCTATGTCGATGCCGGTTACACCGACAAAGTCACTATTGCCAAGGTCGATGCTACCATGAACGACGTTCCTGATGAGATCCAAGGATTCCCCACCATCAAGCTCTACAAGGCCAACGACAAGAAGAACCCCGTTACGTACAGCGGTAGCCGTAGCATTGAGGATCTTATCAAGTTCGTCAAGGAGAATGGCTCATACGGCGTTGAAATTACATACGAGGAGGAGACTGCTGAAGCACAGAAGCCAATTGTCGAATCAATGGCTGAGCAAGCTGCAGCTGCAACCGAGTCCGTTAAGAGTGCTGCTGAGGAGGTTAAGGAGACTGTGAAGAGCAAGGCTAGCGAGGCTACCGAGGCCGCAAAGACACCTGCTGCGGAGGATCATGACGAGTTGTAGGCAAGCCGCTGGATTGGAACATTTCCCTTTAACCTGTATCAACTCCTACAAATGAGGACGGGCGAAACAGTTGGGCTTTTATGGATGATGGGATCTTGGCCGGATAATAAAATTGCATGATCTTATTTGAATGAGAGCTTTTACTTGGTGATTACGTGAATTAAATTTGAAGTACCTGCATCGAGGTCTCTCGTGTTATATTGAAATTATCCCCCTATTGCGGCTTAAAAGCGCCTCTTGAAAGCTACTCGCTTGCGGGTCCAATTTTCCGGGGAAGCAAGCCAAGCTTAGAGAACACCACTTCTCTTACGCTTAGCAACTATTAGACTTGCTGCCAACAATTGATTCCCGATCTCCAGAAGTCAATTACGCACCTCATCTTGAATCGTCTTGTCCGTAACAAACAATGGCTTCGCGCATCCTTTCGCCGGCCATGCGCGTCATGTCAACCCCTTCCGCTGCTCTCCGCACCTCTCGAAGCTTTCAAACCTCATCCCGGAAACTCGCAGAGGCCACACCTCTACCAGTAAGAAAGCCGGTTGGCGCTTTCAGAGGAGGGTCAGTTCTTGTCATTCTTAACTGTCGAATCCTGCGATGTCTAGGATGTTGGAGTTGCCGTTGCTCCGAAGATGTTACTCTATCTGCAATGAAGCTTTCAATTTTCCTTTAGGTCTGGAACTTTGCAGCAGGTTGCTAACAAATCTTTCTTTATAGGCTGTTCGGATTTCTCCTTGGAAGCACTCTCGCAGGAGCTGGTGTCTATTACTACATCTTGGAGGAGTACAAAGTTTCGAATGGGCTATTGACCGAGGATATCTACGTGCGTTTTTGCATCTAGTCCTCTCGTTCTTGATTTATACAGTAGAAGACCTTCCAGAGAAGAAGACTCTTGATGGACCCATAGCTTTCAAGAACTGGAGCTAACCTTTCGATGCAGAGTCTACAAGCTTCGGTACAACGAGTGCACAGCTACGTTCAGACATTGGAGGAAAAGCTTACGGAGTTGGAAAAGAAGAAGAAATGAAGTCCAAGAGATGAATAATACGTGGTTAATGCAGAACATCTATGCCGAGGGTGGGACTTGTGGAAGCTCTTTCGGGGACGTTTCTCTACGTACATGGCAAATATCCAGCAGGATTGTAAAACAGCTCTCGATCATTCTGCATTGTTGCTGCGAATGCATTTGATACCAAGCAGCCGAATGCAAATCTCCACAGCGTATCAATATTGTTGTGCTGGCGTTGTGCTGTGCTTCATATGGCCACCATCCGCCACTTTACCCAAGAATTATGTAGCCTCGCCTCTTGAATTTCTTTCACTTCCCACGCGCCTTTCAATCACAACCTCCACATCGCCGCATTTCATGACTTTACGACACGAATATGAATTTCGGCGTCAGAGAGGTCGCACTCAATTCTAGAGCTAATGCTGCTCCTGGGTGGGCTTATGTCCCAGATACAGGAGTCAATGCCTCCGTCACAGCCTTGCAGCCTTCCTCTCGGAAACGCGCTCGAAATCAACATGTAGCCAGCCACCAAGAGACGACAGCGAAGCAAGATGCAAAGATTCTGCGAGAGCTGGTAGCTCTGGATCGAGAAAACCATCGAGATGTATCCATTCCGGTGCCTATACGGCATCGCGATAATGCTGGAAGAGGTATTTCCCCTCTGGGCATCGCATCTTCTCCTGAATTGAACTGATATGAACGATATAGTGAGCCATGGCAAAGTCACACCAAACGTTCGAAAGATCCTCCAGTCTCAGAAGACATTCGCAAACCATCTCTCCGACTATGAAGCCCTGGGCTCTCCCTTAACAGCTTCGACCGCCCTCACACAGCCTTCTGCCACAATCCCAAACACACCAGCTGCTCGCGCTACACCAGGCTCAGGAGCACCACATCTTACAAGTAAAGGCACCCGTTCACACAAGAAGAAAGACCCAACCGCTGTCTCAACACCCACCCCTCTCCGCAAAGTCTTCAGCGCCGCACAACTCACCCCCGCTGCAGTGAAATCCGAATCAAGTACAGCAGATGTGCCTATGCCAGACGCACCCATTCTCTCACAGGGTAACGGGACGATACCTGCTGCACATCCTCTAGACAAAGATCCGCTGCTAGTCTCAAGGATACCGGGGATGCCTTCACAGACGGAGATAGACAAGTTATTAGCTGCGCCGCCTTTGACTTATAATGAAGCGAGAGGACCTTGGGTGGAGGAGGACATGAGGAAACCTGTAAGGCAGTTCTGTGAGATTTGTGGGTATTGGGGGAGAGTGAGATGTACAAGGTGTGGAGGGAAGGTTTGCGCTTTGGAATGTCTGACTACTCATCAAGAGGAGTGCTTTTCAAGATATGGCGCATGAAAGATATACGGCTTCTGATTGAGATGGCGTCTTTGGCATGATTATCATTTGCTGGAGTCATGGCACAAGTCAAACCCCTATAATGAGGAGGAGGGGTAATAAGCAGAGCTGCAGAGCCATTCGCATGTGTATACTATGCATAATGTACTTTGTGATCTTGCAAATTTCTGACGCCAAATTATCTGTTCTACAAGGTACTTTTGAAATCAAATCTCATACCATTGGTTTTCATTAGGGAGAAAAGTTATATCTCTCGCTACAATGCAAATAACTAGTAACGCCAAAACACCTGGGTATACCCGTCGTAAGCACAGCCAACCACATCAACTCTTTCGAATTCCGCAGACACCACACATGACAACATCTCCTGAATTCAAATAAATCCCACCTTTACATCCTGAGCTACTACATTTCCAACTGTTGGGCACAAATTCTGGTCTCAAAACGTTCAAGCAGACCATGCAGGTCAACGCTGTTGGTTCGTTTTCGACAGAACAGACCGGACAAGCTTCACTACTAGTAGTCGTAGAGCCTCGTTGTCTTTCGATTTTGGGCGATGGTCCAATAGATACGGATGTTGGATTGTTGGATGTTGGTTTAGAACCCTTCTCGGGTACTTGTTTTGCAGGCAGATTCTCAGTGAGGGAATCCGTGGTTGATTTTCTCTCTTGTCGTTGCACCTCAATGTCCGGTGAGACTAGAGAAGATTCTGTCGAGTTTCTGTTGATTTTTTCGTACGTTGTATCCTTGGAGAGCTGAGTCCGTTGTCCAGTACGCTTGGGAACTCCCTGAAGTTCCAATAGTTCTCTTTTCACATCATCGTCATCATTGTCCTCGTCTCCACAGACCTTAACCATGCCTCCACCTTTTCTATCTAGCAGCCGCAAGCCATTTATATCGATCGCGTCGTCTGGCTCAGCCTTGATTCTTGGTTCATCGTTATCGCTCTCTGCTTCGCTATCGGTCACCAGATCATTGTCGGACATTTGCGATTCCTCTTTCTTGACTTCGAATCTTGCCAAAGCAGCAGCGGCACGAAGTTCTCTGCCTCTCGCACTTCCTGCTACTCTCGGCTTCCCAGCAACGCGTTTGCCCTTCTCCAGCTTTGTCTTCGTTTCGTCATCTGCTCCGAGGGCAACCCCGTTGGTACCAAATTTCTTCCGAATACGCCGCTCCTGCTTCTCCTTGTACGTGATCTTAGGTTTGGCGTTCCTCTTTCTGGCCTTGGACCTGAATGTCCCACCACATACAGGGAGAATGACATCAGTATCGAGTTCTTCCTGCGTAAAGGCCCCATTCTCTAATAGCACGCCTTTTCCCCAAAGTCCGTCCCCGGTGTAGCCTTTGTCCCATAAACCCTTCAAGTCGGTCGCAAATTCGTTACGTACTGCCCAGAAAGCCTTCGAGTGGTTCATTTGCTTATTATGCGCCAGCTCGTGCATCATAACAAGTTGGACTTGACGGAATGGGATCCAGCGACCGGTGTAGGGCGATTTGAGGACTAATTGAATTACTTCACCATTGTTGAAGTTGCGACCTACATTTTATCAGTTTGATGGTCCGATCAAGTGCGGAGACATTACCTGCGAACTCAAGATTTGGCTCATATTCTTCGAGTGATACGACCGCAAGATGATGCTTGTTCATGATAGGCAGACATTGCGCTGCGATTCTTTCTAGAAAGTCCTTCGCAGTGTTGAAGTCTGGGCCAGGCAGAGGCTTGATCTAGGCGCCGGATAATGAGAAGTTGCTCGAACATATATCTTGGAACCGCAACGAGGAGACTTACAAAAACGATGTTCTTATTTGGTTGAGACGTCCGAGAATTGATTCGCTCCCAGCCTAAAGGCATCTTGACTGTTGTTGTTGATCGTTGGTTTTGCGAAGTTGAGATTGAAATTGATGACGGCGTTTTCTTTTCGAGTGTCGCCAAATCACGAAACGCGTCAAAACGTGACCTCAAGTGGCGTGACCTTTGTGCTCGAAAAATGTCCTAGAAACCTCTGGACATTGCTTAATTCCTCCAGTCTTGCAGAAAATTATTTGCGTGGGTACATTAATTAGTTTTAGTATCGTGCAGTATATAGAAGATTGAATCGTACACACGAAAGTCTTCATTTGTACGACTTTTGCATCTCTCCTCTACCCCGCCATGTACCTAAACTACCGAGAGTATTTACCCCGCTGCTGTATGTGTCTTGGGTAGTAAAACTACGAATCGATTTCCATTTTCACCCGGGATCTGAAGAGAAAGGAGGAAGAACCTCCCATCCGTATACATTAAGGGTTTCCATCTCTAAGAAAAGGCTCTTGTCGTCGACACAATTCAGTTAGTGGATCTCATGACGTTACCGCGACACCGAATAGCGAGAACCTAAGAAGCCCAGTCCAATATCCGAGTGTACCTTCCGTGGCTGGGGTAACATCCGATAGACTTCTTTTTCTTGTGCAGCACATTACTTTCAACCTCGAATTTTGTTCTGTGTACTTTTCAAACCGCAAAGATTTAGACATGGCTCCTTCAGATACCCCCAAGAAACCCTTTCACATTGCTGTTTGCGGTAAGTGATCGCATTTACTTCGTACCTCACATTCACTTCACTTACATCGAGTCAGGCGGCGGAATAGGAGGGCTATGCATGGCTATCGGCCTTCTTCACCAGAACATATCATGCACTCTCTACGAAAGTGCGCCTGCTTTTGCAGAGATTGGAGCCGGGGTCTCATTCGGACCCAACGCTATTCGTGCAATGTCATTGATAGATCCAGATATCAAAAAGGGCTACGACAAGATAGCAACCAGCAATGCATGGCCCGAGAAGAGGAAGTTCTGGTTCGATTTTAATCTTGGGCAGAAAAGTCACACGTGGGGCGATATGAAAGCTCCTGGAGAAGAAATGCTCAGAGTGGCTCAAGTTGTTGCAGGCGATATTGGGCAGTCGTCAGTTCATAGGGCTCGCTTCTTGGATGTTCTAGTCGACCTTGTTCCTGACGGAGTTGCAAAGTTTGGGAAGAGAGTAGAGAAAGTTGACAAGAAAGGCAAGAAGATGATACTAACTTTCCATAATGGTTCCACTGCGGAAGCTGATGCAGTGATTGGCTGTGATGGTAAATGAGCTTTCTATTCATCCTGTATTCCTATCCGTGAATCTTTCTTGGCCACCTGGTCATGGACCTTCAATAAGATTAGATATGAGCCCGAGACTGCATAGTTGTGTTGAGTGTAGTCCTTAGCATATACTAAATGCTTACTCTCCTGCTTGGCAGAGAACATACTGCTAATCCGGTGTAGGTGTGAAATCAAGAACAAGACAGATTCTCCTAGGGGAGGATCATCGTACTACCGATCCCACTTTCACGGGAAAGTATGCCTACAGAGGGTTAATACCAATGGAGAAAGCAGTGGGTGCAATAGGAGAGGAATTGGCTAGGAATTCTCAAATGTACATGGGCCGGCATGGACATGTATTGACTTTTCCCATTGAGAATGGAAGAACCATGAATGTCGTTGCTTTTCGGACGAAAGAAGACGGAAAATGGGAAGACGAACGGTGGGTGCTACCGATGAAAAAAGAAGATATGTTTGACGACTTTGCTGGTTGGGGAGACAGTGTGCAGCAGATTTTATCGGTGAGCCTTTTTTCGCCTTACGTATTAAGATTATTCATTTGTTGACAGACAGTAGCTTATGGAGAAACCCGATGTATGGGCATTATTCGACCATCCTCCGGCACCAACTTACTACAGAGGCTGTCTTGCAATTTTAGGAGACGCTGCTCATGCCTCAACCCCACATCAAGGTGCTGGAGCAGGCCAAGCCATTGAAGATGCTTTCATTCTATCCAATCTTCTTGGCCAGGTTGAATCGGTAAATGAAATTGAGAAGGCATTCCACGCCTATGATGCTATTCGAAGACCCAGGAGTCAAAAAGTTGTGACGACTAGCCGTGAAGCGACAGCGATTTATGATTTCGAAGACGAAAAGCTCGGGACTGATCTGGACTTGATCAAGCGGACGCTGGAAACTCGGTACGACTGGATATGGAACGAAGATTTGCCCCAGCAGCTGAGGAGAGCCCGAGAGATTGCGGGACAAAGGGCGCATTTGTGAATTTGCAATTAGTCAATAGAATCGTCTCTGAGCGCGAAAAGCTGCTTCATGACATCGTCTGTCTTGCTCTTAACAGCGTCATGGTACATCCCATTCGTGATGAATCTGTATGTGTCAGCCTCATATGTGTAATGTAAGAAAATCCGGCTTTCGAGGAGAGAAAGGAATGTTTCAGATCGTTGTAGTATCGGTTGTCATAATCCGTCATCTTGCACTGATTGCGGGAAAGCAATGAAATCAATACTTACTGCTTGCAATTCTTGACCAGCTTTGCAGTGTCCTGAGCTAGACCGAAGTCTACGTACATATCATCCACGAAGGTCGCAGCGTAAAGAGGCACTTCATTCCGAGCCAACTGGATTGTATGGTTAGCGAAAGTAACGAAATTGGGTCGTTAGAAACTCGCCTGCCACTGATCGTATAGTTCGGGCCAACCATTGTATTTGGCAAGGACATCTGCAACAGGTGCAAGCTTCTCCAATTCGGGAAAGATGTCAAACATGAATGGGTATATCATTTCACCTGAAAAGAACAAAGGTGCCTCTCGCACTGCGAGTGCCGATTGAGGAGACCCGGCAAGCCACGAGAACTCCTTTAAGCTTTTGCCAACGTGTTCCGCTGCCCAATTGCTAGCTTCATTCTCGCAGTAAATGGCTTCATGTAAAACAGCATAGAGAACATTATCATCAAAACTCAGGGCGCTTTCGAGAGCTGACAACGTAGGCCGTGTGACGAACTTGAACTGGGCGAGGTCGCTTTTCATTCGCAGCACCAGGTTGTGGACGATGTCCAGACCACCATGCATCCCAAAGTTTCGACCCAGGGTCAGAAAGCCTCGAACAGTGAGAACGCCCCCGGATGGTAGTGGCAAGCCAGCTTTGCCTCTGATGTGATAAGCAAGCCCATGCACAGCGTCAACATCTTCTGGATACTTCTGATAGTATGCCTTGTTCCGCCTTCTCATAGAGTTAGCGAGTTTTCGCCTGTGGAAATGAAGTTCTGTCAATCACGAAGTGGCAACTCACTCGACAACCTTGCGATACGTAGCCTTGTATACCTCTTCAGGTGACTTGCCAATAGGTGCAAGCCCACCAGTTGCAAATGCTTCACGCAAACCGTGAGGATACTTGGAAAGGTATCTGTCGCCAAATCAGCATCGACTGAAGTAAAAGCCATTGCTCATCCGCATCGGGATACAATGGAGAGGCCATTGCAGTAAAAAACGGACAAAGTCTCCAGGCACTTATTTTCCAACGAAGTAATGAGACCTAAGTTGGTATGGAGAATTCGGATTTCTGCAATACATCGGGGCACAGAAAGGATGCTCACGTGAGGATACAGAAGCCACCAAAGGATTGCCCAAACAGAGACCTGCAAGATGTCAATATCAAGTCTTGCAACAGTAATGTCTCTTGTACGACTCTGAGAAAATGGGATAACAACGAAACTCTATGCTGTCGAAGACTAGGAACGCTTACCATTTCTTCAACTCTGCGGGATAGTCCTTAGTCAGAGTTTTTCTGATAGCTTCGCAGTCCTTTACAATTGAGTCTGCTCTGAAGAGCTTGAGATAGTCAGCTTGTCTATGGACATCTCCCTGCTCGGCTAAGGTAGCAGAGGTGATAGGATTGCTAAGCCCCGTTCCACGCTGGTCAAGATAGAGCATCTGGTAGCCTTTGTCGAGTACGGTATTAGTGAGAGGGTGGTTTTGAGGTGGTGCACACTAGAAGACACAAGCTTGATATCAGATTTCGGGTCTGCTAATTCGAAGCATTGGATATTCCTGCACAACTTACTGAAAAGCCCGGTCCACCCTGACGACAAGTTAGCTGATGATTCAACTCTCGCATAGGTTGAGAACAGTTGATTCGCCTTGCTCACCTGTAGATACACAAACCAGGGCTTTTGTTGGGTTTTGAGTTGCTCTTCCTCTGACAGAACAGTCACGGGTTTCTCATGCCTGGTGATCGATCGAGCGAAGAGCTGGATGGTTCCACCTGCTGGCTTCAAATGGTCTTTTGGGACTTCGAAGAAGAGTTCCGAGACCTTCAGCTTTCCTGTACTATTGTCAGCATGTTTACTTGTCGAGAATGGTTGGTTAGAAGTGAACTTTTCGGCCACCAACTTCCTAGAATAGAATTTTAATGGAGATACAATAACACGCTTTCAAAACAACGTTGCAAGAAAGGAAATATATGAAATATGAAAGTAATACCAGAAGATAGCCGCAGGCCTTCATAGAGTCTGGCTGATGTCACATGATCCAAAAAGCCTTACCTGGGACGAGATGGGATTTGGACTCAAGAAGCCTGGCAGCCATGTTCGGAGACAGTAGTATGTCAAGATGGTCTCTTATGACGTGGAATAGTTGGAGAAAAGTGCCGCAAGGATGGCTGGCTCTGGTGGTGGAAGAAGTTGAGGTGAAGAAGAGTGGAGGAAATCGTACGGGTAGGTTTTGGCGAGCCATTTACAGCAAGTGGCTTCAAAGCGGCAACCGCACAAAGTTCTCTCCAAAAAACCTGCACAAAGCGTTGAGAAGCTGCGCAACACAACGAAATTCGAGTCCTCTTCAGGTAAGTAAATAACATCTTAGAATCACCTAGTTGCAGTTCGATATACCCATGAGTGGCATGAGAAGCGTCTACAATGTATGGCAAGGCCACAAACATGAGCGATCCTTGTCTTTTATGCGCCGACGATTATTTCTTACTACTGTACTCGATTGTTATCGCATGATATTTTCTTTCAAATACCCGTGGAACTGTTCAAGGACTTTACCATTCTTATAGTGTAGAGTCCTCGATGGAATTTTGCGCATCGCATCACCTCCTTTGCTCCTTCTGCAGCACTAGTGAAATAATAAGTTGATGACCCAACGACTCAAAAGTTCTTTCTCCGTATTCCAACTGATTAGTATCATAGAAATCAAATTTCAAATAATTTCTTACCAACGTCAAGGTCCAATGTGCTAGAATCACAGAATCTTCACACACGGCCGAAAGCACGAACTGCCACTATGGTGAAAGACAAGAAGAACAAGAGCGAAGGTAAAAAAGCTAAGATAGCAGAGAAGAAAAAGAAACAAGAAAAGAAAGGGGAGAAGAAAGAGAAAACCAAGAAAGGAAAGGATATTGGTAGTGATGTCGAAGAAGACGTCGACCTTGATGCTGTCTTAGCAGAGTATGCCAAGAAGCAAGAACAATTTCTGAAGGTCACAGAAACTCCTTGCGATCCTCCAAGAGCTCGAGCTTCTTCTACCTTGATTGCATCACCTGCGACTGATAATGAGTTGTTCTTATTTGGAGGGGAATTCTTCAACGGTGCTCTGGCCACGTTCTTCAATGATCTTTACGTCTATTTCATCAATCGGGACGAATGGCGTTTGATCACATCGCCCAACAGTCCTCTGCCAAGGTCAGGACATGCGTGGTGTAGGGGAAATACAGGCATTTACCTTTTTGGCGGCGAGTTCAGTTCCCCAAAGCAGGGTACTTTTTACCATTACAACGACGTAAGTTGACAATTTCATTCTACAGTCCTCTACCAAGCACAATATATACCTCCCTGGATGATGCACTATTTGCTGGCAAACTCATAAGTAGCGAAAGAAGCCATCAGCTGGGACTCTCACGTTGGGAAGATGCCATTCATGTCGAAGATCATAGGTGTAGACGCATGGACAGGTTTTACCCTTTATTTGGCCTGCACGTACTAAATGTCAACAGTTCTGGCGTTTTGAACCATCAAGTAGAGAGTGGACAAGGATCGAGACCAAAGGAAAAGGGCCATCAGCTAGATCAGGCCATCGTATGACATACTACAAGAATTATATTCTGCTTTTTGGTGGCTTTCAAGATACCTCTCAGCAAACCAAATACCTAGCGGACTTATGGGTATACGACACTCAGAATTTCATTTGGCACAATCCGGCGCTTCCACTAGCTACCCAGAAGCCTGATGCTCGATCATCATTCACCTTCCTACCTCACGAAGCAGGAGCAGTTCTATATGGAGGCTATTCCCGCGTCAAGGCGACAGTGACAGGCAAGCAAACTAAAGGAGGCGGACAAGCACAGCGTAATGTCCTCAAACCACTTGTTCACCAGGACTGCTTCTTCCTCCGAGTTATTCCTCCTGCAGCAGATGCCTCTTCCACTTCACCACCAACAGTACGCTGGGAACGCAGAAAGAAGCCTGTCAACGCACCCAATCCACCACGTGCAGGAGCGACTATGGCGTACCACAAGGGACGCGGGATAGTATTTGGCGGTGTTCATGATGTGGAGGAAAGCGAAGAGGGCATTGACAGCGAGTTTTTCAATACCTTATTTGTATGGAATGTTGAGCGGAATAGATATTTCCCACTTACCTTGAGAAAACCACGAACTAGTCAAAAGAAGGCCCAAGGAGATGCCAGAGGTGGTCGTCGTGGACGAGGACAAGCTAATGAAGAAGAACTTTTGAGAAATCTCGCAGCATTGTCAGCTGGCAAGTCGCTGTCTGAAGATGCCATGGATATCGAAATTCTCAAGGAGGATCCGAACGCAGAAGAAAAGTTGCTGCCGGTCAAGGAAATGCTCATGGAATTCCCGCACCCGAGATTCAATGCTCAATTGACAGTCCAAGACGACGTTCTGTACATTTATGGCGGCACATTCGAGAAGGGGGACCGGGAATTTACTTTCGACGAAATGTATGCTATCGATCTTGGGAAGCTGGACGGCATGAAAGAGATCTTCCGCAGAGAGCCTGAGAACTGGCTTGGAAGTGACGACGAGGAGAGCGAAGACGAAGAAGGTAGCGATGAAGATGACGAGGACGATGAGGAGGATGAAGAGGGCGATATCAAGATGACAGACGAGAAGCCATTGTTCACCGAGAGTGCCAGAAAGTCGAAGCGGAAAGAGAAGGTCGCTGCTGGAGAAGAAGAAAACACCGCTGAATCACCCCAAACCCCTGCGATATTCGATGATACTCCAGATGATGTTACCACTACTACCTCGATTGACGATAATTTACCTCATCCTCGGCCATTTGAGTCTAGAAGGGACTTCTTCCAGCGGACTGGCGATGATTGGCAAATGGTCCTCATGACAAATCTAAGATGGAAGGGGATCCAGCCGGAGTGTCTGTCAGTGAAGGAAATCAAGACCAAGGCTTTTGAAATGAGCGAAGAAAAATGGTGGGATTGTCGTGAGGAAATCACAGCTCTCGAGGATGAACAAGAGGCTGCTGGTATTGGAGAGGTTGTAGCTTTGGCTGATAGAGAGGGAACTGGTGGTGCTGGCCGAAGAAGATAGGACAGGACAGGTAGAGATACATGCAGCACATGACGAACAAAATTGCAGAGCTTCCGTATACTGTAGCAATTTTCAATCATTGTTCGGATAAATTGATGTGAGTACTGCACACTGCAGACACGACGCATAGACGTGTGTGCTTGGCAGTTGTGCCAAGATGCACTACGATATGGAGTCATGAGGACATTCAAGAACTTCGGAACTCGACTCATCATTCTCTATATCACTCACCCATCACGACGACGAAACAATTCGGCGCATGACAATAATATATCGGCTCGTCCTTCCTTCAATTACAGCTATGAGATTGAACGCACATGGGAGACCAGATGAAAAATAAACTAAGGAGCCTCATCGACCAACGTTCAGGGGTGCAAAGCTCGAGCGCTGTTTCAGACACTGTTGAAGCGATCACCTCAAACCCCAGCTTCGCGATTTTCGAAACGGATCAATTATCAGATCAGTGGCATCTTGGAGACGAGATGAAGGCGCAGTTTGATCGTCATCTGAAAAGAATATTGGCGCGAGAGATGACCATGGTGTCAAACAACCCAGGCTTGGCTCATAGCGAGTGCTACTTATGATGCTGATCCCGTCTGATGTTTCTTCCTTTTCTGCTTCTCCAGCTATTCGATCTGTGATCACCGCCGTTCGTTCTTTTAGTGTTCTAGTTTGTCATTATTGTTGAATTTTCAGTTCTATTATATTCTTTCAGCCAAGGCTTGACGTCTTTTCAATTCTCAAAAGAACACCTTCCTTCCCGCTATCTCGCGAAATAATACATCTACCATCATGCACGCCTCAAGCATCATCAGCATTCTGCTCGCCGTCTCTGCCACTGTCTTCGCTACTCCTTTCCCTGCAATCAATCCAGATCACCTGGAGATTCTTCGTCTTCGAGCTTCGACCACCGTGGATCCAAATGCCGTTACAGATACGACGTGCATAGATACATCGGCGTAAGTCCATAATACCAGACGGAGTTGGCCTTCCTACTGACAATGCACATAGGAATATCGTATTTCACGAGTAAGCAAGCCTCTTTCCTTTCAGCTCGGAGAGAATAGGAAGCACACACGTTTCAGATCCTGTGTAACCTCTATTGGAGATTCCGGTATCGCTTGGATAATTCAGGTTTGCTAATATAGCAAAGTCAAAATGTTGCAGAACTTGCCATATGCGGTGGAATAGCAGGCGCAATCACGAAATGTGGTGGTGCTCCGACATTGACAACTGGCTCTTCCGGAACAGCCCTCTTCAACCTCAACGCTGTCACATCTGGTGCAACGATCAACGTCAGCAAGGGGAGATGGGAAGGATGCGTACGAGCGGCGAGAGCTGTATGTCCTACTGGTACCTTCAGCTCGACTTGCATCGGAGGAGCCTCCACAGGAAATGTTGCGTTTACGTTGTCGGCCCAATAGGCCCTTCACCATGCGGTCCCAGAGATCGTGTCGAGATAAACAAACCAGATACGAATAGATGCGAGATAGAGAGTTGCGGAATGTGATGTCCGTAGACGCAAGCAATCAACAAAAGATCGACCGATGCGCCAACATCATGCTTATATTTTCTCTTTTTTTCCAACATAGTGGAGTGGGGCAACCTATTGCCATGCCAAGCCAAGCGGCTTTTCAAGATTTCCATGATACTGGTAGTTCATCAGACAAGGATGGCGACTTTTTTTCTTTCTTCTCCAGCAAGTCCAACGAACCGCCGGAGAAGTGGCTTGATGACTGATATATGGCTCAACATCGGCAAGGACCGAGTACCCATGCCATTGGCAGGACTTTCCTTATTCGACTCATCGTAATGTGAAGATAGCCACATTACATATTTTCAAATTTTTCTCATGCTAAGCGCCTCCGAAGTTCAAAGAGACTTTCATTGTTCAATCTGCCACAGTGATCAAATCCCGGAGTTTAAGGGAAAGAAAGGTTTGGTCTTGGTGTCCGGTCACTGCAGCTTGCATGTGCATGCTGCATGCTAATTTGTAGAAATAAGCATTATCATTATCTCCTCTCTCTTATCTCTGGCAAGTTGCATACGAAAAACGCATCTTCTAGGATCGTGAAGAGGGTCCAGTCTGACGGGTGCAGAAGCTTGGACCGGCGGGACATGTCCCAGATGTCGGTCTGATGCAACATGGACTTGCACGTGTCAGTGGGAGTCGTCGTGGACTCATAGCGGCGCACTCTTACCTGGACATGGTCTGCGGCGGTTTGTAGTGGCATGGTGGTGGACTGCTGTGGCTTGCAGTATACCCCCGCAGCCCAGATTCCGTGATCGCAGAGTTTCCAAAGTCTTAGCAAGTGCTGAACGAAGGAGGCGTCCGCTTATTCGCGGGGTGAGGGGCGGCGGTCAAGCCGAGGAATGGACTAAGAGATATCAATCAGCAGCGTCCCCCCATTTCATCCTTTTCTGACAATTGCCACAAGGTCTCAAAAAAAGTACGGCCAGATATAGATCATCAATTGCCAAGACTTAATCCCCTTATTTTCTGTCTCGTCCCGAGCCGAACTGCACATTTCGCTTTACCGACATTCTTAGCTCCTGGGCATGGCAACTATCAAGATCGACGATTTACCTCTCCCACCCGCCCGAAATCACGATGCCTACACCACAGGCGTTGCCGGTGGTGTCTATCCCATCCGCAGTCGCTCAATTGAGAGACGTAGTTCACGCGGTCGCTCTGCCGAGAGAAAGGGAATGAGACTGGATGATGAAGATTATGGTGAAGAAGGTGCAGGCCTTCGCCAAGATGGCGACTTCAAGAAAAGACAGGTGCGGATGCAAGCCTGCCTTGAAAGTCGTGGTGGTAAACTAAGATCCTATCGCAGGTTTTCAAAGGCAAAATGCTCCTCTATCTGGCTTATCAAAGTATTGGAGTAAGAGCACACAATCTAAGACTTCTGTATCGCATACTGACCTTCCTGTTTAGGTGATCTATGGAGATATTGGCACAAGGTGATTAAGAACATTCCCTACGTCGGCACATTTTTGATGCCCATCAATTGGCCCCTATTCAACTGCTCCGCACAACATACATGCTCATAGCTAATAGCCTGTCAACAGTCCTCTTTATGTCTACTCCTCCACATTCTCGAGCGAGCCCTCTTACCAGGACTTGGTCGGCGTCTTATCTAGTAAGTAGAAAACGTATTTGGCCTCCTGAGTAAGACGTTCCAGATAGGCTGATTTAGCCATTGGCTAGTCATCATATGGAGTCTCACAATGATGGTCACGGTAAGCATTGACAGAACTTAAATGATGGCTATCTCTAATGTTTTAGGTCAAATACGTTTTGGTCATCTTACATGCAGATAATGAGGGCGAAGGTGGTACTTTCAGTACTTACTCGCTACTCTCGAGATATGTATGTTCAGGTTATCTTGATTGGGTCGTCCAGGAGCTGAAAGGATACTCTAGGCCAATATTACGAAACGCGACCCTCGTGAAGCTTCATTGATCAAAATGGAACGTCATCTTACTGGTGATCTCAAGCGTCCGAACAGAGGAATCAGGTCGAGTATGGAAAAGAGTACATTTCTTCGAGGTGAGAAGTCCTAACAATGATCTCTAGCAAGTTACTGAATTTATCTAGGACTTCTAAAGACCATTGGTGTTCTTGCCGTGTAAGTTCCCTATTGTTCGTTTAGTAATTGAGATGGGTCGAGAAGCATGTCTTATCAATGTCCATCAAATTTTTGGGGAACCACAGAGTATCGTTTGCGGATCTGTGGACTAATAAAGTCTAGGACTATGGTCATGTCAGATGGCGTCTTAACTCCTGCTCAATCTGTTCTGGGTGCCGTCCAAGGCCTGAACGTCGTCAAGCCGGATATTTCATCAGCAACAGTTGTTGGGACAACTTGTGGTATTCTCATCCTACTCTTCCTGATTCAACCCTTCGGAACTGAGAAGCTCGCTGTCACCTTCGCTCCCATCGTCATCACCTGGCTCGGCTTCAATGCTGGTTTCGGAATTTACAATCTCTCGAAATTCGACTATACTGTCTTGAAGGCTTTCAATCCTGCTCACGCATTTGAATTTATGATCAGGAATAAGACCGACGGATGGAAAATGCTTGGTGGCATTCTACTCGCCTTTACCGGCGTCGAAGCCCTCTTCGCGGATCTAGGAGCTTTCAGCCGACGAGCCATTCAGCTGAGCTGGCTATGCTACACTTTTCCATGTCTTCTTCTGGCGTACATTGGACAAGCTGCCTATATCAGCGAGCACCCCGGAGCATATTCAAACCCATTTTTCAATTCGGCACCCCCAGGAATGCTCTATCCGAGTCTGATCGTTGCCATTTTGGCTGCCATCGTTGCAAGTCAGGCAATTATCACTGCTACGTTCCAACTCATGGTTAGTCAATCAATTCCATACAGTCTTCATATGGGAACGCTACTCTCATTTAATAAGAGGGGCTAGGCCTTCGGCTTAGAAGGAAGGTATGGATTGGGTAGAGCTCCCACCACGTGACTTAAAAACAAGTCAGAAATATCTCGTGGAAATGGATCGCTCCATTCCAATCTCTCTATTCTGTTGCCAAGTGGGACAATAACAGGGCACATTGCTATGCCGAGGACGGGCACTGAAAACCATCCAGCTCAAATGCTAATCACGTGACTGATATATAGGCTCAAGTCATGAAACTTTCGTATTTTCCTCAGATCAAAGTTGTCCATACGTCCAAGCAGTTCCACGGACAGCTTTATGTTCCAATGCTTAATTTTAAGTCGGCCCGGCTCCGGTTTAATCGTTTAGTATGCTAATTTGTAGCAGGGTTGATAATGATCGCCACGGTGCTGGTTGCCGCTATATACAACAATACCACTTCTCTCGGTAATGCTTACGGAGTCTGCGTTATGTTCGTGACTCTGTTTGACAGTTGCATGGTCGGCCTTGCCGCCCTGATTGTCTGGCGTATCCCGGTTTACTTCGTCTTCTTTCCATGGCTGACGATAGCTCTATTGGATGGCCTATATATGTCGTCGGCGCTTATAAAGGTTCCTCAAGGTGCTTGGTTCACATTGACCTTGTCTGCTGTTCTCGCTTGCCTTCTTATCCTATGGCGATTCGGTAAGGAGCAGCAATGGGCATCCGAGGCTGAGGATCGGTTCCCAACGACGCACTTAGTCAAGAGGGGAGAACATGGACTGATCAAGTTAACGGACAAGTATGGCGGTGATGATCTATCGGTCATCAAAGGCTTCGGAATCTACTTCGACAAGGCGGGAGAGACAACGCCAGCCGTGTTTACTCACTTTGTTAGCAAGCTCATAGCTGCACCAGAGGTTTGTAACCTACAAAATGGCCTATTGTGCCGGAAACATGCTAATGAATATGTCAGGTCATGGTGTTCTTTCATCTTCGACCTATTGAAACACCATCTGTTGCACCAGAATTACGATATACCGTATCCAGGGTCGCCATTCCCAACTGCTACAGACTTGTAGTCAGACATGGGTACATGGACGAAGTGATCACGCCCGATCTCGCATCTCTCATCTTAGAACAAGTCCGAGACTTCATCATCCGCCAACGAGTCTCTATCAGAACAAAAGGAGCCACAAATATTCCAATCCAGCCTCAAGAAATCTCCTTCGAACCCTTGGCTCGGGATGAGAAAAGTATCGGCGACCCAGAATCCAAGGAACAGTCAATCTTGACCTCCACTACGGAAGAGAGCATTGCTATCGATCTAGCCAAAGTCCAGAGTGCTTACGATCGTCAAGTTCTCTACATTATCGGAAAGGAACAGCTTAGAGTCAAAGCTGGGACAAAGTTGTGGCGTAAGATCTTGCTTAGTGCTTTTCTCTGGATTAGGGAGAATACGCGGACCAAGGTAGCGAATTTGAGAGTGCAAACAGATCGTGTGGTGGAAGTGGGATTTGTGAAGGATGTTTGACACTGGTTTTGTTGCTTGCTTTCGAAGCATAGCATGGTGTTGGATTGAGGACGGGATGGAGGTAGTCTCGATGACAAATAGATGGTTGGCTGTGGTGGCTCCGGAGTATTTTTCTTATTGGGGAATCTTGCGGTATTTATGTCGTCCTTCTAAAGAATGCACGTCTTTCTCCATACTTAACATATTTAGCCTTAAACCTGCCTTCTCAACTGACCTCAAAGGCAAGTGATTCCAACCGCTTCCTAGGTGTGTCGACCCCAACGCATATGAGCAAAGCATAAGGTCTTGCCTACAATACTCAAAGTATCTGGCAGATTATTGCAATAGTCAAATAGATCGAAAGAAAGTTCGACCCTTTCTCATTATCTGCCTGGTGCAATTAGTAGGAATGTGCCTTACTATTTTATTGCGGTCCAATGCTCGAACACGATAATCGTAGTCAAGTTGACAGTATGCTGATGAAAGTCAACATACTTTTATTGCGAAGTACGGGGTTGTCGAAGCAGAGAGCTCATTGTACGAAATCGTCGCAGATAATCAGACACGACACTTGCAATTGACATTCCAGAAATCCACCGCAAGGGCTTTAAGCCTCACAAATTCACATTCAGGGAAACAATCAGATGCTGAAATTTCGTGATAGTACATTTTCCATGCCATTTGCTGCAATGCAGTCCAGTCCGTCCCCAAAATCACTACGGGCTCAAACGACTTCAGCTATGCTATAAAAAAAGCCTAGTATACAATTCTCATATCCCTCATTCGTTATCGTCCATGAGTCTAATGTTCGTGCCTGCTTTTTGCAGCGCACTTCTCAATTTGTCCATGACCTCCTTTTTCCTCGCCATCTTGCTTCTCAGTTGCATTTTCTCTTCGGTCGTATACCCACTCATCTTTCTACGAGGCGAGTTTCGTGCATAGGAACTGGCATTTGACATGATTGAGCTCTGAAAACGTTGTGGGGTATCCTTGATGCTGTCAGGTGTATAGAATAGACTCGAGGCTCCTGGATTTCGCATAATCGACCGATTGTTGGCAGGTGTGGCGAACGGGGAGCCTTCTCGACTGCCGGTGCTAATTGCAGAGCTCATGTTAAGTCGACGCATCTGTCCCTCGAGAACATCAATATCTCCACTTCGTTTCTCAGCCATGGTTGTCATCTTGGTGATTGTCTTCATGACGGCCTCGACAGTAGGAACAGATGAGCTAGAAGCTCTGCCGCTCGAGGTAGCTTGAGAAACGACCTTGGCTTTGAGAACTGATAGGCCTTCTTCAGCCTCGGACAGCAATTTCTGAAATTTGGTGTACTCTTTTCGCAGATCATGTTGCTGTGCAGCCTGCTCGGCACTGAGAGGCTGCGCGCGTGCGAGAGCTACTTGAGTAGGATCTTGATGAGAATCAATAATCTTCTTTATGTCTTCATGCTTGGCACGAAGTCGAATCAGATCCTTTTGGAGGTCGTTGCAAGTCTCGAGCTTGGTAGCCACATCCTTAACACGCCCGTCTTCAAGATCTCTCTCGAGATCCTTCTCAATAACTGACGATAAGTTCTCAATTTCCACTAAGCACCAGTCGTCATCTTCCTCGAGATCATCCCTAGTGCGCCCTTCATCTTTGTATTGTTCAGTATGACCTTTCATAAAACATCGCAAGGCTCGTGCATTGAGGCCCAAGGTGTCAATCATAGAATTAATGTCTCGATAGACTGTCTCGACTTGAGCCGCGACGCTGTCTAGTGACTTGATTCCTGTATATTCTGGACGAGTCTGGAAGCCGTCCAGCTTTCTAGAGCCAGTGATATCAGACGCAAGGAACTTCTGAAGGTCATCATCATCTCTATCAACCAACATCTGGGTTTCTTCAGCTTCCTTCCGAGCTCTGGATTCTGCACGTCTCGACTCTTCTTTTTCATGTTGTTCTTTTGAAAGTGTGAAGGTGTCTTGGGTGGGCGCAGAACGGGCAGTGGTAGGTCGAGATCCGAGTATTTGCGAGGCGAATCCTGGAGCACTGGAGACTCTCTCAGGGCGTAGCATCCGACTAGGCACTGGATTCCGGACCGGACTCGGAGATCGAGGGCTGGTAAAAGTCTTTGGCGGCGCTAAAACTGGTGCTTTCTCCTTACTGATTTCACCAAATAGTGATCTCGACTGCGTTGGGATGCTCGGCCTGGAGATGTGCATGAAGGAGGGGTCGCGGCTTTGATTCTTGGGGCCACCGAAAGAGCTTTCTGGAGTGAGGTCTTGTGTGTGATTGGTCTCGGATGTTGGGCTTAGGTCTTTCGCAACATCCTCGCCGCTTCCTTCCTCACTGGCTTCCTCCGCACCATCCTCACTCTCTTCCTCTTCCGTTACGAAGTCAGAGTCGTCGTCACCTTCGTCCTCTGGACCTCCAGGAACGTCACTCGGCGGTATCAATTCCTTCGGAATTGGCTTCGCTTCGTTCTTTTCAGGTAGTGGAGGTTCAGGAGCCGGGGTTGATTTTGGTGCGGGTTTATTTATGAAGTCTGGGGGTAGTGGTGCGTCTTCGGCGGTGGAGGAGCTTGATGATTCTCCAATACCAAAGGTAGACTTGCTAGTTGTGTCTGGTGGTAAGGGTGCTTCTGGAATCTTGGCATTGATACCACGAGCATCAGTGGTCGGCTCTTGTTTGATCTTAGGTGATGGAGGCGTCTTAGACTGCGAAAATATTGATGGGACGGCATTTGGCGTTGGAGTCTTTGGGCCGGTGGTAGTACCAGTTCCCAAATTGCCAAAACCAAAACCTCCAGGTTTCGTGGCATTGGTAGAAGATTGAGCGAAACTGAACCCGGTTGGGCCAGGTGTGGTTGTTGGGGTCGAAGCTGCTGGCTTTGATGATCCAAATAATCCACCAGGTGTGGAAGTTGGGGTTGAACTTGCTGGATTCGAAAGACCGAATAATCCAGTTGATGCAGGGGCTGGGGTGCCAAATATACCAGTCTTTGGTGCTGCGGGTGTGGAAGCGGGTGTCGTTGATGGCTTTTCAGTATCGGGAATCTCAACTGATTTGACAACGTCATCAGAGTCCATGTCAGCTTCTTGAGAAACTGGAGCTTGAGTTGGGGGAGACTTCGCAGTCTCACCAAGAGCACTGCCAAAACCTCCACCGAAGAACGAACTCTTGGATTCATTTGAAGGTATGGGGCCATCGTCCTTCGCAGATGGATCAGCCTTGAACGTTGAGCCAAGAACGAAACCACCAGATGCTCCAGAGCCGAAGGAGGCTGCAGGTTTGTCCTCGGATTTTGCTCCACCGAATACACTGTTGGTGCTTGGGGAAGCAAAGGGGTTTGTGGTGGCGGGTGTAGATCCAAAGATGCTGCCACCGGTAGAGGGAGTTGCAGCAGCTGCAAAGCCGCCCTTCGTGGCAAATGAAGCAAAGCCAGAGGATGCGGGAGCTGCTGTACTTGGAGTCGATGATCCGAATACTGACGTTGGCTTGTTCAAGCCCCCGGCTTGACCAAATGCAGCATTCGGAGCAGTTGATCCAGAGGCCCATGGGGATGGTCGGTTCCCAAGACCAAAGGCTGGGGTGCTAGTTGCGCCGAATGATGGAGTTCCAAATGCAGGTGTCGAGGGTGCAGGCGCCGATCCAAAAGTACTGGATCCGAAAGTTGGACCTGAAGATGCAGTAGGCGTCGAAGCAGCCGGTGCTCCCCAAGGAGATTGAGTCTTACCTAGTCCCGAAGGAGCACCAAAAGCACCTGTTGTGGGAGCAGGTTGAGAAGGTGCCCCAAACGCAGGTTTTGGGGTACCAAATGCAGGTGCTGGAGAACCAAATGCACTTGTCCCAAACCCAGGTGCAGGGCTACCAAATACTCCACTTGCTGCTGGTGTAGGCGTAGGACCTTGTTGAATCGACTGTGCAGCTCCACCAGCAGCTACCAAGCCCGGATAAGGCGTGCCTTGCCTAATGGACTCGGAATAGATAATCCACCATGCCATCAATACACCTTCATTGTTCAGGACCATCAGTGCAGGAACAGGGGTTGGTGTCTCCGCAATCTCTTCATCAGTTGGTATGGGTTTTGGAACCTTCTCTTTACTGGAGAGATCTAGTGCAAAGCCAATGGGAGAAGTATCATTTAACTCTGCCGTCATTGGAAGTGCAGCTCGGCGAGAGTCATCCGTCATCTCTGTCATTGTGAACACGCCTGTGATCTTCTCCGCAGGTTTGGTGTTTGTCAAGGGAGTCTTGGATCTGCTGAAGAGGCCAATGTCTGTCGAAGCAGTCGAAGCAATTATAAGAGCATCCTGTAGGTTTGGTGGGAAATCTTTAAGTCTGAGTAGAAAGTGATGTGGCGGGGATCGATTGAGACCGTACGGTGCAGCAGGATCCGATATTTTCTGATATACGATATTTGCTGGCTTCCCTGGAGGATTTCGTGTTACGACATTGAATGTCGAAAGTGGAGCTTGACTATTGTCAAAGTTTGATGGAGTGTGTACCATGAGAAAAACATGGTTTTCCAGCCAAGTGATCGATGATACTACTTAAGTTAGTCAACTATCCGTGCAATACATAGCACTACTTACCATGATCCCCTTGATCCACATTTGGTGGTCGAGGTATATCGGCTTTCCCTTCTCCTTCGGGAGTCATTTGATATGCGCTTCCGTTAGCAAGTCCAGCCACCAGCTGCTTGCCCTTTGTGCTCCATGATACACAACTAACGCCACCCTTCAAAATTTGTCCATTCGCCCCAGAGACAAAATTCCGCTCTTTAAGATTGGCCATCATAAGGTTTCCATCTGTAGTAACAAGAGCGAGAAGCTCTCCCTTTTCCGGCGTTGGATTTGGTACTAGAGCTCTCAGAGATTGTCCATTCGTAGCAAGCTGAAAGGTCGATTCGGTGGCACCATTTTTCAGTGCTTCAACATCATACACTGCCAAACCACCACCATTTTCTGCTGACAGTACCAAATATGATTCGTCCGCCGTGAACGCCAACTGGGATACTCTCATGGGCATGGACAGTTTTAGTTGAGGTTGAAATGGCTTGACATTGCCATCTCCCGATTCTGAACCCTCGAAAGCTTTCCGTACCGACTCAGTTGAGGCCAATATAACACAATCTGGAGAGGTGGCTGCTATCAGTCCTTTCTGCGAAGCTATGCTCATAAGGCACGCTGTTGGCGGTGGTAATTGGTCTGACGGCCATGCTGTCGGGAGGAGCTGGATCTTTGATTCTCCAGATAGCGCGAGGAATCCTAGAGTCTGCGAACAATTAGAGCCAATTTGAGATGGGATTGTTGAAGTTCACTTACCTCTGTTTGAATATCCTCTAAATCTGCACCGACTTGTATAGTCGAGCCATTTGCCGCTGCCGGAGCAGGACTTCCAAAGCTAAAAGCCATAACTGTTGCAAAGTAGCCTCCTCTTGGAGGGCGGACGGTTCATGGGACACTTTGGCGCATTTGAGGTTGTTGATGAAGTTGAGCCAACGAAGCGCGTTGTCGGAAAATGATTGTACTTTAAAAAGGCGCGGGTAATCGAGGAGATAGAGTGACGAGCAGTCAAGAAGTCGACTCTTGCGATCGAATATCGAATTGTCTTTGCGGTTTAAATGTTGCCTAGCATCTGCGAAGAGCGAGCTCTCTCAAAAATAATTGGTCCGTGCACATTCACTGTCTCGACACGCTCAGGCAGCGCTGCTTTCGCGTCAGATAGCTTCCTGGCAGTACAACAAGCTTACCAGTAACCTTCATCCATCAACCTTCCACGAATTCGACCTCGCCCTCTTCAGCATAATCTCGAAGCTCTGTTCCTCGAAAATCAAACGCAGGTCAACTCTGGGCTTCCCAGCTCCTTACGCCAATATGCCTGGCTTCGACTTTTCAAACCACACCCGCAATGCGGCTCTCCACGCACGAGGTGTGCCACTGCCAAAGGCTACGAGTACAGGAACTACGATTGTTGGATGTATATTTGATGGGGGTGTTGTGGTACGTTTGGCTTTCAAGAGTTGGACACTCTGAATCGATTTGAAGCATCGTTTCATTCCGAAGTCTAGCCTCATCCTTGGGCTTCAGAAGCTTGAATAAATTGCTGATTCTTCTTCAAATTAGATTGCCGCAGATACAAGAGCTACTAGTGGTCCTATAGTGGCCGATAAGGTATGTCTGGAAAGCTTTTCCTACGCAGATAACGAAGCTCACAACTCTTCTACAGAACTGCGAGAAGCTTCATTACATCGCCCCGCAAATCTGGTGTGCTGGAGCCGGTACAGCTGCAGACACTGAATTCACAACCGCACTCATCTCATCACAACTCGAACTCCATTCTCTGTCCACCGGTCGCAAACCTCGAGTCGTCACCTGCATGACCCTGCTCAAGCAACATCTGTTCCGGTACCAAGGTCATATTGGCGCATACCTGGTCGTTGCTGGCGTTGATCCTACAGGAGTTGGACTATTCACTGTTCACGCACACGGAAGCACCGACAAGTTGCCTTATGTCACCATGGGTAGTGGTTCATTGGCAGCCATGTCAGTCTTTGAGACGCAGTGGAAGTCTAAGATGACCGAGCAAGAAGCTATCGATCTAGCATCAAATGCTATCCAAGCTGGTATCTTCAACGACTTAGGTTCTGGATCAAATGTCGATGTTGCGGTTATCACGAAGGACAAGACGACCTTGAAGCGCGGATACATCAAGCCCAACGAGCGAAGCAAGAAGCAGAAGAGCTATGTTTTCAAGAGAGGAACTACAGCTGTGCTCAACGAGAAGGTCATCACTAGGGAAGAGATCAGCAAATATGTCACGGTACACGAACTGGATGGTGGAGAGACGGCGTTAGGAGAGAAAATGGATCTCGATGTTTAGATGGTGGCTTAGGTGGGCAGAGTGTCACAAATGTATCAACATTATTGCTTGGGCAGAATGGCGCACTCCTCTGTGTAATATCAGAACTAACGAAGAATGCATTTTCTCGCTGATGATTGTAAGGTCTCTGAATCTCACACTTTTGGAATGTCCTATGACCTGCGGGTGATTCATACCTCTGAATATCTGCTCAAAGAAATCCAGATTTCCAGAGGGCGTAATGTACAGTCGCAATTTCTTTGAAAAGGAGCTCCTGGAAGTCCTCCAAAGATAGGGCCAGGAAACAGAGATTGTTGAAGTCTTTCATCTTCAGTATCACAGGTTTAATGGTCCCGAAAGCTGGGACCAAAAGATACTCTTAATCTGTACTTTGAAGCTTCGGACTGCAGAATCCCAATTGCAAAGTTGTATTTCTCAAAAAGTGTCAATTTGAGCAAAAGGAGTTCGTGGTGCAAAGTGTAAGAGTTATTCATTATATTTCATTAACACATAGATCATAAAACGGCTTAAACACAACAAATGTGTAATAATTTCATCGCTCCCCAACCATCAAAATCTTCATACGAGACTCGATCTTCAAGCGGACACAGGCTTGGCAGGATTCGTCTGGACTCTCATCTAATTCGACTCGGCAAGCAGTGTACGCGCGGTTTCTTCTCGTAGCTTGACGTCTCGGCGAAACCACTCTCTTCAGTTTGATAGTCCTTCGGGACAAGGACAAGAGAAGGCTTCAGTAAGGATTAAAGGCTGGAAACTGATACGCTGGGACCTCTAGAGCAGCTTGGTGCTCCGGGGGAAACAATGCATCGAAAGCGTCCTGCTTCACGTTAGTAAACGATTTGCCAGCAATACGGGATGACTAACCCAGTCTATATCCGCCATAGGATCATCCATTCCATTACCAGCTCCAGCATTAGCATTGGGAACCGCGGGAACAGGCTGTCCACCGGAAAGACTCATGGTATCACTACTTGCTTCGGGGCTCTGCGAACTCGGAAGTGCCCAGAGACTCTCTCCATTCGATACACCTGCAAATTGAACCTGGGGAATCAGATCCACTCGACCTATGGAGCTCCCCGGAACTCCTTGCAGACTACCAGGACCATATATTATAGGCGAGTTCGGTGCAGGAACGTCGGGTTCGCGCGGCGAACTAAGGTAATGTAGGCCTTTCACGGACGAGTTGCTGAGCACATTCATGTTGCTGTCGGAGACTCGCGGCTCTCTCTGCCCAACATGCTTCTCCATGACGGTCGGCGCTCTCATACCTCTCATACTCTGATATACTGCAGTCTTCTGCTGAAGTTCAGAGAGGATCTTCTTGCCCTTAAGTCTCCGAGGCTCGGCGGGATTAGTCTCGAAGATATAGTCCAGACAAGCCCAGATTCGGTCTGCCTCTTTACGTTGAGGATAGACGTAAACTTCCATAAGCAGTAAGAAAGCCGTGTGGTACTGTTGATAGGCTCCGACGTACCACACCCATGGCTTGACCTCTGGCAATGTTTCGAGAGCGACGGCAGTTTCGACCGTCGTCGTGCCTGAAGCTAACATAATGTTCCGAAGCCTATCTGGCATTGGAGCTACAACGGAATTGTGATACCGATGCAGGACCATAATGTGGAGTCGAGATAATAAGAGTGCCTTGAGAAAAATAAGCTGTGAAAATAATTCGGCGAAGACGATGCTTCGTGGCTGTCAAGAAGGGTCACTTACCTTTACGATTTTTGCGCACTTTTGCAACGGGATCCTGTCGTCTATGAGATGGTCGTACTTCGCGGCCATATTGGCACGGAACGTCTCAATCTTGCTTAACACAGCTGTCAAGCTTATCTTGCGTCGTTCAATCCTAGGCCTATCTACCCAAATGGTTCTCATCATCTCGTTGACCTCAAAGCGAATCAAACAGAAGGTAGAGTCTGTCCAGCGATCGGCACCCACTGGTGCTTTCCCTGTGGCATGAAGGTCAATGTCGTTGACATTGAGTGGTAATTTCGTGTCGAATTCATCACGCCTAATTGTCGGTCGTGGTCCTTGTGCTTCACAAGTTCGTATATCCAGGAAGCACAGTTGATGCCAAACAAGACGCCGTACATGGGTCTCAAGCGGATTCATGCCATAGGTCTGTCCATCCCGGTGAAGACCCATGCATTCAGCCATTCTAATGGCCGCGCCTAGAAGGACCGAATGTGCTCGAGACATCTCTGACCTGCATAATGGGATCTGATACTCAATTAGTACGGTAGATGCTACCTCGAGAAACAATTGTGTCTTACCAGATACATCACAAACGCCTGTAATATCTCAATTTTCGTTGTCCTCAAGAAATTGGCTCTCGATAGAGCTGTCTCCGTGCCAAGCTTGAAGTTGTCTACAAGACTTGCTTTGGCAACTCCAAACTCACGAATCACAGCAGATTCATCCATACTGACAACGCCAGCGAACAATGCAGCAAACACGATAGTCTGCACAGTATTCGGAGGTTCAATACCCAAAGAAACCTCGTCCCAAAACACATCATACTTTGATAATTTAGCACATTCCTTTACAAATCCCCGGAAATAGATATACTCACTTCTTTCTCGAAAGTAGGTCGATGTACCACCTGACAAATAGGATGAACGCATGTAAAATATTGTTTGATAAGCCTGTCTGCAGCGAGCTGCGAAGGGAGAAAGTCGATGAGAGAAGTTGCTTGAGAGGAAGTGCCTCCGAAGAAGAAGCTAGTGGACGGCATCTGTAACGCTTCAAGTCAGTATTCGGTCACATGATCCCAATGATGAAGATAATTCATCAAGCCGATACTGCGAGACCAGAACAAGATCCTGCGTCGTGATGGAATAGACTTTGCTTAAGACTTACCATGTATTCAGGTCCGGCTTTGAGCCACTCGGAAGCAGGAGGTAACGGTTCAGAGACGTGAGGAGGTGAGAGCATTTGCGCATTATCTTTGTCTCTGTCACCCGTCATATAGGTATCGTGCATAGTGAATTCCAACTGCAAGAGTGTTAGTTTGTATATACACAACTGTAAAGAAAGAACTAAAAGTCATGGCCGAGAACGACAGTTCTGGAGAAGTACTCGAAGGTGTAAGAGTGAAATATAGTAAACTTGAGAATGCAAGAGATCATTCGTCTGGCCGACAACTTTCGACAGCACATCTTGAACCAAAGAAAAATGTTTACTCTGGATTTTGAAGGAGAATTGTGCAGGTGATTGCCAAGAAAAAAGAAAATTCGACCAGACTCTTCAAAAAGAAGTACACATGCATCTAGCGAGATAAAGGGAAGAGTACGAACCTCCTGGGATATCTTTGGTCTGAAGAAGCCACCAATTCGCTCTGTAATTCTCATCTTCCCCAATTGGATTCCCAAATCGAGAAGGTCATCATCCTCGCCATCCACTTCATAGGCAGCGTCAACGACCGCCAACGGAGTGGGCTCCAGGTCCTTCTCGTCCTCATTGGCTGGTAGATCATCTTCCGCGTCGTCTGGTAATGCTCTCTCCTGACCAGGAGACGTTGTCGAAGTAATACCAGCGCTCTTTGCAACGTCTCGCTCCAGAAGTCGCTCCAAAGATCCAACTTTCTCTTTGATCTCGGTGAGCTTCAACTGACTGGCTTGGTCCAATGCAGGAGCCAAGAACACACAGTCACGATTAAACTTAACGCAATTCGTGCACGGATGCGACTTGTTGCATTTTAACTTGCGTCGACGGCATTCTAAACAACTCGTGATCATGCGATTCCTTCGTCTGATTCGTGGAGCGGACGCTGGCGAGGATGAATTCGAAGTCGCATTGGTGCTAGATGTAGAAACGGACGGTGGAGATGCAGAAGGACGTGCTGCTGCACCAGTAGGAGGAGAGAGATTGGACATATTGGACTTAGCCTCAGGAGAAGTCTGGCCCTGAATGCTTATGCTGTTGAAGTAATCCATGTTGGGGGTTAGGGTAGCAGAGATACGGCCGTTGCGGGGGAGCGATTGACGAGTACCGATAGTCAGTGGGCTACTCTTTTATGCAAGCGACCAGCAACGTATAACTGTGCACAAAAAGGACCATTCGAGTGCTTACGGTCCAGAGACATGAGGGGGTTCAAGTATACGGCCGCAAATTGAAAAAGGCACCGGATGCAGTTGTGGTTCGGATGTCTGTTGGTGTAAGGTTAGTCAGCGTCGGCACCCCAGCCACGGGTGTCAACCAATGAAAGCGGAGGTGCTCGGTCGGATTCATCCTGCTAAGGGTACAAGTACTATAATAGAAATGCTGCCGAGTGTGAGGAACAAGGAGCGGGATCATCTAAATATATTTATGGTCGAGACAAGCCATTGTACACGACAAGCGGAAACACAAGCTCATAGAGTTTCACAGCTTTCTTTTTCCATGCTATCTAAACCGGGTCTAAACGCCAGAAACATCTCCCCGCAGCACCGCCCACTGAAAAACACAAGATGCCAGGAAAAAGGGAGAATACCAGTACTAGCAAGCGTGTGATTAATGCTCGAACATCTGCACATTAGGCCATGCGTCCCTTCATGCTCATACCTCATGAAGCCGTTTGCATAAAATCCTGACGCGATGCTCGATGCTCGCTGTGCGTGGCAGACAAATCCAGACTGCCGCACTTATAATGCCAAAGAAAAGTCATGCAAGAGAGAACACCGACAACCTCGCGTCTATTGTGAGGCGCACTGGACTCGCTCACCACCAGCATGTCCATCCTCATCGTCCTCGTCCATTGCCGTGGCACCTGCAGCTCGTGCTTGCTGACTGGCATCAACATCCTCGAAGTCGACGATCTCGGTCATGGTCTCTGCTGGTGGGGTGATGGGGCTCTTAGTGTGTGGGATGATAGCCTTCAGAGCTTCAAATGCAGCGGGATCGGTAGTGAAGTTCTTCTCGGGGAATTTTACGTCAAACTGAACAAAGAGGTTACCGAAGTCATGATGTCTAAATGATGGCATTCCTTGGCCGCGGATCATCTTCAGAGAACCTTCGTATGTTAGCTGTGCTGTACCCACATAGTTAACACGCTGCTTACCTGGTGCAATAACCTCTCCAGGGAGGATCTCAACGCTCAACCACCGGTCATCTAGATGCTCAATGAAAATAGTTCCGCCAGCCAAAGCAGTGACAAGGTCGATCTCGGCGTGATAGAACAGATCGTCGTCCTTCCGTTGGAATCTTGGATGTGGTTTTTGCTCAATCTCGAAGATGACATCGCCCGGCTGGACTCCAGGAGTTTGGTCGCCCTCGCCTCGGAACTCAATCTTGTGGCCTGTACGAACACCTCTGTCTACGTGGACGTGGAGCACCTTTCTCTCGATGGTTGTTTTCTTGCCATTGCAACCCTTGCACTTGTCCTTCTCCCGGATGATCTCGCCCTCGCCATTGCAATCAGGGCAGACCGTTTGGAATCTTTGGATCATGGGACCCATTTGGCGCATCATGGTCTTCATACCGTGGCCATCACATCCAGCGCACTTCTTGACAGCTCCTTCCTTGCCACCTCGTCCATCACACTTAGGGCAGATAACAGACTTCTGGAGGGCAAGCTTGGAGATCTTTCCTCGGTAGATGTCTTCGAGAGAGACTTTATGGACGTGGTGGATTGTGCGGGCCTTAGGAGGGCCACGTTGCGGCATACCACCACCAAACATGCCTCCCAATCCACCACCGCCGAATGCTGATCCACCACCAAAGAATTGGGAGAAGAGATCTTCGGCATTCATGCCACCTGCACCAGCACCGCCTTCAAGTCCTTCCTCGCCATATTGGTCGTATATCGATCGCTTTTGGGGATCGGAGAGGATCTCGTAAGCATGGGACAGGTCCTTGAATTTATTTTCGGCCTCTGGATTGTGCGCATTCTTGTCTTGATAGGGAGTCAGCTTCAGCGTGCAAAACAATGGGGATCACACATACCAGGATGGTACTTCAAGGCGCCAACCTTGTATGCCTTTTTTAACTCTGCCTCTGTGCAGGTTGGTGATACCTGGTCCACTATTTAGCAATCATTCTCGCCACGATAGGTATTATCTGCTTACACCAAGGATTTCGTAGAACTTGTTGTCTTTCGGCATCTTGTCTGTCTTATGGCAGAAGGCTGGAGAGGTGACTCGGTCGTGCTGTTCTCAAGACTATATGAGAAGTCTTCGAAAAGTGTGAAGAACAAGGTAGCGAAGGCGGGCCGCAATATTTAAGCTGAGAAAGCGTTAGTCAAAAATGTGAGGAGATAAATTCACCAAACGCGAGGTAGGCAGAATCGATTCGGAATGTGCAGTTCGGCCCAGAAAGATCGTCGAGGCAGGCAGCAGACGGCGAATTACTTACAATTTGCTCTGAGGCTGAAGAGGCTTTGGTGCGGCGCAAGAAGTTTGATTCTTTGCCTTGCGCTTTCGGTCTGTCGAAAATGAGGCTGCTGATGAATCAGAGAAGATCTGCTAAAGATCTAGGTCGGGACACGAGTGTCGAGGTCTTGTTGACGTCGCTCTGCTGAAATTTTAAGAAATTTGGATTTCAGTGATGTTCTCAAGGGCAAGATGGTCGAACGCGGACTTTGTACGGTTGCAGTTTCCGGGGCTTTGAGATGGGTCGGCGCAGTAGGGCGGAAAACCATGGGCGATGGAAACTTGTAGAAGCAGGCAAAAACAAACACGAAATAACTTCGTGAATTGTCATCCAGCGCACAAATAATTTGCACCCAAGGAACAGTCTCGAAGACGGCTATCCGATTCTACGAAATATTTCACTCTGCGCGCAGCTCACGTCCTCTGCGAGAGGAAACAATAATTTACAAATGGTTCTCCTGCTCTTCCATTCGAGTCTAAAAACAGATCTACTGTAGCTGCGGTGCTGCTCATGCACACCATCGTTAGAGAAGCCAATAGAACGAATTGGGGTCCCACAGACCCTGATTGCGATCTCTTATCGCTCCGATAACATTCCAGATGACAACATTTTCCGAGTATTCGATGTGGAGGGGCAACGAATGTCAGTAATGAAGGTATAAATTAGAATCGTCGTGGTGTTGGCTGGACATTTAAGCTGCAAGAACGATTCTCCTAGGCTGGCTACTATGTATAAACATCATTATACGATTGTGATACGATCTGCTAACTCCGTAAGTAAGTTCGGAACTTGCTGTAGTTATCTCATGTCTTTATCGGCTCTGTCTTAGAAGATGAACAAAGCAGCCCGAGAGCCTCGAGCATTCACAGTACCTAGGTATTTTACTCTGCTCTAACACCTGTGAATATTTGAAATCTGAGATCTTGAGCTACCTGAAATACTGCATAAGTCTTCCACAAAATCCATCTTTGTGAAAGTGGATCGGACTTCGAGTCTGGTGAAAGATAACAAATGAGAGTTAGGTAATGGAACGCCCCTCAATCGTGCGTGCGGGCAATCAGAAACTTCTGGGACATCTACACTTATACATTCTCTTGAGATACCTACCCTACTCAAATCATAGCTTGAACACACCTAGAAGCATTCTGTATTCCATCCAAAATGAATGACCAAGAGGCATTTGCTATCGCCGTGGAGGAAGCCAAACTCGGTTACAAGGAAGGAGGAGTACCTGTAAGTCGAGTGCATTAAGATATCATGCAACTTTTAAACTATGCTTGAGAACTATATCATTATTTCACAGAGAATACGATTTTATACTTCTGGTACTAAGAAGTATATCAGATAGGTGCGGCCCTGATTTCTAGAGACGGGAAATTGTTGGGCCGCGGTCATAACATGCGAGTTCAAAAAGGGTCTGCCATTCATCATGTAAGTTACTCTTTTCCATGAACAATTTAGTACTAAATATCGATAGGGAGAAACCGCTGCACTGGAAAACTCCGGACGACTCCCTGCTTCAGCCTACAAGGGTGCCACTATGTACACCACCCTGTCCCCTTGCGATATGTGGTATGTGCTTCTTCTCTGCTTGCTGTATGAGGCTAAGTATCATTAGTACTGGAGCTTGCATCCTGTACGGAATCTCAAGAGTGGTTATTGGTGAGAACAAGACATATCTCGGAGGAGAAGCCTACTTGAAGCAAAGAGGAATAGAGGTGGTAGTGATGGAGAACGAGGAATGTCGAGATCTGATGGAATTATTCATCAAGGAAAAGCCCGAAATCTGGTAAGTCCCTCTTTCGATTTAAAGATAGCAGGTATTGAGAATGAATGACAGGAATGAGGACATTGGAGAAGAGGCGAGAGTCTACTCAAAGTCCAAGTAAACACGGAACATGAGGCGCATCACAGCCAAGGGGGGTATTAGGATAATTGACATCTATACTTCGAAGATATCGATGCATCAGCTACCAGCCAATCTATGGATCTCTGAAAAGTAGAATGCTAAGTCATCTGGCTTCACGCCGGGAGTGATACCTGCTAGTATATTAGAAATGAATGATAACTCATGCGGAGATAACTTGCCGTGGCCAAGATTCGCAATCCATCCCTGTTTCCCTCCACCGAAACCTGCTACCATTTCCTCGGCAGTAGCTGTTATTGCTTCTCGAGAACCATACAAGACACCAGGGTCCGCATTGCCTTGGAAGACTACCTTTCTATCTCCTCGGATTTTGACTGCCTCGGACGGGTCTTGTAACCAATCCAACCCAACAACTTGGTATCCCAGGTCACATAACGAATCCAATGCATACCATGCCCCTTTAGCGAATACAACCATTGGTACCGGTTCCAGACCCAACTCCTTTATCCGAACTGGAAGGTGTTTTGAGATATACGCGAGGTAAGGTTGAGAGAATTTCTTGAATGATGATGGCGACAGTTCACCAGCCCACGAATCAAAGACTTGCAAAATCTGTACCACTTTTCAGTAACATTACCCTAATGGCGCGAACAACTCACCTGAGCACCAGCTTTTACTTGCAGAGCTAGATATTCTACGCAGACCTCGGCGATCTTCTGAAGCATATCTTGGGTGGCTTTGGGGTATTTGTAGATCCACGTCTTCGTCTCAATAAACATCTTGCTGCCTCCTCCTTCAACCATGTAGCAGAAGAGGGTCCATGGAGCACCACAGAAGCCGTACAGAGGAACTCTTCCCTTCAACTTATGTCTCGTCATAGTGATTGCTTTGTAGACATAATCCAATTCAGCAGCAACATCAACGTCTTTCTTGAGGACCTTAGCATATTGACCGTCTTCGGGAGATTTCAGAGGTTCAGGGAAATGCGGTCCCTTCTTATCAACCATCTCAACAGTCATGCCCAGAGCTTGAGGGATAACCAAGATATCGGAGAAGATGATGGCAGCATCGACAAGGCCAGCGAATCGCTCGATCGGTTGTAGTGTCAACGTGGACGCAATCTCTGGGGAACGACAGCATTCGAAGAAGTCGTGCTTGCCTTTGGCTTCGTGGTATTCAGGAAGATAACGTCCAGCTGCAGGAAGTATGAGCATGCGGACATAATTGCCATAAAGGAATATTCATACCTTGACGCATCACCCACATAGGTGGTCTCTCTACTTTCTGACCTTGAAAACATCAATTTTCAAATCCATTCGATCGCTCTTCTAAACTTACCCCAAGCTGTCCGAAGGATGAGATCATTCTGCAGAGGCTCAAACTGATGAGCCATGCTGTAGACGGTGTCTATTGTAAATGTGGTCGGAGGTCGTTCACTTTGGGTGCTGGAACGAATGCTCATGTTCATCCCACCGCAAATCGGACATGCTCCTTACGAAGTTAGCAGCTTGAACCCCGCGGCTGCGGCACTTTTGGTTCCTGGAGCTCAAGTCTAGAAGCGGTTAGTTAGGTGCAGGGGTCTTCTGTAGATTTTTGCTGCCTCAATTGACGCATGAATACCAGGCAGCAATTTCATTGTCTGGCAGAGCTTCGAGCTTCTGGGTTTCTTCTGTCCTGTTGTATCAACAAACTCACGGCAGAAGATACCGACACGCAGACACGACATATGCTACTGACTTCAGAGCATGAGAACTCCTTTTTGAAAGTCTACGATCTTCACAGTAAAGCCGAGTGAGATGCAGCGCCCTTTTCGATAACCCATGCTTCCCCGACCTCCATCCTGCCAGAGAGCAGTGCAAAGACACTTCCCGATATCTCTAGAGTCGATATGGGTATCGGATGACATCCTTCGTGAGGAATGGCAGAGATTCACACTTCGTTCGAGAACTGGCAGGCGTTATGGGAGTTTCGTCCCAGGACCTTTAGAAAGCCGACGACGAATGGGCAAGAGACGGATGGCCCTTATGTCTGAGGCTTTCCCGCCTCCTTCACACAACCTTGGATCACTATGGAGCTCGTTGTGGGAAGTGGACAGAAGCCAATGGCGGTGGCAAGCTCCAAGAGCCCAAGATCCAGTACCAAGAGAAGTTACACCTAGCAGGGTGTACGAATCGACCGAGTGGAAAGAGAGCACCTCCAGAAGCGCAGCTAAAAAAGATTTCCCTCGGACAAAGGCAGCAACAAAACCGTCTATTCATAAAGATATCTCGGCAATCCGTCACAAACTTAAGTTGTGTCAAACCAACGACTTACCGGCTCTCTGCAACGATTTCAATCAACTTTTCAAGCATAACCTAACCCTCGGCACAGTATCGGAAATTGCAATTACGGATGCTCTGAGAAGTATATCTAAGGACCTTCACAACGCCTTTCCGGGTGAAGCAGCAACCCATTGTCTGTCATTTTACAAGGCGACCTGGGATGGCCTTCTCGCTTGCAGAGTGCTCCAAGTAGAGCAATTGGGGAATGGGATCACACAGAAGTTGATGCAGCTTTTAGCTAAGCTCCCTTCAACTTCTGATGTACTGTCATTCGCTCTCAGCATCATACCCAGGTTGTCTCGAAACCAACAGGACGGTGCCAGAGTGTCAATTCACGCTTTGTTGGACAAAGCTTTGGAAGCATGTCTTCGGAACTGCTCCGTTGATCATCGAGCGAATGCCAGAAATGCTTCCGAAGAGGAATTGGCTTCCGTCGCCGCCTTTTGTGGACGAGCTGCGCGAGGAAAGGCAGCAAAGGAAGCCAGAAGATTGCTTATAAAATCGACTTCAGAGACGATTGAGAAGACGGAGAATCTTGTTCCCGTGGAGCTTGTTCGGGTCTTGCAGCACCTTTCCAAGGATATCCTAAGGCCCTTCGTTCGGCGTGGCTCTCAATCGGTATCAAAAATTTACAGCAACATGAAGAGTCTTCCTGTGGACATCAGATACTCCTGGCTCCTTTTGCTGTCACAGGTCCCGAACGCAAACAGGGACATTTTTTTGCAGGCTTGGAAAGCTATGCAAGCCTCGGGGCCACCTCTCCATCAAAATATCATGAGCACTATTGTGCTTCGATATTGGATAAGTCAAGGCTGGGTGACGAAGGCGGAAGCCGTTCAAAAACACTTCTGCTCACATACCGACTTTGGATTTGTAAATCTGGTTCGGGTGCTCGAACATCACCGGGAACATGCTTGGTTCAAGCAAGGGCGGCTCTTCAAGGTGCTATTGGAACTTGGACAACACGATACCATTTACAAAACATTCTCCCAGATCAAACAGACCGGTGCGAAAGTTCCCATGAGATTGAGTGCTGGAATTGTCGAAGCTATAAGCACAGACAACCCTGTCCTTGCCCGGAGACTTTTCAAGATGGGCTTGGGTATGCGGCCCAGGCGAGATCCGTTTCGTCCCGACTTCTATCGCCGTTTCATACTGTCTTTAATTTCCGATCCTGGTGTCAACTCACTAAGGATATGGCGTCTTTTGAACCTGAGACTCTGCGAACGGAGGTCTCGCCATCGCTCTCCTGCCAGACCACTTAGGGCTACATCGCGGGCAGCGTCAGCAGCTCTTCTCACCTACATAGCAGTGACTTTTGCTCGCTGCAGGACCCGATCGCCAAGAGACGTTCTCCGCAATGTCACCCGATGCCTCCAGCTACTGCGTAGACATCGCAGAACCCTCAGCCCCAAGGTCTCGAGATCGGTCACACGTGCAGGTATCAGTCATAGTATTGAACTTGATAAAATTGTGCCAGCAGAGCGAGCTGCTTGGGCCGTGAGGACCATACGTAGCGTGGAGGGACCAGAGGTGGCCGACACTGTGGCTATGATTGTTGCTAATTGGAACGAACACAAAGGTACAGAGGAGCGGAGGAGGTACAACGTCTTAGGCGTAGGGCCCATAGACTAGAAGAGAGCGAGATACCATTAGAATTCAGATCTTTCATGTGATCGATGGCCATTTGAGTCTCCTAGACTAATACCTGTGACTATTCTATAACATGAAGTTCTTCCCAAAGGGGTCCTCTAGTCCACGCTTGTTCAGCACTACTCATCCTGACCCTCTCCATCCCTCTTACGGAGATTTTCTAGATTATAGAGCAGATTGCCCAGCCGACCCGTAGTATCATCGCTGCTCGAGAGACTCTTGTCTTCCTCCACAGGCTCCCTGAACGTCACCCCACCACTGACAAGACCACTATCGCAAAGCTGGATCGCTAGCAAAGACTGTTCAGTTGCCGAACCAAGCCTGCGTTCTACTGTCGACCCTGGCTGATGAACCATGTCAACGGACACAATCACCTCGTTCGAGCTACATTGGGTTGGAGACATATTGGCGACGACGGCTAATGGGTTACCTGGCAATTCGAATGTTTGAATATATCGAAGACTGTTGTCATCGGCATGTAGATCAAACAAGAACAATGCCGCGATACTACACATACATTAATTTCATCCTAAGTGTGTTTCCGGAGAGACGTACCCTTCGCAAGTGACGATGATGAAGTCCACAAAATGATCATCAACATATCTTTGCGTGTGGTATAAGCCAGAAACAGCAATCTTGAAAGGTTCTGTCGACTCTTGAACTGTGTCTGAACCAGTCGACTTTGTCTTCAATGCTTCAGCGTGCCTCTTGAGATTAGCTCTCGAGACTAACTGACTCGACTGCCATTTCCAAACAAATAGCTCGTCATCACCACCCGCCGAGATGAGGAGGTTGGATCTGTTCCTAGGGATGCATAACCGAGTAATGAAATCGGTGTGACCAAGGCAGAACCCTTCGATGATATGACTTTGCGGGATTCCTCGAGAAATTCGGATGTGTTCGTCTCTATCAGCAGTAATGATATAATCCTTCTCATCGGAAGTGACCAAAGCAACATCAGTAAGCATTGAAACATGACCAAGTAACAGCTTATGCTCGAAAGTAGGCTCAGATTTCTCAGATGCTTTATTGCTGTGTCTTTTCTGATTTTCAAGAGCCTTTCGATTCCTTTGTGAGTGAATTGTGAGTTCATTGGCTGCTGGGACAAATGGCTTGGATGAGGCTGGCTCAAAAACCGGAGATGGTTTGGCAAGATCTTTTGAAGGGAGCAGCGGAAGAGCATAAACGTCTCCAAACTTGTCTGCGCTGATTATTGTAGAGTTGTCCTTGGTAATAGCAACTGTACAAGGCCTTTTCGGCATGTTACTGAGATTTGTTAGGCAGTAAAACAGTAAGCATGACAGAGTTCACATACCGTTGACTTAATTGCTTCAGAATATGTACTCCATCTGTGGTAACAATCTCAAATACTCTAATGCTTTTGTCCTCGCCAGTGACTGCTACCACGTGCTTGCGATCTGTCGTCGAGGCCAGTACAGTGACAGCTGGAGCTTCCAATCCGCTCGCAACAGCAGCAGATCTGTTATTCTGTTTTTTCTTTCCATTTTTGGGCTCGGTCTGATTTGGACTTTGCTCGGAATGGGATAGTTTGCGCTTCTTTGCTGGGGGAGAGGCGGCATCGAGAGCAATTTCGACTGAGGAAGACTCTGAAGTCTGGGTGGTGACCAACATGGTGGTAAGGTCTGCACCACCGCCATCAGAAACTTTGCCATTCTGGTTATCATGATTTGAGCAGTTCCATGTCGACAGAAGCGATCCGTCTTGCAGCTTGAATAAATCGATGCTCGATCCTCTAGCAGCAACGAGAATGTCCCCACATCTTGTCATACACTGGTATGGCATCCGCATTTTTGGCTGATGTAAATGATGTCTTTTCTGGTGAATTATTCACAGTCAAGACTTAAGGAATCAATGTCATAAAATAACCAAATGGACCATTTCTCTATATTCTGAAGTTGAAGTTCATCAACACACTCACGGAAAAAGTTCGAGCAGGGGTAGGGTGCGCTAACCTAAAGAACGCTAGCTCTCCCACACAGATTCGAGGCGACGATATCCCAAAATATTCGTGGACCGAGATTTTGCAATCAATCAACGAAACTTCTCAATTTCGAGACTTCCCATTACACAATCACAAACTTGACCCTTAAACATCCTACCTTCAAATTAAGAAGATATGGGGGGCAAGGCAGAAAACAAGGCCGGCTACTTCGAAAAGCTCAAGGGTCTCCTCGAGGAGTTCAGCAGCATCTTCGTCGTCACAGTTGACAATGTCAGCTCCCAGCAGATGCACGAAATCCGACAGTCCCTCCGTGGTGAGGGTGTCGTCTTGATGGGAAAGAACACCATGGTGAGCAGATCTGCACGTCAAGAACTGCGTGCGCATGCTAATTCCAGTTCCTCTAGGTCCGTCGTGCCATCAAGGGCTTCATCTCCGACTCCCCCGAGTACGAGCGTCTCCTTCCTTTCGTCAAGGGCAACGTCGGCTTCGTCTTCACCAACGGTGATCTCAAGACCATCCGTGACAAGATTCTCGCCAACAAGGTTGCTGCGCCTGCCAGAGCTGGTGCCGTTGCTCCCGCCGATGTCTACGTCCCTGCTGGTAACACTGGCATGGAACCCGGAAAGACCTCCTTCTTCCAGGCTCTCGGTGTCCCAACCAAGATTGCTCGTGGTACCATTGAAATTACGAGCGATCTCAAGCTCGTCGAAGCTGGCAGCAAGGTCGGAGCTTCCGAGGCTACACTTCTCAACATGTTGAACATCTCTCCGTTCACATACGGTATGGGTATCTCTCAAGTCTACGACCAAGGCAACACCTTCCCACCAAGCGTTCTCGATATTGAAGAGTCTCAGCTCCTCAAGTCATTCACCAGCGCGATCACCACCATTGCTTGTATCTCGTTGGCCGCCAACTTCCCAACCCTTCCTTCTGTCATGCACTCCGTCGTCAACAGCTACAAGAAGGTTTTGGCTGTTGCCGTTGAGACCGAGTATGGATGGCCCGAGATAGAGGAGTTGAAGGACCGCATTGCCAACCCTGATGCTTACGCTTCTTCCGCTCCTGCGGCTGCCACTGGAGGTGATGCCCCAGCTGCCGCGGAGGAGAAGGAAGAGGAGAATGAGGAAGAGGCTGAGGAGTCCGGAGATGAGGGATTCGGAGGTCTTTTCGACTAAGTTGGTCATGATCTTGCATAGATATGTGGGATCCTTGGGGAGGTTTACGACACGATCATGGAATCACATAGAGCTCGGACAGATACTCTAATGTAGCTTCACGGCACATGGGAAACAATCGACGATTTGGGCGTGAATTGTGTGATATGACGCTGACATACAGGCGAGGACAGAGTCTGCCGAAAGCAAAAAAGTTAGTTCACGTCATTTTCATTCCCAAGTTCAAGTCCCCCCTGCAACCTGATGATTCATTTCAAAAGCTTTTTAACCCTTAACGGAGGTCAGCTCCTTGAAGACCAAAAACAACAACTCTAATTTTTTCCTGACTGCTCTTAATATTACAATCTCTCGTTATGTGTACAGGATATCTAGAATCACAACTAATCATCTTACACAGATTCTACACTCTTTTCCAAAACTCGTCTTGCCGCAGCAATCGCCTCTTCAGGCAGTCCAGCTAGCCTCGCAACCTTGAGAGCGTGACTCTGTTTATTGACTCCCGCCTTCAACTTATGGACATACCTGAACCCACCTCCCTCCCTGTCTTCTTGAACGTCTGTGCAATAAAACCCCACACTATTAATACCATCCGCTTCGAGCAGATCTGCTAAGTCGTGAAAGTGTGTTGCGAACAAAGTCCTGCATTTATTCACCGTATTCAAGTGATGCAGACACGCAAATGCCACGGCGGTCCCGTCGCTTGCTGTTGTTCCTCTCCCAATCTCATCCATTATGACAAATGACCTTGGCGTTGCTTGTTTGAGGATAGTTGCTGTTTCAAGCATCTCCACCATGAAAGTCGACTGGTCTTTGTATAAATTGTCTGCAGACCCGACTCGACTGAAAATCTGGTCCACGATCCCAAGCTCGGCGTACTCGGCTGGAACATAGGAGCCGATTTGTGCAAGAATTGTAATCAGTGCGTTTTGTCGTAGAAATGTGCTCTTGCCTGCCATGTTGGGACCGGTGATAAACCACGTTTGCTGGGCATCTCCGACGAAGCAGTCGTTTGCTACGAATGTCCGTCCCTCTTCTTCTAGACCCCCTTCAACGGTGGGATGACGGCCCCCAACGATTTTGTGCGATTGAGTCTGGTTTAGAATTGGTCGTGTCCAATGTCGTTCTGCTGCAAGTCCTGCAAAGGAGCAAGCTATATCGATTTCATCAAGGACCGCAGCATTCCGTCGCAGCTTGACGATATTATGGATAACTTGCTCCCGTAAGTCGTTGAAAACTCGTTGCTCTTCGGCTCGAATGTGGATCTTGCATTGATCGATTCGCTCTCCGAGATGAGTCCATTCAGGGTGGTGGAACGACTTTGTGCTCTTGCTGGAACTGACGCTTCGAAGGGTAGAAAGATCAAGTTTCATATCTTTACCTTTCACATGGCATATATACCCTAAGCCGGGTGAATGGCGCAGGGTGAGGGTAGAAGCACCGAACTGCGTGCCCAGCGTTTTGCTCAAATCCTCTTTTTCCGTACCTAATGTCGCAAGGGCTTCGTGGAGACGTTTCAAGAGAGGACTGGCTGATGGTTTCATAACCCATACCTCCTGTTCGTTGGCATAAAGCTCTTTCAGAGAGGCCGGCTTCTTCTTGCGGGCCGATTTTGGAAGAACATTCCAATCCTCGCTTGACCCTTCTGAAGTAACGACCTCCTGTGTCAGAGCTTGCATCTCTCCCGCCTGGCTGTCTTCCATGCGATGCTGCTGTACCAGCCCATCTTCATCTATGGCCTCTCTAACTGAATTTGCTAGATCGATAGGGCCCTCGAGGTTGATGCGAGATATCATATTCTGGACACATGACTCCTCGCTATTACTTTGCTGCAAAGTTGACACGAGATCTCGAGTCGCAAATACAGCGCTCGTTAACGCTAGAAGATCATCTGCATCCCCTCTCCCAAAGGCGAATTTCTGTAAGAGGCGATGCGAGTCGTGACTTCGTTTCAAGAGTATAAGTAATCGCTCTCGCAGTATTTCATTTTTCAACATGTATGTTACTAAGTCAAGTCGAGCATCAATAACATCAACCGAAGTTGACGGGGAAGCTAAGCAGAAATTAGCCATATCCCAATACTGACTGATATACTCACAGAGCCAATGCTCCAACAACCTCGCGCCACCTTTGGTAACAGTCCTTCTAATTGTATGGAGCAGGCTGCCCTTCGAAGAACCATCTCTCATAGTCCTCCTTACTTCCAGTGCTCGCATGGTATTCTTATCAATACCCATTACGTCTAGCTGCCGTGAAGGGGGTTGTAGTTTCATCTTGCTGTCAAGTAATCGACTTTCAACGTACTGAATGAGAATACTGCCTGCTCCTATCTCTTGATCTGTAAATTCGGCAGCTAGGCGCGGAGAAACCGGCGATTCTAACATGGGTGCCCATTCTGATAAAGGTTTCGTTGCGGCCACGTCTATATAGGTAATCAGACTGTGGTCGTCGCCCAAAACGCTGAAAATCTCATGGTCCTTTGAGAACTTGAGATCTTCGGCCAGGACAATCTCTCGTGCCCCTATACGCGCCAACAAGGCAGGAAGCATTGTCAAGGTGGTAGACTGAGTAAAGAAGTGACCGGTAGACAAGTCGAGCCAGGCTAGGCCAATAGATACCTGGGGATGTTGGCGATTGAGATTGTCTTGTGAATTATTGCTCGGATAAATAGCCAGAACATAATTATTGCTGAAAGGGTCCATGAAGTTCTCGTCAATCAGAGTACCGGGAGTGACGACTCTAGACACGCGTCGGTCATGCATCAAGCCCCCAGCTTTGACTTGTCCAGATGCGTCGTTTGGAAACTCTTCAGCTATCGCCACATAGCGATCAAAGTCCTGAACAAGGATTTTTAGATAGCGGTCAAGTTGAAAAATTGGGAATCCAGCCTAGCGAGTGAGCGATGGTCTTGTATGGGTGGAAGAGTCACAAACCATGGGAACCAGACCTGCGCTGGTCTTTTTCTCGGCCACTTTCAAGTTTAATTGAGGTCCATATTGCTCGGCATGTTCAAAGTACATCTCGTAGAAACCACCCACACGTGTTAACAAAACGCAGTTTTCGAATTTGCGCATGTTATTCCGTGCTTGCAATATCACGGTTGGATACGATGGAGTGTCATCTTGCAGGACTAAAGGTTCTAGTGGAGTTGCGATCTGGTTTTGGTCCTGGTCATCCTGAGAGACTCCTATGCCTTTACCCTTGTCGATAGACTCCAAATGCCTGGAGCTTTGTGGCAGGTCATGCAGATTGAGGGAAGTTTGAGTCCTCTTACCCCTTTTCGGGACTCGCCAAACTTGAGATGAAGGCGCCGCATGCTGTGGCCGAGGCCGACTAGCTTGATGAAGACATCGAAGGTGACGTTTCGCGACAGTAGAGCGAGGTATAACAACTCGAATTGGTCGAGATGAGACAAGCATCAGAGCTTTTCGCCAAGGCAGAGCGACGACGGAAGGTGCAGTTTAGAGAGAAAGATTGTGCGAGTTACCTAGGTATTGCTGCTGTAGCCAAAAGCGTGACAAAGAAAATAGTAGCATTCTCATCACGTGCACATCTTCTAGCGGGCAAATCAAGTGTTGCGGTCAAGCCCCTGAGTGGCTTGATGCAGCATCTTTTTCGGGACATGTCAGCCAATTGGACAGCGGCGAGAGGTCTGAAATGCCATGTTTGTTGCACATCGCAATCCTCAATGCCGGCCACTCGAATCGCTGCTCTTCTGGTGCCCAATCATTGTCGCTCTTTAAAGCTGCATCTCGCCCAATGTGGAAGCAGTGTGGAAGCAAAATATGCTTACAGGTTGGCTTGAGCTGGTTGAGGGTGTGCTTGTCTTTTCTTTGGCCCAGAGAGTAGATAGCGTGAACAATACAAGACACCGAATAAGCATTTCACTATTTAGGAGCAGCACATTTTAACACCAACAGGCTGACCACTTTTGACATCCACAGCAAATACTTTTGCATCGCAGCTATTTGCCGGCAAAAGATTGGAGAATAGTCGGTTGGTTGGTCAGTAGACCTTAGATCTAGATAGCCAATCAATCGGAAACTTCTGGATTTCCAACGAAAAGAGAAAAAAGACTTGCAGTAACAAAGGAACTGTATAGCTGCATTCTCTAGGGCATTGAACGCTGAACAGAAATCCGGCTATTCTCCTTGATGAGACAGTTGTTAGGCTCTTCTTCCACTTGAGATGTGATATGAAGAAAACTTTGCTTAGTCAGTCAAAGTGCTACTACTTACTTACCTCAGAAAACAAGGTCTCTTCATCTTCGATAGTTTCCTAAAATCCTTTGCTTCGTTGCAATCATCTCTTCCTTCAGAGGCGCGATCTGGACGCAATGTGGACGCACCCGAGAAATCGATGCAGTCCGGATGAGTTGCCGAATGCCTCCCTTGCCAAGCAGCTCAATCTGCAGCCTGTGTCAGCCCACATAGTCACCGCATGCACTGTCAACCTGGTGAGCTTGTTGTTAGTATTCTGTTCCTGAGCAACGGTTGGATCGACAGCGCAACCACGGCTTCGGGGGACATGCAACAGCATTCTACATAGATGTTGGAGTGGTCTGAGGTGATTCGAGGTGATTCGCGGTGATTCGTATGGTAAGTGTCCCTGTACAGGGGTCCAATCTGCAAGTCGAAGGGATTCAATTCACAAGACTTTTGTTTACCAATTGTAGTTGTCCGTCCCGGATTCGTGCTTCTATTCCCTTGCGCTCCCAGATGCAGTGTGTGGTCTTCCCCTTCCCCTCCCAAGCAAGTGCAGGCATAGGGAAAGCGGCTTGCGTCCGTCCGCATCATGTCAGATCCTGGTCTGGGAGGGAGGACGAGGATGCACCGCGGGTGCTTGATAATGATTTGAAAGCCGTCGCCCGACGCGGCAGTAGCATTGGCGCAAACGAGGGCAAGATGTTTCATTTTCTCGGTGGTGATTTGGTCGATCGAGGAGATAGAAGCATCATGACTTGACCCTGACTGATGATTGCCTGAGCATTTGGTGATGGCTTTGCTGTGAAGCGATTACTAGAAATTAATCAGCATGCCACTAAACCGGAAAGAGCCCGGCTTGGTAAACGGCAATGAGGGGCAGCTGCAGCAGCAGCGGGGCTCTCGACAGCAACCCCGGCCACTGGCGAACTCAGAAGAAGAACACAACATATAAAACCTCACGTCCCCGAGCAACATCGAGCTTTTCTTCTCATCCATCCATTGATCGGTGATCTTCTCACTCCGTCTAAATCAAAAAATCAACCAATCCGTCCTTCAATCTCTCGACCCCTCTTCCAGAAACACTTTCACAATGGCTCCCAAAGTCGCAATCGTTTTCTGTAAGTACCCCTTCGATCATTTTGCCCCGCCTTGATCTGCAGATCATAATTGTACAACAACAACCCGATATTTACTTATTTCCACCCGTGTTGGGTCCCATTAGCTAACATCTGCCTAGATTCCATGTACGTCTCATCTTTGCTTCAATTCACTTTCTCCTGCCTAGGTTTCGAGCTTGTATCTTTCATCACTCTCTTGAACATACAGATATAATCCCCAGGAAGTGTACTTCCATGTGCTGACACTTGCGTGCAAAGGTATGGCCACATCAAGGCGCTTGCCGAAGCCGAGAAGGAGGGCTTGAAGAAGGCTGGCATTGAAGCCGACATCTTCCAAGTTCCGGAGACTCTTCCGCAGGAGGTTTTGACCAAGGTATTAATTCTTCTCTACCCAACTTACCTGCACGGTGCTTACACATCGCCTGCAGATGCACGCCCCTCCCAAATCCGACTATCCAGCCATCGACGCTGCAACCCTCGAAAAGTACGATGCTTTCCTCTTCGGCATCCCAACCCGTTACGGCAACTTTCCAGCACAATGGAAGGCATTCTGGGACACGACTGGCAGCCAATGGGCTTCCGGTGGTTACTGGGGTAAATTTGCTGGTGTCTTTGTCTCTACTGGAACCCAAGGTGGTGGACAAGAGAGTACCGTTATTGCATCTTTGTCAACCTTGGCCCACCATGGCATAATCTATGTAGGCATCACAGTTCACCACCTCATAGCAGTTCTAACACAACTCAGATCCCACTAGGATATAAGCATACCTTCTCCCAACTCTCGACTCTTACTGAGATGCGCGGTGGTTCTCCATGGGGAGCTGGAACTTTCTCGGTAGGCTGATATGTGCAGCCCTAATGCCGAATAACAAGCTAACCTATCAGGGCGCCGACGGATCCCGCATGCCTTCTACTCTCGAGCTTGAGCTGGCAACCATCCAGGGCGAACAGTTCGGATTGGCTGTTTCCAAGGTCAGCTTCGCTTGACTAGATGGCCCAAAAGACGGGGCAGCTGGAGGGAAGACTGAGACGATATCCAAATCCGAGAACAATGGCAACGCGAAAAATACCCAGAGTACAGCAAAGGGAAATGAAGGAGCTGCGCAAGTAGAACAGAAGGACAAAGAGGGACCCTGTGGTCTGCCTTCTAAGTGTTCGATTTTGTAACCGATGAGTACTAGCATAGATATGAATCAAGCATTTCAGGCGTCTTCAATGTCAAAAATCTTTGTATTGGTGATATGGACCTGTTGAGAAGTTGAGGACACAGGCTGATATTCACTCTTAATCCTCTTCCTCAAGTTCCTGCCGCATTTGCAGCTCTGCCACATGGGTCAGCTAAAGAATCATATCACGTTAAGAGCGCGAAACTCACCCCAATTCTTGCTCGCACTAGCTAGAATGATAGCAGCCTTGGACTTGAGTTTCTCGATATACCTCGCTTCCTCCTCGAAAGTCAGCCTTGGCTTCTTTGGTTGCGCCTATTTGTAGAAAGTCAGTATGATTCCTCGCCTTGAGTGTGAGCTGAAATATCAAACATACCATGATTAATATTGGGAGAATATCGTTGACGTCTGCGGCGGCCAAAGCAGCTACTGACTTGAACCCGTTCTCCCAAAATACTCGAGCTGTTCTGCTCTTGATGTACGTAACCTTAGCCAATGACAAGAGATCTGCTTTGGCGCCTGAGTCTGCGTTAGTGGATATCTGAGGATGCTTGAAATCATGAACTGACCAGCTTTAAGACGATCGGAGAAATGGTCCAGGACGGCTGAAAGAGCGCCCCAGTTCATACGTTCGGCAAATTTGATCATACCGGCCGCAAATCCATGACAGGTCTGTGCTAGGTTCTGCACAATACCACGAGGTAGATCGTATTTTCGCGCCACGGCATAGATTGGCATTTCATTGCATAGGTCGCGGAGCTGTAATGCTGCGTAAAATCGTCTGTAGATTCGAGCAGTTTCTATTTCCTCGGGTGTGGACTCTTTCATGGACCCTCCTTGCGCTCTATGTATGTGTTAATTGACAGGAAGTGTCGCCGGGGAGGTTCACTTACAATTTTATTATGTTTAGAGGCTTGAGTCCGACAAATTTCAAGACTCTCAGGTTACTTTCGTCAAGCCGCTCAACTTCCTAGTAATCAATCTCGGGTCAGTCTGCCTCCTCTATAAACTGTGTAGAGTTTAATTGCATATTGAAGGGCCTATCTGTGGCACCGACTCCGGAGGACGACTTGAGAGAGAGCAGGGAACATGAACTTTCCAAACTTCGAGACTTACATTACTGAAGATCTGCCAATTGATGTTCGTCTGTGCGGCCTGCATAGGTGTAAACAGATACAGCACATGCATCTCGCCATTCATGACAAATGCCTGTAGTGCCTTGCGCAATTCGCGATGTACGAAGAGGCCATCTTCTGGGGTTAGTGATGATGCTACTATTGCTTGCCCAAGAAGAGTGGCGGAGTATTCTGTGTCGGAGCCTTTCGTTATAAGCTCGCTTGTCTCGAGCTCCTCTACGGTCTCTTTGACCATAGATGTGAGTTCATCATGGTCTATAGTATGGTAAAGGAGCGTATTTTTGATGTAGTGGTCAGTAGATTCCTCGCTCGTAGCCAATTTAGTAGCTATGATCTCAAGCAACGCTCTGTCGGCGATTAGACTTTATGTGCTTTGAGTTCGGTCGAAGACGGATGAATTACCTCTTGACACCTCTCTTACCAGGCAAAAGACAGCTTTCAACACGAGGTAGCTCTGCATCCATGAGCTCTGCCACAGCTTCCAGATCACTCTGTTGACAACACAGATAGGTTTCCCCAATCTCGTCTTTACCTTTGCGGCCCGCTCTGCCTCGCATCTGTCGACTGGAAAATCAGACTAGTAAGACGAAAAGGCTGGAGGGAAAACCTACAGCATAGACGGACCAACCAAATCCGCGCCCATCCGCGCACCGTGTAGGATGACCCTCCTGGCTGGCAGATTGATACCTGCAGCTAGACTACAAGTTGCAACAATAACCTTGATAATGCCTTCATCGTAGGCAGTAGCAATTATATCACGCTCTTCCGTAGTCAATCCAGCATCTACCATTCTTCAGCATTAATCAGCAACGTATTTCCACAATCCTAAAACTTACGGTGAAATGCGACCCCAACAGGAACGATCTTCTCCAAAAGTTGATCCAGTCCTGTACTCGTACTTCTCAAGTTGTTCAACAAATCTCTTCGTTTGTCCATAAGTAGAGAATCAGTCTCCTCAGGGCGTGGTAAGACCTGGCTGATCAGACCTGCGTTCTTTTCGCAGCCAGTACGACTGCTGCAGAAGACTAAAGCTCCATATCCTGCTCTGGCCGTTTCGTTCGCGAGTGAAATTACTGCATTGATCAAGGGATTGTTGAGCTCTTTCTCAGGAGACTGGTCGATTTGTCTAGATGGCTGTGGCCTGATTTGTGAAGAAGCTCCAAGAGTTTGTGCATTCAGTTGTGTAGCCATTTGGTAGAATCTGCTTGAACTCGAAGCTGGGTAGACAGCATTGTCAAAAACGAGATGCTCTTCGACTGGAACTGGCTTGTATCTAGAGATATAGAATTTCGCATTAAGCCATTTTGCTAATAGATCCGCATTCTTGACATATTGTTATGACTGAGCTCCTGGCAATTGGAAGGTTACGTACATTCAAAGTGGCACTCATTCCAATCAATTGGACTTTGTCTTCGAGGTCTAGACTGAGAAGTTTCGTTGCCGTGAGTTCCAAAATATAACCGCGACTCTCGTCATCGATCATGTGCAGTTCGTCCATAACGACACATCCAAGCTTTCCTATGGAAAGATCCTCAATGGCAGCATTGACAAGTGAATTTGCCTGCTCATAAGTCAACGCTCATCAGGGACACGAGAAATAGCAGGTCAAATACCTTCTCTATAGTACAAACGGCAATGTCCATATCATCCCAAGACGCTTTTGTCTTGCTTCCTCCATAAAATCCCATCACTCGGATGGTTTCCTCGTCCCCTCGCTTTCTCCACGCTGTTGGCCAATCGTGATTCGACGCTGAGGTCTTGACAATACCTTCGACAACCTTTCTCAGCCAGCGCTGCTTCTCTTGCACGAGAGCTACATACGGCAACACCAGCAACGCTTTCTTCCCTGGGTTTTCCAGGACCTTCTTTAGCATCAGTACATCAGTAACCAGTGATTTGCCTCCGCCCGTGGGAGCAGTGTAAACCAGATTCTTCTCCCCAGCGAGAGCTCCACTTCGTAGCAGACATTCTGACTGCCATGGGTAGATAGACCTGATGCCGAGGGACGCAAAATTGGAGACAAGACGTTTAGGAAGTCCGTAAGCTGGATGCGATAAATCGAGGACAGGATTTGACGTTGGTGTGGGTGTCAATGCAAGCGTCCGCCTTTGAGAGTACTCGGAAGTGCCTCGATCTAACACATCATGAATCTTGCCAGCAATTAACGTCTTGAGACAGTTGTGGTCCTGAATCGTTGGCCGACGAAATTCCACCCGAATCGAAACGTCTGCTGGACGGTGATCGTGCTCAATCTTTTCTCCATTGCGGTAATCCTCGAACGTGCGCTTCCCAGCAACATGAGCAATTGTTGTCTGGGCTGCCTTTGCGCGTTCGATACTTGTTGTGTGATATAAGCCGGTACTTCTATTGACATTCATCCTGTTGCGATCCGCGCCGAAACCAAAATTAAGAGTGACAACGCGTGACTAGCGGAGAGCATTCTTGCAATCAATAACTTGCAAGGCAGAGCAAAAAGTCTACGAAGAAGAGCAGTTTGGAAAAGGGAGAGTGTGAAATGCAGCAAAATTCGTTGTACTTTGGTAGGATTGCTTGTCGGAGGAAGCCTTCCAACCCAAAATCCCAGGTTGTAGTGGAATCACGAGATCACATGTTGCTGCAGGTGTCATGACGTTGTGCTGCCTCAGGAATCAATTTTGCGTGATCGCCTCGATAAGACATGTTATCAGCCCTAGACTACTGAGCCTAATGCCGACTTGCCGACGACCTCTATCAAACTCCCTCGAGTTCTCCAGTGTTGTCTCGACCTATTGATTCGGAATGTATATGTTCGATTCATTAGATATCAACTCATTACCGCTGATGCTTTTCTGGAGATGCTCCACGGCGCACCTTGACTCAGAACCCATTTCATGATTACTCTCACCAACAATATAACGTTTGGCCTCTCTCCCCCAAGTGTCGTTCTTCTCTAGAAAACCAGAGGCTCGGCTAAATTGACCACCAAACTTGGTATTTCTGAGCACAGTTTTCCAAACGTTCTATAGGGTCGCCGAGATCGCTCGCTGAGGGTTTACCGGAGGCCTCGCATTTTTTCTAGCAGTCTGGGCCAAGGAATATGAGATCGGAGTCATGGCTTCATACTTGCACTCACACAGCTCATCTGGATCTGCCAGTCATCCTTCTGATGATTTCTGATCATCTCGCTTGGTTGCGTTCATGGCAAGTATCTACATTGGCTCCGAGCAGTTTTATCACAAAATGTTTGTTTATGTGAGTGTGTGAAATGCATGAAAAGGACAAGCCCTACGAACGAATGAAACAGGATCTGCAATCGTATCTGTAAATAACTATCCGAGAAGATGCGGTTATCCGCCCCGCTCAGTCTAACTGTAACAAAGGGATTCAAACAGGAGAATGCGAAGAAACGATTGTATAGAGAAAAGGAGGCCGAGAGTCAGAGACACGAAGTCGTTATATGCTATGTCAGAGCCTCCGGACTAACGGCCTAATATCCGGAACTATTTCAGGGCTTTTGGCGTAAGCCAAGGGTATACACGTCTTCCAGTTCGTCCGAATCAGTGGCGCATAGCAAGTAACGTGGAAATGATCAGGAATGTTGAGATACTCTTGTTGCCAGTTAGAAATCAGATCTATTTTCTCATTCCACTCGCAGATATATAAAATTGGAGTCTGGCTACTTTCCTAGATCGTGGGATATCGGATCCAGAGTTTTGGAGTCACGAGGCCGGAGAGAGGAGGTCGTCGACCATTCGTGATCCGGGGAGGATTTCTGAAATGAGCGTAGTTGCAAGACTTTCAGCTCCCCAATCATACATACGGATTGCATCGTGGGAACAGTATCAACGGGTAGACAGAATTCCTCGTCTATTGTAGTCTATTGTAGTGTGGATGTCGATATCAAGATGGATGTGGTACAAAGGCAGATGCGATGCTGTGCTGTGAGGTGAGGTGAGGTGAGGTGAGGCGAGCGAGTGGGTGTTGGCGCGCTAGTAGAGTGTGGGCAAGGAACAAAGTTAAGGTCCACGGTAGGAGCGCCGTCAATCGTTTCTTCCTTTCCATATTCATACATACCGGTCCACCACCCCCAAAACTCTCGCCCTCTTCCTTCTTCTCTCCCTCCTCCTCAAACCTCCCGCACTGAAGGAGTAAACGAATCTTCGGTCATATACTGAATCCAAATTTCTCAGAGTTCAAGGTTGTTCTCTCACGAAAGCAGTACTTCCATAGCCTCGTCTCTATCTAGTGTTATTGGCCCCAATATCTTGGGTGCACAACGCCAGCACCGAGACGACCATTTCACCACAAATTTCTCCTCGAATCGTCCGCCCATCTCTTCTACTATAGGTTGCCATCTACCTCAGAAACTGATGGGTCGAAGCCCTGCCTCCGACGCTCGATAGCCTTGCACATCAGCACTTCTCGCCCATCCCATCCTGCGAGAAGTTGCTCCACCTCCAGCACCCAACGTCGCGCCAGCACTTCGCGTACGTTCTTTCATCGCAATGAGAGATGCTTCTGGTCGATCGAGCGCCGTGGGCTCGGCCCATTCTTCTCCGCGCGAAGGTACTGAAGAGACCCCAACACTGGAGCGGGAGCAGCCTGGTGATGTCGCATCTTCTGCTACTGAGCTCGCCCCAGCGACCCTCGAATCGAGCAAGCCCTCAAATGCGAATGAGTTAGAGACACGAGCGCCGGAATCGCAGCCTATGACGAAGTCCGATTCATCCTCTTCGAATCCGCCTGGAAAGGATGCTAGTAATTCCAGCGCTGGTGTTCCTTACGGTACAAGGTCCCGTAACAGGACAGGAAATTCACGACCGAACTACGCAGAAGATAAGGAGATAGACATAGAATTAGAAGTTGTCGCGCCTCCCTTCCAAAGTTCTGCGCGCAAAGCAAAAGCGGCAGAGCCAGCACCTATGGTAATGGACTCTGGAAGGCCGATATCGACAAGTCGAAAGGGCCCGGGAGGTGAGGCAGAACAGAGTGTTCTAATGCAGAACCACTACAGAGAGCCCATTCCGGGGACGTCCACTTTTTCTGCTAACCCAGCAGCGGCACCGAATTCTCATAATGGCTCGAAGAAGAGGAAAGCAGCGAACCAGACGCCTGCTTCTCACCAGTCACAAATGTCCATTCCAAATTTGGGCCCTCATAGCACCACTCGAGGAGCTAGTATAGCTGCACAAGGGAACGGCACTGTCCAAGATTCCAATATGCTTACATTTGAAGCCTGTCAAGGTCGCCCAACAGGCAAAACCCTCCATGCCGACGACGGGACTATACTCGAGGTCAACGGTAAGCTTCATTTACCTGCTATTGCATATATCATGTGTCTTGTGTGCTAACATATATCAGACCACGTTTACCTTGTCTGTGAGCCTCCAGGTGAACCGTATTACCTTGGCCGAATCATGGAATTCCTACACATAAACAATAACCCCACGCAGCCAATTGATGCTCTTCGACTCAATTGGTATTATCGTCCAAAGGATATTGGTCGCAAAGTCAACGACACACGCCAAGTCTTCGCATCCATGCATTCCGACATCAGCCCCCTCACAGCTCTGCGAGGAAAGTGTCAGATTAAGCATAAGAGTGAAGTCGACAAACTAGATGAACTGAGGAAGACTAAAGACTGCTTCTGGTACGAAAAGCTATACGATCGTTACATTCATAGATTCTACGATGTCATCCCCACGAGTCAAGTTATCAACGTTCCTATTGAGGTGAAGAAAGTCCTTGATGAGAGATGGAGATATATCATCGTTGAACCAGGACGCGGAAAGGAGCTCACTAGTGCCGTCAAATCTTGCAAAAGGTGTAACAAATATTGCGCAAGGTTAGTAACCGCTATTTCTTGAAACATGGCTCCTAACATAATACAAGCAATGATTCCGTTGATTGCGCCGTCTGTCACAATACTTACCACATGAGTTGCGTCAACCCGCCGTTGCTCAAAAAACCGTCGCGTGGGTTTGCGTGGGCATGTGGGCCTTGTAGCAAAGCTCAGGAGAAAAGGCTCGAAGCTCGCAATACGCCTAACGTCGCAGACCCTACTGGTGATATCGACGAGGATGAGTACAACGAAGAAGAAGACGGACAATCCGGAGCAATCGATAGTGCGCTTCAAACGGGCAGAACTAGTCCTACGGTATCGAGTGAAGCTGAGGGCGCGTTGCATTCAGGCACACCTGAGCAAATTCATCAAGCAAGCCTTTGGCTTTTCAGATATCTTGGAATTCACTGTCGGGTTGAGGATGCTTTGGACTATGACGACCGAATCTATCCCCGAGCTAGTTCACGTCTTGGACCGCGACATCAAGCCGTCGTGCCTGCATGGCCTGGCAGACCAGTGGAGTACGTGAAGCCGGCCGAAATCAAGAGGAAGTATGTCAAAGGAGGGGGCCACAAGAAGGACACTAAACTGTCCAAAGATACCGTGGCAGCTCTGGAAGCAGACAAACTAGCTCGGGAACAGCGTCCGAAGTGGGTCATGGACGAACCTCCTGGCTACGTGCATCGAGGAGAGGACTACGAGGACGGCGATCCCAATAGTACTTCTGAACTGCTGTACAAGTTCCCGGAGGCCAACGAGATTCCTCCTAGGGATATAGATGGTGATGGTCCCCAACCGTTAGACGAGAAAGCCCGTGAAGGACACATTTTCAACTACATGGCCTATGTAGGCGGAAACATGCCCCGAGCCCTTGGCCTCCCTGCTCTTTCCACCAATCTACTCGATGTTGCTCTGGAGACTCTGCACGCCAACAAATATGATGTTGACAAAGCGATCGAGTCATTGTCGAAGTCTGACAAAGCAGTCTTCAAAGAGCCTGCACTCAGTACTACTGAGCTCAAGAAGTTTGAGGACGGCGTTGCGAAGTTTGGCTCAGAGTGGCACAGCATTAAGAAGCATGTGAAGACCGTCAAAGCCGCTGATATTGTCCGATTCTATTACACTTGGAAGAAATCCGAGAGTGGAAAGCGAGTATGGGGTAACTACTCTGGTCGCAAAGGAAAAAAGGAGGCGAAACGAGCAGAGGCAACGACTGGCAAACTACAAGACGACGTTGCCGATGAGCATGACGATTCTGCATTCGACAACGAAAAGGCAGAAACGAAGAAAAGGCGCTTTCAGTGCAAGTTCTGCGGTACCAAAGAATCTCGACAGTGGAGAAGAGCTCCGAATACACCTGCCGGTACGATGATTTCAGAGAATCCAGGGGTCAAAGTTACCGGGAAGGACAAGAGCACACAGCTCATGGTCGCATTATGCCGGCGGTGCGCAGAGCTCTGGCGCCGCTATGCCATTCAATGGGAAGATATAGATCAAGTGGCAAAGCAAGTCGCCCAAGCAGGCGGGCGCGCTTGGAAGAGGAAGATTGACGAAGAGCTTTTGAAAGAGCTTGTAGCAGCCAACGAAGTCGTGAATCAGGCAATTAGTCTACCATCTGCAGCACCAAATTCTGCAAATGGAACTCCAGCACCGCAAGCGAACCTCGGGCAAATCACTGAGCCTCCTCGGAAAAAGCTCAAAGGACCGTCTGAAAGGGAGTCTACTGATCCTGGCATCGACTCCAGTGTAAGTTCGATATCAGGTCCAAAGAAGAAAACGGCGCCTGAGAAGCAGGCTGCACCTCCACCACCACCCGAACCGCCAAAGCCAAAGCAGATGCCATGCGCCATATGCGGAGAACTGGAGCCCATGGGCGACCAACACTTGTGCTGCAAGGATTGCCGGTTGACTGTTCATCGCAACTGCTATGGAGTTGTCGGCGAGCATCGAAGCCCGAGCAAGTGGACCTGCGATATGTGCTCAAACGACAAAAATCCCCAGGTGTCTATTGTAAGTTCAAAAAATCTAGTTGCCCAGACTTGCGCTAACCTTTGAAGCAATACGAGTGCAAGTTGTGCCCTATAAAGTTCACAGAACAAGATTTTGTTGAGCCGCCAAAAGTCTCTCACAAGAAGAAGACGGAGAAAGATCGCGAGCGGGATAGAGTGGAGCGTGAAAATGCCCAGAAGGTTGCTGATTACTTCCGCAAGAAACAAGAGGAGATGAACAAGCCAGTCAATCCCCGGGAGCCTCTGAAGCGAACTGCAAACAACAACTGGATTCATGTCACCTGCGCAGTTTTTACCCCGGAGGTAAAATTTGGCAACGGAAAGGCACTGGAGCCTTCGGAGGGTCTAGGATCCATACCAACCGCGAGGTGGCAAGACACTTGCAAAGTCTGCAAAAAACAGGATGGCGCGTGTGTAAGTTGCCATACGTGCAGGATTCCAGGTAAGTTCACATATCTCGTCAATCTAGCTCTCGGTCTAAGATGGTCTAGTACATGTCGAGTGTGCACATCAAGCAGGCTATATTCTAGGCTTTGATATCGCACCTGTAAAAGGATCTCGTCGGGATCAATTCAATATAGTCACCATTGCAGGAGAAGTTGGAACCATGACTGCAGCGATCTGGTGCAAGGAGCATGTACCAACGAAGACCATCGTGCATCGAATGCACGATATTGTGGACGAGGAGAGTGGCTTGAATGCTTTACAGCTCTATGTCCAAAACTTCAAGCAAGCGGATTTGGCCTTGACAGGTACAGTCCGCAAAGCGACCCTTGTCAGTCAGTCTGCGAAAGTTGTCAACCCTGCTTCAGTTGCACCTCCACCAAACCGGCGCGCGTCTACGAACACTGGTGGCAGTCACAATGGACGTGGTTCATTGTCTCATGCTAAGCCGGACGATAGTCCCGGGGAGACATCTACCACAGTGCAGTCGGATTCTCGACGAATATGTATCACCTGCAACGTCGATATCAGCCCGAAGTGGTGGCCATTTCCTCCGACACCAACAGACAAGCCTCCTGCGACTTCTCTAGATCCTGCGAGTCTCGACAACAGTCAGCATCATATGAATGGGCATCTCACAAATGGCCACGCGACTTTAGATTCTGAGGAAGAGACCAACGGTGCGCACATAGCTCTTGCAGCTGCAGCCCTACATCAGAATCCGTCAAAGTCGATATCTGTACCCAACGAATTTCAGTGTCAGCAATGTCATTTCAAGAAGAAGCGGAAAGAGGTCTCGCCACCCCCTCCTTTACCTCCTCGAGAACCCTCCCGGCCACTGATTCCCACTCCTCAGCCGGCACCTGCTGTCCTTCCACGCGAAGCGGACAATATTGCGCCACCACAGCATACCAGTCCATACTGGTCTAATCCACCCGCACCACCTCCCCTTGCAGCATATGCGACAAATGGTTCTTCCAATGGCCCTCCAAATGGACCTCCCTATCGCTGGTCTCGTCCATCACCCGCGCCTCAGAGTATACCCCATGTGAATCAACTAAACGGAAATCATTCGCCCCGTATTAATTCTGGATCTGTACAGGCTCTCGGTGGTCAGCCACCGATACGACATCAAAGTCATGGAATACCACACTCCCCACACCAGAATGGCCACCATCCTCAAATCCCCAATAGTTATCCATCTTCTCCACGTCATGCTATAGGGTCTCCACCCCTTCATATGCAGAATGGTTCATATCCATCGTACGCTTCTACAAGGCCGGCACCTCAACACTTGACCAACGGCGGTCCCCCACCACGAGCCCCTGAACACCCATTCTCTCAGAATAGCGCACCAATGCACTCTCGGGGGTCGTTTGGGCCTCCTCAGGGCAGTCCACCGATGCTTCGCGAGAGTCATCCCCAAGGCAGAGATCTTACGAACTCCCAGGCAACTAACTCGCGGCCAAATGATGGTCGAGTAAATGGAGGCGCTAGCGCAAGTCCCTCTTTGCGAAACCTGCTATCTTAAAGCAGTTCAGATGTATTATTTACTGTTCCTATCCTCTTATCATGCATGTATGAGTTGGGAAAACATTTTAAGGTGGCAAAACCCACTTCAATGGAGTTCATGTAGCGCGGCGTTTGAAAAAAACGGAGACGATCGGTCACTGCATGTAAGAGTAGATCATCTTTGTCAGGAAACCATGTCATGTTTCTCATTCTGGTTTAGAAAAAGAAATGATCTTTTCTGCCATCAAAGAGTCGTAAGGTCAAAGTAGGCAGCCAGCCTTACTTGTCTACATCCCCCTTTGCAACCTCTACTGCGGCACTGTTGTTAGTGAAATGAGATCAATGTCATGTCTGGGCAGAGAGTGCACACTAAAGTCCTCAATTGAAGCCTGTTTTCTTCGCTATAGTCGGCGTGGTCCTTTTCTATCCATTACTTGCGCAAATTGCGCGAACTGCGCAAAACGCGCGAAAGGTGAGTGAGGCAGTAACTACTAGGTCAGAATTTTGTCTTACCTCGCATAGAAATATTTGATCTCTATAGCGAGGCTGTCTATGTCCATTGGATCTTGAACTAAATTACAGCCTCTGTTGCGTATGTCCAAGGATCAGATTGCTTCTACTCAATATTGGCAAATTAAGATAAAGAGCTCAGGTTATTTTCTTGTCCGCTTTGGGCAGAAACTTGCGATTTGTTTCGTCAGTCAAAGAGCATTCAGCTGCGGTGTTCCTCCCATTGTACCTTCTACTCTGTTTGTGGCATGTTCTAATGACTTTGAAGGGTGAGTATCAATTTACTCTGACTTCAAATATGTATATTATGGGCCGATCTCCCTCGTCAATCCCAAATGCACGCAGCACATCGATCATGTCTGTGACCAGGACCACTCGAATTCTAGACAAAGTACCATGGGTCCCTCGATCGACGGTCGCTGAAAACAGTCAAGTGCCTTTAGGAGATGGCAATACGTCTGAGTCGGGCTCAATCTCAGACAAAAGTGGTAGATCGAGCTCGGGATCAGATTCCACTTCAGATTGTCATGATGGCTGCGTCTCTGTCGCCGTCTTTGATATACTCTGGCGTGACGATGACTGCATTTTCAACCAGCTAGGTGGATCCATAAGATTCAAGATACTCTTCGAGCAAGAAGCCCCCGCCCCTCGCCCTAACATCACACAACCACTTTCCGGAAGGAACTACATCTCGATATTCGAAATGGGCATGAACGAATGCATATTCAAATGTAGCGCGTTCGCGAACGGCATGGGATGGGAGAACTTTCGAGCATTCAAGAGGAACAGGGCGTTCAAGAGCGGATTCCCGGACGACGAAGTTTCCTTTCGATTCCCGGATGATATGCTCGATGACGGCGGTGTACCGATGCTGATGTTAATCCTGGGTGACGGTCGGGGTTGTACGGATCAGGTTGTGGTTTGCTGGGCAAAGATGAGAGACAATGCTCATGGGAACAATCTTGCAACGTTCTCGAGTACGGAGATTGCAAAGATCAGCGTTTACGAGAAATTGGACGAGTGAGAGCTCTGAGACGAGGTGACTTACGATGGCATAAAATTGAGAAAAACACTTGGCTGCCAGGAGAAAGAAACAGCGGTTGAATGTTTCACTGCGTCGAAGTCAAAAATTTCATCATGTTTTTAAGCTGGTGGCCCATACTGTATTACTTCTCTCCCTAAATTTATCTACCAAGGATAGTACGCAGCATCAATCCAGCTGTAGTATGATTGACTACCATCAGAAGCCATAAAGACATCCTTCGGCGTACGGTAAGCCCTCGCCTGATCAGCGGTAAATTCAATCGTCAGATTCCCAGCTATCCTAGTTGTCAAATTGAAACCCGGTCCATAAGACTTGTACTCAGCCATCGTCGTGTTTGGTCCGTAATTGTCAGTTGCAGGATCAGTGGTCCACTTTTTGAAACCTGCTGGCGCAATTGACGCATCCATATACATATTCAAGTACACAGCCCGCATTAAAGCATTCCATGGACGTCCGAGAAAGCATTTTCCGACCATCGAAGGTGCGACTAATGAAAAATCAGTATCGGCTTTTTGGAATAATCGAAAAGTCAAGCTGGGCCCTCCCGGAAGAATGTCCCGAGATGTCGAATCCCAGATTATACTTGATATCAATGGTGGTTTCTACCTACTGGAACTGTTGGCTGCGTTCAGGGTGGAGTCGCTGATGTAAACTCCGTATTTGTTGACAAATGTCGTATTTGTGCCTTTCCATGCTGTGATACCTCCGCCGCAACCACGGAGGAGAACCGAGGTAGATTCTATCCAAGCTGTGCCAAACCCTGGACACCCGTCAGTATTTCGACTTCCCTCCACTCTAGAAAGGAAGTTACCGTAGAAGAAATCCGTCTGTCCTGCGATCTCGTTATGATAGAAATATGCATTTCCCAGCTTTCCAACATATACCTACGCATCAAGTCAGAAACTTTTCGCACGCAGCTATTCAGTTTGAGGTTTACTGTATCTTGGTAACTATAGATGCCCGAATAGTAGAATCCAGCATTTGCTCGACTTACACTCACTGCCAGAGCCGGTCCTGCAGAGATCTCGGAATACACATTCCTAAAATCGATATTGTAAACTCGGAAGTCGGTACAACCGAAAGGAGCTGCAATCGATTTGATTCAGCGTCATATCAGTTAATTGACAACAAAGAAGAAATTTGTGCATTAAGTCCTGCTTGATCCTTGAATGTATTTATTGACAAGAAGAAATACGACTCACTGTCAGCCGGAACCGCGAATCCTGTCGGGCCAGAACCGGTAAGACTCGCGTTGAGATTTGGAGCCACGGTCAGCACGGAAGAGAAAGCATCACCCGGAAGATCACTATTCGCATCCGCCGAGGTCCAGTAGACCGTTACGGAGTTCTCGCTTTGGTCGTTGGGCGAATTCGTTTGCCCGAGAATCGTGAGAGGACCAGACCGAGTGACATTTATCTGTTCGATGTAGTTGCCAGGCAATACTAGAATGGTGTATGGAATCGTGTTGTTGGGGATAGATAATACAGCACTTTGTATGGTCGAGAAATTGGCAGAGCAGTCAGTTTGTGAGACGAGAACAGTGTTGGACGGACATCCATCTAGAGGATTCACGGTAACAGCTTGACATGCAACATATGCGGATGTGGAGTTGTTGGCATGTGCGAGGTTGGCCAAAAAGAAGGTGCTGGTAAGCAAATATCCCAGAGATCTTCGGAGATACATGATGGTACTTCTCGTTCGTCAGCTTAAGCATCAAAGGCGTGGATGCATGGATTTGCAACCTCACTTAGTATCTTAAAATGGACAAATCCAGGTGTTCCAAACGAAGAGGCTGTCTGGAGATGAGAAGAAACCAGCTTTTGTACAAAAGCTTTAAAGTAACTCAATATAGACACCCGTCAACCGCCCCTGTCAATGAACAGTAAGCACCAGAAGAGCTTGTTTCTCCTACTGCGGGGAAGTTTGATATATGAGATTCGATGCCTAGCTAGCACTCATCTACCAAGTCATGTGTGTGAAGCCACCACACCTCTACTTCTGTAGGTACATTGCTCTGCAACCTTTCCGAGATGATACTTTAATCAAGGTAGGAGGAAGCGAAGAGAAGCATGTGCGTCTAAGTCATCATTGCTGATTGGTGGAAACACACCTCCACTACCCAGCTCGTATTTTGCATGCAAAGGAACATATATTTTCCGGAACTATACACTGTCAAGGATGAACAAATAGGACGTTTTTTGACTTTGACATTCTGCCCCTGTACCCCGCATTCGAGGTATTTACCCAACCTACAGTAGTCAGGTACGCGAACTCCTCTCCGGGAATGAGACCCCGTACAAATCTTCCCGGGTATCTCGGGTAAGTAACCCCTGGCTACTTCACCCGGATCTCTTCACTCTCATCTTTGATTACTGCAAAGATCATCAATAGACAGCAGCAGATGGTACTTTATACGCCTTTCGATTCGAGGAAAATTGTACGTCCAAGTAGACGTACAACAACTTCGTCAATGTCCGCCATGACAGTCGCTCTGGGCTGCGTACACCTGACTCACTTGAGCATAATTGATATAGTTTGTTGAACGCAGCACTTCGGTCTGTAATGGATGTTACCATTGATCATCCTTTCAAATGGTTGCCATACACTCGTACTCGGCCATTACTCTGCTGACGGTTGCTGCATTCGTTGGTGGAGGAGTTGCACAATCCTCATGCGAGCCCTCGATACCTCCGAGACCCTCTCCCACAGCCTATCCATACCATCCAGCGAAGAATCATGAAGTTTCACCCCCGAGAACCAAGACATGCTACGTGCAAGCTTTTGGAAACGGCCAAGACGACAGCCAAACCATTTTTTCTGCTCTAAAAGCCTGCAATAACGGCGGAACCGTCGCTCTTCTAGATGCGCAGTACACAATCGCTCGCCCTCTCGATTTGACTTTCTTGAACGCAGTGGACCTCGTCATCGCTGGTGAGGTATCTTTCACGCCAGATATTGCATTCTGGACAGCAAACTCTCTCAAATACAGTTACCAGACATCTGCGCTGTTCTGGCAAATTGGAGGCACGGATGTGAATATCTATGGAGGTGGCACCATCAATGGCAATGGACAGGTGTATTGGGATGCATTAATCACCAACTCGTCTGTGGTGAGGCCACATCTGATGGGAATCATGGGTTTGCAGGGTGGCACCATCAGCAATTTGAACCTGAAAAATCCTCCCAATTGGTTCCATTTTGTGGCAAATAGCTCAGATGTACTCTTCGATAGCATGAAAATGACCGCAATCTCAAATGATACGCATCCAGCTGCGAATTCTGGTGAGTGTGCTTGAAAGAGCGAGATTCAGTCACATGGTGGCATGACTGACTGTACACAGATGGCTGGGACTTGTACAGATCCGACTCGATTGTTGTTCAGAACTCGTACATTTACAACGATGATGACTGTGTATCCTTCAAACCCAATAGCACGAACATTGTTGTTCAACACCTAGTCTGTGTTGGCTCTCACGGCATTTCAGTTGGCTCACTGGGCCAGTATGCTGGGGAGGTTGATATTGCTGGCGAGTCTCTTCTCCACCATTGAAATTTCCTGCTTAATGATGACAGAGAACCTTTACATTTACAATATCTCCATGACGAACGCCACGGATGGTGCCCGCATTAAGATCTTGCCTGGCGTTGCACCTGGTAGCAATGCTACAGGCGTTGGAGGTGGAAGTGGATATGTTCGCAACGTGACTTACAACGGAATGCATGACGTGAACGATGCTTGTATGGACTTAGAAAGTGCCTGAGCAGTATGACTTGCTAATAGTCGCACAGATGCTATTGAACTGAACCAGTGCTATGAAAGCAGCACGACACTCTGCGCCAAATACCCCGTGAGTACTTCCCAGCCCTTTCTGAAAATTAGTTCTCTAACCCTGACCACTCAGTCATCGATACTGATCGAAGATATACTTTTCCAAGACTTTACTGGAACCGCATCCACGAAATACGCTCCCATTGTCGGTACTTTAGTCTGCAGTAGTACAGCAGTATGCCCCTCCACTTCTCCTTTTTTAGGTCTGAAACCAAGCTTACTATTGCAACAGGTGTGCCAAAATATCGTTGCAGAGAATATAAATATCACAACGCCAACTGGTGTGACTGCGGAATGGACTTGTACGAACGTGGACAAGTCAACTTTGGCGATCAACTGCGTCTGACGAAGCTCCGGTCGCTCTTGAAGGCATTAGAATAGCCCACTTGAACACAAAATGTAAAACTAAAATCTGCTTAGACTTTAGGTGACCTATCTAGGTACTTGGATGCTGACAAAAATAATTATGTGACTGATCCCCACCCATGAGAGGACAAAGCACTACCTGGGATTGATTCAAGCCTATGTTGCATCGTTCTCATATCACCATCCAAGCGCGAACCATTATACTTGCAACAAAGAAATTCATAATATTCTGAAGCCGCCTACAAAATCTAGGCCGGTAAACAAAATAGTAAATAAATATTAATACATGGCTTTAAAGAAATTCTTGTAGCAATTTTGACCCCGAAGCCCGAAGCGGAAGGAATCTCTCAACGAGCGTCTTACAGCTCTTCTATACTTAATAAATGAAAATTAACGCCTCGAAACAACTTTTCGTCCCTCTTCATCAATCACTATCAACTCCTGAGATGTAAATATCCACTCAAATAGCCCAGCACGCTTCGTCTTACCGACCCAGTGCAAAACTGGAACGGATGGCAGCTCTCGCACAGCCTCGTTCTCGGGCTGCTTGAACAACTCCTCAACACGTGATGCCATGATTTCAGTCCGAACACTTGCCGTCCCAGGGTGATTAATTATACGCAACGTCTTTTCATCCGATTCTTGAGGGCCTGCAGCAACAGCAGCGGCGATAGCGGTAGCTACGTCTTCGACTGGAGCAATGTAGAAGGTGCCACCGATATGAGTAAAGTCAGGTCGAACCCCGAGACGCGGTGAATTGATCAAGATGCTATGGATTAGGGCTTCCTCGGCTTCTGTAAGCTTCTGGTCTGCTGGAAATTGATCGATTGTTGCAGTCTTGGTTGGTCTATGCGCCGTGACTTCGATTCCGGTCTGACGGGCTGCATTGGCTAGGTACCTTTCTGCAACCCATTTGGACGCGACGTAGCCATCCGAAGCTTCGGGACGAGGAAGACCATTACTGTCTGCCTCGTAATTCACGACAGCCCCTGAGCTGAGAACGTGAAGTGCAGCACCAATCCGAAGAGCGAGCTTCGCAAGCAATTTCGGCGTGATCACGTTGACGGGCTTGAGGGCACTGTAACCATCCCAGAAGTTGCGATCTGCGGCAATATGTAGGATTACATCAATGTCTGCCATCTCAGGGACAATGTTGTCTGCAGGAATGGATGGCAGCTCCGCGTGGACGACGAGCAACTTATCCTTGATACTGGGGAACAAATGAGTCAAGTCTCGACCTTCGGCAGGCCTCGCCAAGACAACGATCTGCGTGACACGGGGATTCGTTGCGAGATGAGGAATAATATGTTTGCCCAAAGATCCCGTGGCACCTGTGACGAGGACACGAAGTCCTGTAGTAGAGCTCTTCTTTGGATTCCTAAAGGGAATTTCGTTTAACAAGTCCGAAACTGCGATCTCTTTGTCCCAATCTGGAGCAGCCCCAGAGCTCTCTAGTAGGGCTGCCATTTCGGCCAGCTCGGGTGTATTCATGAGCTTATTCAGTCGAGGAGCATCTCCAAGAGCCTGCTTGATGGCAGCTTGCAACTGAACCAACATCAATGAGTTGCCTCCAGCGCGGAAGAAATCGGTCCGAGGCGTCAACGGCTTTGCTGCCAACAAGTGTGCAGGTAGAATGGTAGCCCAGATATCTGCAAGACGACGCTCTGGGACTGTGAAACTCTTTTGCTGCTCTTCTCGCACTGCCACGGAAGTCTCCGTTACGACTCGGGGAAGTCCTTGTACAGCCTTCCGATCGACTTTGCCATGAGCAGTCAGAGGCACCTCATCGAAGAGTATGATTTCGGCAGGAACCATATATTGAGGAAGGGAGAGAGCCAGGCGTGTGCTGAGCTGATCGACGATCTCGGCGATCTGTGCCTCGCTCCTGTGCTTGTTTTTATCGACGACTATATGCGCAATGAGGAGTCCATCATGGTCACTCTCACCAGCATCCAGCGTGACTACAGCCGCAGTCACAGCTCCGGAAGCTTCCTTCATGATGACGCCCTCAATCTCACCCAATTCTACCCGGAATCCACGGACTTTGACTTGGGCATCTCCAGCGATGCGACCCTCGATTGCGAGGAGACCATGGGAATCAAGTCGGCCATAATCTCCGGTATAATACACACGTCCCTCCTTGTTGTTGGATACAAAAGAATCAGCAGGGAACTGCTTCGCTGTCAGATCCGGTCGATTGAGATATTCATTATTCCCAACGCCTGCCCCACCGATGACAATCTCTCCAGGCACACTAACAGGTACAGTCTGAGACTCTTCATCAACGATGTACACGGTGTAGTTGGGAAGAATCCGACTTGGTACAGGGACGACCAAGTTTGGATTGTTCAGATCAGTTTCTCCCTTGACTGTTGAGATGGTTGCCTCAGTAGGTCCGTAGGTATTGAAGACTCGAAGATTAGGCAACGTCTTACGCAGGTCGCGGAACGAATCGAGAAGGCTTTGGGGTGCACGCTCACCACCGAACCAAGCAGAAGTTAGGGAGGTGCAGCATCGTAAGTTTTGAGGCGCGAATCGAAACCACATGTTCCACTCAGAGGGTGTAGCTACGCTGAAAGTCACATTATTATCAGCCATCAAGCGTGTGAGTTCAGTTGGATCGCCCCGGGCATCTGCAGATGCGACAACGAGACAGCCACCGGTGGTAATCGCTGAGATAACTATTAACAAATTAGCAATTGTTATACAAGAACGTCAAAGAGCCGAGATGAACACTCCCTAAAGGAACTCCGGGGAACTTGGCTCTCAAATTGTATGGGAAAACAAGGGTGGTTTTGACGTACTCTGTTTGAGAGAGCCATCTGAGGTGAGAGGAATTTGCTGGAGTACGACACGGCCAAGAGAAGTAATGTCCCACTCTCGAACAAATCCTTCTGCTAGGGCGCGAAAGCTAGAGTGTTTGATGACAACACCCTTAGGTTCACCAGTAGAACCACTGGTAAAGATGATGTAAGCTGGACGGTCAGCCTGAGCAGCGGTTGCAATCTTCTCCTTGCTCTCCTTGACTTTGGCGGGAAGATCAGATACATTGATGACACTTGCAGTACTCTCAATCCCGATTTCCTTAGTACGTCCCACGGTCTCGCTGTCAGCGAGAATGACGGCTGGTCCAGCTACGTTGACGTATCCTTTCAGGCGTGCGGCAGAGACTTTCAGATCCAACGGGAGATATATGGCGCCGGTACGAAGGATGGCAACGAGAGAAGCAATCCAGTCGGCAGCTGGCGTCTGGAACACACCAACAACAGACTGTTCGCGGTTCTGATCGGGTAAGCTCTTACGGAGGATTTGTGCAATGCTCTCAACTCGTTCATCTAGCGCAGCATACGTCAAGATATGACCAAACCCATCCTTGATAGCGAGATTGTTCGGATATTTGGCAATGATCTGGTCGATACGATGAGCAACGGTTGCGGGCCATTCAAGTGGCAAGGAAGGACCTATTCATTCAAAAATTGGTCAGCAGTTTGAGGGAGGGAAGAGGGTGATTCAAGACGAAGAACAACATACCTTGTCCAAGTTCCAATGCGTTACGGACATCGACACTGTCCCATTTGTCCAGCTTTTCGGTCGATATCGTATCACCGTCTTGCTGAACCACTTGATTCAGGACATTAACGTAGCTCCTCAGGATGAGATCAGTAGCCTCTTTGTTGTACAACCCATCTTGTACATGAAGAGCTACTAGGGCACTCTCGTGATCTTCAACGATCTCTAGAGCGATATCGTATGTGCTCCTTGCTGTATGCCATTTATGCTCGCTCACTTTACATCCTGCCCAGCTCATATTTGCTTGCTCTCTTGTGACGAGCTTGTAATCCATCAAGACTTGACATACAGGCGTGTACGTATTCGAGCGCGGTACAGAAAGCTCGTCCAGGAGGAGATCAAATGGCAAGGCCGAGAACTCCATGGCGCCGTACACTTTACTGCGGGCTTCCTCTATGGCCTTGCCGAAAGTTTGGCCTCGATCAGGGCGATTGAACAGTAGTGGCAAGATATTGAGGAAGTTACCAAGGCTACCCATAAACTTGCTTTCAATCCGGTTAGCATCAGCAATACCGATGACCACCTTGTCTGTTGTATCTGCGGGCAATAGGCGGAAGATTAAAGCCTGTAGAGCAGCGAGGTATCCATGGAAGGAAGTGGATTGGTGACCGCGTACGAGTTGCTTCATCCGTGCTGCAATCTGGGGATCGAGGCGAATTCGGGAGACGTTATTGCCATAGCGATCGAGAGGGACACGCACTTGTGAACGAGCGAAGGAGAATAGTTGGATAGGACGGTTCATGTCCACTGACTGCAATGTACGACGGAAGTAATCGATGGCTGGCCGGAGCTTGCCGGTCTTATATGCGAGAACCTGCTGAGCACCGAAAGCTCGAGCCTGCGAGGTATCAGGCATCGGAGACAGAGCTTTTCCAGGGCGAGTGTAGGCCTGGTTGATGTCAAACATCAGCATATTCATGCTGTGGCCATCCAACGAGATGTGATGTGTTCCCATGACGAGATAATGCGATGTGTCTGAGAGCGAGAGTAATCGGAGTCGCAATTGAATCCAGTCACCAAGATTCCACTTATGGTTGCGCATGGCTTCGAGTTCCTCGGCTGCCTGGGCCTCTGATTCGATTGTTCCAGTCTCAAGACGTACAATGGGCTTGGAAAGAATGCCTTGCATCGGAGTCTTGGAATCATCCTCGGACCAGAAAAAGCGCGTACGTAGAGCCTCGTGCCTCTGTGCCACAGTCTGGACAGCCTTGGTAAGGTCGTTTATGCGGATATGTCCTGCAAGTTTGAACATGTAGGCGATGTTGAATGTGGTCTGATCATCAACGTAGTTGGCCAAGAACCAGAAGCGTTTCTGTCCGTAAGTCATCGGTCCAGTGTGCTCAGTGGACGAATCGATGATTGCTTTACGTCTAATTTCTTCTTGCTGTCTCTCCAGCGCTGTAAATACCCGTTTTCCACGCTCATGATCATTTTCTGGAGTCACCAATGAGTGCAGGGACATTTCTGGGGGCGTGTTGGGCGTTGATATAACGCGCCAACTTTCGGTGTCCGCATCACTATCCGTCGACTCTGTCGATGGTTTCGTTGGCGGAGAGGGAGCTGAAAAGGTGTGAGTAGGAGCAGAAGCAACTGGTGCAGGAGCAGGAGGAGGAATGGAGGCAGCTTTCCCAGTCCCAGGACCAGTTCCAGTTCCACTGCCCAGCTTCTCCAACTCCAAGATGTCGACAGGGATCTTTTCCATCACTTCCACGAGTAAAGACTCAACTGTTGACCCGACACCCATGATTTTCAGCACGGGAAGGTCAACATCAAGCTCTTGCAGGAACCAAGTGCGAACCTCGACTGCCATGATGGAGTCCACACCTTGTTCGACGAATGTCGATTTCTCATCCATGCTCTCACCCTGTGGGATCATGAGGATACGCTTTAAACGGTCTACAAAGGCTTCTCGGAGAATAGCCTGTGCTTCGGTGAGGGATGTAGCAGCGGCGAGACGGGCTCGAGGTCGCTCTGTACCACCTCCACTACCGCCATGCTGCACGCCGTTGGAACCGGCGTCATGCATTAGGAAGTGACTGAAGCGTGGGTTGGTGCGAAGTTGTATATGTGTTTGCGGTTCATCGCGGAAGGGTGACACTCCTGTGGCTATCTATCCGACACATATTCGAGTTAGTATATTTCCGTTAGAAATCCTGGAAGTACTTCGGAACTGCTTTGGATGTCTTGGAAGCGGTACACGAGAACTAGCTCATGAAATGACCCTGAATGGAGATATTGTTCAGGAATATTACGTACCTCCGAGATTCCTTTTGATTTCTCGCTAGGCCGACCAGCAAGCATGGCTTCAGCGAAAAGGGCATGCAAGTCCTGCTCGGAGATGCCGCGGTAGCTTAGTCGCAAGAAATGGTCGATATCTAGATGGGTTGCATGCTCAAAGTAACCGAGACCGTATACAAAACCGATGGCAATATCAGACCCCGCAACACCACGGACATCGCGCCGTTGAGCAGCCAATGCAGCCATGAATTGATTGGCCATAACATAAGCAGACTGACCACCGTTGCCGACAACGTTTGACGTCGAGGTGAAGAGGATAAAGAAATCAAGAAGAGCATCATAAAAGAGTTCATCAAGCAGCACGGATCCGTCGATTTTGGGAGGCGCTGTACGTTCGAGGGACGTGAATTCAAGATCGTCGAAGAGCGCATCCTCAAGCAGCATAGCTCCGTTGGCTACACCAACAACAGGTGGCATTTCGACACATATCTCGTCGTAAGCTGCATTCAGAGAGTCACGACGAGTTACATCAACGGCCACCACTTTGATTGTTGCCGGAGAAAGAGACTCGATAAATCTCGGGTTGACTTTGGGTCTCCGACTACCAAGCACGATGTAGCGTGCCCCATGAGTGACCATCCAGGTACATAGGGACTGTCCCAAATCTCCTGCGAGACCGAAGAGGAGGTAGGTACCGTCATCACGAAAGATATTCCCATGGTCAATGGGTCGTAGAAGGGCTCGCACAGGAGATGAAGAGATGGTCCAATCAACAACACTCAGTTTCGCGTGCACGGCTGAAGATCCGCTGACATCCTGCAGTCTCAAGACAGGTATGGGTTTTTGCGACGACGACGATGCGAGGAGATAATTCGTTACCGCCTGCCAAGCCTTTTTGAGAGATGGACCGACCTGATCGACGTCGGCATTAGGAGAAAGACCAGCTTGTGTACGTATAAAATCCGTAGATATCGCAGTAGCTGTGTGCGGTGGGAGAGATCGAGTAAGAAGGCATGCAGTGGCGGATCCCGGATCGAGGTTGACAAAGAATGTGATATCGCGTGGTAGCACACTTTGCACTAAACGCATGGGGAGCTTCTCATGGATAAAAATGTACGCCGTCTTCGTAATGCCAGATGTGAAGACGATTCGCAGCCCCTCTCTCATAGCCTCCTTTTGAAGTGCCTCTTTTAAGAGCTCGTCAGCCTCATGGACCAAGATAGTTCCAGAGCGTGGCACATCGACGAGAATGCTCTGGGCGAGAAGATATGCCCCAACAGAAACAAGCGAAGAATAAATGGTGTTCTTGAGGATGTTCTTTGGTACACGCATTGTCCACTCGATAGGAACTCTCGCACGAGACTCTATGGCGGAGTCGACCAGAGTAGCGAGTTTCTCGCCGTTCTCGACATCCTTGCCTATCAACAGGTTAAAGTAGCCCACTCCCCGGATCTTGATGATCTGGAGTAGTGATTGCTCGACTTGAATTGTGACTATTTTGCCAGAAGCTTGCAGTTCTGGTAGCACACGCAGTGGGGATACTATGGCTAGGTCAAAGGTCTTCCCATCTGGAGCTGGGTCAAGTACCACTGGCGTCTTATGAAGATCGACCTCGTCAGTCGTGGTGCGGCGATACGTATTGTATCTCTTATTGGCATCCGTATCTGGGAGCAGGCGAGGAATATGCAACTGGCCGTTGATATAATGGGTTTCTGGTTCAACGGTCCAGAGGAGATCGACCTTTGCCCCTTCTTCCTTTTTGAATTGTGCACCCAGCTCGAGCCGGATGAGTGCCTCGGCTACATTCTGTGGGTTCACTTCAGTAGCGGCATCGAAGTCAAGTATTTGTAGATTGATATTGGGGTACTCGAGGCGAACGACACGAGATAAACCGAGAATGATGGATGAGAACGGACGTTCGTTCATAGCACTGCGTGTGACCCAGAGAATGCTACCACCATTTCGCCATAGCGTCTTGAGAGCGTTGAGCTTGGATTCAGTGCGAACTTCGAAGAACTGCTCGTCGAGCTCGGCTAGTGATAGCACAGAACTTCCTGGAGATAAGCCGTGCTTGTTGAGATCTTCGAGAGACTCAAATCGAGTAACGGCTGAAGAGCGCGGACCAGCCAGGGCACTTACTTCATCCACAAGTCTGTCGAAGGTTGATGTATGTCTACCAATAATAACAAGCGGACTTAAATCTCTGTGACCTTTCGAGGCATTCAGAGGAGCTCGTAGACTACCGACAAAGTCGTCAACAGCCTGACTGACAAAGACAGAGAACCACTGCACGTTGTCAAGGACGGGAGTGTGGGAATCAACTCCACTGAAGCCATGCGTGCGCATTAGAGCATCCCATCGTTCCAATGTGAGACACGGTCCATCTCTTCGGCTTTGGTCAACCGCAGCACCAGCCCACCATCCATGAATTCCGCCCATCATAGTATTCATGGACACCGTGTACTCGCTAACAATCTCCAGAGCGATCAGGTAGCCTCCAGGACGAAGTAGACGCCTCACATTGTCCATAGCTTCATCTAGTTTGCCTGTGGCATGTAGGACATTGGACGCAATTACAATGTCGTACGCACCGTCCACAAATCCTTGTTCCTCGGGCGACTGTTCTAGGTCGAACTTCGCGAAGGACATCCGATCAGAGAATTCAAATTGAGTAAAACCATCCTGGGCACGCGAGATGAAGCCAGCCCCGATATCCGTGAATGTGTAGCTTGAGAAAGCACCTTTGAGCGCCGAGAGTACGGGACGTGTAGTACTTCCAGTACCAGCACCAACCTCAAAAAGATGCATCCGGGGATAACGATGAGCTATTTGGGCGACGATACTAGCAATCCAGGAATTTGCTGCAATAACTCCAGCTGTATCGGCATAGAAACGGTCGAGTAGCCCATCTTTCATCATATGCTCTAGCATGTTGCCGTTGCGTTGGATTTCGGGAAGGAAATTCTCACCCACTGCTTCAATCATCTGCATATCGGCTCGGTCATGATATCTAGAAATTAATGATCGAATAAAGGTAGGTGAATCAGCCAAAGCTTCGCGTGGAAGAACGGGGCACTCTCCGGATGCAGTTGCCGCCACTAATCGTTCGATATAGTCCAGGAGAAGTTGGAAATGTGGCAGAGCAGCTGCTCTCTCGGCGGACGTGATAGTCTCGTGGAGACGGCGAAGATAGAAGAAGCTCGCACGATCAAGGGACTTCCACAAGGCAGTCGTCTCTGAAGATAGCAGCTCCTCACCTGCGACTGCAGCAACCGCATCAGGAGCAGCCAGTCTATAGTTGAAACGCGAAAACAATACAGCATCGTCACGAGCTGTGGCTGGTGCAAATGGCATCACACGTAAAGACTCAAACTGAACGAAGGGATACGATTGTACGTCATCCCCACCCGGGAAAATGTCGATATCGACCACCATTGGGGCTTCAGGATCTTCACGAGCCGTAGTTTGGTACTGCATGTTACGATGGCGGGCAGTGGTGGTGTTGAAGAAATATGGGTTGATGACAATGGAATGAATGGCGGTTGGCACGAGGAGCGCAAATAGTCGGTTATCATGCGGATGGCTGTATGCCGCGAATCCGGTTTGCACAGCTGAATCGAGCCATCCTGGATGGACCAGCAGTTTGTCCTCCCAGCCATCACCGGACTCATCCTCGATATCTCCTGCAGCCCATCCTTTCTTTCGCTGAATAGAACGCACACCTGTGAATGGCAGGCTGTAGTTATAGCCAAGCTTGGAGAATTGCGTGTACAATCGCTCAGGTTCTGCTTCTACCAAGTTTATTTCGTCGATTCGAGCGGCAGGCAGTGTATCTGGCTCGGTCTCGCAAAAGACCGCATGAATTGTAGCACTAAAGTTGAGAGCCAGCGGGGTACTACTGTCGAATGGCAAGCCGGAGTGGAATGTCATCCTAGCTGACATCTCGTCCTCAGTAGATGTAATCTCGCTGAGACTGACTTTCGTTTCCATACCAGCATTCTCATCAGTAAAAGCAAGAGCACGACCAATAACGATGTCGTTGAGCGTGATTAGCCCGAGATTGCGGTCGGCAGTCACAGCAGCGATGACTTCAACAGCCGCAGAAACGTAACCCATGGCGGGAAAAACACTCTGGCCCTGCAATCCGTGACCCTGAATCCAAGTGATCTCGGCTGGCCGGAGAACATTGCGATACGAGATCTCGTCTGATGTTTCTGTCTCTACTAGACGACGACCAAGTAGCGGGTGTGGTGCAGCGTGTAAGTTAGTATGTCCGCCCGAAAACCGAGTGAGAGTGTTGAAAGATCGTGAATGGTCAAAACGATACGTAGGAAGATCGAAAACGAATCGCTTTTGTTTCGACGAAGTGCCGGAGATGAATTTCTCAAATCCGTCGAAGTCGATAGACGAGGCACCCAACTGGGTCCAGATGTATCCTAGAGCTGAAGAGAGCTCGTCTACGTCGTTCTTACCGCGAGAGAGCAGGCCCGTATAGGGAATTCTGCGCCCTGCTATTGCTTCCACTGTATCCAGAGCCGGACCTTTTAGCGCTGGATGAGGACCATATTCGATGGCGATGTCGAATGGTCCCGCATCATCCAAAGCCTGAGAAATAGCCGGCTCGAACAAGACGGCGTTCGTCATGTTGTCAACCCAGTATCTAGGGTTTTCAACATCCTTCTTGGTCATGATGTGGCCTTTAATGACGCTAGAGCACCAAGTGGTATCATTTCCCTCGCCAACACTATACCCAGCTCTAGCAAGTCCGGCAAGATATGGCTTTGCGCATGGTAACATGTGAGTCGAATGATAGGCTGTGTCGACCTTCAACATGCGCGCGAACTTGCCTTCGCTGCTAAAGATGGCAAGCGCTTCCTGAATGGCATCTTCATCGCCCGAGAGTGTGATGCTACTCTGTGAGTTTCGAGCTGCCACCTGGATTCTTCCGTCAAAGTCCTCAAGCTCGCAGAACTCTTGAGCATCCTCGATGGAAGTACCAACTGCCATCATGGCACCTTGACCTCCCGATGGAGAGCGAGACAATTTAGCGTACAGACCACGATAGTAGGCAACTCGAATAGCATCAGTAGCTGACAAAAACCCAGCGGCATACGCAGCGCCAATCTCTCCTGACGAGTGCCCGACAACGGCACCCAGTCGGATATTGGCTGCCTTGAGCAGGTCTACAAGCACGATTTGGATGGCTGTGCATAGTGGTTGGGCAATCGCAGCTTCAGCGATGCGTGAGGACTTTGTACCGGCAAGAAGTTGAGAGGTCAATGTCCAGTCTGGCCGATCGCCTTCGGGAAGTGTTGCCAGGGCACGTTGAAGCTGTGCAAGGCGTTGTGCGACGAATGGAGATTCTTCAATCAACCGCGCTCCCATAGTCGCCCACTGCGCGCCTTGACCTGTGAATACGCCTAGAACACTTGGCGTGGAAACGTCGTAATAGCGCGTCGTCAAACCATTCTCGCTGGAATTATCGTCGGCGAGCAGGCCGTCGATTCTCGTAATAGCCTCTTCGATACTAGTTGCGATAATTGGTTTTCGATAAGCTAGTATAGACCGACGAGTCTGTAGCGTGTAAGCGAGGTCGCGAATGTTGGCGTCGAGGTTGCTATTTTTGAGATAGGAACTCAGGTCCGAAAGTGTAGAGCGGAGTGTAGTTGGAGAGGCGGCGGAGATAGTAAGCGGTGTGAATGCTGGGATGCTAGCAAAAGCAGGCTGTATAGGTGAGGATTCGGGCTCGAAGTACTCTATAATAGCATGTGCGTTGGTGCCACCAAATCCTGCCAGAGTGTGTTTGTCAACTACTTTTCCTTCTCCTTGACTTGATGAACGTTCACTTACCAAAACTGTTGACACTCGCTCGACGAGGTTGTCCTGGAAGTGTTTTCGGCCAGGGTTTGGCTGTGATGGGAATCTCAAGATGGTTGTAATATGGGGCGACGCGGGCACTAAGACTGTTGAAATGAAGATTTGGAGGGATGATACCATGCTGCATGGCAAGAGCAGATCCGATCAAACTCGCAAGACCGGCAGCACCCTCGGTGTGTCTGTTTAGGAAAGGTCAGTCTCAAGACATGGCAAGTAATTAAAGTTTCAAGAAAGAGAAAGTCCGTCGAGAAAAGGGTTCAGCAAAATCATACCCTATAACAGTCTTTATAGAACCCACATAAAGCCTATCATCCACCTTCTTGTCACCAAAGAAGGAACGAGAGATGGCCTCAGCTTCCTGTGGGTCGCCAGCGGGCGTCCCAGTGCCGTGGGCGTGGAAGTACTGAGGACGGTCTTTTGGATCGTTGATGTCGAGCCCGGCGCGCGCGTAAGTGTCTCGAATCAGGTCTGCTTGAGCTAGATTGCTCGGCATCGTCAAACCCGCTGTCTTACCGTCCTGGTTTACTGTGATTATAGAGAGAACTAAGCGTTCGTTCAAGTAGACAGTGGCAAGAAGTAAAGTAGGATTAAAGAATGAGACAATAGGAAGAGATGGAAAGGGGAAAGAAAACTAACCAGCTGTGCCGCGAATTATGCAGTCAATGTGGTCACCGTCTCGCAGCGCAGCGCTGAGCGGCTTCATCACAATGGATGCAATACCTTCCCCACGGGCATATCCATCCGCTGCAGAATCCCACATTTTGCTGCTTCCCGTCGGTGACAACATATGAAGGTTGCTCTCGCCAATGAACATGCCTGAGGTGGAGTGAAAGCAAATTAGCATCAACGGTACTTCGATTGGGATTGTTCTGAAATTTGGAAAGCTTACCAGGAGCCAGGATTAAGTTGGCACCCGCCGCAATAGCAACGGGGCATTCACCGTTCCTTAAAGCTGTCACACCTTGGTGAACGGCGACAAGCGAGGACGAACAGGCCGTATCGATCGTCATGCTGGCTCCGTGCCAATTGAAGAAGTAAGAGATGCGGTTCGAGATGATGGCACGACTTGTGCCCGTTGCAGCGTACGTCGGCATCAGGTCCCAGTCTCGACAGACAATCTGAGACCAGTCATCACACATGAGGCCAACGTATACAGCCGTATTCGTTCCTCGGAGAGTCTCTATGGGTTGCCCACCAGCAGATCTGCAAGGGGAGAAGTGAATTAGCTCTGGGAAAGAATGTTGAAACAGATTGACATACATCGAGTCATAGACGGTTTCCATGAGTAGTCGCTGCTGCGGATCAATGGCCTCAGCCTCCGCCGGTTGGATGTTGAAAAAGGTACTATCGAACTGGTTCACGTCCTCTTCGATAAAGTACGCGTTGGTAGCATCTGTAGCACCATGATGTGATCCATTGGAGTGGTGGAAGCCGGTCACATCGAAGCGGTCAGTCGGGACACGCTTCGAAAGGTCGCGCGGTGATCTCAGCAGGTCCCACAACTTTGAGGGCGAATTTGAGCTGCCAGGGAAACGACATGCCATGCCAATAACGGCAATGGGTTCCTGCTCTACTGCTGCCATACTGACAAACTTGAGGCTTTCAGTTTTGGGTTGAACCGGAATGAAGCGAATGAAAGATTGGATGGCCAACGATGTAAAGAAGACCCAGACTGTAGTTTACTTCTTTAGAGGATAAGAATAGAGAATGCAAAGCAAGACACAAGAAGAAGTTCAGCACATAAATAAGTACGCGAAAGGAAGCAATATCAACAAAAGGTTAGAGCTAAAAGGCCATACCTATTCCACAAATGTAGTTGATTCTATTGGCCCCCGTATGTATCACCCAGTGGTTCCCAGGAGCTCGGTATTCTCCAATAACTTTCAATACGATTGGCTCTCGGTCCTTTCCGGTGCGGCCCAGCCATCCTCGGATCGCTTTCTTTCTGTGCCACTAGGTGAGACGACGACCGAATAATGCCGACCTTTTGCGATGGCCGGTGCAGACCATCAAAACTAGCCATTGTTTAATCCCATTCATATCATGTCATCCGAGATCACATCATTTTGGCCGGAGTAATGCTCCATGATCTTGTCACTTTGGTAATTGATTAGATTCCTTCTCAGTGCATGTAGAGGTGCAAGAGAAACAAGGCAGGAGATGAGAGTAAAGATACGATGATTGCGATGAAGTGAAACTCACCTCCCACCATCCCCCCATTCCACTCGTGTTTTCTGGCTTCGAGTCTGACATAGAGAGACCCATCTCTGAAGACATTCCGGGCACAGGCGAAGCCAAGAAGTCACAACCAAATGTTCCCATAGAGGGGAAGTTGGCTATGCATTCTAGAAAGGTCAGCTTCTGATATGGGCTGCATAAGAGAGATACAGTTAGCTCCTGATATCCAGGATGCCAATGCTAAGGAGAGATGGGAAGACTCTGCACCTGTATATCATGTAGTTGCTTACCTTGATAAGAGTCCCAAGTAACCTGATCGAATGACATTGTGATATCCTGAGGTATGTTAAAGCCAAAGGTGGCCACGATAGTACCATCTACAGCCTCTTCTGCAGCCTGAATTCCGCCTTCCTTTCGTCCCTGTAGTCCTAGCAGGAGACTCAGATGCTCGGCCGCCTGTCGAGCCTCCCGAGACACTGTGCTCGATCGCAGCCAGATAGGATAGGTACTGCGCAGTAGATTATATATCTTGGTGCCTGTTTCCTCATTCAAAGAGATGTCGGGTCTGATTTTGGCCAGTTGCACATAGTAACAGAGTATGCTCATACCTAGCAGGAAGACGAAATGCCCGAGAGAGGTGGTCATCATCCAACGCACCGGATACAATAGACCATCTGGCCGCGTTTCCTCGTCTAACAGTTGTTGGAACTCGAGGATCTTGATAGCAGCCTGAACGCAGGCATCCTGCGAGTACTTGTATTCCGCAAGATACTTTCGGTGGAGCCAAATTGTTAGCCGTGGCACTGCGAGTTGGAGCCACACACGATGCATAACGATTTGTGGTGGTACCATAAACGATTGGCTAAGAGGCTGCCATCGAAAGATAGGTGGTAATGATGATTCTGCCTCTTGTAATTTGCCATCTAGCTCCATGACTTCTTCATATGAGTGCTCACGCGTGTTAGCGAGAAGGTCACTTACGAGTCCGCTTATATGATCGATTCGGTTTTTCGCCAGGATATAGAGCACGGGTGTTTCCTCGGTCTCGGGTCGTGATGGAGGCAGCTCAGTGGTAAATTCGTCGAAGTCCGTATCTAGAAGATTACGAGGCTCGGTGGTATCGCATTGATGTAATTTGAGGAGGCGCGGAAGGCCCATCTGGCTTGAGAGCCGTAGGTCCATTTGCATGATAACAGCCCAGACACGCCGTCTCATCTCACCGGCAAATGGAGATACGTTGGAAAAGTTTCTAGCGTCCCGATGGTATCCCAAACTTAGAGCGAGCTGTACAAGTATGCCCAATACAAGCCACAGCCCAATATCAGCGTCCTTACACAGAAGCATCTCGAGGGCGACGTAGTTGATCATGGTCTCTAGCACGTACTCTTTTCCCCAGGTGAATTGACCTAGAATAAGACAGTGGATAGTCCGCTCACGAAACATATGGATGCGAGCCAAAGTTTCAGGATCTGGAGGGTCCTCTATCAAATGCTGTAATTGCATCGAGAGAGCCATAATGCTGAATAAGACGCCAATCCATAACATTGACGCCGCATTCGGGTCCTGCCAGAAGCTCTCGTACTATGACCGCGGGAGGTCAACTTTGTAACAGGGTCGGATTTACAGAATAACAGATAACGTACCTGTCGGAGAAAGTGGCTGCTATGAAGCACGGGTAGTGGCGCATTGTTTTGGGCATTGAAGTATCGTGCCACCATGCGGTCCACCGCAGGACGAGCCGGTATTGAGGCTAGAATATCAGCTTTTGTTGCTTGGACCGGTTGGTACAATAGACGAGGATTGGGACTACTGCTGCTGCTGGTGCCGTATGGTAAATCATCAACGGTTGCTAGCATCCTCGCCTCCTCTTCCGCTTCATAGTGGTCCTTGAGATCAGAAATGCTGTCCAGTACGGCCGCCCAATGGACGCTTCCGACGTACTTGGCCCCATGGGAGTGAGGACGCATACTCCCAAATTCCGAGGATGCGGGAGAAGGTGCAGAAGACGTGTCGTCCATTCCATGGGACATGGACATACTTCTGAGCGTTGACCGTGTCTCCTCGTCGGCGGTCGAGGCCAGAGGGGTCATTGTCCTGGCGTCCGTTGGACTTTGAGGTGTTTCGCCAGGTGTCTCCCAGAAGGAATGCGCTAGGGCTTCTGTAACCGCAACATCGGGATACACAGTCGACGTTGGTTGAGCTTGCGGTTGCTGCTGCTGCTGAAGTAAGGAGCGGACCAGTCCTTCGAGCTGTTCAATACGGTCGCCCACGCTGACTTTGGTGGTTTTACGTGGAGGACCTGAGGTGTAGGTGCACGAGAATCCAACGCCCTTACTTGTGCAGGTCTTGCATGGCAGCTGGCGATCGCATCGTACTCTCCTCTTCGTCAGTACACGTATAATATTGTGATGTTTGCCCCATTCTCCCGTCACATGGGAAGTAATGATACATGGGTAACCTACTTGCGAGCCCGACAAAAGGTACAAACGAGTTGCGACTTCTCTCTCCGACGATCTCGCAGTTGCGGTGACAATGCAGTGCCAAGATGTGGCGCTGGTGGCTGTTTCAAGGTGGCTTGCTCGGTATGTGGCGTCTGCTCAGTCGCTGACAAGCGGTCGTCCATTTGGAATTGGAAGCGGGAATTGATTTTTAGATTGTAGATTCGAAGGATGACGGTCCAGATGTGGAGGATCACGTAGAATTGAGAGATTCTACGTAGATCCTCCGCACGTGCACGTACACAAGTGAGACCTGCGACTACCTGAGAATCTCAGGTCGAGTTGAGGGAAAATGAATGCAGGCATGCGAGGGGTGTGGATAGTTGGATACTTGGATCGTTGGTTGTCGCAACAGCTGATGAACATGCGACAAATTGCGAGATGGGGATCATCTGTATTATCTACTGTACCGTGTCACGATTACAGTATCTGTTGACGGGCTTACATAATTCTGGTCAACTTCATGCATGCAGACTACCTACGCAACGCTATCATTCATCTCACTGAAGCTATAGAGTTGCACGCTGAATATATCGGAATGTCGGGCAGCATCAATTGCAAACGGACAGCTCTAGACCCAACGGACCTCTTGGACATTTTTACAATCAGATCACCTTTCTTCCCTCTCTTTCGAGGTACTTTACGAGTGGGGCCATGGTGTGGGCGGATGCATCGACGGAGCAATAGCGGATTGAGTGCCGGAGCTATTGACGGAGCAGTCGACGGAGAGATTTAACGGGAGCATCCGAAGGATAACGTGAGACAGCGGGAAAGTGTATAGTAGATCTGATTAATGAGTGAGCTTACGGTTTATATAATATAATGAAAACTAAAATAAAAACTATTAATTTAAATAATAAATAATTTATATAATTTAT